AAACTAAAAAGTAAAATCTCTAGTTCCTGTTCAATTTTTGTTCTTTAAGCTTTAAGAACTCAGAATTTTCATACAAAAATAATGTAACTGAAATTTGAAGTAACTCTTCAAAAAATTCCAAATTTACCAGATGCTCAAAAACCAAAAATAATCCAAAAACCACTTTAATGAGAAAATTGTGACTCAAAACAACTACATATACCAAAGAAAGAAGCAACAAACAAACAAATATTTCTCAAGGGATAAAAACGGACAGTAAAAAAAAGTATGGAAAAAAGAACAAGATTTTTTATTTTTCTTTTTTTCAAAGACGAGACGAAGAAAAAACACTTCCGCTGGTTATTTATGCACACACACATGGTTAAGAGTAATTGCACATTTCGAGGAATATAATGTGTTGCGAAAAAAGTTTCAAAAATGATTAATGAGATGATCTCACATTTGAAAAACGTGAGAATTTCCAGATGTAAGCAATCACCAGAAATGTCATGAAACAACAAAATGCAGATTACGAAAAAATAAAAAAGTATTCCAAAAAATTTCCTGGAAAAAACTACTGTAGAACACGTAGATAATGGCTAACGGATTAGAAAAATGAGCAAAAATATATTAATAGGAAGAAAACTAGTTTTTCTATGAAAAGATAATATTATTAAAAATGATTATGATAATATAGAATTAAAAGATCAACATCAAAGTATTTCCAGGTTATGAGAAAAATGAAAAGGTTCTGATTCCGATCTTTGTGAAAAGTATCATTTGAATCTATTGAACGTTTATTGAAACATTTTTCTGACTTATCAGAATCCCTATTTTTCTCAGAAAACCAAAAATCTATACTAGTCTATTACGAATATATTTTCAAATTTCCTGTATTTTTGAATATCTGAACACATCTCATCTTCCTTTTTTTTTTATCAAAAAAGGGAACAAGACATTTTTTGAGAAAGGGCCGCTATAATCTGCTCTCGTGAATGTTGATTGTAATTTTTGGAAATAGAAATTTTGATTAGATTTTGCAGAACACAAAAAACAATGAGATCTTTATTTTTGAAAGCTGAAGTTAAAATCTGAATACATATGTTGCAATTAAATATTTTAACCCCGGAAACTCAAGGCTGAAAATTGAGCTCAAAATAACAACCAGAAAACGCTCACTCGATTCTATTCATGAAAAAAAACAATAAAAGTCCCAAGATTTTCAGGATACCCAAAAAGCAAAACTAAAATAGAGGCGAATTGTAGAACAGGACCCCATTGGTATCATCTTAGGACACAAACATTCAGACATATTTTTAGAAATTTTTCTTATTTGTTGGTGAAAACTTGAAATGATAAGTCCGAACATTTTTTAACGATGCACCGAAATCAAGAAATGAACGTTTCTAATCTTAGTTCTTACGTGATTTTATTTTTCAGCAAATCTCTTTCCAAATTTTTTTCAATTTCAACAATAATTCTTTTTTGCAAGTTCTCATGAATAACAAATTTCAAAATTTTTTAGAGAAAATGTGACTTATTGTTTTTTTAACAGAACAGATTTAATCAACGTGAGAAATGTAAACCCTGCGTGTGTTTTCCCCCGGAAGTATATATATTTTTTGGAAAACAAAAACAAAAGTAGAAAAAGAACACAATCAGCTAGTTTAGTTTAGTTTGAAAAATGCTCCAAGAAAGAAACTAATCCAATTTTCGTTTAAACATTCCAAAGTTCAGCAAAAAATGAGGATTTCTAAGAAAAAAACATGAGTGCAAAAGAAATTCGTTAATAATTTCTTATTAAATGAGACGCGATGAGATTAATAGTATAGTTTTTGTCTCATCTTAGAATAGATATGAGAAATTGACAAAATTGAACAAAGCAATATTGTGTTGAAAAACGAGCTACTGACTGCAGAGTTAAGTTAATAAGAGGTTTCAGAATTACTGCCTAATTATGGTGCTTTTTTTCGTTTTCGTTTTCTTATTATTGATGTCGACGTCAATGGGCCAAGGTACTTTATCAAGAACAATTTGAGGGTTTTTTGATTATTGAAACAAGTTTCAGGTTCAAACTTTCAGTTTTTTAAATATCACGTCATACATAAAATCTCCAGAATCCTACAAATTAGAAAGATGAATTTGAAATACGAATAACCCTTTCTCAAACTACAAAAACCAAAACATAACTCAACGTGCCAAACTCAAAAAATTACAACATTATCAGCACAAACAAAAAACCCATAAATATTCGCATAAATTAAACGGCATAAAAGTTGTGAATGAAACTAGATATATTTCTACTTACTATTCATTCTAAAAATCATCTGCAAAATAAAAAAGCAAAGCAACAAAAAAGAAGAAAGTTAATCAAGCCGGGAGGTTCAAAATTAATTTCTTCATCTTTTTTCATTTCATTTTAGTCGTATCTAACTAACGTCTAGATTCTAGATTAATTTCAGAAGGTGGTCTCGTGACATTTTTCGCGTGCATTGAAACATGTTAGACAATGAATTGATGAGAAAAGTGACAAATATTTTTTTGAAAGGATGAAAGAAAAGGCGTCTGAAAGTGTAGAAAATTTGCAAGGTCAGCACAAAAAAGTCTCTAGGGATTTTGGAAAAAAAAACAAAAATGGGGCAAAGAATGGAAATGAACACCGTAAAATGACAAATAGAAGAATAGGAATGAAATGTGTAGAAAATATTTAGACAAAAAAGTGATATTGAATAATGAATGTGGAAAATGTCTGACAAAAAACATAACAGTGAATACTTGCCTCAACTTTCTAGAAAAATACGAATTATACTAACTCGGTGAAGATTCTCGGGAAAATATTTGCAAAGCATATTGAGAGTTGATTTTGCAACTTACAGTAACCCCATGAAAACTCACTAGAATATAATTTTTCTGCCACTTAATAACGCCATTTTTCCATCCTCAAAATGTTACTAAATGAGTGATTTTGAAATTTTACAATTCGTTTTCAAGGGGTCACGAGATAAATAAATGAATTTATTTTGAAAATGTTTTTTTTTTCCATTTTCAAAAAAAAAAAGAAAGAGATTCTGCAGCGTTTTTAAAAGAATATGAATTTTTGTGATCTCTTTGGTAGGAACTTCGGACCCGCCCGCAAAACTATGAATTTTTTTTAGTAAAAAACTCATTTCGGCTATTTTTATCTAAAAAGCTCATCAAATGCGGGTGAAATTAAAATTCAAATCCAGATTCGAATTTCAGACTAAGACTCGAACTAGATAATAAAAAAACTAGAAAGCAATCTCGAAAAAAAACGAAACGCAAAAAAAAAACAAAACGATGTATTTATCTATCTGGAAAAATCTCGACAAAAAAGATGTCAAAACAAACAATAAAATTTTTTTACTCGATTGCACTTTTTAGGAACTTCATTTTATTTCCTCAATGCCACAGGGCAAAAAGGAAATTTCAGCAAAAACGAAATTTTTTTGGAAATTTGAAAGAAGAAAGAAAAACAACCTAGACTAAAAAAGCGATGAACCAAAAAACAAAATATCAAAATTTCAAGTGTTTTTCACCACTTTGTGAGTAAAAATATTCATTCGATTTTCTTGAAAAGAAAAAAATACGCAAAAAATTTGAAACATCCATCAGAAAAATGAATTTTTGTTCGAATAAAGGTTGAGATATAAATTCAGAAAAAAAACTCAACTCTCTCCGAAGTCCCGCCACATCCCACACGATTACCCGTCGTGAAAAAAAAGAAAAAAGAAGTAGAGAAAAAGTCAGAAGAGATCGCATTTTTACTTTTTTAATGGCGAAACAGTCAGAAAATCATCAAAAATTCTAACTTTTGAAGAAAACCCTATTTTTCAATGAAGCTCAAATCTCACCTGTTAGTTTTGTCCCCCCCCCCCCAAACCTCAAAATAAACTAACTTGATTGGCCCGTTTCCGTGAAAGGTTGTTGCTCTCTTTGAATTCCCTGTCCAAACGAAACATCTTCTTGTTCGGAAGCCTGAAACTTCTACATTCTTTTTCTCAAAATCTTCGCCTATTCTTAAACTTACATCAGAAAATGACAATTGTGGATTTGATAGGACCGCTGCATTCTGTGACTGTTGTTTCTGAAAAAAATAAGAAAATTAAAAAATGTACCAAATCACCCCATAAATAACAGAAAAATGATTCGGTTCGAGAAAAACGTTCAATCAATAATTTCTTTCCAAATAACAAACATATATCTCTCTCTCTCTTTCTCTCTCTAACCCTCTCTCCATTTCCCACACTCTCTCACCTACCCTGCAAAAAACAACAAAATAAACACGCTAAACAACGCGCACGGGGAGTATCGTTGTTTTTCTTTTAATTTTTTTTGTACGACAATTTTATTTTCTGCTTTTTTCTGGTTTTTGAGTGGTTTTTTTTCAGCGCAGAAAAAGTTATTAATGGGGTGGTTTGGTACATTTTTTAATTTTCTTATTTTTTTCAGAGACAACAGTCACAGAATGCAGCGGTCCCATAAAATCCACAAATGCCATTTTCTGATGTAAGTTTAAGAATAGGCGAAAATTTTGAGAAAAAGAATGTAGAAGTTTCAGGCTTCCGAACAAGAAGATGTTTCGTTTGGACAGGAGATTCGAAGATATCAACAACTTTTCGCGGAAGCGGGCAAGTCAAGTTAGTTTATTTTGAGGTTTGGGGGGAGAAACAAAACCAACAGGTGAGATTTGAGCTTCATTGAAAAATATTGGGTTAAATTTTAAAAATTTTCTGCGCTTTGCTTCGCTTTGCGCGTGATTGGTCCTCCTAAGTTTTGCACCGCGGTTTATTTTCTGTTTGTTTTTTCACAAATTTTTTAAAATTTTTTTTAAATTAAAATTTTCAAAGAAAAACAATTTGAAAAACTAAACTTATTTTCATACTCTTTGATCATGCCGAGTCTTTTTCCTAAAAATCTTACAAATGTGTGAAAAATCATAAATTCATTTGACCAAACAAATAAAACCCGGAAAAAGCGAGAATTAGGATAAAATATAGTCGTCACCGAATTAATAATTCCAAATGTTTCTTTTTTTGTGGGTCTAATTCGGAAGTGGCGAGATCGAGCAAAGATTTCTCGGAAATCTGAAAATAAGTCTGGGGTACTTATGAAAACGATGGGTTTTTTGGCTCACCAAAGCAGACAAGGTTTTTACAAATTTTTCTAGTGCTTTCTTGTTTTCAACATCACTTGGTGGTGATTTCAAATACTCCCAAAGTAGAGGTAATGCCATAACTTCAACTTGTTTTGGTTTGACTCGATAAGCAAGTTTACATAGTTCTAAAACCTCAATTATTTGAGAATTCATAAATATAGTTTTAGTTACCTGTGAATTGTCCTAAAATGAATGGTCTTTGTTTCACATTAGACTTCCTTGTAGCTGCTGTCATTGCCGGAAGCAAACAAACTGAATCTGAAATTAAAAAAAAAAATTTACTCTGCTCTCGTATAACTATATTATAATTACATACCAATTGTCTTAATTGTATGTTGAATGCAAGTTTGTGCGAGATGTCGATGTTCTTCTGATTTGCTCGAAAGATGCGCAGTCAATGCAAAAAGTAATTGATTGAGCACTGCTTTCAAATTTGATTCTGTTGAATATAATTTTGACATAGTTGCAAGAGTGACTAAATATGTGTCCATTGCATAACTCGCAACTTTTGTATTCAAATCTCCAATTCTAGCAATGAATGCTTCTATAAGTCTAGTATCACTTGCAACAGCTTTTGCAGCATGTGAACACATTTCTTCAAATCGTTGTAGTCCAGATTGTCTTCTTTCCCAGCCACTTGCAAGAAGTTCAGTTCTAATTTCATCCAAATCTAATTGCAAACTATCTGGCAATTTCTTCTGAACTTTTCTAGTACTTCCAACTCGAGAAAGTGTTCCAGACATACTTTCATTTCCACGTTTTTCGATTCCGGATAATATTTCTCTTATAACTTTTCCTTCAGATTCTCCGGCGTTTTTTCGAAGAAGTCTTTCAAAGTTTGTGTCTTTTGCTAAAAATAAAAGAGCTTGTTTTCCATATTGTCTAACTTGCGGAGTTTGATCTTTGCAAAACATAATCAAAATAGGTAATACTGTAGAAAGAGTTGATGGGTTATTCATAATTGTTGAACTTCCTTGAATACTAATAATATCATTAACAAAGCTGGCACATGATGCTCGAATCGTATTATTCTTTGATTTGGATCCTGCAGTAATTATTCCTTGTAGTGCTTTTCCAGCTGTTGCTGATTGAACCAATTTATTCAATGAATCAGTTGCATCTTCTCGAATAAAAGCATTTGAAACATCACCCGCTTTATTCAACAAAACTGCGCAAATCTGGAATAAAATATAAGATTTTCTTGTATTTTTTCTTAAAACTTCAAGCGCACTTTTTCCATTTCCGAATCAATTTTCGAATTCAAATTTTGAGCAACTGTTCCAATTGTCACTATAGCTACCCGAGATACAGAAGAGCGTAAATTTTTGCATTCATTGAGCACCGCTATTATAACATCTTTCAGATTATCTTGTATTTGTCTTGAATTTGTTTCAGATAGTGCTGATATCATATTCAATCCTTCCACTTTATCTGACCATTCATCAGATTCCAGTTTCTTGAGAGCACCATTAACAGTCATCATTGACATATCCATTGAATAACTTTTTGCCGAAACTTCTCGAGGCTAGAAATTATTTTTATTTGAAATGTTTGAAATGATCAGAACTAACCTTTGCTGCCTTTGTTGTTCTTTGCCCTTGTCCAGATTTCAAAAAACTATTTCCACGTTTTGGAGGCTGAGATTGAGTGTTTTTCAAAGGTTGATGATTGTTGGTTGTAATTGGAAGACTGTGATGACTTATTGATTTCTTTCCCATGTTGTTTCCAACCGATTCAAAGTCTGAAAATTTGAATAGTTAATCCTAGAAAAAACGATTCAGATCAACACCAACTTGGTGCACTCCATAAATATTCTCGTCCGTCAGTTTTCAGCCAAGATCTAGTTTTATTAGAGTTCATTGAACTATAAATCGGTGGCAGTTTGGTTGTCGTCATATTTTTTGCTTACAAAAAAGCAGAAAAAAAAGAATAAAAGAAAGAACAAATACACTTTTCAAAAAGAAAAAAACGGAGAAGCAACAAAAATCGTTGTGCTCACATGGTTACATCTTATTGGATATTTATGACTATACGAACCTTGTAAAGAATATTGTCCACTCGCTTTTGCAGGACGGTCATCAAAACTTCTCGGATGGTCAAGTTGTGTGGGTGGATGAGGAGGTGGTGGTGAATGAGTAGAGGCGGAAGTTGCTATCGGTGGCGGTGTCAAATTCTCGCGCTCATCGTTGCTTAGATTTGTCTCGGAGCGTGATTTCTGAAAATTAATAATTAGTCCTGCGTGATTCGATAGGTAAGTATTCATATTTCATCAGATCAAATAGTTTAACTTACCTTATATTTCTGTTCAATTGCCACCAAATTATTATTCACTTCTTTTTTCGGAATCACTGCAGCTTTTTCCATCGGACTATTTTCCCGTTTCTTAGGATGTTCCCAAGAACTTGTACTCGAATTGGGATTTGAAATTGCTGAAAATAAGACACTCGTGATTTTGATTGAACAATTTTTGTCGTAATCCGTGACCCTCAACCCTAGACCCTACGTCGTCTGACAATCTCAAAACCAGGAGTCATTCCAGCCGGTTTGACACGTGTCTGTGCAGAAGAAGATCGTGAAACAGTTGTACCCATGTTCGAATTATATATATTTATCTATATATAGAGAAATAAAAAAGTATAGATATATCAGACAAGTGAAAATAACAACAACAACAACACGATGAAAAGCAAGAAGAGAACAAAAAACGTTGAAAATTGCATGGCAACCGAGTAACAATAGAAAAGAGTAGTTGAAAAAAGGGGGCATTTTGATGGACATTTCACCTGGTCAACATTTTTTGTTCTTTTGAAAATTGAGCATTTACTACGAGATTTTTTGAGAGTAGTAAAGTTGAGTGGAAAAAAATTCAGTTTTTTGAAAATTTCAAGAATACTTTTGAAAATACTGATATTTATAGAAAAGAGAACGTGGAATATTCAATTATAAAATATGTGCCAGAAAAATAAATGTCGAGTTTACACGGAACATTTTGATCTTTAAGAATCGCACGTTCCTAGTTTAGTTTTTTGATGAGAAAAAAATTAGTACACGAAAAACCTCATATGCGGATTACCTACATCTTATCATCTTTTTTTATATTGGAAAGTAAAAGTATTATCAAAAACATAAAAAAATAGATGCATACATACAATAGCCTCTTAATCCTTGGCAACCGTGTGAAAAAACACGCGACTACATTTTTTGTCATCCCAAAAAAAACTCAAAGTGAGAACCAAACAAAAATACCTGAAGTTTGTCGTCTAACAATTGAATCATCGCTTTTCATTCGAGCCATTGTCATTGCTGCTCCGCCTTCTCCTCCGGCCATTTTTTGGCCGTTGTTAATTTCGTGACTTCCGTAGCCATTTCCGGACAAAGATGATTGTAGTTGCTGTTGTTGCTGAAAAAATAATATATTATTATGATTTGAAAATATCGGATGTTTGTAGTTTGGAAAGGCCTCGGTACCGTAGTTTGACATTTTAAAATGACAGAGATTGTGAAAAAGTTGAATTGAAAAACTTTAGCTTTTCCTACATCTTGAAAAACTTTCTCACCTGATTCAATCGATTTCTCCGAATCACAGCTAAATTTCCTGCCAGACTAACTGGTGAGACGGTTCTATCAAATGGATCTATTTCTCTACCACCCGAATTCAAAATCCATGTCAGATCAGCATTCTCAGGATTTGCCATTTCATTTTCATCTACGGCAAACGCAGTGTCAGAAATTGGAGGTGTTGAATACTCAATCAATCCATCATATCGAATTCGGGGTAATAATTGTCGACGAATTCTTGATTGAACAGCTTCACTAAGACCTCGAGCACTTTGTTCGACTTCGATTTCTCGAACGATTTTCATAATTGGTTCATATTTATTATTCATTAAATAGGCAACAACTGATAATTGTTCGAATGCAGCTAATCTTACACGTCTTTTAACATCATTCAATAAGGGTATTAAGTTATTAATAACCGGCGTCATATTGAACTTTGATGGACTAATTGTCATCAATGCAGCTGTCAAAATATTTAGAACCTCTTCTCTTGTTCTTGAGTTCTTGTTTTCTAAATAAGGTCGGAGAGATGCAGAAACCGATTTTGGATTTATATGCTATAAAAAAGTTTGAACTTTATAATGAAACCTAGAAGACTATACCTGAAACAAGTCCATAAATGTCATCATTATGAGTTGTTTAATAACACTTTTCTGATTTCCAAAATGTTTTGAAACCAATGATACTAATTGTTGAAGATGTGCTTCCATATGATTGCGAAGAGAATGAACTGTTAGGCGAACAATATCAAGAGCAATCACAACAATTTTGAAATTTAAATCGGAAAGAACATTTGAGAGGAGAAGAAGATAAGAATGAAGATGAGGAACTAGTCGATTGATTTCTTCTGGTGTTATTTGCTCGATTATTTGTTTCAACTAAAAATGTATTCATAAAATAGTATAGATGATCAATTCATGATAAATATCGAAGAAAAACATACTTTTTCTAAACCTGAAATTCTTGAATTAATATCTTGATCATCTGATATCAACGAAGCTACCAATGCTGGCACAATTCCAAATCTCAGTCTTCTCTCATTTCCAGATACTAATTTTATTGAAGCACGATTTATAGAGCGATTTTGATCATTTGTGTTTTCAACTTTAACATTTTCCGTCATTTTACTTATATTTTCTCTTTTTTCTGGGCTCATCGAAGAAACAATTGAATTATAAGTATCAACACCAATATATTCTGAAAATAAAAACACAAATTATGTATATTACTCTAAATATGCCGAATTTTGACTCACCGCTTAATTTTTTGAGAATAAGTCCATTATCTTTTGTGGCTTCTTGATTTGCATACATTTCAACAAGCGCAGTCCAATTCAATTTTGATAACTCGGGTATAAAAAATGCGGGAAGTTCTTTGAGTATTTGCAAATCGTTTGGATTATTCTGCACATAATTTCCCAACATTTTCAAGAACGATTGTAGAGCTTCCGGTTTCAAGCGCAAAAATGTTATTATTGCTTGCTGACAAACTTTTTTCACTGTTATTCTTGGGCTTCCCATTTTTGGAATAAGATTTGGCATCACATAACACATACAATATTCAGTTGATGTTCCAAAAGTTGGCATTGCTTCCGCGAGAAATTTGATACATTGATGTTGAAGTTCCCATCTTTCATCGATTAAGATTTTATCAAGACATTTGAAAAGTTCACCCTTTTTTGGAAATCTTGTGAACCAATCTGGATCACGTTTTGATATTCCAGAAGCCCGGTTTAGCGTCTAGAATTATTTGTTTCAAATCTGAAGAAAAACAAAAATTCCAAACCTGTAGCCTTGTGTCAAAATCTGGGCTCCTCAACAAATCTAGAAAATCTTCTGGTAAAAAATTAGGCGTTGGCAAACGATCCGCATTTTTTGTCAACGCATCGAACAACGACGCCATAAATTCAACAAAAACAAACAAAAAAGTTGATATGGCAGAATGAATAAGTGAATGCGAAAACGTTTATTGAGGTTGCCAAGGTAACCAAATTGGATTCAAGCAGAATAAAAAAGAGGGGGAGAAAGAAGGGTATCAAAATGAACAAGTTGGTGTAAGCAGGTGGTGGGAGAATATAAATAAATAATATATTTGAAATGAAAAACTATGTAAAGTAATGTTAGACTAATCCGTTTTGTTATTCAATTTTGGTGCAGCAGCTGGAGACATTTTGAGAAGCCAATAAGTATTCATAACACCTTTTCCTTTTACAATAACTTCTCCACGTGGTTCTGTTGTAAATCCACCAAGTTTAATTAATTGATCATTTGCTTCAGATGATATATGAATTTGTCCAGCTAAAATTAATAAGTGTAAAAACATTTTCCAAAATTAATATAAAAAAATACTAACGTTTACTATTACTTTCCATTCGACTTGCTGTATTTACAGCATCTCCAAATAAACAATATCTTGGCATTGTTAAACCAACAACACCAGAAACAACAGATCCTAAATGAATTGTTGATTATCAATAATTATAAAACACTATCAGATAAACTAACCACAATGAAATCCAACTCGAATATTGATTTTTTCATTTGGTAAATGTGGAATTCGAAAATTAGTTAATGAACTAATAAAAGCAATAGACATACTTGCAATATGTCTTGAATGTTCATTTCCATTTCGATGTGGCAAACCAGATACAACTAAATATCCATCTCCAATTGTTTCAACTTTATAAACATCGTGTTGATCAATAATTCCATCAAATATTGTATATAAATCATTTAATAAATTAACAACTTGTAATGGTGTACATTTTCCAGCTAATGTTGTAAAACTAACAACATCGGAGAAAAATAAAGTAACAAGATCAAATGTTTCTGGTTCAACAGTTTGTCCTAATTTTAATTTATCAGCAACTTGTTTTGGTAACATTCGATATAATAATAAATCAGATTTCTTTTTTTCTTCAACTAATTCTTTCATTCTTTCAGCAACTTCATCTTCTAATGTTGATGCATATGATTCTAATACATTAAATACGTGATCCATTAAATTATCATTTCTATTATTATTCATTCCTCTCAATTGACTCATTACTTCTTTTATATTTGGTCTTTCAGATGGTCTTTCTGTCCAACAATCTCGAATTAAATGTAATAATGCTGGATTTAATTCAATTGTATCATCATGATCTAAATCTGGTCGAGGTGATCTCATTCCTCCTTTTTTCAACATATATATTATTTCTTCAGCATCTTCTTTTCTATTTTCAATATCAAATACTGATTTTCTTGTTACCATTTCTGAACTTATTATTCCAAAACTATAAATATCTCCTTCTTTTGAACCCATCAAATCACCAGATCTTAAAAGTTCTGGAGCTGTCCAAAGTAGATCAGTTTTATTAAATTGATCACTCATTCGAATTTGTTTGATTCCATAATCTGTTATTTTTAGTTGCCATCTATCATTCAATAAACATGATTTTGAAGTCAACATTCCGTGATATTCAATATTTGAATCGTGAATATAATTCAAGCCATTCATAATATCTTTCATAAGTGAATAAATAAAGAATCCATCCATTTGAATAGTTGCTTTCTGAATAACATCAGCCAAACTTCCTCTTGCACAAAATCTCCAAACTGACATCAATTGCGGCGCATCTAACGACATCCCAATAAATTTATTCAAATTTGCATGATCTATAAGTCTCATTTGCCGCATAAACGCGCATTCTTTTGTATCAAAAATTGGTCGAACAACGTGTTTTCGAGCAGCAACTTTTTCGCTCTCAAATTCATTTTGTATTGTGAAAAATAAAAAGTGTCTTTTTTCCGTAACTTCTGATAATGTTGATTTAGTCGATGAAATAGTACTTGGTCCACTGCTAATACTTCTCATACTGTTATCTCCTTTATTCTTTTTAGTAATTGGTTTCATTGTATTAAATGGGATTTGCCATAAAGCATTTTGTCTTTCAATTTCTTGTTGTTTTGCTCGAATCATTGTTACAATTGCTGAAATTGCTCCACAAATAGCTAATACGATTATCACAATTGCAATAATAAACCAAGCCATATATTGAATGAAAACATTTTCGGGACAATTTGTTCCAGTAAATCCACAAAGTGGTTCATCTAATGGTCTTTGCATGTTACTTCGAAAATGCCACAATTGACTTGATTCATTTGTATACATTTTAGTCATAACTCCAACCTGTCCATCAACATAAACTGTTGATATTGTAGTCGATGTCATGTTCGATGACAAGTTTACAATATATAATGTAGGATTTCTCACACCATTTTTATTGAGATAAACTGGTCCAGATGCGCCTGTGAAATTTTGTTGCATTTTTGATATAATGTATGTTCCATTTTTATACTGCGTTGCATTTGTTTTTATAACTTTATCTAATGTAACACCATACGCATAAACTGCATCGTGAAGTTGTCCACAATAAGTTGCTGCTACTTGATAAGCTGCTCCTTCACATTCAGTTGTACAATTATATGGATACAATTTCATTCGAGAAATTACTTCAGCCAAGAACGTGCTAAAGTTCGCGCTGACCTGTCCTTGTCCTTGCATCTTTAAAAAAAATAAAAATTATAAATTAATTCGAAACAATTTACATCGACAATTGCAAATGATCTTTGAAAACCTGGAATCGCCAATGAATCAGTATCCTGTGCTCCGGAAGCAAGAACCCAAGGCATTCGCCTTGTACCATCCGTTTGCAGAACTCCTGGAAATATTTTATTTTAGATAATGTTTTTAGAATATTTTTGTCAAAAATAATCACCGTATCCTTTTGACTTCAGTGCTGGTAAAATATATACAAATTCATCATTGTCATAGCCCAATTTGTTTGCATTTATGAAAAACTGTCGATTTGACCCATCACTATTACCATTGTTAAAACAAACCACGATTACTGTAATAAATATTTCACCCTTTTTTCAGCAATTTGTACAAACGTGAACAATCATGTGACAAATTTTTCATTTTTCATAAAAAAAACAATTGCTATCTACCAAAATTAATCCCCTCTGTTGCCAACAAGATTCCCAAGTTGCACTCAACATACAAAAATATTCAGCATTCGTAATTGATTGAAGCCCTAGTATTCAAGCTTGATGTGAAGCCAGAAATTATTTTCTAGTCTGGTTAAAAACAAGCCCAATTCAACAGTAATTACTCACTTCTTCCCCGCGTGGCAATATCTTTCAAAGCCGCAGTCATTGCCGCATCAGTATGTTCAGTGATTTGTCGACTGTAAGACATTGTTATATCTCCAAAATATGATACCATATCTTGTAAATCATCTCGAAGAGTCGCACATTTTTCCTGATCTCCAACTAATGAAAATACAAAAACAAATTGATCCCAACCATATTCTTTCATCATTAAACGGAAAGCAATACTCAAACTTCCAGAACCAACAGACATCAAACCAGAACTTGGAAATCTAGAATTATCATCAAGATATCCAGCTGATGTTAGACCCCAAGCAATAATTGGAATATTATGGAATGTTGCCAATGTGAAAGCAGGAACCGCAGCTGAAACATATTTCTAGATAATTATAACAATTTTAATTAATCTTACGATAATTAGTAGTTGGTCCAATGATAACATCCACATTATGAGTTTTAATTAATTCTTGAGTTTTTCCAGTTGATTCAACTTCATCACAATTATCAAATAAAATAGTCATTTTAAATTCATATCCATGTAATAAACCTTCACTTTTCAATCTGTCCATTGCAATATTTGCAGCACTTGCAGAAGTACGGTAGTTTATATATGTTGTAGTTCCATCAACATCCTGAACCTAGATTTATTCTTGAAGTCAAACAGTTAACCCCTCTTACATCACAGTGTAGAAAACCAAAATGAATGATATTATTTTGACAAAGTCTATAGTTTATTAATAAATAGAGCAAAATAAAGAACAAGTTTGTAGTCATCACAACGCACTGAAAATATTAGAAAGATAAAAAATGAGAGAATAATAATCTTATGATTTGAGAGCAATATGGCAAACTTAATCCGCCTTCCGAATCAGTTTTGGTGCTTCTGTTTGCGACATTTCATGAAGCCAATAAGCACTTTTTCCTGTTTTGTACAATAACTTTTTGATGTGATCATTTTGTGAATTGTGAACCTCAATCTCGTTGGTTAATATTTCAAAAGAAACTCTATTTTAATAAACAAAAACACATGCTTTTGATGTTTCAATCATTCAAAAATAAACCTGATCAATATTAATTCCTGCTTCTGGAACATTATCACCTAAAACCTTCCAAACAATATAATTAGGAAAAATGAAATTCGTCCGACCGAAAAATATGATAATGAGAATCCCTGAAGAAAATACAGCCAACTTCCTTGTTGTTTGCGAATTTCATTAGAACTTAAAAAATCAGAATTTGAAAAAGAAAATGTTATGTAATTTGAGGAGACGATTTTTGAAAAAAATATCAAGGGATAATGTTAACAGTTAAAACATCTTACAATTAAATAATCTATTTTAATTAAAAATTAGAAGCTTCAGGTGCATATGTACATATAAATAATATATGTAGATGGAATGAGAAAAGGTATCATTCACCTCAACCAGTTTGTTAAATTGATAGATCAGTTTTGATAAATTTTAAATTAATAAAATCCATTTCTCGACATAATCTCGCAACGATGCAATGAAACAAACATGTTTTTTCATGCTAAAGAATTGTTTTTTATTTCATGAATCGCCCCATAAAAGATAAAGATAATACGGTAACATCGAGACGAAGGGATAAAAAGAGTGCTTGTGAAAAAGCTTCCTTATCCACCTGTCTCTTCCATTATTGTTCAACTTTTTCGTCATTTTTATTTTTGCTTATCATTCAAAATTGTTTGATTGAATCCATTGGCTATTTCATATGTGAAAATGAAAAATCGTCATCATATTTTTGTTGTTTTTCTTATCACATTTCTTATTTCAACAATTTATTGTGCGAGAAAAAGCAAAGGCAAATTCAAAGCGAGTGGGAATGGAAATACGAATAGCCAACCATCAAATTTTTGTTTTTGGAATCAAACAAGCTGTAAGTTTTGCTAAATTTTGATCATAAAATAAATGTTATCGAGACTCTAGATCACTATCAAACATGTTTCCGTTCATGTTGCAAAACGATATAAAGATAAAGCGGGAATTTTTTATGGGATAAGATTGATGCCGATGTTTGTTTCAAAACCAGGAGTCATGTTTTAAGTTTATCAATTTAAAATTAAAAAAGATGAGACTTGCCCCTGAAAGAAGAATGATATAGGTTAAAAAATTAAATTACACAGGCAATTACATATCAGCTTATTATATCTCTATAGAGAAAATAGAGAATAAAAAGAAAATTCCTAACGCGCTTTTCTTGCGAACCAATATTTTTCACACAATCTCAAATTTAATTATAATATTCACGATAAACAAGACAGTTTTTTTTTTAAATTTATCCGCAATTTTTAGCCTGGACATTGCCATATCAGTCAGTTACTGTAGAATGCTGCGATTTTGAATTGAAAAAAATGATGACAGATGCGATAAACGTTGCTCAAACAACTCCAAAACTTGGTGATCTTGCAAAATATATTCAACGACGCGCTCAACTTCATTATCAGTTATCTTTTGAAGTTATTATTTCCTCTAAAACATTTGCAATTTCTTCACATTATCATGGAACACATTCTTGCAAAATATTTGATGGAAATCGATATTATTTGATTTATGAAACACCAAGAAAATATAAACCATTTGATATAAAAATTGAAGATTATCTCGCAACAATCGATTCGTCGGATCCTTTGGGAAGTTCAAAGATTGAAAATTCTCGAGGTGATTTTATTGATATTCGACAAGACCCAACAGCTGGTGATGATTTATCAATTCAACCTGAAGTTGATATTATTTTACAATATCCAAACAAATTTGCACAACATGATCCAAGTGAGTATGTTCGAAAATAAAACGTTGCCGACCTTCAGTCAAATTCCGTTCACTTCAAAACTAGATATTTTATCTATTTATCTTGTTTTCCAAGGAATAGGTACATATTCCTTCGGTTCAAACAAGATTTCCTTGCCCTCATTTGAGGACAAAATGTCGCTAATTGTATCAAAATGTTACAGAAGAAGATATTGTTCGAAAATTCGAGGAAGCCGAAAAACGCGCAAAATTGGAGATGGAAAAGTTAATGGAATCATTGACCGACATCACAATTCAAGCATTGGAAAGTAATGCAACTGTTGTTCACAAAGAAGTGTTTTCAAATTTAACAATAAATGGAAATGTAACCGATTTTGAGTTACCAAATCCAGCACCAATTCCAAGAAATTTCGTGAATTTGAGAAAACGAGACAGTCTTCCGGATAACACACATTGCGATAAAAAGAAAAACGATGGTCAGTTTGGTTTTTTCTCTCTTGGTTCGTTGTTCATTCCAAAAAAAATTGTGATAGAACAGGTTTTTTGAAATTGATGAAAATAAATACGGTTTTTCATTAACAAGACTGTAGTAGGATAAAAATATATAACATCGGTGTGAAATCTTCAGAAAACATTTCTCTCATGTTTCTGCACAAATTAGATTTTTCGATATGAAAAAATCTATGCTTAAAAAACTTAGGACCGAAATTCCGAAATTTTTAAAAGGGAAGATTCCACATGAAATTTTCAGAACATCTGGAATTCAGAGCAAATTACTTTTCAAGTTTTCAGGGAATATATGTTGTGATGGTCGACTTGCTTCAACAATGCGCGATGCAATGATGCAGATGGCAACATCACCAGATTTCGGTCCCGGGACAGAATCTATCATTGCATCTGTTATTCAGAAAAAAATCCAGATGCGTTTTGAAAAATCTTTTGAAGTTCTAGTTTCTCAGGATGATTTTGTTATCAAAACTTCGTATATTGGAGATAACATATGTAAATTCCAAAATCGTGGATTTTTTATCGCTGCTTACGCAACACCTAAACAGGTATGAATTAGTAGTTATAGAAAATGAAAAATAACAATAAATTATAAATTTAGTATGATGTTGAAGAAAAACAAAAAGAAGCGAAGTTTGCAGCAACAATGAATGACGAACCTTTAGGATCAAACAAAACATCATTTGATAATCAAGCAGCGTGGCATACAGAATTGAAATTATATCCGAGTGGTGACAGAGCTGGTTATCCAATTGGTTCACATTGTGCGGAAACAAGAACTGGTTCAAAATGTTGTAGTTTGATTATGTTCAATGCTATGAACACTGCATATAACAAACATGTAAATAAGGATAATTTTGATCCATATGACATGCGTAAACTTGCAACAGAAATTCAATGGAATGTTGAAGAAGTCTTCCAATATTCTGCTGAAGTTATTGTTTCATTTGATGATTTTGTATACGCAACACATTTAGATAACAATTATACATGTAAATATCGAGTTGACAAATATTATATGTTAGCATATTTGACTCCAGCACAACCAAGAGATGAAAGACAACAAAAAGAATATGGAAATGAACCAGATGCTGAAATTGTGCAGCCAGTATACACCGAAACACCGTATTCCTATCAATTACAAATTCAATCACAACAAATTCAACAACAAGTTGAACAAGTTCCAGCACCAATTGTTCTGCAATATTACAATCCGCAGAGTTATCAACAATTTCAGCCAATGTTTCATCAACCATGGTATCAAAATTCTTTCGAAAGAGTTAAAAGGCAAATTGGAGAATCACCAGTGAGTTTATGAAAATATGAGTTTTAATTTTTCAATGCAACCTCTAAATGTTTTCAGTATCCACCTCATAGACCATCTTACAACGACATTGGAAGTGCAAAATCATTCAATTGTCCAGCTGGATTATCAGGTTTAAGTGGATTGGCATGTTGTGATGGCGGTCTACAATTTGAGGCCAACAAAGTAATCGACCAAGCAAAACAATCACCAAATTTTGACAAGCATAATACTCGGGACTTGGCAAAATTGATGACTCGAGCTGTTCAGAAACGATTTGGAACAACATTCGAAAGTGTTATCGCCGAAGCTGATTTTTCATGGGGAACCAACAAATTCAATCAGAATTCCTGTAAAATCGATAATAATGGATACAGTGCTCTAACTTATCAATCAAGTACAAAACCACCACCTTCTTCTGATTTTATTGATATTCCAAATGATCCAACGCTCGGAGGTCCAACTGGAAGTTCTGGAGGTGGCGGAGGAGGAGGAGGAGGAGAAGGAGGAGATGGAGATGAAGTTTCAAATAATTCGGATAATGGGGGAGCTAACGATGATCAAGCTGCTGATAGAGCAGGAGGATTTGCTGCTAATGGAGCTTCCGCTAATGGCGGAACAGCGAATGGTGGAGTTGCAAATCCTGCCGGGAATCTCCCAGCTCCCGCATTCCAAGACGACCTTGGTGCTGTCTTTATCAACGGAGAAAATGATTTAGGAGCATCTGCTTTTGCGAACGGCGCAAATGATCTTCAAGGAGCTGCTTTTGTAAACGATGTAAATGATTTGGGAGCTGCATGGCTTGCACGAAATGATGATTTTGGATTATTTGGCTGGCCTGCTGCTCTTAGAGATGCTTGCTTTTCAGTCGATACATGGCTAACTACACCAACTGGAAAAAAACGAATGGATGAATTGGATGTTGGAGATTACGTTCTAACAGCCAATCGAAATAGGGTTTGTCTTTTATCAAAAAATAGGTGTTCAGAATGAAAACAAATAAATTTAAGACATTTTTTGCTCGAATAACAATGTGGATTCACCGCGAACCGGAAACATTGCATGAATTTATTACTATTATGACGACATATGGAAAAACTCTACGAATGACTCGACATCATTTTATGTTCCGCAACAAATGTGCAGGTAACCAAAGAAAAAAACATCTATGTACGTAATATTTACACAAATCATTTTTTTTCAGAAATGTTTGATAGATATATCGACATTTTGCCAGCTGATAGTGAAGCTGTATTTGCTGAACAATTAAAAGTGGATGACTGTGTTATTGTCGTGACACGTGGCAGATTTGAGCAACAGAAAATTCAAGAAATTTTTACAGTTGAGAGAAAAGGAATATTCTCACCATTAACTGCAAATGGAAGAATTATTGTGAATGATATGTTAGCCTCATGTTATAGTGAATTTCCGCAATCAACAATTCAAATAACTTACTTCTGGGTAATTGCAATCAAATGATTCTCAATTCTTCATTTTTTCAGACCGCTCATAAAATCCGCCGACAAATTCTCAAAGCTTTCGATAATTTGACACATGGTATAATCGAAATTCCAAACTTAACCTCACTCAGCAAAGATATTCTACGGTTGATTTTACCAATTCGAAAATAAACAATAAATGTGCAATATACAAATTTATTTGTTTGTTAAATAACTATTTTTGCAACCATTTTGAACATATAATAAATATTTATTATCAGTGATATGGAACACTTAATCCGTTTTGTTATTTAATTTTGGTGCAGCAGCTGGAGACATTTTGAGAAGCCAATAAGTATTCATAACACCTTTTCCTTTTACAATAACTTCTCCACGTGGTTCTGTTGTAAATCCACCAAGTTTAATTAATTGATCATTTGCTTCAGATGATATATGAATTTGTCCAGCTGAAATAAATAATCATTTTGCAAAATTAATGATTAAAAATACTAACGTTTACTATTACTTTCCATTCGACTTGCTGTATTTACAGCATCTCCAAATAAACAATATCTTGGCATTGTTAAACCAACAACTCCAGAAACCACAGATCCTAAAAGAATTGTTGATTATCAATTATAAAACACTATCTGATAAACTAACCACAATGAAATCCAACTCGAATATTGATTTTTTCATTTGGTAAATGTGGAATTCGAAAATTAGTTAATGAACTAATAAAAGCAATAGACATACTTGCAATATGTCTTGAATGTTCATTTCCATTTCGATGTGGCAAACCAGATACAACTAAATATCCATCTCCAATTGTTTCAACTTTATAAACATCGTGTTGATCAATAATTCCATCAAATATTGTATATAAATCATTTAATAAATTAACAACTTGTAATGGTGTACATTTTCCAGCTAATGTTGTAAAACTAACAACATCGGAGAAAAATAAAGTAACAAGATCAAATGTTTCTGGTTCAACAGTTTGTCCTAATTTTAATTTATCAGCAACTTGTTTTGGTAACATTCGATATAATAATAAATCGGATTTCTTTTTTTCTTCAACTAATTCTTTCATTCTTTCAGCAACTTCATCTTCTAATGTTGATGCATATGATTCTAATACATTAAATACGTGATCCATTAAATTATCATTTCTATTATTATTCATTCCTCTCAATTGGCTCATTACTTCTTTTATATTTGGTCTTTCAGATGGTCTTTCTGTCCAACAATCTCGAATTAAATGTAATAATGCTGGATTTAATTCAATTGTATCATCATGATCTAAATCTGGTCGAGGTGATCTCATTCCTCCTTTTTTCAACATATATATTATTTCTTCAGCATCTTCTTTTCTATTTTCAATATCAAATACTGATTTTCTTGTTACCATTTCTGAACTTATTATTCCAAAACTATAAATATCTCCTTCTTTTGAACCCATTAAATCACCAGATCTTAAAAGTTCTGGAGCTGTCCAAAGTAGATCAGTTTTATTAAATTGATCACTCATTCGAATTTGTTTGATTCCAAAATCAGTAATTTTCAATTGCCATCTGTCATTCAATAAACATGATTTTGAAGTCAACATTCCGTGGTATTCAATATTTGAATCGTGTAAGAATACAACACCCTGAAAAAAAGGAATTCACTTTATTTTTAAGCTAGTTCTACAAACTTACATTCACGATATCTTTCATAAGTGAATAAATAAAGAATCCATCCATTTGAATAGTTGCTTTCTGAATAACATCAGCTAAACTTCCTCTTGCACAAAATCTCCAAACTGACATCAATTGTGGCGCATCTAATGACATCCCAATAAATTTATTCAAATTTGCATGATCTATCAATCTTAATTGTCTCATAAAAGCACATTCTTTGGAATCAAAATTTGCGCGAATAATATGTTTCCTAGCGGCGATTTTTTCGTTCTCAACTTCATTTTGTATTGTGAAAAATAAATAGTGTCTAGTTTCTGTAACTTCCGATAATGTCGACCTTGTTGATGATATAGTACTTGGTCCACTGCTAATACTTCTCATACTGTTATCTCCTTTATTCTTTTTAGTAATTGGTTTCATTGTATTGAAAGGTATCTGCCATAAAGAATTTTGTCTTTCAATTTCTTGTTGTTTTGCTCGAATCATTGTTACAATTGCTGCAATTGCTCCAAAAACTGCAAATGCAATAATGAGAATAGCAACAATAAACCATCCAATATATTCAATGAATACATTTGGTGGACATTTTGATCCAGTAAATCCACAAAGTGGTTCATCTAATGGTCGAACTCCTCCTCTATAATGCCAAACTTGTTTACTTTCATCTGTATATGATTTATTTATAGTTCCATAATCACCATCAGCGGTTACTGTAGACATAATATAAGATGAATTACTGGAATCAAGAATTATCAAATATAATGTTGCACTTCGTATTCCTTTTTTATTAATTATCACAGGACCAGTTATACCAGTAAAATTTTGTTGAAAGTTTTGTGGAAATAATGTTCCATTTTTATATTGTCCTGGATTTGTTTTCAATGTTTTGTTCATTGCAACCGCATATCCATAAACACCATCATGTAATTGTCCAGCATAACTTGCAGCTGCTTGAAAATTATCATCTTCACATTCAGTTGTACAATTATATGGAGATTGTTTCATTCGTTGAACAACTTCTTTACTGAATATCGTATAATTGTCTGTATTTTCGCCTTGTCCTTGCATCTGAATTTTGATCGGATTAGGAAAAGATTAAGTTTATTAATTTTTTATAAGTTTTCTTTTTTATTAAAAATGAAAGGCTTCTGTTAATCCTTACATCCACAATATAAATCGCCCTCTGAAAACCAGGGATAGACAATGAATCATCGGAAGATGGACCAGTTGATAGAATCCAAGGAGGTCGATACGAACTTGTACCATTTTGAACTTCTGAAACTCTGATGATGATAAAATTATAATATTTCGAACAAAATAAAACAAACCGAATCCTCTGGAACGTAAAGCTGGAATAATATAAACGTATTCATCAGAAGCGTATCCATTTTTATAAGCAGTCATAAACCATTGACGATGAATCCCTTTCGAATTTCCTTCACTGAAGCACAACACAATTACTGAAATAATACTTATAACATTTTTTCAGAATCTTCTACAGTAACCAACTTCTTCCTTTTGATGAAATATCATCCATTACACTCAACATTCCAGCTTCTGTTAAATCTAAAATCTGGACAGAATATGCCATAATCATGTCTGTGAAAGTTGAAGTCAAATTTTGCAAATCATCACGAAGTGTTGAACATTGATCACCTAACAAAGAATAAACGTACACAAATTGTTTCCATCCATACTCTTCCATCATAATACGAAATGCTGTTCCCAGACTGCAAAAGAGAAAAAAATAAGAGATAATGTGTAAACAATTTGATAGCATTGAAATATATGGCCGAATGGTCTAGTGGTATGATTCTCGCTTTGGGTGCGAGAGGTCCCGGGTTCAATCCCCGGTTCGGCCCATTTTTTTCCTTTTTTATTTCAAATAAACCTCATTTACCTTCTGGATCCTACACTCATTACCCCAGCTGTTGGAAATCTATCCTTGTCACTCAATGATGCTGAAGAAGACAAGCCCCATGTCACAATTGGAAGGTTATAATAAGTTGAGAGAGTAAATGCCGGTATTGATGCTGTAATAATTTTCTATAAAATTATTTTAGCGGGAGAAATACTAACGAGTATTTGTTGTGGGACCAAAAATAACATCCACATTGTTTCTTCGAATAAGATCAATTGTTTTTCCAGCGCTTTTTATTTCATCACATTCATCGTAAAGAATTGTTTGTCTTAAAAAATTTTGAAAATGAGAAAATAAATAAATATTGTTATTTTATTTTAACAAACTTGAAATCATATCCGGGAAGAAGATTTTCTCGTTTTATTCGATCTATTGCAATTCCAGCTGCACTTTCAGCCGCATGCCAATTGATATAAGCAGTTACACCTTCATCTTTCTGTAATTTTTGGGATTACTGTACTGCTTTTTTCAAAACTTACATCACAATGCAAAAACCCAAGATTAAAAACATTTCCCGAAGGTTGTCCAGAACAATCATCAAAAATTAGAAAGATAATAAATATGAGAGCTAACATATTTTGATTTTGATATTAGTAAGACGAGTGAATGAATAAGTCTGTGGAATCCCTGTTTTTAATTAAATAGTTTTCCGTGAATATGCGCTTTGAACTTATTGCAAAAAAATAAATAAAAATGATTTATTAATTTTGTTCTTTATATTCATCCAGAGACCATTAGAAATCCAGATTTTCACACCATTAAAGTCAATTTCGAAAAATGTACAAAAAAGAGGTTTGAAAAATATTCAAACGCGCGGTTGTTATTGGAGCGCGTTTTCTCTTTTTCTTTTCATTTGAAAAATTATTTTGTTTTTTTCACGTTTTTTACGCGTCATTTTTGGGCGGTATTTGCAATTTCAATCACCTTTCATTTCTCATTTCAGAAATGTCCAGTGACGACGAAGAAAAGTATGTGCCAGCTGCTCTCGCTAACGGTGAAAAAAAGGTAAGTTACCTAACAATCAGAATAATTTGTCTTCTTACGTTAGATATATCTGACATTTTAAGGAAGTGACACCTGATGTTATCGAAGAGTTTTACAAACCTGATTCCGCCGCATCGACAAGCCGAGTACATTCAACTGCAAAGCCTCCACCTCCGGCGAATCCAAATCTCAAACAAGGTCCTCCACAACATCCAAGAATTCAACATCGACCAAATCCATTGATGTATCCTCCATCAGTTTTGATTCGTCCAACTCATCCATCAATGTTATATCAAAGAACACCAATCAATTATCAATTACCATTTCCAGTTGCTGGTGTTCCACGTGCTCCAATGGTTCAACCATATCATAATATGCGTCCATCTTCAATGGTTCCAATGTGGCCAGGTTATCTAATGATGCCTGTTCCACACACTTATTATCCTGGAATGGTGAGTAATTTGTTTTTAACTTTAGTATTTTGATAATTTCCAGCCTCACATGTTACCTGTGGCTGTTCGACAGCAGCCACCACCGCCCCAACAAGCACAACCTCGAGTTCCACCTCCTCTTCAACGTTCTTTATCTCCTGAAATCAACGTTGATGTTATTTCCGAAATCTCCTCGCAAGACGAAGAAAAAATAAATGTTCCGTTCAAAAAACGGTGATTTTCAACTTGATTCAATTTTCAAAAAAAAAAGAAAATATTTTCAGAAGAGTTATTCGCGAAGGAGATTTGGATGGAGAACAAGATGAAGAACCGAGAAAACTTGAGCTCAGAGTAAGTTGTCATTTGACATTTTCAAACAATGCATGTTATTTATTTTCAAGAGAGACATATTCGTGATTCGTCTGAAAGATTTGGATTCGTTTAATAGGAATAATGAGATTTGGCGAGTTGACAACAATGTGCTCATTCAAAAATTTACTGGTGTTCCTTCTTTCCGTGCACCGGCTAAACAATTTCAATCGACAAATCGAATGTGTGGATATGATCGACGTGCCGATTGGAGATTTTATATTATTGATCCAAATGATGTGGAATATGATAGACATAGTCATGAAGTAAGTATTTACTTGGAGTTGAACTTTGTAAATGTGAAGATTTTCAGATAACAGTTCATAAATTTCCATCTGCTGCAATATTGCGCGAAGCGAAACTTGCTGCTGAAAAACAAGATGAAACTTTTGTAGGTTTTTTTTCATCTGAGAAATGTTTTCAAATAGTATTTTTAGAAAGACACTGAAATGACTGAATATCGCGAAAAACTTCTTGCAATGGAAAAGAAGAAAGAGGAAAGAAAAACTGAGAAAATGCGCAAAAAAATTGAACGAATTCAAAAAAGATTGGAAAGAAATCGACTAAAAGTGGACAGAATTGGAAATTCGGAAGATTTTAAAACTGGAAGAGGACGAAGAAAAATGGCAGAATATAAATGGCCTAAAAGATTGAGTGACAAAAATCAAGAGCAGCAAACAGATAATGAAGTTTGTCAAGAAGTTTTGGATTTACTCGTTGATGAAGTTTCTATGATGATTGATGAATATGAAAGTGAAGAATCGGAATATTCATATGATGAAGACGAAGAAGATTTTGATGGATATCGATGTACTGATGATGAATATTATGAACAAAAAGACGAACATCTTCATCTTCCATTATTCGATTTGGAAAGCGTTCCGGAAGTTGGACTCGAAATGACAATTACATCATCATCTCCAGTTTATCGTTGAAAAGTCTTCATTTTTCTCGCATGTAGTATGTTTTTCTTGTATAATAGAATAGTTTTATCTTCATAAACATATATTTATTGATTCATTTAACAATTTGAGGTCTAAAAGGGACTCCGTATCGATTTTAAAAATTTTGGGGATTGGGACATTTGACAAGTAATGGAGAGAGAAAATTTGGGATAAAATTAATTTCTGGAATAAAATTTGTATTCACTGTCAAAAAAACAAATAGCGACAGCCACCCTGGTTATCGGAAGAATAGCCCTGAATTGGAGCTGAGATGTAGAATTTTGGTGGCTCTTGTGGTGCAGCTTGTTGTTGTTGTTGTTGAATTTGAACTGGAGCTGCTTGATTTTGAACGGTTTGTTGGGCTTGTTGTGGTTGAGATTCAGGTTTCACATCTTCTCGGATTCTTTTCACTTGAGGAGCTTCTTCAATCTCGTCCCATTCGGCGTTTCTTTGACGTCTTCCTGAAAATCCAAATTTTTTGTTGAAGGCTTTTTCGGAAATTTTTCTTTGCAAGAGATCGAATTTCTTCAAAGAAAAATGTTAATTGAAAAAAAATATTTTTCTCCTCGCAAAATTTTTTGGAACAAAACAACATAAGAACTTTTCTAACAACCAAAGTACATACACACTTTTCAAAAAGATGTTGAGTATTTTTGAAAATATATCGATTCGCTTATTTCCAATTTTTCAAAAAATTTTTTTCAACTCACCAATTTGACAATCCATTTTTCTTAGTGCGAGTATAAAAATCCGAGATGAATTGAATCTGAAAATGGAACAGAATAATTATCGAAGTGATTAATTAATCAACAAAAAATTAGTTGTTTTACATGTAAAGCAGAAAAACAAGAAGAATGAAAGCGAAAGCGGAAGGAAGATTTGCGTCTCAAAAAATATAGAATAGAAAGAATTGTGTGACCAAATAACAAAAACGTTGAGGAACACACTAGTTGTTGACCAAGCAAAAAAAAAATAAAGGCTCGCTGAGCAAGAAAAGCGAGAGAGTGAGAGAGAACAGAGAAAAAGTAATATTACAACTGACGGAAAAATTCTGGAAATAATCTTTTCTTGACACATTTCCTTATTACACGTCAAAAAAATTAAAAATAAATCTTTTTCACGTTTTATTATTTTCTGGTGAGAAAAAAATGATAAGACTGGTTTTATTTAATTTTGTTTTCGAAAAATTATCAAGACTAAAAATTGTTCTTGTAAAGACAAAAACACGTTTTTTTACAAGTTAGGAAGCTGTGGACACTGGATTATTAAAGAAAGTAGGACACAATTTTTGAAGAAGAAAAAAAGCCCGCGAAAATTATAGACATTGAGAAAATGAAGAGACTGCAGACAGTTAGACAGCAAAAAAAGGTGCGACACATGGATTGTAAATATTAGAACTGTCAAGTATCCGTAGTTATTGTAAGTAAACAGAACATGGTTTGCAAACCATTATTTTCAAAAAAAAAAGAACTAAAGAGAAAATGTGAGAGAAATGAACTTTTGATTGAATTTAGCCTTGACTCTAAATATCTAAGTGATCGTAAATCATTTTATGAGAACCCGGATATTTTTTACTAGTTCAATGACGAAAGAAAGTTAATGTACGCGGTTTGAAAAAAAAAGTAGTTTTCGCGTTTGAAAATTTTCAACAATGTGTGTAGTTGGATCGGTGGCCTAGAAAACCAAATTCACTTGAAGAGAGCGTGCGAAAATAAAAGACGCAGACGATTATTTTGAAAGAAATGCAGTGTATACACGGCGACGAACATTTGCAGAAAAAAAATTGTTTTTCCGAGACTTCTAAAAATACAAACGTTTTAATTTGTTAAAAACACTGTATTTTTTTTTGCAATTCGAGGGAGACGCAGACTTTAACGTGTGCAGACAAATCTCTCGCCGAAAAAGGGGGAGAAATAGTGTGTGGCAGACACACTGCGTGTCGAGACCAGCGAGTGTCTGCGTCTCCTCGAGATTGCATTTTTCTATTAGGAAAAAACACAGTGAAAACAAATAAATAGGAAAAAAATAATTTAAAAAAAATGAAAAAAAAAAAGGAATTTCGAGGCATTTTCCTATTTTCCCAAAAGTTCTTGCTTGTGTGCAACTGAGACTGCAGATCTCGTATCTTATACAAATATACCCCAAACTTACCTGTGATATAATTATATAACATTATTAACACAAATCACTGTGTTTTCTCTCCCAAAACCCAAAACCAAACCCAAAACCCAATTAAACTAACCTGACATGAGTTGCAGTTGTATGTAGAACCAAATCCTCAAATTCATTTTGTGTTCTTTTTCTCTCGCGATCTGGAATTTTTCTGGATCATAGAAACAAAAATAAATTGAAGACAGGCCAAATAGAAACAAAATGAAAAAAAATATTTCGAGAAATGAGCGTCCAACATGAGAAAATAAAATATTTATATTCATAAAATAAAAACGTGAACACTTTTTTCGACAAAACAAAAAATTCATTTCAAAAATGGTTTTCTTGAAATGTGGGCTGCCAATCGATATATTTAGAAGAACAACCAAAAATTGTTGAAATCCCGCGTGATCTACACTATATATTTTTTTGCGGGTCTAGGATTTATGAATTTAAAATTAAAAATCAGGTTTCAGCTAAAATGAAGCTTGTGAGATTCTCAGGGTTCTGGGAATAATAATAATCCCGTTACACTTTTCCCGGGTCCGTACTGTAGGGTTTTCGCGTAGTGTTTGTTGTTTGCAGATTTTTTCAGCGTGTGTTTGCGGATTTTTTCGAGGCATATTTTTTTTCTTTGAAAGTTGGGTACAGTAAACTCTAGTTTCTCGGCTTTTCTGCAAGAATCTGGGGTATAAAAACAACGATTTCCATGTGGATTTTTGATTCCACACACATGGTAAACAGCCACGTGGAATTTAGAACAAAGCTAAAGTAAACACCTGCTTCTTGGCTTTTCCGCAAGAAGTTGGCAACAAAAAATAATTACATAAATAGAAAATCCTTGGCAATTTTGTGATGTTCGATGACGGCTTCCAATTTTGCTCTGAAATAAATCGAATTCTTGTATGGCTACCATAATTTCTGAAAATTCCATGTTTCTGGTGAAAAAAAATCAAATTTGAGCATAAAATTGATAAAGTTTGAATTCCATCAATTTTTAATTAAAATTTCAGAACTTCTTCTTGTTTTGTTAGAAAAACTCACAGAATATTTCAAAATCTTTGATTTTTGTTGTTTTGTGCGATTGTTTTTGTTTTCAGGTTTTCCATGGTTTTCGAGTTTGTTTCTGAAAAATTTATGAATTTTCTTGGAAATATCGTTTTTTTCCCCTCATAATAGTCGAAATTTCCCTCCTCCTTGAATAATTCCACGTTTTCTTTGCAATTTTTCTTTAAAAAAACTTGAAAAGCGAACCACGATCTCTCCCTTCACAGTTTTTCCAACCAAATCAAGTCGACAAAATCGAGAGTATAACCAAAAAGTTAAGGTAACTCATGTCGAGGTTCCTGACAATTGCAATGGCTAATGCTCAACTTAAGAAGCTTTACTATCCAGAGTTAGGCTAAGTTGAGCTGTACTTTACTCCAGGAGAGACACGTGAAATTATTCGCAAAGGGCGGTAGGTTAGCAATTCGGGCACCTCAAAGAAAAAACTCATCTCAAATATATTTGCTGCCATTTTGTTGCTCGCTGAAAATTTGAAATAACTGAAAAATTATCGTTGAAATGGCATTTGCCATGAAAATTTCACGTTCACGCAAAAAATATTATTTTTTCTTTCTTCTTTTTTTTGTGTTTTTTGCTAGAATAGATACTGTATTTTTCATGGAATGGCTTCCAAAACAGTTTTGATCAATATTCCAAATTTTTGATCCCGTCTTTTTTTATTTCAAAATTATACGATCAAGTTTTTCTGCAACTGAACTTTGATATGATTTTTTCAACGATAAGACTATTTTTATCTGTAGGTGGACGACTTTTAAAAGTCGTCTAGAATTTCATTGACACTGTGAGAGATAAGAGAGTGTCACGTGAAGTATTGAGAAAAATTGAGATACAAGCTCTTGGTTGGAACATAAATAGAAAATTTTGTAGATCTAGTCCTCTGTACAATCTGGTATTTTCAGCTTCAAAATTGTTTATTACTGATTCAGCAAGATTGGGTTTGCAACAAAAAACAATTTTTGTTCAAGGTCTGAAAGATGAGAATTTCATTGAAGATTTCCTTCAGCTCTCCCATTTAAATATTCGAGATCTGCTGATTTACAACTCCGAAAAATTACGAACCCATAAGATTTCACCAGACAATTCACATGACGCAAATTTTCACATGATCAAAAATAATCTTCAAGTGTTCAACAAACCAATCGCTCCTGATCATTTTAAAATCAATTTTATTTACAATTAGATTCTCTGATTTTCCCATGTTCAATGGTGTTCACGTGAAGTCAAAAAGAACAATGATCATTGTTTGTTTCAATAGTTATCGATGACGAGAGTGTCCTTTAAAGACTAAAAATTGTTGCGTTATTTTTATTTTATTACTATGTATTACTATCAAAAAAAGTGATGTCAATTCGAACGGCAAAAATTGAAATTCACGTGAAGAACGTTGAAAGTTGCAATTTAATTAAGAACTAGGAAGTGGGCAAATAATCGTTGAAGCTTCCCAAATATTATTTCGTGTTGCCACGACAATCTAAATTAGTGCCACGAAGGTATTTTGAGAATCTGAGCTGCAATCGAAAAGTTAAAACTGATTTTTTTCTCTTCAAACCAGATAAGGCTTTAATTAGGATACGGTTATTTTTAGCTGGTTGTAAACTTGCTGAACATTGATGTTTGTTCGTTTTTTGTGGAGAATCTTTAAAGATTGCTATAGCTGTCATTCACGTGAACTTCCTTATCATCAACAGTATTCCTTATCATAAATAGGCGGAGCCTAAAATTCTCTGCAATCTTCGAAGATCTATAAAAAGACTATGGAAGATCATTGAAACATAACTTGAATGTAATTGCAATAAAAATGGTTTGCCAACGAATTGAATACTTTAACAACAACGGCGGTGAAGAATTGAATGATCGGCGAAAAAGAGTAACTATTGTTGGTGGCGGAAATTGGGGATCCGCAATTGCTTGTGTTGTTGGAAAAACTGTCAAAAGACAACCTGAAATTTTCTATCCTTATGTTAATATGTGGTGCAGAGATTCGAGAGTGAGTTGAAAGAAGATCTAGAAAAAAATATCTAATTTTGATAATTTTTAGAAACCTGGAGATTCTAGTGAATCAATCGCTGAGGTTATCAATCGAACTCATGAAAATGCAAAATATTTACCTGGCCGAAGAATTCCGGAAAATGTGATTGCGACTTCAAATCTCTTGGATGCTTGTGAAGAAGCTCACATTCTTATTCTTGTTGTTCCACATCAGGGAATCGAACAAATTTGTAAAGAACTTAATGGTAAACTTTTACCAGATGCTCAAGCTGTTTCACTCACCAAAGGAATCTCATCAGATGGGAAGAAATTGAAACTTATCTCGCAAGATATTGAAGATGCGCTTGGTGTCAAATGCAGTGTTTTGATGGGTGCAAATTTGGCGGGAGAAGTTGCGGATGAGAAATTTTGTGAGGCTACAATTGGATGTAAATCGATCGAGGAGCAAGGAAATATTTTGAAACAATTGTTTGATACTCCAAACTTCCGAATCAGAGTCACTACTGATTACGAAGCTGTTGAACTTTGTGGAGCACTCAAAAATATTGTTGCTTGCGCGGCTGGATTTGTTGATGGTCTTGGATGGGCATACAATATGAAATCAGCAATGATTCGATTGGGACTCTTAGAAACTAAGGAGTTTGTAAAATATTTTTACCCTAACTCAAAATGTAGATCATATTTCGAATCTTGTGGAGTCGCCGATCTTATCACAACATGCTTTGGCGGTAGAAATCGCAAAGTTGCCGAAGCTTTCATCAAATCCGACAAGCCTTTGGCTCAAATTGAGCGAGAACTTTTGAATGGTCAAAGTGCTCAAGGTCCACCAACAGCTGATGATGTTTTCGAGATGATGGAATTATTCGGAATTTCCGAAAAATTCCCAATTTTCACTGCTGTTCACAAAGTTTTCCATGGTAAAATGGGCCAAGATGGATTATACGATGCAATGAGAACCCATCCAGCATACGACAATTAATTTGAAACTTTTTTTCTAGAACTTTTTGATCTCTTTGAATACTTGTTTTTTTCCTGACGCGTGTTTGTGTAAATATTTAAAAATAAATGTTTTAATTTTTATAATAGAAGTCTTTATGAAAAGATACATTGATTGAGCATTTCGACGATTGAATCGGGTAGGAAAATTTGATGAATAAAATATGAAAGATGGGTGTAACTGTTGGGGAAAGATCGTAGTGAGATTTGTTAAATAAATAAATTAATAATTTGAAATAAATAAATAAATCAGAACATCTCCATCCTCAATAATTTACACCTTATTTTTTGCCAAACGATGTCGTTTCCTCAAACAACAAACACCTTGCATACATTGTGAATATCCAGAACCGCATCCACATCCGCCACCACTCGATTGACATAAAGTGATAGCTGGTGGTTGAATAAATTGATATTGTTGAATACAAGATGGTTGACAAGATGGTTGACACTGTGGAACACATTGAAGTACAGCTGGAGCTTGACATGATTGACCACAAGACGAAGGTTGTTGGACTACGATGATTTGTTGAGAACCACACGATGATTGACAATTGTTTTGGCATGATTGGACACATTGGATGTTTGAGCCGCAAGATTGCTGGAAAATCATCTTTACCGTGAAAACTCTAGAGTTCAGAATTTAAAAACCGGATAGCGTTCAACCACAGAAAGCTATACACTATTAAAAAATCACAATAAAATAGACAATCCCCTCCTCCTCCCCTTTCTGATAAAAATACTAACTTGACATTGTGGTTGACAGGTTTGAACACAAATGGCTTGTTGTTGAACACATTGTGAACTGCAACTTGGTTGACAAGCAGATGGACACGATTGTTGAGCTTGTTGAACAACAATAATTGGTTGAGATTGTTGTCCGCAGGATTGTTGGCAACTTGGAACACACGTTTGCATACATTGAGAATTTCCGCTGCATGTCGATTGACAAGATGGTTGACATGCGCTCTGGCAGATATTTTGAGTTTGAACGCATTGTTGAGAGCAAGATGGTTGACAGGCGGACGGGCATGAAGATGAGGAAGATGTGCTATCTTGAACAACTACCACTGGTTGCTGTTGCTGTTGAACACATGAAGATTCGCAACTTGGGAGACATGCCTTGACACATTGAGCGTTTGAACTGCAAGAAGCTTGGCAAGATGGTTGACAAGCGGCGGCGCAGATTGGTTGTTGTTGAACGCATTGAGAAGTGCAAGCTGGTTGACAAGATGCTGCACAGGACGAAGAAGATGATGAGGCAGAGTTTTGGACAACGACGATTTGAGCTTGTTGTTGCTGGACACATTCAGAGCTACACATCGGTTGACAAGCTGGAGCACAAGCCTGAAATTATGAAACTTGGAATATTTTCCTTTGGAATTCATCTATTCATCTGCGAAAAAAACAGGTGAAAATGTTTTTTAGACAAAATTTTTCTATTCACCAAAATCACTGGTTTCTAAATCATTCAGATTTTATAGGTTACTGTAGATCATCTCAGATTTTCAAACAAAAAACTTTTTAAGATTACTGTACGTACACTCTGAGCTTGAGAAAATCAGAAGCCACGTGGAGAGCGGTAAATTCAAATGATTTTTGTTGTTAAGTTTTTTAAATATCAAAAATTATCAAGAAAAATGGTACGCAACCCAGATCCACCACTAATAAATTTATATTTGAAACTAACCTGTTGTACACACGAAGATTGACAAGCTGGCATACACGATGAAGTACACTGTTGCTGTGGTTGTTGAACTACAACAATCTGAGCTTGTTGCTGTTCAACACATTCAGAACTACACATCGGTTGACAAGCTGGAGCACAAGCCTGAAAAACATAAATTTTTCACAGCGAAAAAAACATTTTTGTCTCAAACACTTTCTCTGCGGAAATTTAAAAAAAATTGGACGGAGTCTGTCCATATCCCTTTTTTATCTCGCGTATCTTCTGCCCGCAGAACCTCGTTTTCTCTCACGTGAATTTGTGGCTGTTCTTACAATTAACCGTTCGACACGGAAACGAAAAAAATGTTTTTCGCAGTGTTCTTGTTAGAATATCTCAAAAAATGTTGGTTTACCTGTTGAACACACGATGATTGACAAGCTGGCATACACGAAGAGGTACATTGATTAGAATTGCTATTACTACTGCTGACAACAATCACTGGCGAATTGCTTGCTGAGTTTCCACAGTTACCACTGCTGCATCCGCTGTTTGTACAAGATGGAAGGCAAGCTGGCATACAAGCTGGAATACATTGTGAAGACGAGGTTGATGTTTGTTGCGGTTGAACCACAATAATTTGTTGCTGTTGTTGTTCGACACATGAAGAACTGCACATTGGTTGACAAGCTGGGGCGCAAGCCTGGAATTAAAAGTTTTAGAGAGAGAGAAGAGACGTGGTTTGATAAAAATTGATACATTTTTGTATAAACTGCTCATTTCAAAAAAATCTAATATTTGAAACTTTCTTTTAATAACCATAGTTCAGTAGAAAACTCAATTTCACCTCATTTTCAAAAATGTTGAGTAAATTCAGAGACTGCCTAAACAACTTCGTGACATCTTCCCACGGCGTTTTTCTGAACTTTTCGATTTTCCTCAAACCCTAACCTGTTGAACACATGAAGATTGACAAGATGGCATACATTGCGATGCACACTGTTGCTGCGGTTGCTGAACAACAATAATTTGTTGTTGCTGTTGCTGAACACAGGAAGAAGAGCACAAAGGTTGACAAGCCGGGGCACACGACTGTAAAAATCAGGCTTCATCCTAGACTTTCACAAAAAAAAAGTTTACCTGTTGAACACAAGATGGTAAGCAAGCTGGCATGCATTGTGATGAACACTGTTGTTGTTGTTGTTGAACAACGATTATTTGGGGTTGAGATTGTTGACATTGATTACAGGAAACTTGATAACTCAAAGATCCACAGCCACATGAGGTGTATTGAAGTTGGAGTGAACCGCAATCACAAGATGGAGAAGTGTATCCGGAGCATCCACACTGGTTTTGGAGCATGTTTGCACAATCACATTGTTGGACCTGGAAAAAGATGGTGGTAGAATTTTTGGAAATTTGGGGAGTAGTTTGAAAATCCATTTTATTATTGAGCTTAATTTCAATCTTAATGAAATCCCTAATCAAAAATACTATCCAAATTCAATTCCAGCTGCTAAGATTTTCCAAAATCTTTTTTCTCATTCATTTTTCAAGTTCTGAATTTCAAGAACCTCCAAAATATTTCCAAATGTTATCCTGATATTTCACCTACCTGAATCTGTAGTGCTGCACAATTACACTGCGATTGAACATTCGAAGAACAACATGAATTTTGTGAAGCAAAACAACATTGCCTTTTTGCTCGACTCAAAGTTGCTGTCTCATTTCGATTTGCCGGATCAACTTCAACTTCTTCTTTTTTCTTCTGAAAATTTTCAAATTTCTCATTCTCATAATTATATTTTCCCTCTCCAAGATGCTCATTTCGTAATGTGGTTGATTTTTGTTTGCTCAAGGAAAATGAGCGGAAAAACACGAACGTTTTGAAGAAAAGCTATGTCTTACACGATTTTTTGAGTAGCCAATGAGAAAAAAATGAGCACCTCGATTTTTAAATTACAGATTTTCATCAGGAACAGTGATGTTTGGAATCCTATGACATATTTGTTTTTTTTTTTTCAACATCATATTGTTTGTTTTTTTTTGTTTTGTGTTGTCACAAAAAACATATGAAACACACCTCTGGACTGGATTTTTCCTCAACTTTTGGCTCTTCGGCCAACACTGAGGCAACGAGGAAAATGAGCAAAAATTTGCGCTGCCAGCTGACCATCTGCCTGGAAAAATAGAAGAGGGATACATTTCTAAAAATAGAAAATAGAAAATAGTTTCAAGAAAAGAATACATAAACATGGGTTGGATATTTGATACGTCTGGTCAAATATTTGGGATCAAAAATTATGGCATGATGGGGAATGGGAAACAGAAGATTTTAAAGAAAAAAACGGAACCGCACAAAAAATCCTTCGTACTGTCGAGAAGCTAAAATTTGGGAAAAGAAGTTCCAAATATTAAAAAAAAACTGCAAACATCAGCACGCTGAACTCTGAATATTTTCTAAGTGATCAGGCTATAGCTTGAGGCGTCCAAAAAAAATATGGATGGAATGCTAATCTAACGTTTAGCAAATAAGTATAGAGATAAGTATAAGTCCCCCACATAAAGTTTTACGTTAAAAAATTCAATAAAAATATTCAAAAAACCACGGAGATCAAAAAGTTTTGAACAAAAATCAGACAAATCAAGATGAAATCTAATAGCATCTTTTTTCCCGTGCTCCGAAAATAATTCAACAAGAAAACGCAAAAAACACAACAAATCAGACCTTCTTCTCAAAAACTATTCAAAAACATACAACAAACAAGCAGGCACTCCCTTCAAATATATTTATGTACAATAATGCAAGGAGCACCCGCCCGGCCAGCCGGTTTCGGTCAACTCGTGCTCCGCATCAACTTTTGCCTCTTTCGCCTTCTTCTGAGATTTGGGCGGAGTCAGTTCTCATTTCGAAACAAACCTCAACTAAAAATAGATGAAGAATTTGCTTGTGATAAGCCAAAGAAGAAGGAACATAGACAGAAGGTGGAGTTCAAGTGATTTCTATATTTGTACATACTTCTTGTTTTCGGGTTCTTCTTCTTCTTGTGTATGTACAACACGAGTCAAAATTTTCGAAATTATTTTTGAAGATGAATGAGTGCAAGGATTTTGCAACTCGACCTATATTAGACTTGTTTCAGCTTCGGGAAATGAAGATTTTGGGGTGGCAGATTGGCAAATCAAAGAAAACTGTGCTGGATACATGGCAAGAAGGGGCGGGGGTTTATACTGTAGATCCAAACTTTTGAACTAGTTTCTGTTGAAGGGAATAAGAGATTACTGTAGATAAAAGTTATTTTCAACACTTGAATAAAAACTGGTGGATAAAACTTCGAAAAAAAAAGATTCAAAGAAAGATTAATCTTCAATTTTAAAAAATAATACAGGATGATTACTGTATGGCTATATTTCTCAGATTTATGGATGCTTTAGAACAATGTTAATAAAGTCCTATGAGATTACGGTAGATTTGAGTGAAGACTTATTTTCAGCAATTTTGAAATAATTCGATCTTGAAAAGATTTTCAATGAAGAAAAATTCAAAACCTCAATTCAATTTATACACCTCTTCTCCCCCCACCAGATTTTTTTGTGCTCTCAAAAATCGTCACCGTGAGAACATCCGTAAATCTTAACAAAGAAACACAATAAAAATCAACAAGAGAAAAAAACGGTCAAAAATCGAGACAGTGTACGAATACGAAATAATTTTGTTGGGATTTTTGGCCTGTCCATCGCCATGATTTTTGTTTGATGAAACCTCCTCGCAAACTTTTCGCGTAAATACATATTTGCTTTTGCTGCTGCTGCTGCTTTTGCTTGAGTCAAATGAGAAGAAGAAGAAGAAGAAGCTGGGAAGCTGAACAATTGTATATGTTATTTATTATTTCGAAGAAAATAGACAGAAAAGAGCAAAAAGCTTGAGAAACGAACATTTTCGTTTCTTTATTTATCAATCATTAGTTTTCATTTATTGTTTATTATTTCGTTCATTCATTTCATTATGTAATATTTGCATACGTGAATGAATGAATGTCAACTTTTCGACATTTTCTCAAAAAGAGACACCGAACAAAATGACTAAGATCGCAGCCAGTGATAAAGGGATTGTACAGTACTACAGGGATAATTGAGCTGGAATTTGAAGATGAAAGATTTTTCAAAAACACATTTTCCCGATATAGTTAATCTTTTTGGAAAAATTCAAACTCAGAGTTACAAATTTTTTTTTCGAAAATTTCCAGAAGGAATTCGAAAAAATTCCTATTTTTTAATGTCAAAAAAATTACAAGTTTGTCACAATTTTCAAAAATCCATATCTATCTGGTTTCAAGACCAAATTTCGTCACTCAAAATAAAAAACACCCAAAAAGTTGCACTCGAGCAAGCCAGAGAAGTTCAAAATCTCAATACCAAACAAAACACAGTGCACTCAACTCAAAAAAACATTTGTTTGTTTATTTTTTCTTGACCAATAAATTCATCCAAAAATACTGTAGTTTTGATATTTTCGTGAATTTCTATATAATAACAATCAAAATTCGATTAATTTGTGCGAAATTCCACAAAATCCGAAAATCAAACAAAAAACATCTCTGATAATTATCACACATTTTCGGGGGTCTCCAAAATGTTTTGTTAATTCGTCGTTCTCGGCTTCTGTTAATCCGGTTCGAATCGTGAAATCAAGCTTTTTTCGCCTGTTTTTTCTCGTCACCGGGTTCAAATTAATTTCAATTTAAACCACTAATAATAGTTCATATTCGGGGAGAAAATTGATTATCCACAAAAAAGGAAACAGTAAAATAAACAAAAAAAAATAATTATAGTAAAACCAACATTTTTGAGAACATTTTGAAACACAGCCAAATAAAAACAGATTTTGAGATTTGAGGGGGAACGGAGGGAGGAAAATAGGTCCGATAAAAAGAACATTTAGGAGAAGAGATATCGAGTTATTCCATTGGTGTACCCGATCCATCCGATTGAACAACTGGTTCAACAAGAGTTAGATGAACTTGTGGTTGAATTGGTTGTTGTGGCATAAAAACTGGCGGAGGAGCTTGCATTGGCATCATTGGTGGCACTGAAAAAAAGGAAAAATATTAGAAATGAGAAGCAAAACACGCCGTGTGAAAAATGTAAAGTTCACGTCGAAATGTGTTTCTTTTTATTTTACAAAAATCAACAGTTGAGAATGTTTTCAGGTTTCACTCTGTTTGATAAGCATTTTTCAGATAACAATTTCAATTAAACATTAGAGCTTTTTGAAAACGGCCTAGTTTTTTTTTCGCCAACTCACTCATATTCATTGGCGGTGCCATTTGTGGTTGCCATCCCATTGGGGGCATTTGTTGTGGAATCGGTGGAGCAAACGAGATTCTCGATGGATCATTGACAAATCTCGTGCGAATTGTCACATTATCGGGAAGTTGAGAAAGTAAATGATAATGATAATCACGATGTTCTTCAATTGTCCAAACATCAGTTCCAAGTTCTTCCAAGAAATCGAGTTTTCGTTGACTGAATCGGATTTTATCTTCGAGTCGCAGCTGACTCTCCAACGCCGAATCGAAAGCATCAATCACATCGTTCTAAAAAAACCGCGATTTTTTTGCGAATTTTTTTATGGAAGAAGGAAGGCTCACCTCATTCATATCCTCTGATGTATACGAAACATCAATCAATTGTGTGTACAATTGCAAATTTCTCGGATCTGCTTCAATCGCTCGTTTCAATATTTTCTGCGCAACTCTCGCATCTTTTCGAACTTTTTGATGGAAACGCGCAAATTTCAGACTATAAAACGAGTAGAGATTCGGCAATTTTTTCGACTCGGCTATCAATTTTTCAAACTGATTTAACACCGTCTCGAAGCCGTTTCCCTCTTTTTCAGCTTTTCGTCTCAAAACTCCAATATATCGCATTTCCAATAAAACATAACCGGGAAAATGGTGACGAAAATCGGAAAGAATTTGAAGAGCGTCTTGGTAGTTTTCTGGAAAAAAAATGAATGAAAGAATGAGATAGTGGGGTGAGTTGAAAAAAAATGACAAACCAAGATTTTCCTCGAATGCGGATTCATTGAGAGTGAGGTTCAAAGAATTTCTGATATGAACTTTTGCGCGTTTATAAATCTCTCGAACCGATGATTTGGATTTCGATGTTTTCCACAACCATTTCGCATATTTTATCCAGAACTCTTCATAAAGAGAACAAGCAATCAAAGATCTCTCAAAAAGAATTCGAATTCGATCCTCATCTCCTTCTGAAATCTCAAAATCCAAATATGCAAACCAATTGAACAATTGTGGATTATCCAATGGTTTGACATGAAAATACGGTCTCTTGATATTCGCCTCAAAAAGCGCTCGTTTTTCACATTTCTTCATATTATTTTCCCATATTTTTCTTCTTCTCGTAACAATTTCAGCGCGCATCGCATTAAGTAATTCTGGATCATGTTCCATTAAATTAACAGTTACTTCAAAAGTTGTTTCATCTCTTTCTCCAACAATTGATAATTGATTATTTGGTGGAAGTGATTTGACAATATAAGTTTGTTGAACTTGATGAACCAATTCACTTGTATCTTTTTGAATATCTCTTCTCGCCAAATCAAAAATATCTTGATATTCTTCAATTGATAACAACATATTTGGCTCAATTGTATTTATATAAGCTGTATATCTTTCAAGATGAGTTGCCGCATGCATTGTTGGAGTCGAAAGTAATCTATCAAATAAATTGCCGATTTTTCGACAATTAGCTTCTCGATTTCCAGTACACATCAAATGAATATATTCAGATCTTTCGAATCCAATTGCATCAAGCCACAATCTATCCGATTGATATTCTAGGCCAGCAATTTCCAGAGCTCTTTCATACAACTCTCTAATCCGATCCGATGGAAAATCTGGAACAGTTTTCATTTGTGCAATATATCCCAACCATAAATCAATCGATAATGGGATTGTGATAATTCCTCGTTCCCAAACTTCTTTCGAATCAGCCATCGATCCGTATTTCTTCTCGTATTCTGCATATTTTGTCCAAAATCCATAGCAATATGGGTAACGAGCGAGAAACGAATCGAACTTTTCGCGAGCGAATTCGAGGTCTCCCTAAAATAGTATTTTTGAATCGCGTATCACGTGTTTTTTTTCATTCTGACCCTCCAAAATATTCCTAGAAATGTTCAGCGAAAAAAAATCGAAATGATCAAAATCTACTTTTTTAGTTATATTCAAGCATAGTTCACGTTTTAACAAATAAATTTTAGTTCAAAATTCTCAACGGTTTTGCTGTTTTCAACAAAACTCACACTTTGCTCCGCTTTTGTCAACATCATAACTCCATTATCAAAATCAGCCACATCAATTGCCGGTTGCCCAAAATGTACAGCAACTGTTGGTCTCAATACAACATCCTTATAGCTTCCATATCTTCCACTTCTATCATCATTCTTTCTTCTACTTGTTGTTGTTGTAGTTGATTCTCTTCCACGTCGATGACGAGGTGAAGAAGATCGAGAACGACTGAAACATATGATTTAAAATAATTAGAATAGGCGTGAAAAAAAATTAATTTGGAAAAACGATGAAAAAAGTTATAAACGCGGAGAAGGGCAGGGATTTTATGTAGATTTTCTTATATAAAATTGTTTCCTCAAATAGGATTTGCCAAACTTCTCCGCGTTTCGCGCATTTTGCAAAAGCAGGCAAAAATTACATTTTATAAAAACATACAACAATTAATAATTATCATTATTATTATTAGTTATTCAGACCCTGATTTGTTGTCATTGAATGACTAGACGAAGGCTGTAAAAATCACAAAATTCTATTGATTCTTTTAAATTTTGCGAGAAAAGTTAAGTTAGGGTAAGTCAGTTTTTTGTTGTTGTAGTTAACACAAAAATAAACACTTTAAATTTACCTTCTTCTACGATCATCGCGATGTCGATCATCACGTCGACGACGCGAATCTTTTCGATCTCTATCTCTATCCGATCGATAATCATCCGAATCTGAAGAATCGTCGCGACCCATCTGAAAAATATTTGAGCATTTTTTCACAATCATTTAACTTTCGAGATCTGTTATGAAAAAAAAACAATATTTCAGTGTTTACAAACACTTTCGATTTGTTTAAAACAAAATTAAAAGAAAAAATCAATATAATTTTTTATAATGAACAGATCAGAACCCCTGATGTTTTAAAAACCTAAAAATAAAACAAGCAATCTAAATAACATGACTAAATTTCAAAAAAAAAAAAAAAAAAACAAAATGCATGCTTTAATGGCCATTTCCATTTCCATTAGATATTCCGTTTTGAGCAACTTCTTCGAAAATCGCATATTTTCGACGATATGATGAATCCATGTGTTCGAGATAACACGTTTCAGGGAATAATGAGATTTCCAAAGATGGAGATAGTGATTCAGGTTCAGTTGGAACTAAAAAAATATCAGTTTAATATACAACGTTTTCCAAAATGAAAAATTACCGTCTTTTGCTAGGAATCGCTCTCTCATTGATAGAACTTCGGTGAATTCTTCAGCACTATATTTTTTCCGTTCATCAAGTCGTTGCAAAGCTTGGATTGATGTTTTTCTCATCGCTGATAAACTTTCCGTTTGTCTAACTCTTCCAGGAAATACAGCAGATGCTAAACCACTTCCATAAGCAAAAAATAATATATTTTTCTCTTCATTGTTCTCCGAAATACAATCATCAGATGCAAGAAATGCGAGCAATTGAGCAAAAAGCGATGGTGTATACATATTTCCAATTCTTCGATTAAATGTCAAATATGGATCAGTTGTTCGTTTCCACAAATTATTCGATAACTCCACCATTTTTGCCATATCAGCTCGATCATTTTCATTCAACCCGTTTTTCGAATTTTTCAAATTATTATTTACATCCACATAATTCATAACAGCCAATCCTTTTTGTACCATTTTTGTGAATGGAGAATGCAAAAATATGGCGTCAAAGAAATTTAAAGTTACTTCAACGTCAGCGATTTTTGCAGCTTTTGTTTTAAAAGTGGTGTAGGATGTTCTCGCGGCTTCTAAATATGAGGCAAGTGAAAGAGAACCATCAACGCGTGGATATTCACTAACATTCGAGCCTAAAAATGTTTCACTAATACTTGCACAATGACTTACTGATTGGTTTATAAACTTACTGATTGGTTTATAAAAATCCCACGTATTCTTCATGTGACATGATGCAAATACTCGATCGATTGGAACGGCAGAATTGGGCCTGATAAGAAATGCGATTGCACCAGCTCCGCCAGTACATCTTGCTGGACCAGCTTCATAAACTGCAATATCAGCAATTACAACAATTGCTGATCGTTTTTCGGCAGCGTAGTTTACATGAACCCAGTCGATAGCGTGAAGAAGGGCTTGAGCTCCACCATAACAGGCATTTTTAATATCAACACCTTCGATATCAGTATTTGACCCGAACAAATCCATTAGAGCAGTTTTGACACTTTTACTTTTATCAATCAATGTTTCTGTGCCAACAGCAAGAAAGCCAATTGTATCGGGAGAGATCTAAAACTTAATATTTATAACCTTATCTTTTTCCTCACATACCTTATAATTTTTCAATAAATTTCGAGTGACTGTTCTCGAAATCGAAACAATATCTTCATTATCTGCACAGAAACCCATTTCTTGTTGACCCAAACCGATTGTATGTTTACCGGATGAAACGCCACCAAATTGTTCTAAATCCGCTTGATCGACATAATTCCTTGGAAAGTAGAATTCAATTGCATCTATTCCAACATCTTCTAATGGATTTGCATTTTGCACCCGCATTGATAAAACTGAAAAAATGATATATTTTTTAGAAATTAAACACAAAATCTGACGTGGCATTGTAAAATGTTGATTGTTAACAATTTAAATAGTTGATGAAATTTGAAAAGAATTTCACAATTTCTTCATATATTTCAAAACAGCATCATGATTCACTATTTTCATTTTACAAAAAAGTGTAAAGTGCATTAAAAGCGCTTTAAAAACTTTTTTCATGAAAACAAACACAAAAATGAAAAATTCAAACGCCCGTATATTCACAAAATGCTCAAAAACAGCTCTTCACAACGAGACCCATTTGTGTGTTAGTACGGTGTACTTCTCTCGGACATTTTTTTTTCAAATTTTTTTAAAAACTATCTCACGGATTGCAGAGTGTTCAAGATGTTGAAAATTTTAAAAGGCCAGCAAGAATATCTTGATGGTGTTGTTGTGTGTGAAGAATCGAAAAATGCTTCGTGTCTTCCTTTGGTCATCCATTTTCTAGGCGCCGCAGTTGAAAGTAATAAGAAAGTTTGTCTGATCTCGAGTAGAATGACTGACATGAACTACAGGTATTTTCAAATAATTTTTAATTTTAGACAGTTCAGTTGTTTTCAGGTTAATTTGTTCAAAGGTTGGAGTACGTTGGAATCCTGCAAATATCTCATTTTCTGAAGTTGTTCAACCTGGCTATAGTTTCGACACAGAGGTCAAAGTGATAATGGATGATATTTTCACAAAAATAACCGAAGTCAAGCCAGAATTTGTTATTTTCGATGATTTATCAATTTTAGAAAGTTTTGGTGCGACAGAAATAGAAACTTCTCTCTACATTCACAAAATCTATGAATTTTTAGTAAGTGAATATAAACTATTGAGACAAAAAATACGATTTAATTCAGACAACGACATGTGAAACTCCTCTTCTGTTTGCTCCATTTTCCTCTTCACCAGGAATAACTTCTCTTCTAAAACCCTACACAAACCTTCACATCGAAATCATCACAGTCGGTCATGGTTTTGCGAAAGATGCAACTTCCAAAGCTATCCTAACTCACCGAGATTCTTCTTTCCCCAAAAAGGCAATTCTTCTCTCCGGCGAGCGAACAAACAACGGACAATGGGTATCAATTTAATCATTTATATTCATTTATTAAATAATGAACTTGAAATTTGGAAAAAAAAGAATGGAACAATAAATACAAAATCAACATGACTAGCGAGCAAAAAACGGGTAGGGTGAAAATTATTTGACACGTAAAAAAATGGGATTCCTAGAAAAAATTGATTGAAAAATTGAGATCTAAACAACATCACATATACTTTTGAAGCTCGTTGTAAATGGCAAGAACGAGAGCAGCTCCAGTGCCACGAATTGCATTTACCAGTGCACCGTGGAAAAACGCGCGAGGTCCCTCATTCACATAAATATACTGAAATATAATTTGATTATCTAATTAAAATTTCCCTTATCTTTTTGTTCATCAAAATCACGTGGTCAATACTTACCCGCATACATGCAATCATTGTTGTATAGGGCAGTTTCTTCTTTCCTGCACCCATCATAAGTCTTCTCCTAACTGTATCAAGTGGATATGATGTCATTGCGGCTATCAGTGTTACAACCTAACAAAAAAAACAATATAAAAGCAAATTCCAACCAAATAATCTAAATATTTACCTGTCCAACTAAAAATGCTCCAGTAAATGATAACTTTTTCCCATCAAGCGCCATATAAGGCACCGCTGTATCAAATAACCCGTAATAAGAAGCTCGATAAATACACATATATTGAAGAGAAACAATAAGGCCTCTGGAAAATTAATACTTTTGTAAAACATGAATTTTTAAACAATTGACTAACTTGTATAACCCTCGAATTCCATCGGCTTTAATAATTTTCCGCGCACAATCAAACATCCCTGTGAATTCTCGATCCGCTTTATTTTTTCCTAAATCTACAGCTAAACGTGTTCGAATAAAATCTAATGGATAAATTGTTCCTAAAGTTGCACCACCAGCTGCGCCACCGGCTACCAAATTACCTGGAAAGTATTTGTGAAATTTTCAAGGATTTTTGAACAAAGTTAGAGCTTCGAACAATCACATTTTGCTCGACTTTTTATTCGGAGAACGGATTATTTATTTTGAAAATGTTAAAAAACACATTTGTTTCTCACGAATCTGAGATTTGCGTCATTTTCCAGCAAAAAAACTTTAGAAAATGATGCAAATTTCAAAAACTTCTCGTTCCAACTGAAAACGGTAATTTTTTTTTATAAAACTGTCAATTTTTCAAGCAACTTACCTACTAAAAACCTGGATGGATTAGTTTTTGGATCAATTTCATTTAATGTGTACTTCCGAAATACTTCTTTGAATGATAAACCAAGTGATTCTTGACTACACGATCTCAAGATATTTACCCAATTTCCACGCCAAAACGAAAAGAATCCTTGTTCTTTTGGCACTCGAAGAAAACAATCAACCATTCCTTTATATCTATTTTCTTGTGCTAAAGTAGTTTGTGCAGTTTGAAGTTGAAGAATAAGTTTGACTCTTTCAACTGGTGCAATAACTGTTTTTGATATCATTGCTGCCGTTGCTCCAGCCATAAAATCTTTTGAAAACTTTAACGCATCATGCTTCGATATTCCTAGAAACTTATATTATGAACAACTTATAAAATCTTCGGAAAAAAACTAACCCGGTGCCGCGGTATACACCGACATTCTTCAAATTTGTTGTAAAACTTTCCGATAATCTCAAAAAACTCAATTTTGTTGAGGGAAAAATAGAAAATAACTGAAAAATAAGTATGTGACAAACAAACAAACACCGAAAAATCACGTGTCATCATCAACACAAAAAACTAGAGAACAACTGGCAATTCAAAAACTTTGCACTAAACACATGGAAGAGAAAAACATATAGATTAGGTCTTTAACTTAACACGTTGAAAAAAACTACTAATCGATATAAGCAAGGTCAGTTGGAATTTGTGAAGGGTTGTTTCATCTCTCTCAATTTCCAAGCAAAATTCAAAGAACACTCAAATGGAGTATTACTGAATGAAAAGATGATAACGCCACATTTTTTTTCGATATTGACGTTTTTTTCAATTGAACTTGGGTTTTCCATAGGGAAAATGAGAAGAAAGGGGGAAAGAAAAGAAAAAATTAAATTTACTCCGGGAGAAATACACAATAATGTTTATTGGAGCGCACTTGCATACATACTAACCATTTTAAAATGTTTTTCTTGAATTTAAGTATAATTTTTTCGTGGGAAGTGCATGCATATTTCAACGTGAAATTTTTCGATTGAAGTGCTCTATGCTAAGTTTTTTGTGCATTGAGAAAAATAAGACAAATAAAATAGGACAAGTCTGTTTATTCATCATCAAAGAATCCGGAATTAGCAGAAGCGGCATGACTTTTCTTCACAACATCTTTCAAATCATCTTCATCTTCAACATCACTATTAATTCTCATTTCTGTTGAAGCAGTTGATATTTTTATATTTTTATCATCTGCATCACAAGTAGCACTAGCTTTAGTCGCTTTCGTTTTCTTGCGAACTTCCGATGTTAAAATACTTGGAGGTTTCAATTTCTTGAAAATCATTGCATGCATATTACTGGCTTCTAATCCGATTGCTTTTGCATCTGCTGCCATTTCGATATCACTTTCAACTGGCATTATTGACAAAAGATATCGGCGAAATTCATTCAACGTATTCACATTCACCGGGCGCTCGACCAACACGGTAAATTTACCGTTCCTACAATATATTATAATAATATGTTTCGGATTTCTATCTTTTTGAAAAATTGGAAAAAAACTTACTTTTGAAACTTTCCAACTTCTTCTCGAATGAAATTCGTGTCATTAAATGGAATTGGAGCACCTTCAAAATCCAAGATCGAATCTCCCAACGCAAAAAAGAAACTTGACAAACTGCCAGGTTCAATCTGAAAAAATGAGGAAAAGAAGTATATGATAAGAAAGGAAATGATTACCGTAGTTAGAAGTGCACGATTTTTGACGGCTTTAATTGTAAAACCGAGTGGAGCTGTTGGCGAGACGTTTTGTGGCTGAAAAGACATCATTTTGAAGTGATTCGCTAGGGTTTTTTTTGCGAGATGATGTTATGCAATTTGCAACTCGTTTATGAAAACTGAAAATTTTGCCGATTTGTGATTTTGAAAAAAAATGAATCCAAGATTCTCAAAAGGGTCGGCGCGTTTCTAGATACAAAGAACATTTAAAATGGCTATCCCATATATTTGGGGAATTATATAATTCCTCGAATATTGAACGAAAATTGTTCCGAAATACTCATTTTCCTTCTCAAAGTTCCGTGAATACTCACCCGAACTGCAACAACAATGAAATACGAATATCCGGGTCTCATTAAAAATTTCATTCTTTCTTGTGGCACAACATGAATATGTTCTCTTCTGGCAACTTCCAATGTAAATTCACCACCTTTCAAAATCCCTGCCGTCTGATTTTTATTTTTCACCGGAGTTCCATTGATCTTCAAAATTCTATCACCAATTATCAAACCATTATGCAAACTATTTTTGGATAATTGCGAGAGCATCAAATCGTCGTCGATTTTGAAAACATCATCTGGTGATTTTCCAACATCGGAATCATGCAATCCAAATTTGACTTCAACAACTCGTTGCTTCAAAGTATCAGGAACCGCTTTAAGTTTTAATTCTTTTTTTGAACTGAAACTTATATATTAAAAGTTGATTTTGTTTTTTTGAAAATTCACCTCATCCTTCTTTCCAAATATTTCAAAATACATTTTTTCTGATTCAGCTTCCCACGTTCATAATAATGTTTTTTGGGTCACGTCCCATAATTTTGAATTTTGAAAAAATGTATGCTAACAAAAGTCAACGAGAGAGTGTTGTGTCTAGAAGAGACGAGGAGAGAGAAGGAGAGAAATTGAGAGATAGAAACGCAAAAGAGAGAACGACAGACAACACAACGCTAGGTTTTGTGAATTTTGTGCAACCCCAAAAACATTTTTCGTTTTTTCACAAAAAATGCTAAAATCCTTCATACTTAACTAAATTTCAAGCTCTTTGCTGCAAAAAATAGGAAATTCTCGAGAATAGAGATGGCAGAAATAAAAACCTCGAAAACGTTTCACCAAACACCAAAAACATATGATTATAGGTTTTTCGCCTTGATTTCCCTTTATTTTTATAATATTCAACTTTCTTTCAATGAACACTTTTAATGTTATTCATTTTGTATACAAAAAGAAACACAAAATCGTTGAAATTTTCTGGTGAAAAATTATGTTGTATTCTTTTATTATTGAATTCCCGGTATTTCTAATATAAAAATCATTGCATTGCACCCATAAAAAGGTTGAGTTGAATTCTGGGTTGTCATTTTTAACATTTCTAAAAGTGTTGTATTATTGCATTATTTTTGCCAGAATATCTTTCAAAAATGCAACAAATCCGTGATCACTTATTTTTTGAAAAATAAAGAACAGTAAATTTAAACGACCTTGTTAATTATTGAACATTGGTTTCTTACGATTTCAAGGATCGTGTTTTTTTGAACAAGATGCGGTTTTTTTTGAATAAAAGTTCAAACCGATTAATGAGTCACAAATTAACGAGTTTTTTCTCGAAAACTATCGTCATCGGTGGTTTGCAAAAGAAACACTGTATACAAACTATAGTTTTGTGTTCGAAGATTTTTTAGAATTTGGAAATCGTAAAAAAACGAAAAAGTTAAATTAAAAATTCTAAAGACCTTTTTCTAATTTTTTCATTGGCTACAATTTCGAATTGGGCTAACATTTTAAAGATATTTTTCAATCTACCCATTTTTACGGTAAACCAAATTCAAACAAAAATCACATTTTCTCAACAGTAATTCGAAATAATCATATTTTCATGTTTTGGTTCGGATAAAAATGTGTCAAATCCAGAGGTGAACATTTTGCATGTTCGAAAGCTGACTGAAATCCAGTAAATTCCAAAAAACAATAATATTGTTAGGTTTCAAACCACATTTTTAATTGATAAAAACACAAAACCCCATTGATCCACTAGATTACTGATCACCAAGATGATATGAATTATTTTCTCATAAACCAAGTTTTAAGTTTCATAACTGATAAAACATTCTCAAATAAATTCTCAATCACTCTATAACTTCCGCCCTCCCGCCTTCACAAACAGCAAACCAAAAAAATCCGCTAATCTTCATCTAATCACTTGCTGTCAATTTAAGAAGAAGAATAATGTTGTCCGGAAGTAACCAGCCATTATTTGCAAAAACCCTTAACCCAACACAAAAAAACATTCCGGTTTCGATATCATCAGAAGGAAAAAATCCATACTCTCTTCATTCAATTTGTTCCCATATAAATCAATTTTTCCAGCAAGTCATCCAGCTGTCCACCCCCATTCATTTCTTTTGAAAATCCATCGTCATTTCGTTGAAATCGGATCACTTTTTTCTCCTATTTTATTTTATCAGTGAATGAATGAATCGCGCAGAAGAAAATGAATCGAAGGATGCAAAAAAAGAAAAAAAGAACGAGGGTTTGGCGACCTTTGAAAGAAGAAGAGCGCATTCGATGGATAGATTTCAGTTTTTTTGATGACCAGTTTAAAAAAAAGAAGATAGAAGAACGGTTTATGAAAAAACTGTACATGTTGCGGTTTTTATCAATAGACGTTCTGGTACCAAAAAATATTTAACATTTGTATTTATTTGTATTTTGCAAATTGTTGTTCTTCTGAACTCGAACTGCAAAAAAAAATATAGACACAGTAGGCAGCTCAAGGTTTGGTTCCCTTGAACTCATTTCCAGCAACAAAGATTGAAGTGGATCATAACCACTTTACACAAACGATAAATACACGAAAAGGTTGATGTGCAATCATTTATTGACTACAAATCATATTATGACAAGAAGGGGGACGGTTTAGGACCGTCCCGAGACACAAAACCTACTAAAACCCTAGAAAACAATCAAAAGCTCCTCTCGGTTCGAAAACTTGAAAAACAAAGCAAAACCAGAAATGCGCAACACAAACACGTCAGTGCTTTGACGTTGGCGCGTTTTGTGTGCACCGCGGCTATTTGAATACGGAGTTTTACCGGGGATATTACTTCCCCCTCCTTCAAAAAAGCCGTCCCGGCTTTACTATAAAACCGTAGAGTTGGTAGAGCTTAGGGCATGAGTTAGCAAAAAATAAACAAATTACACCTCATTTATTTATCCAATTGTTGTCGATCATCAACACCGTTTGATATCGATTTTGAACTCATCCCATCATACCAATCTTTCCATCAACCATTCAATCCACATCAACTTTCTGTTCAACAATTCATAAATCATCAATCAATGCCATCGGAATCCTATTTCTCATCGATTTCGATCCCTATCTACTTTCGACCTCCGAACATCCAGACTCCACGACGCGCATCCAATTGAATCTTCACCATGATTTCTTTCATCTTCAACATTCATTTTCTTCAAATTTCCAGCGTCTCCAGCGCCATTTTTCCAATAATTTTGTGCTTGGTTCCGATGCTTTGGCCATACACCACACCAATATCTTGCACCATTCAGCCAAATTTCATCCTTCGGAAGTATAGTCAAACTTCAGCGCATCGAAACACGTTCACCTGGGTGTCCACCTTGGCGCCAAATAACCATTAAATGACGTTCGATCGCTTCCATTATCCATGGAGTTGCTATTTTCGGACTTCGGTGCAGGATTTCCTACCCTTTTACTTCGCACCTATCCCTCGACCCTTCGAGTAGCTTCCTCCTCTTCCAAATTCTGACTCTCTTTCCATTTGCTTCCAACAATCTTCAGACAACATATCCTCCATGCGAACAGGTTTTGGAACTTCCTCTGGCATCCAAATCATCTCGATTTCACCAATCGACCTTCTGCTCCACTTCCAGACTACATTTCTTCCGATCCACCATCTTCCACAAACTCCTGATATCGAATTCTCGATTTTTTCGATTTTCATCTCGCAAAACCCCATCCATTGTCATTCCAATCCATAATATTTCAATCGGATGTCTCAATATTGCCAGTTTTGTTGATATGGAGTTGTCGGACTGCAAAAATACGAATAAATTGACGATTTTAGGTCAACGACGACATAAACTATCTGATTCAGACAGTTACGTTTGCCGGATTCCGACAAATGTCGCGTCGAACCCCCCAGCACGAACAAAATAAACGAATAAGCAGCATATCGATCAATAAAATCAAATAAATCTTCATTCGCTCAAAGATTTCTTTGAGTTGCGACGAAAATCCAACAATCCATATTTCCTCTCGATTCGCCAAGTCCATCTGGTTCCTCGATCGGTTTTAGTTCGGCCCCCAAGTAGGCAGCTCAAGGTTTGGTTCCCTTGAACTCATTTCCAGCAACAAAGATTGAAGTGGATCATAACCACTTTACACAAACGATAAATACACGAAAAGGTTGATGTGCAATCATTTATTGACTACAAATCATATTATGACAAGAAGGGGGACGGTTTAGGACCGTCCCGAGACACAAAACCTACTAAAACCCTAGAAAACAATCAAAAGCTCCTCTCGGTTCGAAAACTTGAAAAACAAAGCAAAACCAGAAATGCGCAACACAAACACGTCAGTGCTTTGACGTTGGCGCGTTTTGTGTGCACCGCGGCTATTTGAATACGGAGTTTTACCGGGGATATTACTACACATTCAAGTTTTCAGTTCGCAATCAAGTTTTTCTTTCCCGTCTTTCATCAAAACCGCCTTGAAGGTTAATAAGTGTTTTCCTAACACCTTTTTTTTGTTTTCCCGGTACGAAGTTCAATTCGAGTGTATTTTGATCAAAGTTTTGTGGAAACTTTGATTTTTAGATTTGAATTTTTCCAAATAAAAAAGTATCTCAAAAAAGATCATTCAGTAGAATTTCTCAAAGTTTAGAAATGTTTAGAAATTATATTTTAAAATCATTCAGTTTAGTAAATCTCAAAGTTATGAAATCCGTGTTGATAAAAAACCTTCGAAATAAAAATGTTCCAGAATTTCTAATTCAAAATTAGTTTCATTTCGAAACCCACTTCAAACGTTCTTCGTGAAACCTTCAATCTGAATTTATATATTTTTCAAATCCCTGGAAAAAAACTTTGAGACAAAAACATTACAGAACTCAAAATGGTATCTCTCCAGAATAATCTAAACAATAATTTTAAAATTGCAGACATCAATCTCATTCCCATTCCAATTTCCGATTTCACCACCGGAAAACCCACAAAAAATTACACAAATTAAACAATTACTAATTACATTTCATTTCATTTTGATTGACCATTGTATCTGTGTGATTTAATGCAAATTAGTACATCCTTGCTATCATTCATGTCTTGCAAATAAAGGAAAAAACAAGTTCAAAACATACATGAATCATTCTCACCCACACACTTATTCACTCAAATTCCATTCATTTTCCACCCACAAGAATAAAATGACCTTTCAAGGGTCAAAAACTAACCACAAATACAACATCTGATATATTTATTTATAATGTAATGTGATCAAAAAAAGATGATAAAAGTTTGGCGCCATTGTGACGGCGTTTGGATATTTTACGCTCAAGTTGGAAGATTTATACAATATCAAAGCAAAGTGAAACACAACAAAAAAAACAAGGTCGTTCGTTTTTTTTTGATAAGAGTGTTTGTGTTTTTTTTTAATGACAATAGGTGTACTGTAGGAAGTGAACTTGGCAAAGTTCGATTCGACACGAAAAACACAATATTTTTGAGGAGAATCAGTGCGAGTTTTTGAGAAAATGCACAAATAATTGTGAAAATTAGAGATTTTTGCAAATTCAATTGTACATATATTTTTGCCTAGGAGACTCTCATTCCACAAAAAAAAACTCACAAAAATTTCAAAACTCAAAACTTACTGTTAAAATGCACTTTGTTTCCAGAGTTGCAAATAAGAATCTAATCAATTTTTGATCATTTATCATCTTACCTATAACTACAGTATCCCCTGAAAAAAAGTCCGGAAATTGATAAGAGTTTCCAGAACTGTTAATTGTCTTATCAATCAACCAAACTTTGACTTTTTTCCAACTTGAGATCATCTTATTTTTTATCTGCTGGTCGAAGAAAAAAGTACAACAAAAGTGCAAAAAGCTCACATGACAGCAAGTTTTCCAGTTTTCCAGTCCAGTCTTTGCTAATTCAATTAACCAAAAACATTGCTACAGTTTTTTCACAGAACACATCATTTTTCGTCCGTGAGATTTCACACATTCAAAACCAACACCGCAAACAATCTTTGTTCAGTCATTCAGCAGGCAATTTCCTGTTCACACAAACACAAGAAAAAACATGATAAGCAAAAGAGAACAGTTGTATAATATCCAATAAAAATCTTCCATAAAACCTACAGTATACTAAACCGGAAATTGGGATGTTTTACAAAGTTAATAGCCTAAACTAGCGTTCTTTGGGCGACGCAATTAGGAAGTTCATTGAAGGAAAAAGACAAGTTAACAAGAATTGAATCAGAATTCGATTTAAGATTAGATCTTGAGAAAAACTGACTAATAGATCATGTTCGGTCACAGTTTAGAAAAACAAACTTTTTTTCAATTCTAGATAGGATAGTACGAAGATGGATGAGAAAATTTAGAAAATTCTGGACGAATTTGAAATGGTAGGAGGTTTACAGGTTTAGATGAACTATAGATAGTTGGCATAATTTTTCAGAAGATTTGTTGATCTACATGTGGAATTTACCGGATTTTTTTTATTATGACAGGTTTTCATTGCAGAAGTGTTAGGGATATTATTGGTTTCGAAAAGTTCAAATTTTTTCTTGGGAAACCTCTTGCAAGTTGTTTCATGTTTCACTCAAATCTTTAGATCTGAAACTTCACAGTTCAGTATCCCCAATTTTTCTATGAACACTTTCCAAATTTCCCGAATTACAAAAACTTTTCTTATCTTCCTTCCCATCAATGATAAAAAAATCAGCAAAACCGTTCCCATCACAAATCAAATATACTCAAAACCTATTTCAAAACTCTTCTCGAAAAATGATGTCAACTCTAATGTGATAAAATTGTAGCCTTTCTTTGTTCTGCTTTCATATCTCATCTTCTGATCTTCACATTCACACATACGGAAAAAAAAACATACAGACAGTGAACGGAGGGAGAAGGAGGGGGCGTTTTGATTTTACCTCAACCCACAACCTATTTGCAAAATCATCTGCGAACAAAAAAAACAAGGTCTAAGATCATCGGAGGAGTGTCTCCGGAAGTTGAGGACCGCCCCAACCCCAAGATTTTTTCGCTATATAGGACGATGAAGACGGCCAGTGGAATCAATCTATCTCTTCTTCTTCTCATCCCTACTCAAATATGAAATTGATTTTATTAGTGGCATTTTTCGCAATTTCCGGTGCTGCGCAAGAGTGCGGCGATTCTAGTTGGCGATATTTTCCCACAACAAATTCTTGCTATAAATTGATCAGCGAGAATTTGCCATGGACAATTGCCGAATTCAAATGTTTGTTCCAAGGTGCACATCACGTCTCAATTGATAGCTATGAAGAAAATCAGTTTGTCCACGAACTTTCTCGATACTCTGAGATTTGGACAGGCGCTGCATTCTTCGGTAGAGATATGAGATATGTGAACTCAGATGGAACACGTTATGGTGGATTTGAAAACTGGCAAAGTGGTGTGAAACCACCATTGAATAAAGCAAGAAGATGTATTAAAATGGACGAAAATGGTGAATGGTTCCAATCATGCTGCAAGAAGAAGACTTTCACAATCTGTGAAAAGGTAGGTCAAATTAATCATCTCATCTTATCAAATTAATTAACTTCTTCTTATTTTCCAGAAAGCTACATCATCCTTATATAGCAACAATTTGCGTGCATTGAGACACCGTGCCTAATTGGCATTCAACATTCAATTTTTGCCCCAACCCGCTGCCAAATGATACTCCTCTTTTTCTTGTTATTTCAAACGACACTCCGCTTTTACAACACCAGTCGGTTCGCTTACGTGTACTTTACTTTAATTTGATTACTATGTAATATATATTGTGTATAGTTGAATGAACGTTTACTGCTTTGCAAAATTGTGGAATTTATTTTATTTGAAAAATCAGCAATAAATCAACCAAAAAGATTATGATGACGATGATAACACCTTTCTTGGTACCCTTCTTATCAGTTTTTTTCTTGATATATTTCCTGTATCAACCTATCTAATACTCTTATTGATCCGATTATGGACGTTGAACATCAAGGAAGTTGTCATTGTGAAGCAATTCGATGGAAGTTCAGAGCGCCTCAAAATCTGAATGGCATTCAATGCAAGTATGTTAAAATTTCTGAAAAACTCTTTTTGAATTTGATCATTGAAGAATATTTTTGTAGTTGCTCAATTTGCCACAAAAAACAAAATCATCATGTTATCATCAAAAAAGACCGTTTCGAATTATTAACTGGTGCTGACAATTTGACAACTTATACATTCAATACCGGAGCAGCAAAACATCAGTTCTGTAAAACATGTGGAATTCAGAGTTTCTATTTTCCAAGATCTAATCCGGATGATATTGGTAAGGAATTGAAGTGTTTTTTTCTACCATTCAACAAAATCGCCCAGTCTATATAGAAATATTTTTTCTGAATTTTTGTGACAACGGCGGATATTTTTTCCGAAAATATGCGTTACCGGATATAGGGACAAAACAGCGGGCAGTATGACTCGAACCCACAAAATTAAGCGGGTTGAATAGAAGACAGAGCTCTTCCCCACTACCCCATGCGTGTTATATAAACGAAGAAATGAGGCAGAATTTCACGTGACCCAGATAATCAGGAATTGAAAAAAAATCTTTCTACCTATGAAATATTTCATAGTTTGTTTTTCAATAAGATCTGGAAGCTGATCCTATACCATCAAGTGTAATTCAAAGCTTCATCTAATGATTCAAACATAGTAATTTATAAACAACTATCCTCTAACATCAATAGTAATTATGAATTAAAAACTTTACCCAATATTTTTCAATGAAGCTCAAATCTCACCTGTTAGTTTTGTTCCTCCCCCCAAACCTCAAAATAAACTAACTTGACTGGCCCGCTTCCGTGAAAAGTTGTTGCTCTCTTCGAATCTCCTGTCCAAAGGAAACATCTTCTTGTTCGAATTCGGAAGCCTGAAACTTCTACATTCTTTTTCTCAAAATTTTCGCCTATTCTTAAACTTACATCAGAAAATGACAATTGTAGATTTGATAGGCCCACTGCATTCTGTGACTGTTGTCTCTAAAAAAATAAGAAAATTAAAAAATGTACCAAATCACCCCATTAATAACTTTTTCTGCCCTGAAAAAAATCACTCAAAAACGAGAAAAAAAAATAATAATTTTATTGGAGTTCTACAATAAATCCATCCTATCCAGAACGTAAATAAAATTGCCTTTTTCCCGAAGAAAAACGAAGGGAAAAAACAAAAAATAAAAATGTCGTGCAAAAAAAAATAAAAGAAAATTAACGATACTCCGCGTGCGCGTTGTTTAGCGTGTTTATTTTGTTGTTTTTTTGCAGGGTAGATGAGAGAGTGTGGGAAATGGAGAGAGGGTTAGATAGAGAAAGAGAGAGATATATGTTTTTTTTATTTGAAAAGACATTATTGATTGAACGGTTTTTTTCGAACTGAATCATTTTTCTGGTTTTTTTTTCAGGGCAGAAAAAGTTATTGATGAGGTGATTTGGTACATTTTTTAATTTTCTTATTTTTTTTAGAGACAACAGTCACAGAATGCAGCGGTCCCATAAAACGCACAATTGTCATTTTCTGATGTAAGTTTAAGAATAGGCGGAAATTTTGAAAAAAAAAATAATGTAGAAGTTTCAGGCTTCCGAACAAGAAGATGTTTCGTTTGGACAGGACATTCAAACAGATCAACAACTTCTCACGGAATGGGCCAATCAAGTTAGTTTATTTTGAGGTTTGGGGGGAGGGGAGGAACCAAACTAACAGGTGAGATTTGAGCTTCATTGAAAAATATTGGGTAAAGTTTTTAATTCATAATTACTATTGATGTTAAATGAAAGTTGTTTATAAATTACTATGCTTAAATGATCAGACAGTTTTATGCACGCGATTTCCAGTTTGTTTTGAATTTATTTTTTTTTTCTTTTTATAATTTATCTTTTTATAGTCTCATTAAACTTCACAATTTGTGTTCCCAGGCGTAACTTTTTTAAAAGAATTATTTTTTCTCACGTCAGCTTAGAATTAGTTGCGAAAAATAGGGTTTTCTTCAAAATTAAGAATTTATGAGGATTTTCTGACTGTTTCGCCTAGGGGAACCGCCTCTAGTCTGTGTCTAAATCTTTGCACATTATAGTTTCTGCCTTCAGAATTTTTGTGACCAACTAAATTTTTCTGACACTCTAACTGTCACGTTTTTGTGTTCTCTTATTTTGATATCAGCGACACATAATGCGTAAGTCAAATTTTTCAATAAAAAACTATCACTCAAACTACAATCTCAATTTTGAAATAATTTGAATTTTATTTTCTCAAAAAAAATCGGGCGGTTGTCGATTTCTTTTTCATGTGTTATATTTTTAAAAAAAGTAGTCACCCTGGGAGCCAATTCAAATATCTTCTAAACCGAGTCTGATTAATCGAACCTGGCAAGGATCCTCTTTATTACTTCTATATGTTTAATATTCTTGACAATAATAACTTGAAGTATCAAATCATAACGTCTTAATCTGTGCTCCAACTTTGTTTCAATTTTTCTAACTTCTCTGGGATCTTTTGTTTGATTTTAGCCCTTCATTAATGATTTTTGATTTCTCAGGTCTCATAGAGTTCACAGATCTCAAACATCAATGTGCCTTCTAGATTCTCTGAGCCCTCTGTTTTTTCCATTTACATCCTTATCTCCAGCTCTATCTGAGTTCCTTCACATATTCATATTTTTCATTCTCGCCGGCGCCCTCTGACTTCTCTTTGTGCACTGTAAACTCAAATATCTATCCTCCCTGATTTCTCTTTGGATCATTTGTATTTTCTCAACTCTCTCTCTCTCTATTGAAACACGTGAGCATGTCAGAATCTAAACTTCTATCTCAAATTGTCGACCTTTTGATTCTCGTTATCAATTGTTGCATCGAAAAAAACTGTGCAAAAATAGAAATGATGTAGAGTGAAAAGAATATAAACCACCAGTGAAGCAGTGATTTGTTGATCACCAAAACTTTTTTATAGCGATAATGCCGCACTGCGTCAACGGAAACACTATCAAATCAATCACATGGACTTATTTTGATGGACAAAATTGGGAGAAGCACATGATAAATAATGCTCCGACTGCTCTGTAGTTTGTAGAAAAAAAGGTTGGGACAAGAAAATCTGCAAAATAAATATGTTGGTGATAAGGTTAATTTTGATTGTTTGGTTCAAAGTGTTTTCGTGATTTTATGATAAATTTTATTCTAAGCTTCTTGCGACGTTGGAAAATGTTTGATAAACATTTTTTCTTCTTGTAGATCAAAATGTTGTTGGTCTTTTTTTTGTTTCAGCATTGGGATATTTGGAGTTGAGGATGCAAGGTTCCACACAAAAAGTTGTTCAAATTTCAGAAAAAAATAATTCTTTAGAACTTGCTGTAAATGATTTAAAAATTGTCTTCTGCACGTTGCAACATTTTTCATGTGATTTTTTTCATCCTGAATTTGATCAATCAGCACCCATCCTCTCTCTTTCCTCCATGTGTTTTCGTCTACCATAAAAATATATATTCAAAATTATGTAAATATTTGTGTTGTTTTTGTTTTTGAAATCAAATTATTTTTCAAGTTCATAACAAGTTCAAAAACTTTGATAAAAAGTTTATCGTTTTCATATTATATAAACCTGATTTTGAATCTGAAACTGTGTTTTTTTCAGAAAATGGCCCCTAGTTTTCATATGATAAAAGTTGCAATTATAACATCAATTGCGGGATCTTTTCATTTTGGATATAATTTAGTGTTAACAAATCCCTCACAAGAAGCTTTTTTGGATTTTATGAATCAAACATTTGCCAAACATTTTGATCATGGTTTGTCGGACTCAACTTTGCAGGTAGATATTATATTAAATAGATCACGGTTATTATTTTAAATGAAATAATGTTTTTCAGAATATTTGGAGTTTCGTTGTCGCAATTCTGTTCCTCGGCGCATTAGCTGGCTCATTTTCGATTCGATTGATCGCAGATTTCATGGGTAGAAAGAATGGATTATTTGTTTCAATTGGAGCTGGAATTATTGCTGCAGGAATGTCGATTTTATCAAAATTTATAGCAGTTTTTGAACTCTATGTAGCATCAAGAATTGTAATGGGTTGGTCAGTTGCAGTCAGTTTAGGATTATCAGCATTGTTTTTATCGGAAGCAAGGTAAGGGGACGTTGCAAAGTTGTAAATTTGAAAAAAAAAACGATTTCGAAAAAATGGATGGCAATTTTTCTGGATTCAGAATTAATATTCATGTGGCTTTTTTGATTTCCCAAATTGTGAAAGTTTTAAAATTATTTTGATTCGATCTCGTTATCAAAAATCTTTTTACTAGTACTTCAGTATTGAGCTTGTGGGATTCTAGGCTTGAGATTCTAGGCCTATGTCTAAGCCTAGACGTGGCCGCTTCGCGGAAGCTTGCGGTCTACACTCGCGGCAGAGCCGCTCGGAGTCAGCTTAGAAATTCAGAGCTACAGTAATCCTGACACAATGTGTGTAGATTTTTTAAGCTAAAAATTAATTTTTAAAAAGTTTCAAAATTCCAAATTTACAAAAATCCCTTGTTTGAAATCATAAAACAGCCATAAATTTTGTTTTGCAAACAAAATATTCTTGACTCTTTTTTCTTACCTCACAATCAAATACAAATTTTTAGTGACGTAAATACATATTTTTTCCATAATTTCTGATTTGTTTTCAGTCCTCGAGAAAACCGCGGAGCAATCGGAATGATGACTGGAACTTGTGTACAATTGGGAACTGTTATTGGATCCGTAATTGCAATGCCACAAATTTTCGGAAATGACAATTTGTGGTGGGCAATTTATGCAACAGAAATTGGAATAATGATTGTTTTCGGAATTTGTTTATTATTTTTCCCGGAATCTCCCGGATTTTTGATACAAAAAGGGAAACGAGAGAGAGCAATCTCGTCAATCGCCTATTTTTATCAATGTGATAGCGAAAAAGCTTTGCTGTTTTTAGAGGAGATTATAGAAGAGCAAAAGAGTTCGAAAAAGTGAGCAGATTAATGAAAAGCTTATGTTAGAAATTAAAATTTTTTCAGGAAATTCACAATGATGGATTGTATTCGAAAAGAATCACTGAGAAGTAAAGCATTTATTGGAGTTGTTGTTACGTTTGCGATGTCATTTAGTGGAGTTGCAGTCATAAATGCGTTTGCTTTTGAGATTTTGAGAAATACTGGGCTCACACAACTTGAAGCATCTTTGGCAAATGATGGAATTTCAGTTGTTAGCATGGTAGGTTTTAAACATCTAAATATGAGGAGGGGAAAATAATAATTTAAAATCTCGCTGAAAAAAAATTTGATCGAATCTAATTTTTAAATTTCATTTGATTTCTCGAAAATTCGTGGAAACTCAGAAATTTAATTTAGAAATTTAAAAAATTTGATTTATTTTACAAAATTTTTTCGGCAGTTCGTAGATAGACTGAGATTCCAAAACCAAGAATCCAACAAATTCCAGCTCCCAGAGCCAAATAACACGAATATCCAGTCTGAAAATTCCAGTTTTTTCTGTACAAAACCGTTTTAACTAACCGAAAAAGTGTCTCGAGGTCCTAAAACATAACTTGGAGCATCTGCAATTGTCAAAATGAATGCTGAAATTTCGCAAATCGCTAAAACCAGCATGTTTATTGACATATAAGTAAAGAAACTTTGAGCCGGTTCAGCTATTCCCAATTTTTGGCATTTGCGGGAGTAGAAAAATAGACGAATCAGCATAAAAAATGGGACGAAACTTATGATAAATGCAATATTCATGAGAAGTGAGGCAAAAATCGCCCAGCCTGGACATTGCTGAAATAGTTGTTTTTGTGTTAGAAAATTTTTTTCTGATTATTAACATTTGAGAATGTTTTTTTACGTTTTCTGAATTGTTAGAGCCACTTTTTCTTTTTAACTAGACTTTTTTTTAGAAAAACAGTCCCAAAATTGTCAGCTGAAATGCAGTGCTCAAACATTTTGAGTTTTGCTGAAACAATTTGAAAATTTTGGATCTAATCATATGTTCGAATTTCAAGTGAATTATGGCTGTAAATTTGAAAATATTAGCCAGATTTTCAAAATTACTCACTATGAAAGATATGCATAAAAACACAATTCCATAATGATTATGGAAAAATGTAGAATTCGGTTGATTTGGATACATTGGATAATCTTCATTAAGCCAGGAAGTTGTGAAGACTGAACTCAAAGTTAGTCCAAGACCAATTAATGAGAAACAACCCAAAATAATTCGAAAAATCAACATTTTTTCGAAATTAATTCATTCATCGAAAAAAAAGTGATTATCAATACATATTTGTTCATTCTTATCAAAAATGACTTTTAGTCTTCAATATCATCAGATCCTATACCCAAAATGAGTTATGACGAGGAAAAATGTTTGAATTTTCTCATTTATATTACTCGAACCCTAGACTTTCCAAAAAAAACCAACTTATCTGTTATAAATCAAACATGTTCTACGTCATAATTCTATCTGGAGGTCAAAAAACCGGTTAAAAATTATCTTAGAGTTTGGGTGATTGAACAAGTTTTACCTGCTGATCGAATCTGGATTAATTTATGACGTGGCAAATGTTTCTAGTTTTTTCAGAGAAAAAATTGTTATTGAACTTTCCATTGTGAGCTATGAAATAACCACTAATCCAATGTTTTATGTAATCATGTTATCTATTCTCAAAAACAAAAGATTACGGTGTATTTTCGTAGCATGTGATCATAAAACAAGATTGTAGTTTAGTTTTGTAAAAACAAATACTACTCATCCAGCAAGGAAAAATCCAAAAAATCAAAAGTCATTTTGTTGCAGATCTCATCAATATTAGCGGCTTCAATTGTTGATAGAAATGGTCGAAGACCATTATTACTCATCGCTTTTTCTGGAATTCTTCTCTGCAATTTTGGAATTTTCGGACTCATGTATAGTTTTGACAAATATCATTATTCAATTCTCGGTTTCATTTTGATTGCATTCATCTCAATTTTCACATTTTTCTTTGCTATGGGACCTGGGCCATTGTGTTATTTTATAAATGCCGAATTAGTAGGACAAGCTGCAAGAAGTGCTGCGCAAAGTTGGGCAAGTGTTATTCAAATGTCAAGGTATATCTGAATTTTCCTTGTTACATAATCAAAGATTATAATTTTCAGCCGTTTTGTACTTGTTACCGCATTTCTTCCAATGAAAAATCAACTTGGTGAAGCGTGGTCTTATCTCATTTTGTTCATCCTTCCTGTTTTTGTATCACTTTTGTATTTATATTTCAATCTCCCAGAAACTAAAAATAAAAATCCATCGGAGATCGACGAAGAAATTCAGAAACTTCCAAAGTTTCGAAAACATTAGATTTTGTGATTATTTTTGAATTTATTACGGGTTTTTCAATAAATTTTTGAAGTTCTAAAATTTTTTATTAAAGGAAAGGAGAAAAAGTAAAACACAACAAGATAAATATGAGATCAAAGAGGTGAAAATACAAAGAAGAAAAATGATAGAGGTATTTGAGAACACAGAAAGAACGTATTATCTACATCAAATTAAGAATTTTGGCTAAATGTGCTGTTTGTAATCGATGAGCTTTGAAGTGTTTTCGAATCAATTCCTCATTTTCATCAATCAATTCCATGTGATTTTCTTTGCTATATATTTTCAAATCTGTTGGTAGAAGTTCTCCAGATATTCCAATTTTCATTTTGGCGATTAGTTTATCTTGAATCTCTTCAAAATATTCGTCCGATGAATGGATAAGATTTGATAATTCGATCTCTTCCGATGCCTCATCCCACTAGAAAAATTCACGATAAATATTTAGCAAAAAAAATATTGTTTTTGAAAATAAATCGGATTTGGGAATCATTTGAGAACAACAAAATGATCTAAAATAAAAACCACAAAACAACCAAAAATTAGAAAACAAAATCCGGATTTTGAGCAACTCACCACTTTACAATCATTGCCACAATTATCATCCAAACAGCAAAATTCTTCAAATAACTCGGTTGGTTCACAACTTGTCGCATCTTCACAACACAATTTGGCTATTTTTTGAACACGTCTTTTCTCAGAATCTGAAACAAAAAAACATGTTGTATTAATCACAAAGTGCCGATTTACAGTCCATTCAGTCCTTCAAAAAATATACAACCGCGTACTTTTTTTTTGTTTGCGATTCGGGCGGAGGCCTTTTGTATGTAAGTACAATGAGTAATTTATGAGAACTACTTCTACTACTTACCTACCCAAAAAATAAATGTATACGTCATTGAACGTTTTTTCTTGGTTTTTCAATGCAAATATTTTTTCAAAGTTTACTCTGAGGTGAGGTGAGAAAAGGCCTGGAGAATGTCGAAGTTTTTGAGATCTGACACACACTCTGCGGTTGGAAAAAATTGCGTCTAGTTTATTTTTTTGCAGATCAAGACTCTGAATTTTTCCCAGATTCCACTTACCTTCCAAATCGCATCTCATCGAAGAGTGGAAGACTTTACGGCAATGTCTTTTCATATAATATCCAGTGATTCGAGTTTCACAGGCAACATGTTTCATTCCCAATCCAAGCCTCTTATCCAATTGTTCGGCAGTCGCACGTCCCAAAACACTTGTCATAATCGAGGACAAAATGATAACGGTGGACAAGAAGAATGTTACAGTAATCCTCATCAGAAAAATAGGAACTCGAAGATGGAACAAATGCAATATGCGAAGAGCCAAAGCAAAGGGGCGGAGTCTGGAAGAAAAAAACAATAAATTTGGGAGAAAAGGAGGAGAGATGTAAATAAAATAAAAATACAAATATTAAAATGAAATGATATTTCGAAATGACGTGTTTCCTATTATTTCTAGGTCACGTTTTTTCACGCGCAAAAAAAATAATCAACGAAAAAACAGTTCATATAAGTGCATCTCTACTTTGAGGTAAATTGAGACAACCCAAGACGAGAGAGTGTGGAAATCGAGGAGAAATTAGAGAATAAACAATAGCTCAGAGAAATAGTATGGTTACCTGTTGAGACACAGACACACACCATCAATTTTTATTGATTGCGTTTTTCTTGTTTTCTTCTTGATTTTTTTCGAATAAAATGAATTTCCGCGTCTTGTGAATTGAAGACACGTGAGACGTCCTCCCATGTGGTCTAGTGGTTAGGATTCGTGGTTTTCACCCACGCGGCCCGGGTTCGATTCCCGGCATGGGAAGCTTATTTTTTTCTCTTTTTTTACAAATTAATTTTGATTTTTTTGTAGAATGGAATTCGAAACATTGATAAATCCACCTCAAGCAGTATTTGAACAAATTGTTCGTTGGACAGGAGAAACTGAAGATTGGGGATTTCAATTGGACGACTATCAGTTTTGGTCAACAAGTTTCGACAAATTCTGGTTGTTTACAGTGGTCGAAAAAGGTTAGTTGTCTTCCTTATTTGGTCAATCAAATGACCCTTATCCAAACACTCGGAAAGGACAATACACAAAAAAATGAAGAAAATACTTGAAAAAAATATAGATCAAATGACAGGTGAGATTTTAACAACAAAGAAACGAAATGATGCAGATGAAATCACCTGTAATTCCATGAATTTTCAAGTTATGAAAGAATTTTTATTTTGATCTCAAATAAAAATAGAAAAAATAAAGTATTCGAAATCAGAAAATCAGAAAAAAACTTTCTCAGGGACTACAAATCTCGTTGCTTCCCTTTCTTTGGCCCGTTGGGATGTGCCAAACGACACTCCACTTTATTCCATCGGATTATTCTATTGTCTTCAAAAATACCGTGGACAATCTCACGGAAAAGTTCTTTTTCAAAAAGTTATGGATATTGTAGGAAATGAGAATGCAACTTTAACTGGAGGTATCTTAGAGTTTTCATTGGAAATTGAAAAATTAAATTTTTATAGTTGTAAAGATGGCTGACAAATATGCATCTGTTTTCGGTTTCGACAAAGTTGCCGATTTTTGGCATAACTTTAGTTCTATAAAAATTGAGAATTTAGTTATCCCAGAAATTGTTGATCAGAACTACGGGACAAAGGTAAGGTTTTTATTGGTAAAAATTAGAAATTCAGATTTAAGATCTGACGAAATTGGTCAGGTTTTTATTTTATTTCTTCTAGAATTGGTCCGATGTTGATCAAGACCTTCTTCATGCTTATGACTCTACAATTTGCATTAGAGATCGTCGGAAAATTCAAACAGCTTGGTTCAATATGAAAAACACCTTCACAAAAGTGGTTTTCAATATAAAAACAAATCAAATCGTTGGTTATTCAACAATCCGAATTGTCTCTAAAAATAAATTATCAGTAGCTCCATTTTACGCTGAGAATCTAGAATCTGCAAAAGTTCTCTTAGCCGCTCTTCTTCATCATATTCCACTTGTCTCATCATATGCGTCAATCGGGTTTTTGCATCCTGCAATTAATCAAAACGTCATTCCGTGAGTCATATAGCGTTTAGAAACTTTTTGAAAATTAATTTTTTGTTTAACAGACTTCTCGAATCTTTTGCCAAAACTTCTGGAGATGTTCAAAGTGCTCCTTTCATCAAATCTCAATTCACAAAAAAATTCCTTGATTCACCACATGAAAAAGTGTACTCAATTACTGATTGTGCACACCAATTTGTATAAGATTTTATTTTTTAATGAATAAATTATGAGATTTTTGCTATTTTGGAACTTTTTAAAGCAGGTGGAAAATTTATTTGGGTTACTGTAGATTTGAAAATTAAACATCCGGCTTGAAAACGGTCTAAAATAAATGTCTAGACAACATTTCACCGAAAAACTCAAATTGTAATCATGTTTAAAATTTTTCAAAGAACATTTCAAAAATTCACAAGCGCTTTGTAAAGTTTTGTTTCGATTTTTCGTTCGTAAAATTGACCTTGATTCCCACCTTCTCATATCTATTCAGTAAAAAATTCGATGTCTGTAGGACGAATTTCGTACTTGATCTTAAGCAGAAACCCGAAAAACTAGAGTGTAATTTTTTTGACTCATTTTCCACCTGAAACCAATCATTAGTCTTTCGTATTAAATCATAGTTTTAGCCCACAAATTAATTGCATAGCTTATCGCGAGAACAAAAATTTGATCCCAATTTTTGTCTAGTATTTTATGTTTTGAGAGCTTGATCTGAAAAGTATATTTTTGAAGTTCAAACATTGTCAACTCTAAAAATTGTCTAGTTTGGTAGTAAATAGACAAGAACCTTATTTTTCTTAAATTAAGAAACAAGCAATAAATTTTATCATGAAGGTTCTTTAAAATTAACAATTATTTAACAAAAAATGTGAACATTTTACAGTAGAGGATAATTTGGTACATGTTAAATTATAAAAAATGCACTGAACTTTCAGAGTGACGTAAAGAGACATCGGGTGCAGAACTTGTTTGAAAGTATTTACGAAATGACAAGTTTGTGATTCTTGTCAAAAACCAAACCTTTTGAGTATTTGTTTTAAATTCTGATCGACCCTTCTGAACAGCACTGTAAAATCGATAAAGGAAATCACATAAAATTTAATTCAGCCAAACATGTACTGTAAGCATGAAGTCTCAGAAGTTTGAAAATTTTCTGGGCTGAGAAATTAGGAAAATTTCCATTTCCCGATTACCAGTTTAGTTCCGCTGAACTTTTTTCCATAATTTTAGTTTCAGATCAAAAACATTTCGGGTTCATGATTTCAAAACCAATCGTTTTTTTTTTGACTCTACGACTTGAAAAAAATAGCCTTGTGATTAAAATTCAATTTTGAATTTTTATGATATTGAGTGAGACACGTTTTCTTCCATCTGATTTTCGCAAGATACCTCTTCAAAACTGTGAAAAAATGAACCCATCTCTAATCTCGTTATATTATTTTTCTACTTCCTTTCTCATTGTTTTGCAGAAATTTTCAAAATGTCTACGACAAAGAACATTTCAAACTTCTTTTACGTCATGGTGATTAGATTATTTTTAATTAATCGGATAAATAGCACGGAAATTGAACTTTTAATATTCTGTTTCATTAATCGAAATAACTTATTCTAACTAATACGGATTATAAAAATTATTCGGTTCAATTTTGAAAGGATTAACTAATTTTATTTAATTTTTTGTCGAAGCTTCGACAAAACGCATTGAGCAAAAAGCTAAAAATATATATCATAACAAAGACTATTTTTTTCTGATTTCTGTTATATCTAATTACTTGTTTACATGTCTGTGAACGTGCAGAAACTAATGAACACTTTACTATAATTATTATAACAATTCTGTTAAGAATCTAGATTAAAACACAAAATAGATTATACGCACGTATATGAAAATTTGTGAACTTGGGATTAAAAAGACTTATTGGCTTCCTCCTTTTTCTTAATTCTTTGAAAATAAAAAGCTTTTTTTCATTTTATGATACCTGAATCATTTGAGATCAAATACTTAAAATTCCGAAATATATATCTCCACAAAATCTGCAAAGCAGAGCAAAACACAAATTGATCTTAGCACCCTTTACCTTTACAACTCCTTAAGAATATTTCAAATCTAGTCTTACGGTACATTATCCTCGTTTAATCTGAGTTTTGATTGTGTTGTCAACAAATTATTTAGCATCAAAAACAGAATCCGATTAAAATCAGTTTTGTAATCTCTAACTAGAACATGCAAATATTTGCAAAAAAAGCGTATTATAAAATTGTAAACTAAATGGTCACATCTTGAAGTTTATTTTCAAAATTTGAAGTTTAAGGGAAATAGAGATAACAATTTGGAATATCTAAGATAGGATTCGAAATCATTTTAAAAGCACTTTAAAGCATCCAAGTTACAAATTTTGAGCAATTTTTCAACTTCGCAATCAAAAATATAAACGAAAGCATTGTGATCTATGAAAGATTGAAAAATAAGACTTTTGACTACAATTTTTGGTTCTCAAATTTTAGAAAATCCGATGAAACAAGAATTGTGATCTTCCAACTATTTATATTTTGAGAATAGTTTTTATTTGAAAAACAGACTTGTTACATAACGAAAAGTTTTTTTCAAATGTGTTTCAAAATAATTTTTTCTTAAATAAAACTGTAGACGTTGATCATTCGACCAAAACTCAATTCTCAAAAAAATATCTACCAGGAACCCTATCAACAACAAAATAATTATTATATTAATCATATTTCAAAACTAATTCTAATTCTAATGTAAGTTTTCGGTTCCGAGAAAACTCGACTTCCTCTTTTCTTTTTATTCCATAAATATAATCATTGCACCCGAGATTTTGTTCCATGCACAAACTAATCTCAAATATTAGTCTACTGCACTGCAAATTATCATTTCCGCGTAAAGACCTATAATCCGAAGCTGTCTATCTTTTCTCCTCCTTTTTTTCAACAAAAACAAAAGTTCAAGATTGGTATTGCTGCACACGCATATTCCTTCTCAGACTCCTCCCTATTTCTGCGCACATTATTTTTAAGCTCAAAATCAGTGTGCTATGTTGAGCTGCTTCCGCATTTTGTTCAAAGTTTAGACCAAAGCATGCATTTGCTCCTTTCCCATAATTATATTTACACCTGCCTTGATTTAGTCACCTTTCGAGTGAGTAAATTGTTTTACTTGGTTTTTTCAGACGCATGTATCACACTTTTGTAGACGATTTTGATCAATCGACAAACCTGCCGGAATTTGTGAGTTTTTGAAAAAATCGTTTTGAAGAGTTATTTAAAATAGTTCAACCCAATTTTTTCTGGAACCAATCGAAATTGGCCCCAAAAAAACCTAAACTAGATATGTCAAGGTGTTCTCGAATTCCAGACCAATTATTCAAATTTCCACTATCCCTTAACTTTTGCTTTTACCTTAAACGTAACGCGTTATTCAGAACCTTGAATCGTCTTCTATTTCAACTTCCAAACAACAATGTCAAGTTTGCACACTGGAAGCTCACGGAATGCATTTTGGAGTCATGGCGTGTCGACCATGCGCCGCATTTTTTCGTAGAATTGTTGTACTAGGTCTACAATATACGTGTATTCAAAATAGTTCAAAATGTAATGTGACTGGAAGAGGCCGAAATGTTTGCAGAGATTGTCGATATAAAAAATGCCTTGCTGTTGGAATGACAACTGATAGTGAGTTCCAAATGAATTTAGTTGAACAGAGAAGATTTTACATGATATTAACATTGATCTTCTATAAAAGGTCATTCCACCTCCCTCCAAGTTTTAAAACCAATATATTTTTCCCACGATTTTTGGTCGGGTCTCAAACATCGTGATAACATCAAGTGAAAAAATACTGGGAAAAATTCAAAATTTAATTTTAAAAAAAAATCAATTTCAGACCAAACTTTCGATTAAAAAAAATACATTTCTAGATTTCTGAAATTGAAAAAAAGTTGACATAGTTATTCTTCAAAATGGAGAAATGTAATTCTTATTTGAATATTTCTAAAAATTTTCACGCTAGATTCTCAAAATCCCCTGTTAATTTTTGAAAAATATTTTTAGAACTTTTCTTTTTTTTATTTTCAAATAAAATATAATAAGCCAAAAGCACTCTACTATATAAATAGGTAAATAACAAGGTTACACCTTCTCCCTTTTCAATTTTTAATTAACCCACAATTATATTCTATAAATCTCCCAAACGTGGGAGTTTGAAAATTGGCACCTGTCCTCCTTGTTTTTACCAAAGATCTCTGAACATATTTTCAGATGTTCAATATAATCGAGATTGTGCGAAAAAAATTAAAAAAGAGAAAAAAACCAGAAAAATTGTTGGAAAAATGGAAGCAAGAAGTTCGCAAAGCTATTATAGTGATGAGAATCCACAATCTGAAGATTCAACATCAGCGGCTGAAGATTATCCAAGTCGAGAATTGAATGATGAACAAATTGATGAGATTATTCAAGATATTCGAAATCTATTCATCGAATATATTCCACCAAAATTAGAATATATAAGTGCTAGAAATCAATTGGAAAGAATGACAAATGCTTTGTTATTCTACAGACAAAACCAAAGACCAGCTGAACATTTGACTGTAATTTTTTAACTTTTTTGTTCAAAAAACAATTTTGTTTTTTTTTTCAGTTTGTTGAAAAGATCAATTTCTCTACTGATTCTGAATTGTATTATACAAAAAGATGTCAAAAATTCTCAAAATGGGCAAGATGTATCGATTTCTTCGATCAGATCCCTGAAGAAGATAAATTATGGATTGTTAAAGGATCTTTCACAATTTTCAACAGTTTGGAAAGATGTCAAATGACTAGTAGAGTATTTGGCGAATCGATTTTGACAGAGCAAAAGTATATTTTCTCAAGTTATTGTGCTTGCAACATGGAAACGGTGATTATTGAAACAGCGACAGCTGCACAAACTGAACAAGCTGATAATTATATTAGAACGTGAGTTTTGCAAAAAAAAAAATTATGTTGAAATAAGTTTTTTTGCAGAGCATTTTACGAGCACGTCAAGGCGAATTTTGATGAGATTATAAGACCATTATTTGGTTTAGCATTATCCGATGTGGAAACTGCATTTATGTTATCTCAATGTATAATGTATAATAGTGAGTGCAGATGAGAAAAATAACATTAAAAAATGTTCTTTGCTTTTTTTCTGAAGAGAGTGTTTTAAAAAAATTTTCTTCAGTAGAAAAACTGCCAGTACATCTCAACAGAAAATTCGAAGATTTGCGAGAATCTGTATCAAATAATCTGCATGATTATTACAATGAGCATAAAATAGTGAATTATGCGGATCGTATGACCAGAATTATGAATATTGTGAGATCCATAAAGCGGATATATATGGAACGACAACGAAAAATTGATATGATTCGACTTTTTGATATCTACAAAGTCTCGGATAAAAAACATGATCTTTATTGCACTTAAATGAACTTCTATTTTAATAATAAAGGACGTGTTTCATAGTATTCTTTCAGTTTTGGATAATTTGAAACGTTTTCGAAGAGTTTTGCAACTAATGGATAATCTGAGCCAATAAAATCTGGTTCAAAGTTTAGAATCGATGTGAAGGTTTCAAAAATAAATAAATCTGGCCAAGTAATACCGCTTGAAATAAGGAAACCTGAAAAAAAGATAAGAAACATTATCAGTGATGTCACATTTTTAAAAAACACAATTTGGAAAAATTCAAAAAATAACCCACCACTCTCACTGTCTTTAAGAGATTTTTCCATGCATTCAAAAAACTTTTTACGCGCTGGCAACAAACAAGATTGCTTCAAAGCCTCTCGATCTCCTTCAATACCATATCCAAATGCGACCAAACCCCATGGTTTCATTTCGCTCAAAAAATCCTTGAACAAATCTCCAAATGCATCAGCCATCGCCTCTTCTTCGGCTGTTTTTCCAGCGTAGCCAAATTTTTTGGCAAGATATCTGGCGACGGCGAAGGATTGTGGGATTTTTTGAGTTTTTTCCTCAATGATAACTTCGAGGACTGGCATTTTTCCAAAGGGCATGAAGCCGGGAATATTTTTCTTCTCGTCAGCCCAGTCAACGAATTCATAGCGAACATCTTCGAATTCAACATCGGCTAGGTGGAAAAGCTGGTAAATGATGAATGAAAACTTTCGTTAATCAACAGAACTGCAAAACACCGCAATTCTCAAACTCACTGCTCTCGAAGCCTCTGCGTATCCACGAGCATTGAAATAATGAAGTCGATATTTTGTCATGGCAAAAAATGTGCGACAAACGTAATATGATTGATTTCAATATTTGCTCTCATTTTATACCATGTGAGAGAAAAGGAAAAATTTTTTGACCTCGGTGCAAACGATCTTTTTTGTTCAATTTTTTTAGCTTAACTTGATGGATGATGCAAAAGCATTTCGAAATTGAAATTGATGAATTGATCTTACTTGGTTTAATGAACTTCATTAATCCCTATTCAATTCCAGAAAAAAATATGAATAGCTATAATTTACCGCCGATGATAGTTCATTTCTTATTTCTAGACTAAAGTGTATGTTATTTTTTCGTTGATATAAAGTACGTTTGGCGGAGGATACTACAATATTTAATATAAAAATCTATTCCGGAAATCACTATTTTCCATACCAGACAAAATGGAACTCGATGTTTTGTTCTTTGTAATTTTTCATGGATTTATTTCGACTTGTGGACTTTTTTTCAATATTTGTCTATTTTATACAGCATTGTTTTATTCACCAAAATCTATGCGAAGTTATAGCATTTTGATTTTGAATTATTCAATAACAGATTTTCTTGCCTGCGCTGCAGACTTATTCCTTCAACCTCGCCAAATTCCAACAGGTTTTTCGATTGGAGTTATAAGCAATGGACTTTGTCGACTTTTTAAAAGTGATACAATTTGTTATTTTGGTTACAGTAATCTTCTTCATCTAATAACACATACTCAATGGTCCCTACTTTTATCATTTTGTTTTCGTTATTATGTTTTATATCGTCCAGCTCCTTCTACCAGAAATATCTTGCTTTTGATATTTTTTATATATCTCCCATCGTTTTTTCAATTAGTGAGTAAACTCGTAAAACACTTTTCTCATATTTTTTTCAACATAGATCTCATTTATGTGGGCGCAAGATGATTCAGAAAAAGTTAAAGAAATTATAAATCGAAAGTTTCCGGATTATAACCTCACTGGTCAAATAGTTGTTGGTCACACTGATATTCGAAACTTTGCCGCATTATACACCATTTGTCACATTACAATTCCAATAACTCCAATCTACATAACTATTTTATATTTGCGAAAAAAGATTTTGAATCATCTAGAAGAATCAAGAATTCACATGACTCCTGATACTTTATCAATGCATAATCAATTACTTCGAGCTTTGACAATTCAAGCTTGTCTTCCATCATTTTTTTGGATTTCTGTTGTAGCATACCTCCTTTCACAATTTAATATTTACAACAGTCCGAGTTGTGAATATTTAATATTCACATGTGTCATGTTCATTCCGATTTTATCTCCACTTGTCTCACTTTACACTATTCGACCATATCGACAACGAGTTTATCGATGTATTCATCAAAAAAATGCACATGTTCATGACAGTCACTTTGAAGAGACCAAAAATTCACAAGCATCAAAACCTTAATCTTTTTAAATTATTTCTGACGAGATATGTTTGAAAAACTATATTCATAAATTTTATTGATTTTCTACCATTCAATAAAATCGCCCAGTGGACAATTCGTATAGAAATATTGTCATTCCAAAAATAAAAGAACCCCTGTTTGAATTGGCGCTCACGTACAGAGACTTAAAAAAATGACGTCACACATGCACAATAGTCAGCGTGTAAATTTCGCATTTTATTTTTCAAATAGACTCCAAAATTTCGCGAAGTCAATGAAGGTCAAATCTCACCTGTTAGTTTTGTTCCTCCCCCCCCCGCCCAAACCTCAAAATAAACTAACTTGACTGGCCCGTTCCGTGAGAATTTGTTGATATCTTCGAATGTCCTGTCCAAACGAAACATCTTCTTGTTCGAAAGCCTGAAACTTCTACATTCTTTTTTTTTTCAAAATTTTCGCCTATTCTTAAACTTACATCAAAAAATGAAAATTGTGGATTTGATAGGCCCACTGCATTCTGTGACTGTTGTGTCTGAAAAAAATAAGAAAATTAAAAAATGTACCAAATCACCCCATTAATAACTTTTTTCTGCGCTGAAAAAAACCACTCAAAAACCAGAAAAAAAACAAAAAATAAAATTGTCGTACAAAAAAAAATAAAAAAGAAAAACAACGATACTCCGCGTGCACGTTGTTTAGTTTATTTTGTTGTTTTTTTGCAGGGTAGACGAGAGAGTGTGGGAAATGGAGAGAGGGTTAGAGAGAGAGAGAGATAGAGATATGTTTTTTATTTGAGAAGAAATTATTGATTGAACGTTTTTTTTCGAACTGAATCATTTTTCTGTTTTTTTCAGCGCAGAAAATGTTATTTATGGGGTGATGTGTTATTTATGGGGGGTGATTTGGTACATTTTTTAATTTTCTTATTTTTTCAGAGACAACAGTCACAGAATGCAGTGGGCCTATCAAATCCACAATTTTCATTTTTTGATGTAAGTTTAAGAATAGGCGAAAATTTTGAAAAAAAAGAATGTAGAAGTTTCAGGCTTCCGAACAAGAAGATGTTTCGTTTGGACAGGAGATTCGAAGATATCAACAACTTCTCACGGAACGGGCAAGTCAAGTTAGTTTATTTTGAGGTTTGGGGGAAGGGGGGGGGGAACAAAACTAACAGGTGAGATTTGACCTTCATTGAAAACTATTATGTAAAGTTTTTAATTCATAATTACTATTGATGTTAAAGGAAAGTTGTTTATAAATTACTATGTTTGAATCATTAGATGAAGCTTTGAATTACACTTGATGGTATATCAGCTCCAGATTTTATTGAAAAACAAACTATGAAATATTTCATAGGTAGATTAATTTTTTCATAGTTTTATGCACGCGATTTCCAGTTTGTTTTGAATTTATTTATTTTTCTTTTATAATCTATGTCTCATTAAACTTCACAATTTGTATTCCCAGGCGTAACTTTTTTGAAAGAAATATTTTTTTTCTCACGTCAGCTTAGAATTAGCTGCGAAAAATAGGGTTTTCTTCAAAATTTCGAATTTTTGAGGATTTTTCTGACAGTTTCGCCTAGAGGCACCGCCCCTAGTCAAACAAATAAACATTCAATTCTTTATATAACTATTTTCTGTGAAATAACTACTATTTTGTATCGCATTTTTCGAACTGCTACAAGTCAACCATTTTCTATATGGGGTAACATAATACAAATAAATAATTGGGGAAAACACTGGAATTAGAGAAAGAAATGCAAAAATTGAAAATTCAATAATGGGATGTCTATAAATTCCCAAAAGTTCAAGACAAAAAAGATTACCCCCAAACATTAGAAAAAATGGGAGAATTGATTGATAAGTTAGAACTCGCAATAATTGATGATGCAATTCTTTTGTGTGTTTTCTCAGTCAAATAATTTGTAGATGTCTCAAGACAATGAATTATTTTCGAGCGAATGAAAAGAATCGAGCCATATATTGGAAATATTGGAAGTGTCATATATAAAATTGTATACATTGAGTAAGGTGAAAATATATTTATATTTCCAGTAACCATTGATAAATCAAAATCGTATTCCGGAAATTTTTGGTGAACCATTTTAAAAATATATTCAGGATCGCCTTGTGAAAAAATGAATGTCACCTGAAATTGTTCAATTCAAACCCCGTGCAATAAATTGTTCTTTACTAACAAACTGTATGAATGATGGTATATAAACCAGAAAAATAACTCCAAAAAGTCTTCTAGCTTTTGGAGTAGAATTTTTCAAAACAAACAATCTATAGCAAAATGAGAGTAGGAGACACCATTGAGAATGCATGAAAAAATGAAGCATCATACTGTAACCAGCATAGCAATATTGTGGACCGAAATAAATACAAGGACCATAGGAAACATGAACAAGAGTTCGGTCAATTGGAATAACTCGTTGTTCAATGAAAACTGAGAGAATCGCTGCTGCCAAATCAGTAATTCCAAAATTAACTATTAAAAATGAATAAGTTTTGATAGTCGATGGTGATTTTGTGATAGAAACATAAAGGAGAATCAGATTCAGAAGAATTCCGAAAAAACCAGCAATACCGTGAAATATGTGAAAGAAATATTTGAGGAAAAGTTCCATTTTTCGCGTAGACAAAATCTAACAAGTTAGATAGCAGACTTTTTATATTAGTTTTTACACAAATATTTTCCATATAAAGTTCAATCGTACTTTCAGTGATTGAATGAATTTTGATTTGATTGTTGTGAATAGATTTGCACTGATTTTGGAAAACATTCGTCGATGTAAAACATACGCCCACAAAAATTTAGAGAGTTTATTCGAGCCCTCGAGCAGCCAAGGTTTGACCAGTTAATATAAGAAAATCACACACGGGAAAGTTACTTGTGGTCAATCAGCTACTAGCCAAAAAACATGCTTAAACATAGTCTCCTTGACACTTTATCTACATATTTTTGTTAACAGAATTGTTTATTATTTTATTCACAGAAATAATAAATTATTTGTGCTCAGGAACAATTAATCCTGGTGGAGTTGCACCAATTGTCATACTTCCACCAGCTCCCGATGGATGAACTCCTGGCGTATAAACAATTGTGGTCTGCATGTGTTGTGGGAATTGAACCATTCCTGGTTGGAAACTCATTCCACTTGCAAATTGTTGTTGAGGATTTGGAGCTTGAATTGGTGGTGGAACAATTGTAGCTGGTGGCGGAGGAGGTGCGACTTCAACTGGTGGATCAGGTTTCTTGTCGTTTTCTTGAAGAAGTGGAATTTTTTGAGTTGCGATGAAGATCTTTTGGTTTTTCTTAGAAAATGAATGATGTTTCCAGGAAAGAATTGCAAAACGAGTTGATGAATTGAGGAACATGGCAATAAGAAGGAAAAGAGACATAAATATACGAATTGTGTCCATTGTTAACATTTCAATCGATTGGGCTCGATAGAAGACTGTCTTTTCAGCATCGTCAGTCCAAAGATATGGGCAGAACAACTCAGTGATTTTGTAGTCTGAAAGTTTAAGAGTTTTGCACGGATTTTAAAAGAAATCTTTTTCTACTCACAAAGTTCAAACCAAACGGGGATATTCATGAGAATAACAAAACCAGCTCCAAATCCTAGACGACTTCTTGCATCATAAATGACTGGATCAACTGCGATATTTGCAGCAGCATCGGATTTTTTTGGTTTTGAGCAAATGAAACCAACACAGATTGACTAGAAGAAAGCCATTCACAATAGTCAAAAACTTAGTAACCACTTACCACCAAAAGTAAAACCAAAACCGCAATTGTTGAAAGCATGAAACAGAAGAACAAAGCAGCCGCTGGGAGTTGATTGAATTTCGAAAACACCAAAGTATATGATCCAGAGAGGAGAAGTCCAATTAGAAGAAGTGGACAAAATGATGGCCACATTGATCCCATTTCAAAATTTTGACGCTTTCTAGCGATCACAATCATTCCAGACAAATATATAACCGAACCGATTGAAACAATAACAACAGTTGCCATGTAGAAAAAATTATAAAACATCAAGAAGGTCATATAGCTGAAAATAATCATTTTTTGAGACAAGATCATAATTTGTAATCTTACAATGTTCCATAGGCACCTTGAAGTGTTCCATAAAGCGCACAAGCCATTTTGAAAATCGATGAGATTCCGAGCGGGATGTAAACCACAGTCAAGAAACATTTTGTGATATCATTTTTCATTTTAAAACTCAAAATCACGAAAATGGCAACCAGCAGAATTTCAATAGTTCCCAACCCGGCACCAGGAATTCCTTTAATCAAAGTTCAAAATTACAAATTTAAAATCAAATCATTCAACAAACGCACCTCCATAAAAACTTTTCTTGGTATAAAGAGCATCTGGAAAATCGCAAGTAGCCAACTTCTTCTTTTTAACTTTTGTCACATTGCAGAATATTTCGGTTAAAAGAGGCAACCCCGGAACAGGGTTCGAGTCCATCGACATTTTTCAGCCAAAATGTGAAGGTTTATCTGAAAATCGAACAGCTGAAACTTGAGGTTGTCAAGGTGATTCAGGTGGTTTTTTGAATGTGTTTATTACAATTCTAAATGTGTGATTAAATTGGTTTTGAGTCGCGAGTTTTTTCTGGAACAGCTGAAACTTTTGGATACTGTAATGACGTTTTCAGATAAGATCTATATCAACTCAAAATTATTATGTATTTATTAAAATTAAGACACATTTTCTATGATTCTTTATGTCTCTTTTCCTTTCTTATCACCTTGTTTCTGTGTGACCATAAACAATTCTCAATTCTCGCCACAATTTATTTTCCAAAAACATTTTGAATGTCGGTTTCTTACGATTTCACCGATCGCCGTTATTTAGTAACCGGAGCAAGTGCTGGAATTGGTCGAGGAATTTGTCTTGATTTAGCTAAAGCTGGAGCACAAGTTTTTGCATTGGCAAGACATCAAGAAGCATTAGATCAACTTGTTCAGGAATCAGCGCAATACGTAAGCTTTTTAAAAATAAACTTATCAAACTTGAGATTATTGTTTTCAGAAATATAAAATAATTGCAATAATTGGTGATGCTGGATCATCTCAAGAAGTTTTGGAATCTTTAATTTCTCCGATTCTTCCACTTGATGGACTTATAAATAATGCTGGAATTGCTAGAAATGCACCAATTGGTGAAATAAAACAATGGCAAATTGATGAGTTAGTCAATTTTTTCAAGTTTCAACAAAAATTTATTAAAAAATCTTGTAGTGTTTACGCAGTGAATGTCCGTGCTCCAATTATTCTTTCTCAATTGGTTGCAGTTGATTGGATTGCGAGAAAATTCCCAGGAGTTATTGTAAATATGTCTTCTCAATCAGGAATGCGGCCACATGAGGATCATATCGTGTATTGTAAGTTAAAAATTGGGTTCAAAGCGAAATTATTTTTAAAGGTTCATCCAAAGCGGCTCTAGAAATGGTCACCCGAACTATGGCTCTTGATTTAGGAATTCACAATATTCGTGTAAACAGTGTTAATCCTACAGTAGTCTGGACTGATATGGCTAAAGCGGTAACCAAATTTTGTTTGAAGAAAAACAATTTAATTGTTGAATGAAACAATTTCAGAGTTGGACAGATCAAAATAAAATTGATCAAATGCTTGGCAGAATGGCAATCAAAAGATTTGCTGAAATTCAAGAAGTTGCCAATGCAACTTTGTATTTATTGTCAGATGCTTCATCTTTGACAACTGGAATGCCATTGACTGTTGATGGTGGATTCACTAAAGTTTAGGAATTCGAAAAACAATTGATTCATTAATAAATGATTTTTAATTGAACGCATAAGCGGATAATTCACTCTTATTCTTTTTTCTGGTTGATTTTTTCTCATCTCCAACTTCCTCTTTTGTTTTAATTTTTCCTCCCTGATCTTCCTTATCAGATTCCAAATCGGTTTTCGGTGCTGATTCCTCCATCATTTTTTTGACAAGCAGCATTTTTTCGATGTCGATGTCTGTTATTTCAGCAGGCTCTCCGGCAGCTTTTTCTTCTTTCGCAGGTTTCTGGAAAAAAATGGAAAGCCTTCAGAAATATTTTCATGAATTCAAACCTTTTCACAATTTTCCTTCGATTTCTTTTTCTCCGTTTTATTATTTTTCTCCTCAACTTTTTGAACTGGGCTTGGGCTTACTATTGTAGGTGAAGGTGATGCTTCACTGCTCAACTGAAATTAAAAGATCAATAAAAACAATTCCTAAATAAAACGACTCACCCTATTTGATTTTTTGATTGCTGGTTTTTTATTATTAGATGAACATTTCGTGAAACTCCACGAAAAAACAAGAAAAATGAAAATATTTATTAAATTGTTTTTGATAATTATTAGAATCATTTTAGAAATATTTTGAAAATAAGAATAACTGATTTTTTCAAAATAATTAATTTCATAGGTCACGTTTTCCTAAATGACCTAGAGAATTCAACCTGAATTTTTTAAATGTTTGGCCTCGGAGACAAAGTGATATTTATTATTTTTAATAATAAAAATGCCACTTTTTGCAATAATATCTACAGTAATCATATTCAATTTATTCCTTTTTATATGCACATCAGGAAAACAAACGGCACCGCAAAAAAATAAAATAATGAAACGGGAAAATGTGAAGAAAACTTCGAAAAATAAAAAAGTAATTAAAAAGAAATATGAAGAAATTAAAAAATCGAAAGAATCAGATTCAAATGAAGAGGAAAAAAGAACAATAAAAACTGATAAAATGACACAAAAATCGAAAAGAATGAAAAATGATGAAGAAGATGTTGAATTCAAAATTGATTTGAATAAAATTCAAAACCGAGAACCAGCAACTGATTTGGAATCTTATGAAGAAGATCATATTCGAACAAATCCTTTGTCAAAACGTAACGGAGCTCAAAAAGTAATGCTAGAAAATCCAAAAAATTACGATTTGAAATTCATGAAATTAGCGGCAGCTGGAAGTTCAAAGCGAAAACCAAATGGGAGAGTAGGTAAAGAGTTTTTGTTTCAGATATTGCTTAGGTTGAAACTCATAAATTGGTACATAAAACATTTCTAGAGCTAAAAATATTGTTTTCAGATTCTTGTCGAGCGGCTCCTCGTTTCCCTTGTGATTGTGAGAAAAAAGAATCCGTCAAAATGTACATTTAACCCGAAATTCAAGAGAACATCTTATTCTTAAATACACACTTCAATAAAAAATCTCACTTCTTCTTTTCGACTTTCTGAAAAAAAAGTTGATTTTGTTGTCTCATAAATATTCAAGCTTACCGGTGCAAAGTAGCAACTTGTTGCTCCATCCAAATTATCTCCAGTGAAAAGTGATTGTTCACCAGTTTGCTCTTTTGTTACATCAGTTACCGGCATTTTAGATTTTTCCCCCTTTGTCTTGCAATAAACTGGTTTCTTTTCAATTTTTACCATTTTCGATGGTGCAGCTCCTTCTTTTTTCTTATTGTTCATAATATTATTATTTGCATTATTATTAGTATTATTCAAAACTGGTTTCGATTCAACTTTGTATAATGGATTTTCTTCATCATCATCAAAATCATCTTTGTGTTCTTCTGCATTTTTCTTGATATTTACAACAAATTTAACATCTTCTTCGGTCAATTCTTGTTTGATCTCTTTTTCTGTATTTTGTTGTACTCTTTGTGATGTTTTTGAAGATGATGCAGAAGTTGAAAGAGATACAACTGGCTTTTTTGAAGTTGCTCGAACTTTTTTGCGATTTTTTGAAAATATTGAATTCTTCTTTTGACTCTGAAAGTAACTTTGAAATCAAAACTTGAGATAGAAACTAACGCATAGATTTGAGATATAGATTATTGAGAAAAATGTGATTATAAAATTTGTCACAAACATTTCAAATTTATTGACACAGTAGAAATAACAAAGTTCCATCAAATTTTTTCCGAGAAAAAACAGGTCACGTATATTATTAAATACAATTTGGACACATTTTCTATAATTCTTTGTCTCTCTTTTCAATTCTTATCACCTTGTTTTTGTGATCAAGAACAAATTTTTAATTTCATTTTCATTTTAACATTTTTCTAATGTCGGTTTCTTACGATTTCACCGATCGCCGTTATTTAGTAACCGGTGCAAGTGCTGGAATTGGTCGAGGAATTTGTCTTGATTTAGCTAAAGCTGGAGCACAAGTTTTTGCATTGGCAAGACATCAAGAAGCATTAGATCAACTTGTTCAGGAATCAGCGCAATACGTAAGCTTTTTAAAAATAAATTTATCAAACTTGAGATTATTATTTTCAGAAATATAAAATAATTGCAATAATTGGTGATGCTGGTTCATCTCAAGAAGTTTTGGAATCTTTAATTTCTCCGATTCTTCCACTTGATGGACTTGTAAATAATGCTGGAATTGCTAGAAATGCACCAATTGGTGAAATAAAACAATGGCAAATTGATGAGTCAGTCAATTTTTCGAATTTTCAATAAAAAATAATTTAAAAAATCTTGTAGTGTCTACGCAGTGAATGTCCGTGCTCCAATTATTCTTTCTCAATTGGTTGCAGTTGATTGGATTGCAAGAAAATTCCCAGGAGTTATTGTAAATATGTCTTCTCAATCAGGAATGCGGCCACATGAAGATCGAATAGTTTACTGTGAGTTCGGAATAAATTCACAAGTCAGGTATTTTTAATATGTTTGAATAATTCCCAGGTTCATCAAAAGCCGCACTTCAAATGGTCACTCGAACTCTTGCTCTTGATTTAGGAATCCACAATATTCGTGTAAACAGTGTTAATCCTACAGTAGTCTGGACTGATATGGCTAAAGCGGTATGAAACATTTTCAAATAAAAATGAACCGAATGTAAAATTCTAGAACTGGACTGATCAAAAACGCGTAGATCAAATGCTTGGAAAAATGGCAATGAAAAGATTTGCTGAAATTCAAGAAGTTGTCAATGCAACTTTGTATTTATTATCAGATGCTTCATCTTTGACAACTGGAATGCCATTAACTGTTGATGGTGGATTCACTAAAGTTTAATTTTAATATATATTAGTTTCACATTAGTTTCATAAAGTATTGGAGTTTGATGTTTGTAAAAGTTGATCTCCCAAATAACAGGATTTGTCCTTGTTTATCAGTTCATGATAAATTGTATCAAATGATAAGGACCAACCAGAACATCAAAAAAACAAAAGCAAAAAAGCTACATTTATATAGGCTTTTTGAAGAGGGTCAGTGAAATTTCGTGAAATTCATGTGATTTCAGAAATTTTTGTGGCAGAACTGTGATGTTTCATTGTTCTTTAAAACAGTTTGAATGAGTCTGATAATTTTTTTATTCTTATGTGTATTTAATATGTCTAATGTGTTTAGGGAATTATTTTTTGTTGAAATTTTTTTTGTAATACCCACGATTTTTCATACTCATATCTAACAATGTGTAGGGTGTGTGTGTTCATTAAAAAAATGTTTTCAAACACGTTGTCTTTCGTGTCTGCGTTTGATCTTCTTCTTCATTTGATAAAAATTACAAACATTTTTTGTTATCGCTTTTCTTCCCGGTCACAGATCAACATACCCTTTTTGATATATAAAAAATCAAACTCCCGCCCTCTTTTTCTATTACAAACCTTGTCATTTTTCTAATTAAGAATGTCGATTTCTTACGATTTCACTGATCGTCGAATTCTTGTGACTGGTGCAAGTGCTGGAATTGGTCGAGGAATTTGTGTTGAATTAGCGAAAGCTGGAGCACAAGTATTTGCATTAGCAAGAAGAGCTGATGCTTTGGCCGAACTTGTAGCACAAGGAGAGAAAGCTGGATATGTGAGTTCATTTTTAAAACATTTAGGAAATTCAATTTTTCTAGAAACACAAAATTGTTGCTGTTGTTGGAGATACAGCGTCTTCCCAAGAAACTTTAACCAATCTCATAACTCCTCTTTTCCCACTCGATGGTCTTGTGAATAATGCTGGAATCGCAAAAAATGCGCAAATCGGCGGAGTTCTTCAAAAAGATTTCGATGAGTAAGATTATTTTCAATTACCTCACAAAAAAAACATTTTTTCAGTGTTTATGCATGCAATGTTCGTGGTCCTATCATTCTCTCACAAATCCTCGCAGTTCACTGGATTGCTAGAAAACATCCAGGAGTTATTGTAAATATGTCATCGCAGGCTGGAATTCGACCACTTGAAAATCATCTAGTCTACTGTAAGTTTGTAAATATTTTGATTTAATTAGGATGAAAACCAGTATTTTATATGTGTACTTTTAATTGTCTCTGTTTACTTTTCGGATATTTTCATAAAGGTAAACTTTTTAAAGGTTCATCAAAAGCTGCTCTGGACATGGTTACTCGAACCCTTGCTCTCGATTTGGGAATTCATAATATTCGTGTAAACAGTGTTAATCCTACAGTAGTTTGGACTGATATGGGAAGAGATGTTAGTCAAATGCCTACTAGAGCATAATAAAACAAATTATATGTACATATAATATTTTCAGAACTGGACGGATAAGAAAAAAGTGGACAACATGCTTGAAAAAATGCCAATCAAAAGATTTGCTGAGATTGAAGAAGTTGTCAATGCAACTTTGTATTTATTGTCAGATGCTTCATCTTTGACAACTGGAATGCCATTGACTGTTGATGGTGGATTCTCATTCAGTTAAATATTAATTTTCTATATGTATGCATGTAAAAAATAAATAAATAAAAGTTGTGGATCGTGTGAAAATTCAGACATTTTTCGGGAGTCACTTGTTCAAAGTCACATGACCTGGGAATTCGGAAAATAATTTTGTTAAACGTGAGTTTTGGCTGTGATATAATTTTTGAAGAATTTCTCTGGAAAGTTTCATAATTTAGGTGGCCCTAATTTAGTGTAAATCGGAAAACCTTGGATAGAAGCTAAACCTGACACAAACAGCTGGACAAAGCTTTTTTTCAAAAAAATGTGCAATATTTTGAAATAGTTTTTTTTTTCCACCGTAACGATTACCTAATTGAATTTCTAAAAATGAAGATGTTGCGTAACTTCCTCTTGAAAAAGAGAGCTCGCTCCGAAAAAGTCAACATTGTATGTGCATAGTACTACCTGGGAGTGCTCTTCGGTTCTATTTCCCCTTTGCACTTTCTTCATCTTTCTTCTCCCACCCCATTATTACTTTTTTTTCAAAATGTAAACACTCTTTTTCTCATCCCTTTCGAATCTCCGTATATGTGTGTGCGCGATGACGTAACACGCGGTACGAGCGCGCGCTGGACGGAGGCGTGACCCAATGTCACGACATTGCGGTAGTAGTAGTGGTCAACTGTATGGTCATTTTTCGGGTGACGGCTCATGTTTCGTGAGAGCTTTTCCGGATTCCAGGACACGCAACAACCACAACAAGGAGTGGCTCAAGATGCCGCCCCAGGAACATCTTCAGCGCCATCAACTACTACTTTATCGCATTTTTCGACGGCATCTAATGCAACAAATACTATTTCTAATGGGGCAAGTCAACAAAGGTAAGCTGATTCTTTTTGATTTTGAAGTAACTTATAGATTTTGACTAATTGGAAAAGTCAGTGAGATAAACAATTTGAGTTCTGACAATTACGAGTTCAGAATTGAAGCAGAATATGTTTACAAATTAACTTTATTAAAGAGAAAAGCTTTCGAAGTTAATTTCATTAAAAAAAATTTTAGAACCTTGATGAAACAAAATCGAGATTTCTTAATAAAAATGAAGTTTAACCTACGGAAAAATACTATTTTCAACAACTTTTTTTGAGAATTCCCAAAAAGTTCAAAATAGAAGTTAAAACTAAATAAGTTTTCAGATATCCCAATTTGATTTACCAAAAATATTACCTAAATTTAAAAAAAATGGGTATATTCCAGTCAAGTTTTGAGAACAGTTTTCAGAAAAAATAATCTTGATCTGAATATTTCAAAATCAGAAAGTTATGTTTGGTTTTTGCCCTAATTACTTTCAATTTCAGAAATTTCTGAGAAAGATTTCGAAACGAAACATCATGAAAATTTTTATCACAAACTTCATTTAATTTTTTTTTCAAAAATCTAACTTTACCAAAAATCATTTGTTTTTTCTTGAGGAACAAGGAACTATCTTATTATTTTCAAAACATAAACAAATATTTACTTTCACACTTTCCCCCAATTTTTGAAGCAAACTTTTACTTTCACATTTCCTTTCGCCTGAAAAAGTTCTCTTATTTCATTTTATTCAAATATTCCCGTCTGTATTTACTTTTGGAAAATGAACTCGCGCATTTCGGGTCACTTGAAAAAAGAAAACGAAAAAGGAGACGAAGAAGAAACCCCCGTGTGACGTCACATACCGTATGTAAATATTATAAGAAATTAACATATTCATTTTTATATATTTGCACAGCGGATCGAATTCTAAATTCATTTCGAGAAACTTGTGTGCGAGTTCGAAATTTGACTATTTTTAGATCAACCCGGGGAGCATCGAAACAACGAAGAGATCAGATAAATGTTGAGATTCAAAAACTTCGAGATCTTTTACCACTATCCGAACAAATCAAGGATCGTCTATTTCAATTGCAAGTTATGTCACTTGGTTGTATTTTTATAAGAAAACACAGATATCAGCAGACAAGTAAGAACTTTTTTGAAATTATGGAAAAATATTACGACAATTCAAAACAATTTTAGTTCATCAACCACTTCATCAATTAACACCAATCCCACGTGGAATTGATATTTGTAAAGCGCTGCGTGGATTTATGATAATGGTGACACGTGGCGGAAAAATTCTACACGTTTCTGACAATGCCAGTGAATATCTTGGACATTCGGTGGAAGAAATTATGTGCCAAGGAGATTCGATTTATGATTTGGTGGATATTCGAGATCATGGAGCAATTCAAGTTGAATTGAGTAGTGGTCCACCTACAGCTGCTAATTTTCCCGAAGAACGTGTATTTATATGTAGATTGAACTTGGCAAGAACTGCAAAACGACAGCTACAGTATCACAAGGTGAATTTAGAATAAAAAATATTTTTGAAACCATATAACTTTCAAATTTAGTTTGTACTACTGCAAGGTCGCTATATTCAACCGGCTGAATATTATCAATCAATTGCTACACAAACTTCACAAGCAGATGCCGATCAGCCGGTTTTCTCAGCATTTTGTCAGCCATTGATTAATCCAGAAAATGCGGAATCTATGGCAAATGGAAATACAAATGTGTTTAGCACTCAACATTTTTTAGATATGAAGTTTAAGGAAGTTGATTCAATGGCTTCGTATCATTTTGGAATTTCGAAAGAGAAACTAAAAGGAAAGAGTTGGTATGAAATGATTCATCCAAATCATATTCCAGAAATTGCATATAAACACCGGCTTTGTAAGTTTAACTAAATTTTATAGCCTCAATAAAAAAAAACAATGTTTAGTGTGCCAAGAGAAAGAAGGATCAGTTCTCGCTCTAATTCGAGTTCAAAATCAGGATAAAGAATGGATATGGTTGCATACAGTATTCTCAATAAGACCTTCAAATGAAGTGTCAGCTGATGGAAAACGTATTCGTCATATTATTCATTGTTTTCATCAAAAGTTATCTGGACTAGAAGCAGCTACTCTTCAAGCCAACTCGTGGATCTACAGTATGCGACACACTTATCCAACTGTATTTTCGTGTCAAGATTCAACTGATGAACGACCACTTACACCTCCATCGCCAGTAGAACAAAAACCATTTATGGTTGATTATAGTCAGATAAAAGTTGAAATTCCGATTCCACCAAGAGTTTCAATTCAACCACCATTTATTACCCCGGAATCTTCATCCCCTGAAAGTTCGGCTTCTTCGATGTTCCTGAATTCCTTTCAACCATCTCATGTTGAGATTTTGGAAGATATTCTTCCAGTTAATGATGTTTTGCCAGAACTAAAAGATGAAGTTGACGAAATTCTACGACAGGTAAATTTTAGAAGAAAAGAGAGATAATCTAAAAAAGTATTTTTTACAGGTTGAACAAGAGGAGGATTTACGACCACCCCGAAATGTAAACCTACAACATCGACATTCGATGCCAGGCGCATTTGATCCACACACAGCTGAACTTTATAAATATCTTGGACCGGCTCTATTCGACACTTCAGCTTCCAATTCTTCCAGGGAATATTTCTTCCAAAATCACAATTTCCATCAAAATTATCATCAGCATAATCAAAATCAAACTTTTCTTCACAATAACAACAATAATATAAATATGCATCCACCAATGTCTTGTCCACCAACTGATTCGAATCAAACTCATTTTATGTTTCAAAATCATCCACAATATAATATGGATTATCATTATAATCGTAAACGAAGTTGGGCTGTTTAACAACATTTTCTATGAATCTCCATATTTAGTCTTTCGAAACAGTATTATCCCGGGTATCCTATATTTTGTGATATATTGTATTTTCTGCGAAAAATAAATTACTTTAATACTTAACTTCTTATTTCAAAATGAGAAATGAACTTTTTAATTTTAATATTTTTTTTGAAACCCACATTTTTATGAAAGGTTCACGTTTTTTAATCCCAAACCTTAAGAAAGAACGGAAAAATTAAAAGTGTGTGTCAACACCAACTGGTCCGCAAACATTTAATCTTACGCGCTGACGCGAAAAGGCGCTGCAGAATAGAAAACACGCTGCTCGCCTATTGTATTTTTTGGGGATTTTTAAAAATGGTAACCCCCCCCCCGGATTTTAAAAGGGACACGTTAAATGTATGAACATTGGGAACCCTGAGTCTTTCAAGCTTTGCTTTTCCCAGGGAGAATACTAGTAAATACAAAATTCCAGCTTTCAGCAAACTCTCAGGGATTTGAAAATGTTAATCGGCGGACAAAATACTTGTCAGCGATTAAAATGGGATGAAAATATTCATCGCCAATTAATCGTTTGAAGAAACAACGAAACTCCGCCGAACGATTAATCGGCGGACAACTTTTTCATCGCGGCCACGGCCAAAACCTATCCTAGATTCTAGTTACTTTATCACCAACATTTGATGCAACTCCAGAAAAGTGCATTTGGTTAAGTGGTAGAGTCTCAGGCTGCCGCCCGTGAGACCTGGGTTCGATTTTACCTCAGCGCGAACTTTTTTTTTCTAGAAGGATGTTTCTTGTGAAATCGAGCAAATTCGCTCTACCGCACACCAAGCGATTAAAACGCGATTGAAACGAGATTAATCTCAAGTTGTCCGCTGAGTTCCTCGCCGATTAACATTTTCAAATCCCTGAGCTCCCAACATTTCTTTATTTATCGAGAGTACGGTGCGCACTCAATGTCCGCAATGGAACACACAAATTGACGCGCAATTACACTAGGCGGAGTAAAATTTTCCTCTTTTTTTCTTTTTTTTGTGCTCTTTCTGCTCAAAGTAAACAACAAAGAAATTGTTTCAGGTAATAAAATTCCGTAATATGCAGTAATGTGGAGGTTTTCAATAATCGCTAGACCCTCGTGAGTTCAATTGAATTTTTAATAGGTAAAAACTAAATTTTGCAGAATAGTAAATAAAATTTCGATAAAATCGTTGAGGAATGCATTAAAGCATACGGACACAAGATTGACTAGATTTCAAGCACCGGAAATCAACAGACAAGATGTTCCGATTCGTGAAGTGTAAGTTTTACTTTTGAAATCCTTATTTTTAAATACACGGCATTTTCAGATTTTCATTTGACGATTTCGGACTTCTTTCAACACGCTCAGCATCTATAGAAACACTAGAAAGTGAAAAGACATTTTTAGACCAAATTTTGAAAAATGACACATTTATTATTCCAACTACAATCGATCAGAAAGAAGTATTCGGATATGATCAAGCATTGGAAATGTTTGCAGAAGGAGCAGATTTAGAATTATTAGCAGAAGATTTAGCATCTATAGAGGAATCAAGCTCTTCGACAACTTCTATTGTCACTCCAAAAAAATCAGTTCGTGAAGAAAAGTTGGAAAAAGACGAAGAAGAAGAAGAATCATTGTTCAAAATCCCGAAGAAAGCTCAAGCTTTAGATCAATTTATGATATATCCAGAAATCATTCCAAATCAACAATTTACTAGCCAATGGACAGAAAAACAGCTAGAAGATATGACACATATTCCAACAACTAGTAAAGAATCGATTAAAGTTGTTGAAAAATTCGAACTTTCTCTTGAAGTTCTTGAAGGAATGATGGACAATAAATCAATATCTGAAATCGAGCAAGAGCTGAAAAATGGAGAATGGCCTGAATATTTGTTTGAAGATCGAAAATTAATTGCAAGATCCAATCGAGTTTTGAGATATATTGTGAAAGAAATGGAAAGTTTAGAAGCCATCGAAATTATTTTGAGCACTTTGTGAGTTTCCGATAAATTTAGAAATAAAAATATATTTGTAAATTTTAAATTTTCAGCGCAAAGAAAAGTATGCTTTCTGTTATTTCTGATGACATCATTCTTCATTTGACCACAAGATTTTCAAAAGTTCTACCACCGCGGCAAACAATCGATAAACTTGAATATTTGACAACTCTATGTTGCAGCAAAGAATGTGAGTTTTTATTTTTCAAAATATATATTTTTTTTCATTTATCCGAACGTTTTGTAGTGAAACCTGCCAAACTGCTAATTCAACAATCGCTAGAAGAATTATACAATGAACTACTGCAAAAAGATCCGAAGATTGGCAAAGATTTATTAACTATCTGCTCAAAATTGAATTTCGACAAATCAGCTGAAATATTTCTGCGAGTTCTCGCTGAAAATGCGACACATTTTGACAAAGATTTTGAAACTTGGAAGATGTTCTCGCTTAAATATGGAAGTACATCGGGTGTTAGAAGTTTCTGGAAATTAGTGCTAAAATCAGAGGAAAATGGTGGAAAGAAGAGGATTAATGAAATTTTGAATCATTCGAATAAAAGCGATCATCCATTTTCAACGATGGCTAGAATTATTTGTACTTTTGTTGAGATGAATCAAATGGAAAGAGCTATCGAGGTTTTCAAATTGATTTCGGTTTCTGGAAGACATTTTAGAAATCCACTTTTGGAATGGGTTGATGAGGTTAGTTTGTAAACTTATTATTTAGAATATTTATTTGTAAATGAATTTCAAAAATAAAAAATAGATCACGTTTCTCACGTGTTTTTTTTTCATTAAAAAATGTGAGCGAAATAATGTTAAGCCTAATTTGGAACACAAGAATGAAATGACCGGTTTCCGCCGGTCTTCATTTTCACACCGAAAATAACTATGGAGCTACGTTAGAAAACTCTTGGTCTATGAGAAAAGTCTATCTGGGACATACCTCGTCTAGGAATCAAAAAACTAGAGATTCTGTAAATTATTTCGAAAAATTGGGTGATGACCTCATCCAGTGCAAGATCCAAATGTATTTTACACCGTTTGAGAAAAAAAATCAAGTCACAAAAAATCACACAACAAAAACAAAATTAAAAAAAGGATAGAAAATAAAAATACAAAACATAATTTCAGCTTCATTGTTACTATCATCAAGCAACTTTTTGATGAAATAACTTTTTTCATTTTCAAATCATTTTTTCACCAACTTGGTGGATTTTTTTGAAATTTTTAAGGGAGGGGGTCATGACAAATGAAAATTTCTGAGAGGAGGAGGTCATGACATTTAGGGTGCTATGAGCGAAGATGCCATGTATGTCACCAAGATACTTGTCCATATCCACAAAACACCCAAAATAGTCCCCTTCTTGTCTCAAAATTCTAACAACCTTTAGAAACAACACATGCCTAATTCATATTTCAAAAAAAAAAGAAATATTATTTCTACCGACCTTAAAGTTTTTAATTAAAAGATTCTAAAACTTCCTTTCAAAAGCATCCTCGATTCAAATGCAAATAAGTTTGAAAAATTTCGAACTCTACAGAACTCCCTCAGACTAAAAGTTCACTATTCAATCGAACCCAAAAAAAGAACTAACCTTTGAAATTTCGATCGTTCCTCGATCATCTCATCGCTCAAAATTGGTGTAAAATCATCTCGAATAGTTTCATCCACGGCCAATCTGAAAAATATGTTCAATTTAATGAAACTTTTGGTTTTTTATTGATTGAAAACGCTAAAGATTCCAAAATGTGGGCGTCCATACGAGAGAGAAGAGACAAAAAGAGAGTGAAATCGCGCGTGATCTACAGTGATCTACAGTGACAGTGATTTAAACACTTGCGGGACTAGGTTAGGAATTTTTTAATTTAACAAAAAAAATAATTTCGCGGTGTTTTAGTTAAAAAATAACAAATAACCGAGAGTTTTCTTAAAGAAAGGTGTGAATATTGGAAAGCTCTGTAGGCAATAGACCTAAGGTGGTAGTCAGATGATTATTTTTGGTTTCAGTTTTGGGATAACATTTAAAATCTATAGAATCTCTAGTTTTTTGTGAATTAGAGATTCTATAGATTTCAAATTGTATCACAAAACTGCAATCCAAATCCAAAAACCTAGATTATAATCGATTATGCTTAATCTTCAACAAGCCCCAATTTTTTCAGAACAATCTGGAATGTATCGAAAGACTTGCTCAACTCGTTGAAGATGGAATGATTGCAGAGAGACGCAGAACAACGAAAAAGAAGATAGTCGACGAGAACAAAACCGACAAAAAAAGCGAGGTGAGTGCCATACCTAGTTAGTATAGTGGGAAAAAGGGCTGCCTATCAATCTCAAGGTGTCGGGTTCGAATCCCCACCGATGTTGCAGTCGTTCAGTAGCGCAAGCAATTGTTTCTATCGGCTTGCACTTAATCGTGAACTGCGAAATTGAGCTGGATCGGAGTCAAGCGGTACATTATTTTCAGTATAGTGTGTTGTTCAAGATCTGATGTACAATTTTCAATTTTTTTCCTATATTAAAAACAGAAAAAGTTATCTCAAAATAAATATTATTATTACAGGTTCCTTCAACTTTGATCGAAGCTATTTCAAAGTTTTGTGGAATTGTGGAGAAGAAACCGAAAAAGTTTGTCGATCGAAAAGCGAAAAGAAAAATTCATCGAGTAGATGAGGAACAACTTCATGAATTATGTGAAGCATTGCAAAAGGCATGGTGGAAATGTTCAAGTAAGAAATCATTTTGAACATGTTTTCAAAACAATTTTAATTTGCAGAATCTTCGGAGAACCCAGAAGCAACATCCAAACGGCTTGTTGAATGGAGCCAACGAAATCGCTTGGATCTTGATGAGAAATTAGAAAAGGAATTGAATAGGGTATAAAATTGTGTCTTTTTTTGGATTAGCCGTATTGTTTTTGTTAGATATTTTAGATCATTCATTGTTACTTATTTCTTGTTTTTCTCTTTTTCGAGCGTGTAAATATCACTTTCTTTCATTTGTTTTTTTGAATTTGAAAGAAGCGTTTCAAACGCATCAAATTATTTCGAGGTTTTCCAATTTTCCAAAAATTGAATTAAAAATTTTAGAATGTTGAGAAACGGGTTACGTCTTGCGAGGGGACGTCGACAATTCTCGGCGGCGGTTCAGGCAACAAATACGCCTGCAAATTCAGTTCCACCTCCACCAACTTCACAGGGAGAAATCAGAAAGAAGAGGGTTGGTTGTGATTTTTAAAGTTTTCCTTGTCAGATAATTGTGATTTTCAGAATTTTGTTTCGTCGACACCTGTTGAACAAATTCGACTTGAGAAGAAATATCAAGAACATCTCAAAAACAACAAACTCGAAACACTTCATGAAGCTGTTGAGTAGTGAGTTTTTCTGGCAAGTTGTGAAAAAGTATTTTGGTGGCTTTTTTTCGAAAAAAAAATCCGATTCAAAAACTCCCAAGCTTCTTGAAGTAAAACTTGCAATTTTCCAATGTTTTTTTTCAGTGTTGAGTGGCGTGGAACTGTTTATCCACAAACAATGAGAAAGTTAGTGGAACTTCTCGAAATCTCTCCAGAATTATCTAGTCTTTCTGATAGACAATTGGCTGTTTTGTTGAGTGTTTTTGGTGCAAATTGTGATACTGTTTCGAAGAAAATTCGAGCTGCGCATTTGGAAAAAGTTGAAGTGATTTTGGCACATAAAAATGTTCAACTTGGACTTGCCTCAAGAAATGCTTTGATTGAATGTAAAATTGATAATGGAACTCGGGTTGATGTTGTAGAAGAATTGAGCAAATATGAAGAAAATGGAATTGAAGTAGATTCTAAGGGTTATGCATTATTATGTGAAGTTTATGCAAAACAAGGAAACACAAAAGCAATTACGTGAGTAACTCAAATTTTTTATAACAAAAACATTGAAAATTAATTCAGAGATATTATTCAACACATGAAATCACAATCAATTCCACTCGCTGAAGATCATATTGTTCAATTAGTATATTCTGTTGCAAAAAGTGGAAATGATGCACAAGTTGGAAAAGTTGTCGAAAAGTTTGCTAATTCGATGAATGTTGTTCGATTGAGATGTGCTGCTGCACGAGCTATTATTCAAAGAGAAAAAGAACAAACTGGAAAAGGAGGTTTTGAAGTAACAGAAATGTTGAGAAATATTCCAACAACTGCAAAAGTTCACTCGGTGGATAATAATAAATATGTGTTGAATGTATTTATGGATCTTATTGAAGTTGGACAATTGGATGCTTTTAACTTGGTAATTTTTAATTGGGACTATTATTTTCATTCATGAAAACCATTTGCAGATTTCTTCATATCTTGTTCTTTCTGAAGATAATATTCATCTCGCTGAAAATTTCCAAAATACAACAGTTGTTGCGCGATGTAAAAGTTTGTTATCTGATGGAAATATTGTTGAAGCTATCACTCTTTATTCACGTGTTCCTCCAAGTTTTTCCAATGAGTTAGTTTTTTTCATTGTTTTCTATTATAAAAGGAATTTTCAGATTCTTCACTAAAACTTTGAAAGAAACATTGGAAAATCAACTTGTTAACATTGAACCCAGCAAATTCAATGATTTTCTCAAATTATTGACATTGGCACACAAAAATGGATTGATTGAAAGTGTTGATCAATTCTTGCTTTCTACAATTTCTCACCAAAAAGTTGCACAATTCAAAACAGTTTTCGATTATTGCGAAAAGTCAGGAAGTCTTCGCAATTTTCTATTCGAAAATGGAGGATTGAAAAGAAAATTGGCGAAAAAAGTTGCGAATCTATTGATAGCAACTAATGAAGAAAAAGAAAAGGCAGAATATTTGGGAAAAATTGCGAGTGTATTATTTTCTCCATCAAAAGATGAAACTGTCCCACAAATTTATGCATTTTATCCAATAATTTATCAATTGAGTAATCGAGATGTTCAATTAGTTATTCCTGCGCTTGAAACAATGAATGGAAAAACTGAAAAACGGGAATTCTCAACAGCGATTGTTGATCAACTTCTTCGTTCAATTGGAAATGATCATGTCGCCATCGAAAAACTTCAGAAACTTCTTGATTCAAACAAAATTGATCAATTGAATGTTTTCCGTATTCATAAGAGTTTGATCAGAAATATTACATCTGGCAAAATCTCAATGAAAACCGTTGCCAAAATTCTTTCTCTCGATTTTCCATCTGCTGATTCGCATAATTCACTGAAATACACTGCGGTGAACCTCGCAAAATTCCTCTCGAATGAAATTATCACTGATGAAAAAGCAGAGGAGATTATTGGATATTTAGAATCTGACACTCGAGCAACTCTTTCGACTGAAGAAGTTTTTGCAGCTAGAGATATTTTGAAGGGACAACCAAAGAAAGCGGAATTGATTGGAAATTTGAAACGAAGTCAAACATTGACAAAATGGAGAAATACTGATGTTGAACAATTGATTGAAGAAGTTCCAAGAGTTAAAAAACCAGCTGCCAAACTTGCTTTAATTGATGTTGTTGTATACAAAACATTGAAAGAAAAGGTAAGTGTTTTTTTTTGAAGTTATGATCTCCAAAATGTTTTTTTTTCAGTCGAATGATTTGTCATTCATTGTAAATATCCTCGAAAACTCAGTGGAATGGAAAACTTTGATGAATGAAAATGAAGAATATCACAATAAACGAATTCGAGCAAATCTCCGAAATCTTGAAACTATTGCAATTTCAAAAGCGATTTCCACAAATGATATGGTTTTAGCTGATAGATTATGGATGACAAGATCCGGACATTTGACAGCTGATGTTTGTCTTGCGTATGCCTCGAGATTATTTGTGAATGGACAAGTTGAAAGAGCTGATGAAGTTTGTGAAGATTTGAGAGTATCATCACAACTTATTCGAGCTGTAACATTGGAAAAAACTGGCCGGCGACTTAAAGGAGTTTCTTCAGAAAAAATGAATGAACTCGCTAAATATTTATCGAAACAATTCAATTTGAGCCAGAAGGATACACGAAGAATTGTGCAACAAGTCAAATTGGAAGAATTGAATTCTCTCATACAGAGGTAGGTTTTTTTGGTAAGAGAAAAATGCAATTTGGAAAATTATCGTTTTTTTAGTGGCAAATTAAATGAGGCATTGCAAATGGCTATTGAAGAAACGGAACAAAGTCGAAGAGCTTTTGGACAGGTTCCAATTATGATTGAAGCTATCAAAAAGTATGTTTTTTTCGAGAGGAATATTAAAACTGTTTTACAAAATTGAGATCATTTTTTAATGGCTTGGTAAAAAATTAAATCAATTATTTTTCCAGAGATAATTTGGAAGTATTGTCAAGTGTACATATGATGGTTCGAAGTGCTCATAATCAAGATATGGCAAACATCAATCTAGCATATGCTTTGATTCATTCTGATAATGCTGAAAGAGCTCGTGTTTTGGTCGAAAAACAAAATCTCGAAATCGAAGATTTCACTCTTCAATATTTCATAACTTTAGCATCTTCTTCAGAAAGCCCGAAAACTCTCAAGAATCTATTTTTGATTTTCAATGGAAGAGCTTCGACATTACAATTGAATTCATTGCTTGAAACTGCTACTAAACAATTGTGTAAGTGTATTTTTTGTCATATTCAAAAAAAATCCTAATTTGATTTTTAGGGAAATCTGGAGATATTGAATCGTTGAATGAATTGGATAAAGAAATTGCTTCTTCAAATTTTCCGCTTCAAAATCGACTTCGCGCATTTTTCGATGATCTGAAAGTAAAGCATGCTGAAAATCTTATTGAAAATAATGACGGGATAACAAATATTTAATTTTTAGTGTATTTTTTCGATAGATTTAGGATTTTTGTTTTTATTATTGTTTTCATTGTTTTTTTTTTTCTCGTTTTGTTTTTTAATAATGAAATTCAGAATTTTAATTCATCAAGAGTTGGAAAAATGTTGAAATGTTTCATTTTTATTTGGTTAAAAAATTTCTTATCAAAATCAAGAAAATGGAAAAGGTTTTCAGATGTTTTTAAGTCGCCGTGTATTTTCGGAGGCGATTTCGAATTTTCGACAAATTTTGAGGACCACTGGTTTGGAATTTGAGAAGGGAATTGAGGATTATAGGATTTTCAGGTGAATTTTTGGGAAATTTATGACGTCACGTCATTGACGTGGCAAAGCTTGGATTTGGGAAACAGATTTCTGAGAAAAAATTAAACAAATTTCTCTCAAAAATCTGAAGTTCCTACTAAAATCGAATCTAATCAACTCAACATTTTCTAATGTCGTATTGAACAAAAATATTTACTAACTCAAATTCTTTTTTTTTTTGAAAAATTACCTTAGAAATAAACGAGTTCAATGTTTTAGAGAAACAAACGATACTCCGGATTGGGGAGTTGTTCGAATGAGTAGTTATGCGATGTGTAAAAATCGACCACAAGAAGCTCGGAAGTTTTTAGAAGAACAGTTTAAAGAAGTTGGAGGATCACAGAGACAGGGTAAATTTTTATTTTCAGAAAATATTGAAAAATTTAGATTCCACGTCAAAAGTTGATTGTTTTAACGTGAAGACATTCATTTTGTTTTTTAATCGAATTTTTTCATTTCTAGCTCGTCACGTTCAAATAACCGAAGCCCAAATAAATGCAAATCTGGAAAGAGTTCTCAAATCAAACATTGAAACAGGAATCAGATTCTATGAATTCCTTTTAGATTTTCGGTTTTGTGCGAATCGCGATGTTTATCTCGAAACTATAATCGAATATATATTCAAAAATGATAAAAATAACTGGAAATATGCGATTGAAGTTTTGAATCGATTGCAAGAAAAACAAAAATCAAAATCGTTCAAAATGTCAGCTTATCATATTTTAAAATCATCAGTGGATTCGGAAAAAGGTTACTTTCAACATATTTTTTTGAATTTACACATAAATATAATAATTTTCAGATTTGGCAGAATTGGTTAAACCAAGAACACTTCGAAATTTGAGAATATTTTTGCGACTCGAAACATCAAGTTTTCCGGAAGTTTTGGATTATTGCAGAAGTTTTGGAAAATTCGAAAGTTCTGATGTTGATTTTCATATAGAAATTGCTGGAAAATTGAGAAGTTTTGAAGCGCTCGAAAATTTATTAGAATTATACGGAGGACAAATGATTATTCCAATGCCAAAAGGATATGAAAAACGAATTGTTGAAGAATTTATTAAAATATCTGGTAGGAAAAAAAGCAAGATTTTTTTATTTGAAAGAAACATTTGGGATATTTTTCAGGAAAAAGTGGGAATCTTGAGAAGTTGGAAAGATCGATACAATTAACTAGAACTATAGAAATGGAAGATCGAGATGTTTTATATGCAAAGATTAGGCATTTTTATAAATGTTTGAATGTTAAACCACCTGTTAAGTTATATGAATGAATAATTTGTTGGATGCAAGTTTTGGATTTTTTCGGGAAGGTGAGTTTTTTGGGAGTTTGTTTTTTCAATTTTTGGCGAGACTTTTGGAAATGTTATTTTTTCTCGAAATATGTCATTAAAGCCCACAATCCTCCCAGCAAATCATCCGCAAAAAAGTTCAATGGAACAAACCAGTCATAATAATGAATAACATTTCATGGATAGCAATTATCCATATTTCGCTTGCGCAATCTCGCTTTCCCCTTCATTTTTTCCTATATTCATTTTTTATTCATTTTCTATGCGAGATAAAATTCTACTTTTTTTACTGTTTTTCTATTTTGTTGATTCGGCTACGGATCCATTGGAATCAATTATCAGAAATGGATGGCTTATGATAAGAGATTATGGCGAAAAGGTTAGTTTTTGAAACTCTAGAAAATATTTGAAACTAGATAAAATAAATTTTGTGTCAGATGATTTCAAAGATTGCGATTCCACAAACTATGGATCTTCCCCAGGATATTGTCGCTTTCCAAACAGATTCCAAAACTCTCAACACCTTATCTCAAATGATCAATACTTGCCCGCAATCTGTTCCAGTTTCGGATTTGAGTGGAATTTGGCACATTACTCATGTTAGTAAGCGATTTCAACAAACAGTAATTTTTGATATTAATGAAGCAATTGAAAAATTGGCAAGTGGAAAGAGTTTAAACTCAAGAAAATCGTTATTTACACTTTTCAAAGCGGAACCTACAATGAGATGCTTGCAATTTAATGGTAAATTATTTTCAATATTTCCTCCTAAAAACCAAATACTTTTTTTACAGTTTTGAATAATTCTCCATCTTCTCCTGTTGAATTCTCCTATCTCTCTTCATCTCGTCGCTCAATAATTGGAAACCTCGACCGTCCCACTGCAACTCAAACAACTATTAACCTTGCAAATACAATCGAAATTCCATTCACTATTTTATTCCACACCACAACTAATACCAATAACAAAGTTGTGATTTTTGCACAAACTGATACACTTCCAACATCTTGTGATAATTTATTAGTTTTACAATCAAATCCAAATGGATCATGGGAAGGATCAGATGTGATATTATCCAGTTATTCGACATCGACAAATCCGATTGTCAAATTGAATTATTGTAATGAGCAACAAAGAAGTGGACCGATAATTAGGCCGGCTTCACAAAAAAGAAGTTGGAAATAAATATTTATTTATAGAGATTGTTAAAATTTTATTCGGCTGGTTAAAAGTTCCGCCATTTTTTCTGACGTGGTAACTTGGAAACCATTTTTCAAATCCTAAAAGCCTGAAAATTAAAATGTTTTTTGAAAATCGCATGAACCTCCGTTTCCAATAAGCCGAAACTCCAACTACAGTGTTTCTTGATGTATTTTTCTGCTCTCTTTGATATCCTGGATGTGTAAGCCGATATGTCAATAAAAAGAGTATCTATATAATGTGTGAACAATTGTTGAAACATCTTTCATTCACTAGAAAAAAAACATATATTCGAATAAAAAAAACAAATAAAAGAGGAAGAATGTTGAGGTAAGACTAACTTCCGGTAAAAATCAAAAGTCCATTTTGTTGATTTATTTATTTATTTATTTGTTCACACCTTCATTAAGAAGAATAGTATTGAATTACTTTTTTGGAATCTTCTATTTTCTATATAATATATTATAATATAAAGAATTTATGTTCAGATATTATTCTATATTTCTCATTGGAATTTTTATCGATGCTGCTCCAAGTGAAAAACGAGAAAGTGCAATTGTGCCAATTTTTGGAAGTTTGTTGAGTTCTGCTTTTTCGAAAAAAAATTTAAATTGTTTTAGATTATATGACAATTGAGCCCATAACTTTTACATTTACGACTCCGATTGCACGAACATTCCCAACACTAGTTCCATCAAAACCGAAATTTGTATATGAGGTTCAAACTCCAATTGTATCGGCACAAAATTATAAATTTGTGAGTTTGGAAAAAACTTAGGTTCGAAAGAATCATGGAAAGTCCTCAACAGTTTTTCACTGTAAACTCTATTAAAAAGTTGCACATTTCGAAGTTTGAAGCTGAAAGTTTATTTACTTTTTTTCGTCGATCCGAAATTTCCTGATTGTGTATTTTTTAACTTTTTTAACAACCATAACTTCGGAAAATTGAATTTTTGAGAATTTCAGAAAATGCTCCAAATTGGTAATCAAAATTATTTCTTGAAAAGGTTACGGTAATCTGAAAAAAATTGAACAAAACAACTGAATTTTAGAAACTTCAAAAGTAGTAAACGTATATCTTTTTCAGAATAACATGAAATCTTCAATGCAACAAGATGCTTATGCAACCTATAGATCACTTTGGAAAAACTTCAAAGATACTTGGAACCAAATGCAAAATGATATCTATAGTTCTCCTCGAATTCACCAAGATTGGCGTCAATTTTGGCGCGATTTTTCGCAAACCATCGAACCTTATGTAAAACCGATTTCAGGACAATTAACCAGTATTTTTAATGTATTTTTAAAACATCAACAAGAAAAAGAATAAATACATTTATTATTTTTTTTTTCGTTAACGTGAACTGATTTTTTCAGAACTCGTGAAACTCAATTGATTTTTCATCATTTATAATTTAAAAATTATTAGAAAAATGGCGGATGATACAGCGACTTCAATTTCATTATTAGATCTTAGAGATAAAAATCCAGAAAAAGAATTCAATGGTTTCAAAGATTTGGTCAATTTTGAAGCATGTATTTTATCAGTCTCTACTTTTGGAATTTTGGGTAAGCTATTCAATATCTAACATGTTCGAAACTAACAAAAATATGTTTCTAGGAATAATCTCAGCCTCGTTGCCCCTCACATTCTCATCATTTTTTGTATTTCTCGTTATTTTGTGTTGTTTTACTTGGTGTCGAGTGCATGGTGCAAGACTAACTCGTAGAGAACATGTATTTTTTGATGTTCGAAATTTACTTGAAATCGCGCCAAACTTTGAATATGAATCATATAAAATGTCTGATGATTGTATGACACCTGGAGAAGGTTTTCCACAAATGGAAAATCCTGGACCACAAACAATTTGGGAAGCATTGTTTGCAGATGAGAATAAGATTCGAATGAACACATTTTATCATGAACATTATGGTCCAGTTTATCGAAATGCAACGAAAAAATATAAGGAGTATGAAATGCAGGTTATAATTTTAATTATGAGGGGATTTTTTAATTGTCCTAGGGTAGATGAAAAAATAAGGTTTTTGAGTAATTTAGAGCTTTCAAGCTACGACAATCTGAAATCCTGCGATAATTCTCCCAGATTTTTTAAAAATCACTTTAAATGAATACTGTAGATTATTTCTCATCTGAGCTTCCGATTTTTGATTTTTGACCATTATATTGAAAATCTCATCTTCTTATCCACATCTACAGTAAACAAGTAGTGATTCTATATTTTGATAAATCCCCCACATATTTTTCCGCTTATTTTGTTTTTTTTCAAAATTGTTGTTCACCTGATCAGTCTACCGGAAATTGAAAATCTAAAAGTGCATTGTTCGATTAAATTTTCAGCAAAAAAACGAATGTCGAACATCTATCGAACCATCTTCAAATGACAACTCACAACAAATTAAAACAGCGAGAAAAGAGGAAAATTGAGATGAAGCAAAAATTGTCGACGAATTTCAATTTGAAAAAAAGTGCCCTTTTTTGCGTTCAATAAAACTGCCTAAATACTTTTGTTTATTGTTTCATTTTGCTGCAAATTTGTTGGTTTTTAATTTGGCGACTTTCTGCGGAATTTAGTTTTGACATGTTTTTCTTGAATGAAAAAAACATCTACCTCAATGTTGGCATTTTAAATAGAAGTTTGAATTTGAAAGTTTCAAATAATTTCGAAATTGTATTTTGAAAATTATTTCAACGAGTTTTAGAACCTAGGGCCACATTTTTTGAAATCTAGAAGTTTTCCAAATTCCGTCGTTAGGCAGTTTTTTAGTATTTGTTTCTTCCAATAAAACGAAAAAAATCTGAATTTGTATCCCCAAGCCGTTATTTCCAATTCGCTCACGAAATATTTTTCATCTTGCAAATAATATATTTTTCATATAGATTTTCTCATTATTTTATATTCCTTTGAAGCTGAAAAGTTAGAAAACTCATTTTTCTGGATAACGTGGTTGAAAAAAATAAAGCACTTGGCTCACAGTTTCTCACATACAATTTTCGAAAAATCTAGACTTTTTGAACTTGAAACACTCAAACCACAGTAGACTAACTGAATTTATTTTTCGCCCGCCAAGAAAGGAACCCTAATTAGCAAGTAGGTACTTTTGCACTCTTGAAAAATCAACAAAAAAATTTCAAGAAGTTTTTAAGTTTAAAAAATCGTCGCGTGCTAGTTTTCTTCCACTTCAAACTTTTTTATTCATTAGCCCTGAGGCTAACATAAATCGTGAGATTTTTGCTTATTTTTTTTCTTCAAGTTTATGAAATCCCCTTTTAAGTTGTTGTTCATAAATTAATTGTGACAAGGAAACTTTTTTGAGAACAAAGTTAAACATTTAAAGAGTTGAGCTCCAAGATTCAAAAAATATGTAAAAGTTTCAAAAAATTCTTGAACTTTCTATAACTTGGCTTTTTATATTCATTTAGATCATATAAAATGTTCTGGTAATTTTCTCGCTGAAAATTTCAGACATTTCCAAAAAGTTCTCTTGCAACTTTTTCGATTTGTTTTTTTGGGTGATGTGATTTCTACATTTATTTCCAGACTAATTTAGAATAATTACCCGTATTTATTCGGGAAAAAACAAGTTTTCGTTCTTTTTTGCTTTTTCTTTTTTCTGAAAAACATAAATTCGTCCACATCAGTAAAGAGATATGAATTGAAAACGAAGTTTTTGCTCGTCGCCTTTTTCGGTGGTCTAATGATTTATGATCTTGTTCAAAAAACCTGACATTTTTTGTCTCCTCTTCCAAAAAAAAAAATAAAACAATAAAATAGCTTTTTGGAAAAGTAATTCATTCCTCGAAATCTTTTCGAGTTTCAAAAACCTCTTCCTTTATTTCACTACTCAATAAAATTACCACTTGTTTTTGTTGTTTTCTTTTTCTTTTTTATACTAATTGTGTTAAGGAAAGACAAAAAAAGGAAGGAAGAAAAAACGGAAAAAGTGTCGAATTTCAACATCTCTTGGGAACCCACGAAACACACACGTTTTCCTTTGTTTTTCATAACATTGTCTGATAAATGTTGGAACATTTTTTTGGGAACAAGTATGAATAATTTTTGTGAGAGGAAGTTGGTTGGGGTGACATTCAACTGATCCCATGGGCGAGATTTGTCAACTCGCATTTTTTTTAAACGAGCAAGGTCAATTTTTGGAAACTCTTCGAGATATGGGACAAAAGGTTCTTGCTCAGAGAATAAGAACGGAAGACCAGTGGAGAGTTTTCGGAGTTCCGGCGGAGAGAAACCGGAATTCCATTCTACCACCGCTGGAAGTCCGAAAACTCTCCGCCGGAAGTCCGAAAACTCTCCGCCGGAGCTCCGGGAGGCAAAATTTTCAAAATTAAAAAGGAAAATATGAGGTTGATGGGGCTTCTATCTGAAGCTGTTTTTGTGATCTGGAACATATTTGAAGCATCTGAAACTGATTTATGATAAGTCGGTTTGATTTCGAAGTAGTCTGTTTTGATCTGCCACTAGCGGGGGGTCGAACCTGGCTATTGTGGGTGGATCAATAGGCAGCCATTCACCCAAATACACCATCCACGCGCGTAGAAACAGCGGCGGCGATTGGTCTTTATATATTTTATATCACCCGAATTTGTATATGTTCATACTTTTGACCCACAAATTAGCTATTTAAGGATTAAAATTAATTATTAGAAAGCTGTTTCATATGAGATTTTTCTAGTTTTCCAAATATTTCTTGAAAAACATACAAAAATGATGTTTTCAACTCCAGAGAGTCAAAATTGAACATTTTAATCTTGTTAGTTTTTTGAGTTCAAATCTTCAGTTCGTAGAAGAGTGCTGAAATTTCAATTTTCGAAACATGTGTTGATAATTTTTACATGAAAAGTAACGAAAAATTTACTCAGGTTGATTTAAATTTTCTAATTCATGAATACTTTAAGGAAAGAGATGATAGTACTTCCTGAACCTATATTCAAATGTTTCCTTGAAATTATACCAGACTTCAACCAGAAAAATTATAATTTTATCGAATTCAGAATCTAATTTTTTATCATTAGCTGTGATGTAAGACATTCAAACAATAGAAATTACTGTAAAACTTTTTTTTGTCAGAAACGAGTAAGGTTAGTTGATAAAATCATAATTAGGCAACTGTTTTCCAGTCTTTGAAGTTGGGAGGAACTTCATTAAATTCACGAACTAAAACTTTTCAAATATTAATTTTTCCGTTCACAATTTGGTCGTCTAATTAAAAAGTTTGTTCCTCAACGTCTAACCGAAAACCTTATAGAAAAAACATGAAAATTGAAGTTTCAACTCAAAAGTCAAAAGTTCACTTCTTCTCTCCGCCGTAGTCTTTCTGGACACAATTGGTAACTCCGGCGGAGAGAATTCTCCGCTGGAATTCCAAAAAGCAAGCCGAAAATCATACCGGAACTCCAGCGGACAATGTTCTCCACTGGTCTTCCAAGTTTTGGAGTCCGTTTTTGACTTTCTGACAGAAAAACAATTCTGGAAGTCCGCCGGAGAGATCTCTCCGACGGGATTCCGAAATTCGCTATTTCGGGACTCCAGCGGAGGACTTTGTCCACTGGATTTCCGTTCTTATTCTCTGAGTGAGTACTGTTTTTCTGAATTTTATTTGTATTTAAACTGATTCGTAAAAGCTGCATTTTTTAATCCAAAAATCAGTTCCGAGAATCACGAAAACCTTCAAAAATTAGGATTTCAGATCCTTTTTCTAAAAAAAACATTACTAAAAATTTTCAGATTTCTGAAAGAGTTTTTCTGGGAACTTTTCATTTAAAGAAAAAAGCACACTTTTTCTGAAAAACAGAAATTTCACCACATCATAACTCATTTTGACAAGTTGTGAATTTTTAGAATCTTTAGATGTTTGAACTTTCAAAATTCGAATAAATCATGGACTCCCCCCCCCCAAGCATGTTTCAGAGAAAAGAACTTTGAAAAATTGATTTGTTCGTTGAAAAAATGACCTGTGTAAAAAAATAAGGATGATTTTTTTGAGTACTGTAGATTAAGTTTCACAATTGATCCAACTTTTTAATGAATATTCCATAAGATTATGATGTGGCAGAATTTTCATGTCAAAACATTAAAAATTTTCAGAACTTGAACATTCAAAGTTCCAGGAAATCAAAATTTGCCCCCAGACTTCCTAAAAAAAAGCGGAATTTTTCACCTGTCAAGTTTATAATGTTTCTCGGAACAAAACAAAGATTGATCAGTTTCTAAATCATTCAGACATCATAATGTTTTTTTTCGAATATTCTGAACTGGACAATTAAATTTAATTTTTCGAAAAACTCCAAGTTTAGTTTGACTTTCTTGAAAAAAAATATATGGAGACCTTCTGTTTTCATGTGTTTTTTTTTGTTTTCTGTCCAATAAAAAGGACACCTTCGAGCCTCAGCCCATAAAAATGAATGACTAAATAAATGAATAATAAAAAATAAAAATATTTATCCTCTTCCGATCTGTTTTTGGTTGTTTTGTGGTTGCCTAAAAATAAAAAATGAAGGAAGGAGGAGAGAAAGAATCTAATTAACCAGAAAAAAACTCGGCTTCACCAAAAAAAACAACCGATTCGTGATTTTTTGGTTCTCTTCTATAATTACTTGAAAATTTTTAACTTTTGACCTTTTTACCGTAATCCTCCCATCTTTTCTTGAAAAATGCACATTTTTGTTGAATTTTTAATTAAAGTTTTCTAAGACCTCCTAGTTTTTTTTCTGCATTTTTTGTTGCTCGGCGAGCTCGAAATAATCTTTGGATCCTTCAAAACTTCGCATTTTTTAGGACAACCGAACAAATAGTTTTCAATTTATCATTTTTTACATTATCTTGGCTCAAGTCCAACGTTTTCTCTTTTTTTTTTGGTTGTCCGCGATATTGCCAAACTCCGCCCACATTTTTTGCTTGCTCGAATTTTTCGCTTCATTTTGGCTGGAAAAAACAGAAGACGAGAAGGAGGAGAATGAATAGTGAAAGTGGTGAATATTATGAAGAATCTGTCGTAAATGACACGTGTGAATATTTGGTGAGTGAACACTTTTTACTGATTTGGTTTTGTTTTCAGTTATTTTGAGTTCAAAAGTTGTGGGATCTTGAATTTTTTAACCGGATTTTTTCAAAAAAAAACTTCTCTATTCGAAGTTACTAGTTATAACAATTTATAGTTTTTTTTTGAGATTGAAGAAATTATTCAAAAATCTTCCAATTTCCAAAAACCAAATTTTTGCAGGGCACCGATCACATCGAAGGAAAAATCTATTACATCGGTGTATTTGCAACTCTAATCGCAATTCTCTCAATAATCTTCAACACATTCTACACAATCGTTTTCATCCGGAATCCGAGTTTAAGGTATCCCTTTTTGTTCTGTTTATAAGAATTCACTTTCAAGATTCTGTTTTTATTAGGTAATTCAGATTAAATAGATGTTTTTCTTCACTATTTTTATTTTCACATAGCAAAAAACTTTTGTTTTTTATTCTCTTATTTTTCCAGAATAAGAAATTTAATGTTTTTTGATCTGACAGACATATTGAAGTTCTCGAAGATGTCAATCAAAAGTTTTCTAATTTAAAAGCATTTTTTGATGAAACAGGAAACATATCCAGGAAAACATCATACTTAAAATTAATGATTCGATCGAATTTCCGGCGGAAAATTGGATTGTTTTTTTAAAAAGAGGAATATTGAAATTGGTTAGGGAAAAAACTTGGATATTTTCAGGCGTTCGGGTGTGTTCTATTTTGGTGTAATTGCTGTTATCGACATCATAATGGCTATCAATTATATTGCAGCAATGTCACTTCCAGTTCGTTTTTTTCATTGTTTGCAGATTTTGAAAAATGTTTGAAACTAAAATTTTTGAGAAAAACTTTTCGAGAAAGTTTTGAACATCTCAAATCAAAAACCCAAGATGTTTGAATTCCAAAAATTTCCCCATTCACAACAAAAAATAAGAGTCCTTGAAACAAAAGCCCTTAAATGTTGCTGAAAATTATAATTATTTTTAGGTTTACATGGACTACTTCCTCATTTTGCCACTTTATCATCTATTTTTATCATATTTTCGAGTTGTTCTAACTGAATCAAATTGCGCTATGTTTGCATCGATGTTATTGATTGTTTTGGCGACGACCGAAAGATTATTGAAAACATTTCAAGATAAAACTATCGTTTCTTGTAGAAAGTAAGTTGCCATGTTAAGGTTCGCGTGATTTTGCTAGCTAAAATTTGACACTAATAATTTCATAGACGCTCATAAAATTGTCTCATCATTTAAAATTCCACCTTCTCCGAAAAGCTTTCTCATTTCCTCATAACAAATAATAAATATTTCAGATTTTTGGAGCGAAATCGTTATCAATTGAGCGCTCTTTGCCTTATTCTCGCATTTGCCTATAAATATTCAATGTACTATGAAACAGATTTGAAAGTCAAAGAACATTGTGAGGGTTGGGCGTGAGTTTTTTATTTTCGTTATTTTGGAGTTGTGACAATCTCGAAAAACAAATGACTTATTTTTAGGAGATATGAGATTATTGCGGGAGAATATGCAATTGATGAGACTTATCGATTTTGGTTCATGTTTTTGATGCGAAATATTTTGGATCGATTTTTGCCGTTTTTTGCATTGATTATGATGAATATTGTGATTATTAGAGTGAGTTATTGAGTTTGCACGATTTTCAGAATATACTAATTTTTGAAAAAAAATGAATTTTTAATTGACGAACTTCATAATATTGGGGTTCTTACTTAAAATATTCTTAATCTATCAAAAAATTTCTAGGCTACCAAAGAAGAGGAACTTCGAAAAATCCAAAAAGAAAGTGTTGGAGGCGGTGAGAAAAAAGCTATGGAAGTCAAATCGCATCGAAAGAATGTTCGAGATGCAACTCGAGCACTTATCAGTCTCGTTTCCATATATTTATTATCTCAATCGTTACAAGTTGTTCTTGCATTTTGGGAAACTATTAACCGTGATAGTTTGGAGGATTACCCGGTTATTTATTCGTATTTGAATGATACATGTTCAATTTTCACACTTTTGGCAAGGTAATTCACTTATTTTCCAATTACTAAATTTAAAATGAAAACATTTCAGCTGTCTCCGTTTTCCTGTTTATTTTAGTTGCAATCGTTTAATTCACACAGCCTCAATTGACACTTTGAATGGAATGCGATGTTTCAAACGAAACATCAAAAAATCGTCAGCAGAATATTCGCCGATTCATGGATTGCCTCAAACAAGTCCAGAAAGTTTGATTATTTCCAAACAATCTGTTATTTATGATGAGAATTTGGAAGAATGGAGATTGTAAAAATTTAAATGTAAACGGGTGATTAATCAATTTGTTTTTTTTTAAAATAAATTTTATCATTTTTCATTTTTTTTTAAATTTTTAATTGTAAATATAAAAAATCAAATACCAGTGAGATCATCAAAATCTTTTCCATACTTTTTGCTTGGCACAAATGGTTCCCATTTCGATGCCGGATATATGTGCTTATTTTTCTCATACCAACTTCTCAACACAATTTTAGCCGGATGTGATTCTCCATAATCTAAAGCAGCATCTTGTCGTATCCGGACATCGGAAGCAGCATCGAAAATGAATAATGGACCGGATTTTCCCATTGCTTTTGTCACTATGAAATCATGAAATGTGTAGAAGTGGGGGATTATAAGATCTTCTTTCACAAACATTAGATTTTCAGCAGTCGAGTTACGAAGTTCCGAAAATTCTTTTTTCAAGGCCTGGAAAAAAAAACATAATTTATGACAGAAATACATATTTCAATACTGACCTCAATAGCTTTCGCCAAACACTGTGCAATTGTATTTCCTCTTCGAATTTTCATATTTTTCCGATGTGAAGATCCATCCCAATAGGCATATGCAACTGTAATTTCTTCATTTTTCTCAACTTCCTGCATTTCTCTCCATTCTGCTGCCAATTCTTCTCGTTTCCTTCGAATTTCTTCTTCTCTTTCCTTGTCAGGTAGAAAACTTGTATCAACAGTTGGATCCATTCCTAATCGCTTTTTAGGAATAAATACAGGTTCTTCTTCTTCGTCTTCTTCATCGTCTTGAGCAAATGATAAAACGCGTTTCTAGAAAGATACATTTAAATTTTTGCATTTCATCAAAGTATCAAAGTAAGTATTGGGAATAGACTAGCAAAAATATATTTACAAAAATGCAAGAAGGCAGGCACATGAATTGGAAATTCTTATATGTTTGCATACATTCTTAGACGTGTTTTAGTTCACGGAGATTATTATTATTCAAAAAAAAACATTTTTTTTTGCAATATTTCACTCGGCCATTTCTAAAAATAAAAGATATTGCAATCAGGCACCATTTTATTCAAAAATTTGAGGTGGTTTTATGGTGGACATTTTTGTCAATTTTACCAGCCTATTTCAAATCAACTAACTTGGGTATGTTGTTTAACGAGATCATCTTTTTCTGTATTGACCGATTTTTCCGGAAGCTGCGATGTGCTTGAGTCACCGCGCGCCACTTGTAAATCTCTACTCGAAATCGCATTTTTTTGTAAATTTTTCATATCATCAAGTGACAACAATCCATAGGTTTGTGCCCGCATTGTTTCTTGAACAGAATCATAATTTGCGGTAAATTTTCCCGAAATTCCCATCTTGCCTGAAACATTTAAATTAAATTGTCAGGCTGAAAACATTTATAAATCTCACTTTTTTCTTTGTCTTCTTCTAGTTTCTTCAGTTGTTTTTCGTGGTCTTCTTTTTCTCGTTCTCTCCGTTTTGCTAAATGAATCAACCTTCCTTCGTCAGCTCTTGACATCTTTTCTGGAACTTTCTCGAAAACTGCAAAAAAACAAAAATTCGAATATTTTAGTTAACGTGGCCTAGAAAAATAAAAAACTCTTCCATCATTCATTTTATCGAAATGGAACGATTATTTCGTATGAAAACCACAAAAATCGAAGCAGAACATTGAAAACTATGATTGTTTTGCATAATAAAAGTCATTTAATCCTGAACAGGCCTTCCAAGAAATTATAAAACTTCCAGCAAAGAAAAAACAATCGAAGGACTAGTTTTCTTTATTATTGTGTAAAACGCGCTCCGTTGCGAATTTTCCTTCGAGAATGTTCTGAACGAGAAAACAAATTTGAAATAGGCCAATCAAAGCGCTTAGCTCCGCCCACATTCTAGAATTTTTCCCGCAAGGTTTAAAAATTTCGCCTCAACGTCAGTTCGTTCTCAATTCATTTTGCAATAACTGCGTTCTCTCTCTCTCTGTACTTTGTGATTTTTCACACCAAATTCCCAATTTCCAGTAAAATGTCCGGTGAAACCTTCGCATTCCAAGCTGAGATCGCTCAACTTATGAGCTTGATCATCAACACCTTCTACAGCAACAAAGAAATCTTTCTTCGTGAATTGATCTCTAACTCTTCTGATGCTCTCGATAAGATCCGTTACCAGGTAAGGAAATAATGAATGACATAGTGCAGAACATAGCTGAAATTTAAATTTTTAGGCCCTTACCGAGCCATCCGAGCTTGACAGTGGAAAGGACTTGTTCATCAAAATTACTCCAAACAAGGAGGAGAAGACCTTGACCATCCAAGATACCGGAATCGGTATGACCAAAGCCGATTTGGTCAACAACCTTGGAACCATCGCCAAGTCTGGAACCAAGGCCTTCATGGAGGCTCTCCAAGCTGGAGCTGATATCTCCATGATTGGACAATTCGGAGTCGGTTTCTACTCCGCTTTCCTTGTCGCCGACAAAGTCGTCGTCACATCGAAGAACAACGATGATGAGCTCTACCAATGGGAGTCATCCGCTGGAGGTTCTTTCATCGTCCGGTAAGTTCAACAGAAACGAGTGTTTTAATTTTTGCAACCAATTCTTGAATTTCAGTACCGTTGTCGACCCAGAAGTCACCCGTGGTACCAAGATCGTCATGCACATCAAGGAAGATCAAGTTGACTTCCTTGAGGAACGTCGCATCAAGGAAATCGTCAAGAAACACTCTCAATTCATTGGATACCCAATCAAACTTGTGGTTGAAAAGGAACGTGAGAAGGAAGTCGAAGACGAGGAAGCCACTGAAGAAAAGACCGAAGAGAAAGAAGGAGAGGTCGAAAATGTCGGAGAAGACGCTGATGCCGAAAAGGCCGACAAAAAGAAGACCAAGAAGATCAAGGAGAAGTATCTTGAAGATGAAGAGCTTAACAAGACCAAGCCAATCTGGACCAGAAACCCAGACGATATCTCCAACGAAGAATACGCCGAGTTCTACAAGGTAAGGCATCACGAGAAGTGTCCAACCTAATTTTGAGTTTCTTTCAGAGCTTGTCCAATGACTGGGAAGATCATCTTGCCGTCAAACACTTCTCCGTTGAAGGACAACTCGAATTCCGTGCTCTTCTCTTCGTTCCACAAAGAGCTCCATTCGATCTTTTCGAAAACAAGAAGAGCAAGAACTCCATCAAATTGTACGTTCGTCGTGTCTTCATCATGGAGAACTGCGAAGAATTGATGCCAGAATACTTGAACTTCGTCAAGGGAGTCGTCGATTCCGAAGATCTTCCACTCAACATTTCCCGTGAAATGCTTCAACAATCCAAGATCCTCAAGGTTATCCGCAAGAACCTCGTCAAGAAGTGCATGGAACTCTTCGAAGAAATCTCCGAAGACAAGGACAACTTCAAGAAATTCTACGAGCACTTCGGAAAGAACCTCAAGCTCGGTATCCACGAAGATTCCACCAACAGAAAGAAGCTTTCGGAATTCCTCCGTTACTCAACATCTGCATCCGAGGAGGCTACTTCTCTCAAGGACTACGTCAGCCGCATGAAGGAAAACCAAACTCAAATCTACTACATCACCGGAGAATCCAAGGAAGTCGTTGCTGCTTCAGCCTTCGTTGAACGTGTCAAGAGCCGTGGATTCGAAGTTTTGTACATGTGCGACCCAATTGACGAGTACTGCGTCCAACAACTCAAGGAGTACGACGGAAAGAAATTGGTTTCAGTCACCAAGGAAGGACTCGAACTCCCAGAAAGCGAGGAAGAGAAGAAGAAATTCGAGGAAGACAAGGTCAACTACGAAAACCTCTGCAAGGTTATCAAGGATATCTTGGAGAAGAAAATCGAAAAAGTTGCCGTTTCCAACCGTCTCGTTTCTTCACCATGCTGTATCGTCACATCTGAATACGGATGGTCCGCCAACATGGAACGTATCATGAAAGCTCAAGCTCTTCGTGATTCATCCACTATGGGATACATGGCTGCCAAGAAGCACCTCGAAATCAACCCAGACCACGCCATCATGAAGTGAGTTTTTAGTAATTGAAAAAAAAATCCTAAACAATTTATTTTTCCAGGACTCTTCGTGAACGTGTCGAGGCTGACAAGAACGACAAGACCGTAAAGGACTTGGTTGTTCTTCTCTTCGAGACCGCCCTTCTCTCATCCGGATTCTCACTCGAGGAACCACAATCCCACGCTTCCCGCATCTACAGAATGATCAAGCTTGGTCTTGACATCGGAGATGATGATATCGAGGAGCCAGCCGCTGCCACATCCAGCATTGCTGCCGCCAAGATCGAAGGAGCTGAAGAAGATGCATCACGCATGGAGGAGGTCGATTAAATATTAATCTTATTTATTTTTTTGCCCTTTTTTATATTTGTTACTATCAGATCTCCCAAATGCCGCAAGGCTGTTTTACAATATTTGTTTTCAATTTATTGAATGATAATGAACCCCTCCGATGAAAAAATGTGTTGTTTTTTTCGTTTCCAAATTAATTTTTGGAACGTGAACGTGTGCTCAAAAATCACTGCTTCTCATTTCTGAAAAATAATGTTATCGATAATATACGAAATTGTTTGTTTCGTCATGCTCATCAACATGGTTTACTGTATAATTCCTGAAGAAGAAATAAAATATGAACCACGACCAAGACCTGAATTTAACCTAAATTTATGGGAACCATGTGTCGAACCAATCGAAAAACACAAACTTAGTGAACGGTGAGAAAATAAAAACCATTTCTACAGTAACCCAAGACTGAACATTTTCAGATGGACGAAAGCAAAAAGTGAAAAGAAGAGCAAATAATTTGTTGTTTTTCCAAAAATCTGTCGGTGTTTTCAAAATTATTTAATAATAAAGTATTTGGTTGCTAAATGTTTACTGAACCGCAAAACATCTGCTTAGCTTCAGCTTAATCTCCAAGGTAACCGAGAAGAAATCTTTCATTTCTCTCGTATTTTCTATCTAACAAATTGTAGTTATAATAAATATTACTCATATTTTAATTATTATAATGGAAAAGGGACAGAAAACTGGAGGAAAACCGAAACATGTTATGAAAAGATTGACGAAAAAGGTATTTTGCAGATAAAACTCTTGAACTTTTATTTTGAAAATATTTTTCCAGATCCCTGCAGCAACTGTAAAAACAACAAATCAAAAGAAAACATCTGATCCGAGTCCAAAAATTGGAATTGTTGTTCCGGATGTTCGAAAAATGGCTGATATTGAGAAAAAATTGGGGACTCTTCAAATTCATAAAGATAAACTGAAACAGCAGACTGAAAAATTATCAGGAGAAGTGAATAAAGTGAAATGTGATTTGAATATGAGTCAACAAGAAAGAGGAAGAATGCAACAATTCTGGCAAATTGCTGAAATGAATTTGGAAACTGAAAAGGAAAAAGGAAGAGATGTTGAAAAAACAATGTTTTGTTTGAAAACTCAACAAGCAAATCATGTTCAAAAATTACAACAAAAAATTCGAAGTCTTGTATTATCAGCAAAAACAAATCGACATGCTTCAACACAATCTGATCCGATTGCACCAAATGGATTTGTAATATCTGCTGAATGTCAAACTATGGAAGAAATATCAAAAGAAAAAGCAGCTAATATTTTGAGACAATCTGATGATTTATTGACTGCTTTTATTTCGGAATTAGAAAAAGAGAAATTAAATGCGCAAAGTGATTTGAAATATGCTGTAGTTCAATTGGAACAAAGAATGAAAGAAGAAATGGAAACACAGGTACTGTACAGAAGTTACTGTAGTTCAAACTTTGTTTTCACAGAATTTTTTAAAAATTTAATTTATGAGCGGGTTTTCCTAATTTTCCCAAAAATTCTTTGAAATATTTTTTCGGAAACATTTTTTATCAATTATTTTAATTCTAAAATTTCATATCTATTTTCCAGATGCGAACAATGCGCGAAGAACGAGAAATCGAAATCGAAGAGATTGGTTTGAAACATATTGAACAAATTCGATCAATCGAATCCGCGCACGATGAAGAAACTTCGCATCTTCAGGGAAAAATTGAATTTCTTCAAAAAGAAGTCGAAAATTTACGAGATCTTCGTGATGGAATATCAACAAATCTAGCAGATTGTAGAGAAAAAATACAAGAACAAGCTGTGCAATTGGGACAATCACAAGGAAAAATTGATGAAATGAGTAAAGAATTGACAAGATTACAGGATTACAAGAAAGCTTTTCAAGTGAGTTTCTTTAACTTTTCAACAACAAAAAACTTATACGATTTTAGCGTGATATGAGAAACTTGGATTCGATGAGAGCTGAAGTTGAAAAATACAAAGAATTGAATGAAATAATAATGGGAGAATTTTTCAAAAATCGAAAAAGAAAGAGATCAACTATTAGAAGAAGTTGAGAAAAATCTAAATCGACTTGATTTCACAAATTCTCGAAAATTCCAAAAAATTGATTCAATCAAAAAATAATAAAACATTTATTGCAATAAAATACCAAAGGCACATGACTATTTTTGTTTTGTTGATTAGCACCTATATTTGAATTGTTATTGACATGGATAAATTTTATGCCCAACCACCAGTTAATTTGTGGAAGAGTTCTTCGTTCAAATTTTGAGCTTGTTCTTTTGAACGCATTGAAAGGAAAATGTAACCTCCGATAAATTCGTGAACAACCTGGAAAATATGTATGAAGTTTTTTGGGATATCAGTTTTGTGTGGATTTTCAGATATAAAAAGGTGAGAAACCTATCCTTAGATTAATGGTAGATTTAGAATCAACCCCGAGGAATAAGGCAAGATTTTTTGAATTTCTGAATCGGCAAAAAATTACCAAACTTTTTGAATTAATCAGAATAGATTTGATTTTTTTTCAGAAAAATTCTGAATTTTTTGCACATTTTAAATATATATTCAGGACATAAAAATGAGTAGCCTATCCTCACAATCAGATTCAGTCAAAATTTTTCCGAAAAATTTAATAACGAACCTTGCAATCAGCAGATAATGGTTTGAATTCAATATCTTCATCTTCAAATTGAATCTTTAGATGACGAATTTCCCAATTTACATGCCATTTTTTCATATTGGCAAATCTCCAAGTCTTGATACTTTCTCCATTATCCCAATTCATTTTTACTAGACGATTTATAGCAACTCCAACCAAATCAGCTTTTCTACCATTTCTAAACCGAACAATGAAATAATGAACACCGTGTTCTGGAAGTGCTTGCCATGCTCGAATATACTGTAGTTTTGCTTCAGTGGATGTGAGTTGTCTCACATTTCCATGCGCGTCGGAAATTCGTTGTTGAAGCTGAAACTTTTTTTTATTTCTTCAATTTTTCAAAATTAGAAATAACTAACCGTTTGTTTTGTTCTTGCTCGTTTTACATATCGATTTGATACATATTCGTCTACATTAAAATCAGATGGAAGTTTTACAGCTGTTGCTTTCCGATTTAATGTTCCATTTTCATTTCCATTTGAACTCTGCATTTTGAGAAGATTTCGAATACTTTCAACTTCTTGTTGATATGAAGCATCAGCCATTGATTTACCCCTTGAAGCAAGTCTACAAGCAGCCATCCATCTTGCATATTGATGTTCGGAATCGCATTTCAAAATAAAGTCGGTCATACCTTCAGCAGTTGGAACAAGTAATTTGATGTGGTATTTTTGTTGATTCACTGAAACATCTTGACCAACTTCACAACCTTTTAGTGAAAAATGTCCGAGAGGTTGTGAATTGACATCAGAAGAAGATTGATGGTATGTGAGATAGAGATCACGGAATGAGAAAAATGCTCTCTTGAATCCTTTGAATGCTGCTAATTTCTTCGGTTTCATATATTTCAAATAATCAGCAAGTTCAGGAACATGAGTAAGATCACTTCGACGATTCAAAGCAGCGGCATCAAGATTTTGTTCAAGTTCATCAAGAAGAAGATCAACATCATCTTTTCCAGAATCTTCAGGTTCAGGAGAATCTCGCTGAAGTGTTGCTTGAAGTTGAAGAGCAGCAAAAAGAGTAGCTTCTTCTTCAGTATGATCAAGTTCATCCAAAAGAATACTCCATTTTGCTTGCTCATATAATTGATTAATTCTGACTGGATCATATTTTGGATTCAAATCGAAAAATGACATATATTTGAATCGAAGAAGAACAATATCACCCTCAAAAACTCCTTGTTCCATTAATGATCGACTCGAATCAAGCCATCCTCGATTAATTGCAGCCTTTTCAACATAATTTTGTGGTCGAAAAACTGGAGTATCTCGAGTGGCTGCAATTCTTGGCGAATGAACCAAAGCTGTATCGAATTGCTCATTTTCCAATCCTTCACTAAAACTGATACTTGGCATAATTGGTGTTCTTCTCATTGTATCATTATAAGCGCCTGGAGATGGACTAACTCCACGTGGAAGAGTTCCATGACGTGGCAATGTTCCCATTTCATTTGAATTGAAAATATGACCAGTTGATGAGAGAGCTGGTGATTGTTGACGGCGACGCATATCAAGATTAGATTGAGATGCAAAAATTGGAGTCGCCTTTCGAAGTGTCATTGGTCCAATTGATTCTTCTCCAGGTCGAATTGCTTGTGGACCAGAAAGATTGTCAGCATCTGAAGTTCCTTTTCGAAGAACATCTGGTGGAATATACCGCTTCAACGAAAGCTCTTCAGAATGTCGAATTCCAATATCTCGACAAAGTTTCGCAGTAGCTTTGACAATATTAACTGAAAAATCGAGACGAGCATCAATCATTTGCAAATCAGGTAGTTGGATTCTGGCATCTTTATGCATTGGAGTGAATTCGAGTTGAGTTTCAGCAGTGATACCATTTTGATCGAGAGTGGAACGGGTGTGTTGAAGCCATCGACGTTTTTCTGGCCACCAAAGAGCATGATCAGACCAATCTCGAGCAAGATCTACAAAAAAGTTTACATTTTTAAAATTACAAAAATATGGGATGTTTGCAATAGAGCGCAAATTCCCAATTATCATTGTTTTGAAAAAAAAATTATTTTATTTTCTTTGTTTGTTTGAGTAAAAAATGAATAAAGAACGCCGTTTGAGTATTTTTTCTACAAAAGTTGAATATAATTTCTTTGATTGTATGAGCTTTATAAATAGATTTGAAAATCGTTCTCAAAAGTGTTGTAAGAATCAATTTTTTTTTTCATCTCAATTTTTTTCTGAAACATCATAACTCTTTGAGGCCATTTTTACTGTTTCAACTAAAAAGCTCTTCTCGTCTCCCACACTCTCGCCCCCTCAAAAACAACCAACACTTTACACTATTTCCCACCCATCCTCAATTTTTCATCTGATCATCAAAATGTTTTTGGATCATCAATCGATAAAGTCAACCCTTTTTTCATAAAAGGAAATTCTCAATGCATAAAAAATGAAAAAGACTCACCAACTTCATTTACAAGTTGAAGCATAAGACCTCCGATGTGCAAATCGCCGCGCACAAAAATGTTTCTGAAATTAAGTAGGATTTGGAAAGATTTTAGAAAGAGGGTAGTGAAAATATTGAACTTTTTTATAATATAAAGATACCGTACCTTTGGATGTTCATATCGGTGACAAGAATTGGTAATTGCCACGAGCCATCGAGCACCGAAGTGCCTTCCACCAAATGTGTCATGGCTAAAATTTCATAATAATTTGAAAACTAAAAAATCATTAAAAATCATATGAACAAAATTAAACAGAAGAACAAAAATAATAATAAAAAATAATAATAATAATTCGGAAAAAGAACGCTGTCTTTTTCTCTTATTCCTTCATGGTGTGCCTTTTTCTTTCTTCCTTCTTTCATCTCTCTTCGTTTCTTTTTTGTGTACCACAAATGCCCTCTTTTTATGTCTGTTTCTCTCGAATTCCTCCACTATTTCCATCATACAAACATAAAATGGGAAATAGTTAGTGGGAGGTGGAGACGCAGCACGTCTCAATGGTCAGATTTTGTGTTGATGTTGCAAATGTAGTAGATGGATATATTTATGCGTATTTAGAATGTACGAAATTTTTGAGCAAGATGAGCAACTTGGAAAATTTTGGAAATTTTTCAAAGACAAAAACATTGGCTACAACATTCAGAATTGAAATATTCATTTCGAAATATCATACTAAATTGAAAATTAAAATCCTAAAAAATATCATCATCGTTTTTTTGTTCTTCTTTTTTTGGTTCCAATTGTTTTGAAACTAATTTATAATACATTCCATTGATATTTTTCATCAAATCAAAATGTGTTCCAATTTCAGTAACTTGTCCTTTTTCAATAACAGCAATTTTATCAGCATTTTTAACAGTTGATAAACGATGTGCAATTATAATAACAGTTCGATTTTTAGCACAACAATTTAATGCATCTTGAACTAATGATTCAGATTCAGAATCTAATGCAGAAGTTGCTTCATCAAGTATTAAAATAGCTGGATTTCGAATTAATGCTCTTGCAATTGCAATTCTTTGTTTTTGTCCACCACTCATTTGTATACCTTTTTCACCACATTTTGTATCATAACCTTTTTCTAATTTTTCAACAAATTCATGAACATTTGCCATTTTTGCAACTTTCAACATTTCTTCTTCACTTCCATTTTCATAACCATATAATATATTATCTCGAATACTTCCACTAAATAATGTTGGTTCTTGTGCAACAAGTGCTACTTTTGAATGATAATATTCATGTTGAATATTTTGAATATTTGTTCCATCTAATAATATTTGACCTGATTTTGGTGCATAAAATTGTTCAATTAATGATACAATTGTTGTTTTACCATTTCCACTTGGACCAACTAATGCAACTGTTTTTCCTTTTTCAATTGTTAAATTCAAACTTTTCAAAACTTCCACATTTTTTCTTGTTGGATATGCAAATTCAACACCATCAAATACAATTGTTCCCAATACTTCTGGAGTTTCTGATCCATTTTCATAATCCAAAATTGGTTTTCGATTCAACAAATATATTACTTTTCGAGATGATCCAATAATTTGCAAAACTTCCGAATAAATTTCAGTGAAAGTCTAGAAATAGCTTTGAGAAAATCAAATTTACGAAAACGTGATAACTAACATCTAAAGATTGAGTCAATTTCGAATGATAAGCAACGTATACTAAGAGATTTTTTGAATCCATTCTCCCATTAATTGTCAAATAACCACCGTATAAATAAACAAGAACACTTTCCATATTATACATCAATCTCCACAACAGCGAGAAAATTGAATGTAGCACTGAACTGTAATATCATCTTTTTAATTTTCAATCATTTTTTGTTCAATAAAATACCTTTTCATGTCGAATTTAAACCACTCATTTATATGTTTCGTATATCTTTGAAACTCAATTTTTTCTGTTGCAAAAGATCGAACAGTTCTTATCGCAGATAATACATTTTGAACAATATCAGTTGTATCAGCATTCATATCACTTTCTTCATCGTATAAATCTACTGAATATTTTCCATAAAGTTGTGATACAATAAAGGAAATTGGGAAAGTTATAAAAGCTGTCTGGAAATAATGATAAATTGTTTTATTGAAATTCTAAACTTACAAGTGATAATTGCCACGAATAGCTCACAATAATTGGTAAAATACCGACAAAATGAATGATATTCATAGTAAGTGTTTCTAAACATATTGGAATAGAATGTGAAATAGAATTTGTATCACTATCCATTCGACTCATTAATTGACCTGTACTATTTTCATCAAAAAATGAAATATCTTGATGAATAATTGCTTTGAATAAGGCTAGACGAACTTGTATTGAAGTTTGTGTATTCGCATATGATTGAAATATATATTTGATGGTATCCACAATTATTCTGTAACTCAATCGTATTTTGTAACAAAAATTGAACGAACGTAGAAAGATCAACAGCAATCAGAAGAAGACATGATTTTTTGAGAAGATCAAAAGATTGCATTGTTATTGCATCAATCAACATTTGAGTGTTTATAGCTGGCTGAATTAAATTGGCTGAAATAATTATGTTTTGAATTTTTAGAAATATGAACAAGTTTTACCAGCACAACTAATGATAAGAAAAATATATGAAGCAATGAACCATTTCCATTGTTTGGAACAAATTTTGATTATAAGAAAAATGTGTTTCCAAAAAGGTACTCGATTTGCTCTTTCTTCCTTTGATAACCCACTTCTTGATTCTTCATCTTCATCTGAATCGTTTATTGAATTTTCTTCTGTTTGATCTTCTTCTTCTAATCTTCGATAATTGAATTGACTTGATAAAATCGAAATTCGAACAAGGCCACAAAGAAGGATAGAAAACACAATTGAAGATCCAACATTTATGAATGCGCCTGGAGAATCTCCAAGAAATCCCGATGTTTCATCAAATGCTAATATTTTGATTGTTGAAATCATGTAGGATAAAACAGCAGCAATATCAACGAATAAAATATGTTTTTTCAACTTTTCCGATTTTCCATATCGAACAATTATAAAAGTAATAAGAAGAACTATTTGACGAAAACAAACTAGAATTATAAAATCTAATGGAGAAGTCCAATATGAATAATTGAAAATATTCAAAGTTTTCCAAATATTCTCAAAATTAATTGACCATTTTGAAGAATATAAAGTTATACCAAAAAATGTTAGAAAAATATCAAAAAGTGAGTATAGAAATATAAATAGAACATGGAATACAACCCGCATTTTTCAAAATGTGTACTAGAGAACTAATATTTTTACAGTGAATTTTGTGGTGCAATGAGTAATAAAAATCTTTTGTTAGAAAATTTGTATTGTTGTATTCGAAGAAAAATTAATTTTAACATGAATACATTTTTGTGAAAAATATTTAGAAAAATAAAATATTGCAAAAAAATTTCCAATTTTTCAGAACGTGAACTATTACGTGGCAATTTGGAAAAATTCATTTTTAGAACAAATTTCTGAGAAAATGTTTTTTAAAACTATTTTAGGCGTGAACTTTGTATTTCAGAAAATTCAAATTACATTTCTTGAATAATATTATTTTTCGTTTTGTTCCAAATACCACCGGTATTGTTTTTCTATTATTTTCTATTATATTCTTTGCCTTTTTTTCATTCTTTGAAAGCTAATCTTTTTCCGAAAGGATGTTTAATGGAGCATTAACCAAAATTTCTTGTTATTTTTCCTTCGAAAAAAAAACCTCGATTCATAAATATATTTTTTCTTGCTCTATAAACTTATGAAAACACTCAAAGCCATCTGCTTGATATTTATTTTCCCATCAATTTTTTTGTGTTCTTCACATTTTCCTCAAACAACAGAAAAACCACAAATTCTTTCTATTTTCTAACCTGATTATCTTCAGCCAGCTTTCGCTCCATCTTTGTTACTTTTTTCACTAAACTATTTTTTGTCGGAACTTTTTTGTTTTTTTTTTGAGATTTTTGTTCAGATTTGACGTGTAGAGAAAAAAAATGAAATCTGGAAGTGGCGAATGGCTATCGATTGAAGATTTGATGGAGAAAATCAGCAATAAATCGGCACAAGAAAGAAAGGTTTGAGTTTTCATTCTCCCACTTCATGAAGAAAAAAATGACATTTGATATTATGAAAGAATTGGAATGTTCTCATTTTTCAATTTTTTTTTTGAAACCAAGAAAAAAGAGCTAACCGAATTTAGTGATTTTTGTACTTTTTTCCTCGTCTCGTTTAGTTTTTTCGTGTTTTCGTTTAGTTTAGTTTAGCTCTCATTTTATTGGTCTAGTTTTGGTTGAATCATGAAAATGTCCAAGTTTTTGGTAGGTTACGAATTTTTCTGGATACTTTAAGATTTGGAAAATGTTTGGGATTTATTTCGAGGAGGGGCGGAAGCAAAACTATTTATAATCTTTCAAATGTTGAATATTGAAAAAATAATTTGATTTTGGTTTTTTGAACCATTTGATGTTTTACTGTAGATTCAAACAATTCTTCTATTCTAAACAAGTAATTTTTCTTTTTTTTTTCAAAAAAATAGTTGTGAATAGTGAATTTTCAGATCAGAAGAATTCAATTTGTTTTTCAAAATTTATATATTTATTTATCGGATTCACCCGACTCTGGAAACATAAAATTTTCGAATCAATAATTTCGAACATAAGTTTTTGAAATTCCAGTGAATTATTCCACCTGGCACAAATTTATTAATACTCAAAAAACTAACTTCAATACCTAATGAAGATTCTAATTCAGATTTGTCACACTTTTCTTCTAAATTTGTTCCACATCCAGCCAGATTTTAGAAAAAAATGTCACACCTCCTGATAAACTATAGAAACCCTTTTTCAAATCCAATTTCTCCGAATTTCTTCATCTTCCTCTTCTTTTTCATCTTTTTCTTCTTGTTCAATTCAAAAAAGCATAAAAAAGTGTTAGAAGAGGGACACTTTAAATAAATCGATAAACAGAAGGGAGTTGAGAGAAAAGAGAGCACCACCAAAAAATATAGATGTGTATGCTCATCTTTTCATTTTTTGCTTCTGCTTTTTCTGGAAAATATAATTGTTGCATTTTTTTTGCAGATGTCACAAGCCAACCATTTGTCATATTCTGCGAGGATGAGAGGTAGATCAAAACAACCTATTTACACTTCGGACAAACGAGCTAAATTTACACAGAAGGAGAATAAAAAGTCGGTTTTTTCATATTATTCTTTTATTTATAAATACTTAATTTTGCAGATGGGTTCGATTTGTGACAGTTCTTGGATATATAATTTCTGTATCTTTGCCTGCTTTATCTCTAAGTTTTTATTATATTTATGTATGGGATCCAAAGATTGAAAGAAGTTCGGATAACACAACAATTCTGGCAGCAAAAACGGAACCTGTTGGAAAGATTAATAAGATATTGATTCAGAATATGAATGATTCTGGAAAATCAAAACAGAAGAGAAATGTTGAGGAAAAGCTTGATTTGAATAAAATTTTGAGTGATGGCTTGAGTTCAATGGAAAGTCGAGAGAATTTCAGATGAATATAAGTATTTCCGGTCGATTATTTTGTATATAATAAAAACATTCACATAATAAACATTTTGAAAAATAATTTATTAGTACTGTTTCAAAAAAATGATAAATACATTATGAGTTACTCGGGTGAGATCACAATATCAAAAATCCCAATTTAAAATTCCTAAAAAATATCATCATCGTTTTTTTGTTCTTCTTTTTTTGGTTCCAATTGTTTTGAAACTAATTTGTAATACATTCCATCGATATTTTTCATCAAATCAAAATGTGTTCCAATTTCAGTAACTTGTCCTTTTTCAATAACAGCAATTTTATCAGCATTTTTAACAGTTGATAAACGATGTGCAATTATAATAACAGTTCGATTTTTAGCACAACAATTTAATGCATCTTGAACTAATGATTCAGATTCAGAATCTAATGCAGAAGTTGCTTCATCAAGTATTAAAATAGCTGGATTTCGAATTAATGCTCTTGCAATTGCAATTCTTTGTTTTTGTCCACCACTCATTTGTATACCTTTTTCACCACATTTTGTATCATAACCTTTTTCTAATTTTTCAACAAATTCATGAACATTTGCCATTTTTGCAACTTTCAACATTTCTTCTTCACTTCCATTTTCATAACCATATAATATATTATCTCGAATACTTCCACTAAATAATGTTGGTTCTTGTGCAACAAGTGCTACTTTTGAATGATAATATTCATGTTGAATATTTTGAATATTTGTTCCATCTAATAATATTTGACCTGATTTTGGTGCATAAAATTGTTCAATTAATGATACAATTGTTGTTTTACCATTTCCACTTGGACCAACTAATGCAACTGTTTTTCCTTTTTCAATTGTTAAATTCAAATTTTTCAAAACTTCCACATTTTTTCTTGTTGGATATGCAAATTCAACACCATCAAATACAATTGTTCCCAATACTTCTGGAGTTTCTGATCCATTTTCATAATCCAATACTGGTTTTCGATTCAACAAATATATTACTTTTCGAGATGATCCAATAGTCCTCATAAGATCAGAAAACATATTAGTGAAACTCTGAAAATAACTATTTTTTATATTTTAAACAGAAATAAAAGGTTCTTACATTTAAAGCGCTATGAAGTCTCCAATGGTAGAAAACATAAGACAGCAAATTTTCGGATGCCATCCTCCCATTAATTGTCAAATATCCTCCATATAAATACACCAAAACATCTTCAACATTCCACATCAAATACCAAACTAATCCAAAAGTTGTGCTCGCCATGATACTGAAATTTCCCAGATCCTTTTTTTTAATAGTTTTAAATTATTAGCTCACCTCTTCAAACTGATCTTGAACCAGTCATCAGTGTTTTTAGTGTATCTACCGTACTCTGTTCTTTCTGAAGCAAATGATCTTACAGTTCTAATTGCAGCAAGAACTTCTTGAACTGTTTCATTTGAAATTGCAGTGGCATCATTTGCTTTTTCGGATAGTTTTTCTATATAAAGTCCGTAGATTTTTGTGAGAATTAGTGAAATTGGAAATGTGATAAAAGCCGTCTGAAAATAAAAAGATACTTGATTTGTTTTTCCAAAAAAGGCCCCTCTAAACTTACAATAGATAGCTGCCATGAATAATAAACCATAATTGGCAAAGCGCCAAAGAAATTAATCAAATTTTCTGTAGTTGTCTCAATATAACCAGGTAACGAATTTGAGATCGAATCCGAATCATGCGTTATTCGACTCATCAATTGACCCGTTTTATTTTCATCAAAAAATGAGATGTCTTGATGAAGAATAGCTTTGAATAAATTAACACGAATTTGTTTGGTCGTTTTATTTGTAGCATAAGACATACACGTGGTTTTGGCAGTGCTTGAAATTGCTCTGAAAAAAGAGAAAAAATAAGGATAAAGATTGGACGATTCTGAGAAAACTAACTCTGCAAGTTGAACAGCGGCAAGAAGAAAACATGCATGTTTGAGAATATCGAAAGATTTCATTGTGATTGCATTCGTCAACATCTGACTGTACAAAGCTGGCTCGATCAGGTTCACTTAAAAATTAATTTTAGGATTTATAGGGTTACTGTAGATTTTTCTTTTGTTTAGATATCTTATCTTAGCTACAGTACTCTGAAAAATTCTAAAAAGTCCTGAAAAATATCTACAGTAACCTAACATAAGAAATATCTGATCTACAATATTTCAATTTTCTACAGTACTACTTACATGCACAGTTAACCAATAATAGCCCATAAGATAATAAAAACCATTTCCATTGTTTAGAACAAATTTTCATAATGAGGTAGACATGTTTCAATAATGGAAGTCGGTTTTCTTTTTCTTCTTTCGATACACCATCATCTTCTTCTTTTTCAGTTTCGTTGTCAGTTGATTCAGAATTTGTAGTTGAACCACCTTCTACTTCAGATGTTGATGTTGGTGTTGTAGAAGTTTCCTCCGTTTGATCTTCTTCCAATCTTTGATAATTGAATTGACTTGATAAAATCGAAACTCGAACAAGGCCACAAAGTAGAAGAGAAAAAACAATTGAAGATCCAACATTTATGAATGCGCCTGGAGAATTTGCTAGAAATCCTGATGTTTCATCGAATGCTAATATTTTGATAGTTGAAATCATGTAGGATAAAACAGCAGCAATATCAACGAATAAAATATGTTTTTTCAACTTTTCCGATTTTCCATATCGAACAATTATAAAAGTAATAAGAAGAACTATTTGACGAAAACAAACTAGAATTATAAAATCTAATGGAGAAGTCCAATATGAATAATTGAAAATATTCAAATTTTTCCAAATATTCTCAAAATTAATTGACCATTTTGAAGAATATAAAGTTATACCAAAAAATGTTAGAAAAATATCAAAAAGTGAGTATAGAAATATAAATAGAACATGGAATACAACCCGCATTTTTGAAGTTGAACTGAAAAAAAGAAAGGATTTATAAAGAAAAAAATTGGTTTGTTGACATAAACTATGGCGTAAAATTGTGAAATGATATTTACGAGTGATATCACTAGGGTGCAAATGGTTTTGAGAATGACTTTTTTGAATTTTTATGGGCGTATGATTCAATTATTTCTTGCGAAACGTTTGATTTTGGAAGAAAAATATATAGTTGATTATATGATAAATATATGATCGCATTTAAAAACAAATAATTCGAATTTTTTTAATTTTCGAAATTAGAAAAAAAATAATTTTATTTTTCCAGTTTTCTGTTACTTGGCCATAAGACCATTTTGCTAAAAAATGAGAAAAATAGCTTGAAAAGGCAGAAAAATAAAATTTTAAATTTTAGCTTGGGTACACGAAATGCGTCAGTCAAGTGCAACGTTTGCGCAGGCTATGTTTTTTTCTTTTCTTTTTACACTTTTTTTAAAGTTTCCCATATTTTTCTCGAAGAAACCACTGTTAAATCAATATTTATAGGTAATAAAAATGAAGTTTCTCCTCCGCGCATCTTCTCTTGCTGGAAACTCTTTCCGATTTGCATCACAAGCGAGAAGCAAGGTGTTTTTTGATGTGAATATTGGAAACGAGCCAGCTGGAAGAATCGAGATTGAACTTTTCAACGATCATGTTCCAAAAACTGCCGAAAACTTCAGAGCTCTTTGCACCGGAGAAAAAGGTGTAGGAAAATCAGGAGTTCCACTTCATTTCAAAGGATCGAAATTCCATAGAATTATTCCTGATTTCATGATTCAAGGAGGTGATTTCACAAGACACAACGGAACAGGAGGAGAATCTATCTATGGACACAAATTCGAGGTAACTTTTGAATATTATTTTTTTAAATAAATTTATTTAAAAAAAAATTCCAGGACGAAAACTTTGATTTGAAACACACTGGTTTGGGATGTGTCTCAATGGCAAATGCTGGACCAAACACAAATGGCTCTCAATTCTTCATTTGCACAGTCGACACTCCTTGGCTTGATGGAGGACATGTTGTTTTTGGACAAGTCACTGATGGTATCTCAATTGTCAAGAAAATCGAAAAAATCGGATCAAGATCGGGTGCCCCATCAAAGGTTGTTTCTATCGCTGATTGCGGTGAGCTCAAACAATAATTTATTCATGTTTTTTGTCGAACATTTTGTTATTTAGGTATTTTTCTGTTTTTTTTGTTGAAGGAGTTATAAATCAGCTAGATTCAATTTCGTCTAGATCTTCTTCATCATCAATGTAATCCAAAACTGATATAGGAGTGTCCGAAAAATATTGAACTGTTGAAAATTCGCAATAATTACATGTGCTTGCGCATAATTTTCGAAAGATGTGAATATATTTCCGAGACTTGCAAAGTTTCGCAGTTTTCGAGCAATCATTGGCTCGATCAACACATTGAGGAGGAGTAGATGTGGTTGAGGGTTTTTTGACAAGCGATAATACATTATCGACAATTCTCATCTTTTTCAACTTCTCGACTGTTTCTCTTCCAAGTTCTAGAATGAAATGTATTAGGTTAGGATAAATTAAATTGAGAAGCAAAAAAAGAAACTAACTAGAATTCAAAGTTCTGATATGCATTTCTCGGCTAATATCCAAATCCTCATCTTCATCTTCTCCAGGCTTCAAAATTTCATCTTCCGGAATACAAAATCTACAAGTTCTAGCACATTGAATATTCATCATTCTTCGATATAATCGTCTTGTACAAAATTTCGATCTTTTCTCACAATCATCTGATTCATCATAACAACGAGATCTTACAATAAATGGAGGTTGAGTTGTTGTGGTCGTGGTAGTAGTTGAAGTTGTTAAAACTTCAGTTGAAGTTTCGAAGGGTTCTGTAAATAACAAATAATCTTAATACATTTAAATAACTCACCATTACAGTAACCACATGTCATGGGACATGCTAATTCCATCAATTTCTGTTCAACCCGATTTGGCGATAAACATTTTATAGCAATAATTTTGCATTCAACCGAAACATCATTACAATTATTATTATTATCACTATAATCTTCAGAATTTTGAACAATTTTTACACTTTTAAAAAGCAAAAATAATAATACAATTCTATTCATTTATGATGTTTCGAATTGAAAAACGGCGAGATTTGTGTGAAGTGAAGAGGTCAATTGTTTACTCGCAGAAAAAAAACAGAAACAATATTTATTTTTAGAAACATATGTAAATACAAATAACAAAAAAGAAAGCAAAGTGCAAAAATCGAGGAGAACCCGTATTTGGCAGAATCAAAAGTTTGAAAGTTATAATGAATTTATTTTTGTAATAACTACGGACTCACAAGAAAAATGTTGAAATGAAAAGAATGTTCACGTTTTTTAAAATTCACACGTGAATGTTTGTAGTAATTATTTAATTTACACTCTGAATTTTCATTCAATTTTCAAAAAAAATAATACTTTCCAAACCATTCTCTAATGATAAATTTATCACATTCAAAATTTAGTTTTCGGTCTTGTCTCAATCCATTTCTTCAAATTCGCGTTCGAATGAACCTTTTGTTGATGTTCCTTGAATTCTGGCAAGTTATCAAAAATTGATTCATCATTGTCCAATAAATCGCAAACATGTTGTGCTAAAAACAAATCAACAAAAGTTAGATTATCTCCAACCAGATATCCACTTGGATTCTCTCTCAATATCTTTGAGAAAAATTCGAAATGTTTGTTGAAAGCTGGAATGAAAACTTCTTCTTTTAGTTTATCAGCATCACCTTCTATAAATCCTCTCAAAACTGCAAAATATGGTCGAGCTTCGGAACCATAATCTTTGAATTGATCAGAAATTGAGTTAACTTGAGCTTCTTCCCATGCAGAACTTCCATGAAGTCCAAATTGTTTAGCAAGATATCTACAAATTGCGTGAGATTGAGCCAATTGTTTTCCATCGACTGTGAGAACTGGCAATTTGCCAAATGGAGTGGCTGAAAAATCGATAAATCAACAAAACTCATTTTTAAACAGAATTGCCTTGAAAATTTAAATGTTCTACTGAACTTACAATTTTTTCTATCTGGCCATTCTTCTTTTGTAATTCGTTCATCTTCAAATTGTTGTTCAGCAACAGCCAGAATTTGACGAGGAATTTCACCGGCTCCGCGATTTGCAAAATATGATAGTTTATAGTGAACCATTTATTTTTTGAATTTAATGGAAACCTGGTTTACTTTTATATATTTTCGTCCTGTTTTCTCTGCGTTTCGTATAATCATTTTTGAAGCGAAAGAATGTGCAAACAGGAGAGAGTGCAGATAAATCAGCACAGACCACGAAGTGACGAAACATATTTTGAAATTCTTCTACAGTTTGATTTTCATTGGAAAGTTCAGAAATTGAAAACAAATTTTCAAAAAATATTCGAAAAAAAATTCTCTGAATTAAAATTGAGATGTGGAAATTTATATATTTTTAGAAGATGGTTTATGATTCGTTGACATTTTCAGATTTGAAATACAAATACCTATTATAATAACAAATGAGATGTGAATAATCCAAAAATCCATTTATTTTTATATACAAAAATATACAAATAAAGCGAGAAAAAATGTAAATATGAAAAAACCCGTGTTGCAAAAACATTTGTTTCCACTATAAAAAATATTGAATAAATCTAGAGGTTATAAAATAGCCCAAAAATTAAGCTGTGTCATATTATTTTGTCAAACTTCAAACTCGATTTGAAACTTCGTCATTTTTTGTTGGTCGAATTTTCTTCGACGAATAAATTGCGAATAACATTGATAATCTTGGTTTTGTCTTTTTGAGACTTGTCAAATTTGCTTGCGAATCTTCTGTTGTAACTTCGTCTTGATTTGTACCTTCTTCCGGTTTATTTTCATTTTCTTTTTCATTTTCAGTTTGCATTCGAAGACGAACTCGGAAAGATGACACAACAAGAACAATTACAAGTTGAATTGCAAAAATATACAAAAATACGCGATAGCCAAAATAACTAATGAGAAGTGCCAAAGGTGTTCCAGCAAGCATTGAACCAGCTGAAAATTTCAGATTTTTCGGGGGATCAGAAGTTTTTTTTTTTTTGAAAAAATTTTGATCAAAAAGAATATTTCAAGAAAATGTTCTAGAAACTTACAACTTGCGATAAATGAAATAAATGCGCTGACAGTTCCTTGAATTCTTGCAAGTCCAGCTTGCGAAGCAATCATACACCAAACATTTATCGAGCCATTCACAAACATTCCTGCCAAAAAATCCAAAAACTGAACTCAAGTTTGGAAGTTCAAAAATGCCTGCAGCCGAAAACATCATAAGACATGTATAAGAAACTGCAATAAATCTGCGAGTTGCATCGACATCAAATTTTCTTGTTGCCAGATCAATAACAATTCCAGATGCCATAGTTCCCACCAATCCACCAATTTCATATGTTATTTGAAAAACATCTGGTGATATTTGTGCGTCGGTCAAAAACAATTGAACCCAAGTCTCGCAGATGGTACGCATCTGAAAATGTGCAATTTTCCTAGAGGCACGGTTTTTTGGGAAGATCCGCCCACTTCTTTGACACTTTTTGTTTTTTTGTTTGACTATCTTTGGTAATAATATTTTTGGTCCTTCATTCATTCATTCATTCTATTTACAATCATGTCATTGGATAATTTGTGCACCGACGAACTTCATCAACTTTTCTTAAACATGGATTACAAAACTCTGGAGCATTCAAGAAACTCTTCCAAGAAAATGAGAGAAGTCATCGATAATTTTCGACATTGGTACAGGTTTGTAATTTATTTTTGTTAATTTGATGTTGATTAGTAAGAGTTTTTTTCAGCAAAGAGCCTGTCAAAAGTTTGTTTGTTGAAAGAGAAGGAACCGAAACAAATTTGATCGAAGTTAAAGATGAACGGAGCCGAACCGTAAGTTTTTCCAAAAAAAAAACAATGCTAATCATAAATTTTTCAACCGTATGTTTTTTTTCAGAAAGTATCAACTCTTGAAAACACTGATGATATTCGTATTTTCATTGCTCATATCAATCCCGAATGGCTTCTTTTCAACGACAATACAGGTTTACACAAAATGCACCACAAATGGTGGTTGGATCGAAAGAAGGTGCATATTTATGCGACAATCAATTATGATTTGTACCTTCCAATGTTCCGAAATGTAACTAGTTTGATAATTGAAAGTGAAAGAAAAGTCAATTTGAAAGATGTGATTGATAGTATGACTTGTATAACACTTCTCAAATTAAGCTGTCCTTTTGGAGTTGAATGCGAAGATGAGGAATTGGAAATTATTCGCAACAAAACTGCAAATCTTAAATCACTTCAACTTGATATGGACAATCAAAAATCTCCGAATAATCATTCTATTTTGAAGTTCATTGAAGAAGGAAATCTATGTCCAACTAGAACTTGTTTATACTTTTCAATTCTTGGAACATCAGAATCTGAACTTGAAAATATGTTGAAAAACAGCGAACGTGTTAGAAATGTTCAAAATCATGGACCAACTTGGATCATTCGGATGAATAATCAGAAAGAAGTTGCGCTAAGTGTTGACATCTATGCGATGCCCTAATGTTTTTTGTTGTTGAAACTTTTTTTTTTTGAAAATAAAAAATAAATAAAAATCTTACCTCCATTGTGAATAAATATACAAATGAAATATGCCAAATAACAATACTTCCAACAATCAAAGTCAATCCAGATTGTTTTTTCTTTTTCTTTTCACCATCTTCAACTTCTTCTTCAATATCATTCAAATGTTTTGGTCTAACATTATCTTCTCGTAAAACAATATAACAAATAATTGAGAATAGCAACATTCCAATTCCGGACCATAATTCAATATTTCTCCAATAAAACTTTTTCGAAAATGGTTGAAGTATTCCAGCAAATGTTGAACCACAAGCCAAAATTGAAAACATTGTTCCATATGTGGTTTTTGAATACCACGATTGAACTAAAAGTGAAGCAGGAACCCATCCAGCTCCTTGAACAATTCCCAAAAATAACATTGCAATTAATAATTGCCAATAATAAGTTGAAAATGCAAGACCAACACTACATGTTGCACAAGTTATTAATCCCAAAAGAAGTAATGCAACTTTTGAATATTTATCCGAAGCTACACCAAATACAAGTCTACCAATTGTATAACATAAAGCATGTGCTGATACCAGAAGCCCTGAAAATATAAATTATTTTTCATGTATGTTTATTAAAAGAAAAGGCTACTAAACAAATATAAACAGAACAATTGTGTGCATAAATGCTCTTTGAATTACTTGTTTCCAAGATCTTTGAAAAAACTATCAATTTACTAGTTTTTTTTTGTCAAGTGGGCAAATATATTTGGAATTTGTGTTCTGATGATAATGTACTTCGATATGAACTTTTTATTTGTTAAATTGAGAGAAAGCTTTAAAAACTACAATAATTAAGAAACTCTTGGATTTTTCTTCGAGAGTTTTTCAGAAGATGTTACACCGAAATTCCTATGTATTATTTAATTATTGAGAGTAAGAATTAATTGTTTTCTAAACTCGAATTAAATGAGTATTACAAAACTTAAAAATTAAAACTAATAATAATAATTTTAGAAAAGAAACCGGATCTTATCATTATTATCCCTTTATCCTTTTTTCTAATCAATGTCTAATATTTGCATACTGACCGCCCCTCAATGAATAAATTATTTTCCAAAAAACTAACCAATATCATCACTTGATAATACAATTTCTTCCCGAATCAAAGGTAATAAAGTGATCGGAAGTCGTCGAAAATAAATGTGAGCAAAATAAATTATTGTGACACATACAAATTTTAAATGTGTCTTAAATGTCATATTTTTTGTCGTTTCACCAGTTGTCATTGATAATATTTATATATGAATATGAATAATAAGATATCAATAATAATAATGATGATGAAAGGCGTTTTAGAGAGTGCGGTAGATGATGCGCACCCTCACAAAAGTCCCGCCTCCAATATTTATACGAGACGCAGACGTGTTGCGTAGTTGGCAAAAAGTTACGTGAACTTTGACTCATTGTCAGGTGATTTAAATTGGAAGACAAAATAAACACGTGGTATGATAGGTACTGTAATACTTTTCAGAAATAATAAATAAATAAGCAAGAATTTTGAAAATGATATCAAGGTCACGTTTTGGGGGAAGCCTTTTCATTAAAATATTCTTTATAGAAAACATTGGGATTTTGTAACTATTTTTTCAAAATATGAACTTTCTTTAGATCATATTAGGAATATCCAACAATTGAGAAGGGACAAAGATGAAATGTGAAAACAGCTTTTGGAAAACTTTCAAAAACATTTTTTAATTCGAAAATTCATGGAAAATCACATAAACAAATTGAATTATCAAGTCATTCTTAAAGTATCCGAATTTCTAGGATTTTTCAAACGTAACTCGAACTAGTTGCGAAAATTTTCATTATAATAGTAACATTTTATTTCATTTCCAGCTCATTATCTCATATTACAAAATATCTCTAACACACTTTTTCTTTGAATATCCTCCATAATATTTACATGTTTCATCGATGCCACATTCATCAGAACTAAAACATTTACGAATTTCAACGGAACTGAATTGGAACATTGAAAAGAATTGTAGGAGAATCAGAAATTTCACATTCATTTTTTTGTTGATTTTTTTTGGATTTGTTTTTTATATGGGAACAATATTTGTCAGTTTATTGGTCTGAGACTTTTTGAAAATTTGAATCCTATTTTTTTTTAAATGTTGGTTATGAAAAAGTGCAACTTCTGAACATTTGAGTATATTTTGAAATAAAAAAGTGGAACTTAGACAGAGTTCAGAAATTTCAAAATTATTTTCCCACGGTCTACAGTAGTTAATTTCCAGTTTATGCTAGTTTGTTCTTATTATAATTCAACATTATGTATTCGCCAATCAGTTTAACTTCCTATTTCTCAAATTTCATTTCATTTGATATTTTTCTAAAATAAAAACAATCAAACATCTGATGCGTGACAAATCGATTGATAATTTCGAAACAATGGAATTCTGTCACGTGGTTTGAGATGATAGATTTAACGAAATTGTACACCGCGTGCGTGATAATAAAATATAATAATAATAATGTTGACGATGAAAATGAAACAGTTTGATTTATTATATCATCTGGATACATTTGTTTTCAATGTTTAAATGAAAAGTGTAATTAATTTCAAATTGCGTCATTTTTTGTGACGGAAAAGGATTTTTGATTTTTTGATCTAATGATTTCAAAATGAAAAAAATCTTCAAGCCAAACTTTATTACGTGGAAGTTAGAAAATCTAAAAATTATTCTTGCTGTGGTTCTTCTTCAGATGGTTCTTCTTGTGGTTGTTCTTCTGCCGCTGGTTCGGTTTCTTCTTGTTGTTGTTCAGTGTTTTCGCCCTCAGGGTTGGAAGGAAGAGTTATACTGAAGAATAATTCATCAGCAGTTTGATTTTCTCCATAAAAATTGTGTTTCATTCTGCCATCGGTTTCATTCGAATTCGTTCGAGTCTGAAAAATTATTAGGTTAAAAAAGTTAAACAAAAACCAAATCCAAAAACAGTTGTAGTGAAAATGAGAAGTTTCAAAAATAAGTTTTCCGCTGCTCCGCCTTCTTACCAAGTTTGAATCCACAGTAACTCCATAATCCGAATAAACACTCAACCAAATTCTCGGATAAGAAATACCTTCATAAGATGGGAATACAGTATGTGCTCGCCCTTCCCCAAGATTTGCTTCTTGCGTTTCTTCATTTATTTGATTGTATCCAGGACCTTGAACTTGTCCAATATAATCAACAGTGATATAAAAACCATTTTCATCTTTTTCAGGATTCAATGGTTCTCTCATAGGAATTGTTAAAATATCGTTTTCAAGAGTGTAATCCTCGACACAATGAGAAACAAAAACTTTGGAACCTTGATTGAACTCGTAGAACAAAGCAACACGAACATCTTGAATTTGAAAATCGCTTGAAGTTTGGATTTGAACCTCTGAAGTTTCACCAGTCACATCATAATCGATTTTGACGTGGCCTTTGTAAGTTTGACTGAAAATTAGGTGAGTGAAATGTTTAAATATAAAATCAACAAAAAACAAACTTCGAGAAATCCGGATCGACTGAAAATAAAATAGCGGTTGGTTGAACAGTTTGAAGAAGATCCGACATTTTATTTGTGTTTTGTTTTGATACAAAACGTTCGTCTTTTATTTGGACAAGTTAACATTGATCGATCGATTTTGTAATTGAAATGACAGGTTTTGTGGAAATCAAATTTAAATCAAGGAACAGTTTGAACCAAAAAAAAAACAAACAGAAAAACAAAAACTCCTGACTCATCGAAACAGATGGCCCAATGATAATAAATCGCTTTTCTTTTTGGTTTCTATTCACGTATCTTTTCTCATTTCATTTCTATCAACAAACAAAATGAATCTTCTACTTTTTCTATTTTGTCCAGCGATAGTTTTTGCTTTGACACCAACTCAATATTTGATCAAACTTGAACCCAATTTTACAGAGTAGGACTACCCAAAAAATTTCAATTTTATCTCTTAATGTTTTAGCTCTTCGTATGAAGCAGAAGTTCAAATTCACGTCAAATTAACTGAAGAACTCAAAGAGTTCCAATTAAATCTTCCAAAAAATGCAGATATCGCAACGATTTACTTCTTCGAAGCATCAAATGTATTCAGAGGAAATCCAGATTGTAAGATTTTTAGTTGAAAACAATTCTGAAATGACATATGAATTTTCAGTCATTGGGCAGCCAACTAATTATGAGATCAATAAAAATGCAGAGACTACCAATGTAAAACTTCGTAGCCCAGTTGAACTGAGAGATGTGAAAGAAGGAGCATATGTGAAAGTTGTATATTTGGGAAAGATTAGTAATCAAACTTCACAAATTTATTTCAAAGATGCTCACACAATTGAAGTCAACCAGAAGGTAATAATTGTAGTCAACCAGAAAGCCTTCCCTCATTCTAAAAAATTTCATTTCAGTCTGGTCGATTCTTCCCGTCTCTTACCAACGATGAACCTGCAAAAGTCAAACTGACAGTGATCACTGATTATCGGGCTGGAGTTGAACCTGAGAACGGATTTGTGGCGGGAGATCATTATGGATACAAAGATAACAAATTTGCAAATGTTTTTGATTCCACCAAAAATCTAAAAACATCCCAAATTGCTTTCAAAGTCAAAGCACCCACTCTTTTGGTCTTGAATTCAAACTGAATTGAACACTTTCTGACCTTTCATCGAACAATAAATGATTCAATCAATCAATCTCTCGAACTTCCTTGTTCTTTTTTCTTATCAAATTGTTCCTATATATTTTCTCATTTAGTTTCATTGTTATTAGTTTTCTTTTCTGAAGATGGCTGTTCCAACAAAATATTTACTGAAAGTGATTCCAAACCCAGTTGAGTCTACCTATGAAGCGGAAATTGAGATTCATGTCAAATTCGAGGAGCCAATTCAAGAAATCACATTGCGACCTCCAGGATCTGCAAACATCGAAGATGTTTCTTTCTTTTTTGCTCAACATATTTATAGAGGAAATCCAAACTGTAAGTTCAAATTTCTTATTTTCTCACAATCAGAAAATGATTTTTAGACATTGGAAAAACCGTAGAATTCGCTAGAACTGATAATCTTTTCATCATCAATTTGGGAAACGAAATCAGCCCTGAATCAGCGCAAGAAGGAGCATACATATTTGTGAAATTTTCTGGAAACATCGAAGATGGCTCACCAATTTTCTTTAGCAGTCAAGGTGTGACTGAACTCAATCAAAAAGTATGATTTCAAAAATATTTTGTTTGAATTAATTTTGAACGTTTTAGGATCAACTATTCTTCCCAGTTTTTATTGATAATCCAGAAACTGATGTTCAATTGACTGTTGTCACTGATTATCGCGCTGGAGTTGAACCATCTGAGGGATTAATTGCTGGAGATCACTATGACTATCCAGAAATAAAATTCGCAAATGTTTTCAAATCTGAGAATCCTATCCAAGTTTCGGAAATATCATTCAAAATCAGCGCGCCAACTCCACTCATTTTGCATTAATTAAAAGTGATTTTTTACGAATAAAAATTTTTAATTTTTTCTAACGTGACATTTAAAATTGCCAACAACAATTTAAAAAACATACAGAAAATCAGCTCATTTTTGTTTTGACGCTTACTACAAAATTTCTTACAAATAAAATATAGAGTGAGTTCAGGAATTTGGATAGTTCCTAGTTGAATGTGCAAAATTACAGACTCTATGAGAAATGGCATCAACTATATCGATGAGAGAATCAACAAAAGAATCGATATCACAACCAGAATCAAGAAGTTCTAAAATAACAAATAGTATACCAGACACAATTTCTCTCCTTGAACTCGTGATATTTTTCCAATTCGTAATTGCCTTTGCGATTTTTATTTTGGCGACTGTTGGCGTAGCAGTTGGTTATGAGGTTTCAACATTTTATGTTTTATCTTTACTTGAAGTCGTTATCGCTGCGCCAGGTGTTGCGCATATTGCTTTGAAATCATCGAGTAAGTAAATATATTCACAGCTTAATCTAAGATCTAAGAAAATGTGTTGCAGTATACCTCGCTGTCTATGTATCATTTCAAGTAATAACTGCCATCTCTGAAATATTCTGGATTGTTTATATCATTGCAAGCAATGGTGGAACTCTAAAATGGCTTAGTTTATCGATTCTTCTTTTTGTTCAAACTATCGCTATTTTCTTTGCTTTTGTCAGTCGCGACACTGCTATCCAATTCACTGATAAACTTGTGCCACGAATTGTCAAAACACATCAGAACACATCGCTAACAAAATCAAAAGATATTCCACAAAAGAAACCATATCTTCGTGATCCAAGTTCTTTGTCAGCTGAAACAACGACACCAAGACATAATGATAGATCTGAATCAGAAAAATCTGTCGATTATTCACCAAAGCCAAAACCAAAAAGAAAATTGAGAAAGAAGTCGAAAAAAGAGGGAAATACTCCAAGAAAACCAAAAAGTATTTCGAGTTCAACAAGTGAAACTCCAAAATTGACTGCTCCTCTCGATAGTTTGTGCGATTGATTTTTAAAATTTAATCTGTTTTTTTCGTGTGTAAATAAATTTTTCCACCTTTTTAATAAAATTCCGATTGGATGGTGTCTCGATGGAAGCTGGATTTTTCAATGGGGTCACCCCTGTTCTCATCTTTTGGATGTCGAAATTTCGGACATTTTTGATTTTTGCCCCTTTTTTCCGAAAGAAAAAAAAAGAAAAAAAATAAATTCAAAAGAAACCTGAAATGGCAAGCATAAAACAATGAGAAAATTAATCTATCTATGAAATATTTCATAGTTTGTTTTTCAATAAAATCTGGAAGCTGATCCTATACCATCAAGTGTAATTCAACGCTCCATCTAATCATTTAAACATGGTAATTTATAAACTACTTTCCTCTAACATCAATAGTAATTACAAATAAAAAACTTTACCCAATATTTTTCAATGAATCTCACCTGTTAGTTTTGTTCCTCCCCCCCCCCCCAAACCTCAAAATAAACTAACTTGACTGGCCCATTCCGTGAAAAATTGTTGCTCTCTTCGAATCTCCTGTCCAAACGAAACATCTTCTTGTACGGAAGCCTGAAACTTCGATATTCTTTTTCTCAAAATTTTCGCATATTCTTAAACTTACATCAGAAAATGAAAATTGTGGATTTGATAGGACCGCTGCATTCTGTGACTGTTGTCTCTAAAAAAATAAGAAAATTAAAAATGTACCAAACCACCCCATTAATAACTTCTTCTGCGCTGAAAAAAAACCACTCAAAAACCAGAAAAAGGCAAAAAATAAAAATGTCGTGCAAAAAAATAAAAGAAAAACAACGATACTCCACGTGCACGTTGTTTAGCGTGTTTATTTAGTTGTTTTTTTTTGCAGGGTAGATGAGAGAGTGTGGGAAATGGAGAGAGAGAGAAAGAGAGAGATATGTTTTTTATTTGAAAAGAAATTATTGATTGAACGTTTTTTTTCGAACTGAATCATTTTTCTGTTTTTTCAGAGCAGAAAATGTTATTAATGGGCTGATTTTAAACTTCACAATTTGTATTCCCAGGCGTAACTATTTTAAAAGAAATCTTTTTTCTCACGCCACCTTAGCTGTGAAAAATAGGGTTTTCTTCAAAATTTAGAATTTTTGAGGATTTGTTTCGCCTAGGGGCACAGCCCCTATTTAAATTAAAATACGTGATGACCTTTAGGTATATTTTATGACAAATTATGATTACTCACAACTCATTTATCGTTCTCGGCATTTTAGAACTAGTTGAAAAAACAAATTAACAATTTCTAGAAAATGAAGTGAGTTTTTAACTAAATACCCCAATTTTAAGGTTTTGCCGAATATTCTAAAAAAACCATGTTACAGTAACATTGAACATTTTGACAACCTAGTTGAAAAAATGGCACAAAAAAAGAATGAATGGTAACACAACATCTTGCGATTGTCGAATTCTTCTCAAAAACAATACATGCGATTTGGTTGACTCAATTATTTTGCAAAACTTTTCGAAAACTTTTCAAAAATTAATAATAACACAAAAAAATGATTTGATTGAGATGAAAATGTTTGATGAAAATATTGTGAAACAAGTTATCGATTGGATGTATACTGGAACACTTGAAATTGAGGAAAATCAACTGGAACAACTCTCAAAAATTATTGCATATTTGAGGGTCAGTTGCAAAAGTATTTCTATAGAAACTTTTTCATATGATTTTCCAATTTTTCCAGATCGATGAACTTCAAATACTACTTGAAAAATATGTTGTCGATTTGTCTTCCAAAAAAAGAAAAGCAATTTACGCTCTGAACATTGCCACAATAACTTCAAGTTTTTCAAATGAGATAATCGAGAATATTATTCTCAAAATCTCTCCAACGTTTGACTCCTTCGAAAAACTGACATTCAATTCGATTCAAACGATTATGACATCAAAAACAAGTACACAAAAGAAAGTTGGATTCGTAAATATGGCTTTGAGATGGATGAAGATTAAACATGTGAATTTGAGTTGTAGATCAATTATTATTCAAAGTTTATATATTTCTGGAATTGAGGAACAATCATTGGATTTGGCGAGACAAATATTGTACAGGGTTTGTTGAAGCAATTTGTTATTTTAAATTAATTTTTTTTTGAAGAACCTCAACAAGATATTCCGTTTTGACAAAACCACACAAGAAATATCCATCGAAGATATAAATCCGATAAGAGGTGTGAAACCAATAAAACTTCAGAACGAAAGAAAAAGAAAAACTTTCTCGCAAATTTCAGTTCTTAATGAAATTGAAGATCCTTTCAGGTAACTTTTTCAAATTCAGATTTCAAGAAAAAAAGAATTATTTCAGTAATGATCAAACTCCAATCCTCAATCGAACCACGTCAGAAATTCAAAATATTCAAGAAATCCAAGATCCATTCGTAAAATTCTCCAAACTTTCTGAATCACAAATTTCAATGCTTGAAAAAGTTGAAGATCCATTCAGGTAGGTATTATTTTTGAGAGTAAAAAAATCATTGATTTTTTCAGCAGCAATCAAACTCCAATATTTCATAAGGCAGATTCAGAAGTTCAAAATTTGAATAATTCAGTTGGGTGAGTTGATCTGAAAAGATTGTTTACAAAAAAGAAGAACGATTTTTCAGAACTCCAGCTTGCTTTTCATTAGATCAAAATAATAATTGTATCGGAAGTTCGAAAAATCCAAGATCAAATAGTAAATCTCGCCAAGCCGACAGATCAAACTATTTATACTGACCATGAAATTGATGTTTATTCTGAAAAATGAAATTTTTTGAGAAATGTTGTTATTGGAATGTTTTGTATTTATCACTTCTCATTTTTATTTAAAAGTTTAGAAAGGCATTTGAGTTTTTATTCCAAAAATTTTTCGAAAGTATTTCAGGTTCTCTGATTTTCTGATCTTGTTATTTCCAAAATTAATCCTCCTCTTACTTATTATTTCCATCTAATGTCATGTATTTTATGTACTCGGATGTATTCCCAGTTTTTTTTTTCATACGTAAGATTATCTAATCCTTAACCTAAACCTATTGTTTTTTCTCCCAACTCCTCCGTTTTTTTACTATAAAATACCAAATATCATAACATCTTTCGAAATAAATTGGCATTATTCAGAAAAGTACAAGTACAAATATTGTCTATATATAAAGAAATTCCTTCTCCCAATCAAGGTACTTTTCAAAATAGCTATGCATTTTTTTCAAATTTGGCATTATTTTTGGGGAGCCAGTGGATGTTTTTTGAATCTTTTACTTGTTTATATCGCGATTTTTAAAAGTCCAAAAGCAATCCGAACTTATGCAACATTAATTGTCAATTTTGCGATAACTGATTTTGTGGAATGTTTTTTCGATGTTTTCATACAAATTCGATTATTACCAGCTCCTGGAGATGTTACAATGACTTATATTTTCAATGGATTTTGTAAATATTTTGGAGATATGAGTTGCAAAATTGGAGCAAGTTTATTTCTGCACTGCATTCCCCATGCGGTATGGTCACTTTTGTTATCTTTCGGATATCGATATTATATTTTACATCATCCTGGATTAACCCGAAGGACTTTGATTTGCATTTTGATTGTGATTTACATTCCATCATTTGTTCAAGGGGTAATCAAATTTATGTTCGCTCACAAACAATTTATCAATTTTTCAGCTAACATACTGGACAAATTTCGTTGAAACAGATGAGATTCTCCCTCTTGCCAAGCAAATATTTCCAAGTTATAATTTTTCTGAAGAAACTGGTGTGATTTCTGGAATTGTTGATGTCACTACAATTACAGCAACTTATGCAATTGTTCATTTATCATTTCCGATTTTTCCAGTCTACACAATCATTTATATTTTGAGAACGAAGATAATTGCGCATCTTTTGAGGAATTCACAAATGATGACGACGGAGACAAAAGCTGTACATACACAAATGTTGAGAGCTTTGACATTTCAGGCATTTATTCCGATATTTGTATGGATTGGAGCAAGTTGTTATTTGATTTGTAAGTTTGAATAGGGAAAGTTTTAAAAAAAATTATTCCATACTTCTAGAAGAATGGGATTTACAGATTTTGAAAAAAAATCTGTATTATGATCAAATTTTTTCAAACAAATTACAGTATTCTTATTTGCAGCACAACTTGGAATTATTCAACAATCCCCTCTCATGGAACACGCAGTTTTTGTATCTGTTATCCTAATGCCAACATTATCTCCCTTCACATATTTGCTATTTGTTAGACCGTATAAGAAGTTCTGCATGAAGTTAGTTTTCTATTAAACAAAATGTATTATATGTACATATTTTTCAGAATCATCTACACATTAACTTGCTCCAAAAAACGTCACGATGATGCGAAGGGAAGCAAATTTGATTCGCATAACACACCTTCACATATAGTAGCACTTTCTAAAGTTGCACCAATTAGTAGTTCTTAAAAACACACACACAAATATTATTCCACGAAATAAAAGTTATATCATTCCGCAGTTCTTGTAGTTCCACGAATTGGTGGAAGAGTTGATATATTTGTTGCAAATCCTGTTCCTGAATCGAAATTAATCTTCTTGGAATTGTCTGTCACACGTGATTTTCGCAATAATCCAATTTTCTGAAGAAGTCTGGAAAACAAAAACAAAAATTATATTCTGATTTCTCACGAAAAATAAAACCTTGTGCAAAATGTTTTGTATGGTCGAACAAAATATAAATAAACGAATGGGGATACGGTAGGCATCAGAATTACACTTCCAAACATAAGGTATTCCATAAGAGGATGATTATAGATTCCAAGTTGGGCTAGAAGAATTTGAGTTTTATATTTAATTCAATTTAATTCATTTACCAATAAAGTAAAGTGTGACACCAATCCACATAAAAGCAGGTGTCATTGCTTGAATTGTCAAAACTTTTAAAAGTTGTGAATGCACTGCTTTTGTCTCTTTCGACATTATTCTCTCATTTGCCTCGAGATATTTTATGATTTTTTTGCGAAGTATAAAAATGATTATATAAACTGGTGTTATTGGAAAAGCCATGTGACTTATTGCATAAATTGCTGTCCAAGTTTTTATATCTATGATTCCAGTCATAACACCAGTCTCCGAATCGAAATCATACGTCGGAAGCACTTTTTTGGAATAGGGCAAGATTTTGTCGCGCTCGACAAAATTAGTCCAATAAGTCAGCTGAAAAAAAAAATTTATGTGCTTTGTGTTCCAAATGATTTTTCTTACTCCTTGGAAAAGTGATGGTAGATAAATAATACAAACTATTAAAATAATTGTATTCCTTTTGACTGCAGGATGCAATAAAATATAATATCTATAACCGAATGATAATAAAAGTGACCAAACGGCGTGCGGAATACAATGAAGAAATATACTCAAGGAAACATAACAGATTTTGGCGCCAAAATATTGACAAGGACCATTGAGGATGAAAGTTAGGGTAACATCCATTGGAGCAGGAATTAATCTGATTTTCGAAAACCGTTAAACTTTCGAAGATTCAACAAGCTAACCTGATTTGTAAAAAGTAATCTAGAAAACATTCAACTAAATCTGTCAGGGCAAAATTGATAATTAAAGTTGCGTAGGATTCTATAGCCTTTGGACTTCGAAACATAGCCAAATATATAAGTAAAGAGTTCAAACTACAACCAATCATAGCAATAATAACATGATAAACATGAAAGATTGCCAAAATAATTTGAAAAAACATTCGTATTTTTCTGAAAATGAATAAAATCAGGTGCTTTTGTGTTGGGCTTGAAATCCGATAATAGTTGTTATTATAGATAAACGGAATTTAGTACAATTGTATTATATTTATTACTACTATTATGGTTTGGAAATTGATTTGGTTTATGAGATTTATTTTATGAATAGTACTTTCATAAAAAAGTTATAAGAAAATTAATTTCATTGAAAAATAATACAATATAAAATTTGTCTGGAATTTTTGACGTGAACTTTGATTTTTTGGAATTTTTGTTGATAAAAAGTATTGTCAGTAAAAATAGCTTCTAATGATTTTACAATCCTATTTTTATTTTTCTCATAATAAACAACTATTTTTTAAACTGCCGCACACGATAACAAAAAGCGTCATGTTCGCAACACTGGCGCATATGTGTTTTGTTGACGCGTTTGAGGAATGATGTGTTCGAAGGCTGCAGGTTTCGTCACTTTGGATTGACTAAATTTAGGAAATGCGCTCCAGCGCACAAAGCGAGGTTGTTTGAATTTAATTGTTTGTTTTGGGTGTTCTAGGAATGCTTTTTTGAGGTTTTTTCGACTGTTTTGAGAGTGAGTTGGCTGATTTTAACTATTTTCAAGCAAGTTGAAAGCATTTGTCAATTTTTTTGTGGCAAAAGAACGCAAATTTCAAGTTTTTGCTGGGTTATATGAGGAATCCATAAGAACAGCGCATTTCATCAGAGTATTTGTTGTTTTTGGCTGGTATTTCCTGGAATCAAGCTATTATCAGAGTTTTCTAGTGTGTTTTAAACACGAGATTAGAGTTTTTGTTTTCATTTCAAATCATGACGATAATTTTGGCATTTCATATTACATTGGCATCAATGCATTTCAAACTACTGAAAGGATTCTTGTTATTGGGATGGAAAAATAATTGAAATTGGAAAATTTTCAGTCAATCCATTTTGGTTTTCGGTTTGAAAATTTAAAAATAATTGAAATTGGAAAATTTTCAGTCAATCCATTTTGGTTTTCGGTTTGAAAATTTAAAAATAATTGAAATTGGAAAATTTTCAGTCAATCCATTTTGGTTTTCGGTTTGAAAATTTAAAAATAATTGAAATTTCAAAATTTTCAGTCAATCCATTTTGGTTTTCGGTTTGAAAATTTAAAAATAATTGAAATTGGAAAATTTTCAGTCAATCCATTTTGGTTTTCGGTTTGAAAATTTAAAAATAATTGAAATTTCAAAATTTTCAGTCAATCCATTTTGGTTTTCGGTTTGAAAATTTAAAAATAATTGAAATTTCAAAATTTTCAGTCAATCCATTTTGGTTTTCGGTTTGAAAATTTAAAAATAATTGAAATTTCAAAATTTTCAGTCAATCCATTTTGGTTTTCGGTTTGAAAATTTAAAAATAATTGAAATTTCAAAATTTTCAGTCAATCCATTTTGGTTTTCGGTTTGAAAATTTAAAAATACTTGAAATTTCAAAATTTTCAGTCAATCCATTTTGGTTTTCGGTTTGAAAATTTAAAAATAATTGAAATTTCAAAATTTTCAGTCAATCCATTTTGGTTTTCGGTTTGAAAATTTAAAAATAATTGAAATTTCAAAATTTTCAGTCAATCCATTTTGGTTTTCGGTTTGAAAATTTAAAAATAATTGAAATTTCAAAATTTTCAGTCAATCCATTTTGGTTTTCGGTTTGAAAATTTAAAAATAATTGAAATTTCAAAATTTTCAGTCAATCCATTTTGGTTTTCGGTTTGAAAATTTAAAAATAATTGAAATTTCAAAATTTTCAGTCAATCCATTTTGGTTTTCGGTTTGAAAATTTAAAAAATAATTGAAATTTCAAAATTTTCAGTCAATCCATTTTGGTTTTCGGTTTGGAAATTTAAAACTAATTGAAATTTCAAAATTTTCAGTCAATCCATTTTGGTTTTCGGTTTGAAAATTTAAAAATAATTGAAATTTCAAAATTTTCAGTCAATCCATTTTGGTTTTCGGTTTGGAAATTTAAAACTAATTGAAATTTCAAAATTTTCAGTCAATCCATTTTGGTTTTCGATTTGGAAATTTAAAAATAATTGAAATTTCAAAATTTTCAGTCAATCCATTTTGGTTTTCGATTTGGAAATTTAAAAATAATTGAAATTTCAAAATTTTCAGTCAATCCATTTTGGTTTTCGATTTGGAAATTTAAAAATAATTGAAATTTCAAAATTTTCAGTCAATCCATTTTGGTTTTCGATTTGGAAATTTAAAACTAATTGAAATTTCAAAATTTTCAGTCAATCCATTTTGGTTTTCGGTTTGAAAATTTAAAAATAATTGAAATTTCAAAATTTTCAGTCAATCCATTTTGGTTTTCGATTTGGAAATTTAAAAATAATTGAAATTTCAAAATTTTCAGTCAATCCATTTTGGTTTTCGATTTGGAAATTTAAAACTAATTGAAATTTCAAAATTTTCAGTCAATCCATTTTGGGTTTCGGTTTGAAAATTTAAAAATAATTGAAATTTCAAAATTTTCAGTCAATCCATTTTGGTTTTCGGTTTGAAAATTTAAAAATAATTGAAATTGGAAAATTTTCAGTCAATCCATTTTGGTTTTCGGTTTGAAAATTTAAAAATAATTGAAATTTCAAAATTTTCAGTCAATCCATTTTGGTTTTCGGTTTGAAAATTTAAAAATAATTGAAATTTCAAAATTTTCAGTCAATCCATTTTGGTTTTCGGTTTGAAAATTTAAAAATAATTGAAATTTCAAAATTTTCAGTCAATCCATTTTGGTTTTCGGTTTGAAAATTTAAAAATAATTGAAATTTCAAAATTTTCAGTCAATCCATTCTCTGTCAAGTTGTACTGTAATTTTATTTCCAATAAACTCATTTTTATATTGTGTTTCGTTTGCATGTGTAATAAATGAAAAAATAAATAAATAACACTACGGTAACAGTCGCACAATCTTAGAAACATACAAACATTTAACAAATCGCGTTGGGAAACGAGGTACAGTAGTTTTTAATTCAAATACATTCATAGTGAGAGAGAAACAAAAAACATTGTTTTCAACCTTAACTATTATGAATTCACAAAGCAACAAAATTCGATGTCCTTCCACTGGTTGCGAATACTTTGGGCGAGGTGATAATGTTCGCCAACATTTAAAAAAGAAACACAAGTACAATGAAGATCAAATATTGGAATATAACAGACAATTACAATCTATGAAACGACCAAAAGGATCTGGAAATGTTTGGATTTGTCCTGCTCAAAACTGCATAGTATCTTGTTCAATGAAAAACGGTCTCATCAGTCACATCTACAGCAAACATCCATCAGAAAAATCCCACTTGATGAAGGTGAACGTTTTACATCACATAATTGAAAAAAGTCTGAATATTTGACTGATATCGCACTTTAGGCAATTTTTGATAATATACAAAATGAGTTTAATAAAAGAGAAGGATGGACGTTTTATGGCCTTTTAAATCTGAAGTTCACTTTTTTTGAACCATACAAAAATATATACACATGCAAAAAAATCCCACTTTTTTTCTTGCCGACTGCTTTCACATCAGCTGTGTAGATAAAAAAATTCGAGTCTAAGAATTTAAATTTTTTTGAAAACAACATTTTATAAGACCGATAGGCTGAGAAAAACGTCATGAATAGTGATCTTGAGTTTTAAAATCGAAAAATAACACATCTGAATATTTTTCATGAAAACCTGATTTTTTCAAATAGTCCAAACTTCAAAAAGAGTTTGATCTACTCAGAAAACTGTGCGGAACCTTACCAATTCCGACCACTTCCTCTGCCTTCCCACAGGGTGTAATTTACTACCTCAAATCGCTTAACCTCAAATTTTTCATTCATTTTTGGGTAGATTAAAAAAAATTAAGGTAAACAATTCAAAATGAAACATTCGCAGTTTTTAATGTGAGAAATAGAAAAAAACCAAAAAATTCTAGATAATGAAACAAGACGACAAAGAACATGAAGAATTGGAGGTGGTGGAACATCAATCTTATACGAATATAAAAGTTCAAGAACCAGTCAAATTCAGATGTCTGGAATCAAAATGCTCCGTTTCCACAGCGTCGCGGGAAGATCTTTGTAAGCATATGAAATCGAAACATAGTGACGGAACTCAATTTGTCGTGGAAACCGAAAATTTTGATAGTTATGTTCAATTTAAGGACTGGTTTGATCGGAAAAAAGAGGCGTCTTGTTCAACTTTTGCAAAATGTAGAACACATACAGATGGGAAGTTGAAAGCAAATTATTGGAGGTGCTCAAATGAAGGAGAATATGAATCTAATGCAACGAAAACAAGAGGCCATCCTTCAAAGAAAACAACAGGAAAGGGAAATATTTGCACAGCTTTTGTAAAGGTATAATTCCACTAAAATTAGTTATAAATTCAACTAAAAATCAAAATATTTCACAAATTGGATGAAAAAATTTAAAGATATTTAAAAAATTAAAATTTTAAGCTAATCGAAAATGCCGACGGATCATGTTCTGTAAAAGCGTGTTTTTCACACAAAGGTCATGAAGTTGAACCAGCTCAGCAAAGATTGACCGATCCACAAATCAAATTAATTACGGAGTGAGTTTCTTTTTGAAATATCACTAAAAACTACCTATTCATGAAACAATTATTATAGCATGATTGAAGATAGCTGGACAAATGAACAAATTATCAAAAAACTGATAAAGGTCTATCCCGAAACCAACCGCCTCCATCACGTTATTAATGAAGATATCAGGTTTGATTTTTCAAAAAGTTCGAGCTATAAATCCATAAGAAGTATCTCATGAATGAAGACAGTAAGAAAAAATAATATGATTTAAATATTGGTTGACAGTAACAGAATTTCAAAAAAAAAGTCAATTTCAATTTTTTTTTCCGGAAATTTATCTCGAAATATATTTCTATCCATTTGGATTATTAAAGCGGTAACAATTCTGACAGAACTATTCGAGATCGGTTTGGTTTGCATGATGGTCGCCTCCACGAGAATGACCTTGAATCAATCAAAATGCGTTACAATGAGCAAAATCCAAAATATGGACTACGATTCCTAAGACTGCCAATTGACAAAAAAGGAACAGGATTTATCTTGGGTAATACATACTTCAGAAAACTTTCATCTTTAAAACTGGAAGGCTTTTTCATGAAAAATAATTTTCAGTGATAATGTCAGATCTTCAAATAATTGCGCTGAAAAAGTTTTCTCACAAAGGAGTTGTTCTTGACGAAACATACAATATTTCAAGATATGATGTTAGATTGACGACTATGCTTGTGTTGGACGAAAATTCAAGAGGAATACCTTGTGGTAATATAGAACATTTTTTATGTCTTCATTTTTAGTTTTAATCGAATTTCTGGAACACAGAAATACCCAGAAAAAATTCTCAAGTTTCCACAGTATTTTAAAATTTCAGGCTTTCTTATTTCTAACTGCACATCCACTGAAGAAATGCGATTTTTCTTCCGAGAAGTTAAAAAAGTGTTCCCAGAATTTTGCCCAAAAGTAATGATGACCGATGAGGCTGGACAATTCTGGAATGCATATGTTTACGTGAGAATAACTTGATGTCCACAACTTAATTCAAGTGAACTTTTTATTCAGGAATTCCCACAAAACCGAAACATCACAAAAAAATTATGGTGCAGATGGCACGTAGGCAACGCATGGCAAAATATGGCTGATAGATTATTAAACGTCAGTATTACATTTTTTATATTTAAAACAAATTAATTCCAGGATGTCGAAAACAAAACGGTCATGCAAAAACTGTATGAAATTCAGTTGACACCGTCTGAATTCGTTTTACAAAGAGGACTCAACGAATTGTTTCAGTATCTGAAGAGATTAGGAAATTCGAAAGCTCTCCAATTTTTAAAATATCTAAAGTCAAGATATCTCAGTGAGTTTGATACATTTTTACAAAAAACTGTAAAATTATCACTTTTAGAGTTTAGTTATGAAAACTTAGAACATTTTGAATCGAATGAGAAGAACGGGATCAGGTCCGATTTTTTGAGAAAAATTCTGATTCAGAAATTCTGAATAGGACCACTTTTTCTAAAATTGGTCCGTCTTTTCGTTTTTAATTCAGAATTTTTCTCAGGAAATCAGTCCTGGTCCCATTCCCACAAAAAATTTCCATATATTTTAGAATTGGAAAATTAAACCAAACAGAAAACATTTCAAAGAAGTAACAAGAACAGTCATAAAACTTCATTGAAAACTCACATGAATCAAAAATCGGGTTCGTAAATTTGCACACTAGGAAATACTTATTATGCCGCTGTTCCAAAAAAATTGTCATAGTCCGAAAAAATTTCACGTTCGACGTATTAAATTTTCAGAAACGAATAAATATTCATTTACAATTAGAAAAGCAAAAAATCGAGACAATTATTTTTTATTCAGAAACTGTGAAGGTTTGGGCGACTTGTTATCGAGATAATAGTATTGTGCAAACAAGTATGACAGCTGAATCATGGCATGCGTATCTCAAGGCAAGTTGGACTTAACCGCAATTCTCATTTTCCGAAAAATTGATATTTTATATTTATTTTTTCAGCGCAACGATTTAAAATATCAAACACAAATGAGATTGGATAATTTGGTGCACAATTTGAAAGAATCAAATGAAAATCGAATGGCAAGAAGAGCGACAGAAATGTTGCGCGACTTGGCCAGAGCAAATCTTCGAGCCTGTGAGCAAAGAAAACTCCACAAAGAAGCTATGGAAATCCTGCTGAATTTCAAAGTTGAAATTCACAGCGAAACTGAATTGTTCATTTATGACCATCGGAGACCATCGGATGTTTTTGTTATTCAAATCGAAACCGATCCTGAATGTTTGGACGTAAGAAAGCGTGGATTTTTATATACTGATTGTATTTATTTTTACAGCCGAACAGCCATTGCGAGTTATGTGATGTTTGCTGGTCAGAGATCACATGCAGCTGCACCCATCAAATTTCAGGAGTGAACTGCACTCATTGTCATATTGCTAAGGCATTGTTACGTGAGTTCAGTTTGAAACTGCACTAAAAATAATCTTACTTTTCAGCAACTTTCTTTGTCAAATCATCTATACCTCCAAAAGATCAATTTTCATCGAGCGGAGAAGATTTTGTCGATGACGAATTTGATGATTCACAAATTCTTGAAGACGAAAATCCAATTTTCGACGACGAACATGATGATTCACAAATCCTCGAAGACGAAAATCATAGTCATATTGATTTAATTCCACCAATTATTGACATTGATTCGAATGAGGAAAGAGCAAGACCTGATGAGAGTGATAATGTTTCAGAATCGAGATCAGATGAATTGGACATTTTATCAGATGAGGATGAAAGAAGATCCGTTGAAAACGAAATGACTGTTCAAAACCGCATGGATAAAATATTAGCCGACATGACATCAATGAGAAACGTGGGTGAACTTAAGTTTTAGTTGTCAAAAATTGTGTTAAAAAATTATTTTTAAGAATTTCAACTACATTGAACAGGAAATGCGACGATTAGCTAAAAATCCATCACAAGAAACGGTTCAATATTCGACTGAATTAGCTTCAAAATTAGATAAGATTGTTCGAGAAATGAAAGAAAATAATGGAGCCCAGCAATCATCACTTCCAAATCGTTATAACGTATTGAGAAAAATCAAAAAGCTCCAACAGCGGCCGAAGTTATGCATTTTGAGAGAAAGGTTTCTAATCATGTTTGAATCCGAAAATAGTTAATTTACAGAGTAAAAACCCGAGAAAAAGAAAGTTGAACGAAGTTCAAGCCGATAATGTTGTGAATAACGGGGAAGAGTGCTGGACTTGTAGTTTTTGTCGAAATGTGAGGATCTATGATATTTGATAACGTCCAACATTTTTTTTCAGGATATCGATCCCCTCGATACTTGTCCAATTTTGAAATGCAACCGTTGTTCGTATAAAGTTCACGAGAATTGTGTGGAATTCGAAACCTGTCTCACTTGTAGAAATGGAGAATATCAAGAATATCCATAGTAATTCAGATCTTGATTTTTGTTATTTATTGTTTTTTTTGTCATTTTTTGTTGATTGTCACATTTTTATTGTTATTCATTTCAATTTTTATTGGCTTTGGAATCATTTAATTATCGAGCCAGTCAAAAAAATCAAACAATAGAAAAATTCCAGATGCTCAACTCGAAACTTCATCTCAAAAATACAGAAAAACAATCCATTTATGGATTGACTAAAAAATTCCAGATGCTCAACTCGAAACTTCATCTCAAAAATACAGAAAAACAATCCATTTATGGATTGACTAAAAAATTCCAGATGCTCAACTCGAAACTTCATCTCAAAAATACAGAAAAACAATCCATTTATGGATTGACTAAAAAATTCCAGATGCTCAACTCGAAACTTCATCTCAAAAATACAGAAAAACAATCCATTTATGGATTGACTAAAAATTCCAGATGCTCAACTCGAAACTTCATCTCAAAAATACAGAAAAACAATCCATTTATGGATTGACTAAAAAATTCCAGATGCTCAACTTGAAACTTCATCTCAAAAAATACAGAAAAACAATCCATTTATGGATTGACTAAAAAATTCCAGATGCTCAACTCGAAACTTCATCTCAAAAATACAGAAAAACAATCCATTTATGGATTGACTAAAAAATTCCAGATGCTCAACTCGAAACTTCATCTCAAAAATACAGAAAAACAATCCATTTATGGATTGACTAAAAATTCCAGATGCTCAACTCGAAACTTCATCTCAAAAATACAGAAAAACAATCCATTTATGGATTGACTAAAAAATTCCAGATGCTCAACTTGAAACTTCATCTCAAAAATACAGAAAAACAATCCATTTATGGATTGACTAAAAAATTCCAGATGCTCAACTTGAAACTTCATCTCAAAAATACAGAAAAACAATCCATTTATGGATTGACTAAAAAATTCCAGATGCTCAACTCGAAACTTCATCTCAAAAAATACAGAAAAACAATCCATTTATGGATTGACTAAAAAATTCCAGATGCTCAACTTGAAACTTCATCTCAAAAAATACAGAAAAACAATCCATTTATGGATTGACTAAAAAATTCCAGATGCTCAACTTGAAACTTCATCTCAAAAATACAGAAAAACAATCCATTTATGGATTGACTAAAAATTCCAGATGCTCAACTTGAAACTTCATCTCAAAAATACAGAAAAACAATCCATTTATGGATTGACTAAAAATTCCAGATGCTCAACTTGAAACTTCATCTCAAAAATACAGAAAAACAATCCATTTATGGATTGACTAAAAAATTCCAGATGCTCAACTTGAAACTTCATCTCAAAAAATACAGAAAAACAATCCATTTATGGATTGACTAAAAAATTCCAGATGCTCAACTTGAAACTTCATCTCAAAAATACAGAAAAACAATCCATTTATGGATTGACTAAAAATTCCAGATGCTCAACTTGAAACTTCATCTCAAAAATACAGAAAAACAATCCATTTATGGATTGACTAAAAAATTCCAGATGCTCAACTTGAAACTTCATCTCAAAAAATACAGAAAAACAATCCATTTATGGATTGACTAAAAATTCCAGATGCTCAACTTGAAACTTCATCTCAAAAATACAGAAAAACAATCCATTTATGGATTGACTAAAAATTCCAGATGCTCAACTTGAAACTTCATCTCAAAAATACAGAAAAACAATCCATTTATGGATTGACTAAAAATTCCAGATGCTCAACTTGAAACTTCATCTCAAAAATACAGAAAAACAATCCATTTATGGATTGACTAAAAATTCCAGATGCTCAACTTGAAACTTCATCTCAAAAATACAGAAAAACAATCCATTTATGGATTGACTAAAAAATTCCAGATGCTCAACTTGAAACTTCATCTCAAAAATACAGAAAAACAATCCATTTATGGATTGACTAAAAATTCCAGATGCTCAACTTGAAACTTCATCTCAAAAATACAGAAAAAACAATCCATTTATGGATTGACTAAAAATTCCAGATGCTCAACTTGAAACTTCATCTCAAAAATACAGAAAAACAATCCATTTATGGATTGACTGAAAATATCACAATTTCAGACCGCAATTTTCAGATCGTTCTACTGCATACACTATATTCAAAAACCAAAAACTCCAATCTCTTGTTACAACCCCGGAAAATCAACTTACTCACAAATATACCAGCCGAAAACCACAAATATACTCAAGAAAGGTGTTGTTGTTGTTATTTCCTCATAAGAACGCAGAAAAACTAGGAAATTGTGTTTTCTGCCACGAATAATCTGCAAAATCATTCAATTTGCTTGAAAATAGTTAAAATCAGCCAACTCACTCTCAAAACAGTCGAAAAACCTCAAAAAAGCATTCCTAGAACACCCAAAACAAACAATTAAATTCAAACAACCTCGCTTTGTGCGCTGGAGCGCATTTCCTAAATTTAGTCAATCCAAAGTGACGAAACCTGCAGCCTTGTGTTCGAAAAAATTTCAATATTTTTGGTTTTTTCTTCGTTTTCTCGGTTCCTTGATTAGAAAATATACGTTTTATTTGTGTCAATTTGAAAAGGGAATTTTTCAGAACATGACGGATGTTGAAATGGCTGAAGCTGGCCAGGAATTACCACAATTCCCAACAGTTCATATTCTTCAAGTCGTTAAAGATGCTCAACAACAACATGGTTTGAGACACGGTGATTATGCTAGATATAGGTTAGTTATCTTTATTTTTGGAGTTAAAATTAACAATAAACTTTTTTAGAAAATATTCGGCAGCTAAATTGGAAAGAATGAGAAAAGCTTTGAAGTTTACCAATCAACACAATTGTCAAAAGAAAAGAAAGGCTAAATTTGTAAAGAAATGGTTGACTGAAGAAGCTTTAGTCGATGCGCAATTTTTGAATTTTGGTATTTTTGAAACCGAAAGACGGTATGCTTCAGCAATGATTGAAAAAATGACACTCGAAGATAATCCGGAAAAATTGAGAAAACGATTTTCAATGATAAATAACTTGAAAAAAGCCGTTCTTCATGCTAACAATCTTGAAAATATTGTTGTAAGCAGTGCAAGAGTGAGTTTTTTATTCGAAATTTTTTAATTTGAAAGAAAATTTTAGTGTGACGCTCCAACAAAACTCGAAGCTCAAGCTTACGCCGCGTGGATGCGTGGAATGTGTGCTTTTGAATCGAGAGATTGGCAAAAAGCCAGCGAAGCTTTGAAATTGGCAAGAAATGTTTATGATAAATTGGCTGAAGCCACTAATAATACAACATTGGCCACGTTATATAAAGGAAGGTTTGTTATTTTTCTGTGTGAGAAAATTGTAGGAAAAAACAAAAAAACTAATTTTTGATTCCTGTTTTGTGTTCTACTGATTTATGGATTTCATTCTTTCAACGAAAAAAAAAAGTATTTCTAGATGTCGCGAAATCCAACCACAACTTCGACTCTGCGAATTCAATATTGCTGAATCTCCAGAAGCTGTCGGAACTATGTCAGAATTGATGGAACTTCGTATGCAAATGGGAGCAGATGACAGTTCTGTTGATAAACTTATTTCTGAAATGAGATCAACTGCAACTGGCGCTGAAGTTGTCACAATTGAATGGGGTGGAATGAAGAGTACTGTAGAAGACGAGAAAGCAAAACAATGTTTGCAAGGATGGAAACAATCAGAAGCTGAACTCAAACAATGTCAAACACCAAAAGAAAAAATGGCATTGTATGAAAAAGCAACAGCGGATACAAGAGATGCAATTGATCGATTATCGGATACAATTAGAAGAAAGAATGCTGATAATGCTGATACAACTGTTTTGCAATCAATCAAGGCTTATTTAGATTTTTTGAAAATGAGTGGAACCGCTTCGAGATATTTGGCAATTATTGAGAATACGAAAAGTGATAAGAAAAATAAACCACAAGACATGTTGAGATTATATGATTCAGTTATTGAGATTTATAAAGAGGTTTCGGAAACACCTGGAGCTGAATATGATAAATCACTTGAGAGTGAGTTGGCTGATTTTAACTATTTTCAAGCAAATTGAATGATTTTGCAGATTATTCGTGGCAGAAAACACAATTTCCTAGTTTTTCTGCGTTCTTATGAGGAAATAACAACAACAACACCTTTCTTGAGTATATTTGTGGTTTTCGGCTGGTATATTTGTGAGTAAGTTGATTTTCCGGGGTTGTAACAAGAGATTGGAGTTTTTGGTTTTTGAATATAGTGTATGCAGTAGAACGATCTGAAAATTGCGGTCTGAAATTGTGATATTTTCAGTCAATCCATAAATGGATTGTTTTTCTGTATTTTTGAGATGAAGTTTCAAGTTGAGCATCTGGAATTTTTAGTCAATCCATAAATGGATTGTTTTTCTGTATTTTTGAGATGAAGTTTCAAGTTGAGCATCTGGAATTTTTTAGTCAATCCATAAATGGATTGTTTTTCTGTATTTTTGAGATGAAGTTTCAAGTTGAGCATCTGGAATTTTTTAGTCAATCCATAAATGGATTGTTTTTCTGTATTTTTGAGATGAAGTTTCAAGTTGAGCATCTGGAATTTTTTAGTCAATCCATAAATGGATTGTTTTTCTGTATTTTTGAGATGAAGTTTCAAGTTGAGCATCTGGAATTTTTTAGTCAATCCATAAATGGATTGTTTTTCTGTATTTTTTGAGATGAAGTTTCAAGTTGAGCATCTGGAATTTTTTAGTCAATCCATAAATGGATTGTTTTTCTGTATTTTTGAGATGAAGTTTCAAGTTGAGCATCTGGAATTTTTTAGTCAATCCATAAATGGATTGTTTTTCTGTATTTTTGAGATGAAGTTTCAAGTTGAGCATCTGGAATTTTTTAGTCAATCCATAAATGGATTGTTTTTCTGTATTTTTGAGATGAAGTTTCAAGTTGAGCATCTGGAATTTTTTAGTCAATCCATAAATGGATTGTTTTTCTGTATTTTTGAGATGAAGTTTCAAGTTGAGCATCTGGAATTTTTTAGTCAATCCATAAATGGATTGTTTTTCTGTATTTTTGAGATGAAGTTTCAAGTTGAGCATCTGGAATTTTTTAGTCAATCCATAAATGGATTGTTTTTCTGTATTTTTGAGATGAAGTTTCAAGTTGAGCATCTGGAATTTTTTAGTCAATCCATAAATGGATTGTTTTTCTGTATTTTTGAGATGAAGTTTCAAGTTGAGCATCTGGAATTTTTTAGTCAATCCATAAATGGATTGTTTTTCTGTATTTTTGAGATGAAGTTTCAAGTTGAGCATCTGGAATTTTTTAGTCAATCCATAAATGGATTGTTTTTCTGTATTTTTGAGATGAAGTTTCAAGTTGAGCATCTGGAATTTTTTAGTCAATCCATAAATGGATTGTTTTTCTGTATTTTTGAGATGAAGTTTCGAGTTGAGCATCTGGAATTTTTTAGTCAATCCATAAATGGATTGTTTTTCTGTATTTTTGAGATGAAGTTTCAAGTTGAGCATCTGGAATTTTAGTCAATCCATAAATGGATTGTTTTTCTGTATTTTTGAGATGAAGTTTCAAGTTGAGCATCTGGAATTTTTTAGTCAATCCATAAATGGATTGTTTTTCTGTATTTTTGAGATGAAGTTTCGAGTTGAGCATCTGGAATTTTTAGTCAATCCATAAATGGATTGTTTTTCTGTATTTTTGAGATGAAGTTTCGAGTTGAGCATCTGGAATTTTTAGTCAATCCATAAATGGATTGTTTTTCTGTATTTTTGAGATGAAGTTTCGAGTTGAGCATCTGGAATTTTTTAGTCAATCCATAAATGGATTGTTTTTCTGTATTTTTGAGATGAAGTTTCAAGTTGAGCATCTGGAATTTTTTAGTCAATCCATAAATGGATTGTTTTTCTGTATTTTTGAGATGAAGTTTCGAGTTGAGCATCTGGAATTTTTTAGTCAATCCATAAATGGATTGTTTTTCTGTATTTTTGAGATGAAGTTTCGAGTTGAGCATCTGGAATTTTTTAGTCAATCCATAAATGGATTGTTTTTCTGTATTTTTGAGATGAAGTTTCGAGTTGAGCATCTGGAATTTTTTAGTCAATCCATAAATGGATTGTTTTTCTGTATTTTTGAGATGAAGTTTCGAGTTGAGCATCTGGAATTTTTTAGTCAATCCATAAATGGATTGTTTTTCTGTATTTTTGAGATGAAGTTTCGAGTTGAGCATCTGGAATTTTTCTATTGTTTGATTTTTTTGACTGGCTCGATAATTAAATGATTCCAAAGCCAATAAAAATTGAAATGAATAACAATAAAAATGTGACAATCAACAAAAAATGACAAAAAAAACAATAAATAACAAAAATCAAGATCTGAATTACTATGGATATTCTTGATATTCTCCATTTCTACAAGTGAGACAGGTTTCGAATTCCACACAATTCTCGTGAACTTTATACGAACAACGGTTGCATTTCAAAATTGGACAAGTATCGAGGGGATCGATATCCTGAAAAAAAATGTTGGACGTTATCAAATATCATAGATCCTCACATTTCGACAAAAACTACAAGTCCAGCACTCTTCCCCGTTATTCACAACATTATCGGCTTGAACTTCGTTCAACTTTCTTTTTCTCGGGTTTTTACTCTGTAAATTAACTATTTTCGGATTCAAACATGATTAGAAACCTTTCTCTCAAAATGCATAACTTCGGCCGCTGTTGGAGCTTTTTGATTTTTTCTCAATACGTTATAACGATTTGGAAGTGATGATTGCTGGGCTCCATTATTTTCTTTCATTTCTCGAACAATCTTATCTAATTTTGAAGCTAATTCAGTCGAATATTGAACCGTTTCTTGTGATGGATTTTTAGCTAATCGTCGCATTTCCTGTTCAATGTAGTTGAAATTCTTAAAAAATAATTTTTTAACACAATTTTTGACAACTAAAACTTAAGTTCACCCACGTTTCTCATTGATGTCATGTCGGCTAATATTTTATCCATGCGGTTTTGAACAGTCATTTCGTTTTCAACGGATCTTCTTTCATCCTCATCTGATAAAATGTCCAATTCATCTGATCTCGATTCTGAAACATTATCACTCTCATCAGGTCTTGCTCTTTCCTCATTCGAATCAATGTCAATAATTGGTGGAATTAAATCAATATGACTATGATTTTCGTCTTCGAGGATTTGTGAATCATCATGTTCGTCGTCGAAAATTGGATTTTCGTCTTCAAGAATTTGTGAATCATCAAATTCGTCATCGACAAAATCTTCTCCGCTCGATGAAAATTGATCTTTTGGAGGTATAGATGATTTGACAAAGAAAGTTGCTGAAAAGTAAGATTATTTTTAGTGCAGTTTCAAACTGAACTCACGTAACAATGCCTTAGCAATATGACAATGAGTGCAGTTCACTCCTGAAATTTGATGGGTGCAGCTGCATGTGATCTCTGACCAGCAAACATCACATAACTCGCAATGGCTGTTCGGCTGTAAAAATAAATACAATCAGTATATAAAAATCCACGCTTTCTTACGTCCAAACATTCAGGATCGGTTTCGATTTGAATAACAAAAACATCCGATGGTCTCCGATGGTCATAAATGAACAATTCAGTTTCGCTGTGAATTTCAACTTTGAAATTCAGCAGGATTTCCATAGCTTCTTTGTGGAGTTTTCTTTGCTCACAGGCTCGAAGATTTGCTCTGGCCAAGTCGCGCAACATTTCTGTCGCTCTTCTTGCCATTCGATTTTCATTTGATTCTTTCAAATTGTGCACCAAATTATCCAATCTCATTTGTGTTTGATATTTTAAATCGTTGCGCTGAAAAAATAAATATAAAATATCAATTTTTTCGGAAAATGAGAATTGCGGTTAAGTCCAACTTGCCTTGAGATACGCATGCCATGATTCAGCTGTCATACTTGTTTGCACAATACTATTATCTCGATAACAAGTCGCCCAAACCTTCACAGTTTCTGAATAAAAAATAATTGTCTCGATTTTTTGCTTTTCTAATTGTAAATGAATATTTATTCGTTTCTGAAAATTTAATACGTCGAACGTGAAATTTTTCGGACTATGACAATTTTTTTGGAACAGCGGCATAATAAGTATTTCCTAGTGTGCAAATTTACGAACCCGATTTTTGATTCATGTGAGTTTTCAATGAAGTTTTATGACTGTTCTTGTTACTTCTTTGAAATGTTTTCTGTTTGGTTTAATTTTCCAATTCTAAAATATATGGAAATTTTTTGTGGGAATGGGACCAGGACTGATTTCCTGAGAAAAAATTCTGAATTAAAAACGAAAAGACGGACCAATTTTAGAAAAAGTGGTCCTATTCAGAATTTCTGAATCAGAATTTTTCTCAAAAAATCGGACCTGATCCCGTTCTTCTCATTCGATTCAAAATGTTCTAAGTTTTCATAACTAAACTCTAAAAGTGATAATTTTACAGTTTTTTGTAAAAATGTATCAAACTCACTGAGATATCTTGACTTTAGATATTTTAAAAATTGGAGAGCTTTCGAATTTCCTAATCTCTTCAGATACTGAAACAATTCGTTGAGTCCTCTTTGTAAAACGAATTCAGACGGTGTCAACTGAATTTCATACAGTTTTTGCATGACCGTTTTGTTTTCGACATCCTGGAATTAATTTGTTTTAAATATAAAAAATGTAATACTGACGTTTAATAATCTATCAGCCATATTTTGCCATGCGTTGCCTACGTGCCATCTGCACCATAATTTTTTTGTGATGTTTCGGTTTTGTGGGAATTCCTGAATAAAAAGTTCACTTGAATTAAGTTGTGGACATCAAGTTATTCTCACGTAAACATATGCATTCCAGAATTGTCCAGCCTCATCGGTCATCATTACTTTTGGGCAAAATTCTGGGAACACTTTTTTAACTTCTCGGAAGAAAAATCGCATTTCTTCAGTGGATGTGCAGTTAGAAATAAGAAAGCCTGAAATTTTAAAATACTGTGGAAACTTGAGAATTTTTTCTGGGTATTTCTGTGTTCCAGAAATTCGATTAAAACTAAAAATGAAGACATAAAAAATGTTCTATATTACCACAAGGTATTCCTCTTGAATTTTCGTCCAACACAAGCATAGTCGTCAATCTAACATCATATCTTGAAATATTGTATGTTTCGTCAAGAACAACTCCTTTGTGAGAAAACTTTTTCAGCGCAATTATTTGAAGATCTGACATTATCACTGAAAATTATTTTTCATGAAAAAGCCTTCCAGTTTTAAAGATGAAAGTTTTCTGAAGTATGTATTACCCAAGATAAATCCTGTTCCTTTTTTGTCAATTGGCAGTCTTAGGAATCGTAGTCCATATTTTGGATTTTGCTCATTGTAACGCATTTTGATTGATTCAAGGTCATTCTCGTGGAGGCGACCATCATGCAAACCAAACCGATCTCGAATAGTTCTGTCAGAATTGTTACCGCTTTAATAATCCAAATGGATAGAAATATATTTCGAGATAAATTTCCGGAAAAAAAATTGAAATTGACTTTTTTTTGAAATTCTGTTACTGTCAACCAATATTTAAATCATATTATTTTTTCTTACTGTCTTCATTCATGAGATACTTCTTATGGATTTATAGCTCGAACTTTTTGAAAAATCAAACCTGATATCTTCATTAATAACGTGATGGAGGCGGTTGGTTTCGGGATAGACCTTTATCAGTTTTTTGATAATTTGTTCATTTGTCCAGCTATCTTCAATCATGCTATAATAATTGTTTCATGAATAGGTAGTTTTTAGTGATATTTCAAAAAGAAACTCACTCCGTAATTAATTTGATTTGTGGATCGGTCAATCTTTGCTGAGCTGGTTCAACTTCATGACCTTTGTGTGAAAAACACGCTTTTACAGAACATGATCCGTCGGCATTTTCGATTAGCTTAAAATTTTAATTTTTTAAATATCTTTAAATTTTTTCATCCAATTTGTGAAATATTTTGATTTTTAGTTGAATTTATAACTAATTTTAGTGGAATTATACCTTTACAAAAGCTGTGCAAATATTTCCCTTTCCTGTTGTTTTCTTTGAAGGATGGCCTCTTGTTTTCGTTGCATTAGATTCATATTCTCCTTCATTTGAGCACCTCCAATAATTTGCTTTCAACTTCCCATCTGTATGTGTTCTACATTTTGCAAAAGTTGAACAAGACGCCTCTTTTTTCCGATCAAACCAGTCCTTAAATTGAACATAACTATCAAAATTTTCGGTTTCCACGACAAATTGAGTTCCGTCACTATGTTTCGATTTCATATGCTTACAAAGATCTTCCCGCGACGCTGTGGAAACGGAGCATTTTGATTCCAGACATCTGAATTTGACTGGTTCTTGAACTTTTATATTCGTATAAGATTGATGTTCCACCACCTCCAATTCTTCATGTTCTTTGTCGTCTTGTTTCATTATCTAGAATTTTTTGGTTTTTTTCTATTTCTCACATTAAAAACTGCGAATGTTTCATTTTGAATTGTTTACCTTAATTTTTTTAATCTACCCAAAAAATGAATGAAAAATTTGAGGTTAAGCGATTTGAGGTAGTAAATTACACCCTGTGGGAAGGCAGAGGAAGTGGTCGGAATTGGTAAGGTTCCGCACAGTTTTCTGAGTAGATCAAACTCTTTTGAAGTTTGGACTATTTGAAAAAATCAGGTTTTCATGAAAAATATTCAGATGTGTTATTTTTCGATTTTAAAACTCAAGATCACTATTCATGACGTTTTTCTCAGCCTATCGGTCTTATAAAATGTTGTTTTCAAAAAAATTTAAATTCTTAGACTCGAATTTTTTTATCTACACAGCTGATGTGAAAGCAGTCGGCAAGAAAAAAAGTGGGATTTTTTTGCATGTGTATATATTTTTGTATGGTTCAAAAAAGTGAACTTCAGATTTAAAAGGCCATAAAACGTCCATCCTTCTCTTTTATTAAACTCATTTTGTATATTATCAAAAATTGCCTAAAGTGCGATATCAGTCAAATATTCAGACTTTTTTCAATTATGTGATGTAAAACGTTCACCTTCATCAAGTGGGATTTTTCTGATGGATGTTTGCTGTAGATGTGACTGATGAGACCGTTTTTCATTGAACAAGATACTATGCAGTTTTGAGCAGGACAAATCCAAACATTTCCAGATCCTTTTGGTCGTTTCATAGATTGTAATTGTCTGTTATATTCCAATATTTGATCTTCATTGTACTTGTGTTTCTTTTTTAAATGTTGGCGAACATTATCACCTCGCCCAAAGTATTCGCAACCAGTGGAAGGACATCGAATTTTGTTGCTTTGTGAATTCATAATAGTTAAGGTTGAAAACAATGTTTTTTGTTTCTCTCTCACTATGAATGTATTTGAATTAAAAACTACTGTACCTCGTTTCCCAACGCGATTTGTTAAATGTTTGTATGTTTCTAAGATTGTGCGACTGTTACCGTAGTGTTATTTATTTATTTTTTCATTTATTACACATGCAAACGAAACACAATATAAAAATGAGTTTATTGGAAATAAAATTACAGTACAACTTGACAGAGAATGGATTGACTGAAAATTTTGAAATTTCAATTATTTTTAAATTTTCAAACCGAAAACCAAAATGGATTGACTGAAAATTTTGAAATTTCAATTATTTTTAAATTTTCAAACCGAAAACCAAAATGGATTGACTGAAAATTTTGAAATTTCAATTATTTTTAAATTTTCAAACCGAAAACCAAAATGGATTGACTGAAAATTTTGAAATTTCAATTATTTTTAAATTTTCAAACCGAAAACCAAAATGGATTGACTGAAAATTTTCCAATTTCAATTATTTTTAAATTTTCAAACCGAAAACCAAAATGGATTGACTGAAAATTTTGAAATTTCAATTATTTTTAAATTTTCAAACCGAAACCCAAAATGGATTGACTGAAAATTTTGAAATTTCAATTAGTTTTAAATTTCCAAATCGAAAACCAAAATGGATTGACTGAAAATTTTGAAATTTCAATTATTTTTAAATTTCCAAATCGAAAACCAAAATGGATTGACTGAAAATTTTGAAATTTCAATTATTTTTAAATTTTCAAACCGAAAACCAAAATGGATTGACTGAAAATTTTGAAATTTCAATTAGTTTTAAATTTCCAAATCGAAAACCAAAATGGATTGACTGAAAATTTTGAAATTTCAATTATTTTTAAATTTCCAAATCGAAAACCAAAATGGATTGACTGAAAATTTTGAAATTTCAATTATTTTTAAATTTCCAAATCGAAAACCAAAATGGATTGACTGAAAATTTTGAAATTTCAATTATTTTTAAATTTCCAAATCGAAAACCAAAATGGATTGACTGAAAATTTTGAAATTTCAATTAGTTTTAAATTTCCAAACCGAAAACCAAAATGGATTGACTGAAAATTTTGAAATTTCAATTATTTTTAAATTTTCAAACCGAAAACCAAAATGGATTGACTGAAAATTTTGAAATTTCAATTAGTTTTAAATTTCCAAACCGAAAACCAAAATGGATTGACTGAAAATTTTGAAATTTCAATTATTTTTAAATTTTCAAACCGAAAACCAAAATGGATTGACTGAAAATTTTGAAATTTCAATTATTTTTAAATTTTCAAACCGAAAACCAAAATGGATTGACTGAAAATTTTGAAATTTCAATTATTTTTAAATTTTCAAACCGAAAACCAAAATGGATTGACTGAAAATTTTGAAATTTCAATTATTTTTAAATTTTCAAACCGAAAACCAAAATGGATTGACTGAAAATTTTGAAATTTCAATTATTTTTAAATTTTCAAACCGAAAACCAAAATGGATTGACTGAAAATTTTGAAATTTCAATTATTTTTAAATTTTCAAACCGAAAACCAAAAATGGATTGACTGAAAATTTTGAAATTTCAAGTATTTTTTAAATTTTCAAACCGAAAACCAAAATGGATTGACTGAAAATTTTCCAATTTCAATTATTTTTAAATTTTCAAACCGAAAACCAAAATGGATTGACTGAAAATTTTGAAATTTCAATTATTTTTAAATTTTCAAACCGAAAACCAAAATGGATTGACTGAAAATTTTGAAATTTCAATTATTTTTAAATTTTCAAACCGAAAACCAAAATGGATTGACTGAAAATTTTGAAATTTCAATTATTTTTAAATTTTCAAACCGAAAACCAAAATGGATTGACTGAAAATTTTCCAATTTCAATTATTTTTAAATTTTCAAACCGAAAACCAAAATGGATTGACTGAAAATTTTGAAATTTCAATTATTTTTAAATTTTCAAACCGAAAACCAAAATGGATTGACTGAAAATTTTCCAATTTCAATTATTTTTAAATTTTCAAACCGAAAACCAAAATGGATTGACTGAAAATTTTCCAATTTCAATTATTTTTAAATTTTCAAACCGAAAACCAAAATGGATTGACTGAAAATTTTCCAATTTCAATTATTTTTCCATCCCAATAACAAGAATCCTTTCAGTAGTTTGAAATGCATTGATGCCAATGTAATATGAAATGCCAAAATTATCGTCATGATTTGAAATGAAAACAAAAACTCTAATCTCGTGTTTAAAACACACTAGAAAACTCTGATAATAGCTTGATTCCAGGAAATACCAGCCAAAAACAACAAATACTCTGATGAAATGCGCTGTTCTTATGGATTCCTCATATAACCCAGCAAAAACTTGAAATTTGCGTTCTTTTGCCACAAAAAAATTGACAAATGCTTTCAACTTGCTTGAAAATAGTTAAAATCAGCCAACTCACTCTCAAAACAGTCGAAAAAACCTCAAAAAAGCATTCCTAGAACACCCAAAACAAACAATTAAATTCAAACAACCTCGCTTTGTGCGCTGGAGCGCATTTCCTAAATTTAGTCAATCCAAAGTGACGAAACCTGCAGCCTTGTGTTCGAAAAAATTTCAATATTTTTGGTTTTTTCTTCGTTTTCTCGGTTCCTTGATTAGAAAATATACGTTTTATTTGTGTCAATTTGAAAAGGGAATTTTTCAGAACATGACGGATGTTGAAATGGCTGAAGCTGGCCAGGAATTACCACAATTCCCAACAGTTCATATTCTTCAAGTCGTTAAAGATGCTCAACAACAACATGGTTTGAGACACGGTGATTATGCTAGATATAGGTTAGTTATCTTTATTTTTGGAGTTAAAATTAACAATAAACTTTTTTAGAAAATATTCGGCAGCTAAATTGGAAAGAATGAGAAAAGCTTTGAAGTTTACCAATCAACACAATTGTCAAAAGAAAAGAAAGGCTAAATTTGTAAAGAAATGGTTGACTGAAGAAGCTTTAGTCGATGCGCAATTTTTGAATTTTGGTATTTTTGAAACCGAAAGACGGTATGCTTCAGCAATGATTGAAAAAATGACACTCGAAGATAATCCGGAAAAATTGAGAAAACGATTTTCAATGATAAATAACTTGAAAAAGCCGTTCTTCATGCTAACAATCTTGAAAATATTGTTGTAAGCAGTGCAAGAGTGAGTTTTTTATTCGAAATTTTTTAATTTGAAAGAAAATTTTAGTGTGACGCTCCAACAAAACTCGAAGCTCAAGCTTACGCCGCGTGGATGCGTGGAATGTGTGCTTTTGAATCGAGAGATTGGCAAAAAGCCAGCGAAGCTTTGAAATTGGCAAGAAATGTTTATGATAAATTGGCTGAAGCCACTAATAATACAACATTGGCCACGTTATATAAAGGAAGGTTTGTTATTTTTCTGTGTGAGAAAATTGTAGGAAAAAACAAAAAAACTAATTTTTGATTCCTGTTTTGTGTTCTACTGATTTATGGATTTCATTCTTTCAACGAAAAAAAGTATTTCTAGATGTCGCGAAATCCAACCACAACTTCGACTCTGCGAATTCAATATTGCTGAATCTCCAGAAGCTGTCGGAACTATGTCAGAATTGATGGAACTTCGTATGCAAATGGGAGCAGATGACAGTTCTGTTGATAAACTTATTTCTGAAATGAGATCAACTGCAACTGGCGCTGAAGTTGTCACAATTGAATGGGGTGGAATGAAGAGTACTGTAGAAGACGAGAAAGCAAAACAATGTTTGCAAGGATGGAAACAATCAGAAGCTGAACTCAAACAATGTCAAACACCAAAAGAAAAAATGGCATTGTATGAAAAAGCAACAGCGGATACAAGAGATGCAATTGATCGATTATCGGATACAATTAGAAGAAAGAATGCTGATAATGCTGATACAACTGTTTTGCAATCAATCAAGGCTTATTTAGATTTTTTGAAAATGAGTGGAACCGCTTCGAGATATTTGGCAATTATTGAGAATACGAAAAGTGATAAGAAAAATAAACCACAAGACATGTTGAGATTATATGATTCAGTTATTGAGATTTATAAAGAGGTTTCGGAAACACCTGGAGCTGAATATGATAAATCACTTATTCAAGCATTTGAAATGAAAGTTGAATATTATAGAGCATTTAGATGTTTCTATATGGCTTCTTCTTATGCAGCTCTTCAAAAATATTCAAAAGCCACTGCTCTTTTTGATAGAACTTTGACGAGAATTAATGATGCTGAAGGACAACTCAAAAAATTGAAAGCTAATCAATATTTGACACTCGAAACACTTGATGTTTTGAAGAATTTGCGATCTGATGTTGAGGCTGCTAAGATCAATGCAAGAGCATCGCGATTATCAAGTGCTGCTGAAAATAGTGGAACAACTACAGAGGAAGCGAAGAAAATTGATGAGAGGGTAAGTGTTCTCAAAAACAACCAAATTTGATGAAAGTTTTTCTAGAAAAAAAAATGAACACGTGAAAAGAAAAAAAAGCATAAAATTTGGTTGTTTGTTAGAAAAACAGTTTGTTTTGATCGAGTTGATATATAATTATGATTAATTTTCAGACCTTGTCGGAAACTTTGTCAGAATGGCGAGATTGGCGAGTCGCCGAATCAGTTCGAAACAAAAAGACTATTCCTGTCGCAAAATTGCCTCCAGATTTCATTCCAATGCCAAACAAACCAATCTTTTTCGATTTGGCCAATTTCCATCTAACTGTAAGTTGTTTTTAGAAAATTTAATTTTTGTGAGAAAAATTGAATCTAAATGATAAAATTGACTCATCCGAACATTTCAAATTTTCATTTTTGATTTGAAAAATGAAGTGAAATTCTAACCAGTTTCCAATTTTTCTGTAGTTTGCTAAAGTTTACCTCGAGAATAATTTATTTTCCTAGATAAACATCCTATTATTGTTCATTAGTTTTGAAATATGATATTTTGATTTCTTCAGTAATATTGCGAAATTTGAAACCAGTCAACTATTTTTTCAACTATTTGTTTATATGATTTCCGTTCACCTCGCCTTCAAAAATCGATTTTCTTTTTTAATTTTCATCATTATTTTTGCAGATGCCAAACCTTGAAGATCGTATATCTCAACTTCAACGTGACAACACTGCAAAATCACCAAACAAAAAAGGAGCTCAATCAGCCGGAGCTCAAAATCAAGAAAGTGGAGGTGAAAAGGGTATTTCAGGAATGGTTTCAGGATGGTTTTGGGGCAAAAAGTAATATTTTTGTTAGGTGATTATTTTTATGTGATTTGTTCTAAAGTATTTGTTTTTATTTAATTTTGGTCCCTATTTTTTCTCCATTTCATATCTTTTTTTGCCCCTGTTTTTTCCTTGTTATTTATTCGTCAAAATACAAAGTCTATAATTATTTTCTGCTATTCATATGTTATTTTCAGATAAAGATTTATTGCAACCTAAAATTCTTATTTTCCATATTTTCATGGGATTTATCATATCCGTTCAGTATTTCATTCGACAATTTCTCCTCTCCCACAAATAAATAAAATTATAGAATTATGAAAAATGTCTACATTGTACCCAGATGAAAGTTATTGTACAAGCGATATTGGAAGAATTTTATATCAATTAAAGGCAAGAACAATTTTTAAATTTGAGTTTTTTTTTCAAAAAAAAAAATTTCAGACCGATTGGACTTGTAAATGTACTGTGATAGATGTGAAAGAAGAAAAATATATTGCTGGATCGTTCACTTTGTATACTGTTGAAATTATTGTGAGTCAGTTTTTTTTGGGAGGAATTAGAGTATTTGTGTACGAAAAAATGAAACTGAATTCCGATTTTTTATAATAAAAATATTTTTTGAATAAAGAGGTCACGTTTTGATATAGTCATAGATTTAAAAAAATTTAATTAATTGTAAGGCGATGTTGCAGATGAGTTTCTCCTTCGAGAAGAAATGGGGCGAAATTCAAAAAATGCACTGTTTCGTCTCCACGTGCAACACGTCTCTCCTTTTTCTCCTCAATTAGCTCGGGGGAGAAACTAATCTGCATCATCGCCTAAATAAAATTTTCAATCCGTGAAAAGTTAATGACCATATTTAAAAATAATGATTTGAAAAAATAAAAAATCTTCTCAATTCTCCTTTTGCAGTGTGTCCCCATCGCTTCACATCTCAATGATCATCCAGAAAGATCTTTTCACCTTATCACTCGATTCAAAGAAATGCAAAAATTACACGGTGCTTTGGCGAAAGTTCACAAGCAATTGTATTTAAGAGGAACTTTTCCCGTGTTTCCACCAGCAAAATTACTTGGAAATAGTATGTTTATCTTATTAGAGATAATTATAAAAGTTTTTTCTTGCAGATACTCCCGAAGTTATTCAAGAGCGTCGAATGGCTATTGAGAATTTACTGAATTTCACATTTGATAGCGAAGTTTTGAGAAAAGCCAAAATTTTGCATGAATTTGTGGAGGTTTGTTTTTTTTTCTCTGGTCCCTCCACATCATTTTTATGCTTATGTGTACATAACAAAAAAGAGAAAGAGGAGGAAAAAATTATGTCATTTTTCAGAAAGCGCGTGAGCGTGCCAACACTGCACATGAAATAACTGCTGGAGAAATTTTATACGACAATATTAATAGTATTTTGGATCAACCAGTTGGGTGAGTTTTTTTTCGAAGTGGCTTTGAAAATAGTAATTTTTGCAGAGCTGAGGATCAAAACGTGCTTACACCTCAACAAGTTAGTCAGAAATAGTAGTCATTCAATAATTTTTATGTATTTCACTTGATTTTTCTTGCTAAATTAACAAAGATATCAGTTTATCTACCAATCATTTTTTTTTAAATTCATTTATAAATCATCTAATTTAATGAATAATAAATTTAGAATGATTCGAACGACTTCCAATTTCCCGATATTTCTATAAATTCAACAAATTCTTCCACATTTTCTTCTTCTTCCTCCACTTCTACAACAAATCAAAATCAAGAAAGAAAATCATCGACGATGCGAAAATTGTTTCCCAAATTTCGCGGAAATATCAACGAGCAAAATGATGAAACAATTGATTATTTGGTAAAAGCTGGACAATTGGTTGCAACTGCGCAAAGAGCTGAAGATGAACATGCTTATGAGTTGGCATTTCAGTGTTATAAAAATGCGGCAAGCAGTTTGATACAGGTGAATTTCGGGGATAAGGGACTTGTGATGATGAATGGGACCATAAAGATGATGTTGTTCTATAAATCACAATAAAAATGAATATTTCTGGTCCTTTGCAGCTGAATTTCAGTATTCTAATTAAATCTCATTTCATTCTTGCTCCATTTCGTAAAATATGTTAATTGTAGATTGCAAGGGTATTACTGCGAGAGTAAATTTTGTATTCTGAAATTTCAAAAAAAAATTGAAGTCGAAAAACTACGTATCTAATTTTTGTGCCACGTCATAACATTTTTTATTCTTCTCAATTTCCAGGGAGTTCAAATTGAGAGTGATATGACGAAACGAAACGCAGTACGTAGAAAAACTGCAAAATATCTCGTAAAAGCTGAGAAATTATATCGAACATATTTATCTTTAGATGGTTCGGTCTTCAATTTTGATAGTCTTATGACCGCTGCAATGCAGGTTGGTATTTATTTCTTTTTTATTCTATTTGCCTATTTTATATTTTTTTTCCCAGGATCCAAATATAATGGCGTTTCAATGTTCGAATAAAACCATGAAAAATTATCGATTTGTTGGTGTTTTGCCGAGTTTGGAAGTCGAGAAGAAGGTTTTATTGGTTGAGGAGAAAAATGGAGAAAATCGAAAATTTGTGATGAAATTATTAGAGAAAGGAAACCAAGACAATTATGACTCACGAATATTTCTACCAACAAATATTCCTCACATGGTCCAACTTGTGCAATTTTTCGAGACTGAAATGCATATTATTCTGCTGATGGAATATATTGAACCGGGAAGATTGTGGGATTTTTTGGCGAAATATTTTGAGGAAAATGAATGTCGATATTTGATGAAATTGGGAACGATGAAAATGGAAGTGAAAGAAGGCGAAAAAGTGGAAGAATTGATTGATGAACAAAATAGCGAAGATATAATTGGGGGAAATCGAGGATATCGAGGAAGAAGACTGCTTTTTACAGTTGGAGTCGATTTTGAAAGAGTTGTTGAGATGAGAGATCAAACTTCTAGTGTGAGTTGATTTTTTTTAGAAAGAAATCTAGAATTATATTTTAAAATCTTTCAAGGAAATTGTTTAAAATATTTGACAAATCATTTCATTCTCAAAAATTTTCAGAGTGATGCTCCTTCCGAAAACACACTTATTTGCGATATGGGAGTTGATGTAACTGGAAAATCTGAAGCTCCTAATGTTTCTGGCGATTTTTCGATTCTCGAAGGCTCTCGAGAAGATCAGCAAAGTCAATATTTCCGAGTTGCTGAAGAATCACCGGCTACAGTTCTAATTCAAAAACCCACAAAAAATAAATCATCTGATGAATATTTGATGGAACTTTCGAAAGCCTTGCGAACTGTTCGACAACAATTAGGAGCCAGGAAAAGAGTCTGGAATCATGTAAGGGAATTTTGAAAATTAAAAAAAAACGGTGGGGTTCTTCTAGATTGATCTTCCGGAATGTTTGATAACTCATTGGTCAGCTCAAATCGTCTCATTTTTCTTTGTAATGCATGCGGAACATTTTGAATTTATTGGGTTAGTTTTGGGGAAAATAATATTATGTTTCAGTTCAAAAATTGGAATTTTTTCAGGGATTTGAACACGGATAATATTTTGATTGATAACGATGGAAATATTATGATAACTTATATTGGAAAATGGCACGAATCTCGAAAACTTAGGCTAAAAGATGGATATTCAGCTCCAGGTAAGAAAGAGACGCAGGTAGAATTTACAAGTTAAAAAAAATTAAATTTTAATGCAGAAGAAGTTTGGAAATTGTTTCAACAAACTTGAAACTTAGCCTTTTTATTGAATCATGAAAATTTCTTCAGAATCCTGTGTTTATGGTTGGATTCCATCAGCTGAATCAGATATTTGGACTATCGGCGCTCTTATGTTTGAACTTTTATGTGGTCGAAGTTTGGCAAATTGTGCACCTCATGGAATTCTTCGAAATATGGAATTACCGTATCCCGAACAGGCGAATGTTTCATTTGTTGCTAAAGATATTTTAAGCATGTAAGTCATTCTAATTTATTTTCCAAATGTAATTTCTCATTTAATAGGATTCTTGTTCCTCTTGCGATTTCACGACCTTCGATTGATGAAATTAGATCACATCCATTTTTCCGAAATATTGATTGGAGATTATATGACAATCCAACATTTCAACAACAACCATCAACGAGTAATAGTACGGGATAAGTTTAAAAATTTGTATAATAAGTATATAATTTTGGCATAATTTATTTATTGATTTATTAAATTAGTTGATTTATCCTTCAAAAAGATCTTCTGGTTCCGCTAATTTTACTTTGAAAACATCGAAAAGTTTTGCGAGTTCGAATAACTTCTGACGTTCTAATTGGAGTCGTTGAAGAGAATTGACAACTGACATAAGACGAATCAGTCGACCTGCATAATTTGTAATTTTTCGATCTTTGGTGTAGTAGAAATGAAGATCATTTGCAATTTTATCGATGAATTTTTCACTAGCCGAGAGGGTTGCATCGTGTAGAAGTCGGCCTAGAAAACATTTGAATTTATAAAAAAGGGCCAATTTTGAAATATTCTAAAGTAGTTACTGTAGGTTGGGATTTAAAAGTTTCACGAAAAAAATCTGCAGAAGTCCAAAATTGATAGTATTTGTTTTTGAAATAACAATTTAAAACTCAAGACCTCCTGAAGCCACATCCCATTTTATACTGTGAAATTCTCACCTCCATTATGCCAGAATACTTGACATAACATATAAGTAACTTCCATCGAAGTTGGTTCAATTTCCAATAATGGTTTCGCAATATGTTCGAACATTTTTAAGCAAAAAGGTTCAAACATTAATCGAATACTATCTGATGAATGATCTGTGATTTTTGAAACATCAACATCTAATAAATTCATATGAACTGCATCATCATTGGAAATTATAAGAATCTTATCGTCATATGCTTTTTTCCCGAATATTTCAATCGATATTGTTAATCTTTCAAATCTCTGCCAAACCATCCAAACTAATTTGAAAACGGAGAATTTTTCACTAGACTCTAGTTTACGAAATTCTTCCGAATGCATCATCCAATTTGCAACTCGACACATTTCATCACCCCAATTCATTATCATCTCATCCATATCCATCGATGTTCTGAACTGAAATAATTTTTGTTCTATCAAATTTTTTTCTTCTCAAAAAAACCTCACATTCAATTTTTTCCTTTTCTGATCTACGCGAATTGCCTGAAGTGCATAATCCATTTTGCCCAAAGTTGTTTTCGACATGTATAGTTTATCATCTTCCGGAATTTTAAAATTATCAAAAATGTAGTGGATTTTTTTGAGAACTTCAGATATATCAAATAATGGAGGACCATCGCGAGATTTGGATTTTGATCCAGGATTTTCGGTTATCACTGATTTTTGAGTTGAGGAGAGCGAATCTCGATTATATTGAACATCTGGCAAAAATTTTTATTCGAATACTTTTTTGGAAATTTCAGGACTGTTTTTGTGAACTTCTAAAGACTATTTCAAATTCAATTTTTGGTTTAAAAATGCTGACGTTAAAAACTAATCAGATGAAAAGTAATTAAATTCAGCTCAAAATATAAAAAAGTGAATACAGTAATGTTTTGCAAGAAATAGATCTTTCAAATTTTTTGGAATTCTTTTTTTTTCAATTGAGAAAAAATTAACAATTATTTCAAAAACCAATATTCCGATAATATTTTTCTTTCAAATTTTGATGAAACCTAAAATTTACATCAAAAAGTTACAAAAAATCTCCGAAATTTTCAATAAAAAACTTACTTTCTTCAGTCATTCCCAATAATTTACATTTTTCCATTCGAGATAATCTACACAAATATCTTTCAGTTTTATCGATTTTACATTTCGAATTTGCTCTTCTACAAATATATTTTTTGCTCAAAACTACAGTTCTTCTAAAAAATGCAGCACAAGCTCGACAACTTATAACTCCAAAATGAATTCCGTGCGCATTTTGACCACAAATTTTACATTCTTTGCTGGAACATTCGGCCTGAAATTTTTAATTAATCAATTTTTCTAAAATTTTTAATTAAAAACTCACCTCATCTAACATGATAATATTTTCCGCCATAATAATTTTGAGAAACAACGGGCAAAACAAATATTTATTTTTAACGTTTCAAAAAAAACGAAAAAATATTTTGTGACTCGTGGTTTGTTCCAATGCATTCAGTCACAAACTCGTTCTTTTTGTGTCGTTTTTATAGTTTTTGTAGTCACACAGAAATCACGAATTATTTATCAACAAGCAAAAAAATTGGAAAAATGCAAAAAATAAATGGTTGATTTCACAATGAGATCATGTATTGAATTTAAAAAAAAATAATTGAATTAGTGTCGCGATCTTCTCACGCGTTTCACAGCAACACTTTCTTTAACTTTTTCTGGACTGGAAGAAGTTTCTCGATCTTCTGAGATGGCCTTTTTTCCTTTCTTCGGTGGAATTCTGCAAAAAACATGGCAATTATGAATTCATCTTATTAATAGAAAATGAGAATCAAACTAACCGTTTTCCATATCGATCTTTTGCCACAAATTCTTCTTTATGTTGTTTGTTATAACTGTAGTCGAATAAGAGTTCGTCGCCTTGTTTCAAATCTTTTTTTGCGAAGATTCCAATTCGATGGTTGCCATTCACCAATATAATCTGCAAACAATGTTTTGATTAAAATTTATAAGGTATTTTTTAACACTCCTGTTTTAACTATAATTTTGCTCAATGATTCCAAAAAAAATGGTGCCCTGCACTTCCCGAGTCAGAAATACGAGGAAAAAACTAACTTTTGAATAGCAATTGCTGTGAGTGTCGGAATGATTCGCGAAACGAATATAATTTCCCATACAAAATGCATCAACACATTCATCCTCATTCAGAGCTAAAATATTGCGATTTCATGATTTTGTAGAAAAACATTCAAAATCTTACCAAATATATAACTCGATTTGAACTGATCGTAAATATGTCCACGTCTTTCAACTTCCGACGAAGATATAACTTCTCCAGTATATTCAGAAATCAAATCTCCTTTCTCGGCATCTTCCATTATATAAGCTCCCCATCCAGCAACTTGTGATGGTCGAACAGCCAATTTTTTCTGAATTCCTTTTGAAATCGAAGAATTTCGACAAGTGTTCTCGTGTGGTCCAATTGTATCTGAAATATTTTGAAATTATTTTTTTAAAGAATAATATTTTCATACCGCATTGACAAGATTTACACAAATATGGATCACATTCCCATTTTGCGTAAAAACATTGGCATTGTTTTGTTCGACAATGTCCTGGTGCACATCGACAACCCGGGAATTTCATTTTGCACGTATCATCACAACCACAGTATCTTGTGCAAACTCCATTTTTTGTGCAGGCACAATTGTTCTGATTTCCACAAGGTCCTTCATGGTCGCAAGGTTGCATTTTGTATTTGTTTTGGACCTTAAACAAAAACTGTATTTAATTGAAAACACTATTGCAATTATTACCATTCCAATACCAGATAGCCAAGTTGTATTTCGAAATTGTTTGTGCATTTCCCTTGGATCCCTGAAATCAAAAAATTAAATTTATTTCAAAAATAAAATGAGTCAAACATACATTCGAAGCTTCTCGCGATCAACAAACATCCGAGTTTCAGAAGGCGTTCGAGTATATGATACAACGAGCTCGTAAAATTGTTTACAACTCAATTTATTGTTTCCAACAAGACTTGCGAGAAGACTTCCAGCATATCGACAAAAGCTCTTGTGGACCTCTTCGTTTACCGCAAATGCTAATAAAAATGAAGATCCTTGTTTTTCAGTGAGTCTTGTGATTTCGCCTTTATCGAAAAACACTGAAGCAACATCATTCGAAATATCATCTTCGATAAGTTTCAAATCACTTAGAACCCTCTACAAGAAAATGAGAATTATTATTTTTCAATTTTGAATGAAACTCACATCTCTCGGAATAGTTTTCCAGCAATCAGTCGAACACATAAATTTCGAAGTTTTCGCTGGATTTTTCGAAGGGATTGGAAGCAAAACCGATTGCCATCGACCACTTGAAAATTTGGCGGGGAGTTTTGCGCGGAATCCTAGAAAAAGTTAACTATTATTATATAATTAATCCTTAACAACTATGTATTACCATGAGTGGGACAATCATATGACGAGCATGACGGGCAATAGCCCATTTCCATTGAATGATTATCCGTTTCTGGGTTGGGTGGATAATTTATTGGTCTTCTCTTTGATATGAAATGACTCTTGTTGTAAAAACGTTCAACCAGTTTTCTGTACCTATAATAATTAGATTTTTTGAAAAGTCGCTGAAAGTTTAAAAAAACTTACACGTCCGGCAATTGTCGATGAGAATATTTGTTTGGAAACAATTGATAAAATGCATAATAAAGAGCATCTCGAGATCCTTGAAATTTGGAAAGACATTCAATAAGAACATCATAGAGCATATCATCATTAATATAATTCCAATTGTCCGAATATCCATGAATTCCTTCGTCATATAATGAGATTAGAGTTTTGAACAAATCATCATCATTTTGATCTTCTTTCAAGTACGGAACATGCGATAATCTCAAATTATCTTCAGTCTTGATATTTGTTTCAAGATGAATCCAATATGTCATTGGTGGAAGAGCATCTGGTCCATACAACGGAGCATATCCTTGTTTTTGTTTTAAATTTTTAACGGAGAAGACTTGCACAAGAGTATCATGTCGAGTCACAAACTTTTCATAATCTTGAGGATGATATTGTTGATAGTCATATTTTGAACGGCATGTTCGAAGTCGTTTTTTCTGAAGCAATTCAGTGAAAGAAGTTTCCAATTCCTCCTTGACATTTTCATCATAATTTTTGCGAACATCAATATATGCTTTTCTGATAAGGAGATTGGCTTCATTCAATTCATCTCTATCATAATCCCCAGTCTGAAAAACATTATATAATATTTAAATATAAAGTATCCAAATAATATTTACCTTTACAACAATTCTTCGTCTATCTTTCAATATATCAGCACTGTTATAATTTTCCTGATTCTCATCTTGGAGTAATCTTGAATAACGTCTTCTGTGCTTCGATTCTCCTTTACAAGCTGGTGCAGTTTTCTTTGGAATATCTTCTTCCTCCTCCTCCTCATCCTCACCATCTTCTTCTAACTCAAGTTGTTCACAGATTCTTTTCATTTCTATTCTTGCTCTACTTTTGATCGGTGACTTTGTCTTGCCAGGACTTTTAATTGGCGATTTTCGAATTGATGATGAGGTTCCTTGTTCTTCCAACTCATCAACCGGCGCAACTTTTCCTGAAGATCGTCTTCTACTCGATTTTGTAAGAAGCCCGCCTGCTGTTGATAAACTTCTTGCTCTCCTCGATTTTGATGTTCCCTGATCTTGACAAACATTTTCAGCAAAATCGATGGCTTTCAACTGCGTAACTCTTCCTTTAATAGGTGACAATATTGTTCCAGCATTTTTCGATGGTGGCATTGTTTCATTTTTGCTTGACGTAGCTTGTTCTTTCTCACCAGTGCTTACCAATCTTTCAGATTGCTTTCCCTTAGATGGAGACGGAGTTATACCAGATTTTCTGCGCGGTGTTCTGATTTTACTATTTGAAGCTTCATTGTCCGAATTATTGGGAGTTGTTTCTTCTTCACGAACTGGCAATATGCGTCCAGATTTTCTCGGCGAATCTCCCATTTTTTTATCTTTCGATAAATTCGATCTTCTTGTGTGTCTTACTTCCAAAGCAGCTGTCATTGAACTCGATCTTCTCCGTCCTGGTTGAAAATCCTCATCCGAGTCATCTTCGTTATAGTTCTGAAAGTTTCAACGTTTTGTATAGAAAATGATAATCAACAATATTACCGGTTTGAAATCTTTTGCAGATCTCGAAAGTCGTTTAGCCATTTAAAAACCTGGAAATAATGGTAAATGTTGGAGTTTATAAAAGCTAAGTAGAAAACTTAAAAAAAAGAGAGAGAGAGAGAGAGAGAAGTATTAAGGAAGGAATTATTAAAGCAGAAAAAAACTGATTTTCTCTTCGTTATTGTATTTTCAAAAAATTATTCCTAATCTCCCACAGATTCTCCGAAAAATCTTCATAACCCTACGATTTTTATTTATGAGATTATAAAAACTTTGCATATAAACTAACACATGTTTAAAAATAGAAAAAAGAGACAACCAAAGAAAGTGGCGGGAAAGTGTATGTATAGATTGTACTGGGTGCATACGCCTACAGGAAAACAAAATATTTGGTGTTTTTTAATTTTTTCTATTTTCGGAACACGCTGTTTTTTGCAATTCGAGGGAAACGCAGAGGGAAACGTTTTGCAATTCGAGGGAGACGCTTACTTTTTCAAGCCGCCCAAATGAATCGCTGCGAGACCAAGCGCCAAACCGTACTCCTCCCCGTCACTCAGGTGATTCGCTGCGAGACCAAGCGCCAAAACCGTACTTCTCCCCGCCGGTCGGGTGCATCGCCGCGAGACCACAAAAAATGTCTGCGTCTCTCAGGAATTGCATTTTTCTATTCGAAAAAAAAAACACAGTGGGAATCTTAAATTTTGATTCGTCTCAATACAGGGTTGAAAATCTAAAATTTGAAAATGAAAAAAAAAATGTTAGGTGCCCAGCAACCGAACATTGACGCATTTTTTGTAAGACGCTGACGCGTTTAATAATTATTTTTCATTTTGCAGTTTTTCCGGTAGTTACATCAACCCTGTGAAAATGTCCTCTCCTAAAAAAGCAACTCAATCAGCGGAACCAACAGTTGCAAGCACCGTGAGTTTTTTTTTAAATGTATTTCACATGAAATAACTTTTTTTTGTAGTTTGTGAAAGCACTTCAACCTGGATCAGAATGGCCCGATAAAGACGAATTACTTGACGTTGTTTATTGGGGAAAACAAGTGAGTGTTTTTCATTTCTTTAAAATGCAAATTTCAAGTTAAAATTATAGATTTTATCATTACTTGTTGGATTTGTATTCGGTTTTACACCACTTGTTGGACTTTTGGCAATTATCTCGTATGTATGTATTTCGTCTGTTGTCGCTCAACATTATGTGACTAAATTTCAAAAAGTAGACGAAGATGATGTTGGAGGATTCTGGGAATTATCGAAAGAAGGATTTGGTGCTGCTTTTGCGACTTTTATGGTTACATGGATCAGCACATATACTTCTTTAAATCAATGATTAGGACCAATCTTGCCGGTATTTTGAAATACTTCTATTTGTTATTTATTTAATTTTCTGTTCTGTACTGTGATTTTATGATAGTAAATTATCTAATTTTCAACTAATCCGCACACCATTAAAGGTTGAAAAATCTTCTGAGAATATTTTTGAAAACTTGAATATCTGAAAAAAATGATCAAACATGTTTCTTTCATTCAGTATGCGAATAATTTTATTACTTCTATTCATAAGTTCAATTCACTCTCATATTGCTATATTATTTTTTGGCTCTCGAAGTAGCGTTTCCAAAAATCTCATACAACAAAAGAAAAACAGAATTTTGGAAAAATGTACATCAAAATGCGAGGTATATGATATTATGAATTATTTTCCGAATTCTAAAGGATTATGGAATTTTATCCCAGCAGTTCTGAAAATTCGTGAAATCAGCCCTAATTTCGAAAAATATTTATTAGTCGATGAATATTCCGAGGTCAATTTTGATAATTTTGAAAACTTTGGATCAGAAAATATATTCATTGGTTATGCATTAAAGGATAAAGAGTGAGTTTAATGAAATTTAAAACCCAAGTTCTCCATGAAATGAATCAGGCCCACAATTATCCATCATTTTGGTTTCAACTTACCGGAAAGTTTTGAATATCCACTTTTGTCTTCGGGAATTTTATTGAGTGCAGACATTGTGAACAGGTATAAAAACCGAATATGTAATATAAATATCAGAAAAACATTTCAGAATCGAGAAAACTAAATCAAATATGAAGCTTCCATCATTTTTCATTGATGCTCAACATGAACTTGCCGAATTTTTATATACCAATCTTCAAATTAAACTCACACATTTTCCCGAAAGTTTCTGCACTTTTTCCAATAAAATTAGAAGTTCAAAATGCTTTGTCACGAGCCAAAAATCATTGTCAATTTCAACAATTTCTGAAGATGATATTCATATCAAAATCAAAACTCATCACGGAAATCATAAAACCAGAATACCAATTCAGAAAAAGACGTGGACCTCAAATTTGAAAAATTTGGAATATTGTAGTGATTTTGAAGATATTTCAATACCAACAATTGATTTGAAACTAGGAAATACTCAAAGAGGACATTGTGCAAAAACATGGGGAATAATGAAAAGATTCAATGGCTCAAAATGGTTATTAATTGCTGATGATGATACATTGATCTCTTGGAGTCGATTGAAAATATTTTTATCGAAGTATAATCCAGAGGATCGAGTGATAATTGGAGAGAGATATGGATATGGTTTTGATTATGATGGAAATCGAGGATATGATTATCCAACAGGAGGTTCGGGGTATGTTTTTTTGTTTTTTTACTACTATAAGGTCTTGGATAAGTTTTATTTCAGTATGATATTTTCTGAATCTGCTATCAAATCTTTACTCGCAGTTTGCCCGAATTGTTCATCTCCTGATGATCCAGATGATATGATGATTGGAATGTGTGCTCAATTAGCTGATATCCCAATTATTCATTCGAAAAGTTTACATCAAGCAAGACCCGAAGATTATGCCGAAGAATATTTGGATTCTCAATTCCCAATCAGTTTTCACAAATTCACGGATACAGATCCTATCAAAAATTACGAAATGTATTTGAAAACTGATAAGATCAATGATGAATTATAAAAAATACAACGTGCTCTATTTTTTGCCACGTGTAATGACCTAATTTTGAAAATTAATAAAAAGGGTCCCGTCTTTGGAGAATCATCAGTTCTCGATTCACTACTCCTACTAACAATAATGTCCTTCTGCTTGACTAACATCTTTGTTCCACTCACTGCATTTATCTCGCTGGTTATCTTATTCGATTCGGCTTATTGGGTTGCTAATAGATCAATCGAATCCAATTCGATTATTGATGAGCTTCCAGAAAGAGGTATGAAAAAAGGATATTCAGAGTAAAACAAATATTTTTTTTCAGAAATGATCCTGACAAGTATCGCAATTTTATCGCTTATTGGAATTGTTTCGTGTCGAAAACCATTATTGGCATTCACATTTTCATTAATGATTTATTCATCTTGCGTCACACTTTTCCATTGTTTCCACGTTTTCCACATTCTTATCAAAAATGGAATTGATGTTTGTCAAATCAATGAATTTAAACAATTTTCATGCAGTGTAAACAATTCGATAATTGCTGGAATCACTGCTCTTTCCTACATCTTCACTGTAAGATACAGTAATCTCTCCTGATTATTTTATGTATTTTTTAGACAATTGCTGCGATGTCATGTTATGATCGATTGACTACAGTAACCTTGTCATTGAGTGAACGACGTGCACTTGCAACTCAACGTGCTCAACCACTTTTGATCAGTGCTCATCCAATTATTTCACCACCACAACATTTCAACGCAACAACACATAATCACGAAAGAGATAGTTTTGTATGAATAATAATGAAATTTATTTTCTCTTGAATATTATTTCTTATTGATAAAATCAGTAATAAGTTTCTGATGATATCTGATTGAAGTATTGACTTGATTTTTTGGTGTCACACCTTTGATTAGTTGAGAACAATCTGTACCGTAGGATATTATGGCTGAAATGTAGTGTTGTTTTTTGTATTGACGCATAAGACCACCACCGCTGTCACCCTGCAAAAATGTAGTAAGTTTTCAGAACTTTGATATTTTCAGTTTGATGATTTTTTTGGAATATTATCAATCCACTGAAATTCTAAAACCAATTAGAACATTTAAAAAATGTTTTTTGTTAGAAAATGCTATTCGAAATTAGGCAACGTGACTTATTTAAGAATTTTCAACGATTTTTTTGCTACGTGGCAATTTTTCGTGAAGTGCATTTAAAAAAATAATTTTTTAAAATTAAATTGGAAAATAGGCCACGTCGTAATTTTTAGCCAAAATCATTTAAAAAAATTTCTTGTGGGAATGGAGCAGAAATTTTGAGACAAAAATTAACACTTCGGCCACTTGAAACTATTTTTTCATTCTTACCGCGCAGACATTTTTATCCTCTTCTTCTACAGTACAAAAAGAATCAGATGGAATAACACCACCTCGAGAACTTTTGCATTCTGCGTGTGAACTTTTAGTTAGTGAAACTGTTTGAAGAAATGGATATGGCTTTTTGTCATAAGCCTTGCCAGCTGGAAAAATTATTTTCAATCTAAAAATAAATAAGTTCTAATTTCTTACGATCAGTTCCCCATCCGAAAGATGTTACAGTAGAATTATCTTTAACTTCTTCGATTTCAAATGGAAGACATGCATAATTGGATACAGTACTCTCGTCAATTTCTTGATCTAATTCGATAATCACAATATCATCGCCGTTGACACAATTATTTTTGTAGAAATCAGCGAATAACATATTTTTAATACGGTATTGTCGACCTAATTGTTCTTTGTAAGTACAACCAACATCTTTATCAAGATTTGTGCATATTGCTCCAATTGTTAATGTTGTTCTACGAATTATTTCTTCCTCCGAATATTTTGCATCTCTAAATTAAATTATCTTTTAGAATTAGATCTACAGTATCCTTACGCATCGCAATATCTTTTATGACCTCCGTTTGAAGTGTCAAGAAATTTTTGTTGGAAACAATGAGCCGCACTTGCCACGTGTTTTTTTGTGATTAAAGTTCCGCCACAAATAACACCCTCATCTTTTCCAGTTGGATGAATTTGAATTAATGTTGCCCACGGATGAAGATGAATTGGATGACCAGTGTTATTGTTTGAATCAGTCATTGTTATATTTTTAAAAGTTCTCAATTTTCCACATTCCGTAGAATTGTAATATTTCAGATTTAATTCTTGAATCGAGATTTGAACGAGAAAAAGAAGTAAGATACAAGCTTGTATCATTGGCTGTAAATTAATGAACAGAAATAAAGAAATTTTGGAACGATTTCTAAATCGGAAGGAGAAGAAAAGTGACACAAAAGAAAAAAGTTAGTTTTCCAGTCTGGAAAAAATATTTTGATTTTTTTTTAGGTTACTACGCGATTTTGAGAAATATTCCGAAAGAATTGCATTCGAAAAATTTGCGAAGATTTTTTAGTGGATTTGTTGAAAATGCAAAGTTTCAGTGTTTTCATTATCGACATCGACCGGAACTTCAGAAAGAAGAAAATGTTCGTTTTTTTTTATTTTGATACTAAATTTTTAAAAAATTTTCAGAATTCTGAAAAAAAGACGAAAACAAACACTTGTTGCTGTTTGATATCATTTAAAAATTCGGAACTTCGGGAGGAATTTATAAAGGAATATAACGGAAAAAATTGGCAAAATGAATCGGATTTGGAAATTCCGAGAAAATGTTTTGTGGATAGGCTGAAAGTTGGAAATGAATCAACATCGAATGATTCGGCAAATATATCGGAGAACGATTTGAAAGAAATGATCGAATTACGGCCGCCTAATTTGATGCCTCATGGAAATATTGGAACCCCGAGCGAATATTTTCTCGAACAAATTCGATTGTGCAAAATGCCTTCAAGTATGATAGCAAAATTAGGGATTCAAACCAAAAAGAGAAGGAGGAAATTTGGAGAAGTTCCTTTTAAATATGACGAGGAGGAATATGAAGAAGATAACGAGGAAGGAGATCATGCAGAACCTAGCACTTCCGAAGATATAGATCCAACTGAAAAGTTCAGAAAAGATCGTAATGTTGAAGATAATGATGAAGGAAGTGATAATGATGATGATCAATGTGAAGAATGGGAAAGGCATGAAGCATTACATAATGATGTCACTGAACAAGATCGAACGAAGCCCAAAAAATATGAAGAGGAAATGGAAGTTACTTGGGAAAAAGGTGGACCTGGACTTGTTTGGCATACGGATAAAAATTATTGGGATGAAAGAGAGAAAGGTAGGATTATCAATTTTTTTATTTCAAATCCATCAGCAAAATGAGCTATTTTTCAGGCACTGACTGTGATTGGGCGTGGGCGGATGATTGGGATGTTGATTATTCTGTATATTACGAAGGAAAATCTGCGGGTGATATTGATGCAAAAGCTGGGGTTGAAATGAGAAATGATGAATTGATGAGAGCTGGGAAATTGGAGCAATCCGTATTTACGCGGAAAAACCAGAAATTTGAGAAACCTAGTCGGAAACGAAGGAATAGTGATTCACAAACATTATCTAACGTTCAAGATGGAACTGGTGGACGAATTTTGACGAAGTTGGTTTCATTTATATATCTCGCACCAAAATTATGGCTGTAGAAAGAGGGTGTTCGGGTGAACTATTTACAGCCATAACCAAAATAATTCACACATTTTGTTTAATTTTGTAGAATGGGATGGACACCTGGTAGTGGCTTGGGAAAAAATCGACAGGGAAGAGTTGTGCCTGTAGCAGTTCATATGGAAGAAGATGGACAAATTGGGAAAGATCGGAAAGGATTTGGATACCATGGAGAAAAATTGGCAAGATTTGTTGAAAAGAAAGCGGAAACACATTGTATTTCTTCGATGTTTGTTGAACTTGAAAATTTATATGCACCCATTGAATTTTTAATTCAGATTCGATGAAAAGCTTGAAGGACCATCAAAATTCAAATTGACGGGTGAATTCACTACAAGCGAAGTATTGCAAAGAAGTCATGAAGACACCAATATGAAATACAATTAATTCGCCGCTATTTTTTTTAATAAAGTTTTAAGCTTTTCCGAGAAATGTGTTATTCTTTTTTTCTGGAAAAACATGTTTTTCAATCGAAATTCGTCATTTTTCTGGAGGAAATCGATTTTTCTTCAAGAAACTCTAGTCGCCTAACTCTATCCCATCGAACATTTTCGAAAGTCATATGATTTTACGCCGTGAATTTTCTGCCTGTCTGCTCTAACCTGCCGCGACGCGGCTGAAGTTTGTCGACATAACAAAATTATATAATCTCAAACATTGTGTTGAATTTTACATAATGCTACAGAGAAAATTTCGTTTAATATGGTGGTTAAATTTATCAATTATGAACTTTGAATTTGTAGCGTAAATTTTATCAAATTATCAGTGTGTGCGCTCTTTGCGGACGCACTCGTGTGTGACGCGCTGCGTGCAGTATATAAAGGGGGCGGAGAAATGTTTTGTTCATTCTCATTGTTTCGTCAGTTGCGTTTTGTGCGTTACTATCGTTGCTTTTTTCGAGTTTTCTTTTGAAATCTCTGCCGATTTAAAGATGTACTACAACAACTTCTCAAACAACGGTGCTTCTACATCTTCTTCTTCTGATGATGATTCGTTCATCTCTGAAACCGATATGAGTCCGACCGAATTGTTGAGTTTGGCTATCCGAAAACGTCGATCGCTCTACAACAACAAGGAACGGAATTATCGATGCGAATTATTGCAGACCAGCTTCATCACATCACTTTGTAAGCATATGGGTGAGAGTCGTAAGAGACGTAGGCGTGGGGGCAAGAAACGTTCTAGAAATGACTTAACTGAGGAAAATAATTCTTTACCTACTCCGACTACTGTCGAGTATAAACCCATATCTAAAGGCGAACCTTTGGTTCAGACGGATTCTCCTCAACATGACTTGCCCGATCAATCGAATGATGCGCCACAAAAGAAGCGATGCAAAATCGAATCGTACGCCGACCCTTTTGGCTTGGATGAGTTCTTCAAGAGCATGCGAACAAAAAGTTCAGGTGAGTAATGGGAAGACTAGTTTAGGGTTAGTTGAAAGGTTTGTGAGGAGGGATTTTTATTAATGAGTACTTCATTAATTATATGTTCCTTCTATAAAGGTGAAACAACGTCCGTCTACTTCATAGTGCCGTGAAACAATTGAAGTCGAATCATTCGCCTCGTAAAAGTAAATAAACTTGATTTTTGATACATTGATGCTATTAAAGCTCATTGTTCCAAATGAAATGAACACTGTGACTTGTATCAATTATTTTTTTGCAGGAACAGCTTCATCGAAATGCTGATCTCGAGGATGCTCGAATATTGGAGTTGGAATTATCAAAACGACGAGTTAGCGGATACGGGTTATTCAAGTGTTCAATGATATTGTCACCAAAAACAAATAAAATATATATTTAAACTGCATTAATGGTTTTGTTATAGACATTCTGAAACGACAACAGTCATTTGTTCAAGTCCATCTTTCTTCGTGTTCTGCTATCCGTCAATATAGGAAAATATGTTCATGTGAAAGGTTTTGGGTGTGATTGCCGGAAATTTTGATATCCAAAATTGAGTAGTGTTAAGCGTCAAGAAAACTCAAAGATGAGATTTTGAAGGAGACCAGGCTTGATTTTTGGGGCGGGCTCACTTATCCTAACTATTGTTCAGAATTTCGACAACTTTCCAACATCAAACCTCGGGAGAAAGTTCAGCTCTCAAAGAAAATTGAAATTTGCCGTGAAAAGCACAAAACTCAAAATGGTCAAACGATCAGCGTATTCCCGAGGTTGATATTGCCCAAAACAAAAATGAAGCCAGAACATACCATCAGTCGGGAGATACCGCTCAAGCAGTGTTCAATAAGGAATTTTATGTATTAGTGTATTGCGTTTGACTTCTTTACGCCAACTTTAGCCAGCAATAACCATGCAGAATTCAAAATGTAGAAGGTCCAATTCAAATATCAATTCGTGTTTGAGCAAGTAAATATCCGCGCATAAGAATCCATAGGGAAGCAGTGTTTTGTACCCAACATAGTGAAAGAAAATGATGTGAAGTTTCCATTTCAAGTGCATCAAAAGTTTGTTTGGTTGTTCGCGGAACAGGTTAGCCCTAAGCAGGAATCTTTTCTCACAGTAAAAAGTTGCAGAAAACGTTGAAGCGATCGTCAAGTGTTAAAGTTGTTCCATTCCTTTGTAAAGTCTCGAAAGTTTCAGATTGATGCGCACAATTTTTGGAAAGGTTTGTAGTGTTATTCTAGGAATAATACAATAACTTTTCCTTTAAAGATCAATGGACCCGTGTTCGAAAAGTTAGTTGTCCTGGAAAAATCAAAAAATTCTGCGAAACAAAAATGCTCATCCACAACTGATCAAGGGATAGTGAGGAGTTGTTTTCCGAATTCAATGTCTGAAAGCTGCGGCGAAAATGTAAAGGCTAGAGTGCGAATTTTTCTCAATGCGATTATTCGATTTTTCCGAATCAAAAAATAGAAAAAAGTGGACGCGGGAAGGTAAAGTTTTCAAGGTTCGCTGTGTTGAATTTGAATTTGAGTCGAATTACGAAATCTTGAGTCGCATAGCAGTTTGGAAAATTGAGAAATCGAGTTTTGATGTGCATTGTGTTGTGATCGCGGTAAAATAATTGGGAAAATGTATCAACGTATTTGAAACAGGAAAAAAGAAGCTCGCAGTCAAAAATGTTATGGTTCATTCAGAAGTTGTTATTGTTGTTGGCAATTTGTGTGTCACTATAGAATTCTGAAAGTTTTGGGATAATTGAAAATTAGTTGAAAATATTTGGTAGAGCTGGAACAACGAGGGTGGTTTGGTTCGAGATGGAAAGGAATCGACGGCAATTCCAACTCTGAATTATAAGTTTTATTCAGCCAACAGAAATGTCAAATGTTGAGTATGTCTGTAATTCTCGATTGATAATCAATGGAGGACTTTCTGTGATGTTTTCAACAAATCATGATTTTATGATTGGAGATGGAGCAACGAGGGTGGTTGGTTTGTGATGGAACTACCGTCAAAACTGGCGTTCTTGATTTTTTGAAATTCCGAAGTATACAAGGTTGGGTTGTAGATTGTTTTCAGCTTCATTTGGTTGAGATATGAACGGGTTGCATTTCACACTGTTCCCTGTTCGTTTATCGCGGTTTCTTGAATTCAAAATTTTGAAGTTGAGTTCGGTATTTTGAATGTTTATGATGACTTCGAGGGCTGACACAGTTTTATTCTTGTTCACATTTTGATAAAGCTGGAGCGACGAGGGTGGTTTGATTTGAGATGGAAAGGAATCGACGACAATAATTGGTTTTTTTGGTCAAGTGTCTGGAGAGAATTGCAGTTTTTCGGAATCAAGAGTCATGTAGAATTTATGGTAACGAAATGGTGTGCCGTAAGAAACGCTCAATTGTTTTAGTAGGCTTTTACTTTTTGTCGATTTGGATTTAGCGACTTCGGTAGTTTTTGAACTGGTCAATATGGTAGAGCTGGAGCGACGAGGGTGGTTTGGTTCTAGATGGATTGTGATCGAGAAAATGCAATGTTTATCAAGGACCGCATCTAATACTTAGGATATTTCAGTTTGATATTATCAATTATTTTGTTCGAAGTTTATGAATAATGATGGAGCTGGAGCGACAAGGGTGTCTAGTTCGTGATGGATTCTTTTCGACCAGATGATGTTTGTAGAATTTCATTATTGGCGTTTGGATTTTGAAGAATGGTCACGCTTAGTAGATAAGGTTGGATTGTATTTGATTTTCAGCTTTAGCCTCGGTTCAGTTAGATTTGGTAGTACTTTCTTCTTATTTTTCGTGGTATTGTAAGGTGTTTGGGTTGTTAGAAAACAAATCATTTTGAATTTTGGTATGAGTGTTTATGATGGTTTTCGAGTTTTGTATCTCTCTTGTTATTCGATTCGTTGCGGAATATAGATGAAGCTGGAGCGACGAGGGTGGTTTGGCTTGAGATGGATAGGAATCGACGACAATGTTAGGCTTTTGTTGGTAAATTTTTTGGTAACATGTTTAGCTTATTCATCAATCAGAAGCGGCAAGGGTATTCTTCAAAACATTTTTGTTCCCATACTATAAAGAAGTATTTACGACGTTTAGTTGGAAGATGAAATATGTATAGATTTTCCAAATTTATCTGGTGAAGCTGGAGCGACGAGGGTGGTTGGTTTGAGATGGAAAGGAATCGACGACAGTATTGTAAAGGCAAATTTCGAATTTGGAATCGGTTTCATGATCGATTTTTGTATCAGGATTTGGTAGAGCTGGAGTGACGAGAGTTGGAAATTATTTGAGAGGTTTGGATTATTGATTTCAAGGCTTATGTTTTCGGGTTTTTGTATCACTTCTAAATTATGATGAAGCTGGAACAACGAGGGTGGTTTGGTTCGAGATGGAAAGGAATCGACGACAATCTATGGAACAAGTATTTTTCATATTAAAAGACGTTGGACAGAAAAAATATTCATTTATGATTGAGATTTGTATTATTATTTGTGTGTGGAGAGTTTAGAGCTGGAAGATCAACTTTGTGTTATGAGAAAATGAATTTGGTGAAGCTGGAGCGACGAGGGTGGTTGGTTTGAGATGGAAAGGAATCGACGACAGTATTTTGAAGACAAAATATCGAATTTGGAATTGGTTTCATGATTGATTTTTTGTCAGGATTTGGTAGAGCTGGAGCGACGAGGGTGGTTGGTTCGTGATGGATCAGAATCGACAACTACAACTTCTGGTTTTCATTATTTACGCGATATTTTTATTCGTTCATACTAGCTGCAGAATCAACAAGTCCTTTCGCCTTCAATATGTGCCGGTTCAACACTTAGTGATTGAGAGAAAAAGAAAAATTTGGTTTTTGGTGAGTGTTCTCAAAGTTTTGGACCAAAACTTTTGGTTTCGATGATTCTTTACATTTTAGTGTTTTCAGATGTATTGTGATGAGAATTGAGAAGAGTACATGAATGACAAATGGATATCAAATTCGTATGTTTGTTATTTGCAAATATCAATTCTACTGTCACAAATAAACCATGTTCAATACATTCATCATATTGTTGTTCTAAAGAAAACATTCGTTTTGCGCTCTTCGTGGATATAAATAGGTTTTCGAAGAAACATTTGGAAGTCTGACTGTGGGATTCCGCTAGACTGATTCAGAAACATAAACAAAAACATATATTGTGTGCGGTCTTGGTGATGGCAAACTTGGAGGAAAATAGTCTTGAAATTGGAAAAATCCTTGTACAGTAACCTTGCGCAAAATTGGGCTGAAAATTTTGAACGAAAGTATAGAATTTATGTTCATGATATGAGTTGATGTAGCTGAAGCAAAGAGGGGTGAAGAAATGAAATTGACAGCGTGAGGTGCTTATGGAAAGACATTTCTTGACAAAAAGGCGCGATTGTGCAACGGGAAAATGGGAAAAGTTTGTAAGGTTTGGTTTGTAGATGGTTTTCAGCTTGAAATGCGGCCCTCGAGAAAATGTGGGATTTGAAAATCTGGAGAAACGTGTTTGGAAGCTCTTTATTTTCTGATTGAATAAATTGTTGCTAGATATTCTCTGGTTGAACGTAGGTTTCAAAATGGATTTGATAAAGCTGGAGCAACGAGGGTGGTTGGTTCGAGATGGAAAGAAAACGACGAGATTTGTTGTATGATTCATTCGTTGATAGTTTATGAATTTCAATGAAGAGTGGATTTTGGAACTTGTAAATCTGGAACGATGAGGATGACTGGTTCTAGATGGAAGCGGATCTACAACCACAACATTCTGCTACTATGATTGATTGAATTGAAAAGATTATATTTTCGGATTGGAATGTAATAGATGTTATGAGGAAGGAAGATTTATGTGTATTTTATTGAGGAGATTTGGAGTATCAATTATGAATCTGGATAATTGGTTTTGTGAAAAAAAAAGCTGGAACAACGAGGGTGGTTTGGTTCGAGATGGAAAGGAATCGACGACAGTATTTTAAAGCCAACAAATCACAATTAGAAATCGGTTATGTGGTGTTGATTTATATGAGGTTTTATTCATCATCGACGTTTGTGTTCGATAAAACTTCAGGAGGCATTGGTTAGAGCTGGAACGACGAGGGTGGTTTGGTTCGTGATGGATCGGAATCGACAACAACAAATTTTGAAATCAACGACAAATGTGACCTTTATTTGGACTATGAGCATTCAGGATATTTCTTCAAAACACGATCCGGTATATTACAAAAATTTCAGGTTATTTTAGAATGCATTGGTTATTGTGAAGCTGGATCGACAAGGGTGGTTGGTGTGAGATGGATTGGAATCGACTAGGATATTTGGATGTTGAAAAGTTGGAAATTATTTGAGTGGTTTGGATTATTGATTTCGAGGATTATGTTTTCGGGTTTTTGTATCACTTCTAAATTATGATGAAGCTGGAACAACGAGGGTGGTTTGGTTCGAGATGGAAAGGAATCGACGACAATCTATGGAACAAGTATTTTCATATTAAAAGACGTTGGACAGAAAGATATTCATTTATGATGGAGATTTGTATTATTGTTTGATGGAGAGTTTGGAGCTGGAAGATAAACTTTAAGTTATGAAAAAATGAATTTGGTGAAGCTGGAGCGACGAGGGTGGTTGGTTTGAGATGGAAAGGAATCGACGACCAAATTGTTATGCGGATCAGGAAGATTGCAAGTTATTTCGGGCTTTATGATTATCGGAGAGAATCGGTCAAGATTTCTATTATATGGAAGGTGTCAATTCAAGAAGTTATTTTGATTATCAAGAAAGAAATTTGTTATTAGGCAATGGTTATGTGATTTTATGGATGAATCTGGTAAGTAGAGCTGGAGCGACAAGGGTGGTTGGATCGTGATGGAAAGGAATCGACGACAGATTCAAATTTTGGTTTGAGATGGATTGGAACCGACAATAGGATGAACATCGCAACTGTGGAAAATTTATAAGGTTCGTTTAACCCTATCCGAAAATGTGAATGTATAACTCTCATTTTCAGGCAGTTTTTTATGTCATGTCATCTACGACTTTTTCTGCCGCATCTCTCAATTCTCGCAATTCAACGTCATTATAACACCAACAAAATCTTCATATAATCAACAACTAATTTAATTTTATGACTATTTCATACATCAACAATAAACTTTTTTCGTTTAACGATGTGCTGATAAATAATTGATTAGGAAGTTTTTAACAGGTCCTAATGCATTGAAAGTGTCTAAACCCAGTGATCTGATAGCCACGATAGCTGGTGCATCTGTTCGATATAAACGATTCAAAATATCAACAGATACCTAAATTTTTAAAAATGTTGAAAAAAATTATTAATTTTAAAACTGTAACTTACCATAACTGGCAAATTGTGTTTTTGTGCCTTGGAATCATAATCTTTCAAATATGTAATTCCTCCGATATCAGCACCTTCTCGAACTGCATTCGTCAAAACTTCATCCAAAATTTGAACATCACTCCAACCAAGATTGACACCTTGTCCAGCCAATGGATGCATTCGATGAGCAGCATCGCCAATCAGAGCACATCGTGTTGAAATATAACTGAAAATAATTGAAAATCTGGTTTTGATACATTTTGAAAATAATTTTTCGTAGTTTTTTTCACGTGTTTTCTAGTAAATCAAATATTTTTATTTTCAGAGTTCAAAAAATTATCATACACTCAGACCTGTGCCGGAAATTTTCCGGATTTTCCGGTTTTTTTCAAGGAAAAATCAATTTTCCGGTTTTCCGAAAAATGTGCTGGGAAAATCCGGAAAATGATCTTTAGTAAATATTTTCAAAATTGCCTGAATTTTGGAAAATTTTGAATTTTGGGAAGTTTATGATAGAAAAAATGAAAATTTTGGAATTTTTTTTTCAATTTTTCAAATTTTACAGGGTGCGTAAAAATTACCCGGACAACTTTAAAATCGTTATATTCCCAGAAGAGAATAAGGTTTCTCAATATCACTCGATAATTAGTTCATTTGGTCCCTAACTGGAATATAAAAACTGATCTCCCTTGATCTGGTCGATTTTCTGAGCAATGCCAACGTGGAAACGTTCGGAGGCTACATCTGTCGCTGCACGCGGGTCATTTTCGGACAAATCGTCCCAGTTTTTCAGAATATCCTTATCTAGCCTTTCAAAATTGATTTGAGGGTTTCCCCAGAACCTTTTTCTACCTCATTTGAAAATAGAATAGTCTATTCGGTTCGAACTTGACTAATACTATCTCAATACATACACCTCATCATATCGAAAAAATTGCTTTTTGAATGTGATTTTTTCAAATTTTGACCTGTGTTTGGTCAAAAGGACTTGGGAAAGCTTTGAATGATTGTTTTCTGAGCTGAATACAGTTTTTAATGACAATTTGATTTCACGGACTCCGTTTATGTAAATTTTATTCTTGGTTTGGGGTCCTAGAACATCGAAAACCACTGACAGTTTCCAGCCAAGGACGAAATTTCAAGATCACCATCAGAGCTGGGTGTGAGTCATGGTGAACAGGTAGACTTCTGTCCTTGGCATCTAGGATGTCTCTAATGAGCCCCCAATCAATTTATAACTCAAATAAACCTTCCATGATAAAAAAAATGACATCTGAAAACGCTGTTACCGAATCGCGTATCAGTGAGCACAATTTGTACTAGTTTCTAGGATGTGTAATCCAGCTCAGAATTAGTCGATTGACTTGAAACTTCGCACAGCTTTTCGAAATATCCTAATAAAACAAATAAAAAATACAATCTATCAAATGTTCGCCAATTTTCGCGTGGGCTGGCGCTAAACCTCTGTCCGGGTAATTTTTACGCACCCTGTACTATTTTTAAATGTAAAACGTCTCAAATAGTTACTAAATTACCTGTGAATAGAAGAATTGTAGCTAAAAAAAAAGTTTTAGTGCCAACTTAAGGCTGAAAATCGAAATTTCTGAGTTTGAAAAATTTTTCCGAATTTTCCGATTCAAAAAATCCGGAAATTTTCCGACTTTCCGTTTTCCGGGTTTTGATTTTCCGGCACAGGCCTGAGTAATACACGCCCCTTCCGTGAAAAACCCAATGTTCAACTAACCTATGTGCATTTCCAAATGCCAACGGAAAAGAGGCTCTTGTCTTATCTTGAACACTGATAACTTGTGGTGGAATCGCACCATCAGATTTTCTGCCAAATGTATCCTTTCGTAAAGGATTTAATCGATTGAGAGCAAAAAGAATTTGATTTATTGGTGCGATTTGATCTTCTTGTGAAAACTGCAAAAAAACCACGGATCAATTCAATAATTTTGAAAAGAACTCACCAACGCTTTATTCAATTCATCAACAAATTGATCTGTTGGCAGATTTTTGAGTCGTTGAGCTTCTTCGGGTGAAGTTGACCATGTTAAACCGGATAAATTATCGGAAAGTGGGAGAAGAGCAACCGGTCCGAGTTTGGTGAATCTTTGCCAAGCTGTTTCGTTTTTCCCGTCAATTGGTTCGATTTCGAGAATTGCTACAAGTCCGTGTTGATTGTAATTAAAAGATGTGTAATTAACATCGGATGATTGGCGAACTTTTGAATTCACACCATCTGCACCAATCTGAAAATTTGAGTTGAGGAGTTTTGGGACACTGAAAATTTATGACGTGTCACATTTCTTATAAAATAAAAAGTCTGACATTTTCACGTTTTTTTCATTCTTGTTTGAAAGAAAGGCCAAAATCGTGGTTTTTTCAAAATAAAAAATTTTACGCTAAATTTTTAAAGAAAGAAAACTGTGAATTTTTCTTGGATGTTCTTATTAAATTTTTACAATAACGAAACTTTTATTTGAAAAAACAGCAAAATAAAAAAATCTATCCAAATTACTTCGAAACCCAAACAACATTAACTGATGAATTTCTTGATTTATCCAACTTTTTCATAATAATATTTTTGACATTCAAATCACAAAATAATAAAGAATACGGTAAACCAAAAGTCAAAATATCCGAAACAACCATCATCATATTCATTTTTTCATGATTATCAAAAATCGGAATCAATACGTTGAATGCGGTTTGCCAAATAATTAACATAATATAGGAAAACCCATTAATGAATACAATAATTGTCATTCGAATCATTGTTTCTTTTTTTCGATCACTTTTATTTGAAGAATTTAGATTCTTGAAAGTCTTTTTTAATTCGAATAATGTTAGGATTCCCAAAATAAATGTAGCTAAAGTAAAAGTAATTATGCATATTCCAGAAAATAAGCTATGTTTTATCAATTCTTCCCTAGTGTTTCCAGTTTCAAAATAATATTGGGCAGTTTCGTTGTAAATTAAAGGCCGATAAATATATGCAAATGGCAAATTTATCAAATATGAATAAATTAAAACTGCCAAATATATGAACATATAATACTTTCCCCAAATATTCAGTACATTTTTAAATTTGAACAAACTGTATCTGAAGATGCATAAAACAATTATACTAATACTCTGAACTTGAAAAAAATAATGATTCAAAAATATTGCAATTTTAAGAACATATTGATGTTCATAATGAAGAAACCGAACAAAACGACCAGTTTCAGGACAAAGTGTTAAACGGGTTATCCAAGAATTGAAATAACATATCAAGTTCTGGAAAAATCAAGTTTTTCTAGAAAATTATTATAATTATGTATTTACCAATGCCATATCACATTGAACGAGTCGATAAAACGGAAATCTAAATCTAGAATTGAATCCGAGTAGAAGTATAAAGAATAACATGAGCAACACTGAAATGGATCCATAGAATAACCAAATTCGAATGATTAATTCCATTTTAATACTCAAAAAAAGTGGGAGAAAAACTAGAATGAATAAAGTATGACTTATAATTATAGGATTAATTTTATATCAAATGTTCATGAAATCAAACAACTTATTGAATAGAGAATTGTTTTCTGTGAAATTATAAAAAGGGACGAGGACATTTCTTAATTTTACGATACGTTAACTGATGCAATTCTTGATATATGAATATTTTTAAATAGTATATTTTTGACATTCAAATCGCAAAACAGCAAAGTGTATGGTAGACTAAAAGATAAAATATCCGAAACAACCATCATCATATTCATTTTGTTGTGTGTATCAAGAGGAAACAATAAACCAAAAAATATTTGCCAAACAATTAACATAACATAGGAAAATGCATTGATTAATACAATCATTGTCATTCTTCTCAAAGTATCTTTTCGACGATCATTTTGATTCGAAGACTTATTCATGGAGAAATTCTTTTTCAGAGCGTTAACAGTCAAAAACCCCAAAACTACAGTACTTATTGAATATGTGGCAGTACAAGTTCCAAAGAAGAAATAAAATGTTTTCAATTCTTCCATAGTATTTCCAGTTTCAAAATAATATTTCACAGTCTCATTGTACATCAATGGACGGTAAATATAAGCAAACGGAATATTTATCAAATATGAATAGACTAAAATTCCCAAATATATGAAAATATAATTTTTCTCCCAAAAACGAATAGCGTTGTTGAATTTGAATAAACTGAATCTGAAGATGCATAACATCAGAATACTAATACTTTGAGCTTGGAAAAAATAATGATTCAAAAATAATGAGATTCCGAGAACGTATCGATGTTCATAATAAAGAAATCTGACAAGATGCCCTGTTTCAGGACATTGAGCTAGGCGGGTTATCCACGAGTTGAAATAACATATCATGTTCTAAAAATTGGAAAATTTTTATCTACTATAAAGGAAAATTGTTATATTTATTTACAATTGTCATGTCACATTGAACAAGTCGATAAAATGGAAACTTGAAATTTGAATTGAAACCTAATAGAATAATGAAAAACAACATGAGTAATATTGAAAATGATCCATAAAAAATCCAAGATTTTATAATCAGTTCCATATTATTTTGTGAGGAAAACAAGGGATTTACTTGAAAATATACATAAAAGAGAAAATAATAATTATATGTAGAAAATTGGTATTTCTAAAATGTCAAAATTGGAAGAGCTCGATTGAAAATATTCATCGATTTTTTGAGTTTTAATTTCAACAATCTGAACAATGTTTGTGGCTTTAGATAGCTGTTTCGGTTTCAAAAAAAAATTGAAAAACCTTCATTTCACAATACATCAGATTCTGGATATTTCAATCTTTTTGAACAATGTACTTTTGACATTTAAATCGCAAAATCAATAATTTTTCAAGTCTGAAAATTTCAGCGATTTCATAACATTGTCAGTAATTCTATACTATGATTTATAATTTGATTTGAAATTGTTCCTTTTTTCTGACAAAAAATTTATTTTCCTTATCTTTGTTGTTACTAGACTGACTTTTATATCCTGACTCAACATCCCTCTATAATTATATATAAAAAATCACGAGTTACAAATTAATGGTTGAGATCTCAAAAAAAAGTCCAAAGTGCCACGTCATAGTCCAAGGTTTCTTCTAAAAAATAACTAACCAGTAGCGAAGTCTCAATAACATCTCCATTCTCCAACTTCAAAGTTGCCATATTTTCCAAAGAGTTCGGAATTCGACATTCTGCAACCTTTGCATTTGAGCGAATTTGCACATTTTTGAAGTTTTGCAATTTTTCAAAAAGTGCAGCGACTATCAAATCATTTTCAATAATATAAGCAACTTCATCATTTGATTCTCTTTCGAATTCGATTTCCGATGAAGAACAACTATCAAAAACCTGCAAAAATATCAATTTGAATTTGATTTTTAAAAAAATGTGATGCAAAAACTTACAAATAATCGATTGACTTTCTTCGCTCTTTGATTTTCGATTGTTTCCCAAACTCCAAGTTCTAAAAAAATTGAATAATTTTCAAATTTGATTTAAAGAAAACTTACTTTTGAAAATATCAATACTTGTTGGACTTGTAGCAACTACTCGATTTGAATATTCTTTTCCTTTTGAAAAATTAGATAAATTTGGTGAGTTTCCAGCATCCAATAATAGAACACTTTTTGAGTTGAAAGATTGATTTGAACCAAGTGAACATGCCATTGCATTTCCAACCATTCCACCACCAACAATTACAGTATCATAATAATGTGTAGATGCATTTCGAAGTTGGATAAAGTGTCGCATCTGAACATTTACTTTTTCTATCTGAAAATCTTGAAAAAAATAGCTTTCCGGTCAAAACCAAATGAACTTATTAAGTAGAATAAATCCTCATTTTTTTCAAAATTATAGAATCTTATTCAATTAAAATGACAAAAAAAACAACAATAAATATATACATGACGGCCTATTCACCCGTAATATTCAACTAGTGAATAAATTTTGAAAAAGCTAATCGAAATCCTACCAATTAAAAAACAAATACTAAAATTAAAAACTTGAAGCTCCTGTCAATTCTCGAATTTTCTCGTATGAAACCCAAAAGGTGAGAGACCATGGTGCCATTCGAATATAAGATGGGATAAATCCTTTATATAGCGAGAAAAATCCCTCGTTTTTGATGATTTTGATATAACAATCAATTACTCCGTTATAAAGGACAACATGTGTGTTTTTCTTGTGTTGCCTGGAAATGTTCATTTTGAAAATTATGAAAAAAAAAACTGAAAACCTTACATCTTAGCGTCTAGCTCATGTCTTATTTGATCCATCATTCGTGTTTTGACAACATCTGATGGAAGAGAAACAATAGCCGCAGCTAAACCAGCACAACTACTTGCCATCGCATGAACAATCCAATTATCTTTCATTTTCAAATTATCAATCAATCCATGTTTTACATTATCATAAGTCGCAATATCAGCCATATTCAAAAGTGCGGCTCTTTGACAATTCGGCAACCATCCAACCCATAAACCGAAAAATCCTTGAGTTCGATAAAGTGAGCGGAAACAATCGATAGCTCCCGTATATCGAAGTGGTTGATTTTGTAATCTTCGAAGACCTTCCATTTGCATTTGAACTTTAACAAGATCAGTGGGACTTGCTGCAAATTGTGCAACACATCCTGAAACAGCTCCTGTCGCCATTGATTTCCATAATGGATAAGATTTCTCACTCTGAAAACTCAATTGTTTCTTTCAACATCTAATATAAAACACTTACATCTCGATGATAAGTCAAATTTCTTATCTGTTCATAGGCTCCCATTCGAATCCCCGTATAAATATAATGCCTTGTAATTGCTGGACCAACTCCAGTCCATAACGCAAGCGCGCCTTCTCTTCGAATAATATCCAATGTCACCTGAATCATTCCACCTCGTGTAAATTTATTTTTTGCAATTTGTAGACGAGTCTTGGTGATATCCAGAGGATAAGTGACAGATTCGGCAACCAACGCAGCATTGCATGAAAGAAAATATTTTGTGGCTATCCTTTGAAAAGTTTGAGGATTGTTGTGATTGTCCGCAGATGTAGTTGCGGACATTCTCACTGGAAAAAAATATGAAAATGATAAAAATGCAGTATTTATCAATGCATATAAAATGTGTCAAGTACAATCAAAAGTGCAGGAGGAAAGAACATAAAGAATATTCCGCGAAAAAATAAAAAATGAAAGTAAAACAACGGTACTCCGCCTTTACGGAAAAATGATGTTGCATGTTGTTTACCGTAAATCCACACATAATTTTTTTCCACGCGTTCTTCGCGCGAAGTTCTTTTTGCGTTAACTTCTACAAATCCCGACTTCGGTAAGTATTTTCAAATTTCAATAATAAAAACAAAAAAGTAAAGAAGAATAAGCAACAGGCGTTTTGCATCATGATTTTTTCGTCATACTAGAAAAAAGATATATGAACAGATAGAAGATCTTTGCTGTTCAAAAAATTGATTTGTATCTTTCTTCTTCTTCCTCTCTGAAAAGAAAACAATTTTTTTCTTCCTGAACTTTTTGTTTTGTTTTGTTTTTTTTTATTGTCTTCCAAAAACCAAACCGCGCAATGTCAAATCCTCTGCATCTCTGGCGCTTCTCTTCTTAATTTACACCCATTATATTTTCTGTTTGTATACGTGTTTGTTCTGTTGAAAGTGGCATTTCGCAACAAAAATGTCATGTTTTTCTTTTTCTCGATACGTCCTCAATGTTTTCCGCCTTCTCACATGTTTTCAATTTTTCTTTGATAAGACGACCCCATTGATACATCAGGCGTTTTTTCTGTCACTTTTTGGTATTCATTTCAATAAATAATTCTCTATTAATAAATAAACAAAGTGGTTTTTCAAATGGAAATTAGTAAATTATTCGTCCCTTTCTCATTTTTTCAAATTTCAATATTCATTTTTCAGAAATAGAAGAGAAAATGTGCGACGAGCAAACCCAAAAATTGCTCGATCGTGCAAACGGTCAACGACCTCCTGGAAGTCGACTTGTAATCGAACAAGGAACATTGGGATCGAAATTATGGTGGCTCATAAAAACACCATTTCGAACACTTATGTGTCTTAGTTTGGTAACAGTATTTTTTGTAACTTATTTTGGATTTATGTTACCTGTTATGTGGGCAAGAACTGTTTGGCCAAGATTATATTGGTTTGTTGAAGGAAAATTATATCGCTGGCTTCAATCATTTATCGCATATTGGGGTTATACAGCAGGCTATGATGGTAAGCACAAAATGAATAGAAAGCGCAGGAATACACCATTTTTAGAAATGATTAAAAATGAGAAACACTCATTCTTCACGTCAATTTTTAAAATAAGTACACTACATATTTTAAATTTTGAAATTAAATACATTTTTGAAGATTTATATTTAACGGGTCACGTTAAAGGTTCTTTAAAAAAAATGAGAAATACATTTTTATTAAAAGAAATATTTATCATTTCAGTTTATGAATTCGGAGATGACGTCACAACTTATTATCGAGATGAACGTGTTCTTATGATGTGTAATCATCAAAGTACAGCTGATGTTCCCACGCTGATGACAGTTCTTCAAAATAAAGGAGTTGCAAGTCGAAAAACCCTTTGGCTTATGGATATTATGTTCCGTTGGACACCTTTTGGAATTGTTGGAAATAATCATGGCGATTACTTTATTCAACAAGGAAAAGCAACAAGAGACAAAGAAATTCTTCGACTCAAAAAACATTTACAAGATGTTTTCTGGGATCGCGATCGTCGATGGGTTATTTTGTTCCCCGAAGGAGGTTTCTATTATAAACGTGTTGAAAGCAGTCAAAGTTATGGAAAAAAGAATGGATTCCCTCATTTGTTATATACAACATTACCAAGAATGGGAGCTGTTCAAGCGATTTTGGAAGAAGTTGGACCAAGAGATGAAAATGATGAACCAAGGGAAAGAACAAATAGCAAATTGAAATTATTGAAAGATACAGTTGGAGCAATTCGGGAGAAAAAATATGTGAAAGGTGAGTCTTCAAATAAATATTTTATAAATTCAACTCTGCAAAATACAAAAAAAAGAGATCTAAAACTAAATATCCGTAGTAATTAATTTATAAAAATATCAATTCATCACCAATTGAGTTGTATTTGAAACTCCAAACTTTGTCTTATTTCCATCAAAAAGTTCTCGCAATTTTGTCATATATTCTTTGTGTAATTCCTCAATTTGTTCATCAGTTGGATGCTCTGTTTTGATAACTCGAATTGGTGCTCCGAGTACTGTATTTATTGGTTTTCTGAATGGTAGGAGTCCGAAAGTATAATTAAAAACGCCTCTTCCGTGAAAAGCGGGTGGTGAAAAACCCATGATTTTTTTCATCGCGGTTTGAAAATGTCGAATTGTTGATCCTTTTGGATTATCAGCTTGGTTGAAAATATCATTTTCACCAAAACTATAACATGGAACTAATTGGGCGCCAGTTTGAAGAGCTATTTTGATGAATCCCTAAATTTATAAGTTAAAAATATGTTTTCGCGGAATATGTATCGAAAATACCTTTCTCTTTTTTAATGTCAAAATATGATGTCCTGGATGAGCATCAAGAGCTTCTTCTGCTCCACCGACGACCAAAACAACAGCTTTACCTTTTGATTTATCTTCCAAAACATATTTAATGCTTTCCCGGCTACAATCAATCATTCCATGAAGAAGTCCCCATTCACGTCTCCATGGACTCCAAAATTGTCCAACTAAAGTGCAAAGATGAAATTGAATTTTCGGGAAAATTTGAAGAATTCCTGTTCCATTTGTTGAAAAATTAATAAAAGCCGCCATTGAGATAATTCCGTGTGGATGATAACCAATCAAATAATTCTCATTTGAATCCAATTCTGATGTTGTGTGCATTTTGACTGGGAAATATTTCGCATAATAATCATGGATTCTTTGACTTTGAAACCATTTTGATCGATAGGCACCGCGTTTTGGAGAATCCCAATCATAATATGCCCAAATGCAATAAATCAATATCAACGGCCATAAATAAGTTGTAATCTTAATTTTTAGTATTGTTTTAAAATGAAATTCATTAGAACTTCTCAAGGGAAATGTTTTGAACCATGTCAACTCACCATATAAATTGGTAAAATAAGAACAATAACTGGTGTAAACAGTGTGATGGCAAAAAAATGCAGCGCTCCAAGAGTTTGAAGTCGACGTTCAAGAGGAATATTTAATGGCGCCCAATCGATTCCGAAATATCGAGGCATCTGAATCTTATTTTGAAAAGTTCCTCACAAAAACTATATATAAAAATGGGGAAAAAACTAATAGAGATGAAAAGAATAGTTAGTTAGATCATTATCTATTATCGTTCACTATACAATATAAAGTAAATAAAGTTCGATTTCGAAAAAATAAAATCAAAAATAATGAGAGAAACTAACTAAAAAAAGAACTAGTTGGAAAATAAAGAAACAAAGGAATTTTTCTAGAAACTCGTCCACCAATCAAATATGTTCTCGATGTCACAATTGCCTATCCAAATGGAATTCCCTTAAGTTTGGCGACTTTTGGATTTGGAACACGCGAAAAATGTGATATCGCTGTCAACTATAAAATTTATGATGCAAGCGAGGTAAGAAGTGTTCCAAACAGACAAATATTTATTTTTGTGACCCTATCTTATCAAAAAACATTTGTGCTAAATCAGCAACTTACCCTTTCAACCCCTTCCTCCTCGTCCAGCATTTCTTGTTTGTTTATTTGTTGAAGATTCTGAAAAGAAAAGAAAAATGATTATAAACGATTAAAAATCTAATTTTCCAGGTACCATTCGAAGATGAAGAAAAATTGAGAGATTGGATGTATGAAGTTTATAAAGAAAAGGATGAAATGCTTGGTAAGGTTAACCTTGAAAATTTTGTTATTGTTATCGATAGGTCTTATCAGAATTTTCTCGAAATAAACATGTTGGTGTTCGAGATTGAAAATCAAAAGTTTTCAAAAATTGGCAACAATTGGTAGATCAGAAAAAAAATATATATATAAACAAAAGTATTTAATGGAAAAAGATAGTTGGAAAACAGTTGTTTGATGAGTGATAACCTCGAACTACATAGAAAATTCTATCAGTTTTTCTGTGATAAAAGGGCAAAGGTCTCTTATGCAAAAGTTGTTATTTTCAGCGCGATATTATGAAACTGGAGAATTCAACCCAGGAGAAAAGGGAACTCGAATTGCATTTTCCTGGGCGAAAATCATTGGAATGTATGCATTTTGGTTCGGATCATTCTACGCGCAATATGTCATTTATTCTTGCATCCTGAAAAGTATCTATAATTTCTTTATGTAATCAATTTCTAAATGTTTTGTCATAAGTCACTTTTGAGAGAGCTTTTATGGTTAAAATAAGATTTAAAAATTAATTATGATGAAATCAATAATAAAACAGAGCAGATCTCAAAAAATCCCCTCTCATCCATATATTTTATTGGTTTGCTTTATTTTTTGTGGAAATATTTAATTTACGGTTTGAATTTTGGATTTTAATTACCTGTAGAATGAGTTAAGAATCGGTTTTTTGTTAGGACTAACGGTGAATTTACTATTCTTGTGTGAATAAATTTTTATTTCCCGCAAAATTGTGTTGAAATTTCGAAAAAGCAGAGAATAAAACAAAACGTGCAAAAAAAATTTAAAAAAATAAATTCAAGGGACAGGCATTAAAAACAAACATGTGTCTCGACGCGACGCGTAGGCACTGTAGATTTTTCTTGAAAATTGTGAATCCTAAATTTATTCATTTCTTGTTTTCTGTTCTCTTGTTGGACATTGCGTTTCCCTTTTGCGTCTAACCCGAATAATTCAATCAATAAGTTTCTGTTTTCAGAATGGTAAACTCTCCAATCCCAAAGGTCAAGAAAGTCAAGGAAGCTGAAGCTCCAAAAAAACCAATGACAGCCTATTTTCTCTGGTGAGTAACATTCAAATATTTGTTTTCGAAAAATCGGACCAGATGTTATATTTTCGTGTCGCATAATTGTTTCACCATGCATTCAAAAAATGTATCTGTTTCGACGAAAAAAACATGACCGAGTCCCAATCTTAAACTTTCAATGATTTTTTTCAGGGCCAACGAGAACCGCTCGCGTTTGACCGCCAAAGGGAATCCCCCACAAATCTCTTCAAAAGGTAAGAATTAAGTATAAATTTGCATTAAAATGTATAGCTGAATTTGTTTTTCAGGCTTTGGGAAAAGAATGGCGCGCACTCGAAGACAAATCAAAGTGGCAAAAGATGTATCTCGAATTGAAAGCCAAATACGACGAAGCAAATGAAAAGGCCCAAAAATAGTTCATCATCATGTAAGATTCCTTTATTTGTTCACTTTAAAAGCCTGTAACATTTTTAAAAAATTTTCTTAATTAATCTCAATAAATTTTAAACGTAACTATGTGCACAGTGCCTAATAGCAAATACTTTTGTAGTATCCACGTTTAATCGGCGTTTTGTAAATTGACTACGACAAAATTCCGATTTTTTGAAGTGTCCATTTGATAGATCAAACATTATTCTGAAAGTTGTTGTTCTTTGGTACTATTCGGAAACTAATTGTATTTACTACTCACTCATCCATCTGCTCGTTTTCATAAGGATAAACAGCTCCAATACTTTCAAAACTTTCCAGATTGGGAATATCTTTGATAATCCCCAAAATAATTGCTTTTGCGTAGTCAGCAGATTCTGCGTATAATGGTGAAATCATCAATCTATTCAATGATACAATTCGTATAGTTCCAAATCCAACAATCTTGTTATTTTTCTCAATTATCTTTGAAAATACATTACTAGCTGTCATCCACATTCTCATCATCTTTCGTCGATCAATCTCACATATTTGAGAGTCATATTCATGGATTTTCATCCAATCCTTTTCTAAATTTTTTTGTTCATTTTTTCGATGTTTCAGAGTCTAACTCACCAGCAATATCTCTTGCTCCACAATTTTCCGAAATTTTGTTTAGTACCAGATCGTTTATATAAACTGTTGAAGAAGCATGAAAGTAGGGCTGTAAAACTTTGAAGTTATAATTTGATAAATACCATTTCCACATTGTTCCAACTCCAAATAATGTGACATTCGCATCTTTATAAATATCTTTCACCAAATCAAACAAAACTCGACCAAATCCTCTATTTCGATATTGTTCAACACAATAGAAAAATGCGATCGAGTAGAGAATCTCATTTCCTTTTTTCAAATATTGTTTGGCAACTGAAATTGATGCAACAAATTCGGAATTATTTCGAAGAACAAAGAAAAGATCATGCGATTCCAAACTATTCCAAATATCCAAATCCTCATTTTGAAATGCCCATCCTTCAGTTGTTCCGACAAGTTGAACTATTTCTTGAAATAATTCAGGAGATGGATTAGAATTGATGGAAAATTCAGTAGACATTTTTTGGGGGGCAGAAGAGAGAAAAACGTGTTTACGATAGTTTTTTATCAATAAAAAAATTGCTGACTGGGGGTGAAACCAACGATTTATGATTGTTTAAATGTTGTTTGAACATGATCCACGACGATAAGAACTTCAAAACTAGACTAGATAGAAACTTCGGTTTGAAGGTCAATAATTGCCGATCTGATTTAACTGAAGAAAAAATAAAAACTCAAGTTTATAAATTAAATTAAATTTCAACGCACGTCACAAAAATATGTTCAACTCCATTTCATTTCAAAAAAAAATACACAATTTCATGTTATTTTCACCGAAAATTAGATACATGTCCTTCCTTCCTTCCCTGTCTGCCATATCCAATTTTTCTCGGTGGTCCCTTGTTTTTTTCTCTCTCAACGAAACAAGGTCCGACGAAGGTACAAATTTTCATATGTCAAATAAATAAATTCAATTTTTGTTCCTGTCGACGACTTGAACACGAAAAATCTGCATCTCATTTCATTTCATTTCGCCGCGAATTCTTTGACGCTTGGTTTTTTTGGATTTTGCTCGAAAAATGTTTGCACCAAGTTAGGCAAGTTCAACTGGAATTAGCCTTATTTGTTTGCAATAATTTCCTTGTTTTTTTATTTTTCAAAAAAAATATGAGAAGAAAGAAAGAAAGGTTGAATTAAAAATGCATATTTTTTGTTGAATTTTTTGAGAAATTGTTGTTTTTCGCCAAATTCGAAGCTTGTTTTCTAGATACTATGTGGTTTTCCGTGGATTTTCAATATGACGTGGCAACAAGCAAGTTTATACATTAAAAAATATGAGCAATAAAAAACAAATTATTTTCAAGGGTCCATTAAAACTCGCATGTTTTATTCATTGAAAAAATTTCATTTATGTGTTTATCAAAAAAAAATTAGAGATATTTCTATATAATTTTATTTATTCGAAAACTAAAAACCATTTTTCTTCTTGTTGTTTTTCTGTTTTTTTTTATTCTGGGAGGGTGTCAAAATGAGGCGGAAATTAGAGAGAAAAGTTACTTACTTAAATAATGTGTTTTATTTTTTGTTGTTTTTTTTGCAGTTCCATTCTCATTTTTTCTTCTTCCAACAACATCAGGGTCTCGCTGCATAACAAATAACCATATTATTTTGTATTATGTATTATTATTACTACTTCTTTGGGTGTTTTTCTTCTTTTTTCTTGTTTTCGAGGCTCTTTGATCCAACAGGAAACATTCAATTCTTCATTTTGTACTTATTCTTTTTCTCCTATTTTTTCTGGTCCTTCACTTGTTCCACTTTATTCCATTCTTTGTTTTTTTTTCGGGGAAAGGAGAAGAATAATTAAATATTTTTTGTTTTGTGGATGAAGGGACGCACTTTTGGTTTTTTATTTTGTTTTTCTCAAAATTATTCAAAAAAAATCAGAACAGTTACAGTAGTTCTCTGGTTTCACAAGATTTTTTGACAGTTTTTATATTTTAGAAGATTTTTATATATTAGAAGCCTTTTCAAATTGGATTACTGTAGATGAAATTTTTTCCATAGATTTAAACACGCTGATCACGAATATGTAATCAGTTTTCAAAATGGTTCAAATTTTTTTAAAGTAATTTTGAGCTAATGGGTTACTGTTGTTAATCCTTCTTCGTATTTTTTTGAAGTTTCAGATGACGTGGCATAATTTTTAATTTTTATCAAATTCCCAATCGTATTTCAATAGATAAATGAATAAATTACAGGGGGACTTTTAAGATTTAACCTGCCACATCATTTCAATTTTGTCAAACTTCAGATTTTCACTGTTTCATAGTTTTCTGTTTTTTGTTGAAATCCTAAATTATCTTTTCGAAAATCCCTCTCCAGATTCAGTTATTATGTGGCAACATTTTTTGCATCATCGAAAATTATTCGCTCACATCTTTTTTATTTACCTAAACATTTTTCTTCTTTTCATTTTTTCTCCATTTTCCTCCAAAATACATATTTCCAGATGCACAAACTTCTCTAACATAAACTCCGAAAAACATGAATTTGTTCACAATTGTTTTGGGTCTCGGAAATGTTTTATCAACTTTGCCGCAAAACCTGACTCATGTTAATAATAATGATGAATGGGGATTATGCGAGTGAGTTTTTATCATTTCAAAAAAATGTCAGACTAGAAATATGAAAAGTTAGAGTTCTCTCCTCAATAGCATTCTGGTTTTGTAAGGGTGAATTATATAATCGGCGCCATCAACAATCCAAAACACACCATATCCATTATCCCATTGTTTTGGAATGTAGGCACCATTTAATGTTGACAGAGCACAATTATGAAGCCACCAACCTCTGAAAAATATTAATCTGAACTTATTTTAACTAAAAAAAAGTTTAAAAGTCTCATAACTTCCAACTTACCCCATCTGAAATTGTGTGACACACTCAGTTCTTGGATCATTTATCCGATCAACAGTTGAAAATGGTGCTCCAATTGAATATGTCATATCATACCAAGCTGTTGTTGCATTTCCAATTGGATTTGACCAATCGGTATAAATATTCAAAAGTGTATAATTTTTAGTTTCCGGACCAACTAGGAATTGTTGATAATGGCCCCACCAATAATCATTTGTGTAGCTTGAATTTGGACTACGGTCTCCGTAAATTTCAACTCGAAGTGTTACATTTCCAGGAGCAAGAGAAGTTAGTTGATAGATTGCTTCGTTGCCGAGCCAAAAATTGGAGGACTGAAAATGCTTTGAATTTTTTTCGAGGCCGCCTAGATTTTTTGAATTTTGATTACGATTGAAAAAATGCATAAAGTTCTTATGTAAGCACTTGCAGTAAAACCGATATTAAAATTAAAGATTTTTTCAAAGGAAAAATTCTTATAAGTTTTGTCACGTTTTTTTTGAATTGATTGAGAAAATTTTCCGAAAGTTTTTTCGAAAATTATTTTTTTCAATTAAAAAAAAAACGTGAAAGTTCAAATGTGAATTTTTTATTCGATTTCCCAAATTATTTTCAATTTTTGCCTTCCCCTCTGACAAAACTTACATCACTCATATCAGTTCCAAATCCATTTTTATAATCATCCCAAGATCGATCCCAAAAACTTTCAGATCCATCAACTCGGCTGAAATTTTTTTCTGATACTGTTTCTAATATTCCCACTTTAACTTACTTTTGGAAAACAATCCATCCTCCATTATAAGTTGACATATCGCAATAAACTTCAGTTTCCTTGTTATTTATCAGAATAGTATATTTTCCACTGCTGAAAAAGTCGCATATTTTGATTTTTTGTTGAAAACAATTCATTTTCAACAACAAAAAACTAACTCCGAATATCCAGCTTGTAGCCAATCTTGACAATCTCTCATTTGCCCTTTTATCTCACAAGCAATACAACTTGTTAATGCACAACTTTGAGTTGACCATAATCCTGATTTTGTATCCGCAACTACACAATTTTCCGAACCTTTATTTCCATTTCGGAAGTTTGTGTAATCAAACGTTGTTCCGTCGGTCCATTGACAATTTGAACCGGATTCGCATTTTCCACCAAGCCAAAAGTTTTGACAACTTGAAGCGACTTCTGCAACAATGGTTAGTTGAGGTTTACCATTTTTGAAAGCTTTGAAAGTAATTTAAAATTGTAGATTTCTAGAAAAGAAATTCTAGAGAAAAGCTATTTTTGTCATGTTGATTTTTGAGACTATTCAAGATAATGTTTTTTGAGAATTTATCAGCCAAATCGATTTCCAAGTGTGAAAATTTGGTCATGTGCGTTCCTAAACTTTAGTTGTAGAACAATGAGTTTCAAAGTTTAATTTGCACGTGGATTTATCAAAAATTTTGTTTTTTATGTGAATTTCTAACTCTTTTCTTATCTTCTACAAAATGTCTCAATTCATTCCTACTACGTGACTGTTTGAATTTTTGATCTAAATACCATCAAATCATGTTAAATAGTTTCAGAATTCTTATGATTTTCAAACTATCACGTGGATTTCCAATCATCCTCTTTTCCTGAATCCGAAAATATTCCACTTTCAAAAAAAGAGCAACTCACTTCTCAGTGACGTCATATCAAAAGCATTGTGAACTGAAGCTAAATGACCATTGTGAGCAGTGCAGAAATTTTCACCCTCTTGCCAAGTTCTGCAAAATTTCAGTCTGATTTTCATAACAAAAACACTTCAAAAACTTACGCTGCGATATTCTCCACATGAACACAGTTTTCTTGTGTATTTTGAATGTCTCCGGCTGCACAATCAGAAGACACGTGACTCACAAAATTGAAACTCAATAAAATGAATAAAATAAGTTTGGATAAGAGCAGATGCATTTTGCACAAAAAATGACAATTTTCTTATCATCCACCAAGTAATTGACAATAAAAAAGCAATTAAAAACACCTTCTTTTTTCCAGCGAACCTGAGAATGATACAATATCACAACTTGTTCTTCGACGTTTATTTGATGATAATTATAATAAAAATACAGTACCTTTGAAAACATCAGCGACTACTGTATCGATTGAATTTGGAATTCAGAATATTGCACAAGTTTCCGAAATTTCAGCAAGTTTTACTTTGGATTTATTGTTCAGTCAAATTTGGCATGATCCAAGACTCAGATTCGATCATATAACAACATGTTTACAAAATTTGACACTTGGATATTCGGTGAGTTTGGAATCTGATTAAAAAATATTTTTTTTTAACATAGTTTCTTTCAGATGGTTGATAAATTATGGACACCAAATGTATGTTTTGTGAACTCAAAGAAAACCGAAATTCATTCATCACCAACTCCCAATATATTTCTAATGATTTATCCGAATGGAACTGTTTGGGTGAATTATCGATTACAAGTTCAAAGTCCGTGTTTAGTTGATCTTGTTTTATTTCCAATGGATATTATGAATTGTGAATTGATAATTGAGAGTTATGCATATAATGCAGCAAAAGTGAAATTAGATTGGCGAGAATGGGAACCTGTATTTAGTATAGCCAAATCCAAATTATCAGATTTCAATCTTGCTGGAATGCATTGGACTAAAAATAGTTTTGGATATGCAGCTGGACAATGGGATCAATTAACTGTTTCTTTGATATTTTCAAGATCTTATGGATTTTACATTCTACAAATGTATATTCCAACATATTCAAGTGTCTTCTTATCTTTTGTTAGTTTTTGGATTGATTTGAAGGCTTTGCCAGCAAGAATAACACTTGGTGTTAGTTCTTTGATGGCATTAACATTTCAATATGGGAATGTTGCCAAAAATCTTCCGAAAGTTGGATATGTTAAATCAATTGATGTATATATGGTTTTAACAACTGCGTAAGTTGGGAGCGGTTTCGGGTGGAGGGTTCTGAAAAAGCGACATCGGAATTTGAAAAATCGGGGCAATTTTTCTTGATCTTTAGTATCTTCCTAAATATCTCCTATTTTTCAGATTTATATTTCTTACTATGATCGAAGTTGCTTTTGTTTGCTATTTGGAAAGTGAAAATAATTTGAGAAAACGAGAAAGGCAAGCAGAAAAAAAGAAGGAGAGAATTGCTGTGCTCCAAAAGTAAGTTTCTTTAATTGTTTTCTTGAAATTTTTCAAATCTTCAGAAAACGCGACAAAAAGAAGAATAACTACGGTGCAACAACAGTGACAAATCCAATGGTTGAGAATGATTTGCGAAATAATTATGATGAACCATTTCAAAATGGCGCTGCTCCAGTTCATAAAAGTTCGATAACTCGACAAGCTAATAATATGTTTGAATCATTACATGCTTTGGCAACTATTGGATTATTGACTGAAGAAGATGATGAGCAAACTAAATGGACTGCTCAAAATGTCGATAAGTTTTGTAGAAAAGCATTTCCTCTTTCGTTTTGTTTATTGAATTTGATTTATTGGTGTTATTATTTGTTGCAAAATTATTATGCGAAAAATGAGGCATTGAGACAATTCACTCAAAATCCGTAAAACGGCTATTTTTACTGGTATTTTAAGTATTTTCTATGTATTTTTTTGCATAAATAAATAAATAAAATTTTATTTATGATCGAGTAGTTATCTAAATAATCTAATTCTTCTTTTTGTCACCTCCTCCTAGAACTTTTTTGCGTTGTCCAATCATATAGAAATACAATTGTGGAAAACCGGGAATATATGTAAGGGCGGCAATGATCAAAACATAATAGAATGAGATTCCCATATTGAGTCGATTTGGCATTTCGAGGGTCAAGATTTTCTTCTCAGCGACTTCATTGAGCGAGGCAAATAATGTTAAAAGTTCACCAGAAACTCCCATTGGGTAGAGAACGTAGAAAAGTGTGTATCTGAAATATATTTAAAAAGTTTTAATTTCAAAAAAAATTTAGGAGAGTCGGTATTTGCAAAGTACAGAAAGTCCGCAAATTTTCAATCGACCCAGGTTTGATAACTTGGAACTAATTTCGAATATTCCTGAATCGGGCCAAGATAAGCCCATTTTTGAATTTCACCAAAAAGGAATTTTTTGAGAAAAATTTTTTTTTTGAGGGTTTGCTCATTTCAAAGAGTTACCTTAAGTAGAGAAGGAAGTATGGAACTGGAATTTTGAGAACACTCAATGCGTAGAAAGTGTATCGAATAACTTCGGTGATTGACCAAGCAACAAGAAGAAGTGGAACTCCAATACTGTATCGAGCCTGAAATTTTTTGTCATTGAAAATATTTTAAACGTGATCTTTTGGAGGAATTTGTCATTTCTATCTTGACTTTTCCCCCAAAACCAAATACTTACAGTTGCACACATATGAAGAATTGGCCAAACCAAAACAACTCTCGATGTGACTTGCATGGCTGTTGTTCCAATTGGTGAACGAACCAATCCAATAACAGCGTGAATAACTTCGAGAATAGCAGCGGTTTGGAAGATTTTCAGCTCAAATTCTACTGATTCATATAATTGTGGCCATGTTAATCCGGAAACCAAACCAAGTGTTGTTTTTGCCAAAATCACTGACCAACCCAAAATTTGGAGAACATTATAGGCGACCAAATAGGTTTGTGTAACTCCCATTCTGCAAGAAATAATTAGTTAAATGTGGCGAGAAAAACAAAGAACTAACAGAAAATGTGTTTATTGAAATCACGCCACTAGAGAAATTGATAAAAATAAATGTTTCTCTGTTCTTATCAAAAAAATTTGGAGAGATCTAAAATTCTCTCTTTTTTATGAAGAGATAGTGAAATTCTTGACAGTTGGAGTAAGCTTAAAATTTGCTTGTGAATTTCATTTCTTGTATTTTCAAAAAAATGGAGAAATTTGGTTTCAACAAACATCCACGGCCAAAAAAAAGAAAAAAGAGAAGAAAAAGGAAATGATGGAAAACAACACTCCGCATGTGCGTGTTGTTTAGCGTAAATCGACAAGTGTTTTCGCGAGGCTTTTTGAAAATGGGTTTTGAAAATAAAATGTTAAAATTAATTAAATTTAAAAAACTGATAACTTTTTACAAAATTACGAAATCTGAAATTCCCAACCTTCAAAGAAAAAAATACGCCTCGAAAAAATTCATAAATCCTAGACCCGCAAAAATATATGTTGTAGATCACGCGGGATTTCAACAATTTTTCGTTGTTCTTCTAAATATACCAGAAGGGCTCCGCCGGCTAACGCCGGCTCCTCCTTCTGGATTGTCCCGGCTTCGCGCGTAGTTTTCTTTAGGTGTAAACAGAAACATGTTTCGTCTTAAAATACGACAGAGTTGTAGTTTTTGAAAAGTTGGAAAAGATTCTTTCAACAAAAACCGAAATTTTGATTTTCGTTGAATTCTTTTCTAGGTATGATTTTTAAAATTTCTGAAGAAAATTGACAAAAATGGTTTTAAAAAATGTGCGAAAAAATTTCTTGATTGAAAGAGGTTAATCCAAATTTTCTACGTCTCAAAAACTGAAGCACAACATTTGGCGAAACTGTTCCGAAAATCTAAAATCTATATCCAAAAAATCTATATCCAGAGAGAAAAGAAATGCTGCCTTATTTTCTGAGTATAAGCTTCTATGTTCCATCTGACATTTTCAGAGCCGTGGAAGATAAAACCAAAGTACAGTAAACTCCGCCGCCCTCTGATTATTTTCATTGATTCATTCGGTCCGATTTTTTTATCCAACGAAAAAACTCGGGCCGATTTTTTCATTTGAAAAACCTCGGCCCGATTTTTTTGAAAAAAACTCGGCCCGATTTTTTTGAAAAAACTCGGCCCGATTTTTTTGAAAAAACCTCGGCCCGATTTTTTTTCATCCAACGAAAAAACTCGGCCCGATTTTTTCATTTGAAAAACCTCGGCCCGATTTTTTTTTGAAAAAACTCGGCCCGATTTTTTTTGAAAAACCTCGGCCCGATTTTTTTTCATCCAACGAAAAAACTCGGCCCGATTTTTTTTTATCCAACGAAAAAACTCGGGCCGATTTTTTCATTTGAAAAACCTCGGCCCGATTTTTTTTTTTGAAAAAACTCGGCCCGATTTTTTTTTGAAAAAACTCGGCCCGATTTTTTTTGAAAAAACTCGGCCCGATTTTTTTTGAAAAAACTCGGCCCGATTTTTTTTGAAAAACTCGGCCCGATTTTTTTGAAAAACCTCGGCCCGATTTTTTTTCATCCAACGAAAAAACTCGGCCCGATTTTTTTGAAAAAAACTCGGCCCGATTTTTTTGAAAAACCTCGGCCCGATTTTTTTTTGAAAAAACTCGGCCCGATTTTTTTTTCATCCAACGAAAAACCTCGGGCCGATTTTTTTGAAAAACTCGGCCCGATTTTTTTTTCATCCAACGAAAAACCTCAGGCCGATTTTTTGAAAAAACTCGGGCCGATTTTTTTGAAAAAACTCGGCCCGATTTTTTTGAAAAAAACTCGGCCCGATTTTTTTTTGAAAAACCTCGGCCCGATTTTTTTTTTCATCTAACGAAAAAACTTTTGAAAAAACTCGGCCTGATTTTTTTGAAAAAACTCGGCCCGATTTTTTTTGAAAAACTCGGCCCGATTTTTTTTGAAAAACCTCGGCCCGATTTTTTTTCATCCAACGAAAAAAACTCGGCCCGATTTTTTTTGAAAAAACTCGGCCCGATTTTTTTTTGAAAAACCTCGGCCCGATTTTTTTTCATCCAACGAAAAAACTCGGCCCGATTTTTTTGAAAAAAACTCGGCCCGATTTTTTTTGAAAAAACTCGGCCCGATTTTTTTTGAAAACCTCGGCCCGATTTTTTTTTGAAAAAACTCGGCCCGATTTTTTTTTCATCCAACGAAAAACCTCGGGCCGATTTTTTTTTGAAAAAACTCGGCCCGATTTTTTTTTCATCCAACGAAAAACCTCGGACCGATTTTTTTGAAAAAACTCGGGCCGATTTTTTTTGAAAAAACTCGGGCCGATTTTTTTTGAAAAAACTCGGCCCGATTTATTTTGAAAAAACTCGGCCCGATTTTTTTTGCCCGATTTTTTTTCAATTTTTTTTGAAAAATTTTTTTTGAATTTTTTTTGAAAAACCTCGGCCCGATTTTTTTTTTTATCCAACGAAAAAACTCGGGCCGATTTTTTCATTTGAAAAACCTCGGCCCGATTTTTTTTTTTTGAAAAAACTCGGCCCGATTTTTTTTGAAAAAACTCGGCCCGATTTTTTTTGAAAAAACTCGGCCCGATTTTTTTTGAAAAACCTCGGCCCGATTTTTTTTGAAAAAACTCGGCCCGATTTTTTTTTTGAATAAACTCGGCCCGATTTTTTTTCATCCAACGAAAAACCTCGGCCCGATTTTTTTTTGAAAAACCTCGGCCCGATTTTTTTTGAAAAAACTCGGCCCGATTTTTTTTTTGAAAAAACTCGGCCCGATTTTTTTTCATCCAACGAAAAACCTCGGCCCGATTTTTTTTTGAAAAAACTCGGCCCGATTTTTTTTCATCCAACGAAATCTCGGCCCGATTTTTTTTCATCCAACGAAAACCTCGGGCCGATTTTTTTGAAAAAACTCCGGCCGATTTTTTTTTGAAAAAACTCGGCCCGATGTTTTTTGAAAAAACTCGGCCCGATTTTTTTTTCATCCAACGAAAAACCTCGGGCCGATTTTTTTTGAAAAAACTCGGGCCGATTTTTTTGAAAAACTCGGCCCGATGTTTTTTTCATCCAACGGAAAACCCGGGCCGATTTTTTTGAAAAACTCGGGCCGATTTTTTTTGAAAAAACTCGGCCCGATTTTTTTTCATCCAACGAAAAAACTCGGGCCGATTTTTTTTTCTCTTCCAAGGCTCACAAAATTTTGGATTGATAATAATTGTTTGGGCTTAACTATATTGGGATTCCCAAACACATCAAAACTCACTATCAAACATTCACATTAATGCATCGTGCAAAGTGAAAATGCGAAAAATCAAAAAAATAACGTGCAAACAGACGCATTTTTTTTCGCAGAAATCGCATTTTTTCGAGCATTTTTTTCGCGTTTTCTGGTGTTTTTCGAGCCAAAATGGACAGAAATTGAAAGAATTTGTCTGAAATTGTGTTTTTATTGATACTGGAGGAAAAATCAATGGTGAAACAAGAAAAATGAGTTTGTCGAAAAAATGTCGAAAAAGTCGAAAAAATTTGAAATTTTCAAAATCGTTTTTTTTCTTGTTTCACCATTGATTTTTCCCCCAGTATCAATAAAAACACCATTTCAGACAAATTCTTTCAATTTCTGTCCATTTTGACTCGAAAAACACCAGAAAACGCGAAAAAAATGCTCGAAAAAATGCGATTTCTGCGAAAAAAAATGCGTCTGTTTGCACGTTTTTTTTTTGATTTTTCGCATTTTTTTTTCACTTTGCACGATGCATAAAGTATTTGTTTTTCTTCCTAAAAGAAATTATCCAATATCTGAAAGTTCGAACAAATTATGAATTTATCCACAGTAATATAACTCACTTTTTTCTATTTATTTTCAAACCGATTAGGAATAGAGTAATAGCGAGAAATGATTAAAAATGTCCCGCTATGACTGAGCAATAAAAAGATCAGATAAGAGACGTGACCTAGCCATTTTTCTGATTAAAAACGTGCTCATTCTTTTTAGCATGAAAAAAGTTTTGATTTTTTACGTGAAAACTCGCGCACTTTTTGAAAAACCGAATATTAGCGCCTCGATGGGAAAGAATTTGGGATAGAATGGTGAAGGTCCCATCAAAAATGGTCTTCTGGAAATTGAGAAAAGTCGAGCGACACATTTTAAATCCGAAAAATACATTGAGATTTTCAATCTTTTCACTCTCCGCGCACTCACATACATTTTGAGAAAGAATGAATAGGAAGCGCATCGAGCTGCCAACATTTAGAAACTTTTTCTTTTTTGATCATCACTTTTTATGCGCGCAGTTTTGAGAACGGGACCCGGACACACTATTGCCAAAAAAATTTTCCCAGTTAGTATATAGTAGATCGATTGGCAGCCCACATTTCAAGAAAAACATTTTTGAAATTAATTTTTTGTTTTGTCGAAAAAAAAAGTGTTCACGTTTTTATTTTATGAATAAAATTCTTTTCTCATGTTGGACGCTCATTTCTCGAAATATTTTATTTTGTTTCTATTTGACCTGTCTTCAATTTATTTTTGTTTCTATGATCCAGAGAAATTCCAGATCGCGAGTGAAAAACAAAACAAAATGCATTTGAGGATTTGGTTCTACCTACAACTGCAACTTATGTCAGGTTAGTTTAATTGGGTTTTGGGGTTTGGTTTTGGGTTTTGGGAGAGAAAACACAGTGATTTGTGTTAAATTATATCACAGGTAAGTTTGGGGTATATTTGTATAATGGGGCTATTCAAGTTATTTTCTCAACGCTGAGAAAGGCGAAGAAAACCTATTCAGGTAGGCTGAGAAAATACGAAAAAAGTGAAGAAAATGCATTTTCTCCGCATTTCTCCCGTTTTCTCAGCGTGTTTAGAAAATACTTGAATAGCCCCATAAGAGACGAGATCTGCAGTCTCAGTTGCTCACAAGCAAGAACTTGTGGGAAAAGAGGAAAATGCCTCAAAATTCCTGGTTTTTTTTCTTTCATTTTTTTTTTTTGAATTATTTTTTTCCTATTTTTTTCAACAAATTAAAACGTTTGTATTTTTTCTAGTAGCCGAAAGTAGAAGAAAATGTTAAAATTAATTTAAAATTAATTAAATTTAAAAAAACGGATAATTTTTACAAAATTACTAAATCTGAAAAAAAGAGAAAATTTCAAACTCTCAAAAAATCCTTAAAAATTTCAACCGGAAACGGAAACTCACTTTTTACCAACTTTCATTTCACATGTGTATTTTTTTTTATGGGGTGAGTCAATTTTATTTTTTGACGATTAATTGACACAAAATGTGAGTCATTTTTGTGCGATTTTTTCACGTTTTTGTCGATTAATTCCATATTTTTTTGCAATTAATTGCATTCAAAAATGAGGAATTTCAATACGAAATAGAATTTATTTGACCTCTTTTTTTGAAACGTGTCCCAAATTCACTGCTTATTTTTTGAATTCATTTCGAAATGAAAGAAAATTGAAGGAAGATGATTTTTTTTGTTGATAATTCCAACTCATATAGGTCACGTTTTAAAATATAGGTCAAATAAATTCTATTTTTTATGCAATTAATCGCATGTTTTGCCAAGAAATGAAAGCGATGAATTGACAAAAACGTGAAATTAATCGCCCTAAAAGACTCACTTTTTTTGTCAATTAATTGCAAAAAACACGTCGATTAATTCGATTGACTCACCCCATTACTAAAAATGCGACAAGATTCGGATGAAAAACCGCTAGATGAACAAATTGAAAATTTACAGGTTGGTTCAATTTCATAGATGTTCTAATTAATTTTTTTTATTCAGGAAACAATATCCAAATTAATAGTTGAAAATGAAAACTTGGAAGTGAAACTAACTAATCTTACTTTCGAATCAAATGATGTTATAAGTTATCTCAAAAAACTTGTAGAAGAAAAAGATGACGAAATTGCAAGACTTGAAAATATGCTTGAAACTCAAAAACTCGCAGATGAAAGAAAATTCAGAGATTATAGGCAAAATTATGAAAATGAAGAAAAGAAATTGAAGGAGGAAATTGATCGACTAAATTCTGAAATGAGAATTATGGGTGAGTTTAGAAATAGAAATTAAATTTTAAATGGAAATGTTTCAGACACTCAGCTCGGTAATCAACATCGAATTGGATTGGAGATAATTGAAATGAGCACAAAATTTAGTGAATTGAAAAAAGTAGTGAATGATCAAGAAGAAATTATAAGACGAAAAGAAGCAGAGGAAAGAAGTGTGAGAATTGCAGCAATTGAACAGTAAGAAATAGTGAGGAAGATTTTGGATAACATTTTTTTTTTCAGGGCGCGAGCAGATCTGAGCAATGAATATGAGCAAGCAGTAGCTGAAATTCGAGCAGAAGCTATGTTGGAAAATAAAGGACATACACTTATGAATAATCAGGTTAGAAAATGCGGTAGTTTTTAAAATGAACCTGAAGAATCGGAACAGATCTGATTATTCGGACACGAACTATTTTGAAGATATTTCAACTTTTCAAAAATTACCTAATTCAGGCACCAAAAATAACAACTTAACTGAAATATTGATTTCCTGTAAAAATTTCCAGGTAATTGAACATCTAGAATTGGAACTAGAGAAAAAGAAAATAGAAATAGCAAGACTTCAGCAAAATCTTGAAGAAAAAGAAAAAGAAGTTGAAGAAGAAGTTGAGCGAACAAATGAAAAAGACGAAGAAAATGCGAAATTACGAAGACTTCTTGAAAAAAGTGGGCAAACTACTGAAAAAGCATTACGAGATAGTAAAAGACGATTAGAAGAATCTGAAAGTAAGAAAAAACAAATACTAGAAAAATATCTGTTGATTGAAACTGATCTTAAGAATAAGGCAAGTTCTCGGGATCTTCTCAAACATCTCATTTTTCTCTATTTTAGCTCGATGAGGCTACAAATACGATGGAGGAAGCTAAAAAGAATTCTGCAAGTTTGGAAGATCAATTGCTCAAAGAACAGGTTTGTTTTTTCCTTGTATTCTTTTCCATTTCCTCTTTTAGGAAACCAGAAAGGTTACAATTGATGCGCATAAGACACAAAATCAAAAAATCGAAGAACTTCGAACATTTTTCAAAGATGTTCTTTCGGGAGAAGAAGGTCTTGTAGAAGAAGTTATCAAAGAGAATAGGAATTCAGTTTTTGCGCATTTAGCGTTAATTGTATCTAGAATTCCGATTGTAAGATAATCAGTGATGCATAAAAATTTATTTTGAAAATGAGAATTATTGGTGGTAACGACGGCGAACAGCTGAACGTTGAACATAATCATATGATCTCGCTGGACATGCACAATATCCTGAAACATTTTAAAATTGTATGTTTTGAAGTTTGGCAAAAAAGTATACCTGCATCTTTTCCTGGTCCTCCTGGATGTCCTGGAGCTCCTGGTCGACCTGGTTGACCTGGTCCTCCTGGTCTTCCAGAAGATCCCGGTTGTCCTTGTCTTCCTGGTTGTCCTCTTCCTCCTCCATTTCCTGGTTGTCCTGGTGGCCCAGATGGGCCTGGTGGTCCTGGTCTTCCAGCTGGCCCTGGCAATCCTCGCGATCTTTGTCCAGGTCTACCAGCTTGTCCCGGAGCTCCTGGTCTGCCCGGTGCTCCTGGTGATCCTGAATCTCCTTTTGGTCCTGGTGCTCCTGGAAGCCCACGTCCTCCTCCATAAGCAGGTGATCCTGGTTGTCCGTTTGGTCCCGAACCTCCTGGTGGACCTGGTGGTCCTGGATTTCCAGGTCTTCCGGCTGGACAAAATTGACAATAAGCAGGTTTGCGAGTTGTTGGATTGATTCTAGCACCTGATCCTGGTTGTCCTGGAGTTCCTGGCAATCCATTATCTCCTCGTTGTCCTGGTGGACCTGGAGGACCTGGTGGTCCAGCAGGACATCCTCTCGATTGTGGTCCACAATTACATTGTTGTCCAGCATATCTCTTGTTTCTTCCGATCAAGAAAACAGATTCGGCAGTCATTGGATTTGTCACACTCATCATATTTTCCCATGCCGCTTTTTCAATATCACGAAATTCTTTGATCTCATCAATCTTTTGCTCGTAGAAACTATTGATATCCGAAAAAATCATGCATAATGAGGCAATACAAAATAGAACAGCAATTCCAGCCGCGCCAGAAATAATAGCGACAAATGTGGTTCCCATTTCTCAGAGTGATACATTTCCTCGTTCAACATTATCGTTTTATAGCCAATTTTTTGATGGGCGTTAGTTCCTGGAACTTTTTTTTTGGAAAACCAGTTATATACTTTCCTAATTTTGATCATTCACATATCAGTCAGTAAGAAACCTTATTTCTGATTACTGTAAGTAGTTTTTGGTGTTATAAATTTCCTGAATTTTTTTCTAACACAATTTATATATTTTAAAACCCAAGAAGCGATTTTAATATAGGTAAGAAAAAAGATTTAAAAAACCTAAAAACTAACGCAGCTAACGTCTCAACAAAACTTGTCCAATATTTTTTACTGAAACGTCATGAAGTTGATCTCAAAAATTTTTTTCGAAAATCCTCGAAACTCCCACTGACAAGTCTTAACTTATCCAAAAAAAATAGAAAACATTTGAATGAAAAATCTTTATTCTATCGGTTTCACAATTTATTTCACTTATGCGGCGACAATTTTTTGGACACGACGACGGTAAACGGCACGATTGCGAGCAACTGCACGACTGCGTTGAACAACACGCATAGCGTTTGAACGAGCTGGACATGGACAATATCCCGAATCGCTTCCTGGTGATCCTGGATTTCCGGGTTGTCCAGGTGTTCCTGGTTGTCCTGGTCCTCCTGGTCTTCCAGATGCTCCCGGTGGGCCTTGACTTCCTGGTTGTCCTCTGCCTCCTCCATTTCCTGGTTGTCCTGGTGGCCCAGATGGGCCTGGTGGTCCTGGTCTTCCAGCTGGCCCTGGCAATCCTCGCGATCTTTGTCCGGATTTTCCAGCTTGTCCCGGGCCTCCTGGTTGTCCTGGGCTTCCTGGTTGTCCAGCATCTCCTGGTGCTCCTGGAGCTCCTGGTGGTCCTTGACCTCCTCCATAAGCTGGTGATCCTGGTTGTCCGTTTGGTCCCGAACCTCCTGGTGGACCTGGTGGTCCTGGATTTCCCGGTCTTCCGGCTGGACAAGTTTGGCAATAAGCTGGTCGGCCGGTGACTGGATTTGGACGGAAACCTGATCCTGGTTGTCCTGGAGTTCCTGGCAATCCGTTATCTCCTCGTTGTCCCGGTGGACCTGGTGGTCCTGGAGGTCCAGCTGGGCATCCTCTCGATTGGGCTCCGCAGTTACATTGTGGTGCCTGACGTTTGGCTCTTCCTTCAAACATAAATGAAGTTGCTGGACGAGTTGTTGGAATCATTGAATTCCAAGCATGTTGTTCCAATCCCTTGAAATCATTCAATTCCTCGATTTTTTCATCATAGAATTTGTTGATATCATTAACCATCATACCAACAGTCACCAAACATCCAATCACAATAATTCCCGACAAAGTCGAAATAAAAGTGACAACCGTAGTTTCACTCATCTTTAGCTAAGAAAAGATGGAATGTACTTACTATTTTTCCACTCTACCTTTTTATACGTTCCGGAAAACTGTTTAAAAACCAGAATTGGTTCCCGAAAAAAATTGGTTAGCGATAAGAAAGACCTTGGAAAACGCAGCAAAAACATGCCCTCTAACCAACAAGTGGTCAAACAGTAATTGCTTTTTTTCAGAGAGAGAAAAGTTATTTTAACAATTATTTTATTTAAGACGAGAATTAACTAGAAAAATTTGTTTGTTGGTTGACGGGCAACACGTTTTTTAGCTGAAAGTCGACGATTTTTGATAGCTGCGCGTTTTTTGGCTGAAACACGGGATCGAGATTTTGCACTAGTTCGAGAAACCATTCGATGATGTGTTGCAGTTGAACGAGCTGGACACGAACAGTACTCTGAAAAAACATGTTGTGAAATTTTGTTTGTTTCATTATAGTCTCACCTGCATCAGCTCCAGGAGTTCCAGATATTCCTTGGATTCCTGGATATCCTTGATTGCCTTGTTGTCCTTTCTTACCTGGAGCTCCGACTAGCCCCTCTTTTCCAGGATTACCAACGTTTCCTTTCGCTCCAGGTGCTCCTGGTGTTCCCTTTTCTCCAATTGGCCCAGGAACACCAACGAGTCCCGGAAATCCTTTTCCTCGTTTTCCAGGTGAGCCTGGATTTCCAGGTAGACCAGGATATCCTGTAGAGCCTTGAATTCCAGCATCTCCTGGTAAACCAGGAATACCAGGTAGTCCAGTGCTCCCTGCGCGTCCCGGAACTCCTCGAAGACCATTTGGTCCAACAATTCCAATCGCACCAATAGGACCAGAAAGTCCTGGAGGACCAGCAGGGCAAGTTATGCAATAACCATCTTGGCCTATTTGGGAAAAACTAGAACCTGATCGACCAGCAAATCCAGGCATTCCATCTTCCCCTTGAATTCCAGGTTTTCCAATTAATCCAGGTGGTCCACTCGGACAATTGTTTGATTGCGGCCCACAATTACATTGAACATCTCGTTTGTTTCGATAACTGAATTTTGAGGAGCTTTCTAATATTAAGATCCATGCTTCTCGTTCATACATCTTGAATATTTCCAGATCATCGATTGTTTCAGCATAGAATTCATTTATATCGCGAGCAACATATCCGATAGTTAGAACAATAACGAGAATTGCAGCTGCTGATGAAAAATAAGCTATCCAAAGCCAAACTGTTTTCATTCTAAATTTGATTGTGATCAGTTATTCTTATCCATTTTCTTTATAAATACTCAAATGAAACGCCTACATGTACAAAATCCAATTTATTTTTCCATCAGAACATCACCGTATAATGGTATTTTTATGTATTAGATTAGAAATAAATCATATCAAAAATAATAACAGCCTAGTTTTTTTCCTTGTTATTCTTGCAAATATCTAGTTACACGTTTTTGGGAATGAGTGAATGTGTTCAGTCGATTTATTTATTTCCGCCAAGAAATAATAGTAGCTCAAGTTTTGTGGTTCTACATATTTTTGAGATTATTCATGGGTAAGAATTTTAGATTCAGGAAATTAGTTTCTGAAAAAAAATATCAGAAGTTCATTTTTTGGGAAGAAAAAAACTGATAAATATCAATTCAACAGACGAATATTTTTTCCAATAAATTTAAAGCATTCAACAGTTAGAAAATACAATCGCGATAAAAATTGCGTTTTTTATTTAATTCGAAAAATATATTTATTGTTCAGAATTCTCCTTCATTGAAATAATCTCAATTTTTGAGTTTCAGATTCTATGGACCAATTTATTCGACAGTTTTATCCATTTTAACAAATATAAGTTTTATCCTGAACATGTTAATTCTTATAGTTTTATCCAATAAAAAACTTCGAAATTCTGGAATTAATGTTATGATGATGATTATTGCATTCTGTGATTTTTTATGTGCTCTGGTTGCTGTTATACGACAATCAATAAAATCAGGAGAAAACAATCCAAACAGTTATTTTCAAGCACAATTTTATGCTTTCTACTCTTACATAACAATATCATTTCATACTTGTTCAATTTGTTTAGGTGTCGGAATGGCATTTTGTCGCGTTATGTCATTGTATTGTTCCAAAAAGTGTGTAAATACGTTATATTACAAATTCTTGTTATGTATTTTTAATGTAAACAAATTGCATCATAGATATATATTTCAGAGCAAAAAATTGGAATACTCCAAAATATACAATTATTGTAGCTATAATTATCATTTGTATTATATTTGTAACAGCGATACCAATTCGAATGATAAATGAAGTTGTTGAATCGGAACATTTATATATTTCAAAAACAATCGATAGTTTGCAAGACGAGAATTGTTTCGTTTTTCGATTCATTTTGTTTTTAGTTGGAGTTTTTTACAAAATTATTCCCTGTCTTTTATTGATTATATTTTTTGTTCCAATTTTTTATAAATTGAAGGAGAAAAAAGCGATCGAAAGAAAGATATTAAGTATCGGCAGTAAGAAAACTGATACTTCAATATATCTAACTTTATCAGTTTTGATAATTTTCATAATAACTGAATTGCCACAAGGAATATTTAATTCGATAGGTGTTATTTTTGTTGTCGATTTCATGGAAATTATCAGTTTATATCTTGGAGATTTAGTTGACACTTTATCCATTCTCAATTCTCTTTCAACATTCATAATTTATAGTGTTTTATCATCAGCATTCAGAAATTTATTTGTTCAATTATTTATTCCAAAATGGATGTGCAAAGCAGACAAAGTTTGCCTTTTTTGTAAACTGATGAAATATTTCGCAATTCAATTTTTCAGAAAACAACGAATATTCGAGTGAAACCACCCAACACAATAACATAAAGATTTTATATTTCGATAAATTCTGTGTTCATATTTTATTACTTCCTCTGCAAATCGGATAGAACCAATTGAACTTTACATGAATTATTGAGTGAGAAAAAAACGAAAAAAAAGTACTTTGCTTTGCACTTTATTTGTTTTTAATATGCTGGAGGTCGTTTTGTGTAATAATTCGAGATTTTATGAGAATTGACTGAGAGAGTTTGAGTTCGTTTCAATGTTTTAGAAAATATATGATTTTTGTGTTTAGCTTGCAATTGAAAAATATTTCAGTAACTGCAAAACTTTATTTTCTAAAAAAATCATTGAAGATGCTTCGTGAGAAAAAAATCGATCTAGAGATAAAATTATTTTTTTTTGAATTTCGAAAAAAAAGTTCCAAAATGCCTTGCATCAATTCCCGCTTATTTTGAACAAAGTTTCTGAACCCTTTTTTGTTGGAAAAATGAAAACTTTGCGAAGATGTCACAAACAGAAGGTATCTAATGATTTATTCTTTTGAGTTTGAAACTATGAACAATGTCTCATTATTCTTTCTTTATTCCGCTTTCTTTTTTCTTCGAAAAATATTCAGGCCACCCATCCCCCATCCACCAGCCGGACTGAATAGCTAACTAAAAAAATTCCTCGCACTACTCCTCACCACAAGCCATTTTCTCTTATTCTCTCAAATCTATCCACTATTTCGCACTTCCAACATTTTGAAAGAAAGGATGTGTGTGTGTGTTGAGAGATAGGGAGACCGCAGAGAAATTTGGACAAATTTTTCGCGTGCACCATAGTCTTTCTATATGTGTGTATGTAAGTATACTACAAATAAACACAATTCTTCCCTCTTTTCTTCCAGTTGGTTACCAGTTTATTTTCCAATTTTTTTGGCATCATTCCGAATTTATTTATTTCGTTCGTTTCATGTTTTTTCTGCCACACAAAAGAAAAAAAATCTGTTTTGTTTTTGTTTCGCTGACACGAAAAAATATACATTTTTTGTTCATTTTTTCCCTGGATCATATTTCATTTTACACATATACACACTCTGAAATGTTTTGTTTGAATTTGCATACGTTATCAAAAAAAAAAATGTGAACCAAAACTATTGTTTTTTATGACAAATAAATGTTTGAATCATTTTTTCCATGAGAAGTTTTCTCCTCTTATTTAGTAGTGCTTTAATATATTTCGCAACAGTATATTCAAATTTTCAGCAAAAATTACTGTACCTCTTACTCGGTCAACTCAAACTCGAGTTAACTCAAACAATAATTCGGGGACGAGAAAAATAAACGAATTTCTAGTCCATCTGATGTGTGTACTACTCTCGGACAACAATTTATTTTTTTCTCAGAGAAGTTGGACGATTAATCGCCTAGTAACTTGAATTAGCTGCTGGCTGACCGATTAATCGCCTGTGTTAATTTAGTTCAGGCGATTAATCGTAAGTTCACTTTACTCGGCGATTAATCGTACAACTTGTCTGAGTTGTTTTTCGTTTTTTCGACCGCTCACCACTCAATCACGCGTTGTTTCTCTTTTTCACATTTCTGTTTTTTTCAGGGTGATGAATGCCGATGTTATAAAAAGAACGAATCCGGCTGACGATTATGAATTGCTTCAACGCGTCGGTTCTGGAACTTATGGCGAAGTTTATAAAGCGCGAGACATTCGAAGCGATAGTTTGGCAGCTGTTAAAGTTGTCAAATTAGAATCCGGCGATAATTTTGCGGTTATTCAACAAGAAATTATGGTTATTCGGGAATGCTCACATCAAAATATCATCGCTTATTACGGGAGTTATATTAGACGAGATCGTTTATGGATTGTTATGGAATATTGTGGAGGTGGAAGTCTTCAAGATATTTATCACTGTGAGTTTTTTCCTTGAATAAAAATGATAATTTCATTAAGTTTTTTGTAGTGACCGGCCCATTATCGGAACTTCAAATTGCGTTTGTGTGCCGCGAAACGTTGAGAGGTCTGGATTATTTGCATAATATGGGAAAAATTCATCGAGACATCAAAGGCGCCAATATTCTTTTATCATCAAGTGGAGATGTAAAGTTAGCTGATTTTGGAGTTGCTGCTCAAATCACAGCAACAATGGGAAAACGAAAATCATTTATTGGAACTCCATATTGGATGGCACCTGAAGTTGCTTGCGTTGAAAAACGAGGTGGTTATGGAATGCAATGTGATGTTTGGGCGACTGGAATTACAGCGATTGAATTAGGAGAATGTCAACCACCTCTTTTTGATCTTCATCCAATGCAAGTTTTATATCTGATGACAAAGAGTAATTATAAACCACCACATCTAAAAGATAAACATCGATGGTCTCCACTTTTTCACGATTTTATTCGACAATGTCTCACAAAAAATCCGAAAAAACGACCATCTCCTGAAAAACTTCTAACAACTCATCCGTTTGTTCTTGGTTCATTATCAGCTCGAATGACAAGAGATTTATTGGATAAAGTTAACGGAGCTCCATCTGATGTATATAATAGAATGTCAAAAGCTTCTGATGATTTAACTGAAGAAGAAAGTGATTTAGATGAAGTATCAACCCCAGATGCTCCTTCAATTTGTCTCGATTTAACACCAAGAGCAACAACATCAACGTATTCTACAGAAAGAACATTACCAGCAAAAGAAATGCAACCACTTCCTGATGTTGTTGGCGGCGATGCACTTTTACATAATAGTGCAAATGGTGTGATTATTGATGATGAAGAAGAGACAATTCGTGCACCGAGAGCACCACCAAGAACTCTTCGAGCTGCGCAAAAAGCAGCAGCAAATGAGATTATTGATAGAACACCTACAGACGATCAAGCACCAACAAAGTTCTTTGGAATGCCGATCACACCAAAAGTTCCAATGGGTGCATGTTTCTCAAAAATGATTGATTCAACAGATCTTCGTATAAATTGCTCAACATCTTGGGTTCATCCATTAACCGGGGCACATTTATTACTTTTTGGAACTGAACAAGGAATTTATTCATTTGATACTGATGAATTGCCAGATGGAAATATCACAAAAATTCATCATAGACGGTGTTCATGGATGTTTGTATATTCAGATAGATTGATCGCAATTCAAGGGAATACTCCATATTTGTATCGGTGAGATAAATGGAAATATTCACCAAAAAAAATGTATTTTTCAGACATGATCTTCTTGCATTGACTCAAAAAAGTTTGACACTAAAAATGAGTAAAAATTTGAATAAAATTCCTGAAAAATATGTTCCAAAACGATTGGCAATAACAGTTCGAATGCCTGAAACACGTGGAGCATTTCAATGTACAATTAAAAAAGGAGATGGAGCACAAGCAAGTTCGCTGTTTTTGTGTTGCGCGGTTCCGAATAATGTTCACTTATTTCAATGGTATAAACCGATGCAACAATTTGTATTGATGAGAACTGAAGCATTGAGAAGTGATATACGATTCCCGATCAGACCTTTTAGTGTAAGTTGATTTTTAATGGGACGACGTGTCAATAATATTTATTTAAACATTTTTTCAGCTAATAAACTCTCGAAGATCAGATTTTCCTCAACTTTGTATTGGAGTCGGAAAAATGGCATCATCTTCTGATTATCAATTTGATTTGATTAATTTTTGTTCAAGCACAAAGGTTAGTTTCTAAAAATTGTCAAAATGAAAAGTTCTATGTTTTTTCCGAGCAGAACTTTTCATCATTTTCGCCCCATTCAATTCAAAAAGCGAAACTAATCGAATTCTTTTTTTTTTTTGCAAAAATGTTATTATTTATTATTTTTTTTTTCAACTATCAATATTTTGGGGTTTCCAGAACACTGAAAAAGACACTCTTCCAATTTCGGATTTCGAGAATCTTGCCGAAGATGAAATTCTGGATGTTGGCTCATTTCTTCAAATCGATCGAGACACTCTTTGTTTTTCCTATCGAAACAAAGTTGTGCTTACAAATTTGGAAGGTGTCGAAACACGTCGACCTTCGATTTTCACTTTCAATTTTCATATCGAATATTTGCATGTTGTTGATAATACAATTCTTGCATTTCATTCGAATGGAGTACAAGGAAGAGATTTGAAGACAAATGAAAATGTTCAGGATTTATGTGATATTTCAAGAATTTATCGGGTTATTGGAGATGATGAAAGGTTTGTTAACCATTTTTTGGAGTTTATGGGAGAGGGTTTCAGAATTAACTAAAAGGTCCCTTCTCCTTCTTTTCACAACTTCTTTTGTCAGAACTCTACAAAAACTCTATTCTTATTTCAGAGTTATCATTTTGAAATCGCAACAAATCTCAAAATCGGGTGACACGTGTGATATTAGTCTACTAACTGGTCATTCAAATACTCCAAGTTTATAATAATTTATTGATGATTTTTCTTTTTTCTTCCCTATATATTTAATTATATTTCATGATCTCAGTGATTTTCCTAATTCTAGTTGCATATTCTTCTTGTTTTCCTTCAAACCATTTCACTTTTGCTTTTCAAATGTCATGAAAACTTTATTATTTTCAATTTTATCACTGAACTTTGGCGAGTCCGAAAACTAGAAATGTGTTGCATAATGTGAAAAGAATCACGAATCCCATTATTTCAAACATGTGAACTTTTCTTGAAAGAAATCTGTAAAATTTCGAATTCAAAAAAATTCTGTGAGCGAGAAACTAACTTGGAAATCGTTTTCTTTTCCATTGGTCGTTTTGGAAGTGAAACATAAGATGTTGAAGGAGTTTTGGATTTAGTCGCAGCCACCATTTTTCAGATAAACAACAATGAGAAATGAACATTAAAAAGAGGGTCACGAAGAAAATTAATTCTTTATATTTGGAAAACGATAAAAAAAAAGAATTTGAAAATAAATTATGTCTAGAAAATGCTATAAACCCATAGTTATTTACATTATCACTTCCACTTGATGGCCTGAAAAAATCAGTTTTTTTTTCTTCAAAAATAGTTGGAAAATATGATCAGATTTTCAAAAATATTTTTAAAATAGCTTTTTTTTAAATGTATCCACGTTGAATCGGAAAAAATCGAGTGAGTGATCAAAACCTCTCCAATTAGACTTAAAAACTCACAGTATTATTGAGAGCTGCAATAGCCTTGAAAGATTCGACTGAATTCGGTCGCAATGATTTTGCATAAGATGCCAATGCAGTCCGATCTCCCTTTTGTGTCATACATTCGATGACCATTTCAGGAACATCGAAAAGAAGAGCAAGTCGAAGACGTTCTTGTGAATCACCTTCTCCGCGCAAAATTCGAAATATAAACTGAAAGAAACAACCTTTTTCTCAAAATCTTATAAGATTTTTTTCAAAAATTGTATTACATCTGGTGGTGGTTCAGCATGCGATCTTTTAATAATTGTCAATAAATTATGATTATTTATTGCTACATTCCATTTACTTGTCACTTTTTTGCCTTTGAATACATCTGAAAATTAATTTTATCCAATGTATTTATTTTTAAAAGTTAAAGCAACACCCTCGTATAATGGGCACTTTCTTGAAAAAAGCCCGAATGTTCTCAAATCTTAGATTTAGCTTAGTTTTACTGTTTTCTAGTTCGGAGAAAAAATTCAAAACGTTTCAATAAGTATTAGCCGAAATATGGAAGCCCATTGAAAAACTGAAAAAACTCAAATTCAAACAACGCGGGCTAGCGTTAACGCGGAGTCTCGTTGTTTTCTTTTTATTTTTTCGCAAAATTTTTCCGTTTTTTTCGGAAAATGACAATTTGCATGGAAAAAACTGTTTTCTGGGTATGAAAAAAATAAATTGAAGAAGTATAAACACTAAGATTCAATATTTCAGACGAAAACTAAATTTTTCAATGGAAATTGTGTTTTTTCAGTTTTTGACCGGAATATGCAATATAAAACTGAAATATCATAGTCAAAAATGAAAGTAGAGATAGTTAAGGATGTTCAGAAATCATTGTTATAATTTATTTCATTGTTTTCAGTGAAACAATTCACTTTTTGTTGAAAAAAGTTGAAAGGGGTACTGTAGCACACAATTGTCGTCACAGTGTTTGCACAAATGTCATGAAATTGCGGATCTGCACAATCTGCAGGCGATTTTCAAACAAAATTAAGTTTTTTTCTCAAAAGTGGTCAAACTTGATCGTTTTTGAGTATTTCTTTTTCATATTTCTTGTGAGTATAGCTGAATAGGTTAATTTTATATATTTTGGTGTTTGAAATCATTTCGCAATGATCTTATTATACGAGGGTGTTGCTTTAAACCTACTTTTAGCTGCATTTAAAGTAACTGCCAATGGTTTAACTTGTAATAATTTATCAACATCTGGCCATCTGCTTTGTCGAACCAAACTAGATACAATTGTTTGAATCGCCAAACGATCGTTGAATCGAATTGATTGACGAATGAAATTAATCGAAGTTGGTGAGGTTTGTGGATCATCGTAATGATATAAAGCCGAATAATATAAAGTTGATAAAGCTGGAAGACCCAGCAAAGAAGATTGTTTTGGAAATTTTGAAAATACTTCAGATTTTGGATTGGAGTATTTTTCGATTTGCAATTGGATTTCATAATTTCTCATAAGGTTTTCAATTTGTTTTGCTTCGAATTTCATTTCTGGAATCGAAAAGCTTCCATGTAACATAGTCCTCAATAATGGAACTCGTTTGTCTGGATTCCGCCGATATTTTCGAGTTGCTTCAAATTCCACAATTGCTGCATGTTGATATCTTCCAATTCCCCGTAGAAAATGTTTCATTTTATCCCATTCTTTCAAAATTTGCAGATAATTTACATAAACTCTACAAGCTTCTTTTCGAGTTGCCATAAGTTTGAAGAATAGTGGTTCTTTGAGAGATTTTTCGAGAAATATAACGACTTTGAATAGTATATTATTATCATGTACATTTGAAGCAGATTCAATAAGTTGGTGTTTTTCATTATAAGATCGATAATTATCTAAAGATACTTCATTTCCTTCAATCATACGCTCAATTGCTTTTTCTACATTCAAAGGTCGAAATCGATCATGTCTAACAGTCTAAATAACAATGAATATGTTTAGTTTTATATGAAAAATAATTAGTTACTCACTTCAAGATGTTGTTGTAATTTTCGATGTTCTGCTTTCAGTCTAGAATAATCCAAATCTAATCTCTGCGCTTCGCTCGGCAAGCTACTTGCACTCGCTTCCGAAACGACTGAAGGTGGAGCAGCTGGAGCCGCGACTTTCACTTTCTCCACAAATTTCATACTCAGAAAATCGTCCACCAACTTTCCAGAAGCTTTTGGGGAAGCACTGAAACATCAATTCAGTTTTTAATCAGATATATAAAATACTTACTTTGTCAATCGAACTTTTTCCGAAGTTTGAGGTGGAAGTGGTGACGGATTCTTTGGTTTTGGTGTTTCATCTCCTCCAAATAAATTGTCAACTGCTGCACGTGCTTGTAGCTTTAATTTTGGAGTTAAAACACACATTTTTCTTCGAGAATTTTTTGAAGAAATAAACGATTTTCACGCTCACGGAAATTAAAATTACCTGTTTCGATTGTAAATCGTCGAAAAGTGAAGAAGAATTTGAATCCGACTCATTCCAATAACTATCTTCAGGATTATCAAAAGTGAATTTCCTACGCAAAGTCATTTTCCTAGTAGCTATTCATTTCATTTTGACAACATTTCAACAGTGCCAAAAAACAATAAAAAATAAATTGTGTGTGCGGCAACTATGCAAACATTGTGTGCACCGCTTATTCTGTTGGGCGGGGCCAAATTTTAAACCGCCAACTTTGAATGTTTAGGCCATTTTCAGTTTTTTCTAGCAAGTGCGTTAAAGGCGTTGTTTTTAACAGTTTTTATGAGACAGTTCCCAAATTTCATGAAAATAATTTAATTTCATATTCAGTTCGAGTACATTTCAAATAAAACTCGCAATTGTTCAAAGGATTGAAAAACAAATAAATTTGTTTTTGACCTCCGCGCCAATTTTTTTGCTTTGGTTCAGGTTTTGAATTTTGGTCCCGCCCGTCCCGATCAGTCTCGGTTGGTTGGATCCTAATGTTTCTCTCTTACTCTTTATTACTTTATACTTGCACGTGTTTTCTTTCAGAAAAATGCAAAACGCGGAGGTGCCAAGCGCCAGCAATTCACACTGCTCTAACCTACTCAGCAGCAATTTGAAACCGCAACATAACTGGTTCACGGACTCAACGACTAACAATTTCGCTCATAGAGCTAATGAAAAGTGAGATTTACTGTTGAAATAAATATATAATTTTCATTTCATTTTTTTCAGTAATGTCGTCTATACTGCTCCGATTTCAGTTAGACCAAAAACTCGCGAACCACAAACTTTCACTGATAACAGGTGAGCTTTATCAAAATCTAGTTTTGAATGAACTAATCTTGATTTTTCAGAATATATGTGAGCAACATCCCATTCTCGTTCAGAGAACAAGATTTAGCATCAATGTTTTATGTGTATGGAAAAGTTTTGAGTGTTGAGATTGTAACAAATGACAGAGGATCAAAAGGTTTCGGATTCGTTACTTTGGATTCAATCGAAGCTTGCGAGAAAGCTCGCGCAGATTTACACGAATCGCATGTTCAAGGAAGAATCATTGAAGTTCGTCGTGCTACTCCAACAAGAAGAAAGATTACAAACACAACACAGATGGAAGTTATGCCACCTCCAAAACTTTGCGTTGATCTTCGTGCACCACATTCTTCATGGCGAACTGAACCGTTCGATGCAAATGCCCCAACTTATCATCAAGCATTTGTTACAACTTCACAACCTTTCCAAGCTAGACGACCATTTGGATTACTCAACGAATCTAGAAAATGTATGAGACATGCCGATTTGAAATTATCATTGAATGGTGATTATTATATGAAAAATGGTGAACCAACTACTGACAATAGCCTTTTGATGTGTATTGGTGGAGGAGATTGTAAAGGAAATCATCAGGTAATTTTGAAGAAAAAAATCAATTGATAATTTTTTGCAATGATGAGAATCATGCTAATCATGAAAAAGCTTCGTTTGCTTTATCCCATGTTGCAAAAAACCAACTCTGAGCAAAATTTCAATTTCAGTTTTAAGATGGTTTCATGCATTAGTTTCAGAAAGTTTTGATTTTTTCAGAATGAAGCTGTCAATGTTTCTGCATCTGAAGTTGAATTCCCAGAAATGTTCCAAAATCATATTCATGATCAAATAAATTCATTGCTTGATACTTCAAATAATCAACCACGCCGTGCTGATTCTGTTGGATCAACTGGTGTCAGAACTTCGGAGAGTGAAACTGCTTCAGGTAATTTCGAAGTATCATAAACTAAAAAATCCTCGAATTTTCCAGACGATGAACATAATTCATGGACACCAAACCGTAGTCCAGATTTGCTTGCTTCACTTTATGAGGGATCAACATCATTCCACTAATCATTATTTTCAGTCAGTTTGCGACAATAATTAATTTGACCAAGTCAAAAAAACTCACTAACCGCGTTTTTGCATTTTTCTGTGCTCTATATCTGTCTTTTTTTTGTTTTTCTCTGAACCGGTATCTGTATTTGTACCCAATATATTTTTTGTAATACTTGAAAGTATTGCCTTATTTTGTGATCTCTACTTCAATCATTTTAACCATTCACTACTGTCATTTTGATGCCTTTTTTTCGAATGTGTCTTATAAGTACATTGTATTTATATGCCTTGTTTTTCTTCTATATTGTTCTGTTTAAATTTGCAAATGAAATTTCCTGCAAAATGTTTTTTTAGTAACTCCCAAACTTGTGTAAAAAACCTATGTACAGTACTTCTCGGGAAAAGTGTTTCGAGAGCCACGGGTAATTTGAACGGTAAACATGACATTTTTTGAACTTCAAAATCTGTCAAATAAGAAAAAAAAAGGAAAATTCTGAAAAGGGTGGGCGGAATAATAAAATAAACAGGCAGCTGAATTTTTACAAAAAAGTTTTAATTTTGTTTCGAAAATGTCGAACAATTCTTCTGAATATTATGAATTGGCGAGTAGTTGTTTATCATGTCAAGGCCCCGAAATTTCAAACTTCATTTTGAAAATGACATTCGTTTCGTATTATTTAGTTGTATTTTTTGCACCAGTTTATAATTTTGTGCATCGCAGAAATATACGAATGGGAGTTTTTGTGAGTTCATTTTTTCGAGAAAAAATCTGGCTGTGAAATTAAAATCTGAAAATTTCAGCCGCATGGTCAAATAACTTTATATCAAATTCGACTTGTTTTGAATATCACAAGTATATTTTGCATCATTTTTTGTTTCTCAAAAAATATCCTATTCTTTATTTATAAATATTATAAGATTCGTGGATTTTCTTTTCAATTTGAATATAATTAATTTTCCAAAAATCGAAAATATAGTTCGATTTTCATCTCGTCTTCTTTATGTTTTTACAATATTATTTGCAATATTTTCCTCTTTTGTTTCTTGTTTTATCGATGTTTTTCTGGTTATTCTAGCCCTTCAAAGATTTATTTTAACAGCTTTGGAATCTTTCGAATTTCTAGTTTCTCAAAACAAACTCCGAGTTTATATTATAACTGCATGGTTTGTTACATTTTTTGCAAAACTTTGGGCGTTCGTTGATTTTTGGTTTACTGGTGAGAAAGGAGCATCAATAAGTTATATGAAATTAATATTCATCTCTTCTATTTTATCAAACTTTTTTGTGAATGTATTTTGTTGTTTGGTTTATATCAAATTGTTTTGGAAGTTGTTTAATCTTCCGAGATTGAATAAATATAATCGACCTGAAATTACTTGTTTGTATGAAGGTGTTCCCTTATTAGTTATTCGAACTATGGTTTTGATCACACAATTCAATTTGGATTTCGAAGATGATCTCGAATTTTTCATTTATTTCACTGATTTTGATATTGCTTATCTTGTTATATCAACTGCTTTGCTACAATTTACATATATTTTGAGCTATCATAACTTGAGAATTATTGTTGAATGGTTGATGAGTAAAAAATCAAATACGGTTCATTCTACACAAGCTGATCCATCAGTTCATTCATAAAAAATTTTGAAACAAAATTGCGAAGCTGCAAACTTTTCTTATTTTTCACGTGCGATTTTCGAATTCTAATTTTCCAGTTCAATTGATTCTCGAATCATTCTTGTTTCATTCTTTGTTCGATTTCCTCTCACCAAAAAGTACATGTCTGACGTATTTTTTGATTTCGTGTTTTGCATACATTTGCTAGTTTTTACTTTCGGAATTGTTTCTCATTTTTATTTCAATAAATTATTTGTTTTTGAAAAGAAGTTGAATAATTATGGGAGAGTTCTTCTATTTTTATTATCAATTGGTTATGTGACAATTTTGATATGTTTTCAAGTTACAACTTTCATTTGTATGATTGTTGCCGGGACTTATTTAGAAGTTCCAAAATGTCAAAATGATAGGAATAGTGTTCTTCAAGTTCATCGTTTTTCTGAAGCTTGTGTTGTTGTTTTTTATGCATTATTGAATTACAGTAAGTCGAAAAAAATATATAATGAGTTAAAAATTTAGAACATTTTATTCTAGATAGATTAGAATATACGATTAATCCGAAATCTGAAGAAAGTTTGAAAAGAACAATAAAATATATTCTGCTTATTCTTTCTTGTCTTCCTATTGGAATGTTTTACATAATCACTGTGGATACAGAAAATTCGAGAATCTATGGAATTTCTTTCATAGTTTTTATTAGTATTTTGAATATCTTATTAGAGCTGAAGCTATATAAAACTTCAAAAATAATTTATGATAAAACAATAGGAAGTATTGGATTAACTGGAAGGTATGAAATGTATTCGAGTATAAAAATTCTAAAATCTTTTATACCTGCTTCAATTGTTGGAATAATTTTCAAAATAACTCTTTATGTTTTGCTTTATTTGCGAATATTCTTAGTGATAACATACGATTCACCAAAGTTTTACTTTCTTTTCAATTTGGTAAGAATCAATGAATTTGTTCTTAAAGCAAAGTGAATTCTTCCAGATTTGGAATATCGATTGTGCAATATTCCCTTGCTTTTTCCTTATCTCTCACAAACCAATTCAAAGATTTTTAAGAGTTCTTGGAAAACGAAATAATGTCATAACAATTTTGACTTCGACACAGAATGATTATTTTGAACAATTGAAAAATACTTGGAAATAAAACTGACATAAAATGTTGTTTTTGATGTTCTTAAAGTTCTAAAAGGGAAATTCATATGGTCTGTTGGATAGACTGAATTGATATCAAAGTCCGGTTAAAGTTCAGCTTCGAAATTTTTTCAATATGCAGACAAATTGATAGTTCATTTTTTGAGGTTGTTATTTAATAACCAAGATTTTCCACCTCAGTTACTCCCAAAAATACGTGTCAATCACTCTTTTCGATATTTATCAAAGAAAATGTCCGAAATAATTTTTGATTTTGTGTTCGGTTTACATCTATTAATCTGTTCTTCTGGATTCATATCTCATTTTTATTTTATAAAATTATTTGTTTTTGAAAAGAAGTTGAATAATTATGGGAGAGTTCTTTTATTTTTGTTATCAATCGGATATATTACGATTTTATTGTGTTTTCAAGTAACAACCTTCATTTGTTTGATTGTTACTGGAAATTATTTGGAATCAGATCAATGTGGGATGAATAGAAACTATGTTCTCCATGTTCATCGATTCAGCGAAGTTTGTGTTGTCATTTTCTATGTTCTACTGAATTATAGTAGGTTTCATGAAGAACCAATTAGTCATTAACTTTTTTATAGATCGGTTGGATTCCGATCATTTTTATGGAGACAACTCAAAATCTACATTAAAATATATATTTCTGATATCATCTTGTATTCCTATCGGATTGATATATATTTTTACTGTTAGTTTTGAAAATCTAAAAATCTATGGGATATCTGTTATGATGTTCATAAACTTTCTAAATATTTTGATAGAAATTAAAATTTATAAAATTTCGAAAGCAGCATATGAAAAAACTAGAGGAAATCTTAATTTGAATGGAAGATACGAAATCTATTCGAATATTAAAATTCTGAAATCATTTATTCCTGCTTCAATTGTTGGAATTATATTCAAACTTGTTATCTATATTTTGGTTTATTTGAAACTGTTTCTAGTAATAACGTATGAATCAAAAAAGTTTTATTTTTTATTTAATCTGGTGAGATTTTAAAACCCGAATCCGAAATAAAAACAATAAATGAAACTTGACAGGTTTGGAATATCGATTGTGCAATTTTCCCTTGGTTTTTTCTCATAACTCACAAACCAATTCAAAAAATTCTCAAAATTTTCGATAAAACAACTGTTTTGGTTTTAAATCCATCACAAAATGATTATTTTGAACAATTGAAAAATACTTGGAAATAAATATTTTAAAAATTCAAAAAACCAAGAAATGGCTCCTAGATTGCCACGTCATAGTCCACGCCGATTCGGCGTCGCCGATTCGGCGTCGCCGAATTTGTTTTTCTGAATTTAATAACTATTATTATTGTCTTCGGGAAGTGCAATATTTTCAGAAAAACACCATGAAAAAAGTTGTTTGTGCATACTAAACAAAATTACTACCTTTCCTGACTCAATAATCACATATTCTTTCCAATTCAACCCCTAAAATTATTTGTTGCTCTCCTCGCCCGAAAAATCAAAATGTCGGAAGTGTTTTTCGATTTTGTGTTTTGCTCTCATTTATTTTTGTGTATTTTCGGAATATTTTCCCATTTTTATTTCATCAAATTATTCGTTTATCATAAAACTATAAATAATTATGGAAGACTACTTCTGTTTTTATTATCAATTGGATATATTACAATTTTATTGTGTTTCCAAGTCACAACTTTTATCTGCTTGAATGTTTCTGGAAGTTATTTTGAAGATGAAAAATGTGGAACTGATAAAGATTATGTTATTCATATACATCGATTCGGAGAACTGTGTGTTGTGTTTTTCTATGTATTATTGAATTATAGTTAGTTTTTTGGTTATTGATTCAAAAAGCTTCTATACATAATTTTTTCAAATTCAGATCGATTAGAATTTATAATTCAATCAAAATCTAGAGAAAATTCCAAAACAACGATGAAATACTTGATTCTAATATCTTTTTGTGTTCCAATTGGATTGATATTTGTTTATGCAATCAAAACTGTTGCTCTTAAACTCTACGGAATATCAATTATAATGTCAATCAACTTCTTAAATATTCTTTTAGAAATCAAAATTTACAAAATTTCTAAAATAGTTTACGAAAAAACAAGAGGAAGTATCAGTTTGAATGGGAGATATGAAATGTTTTCGAATATTAAACTTTTGAAATGTTTTATTCCTGCTTCAATTGTTGGGATTATTTTCAAAATCGTTATTTATATTTTGGCTTATATGAAAGTTCTTGGATTCATAACTTATGAGCCAAGAAAGTTCTACTTTCTATTCAACTTGGTGAGTTCTGCAAATTGAATTAATTTTTTTTTTTGAATTTTTGTTAGCTCTGGAATATCGATTGCTCAATTTTCCCGTGGTTTTTCCTTGTTACTTACAAACCAATTCGAAAGATTTTGCATATTTTTGATAGTCAAACGAATTATTATTACTGTATTTAGTGTGTCACAAAATGATTATTTTGAACAATTGAAAGATACGTGGAGATGAGTTTTTTTTTTTGAAATTATCAAACCGGAAATAGTGTTAATCATCATTTAGTATACTTGCCATAAATAAGTTTCCATTTCACTTCATATATAAATTTTTTGCAATGCGAACTTTGTTTTTTGACTCAATTTTCTTTTTACATTTATTTGTATGTTTTACTGGATTCATTTCTCATTTTTATTTCATAAAACTTTTCGTTGCTCCGAAAAAAGTCAATCAACTCAGAGAAAACGACGCAGAAGTTTCGCAATTTGCGAGAGCCGCAAGGCTGCTGAACTGCTGCTGAACTGCTGCTGATTTCTTGCCACACATTCAGCAGGCTTGCGGAACTCTTGCTGCACTGCCTTTGTTCAGAGAAGAGTGGGCGGAGTCAGAGTAATGAGAGATATGGCGCAGCGCATAACCGACGAGATGTCGGACACCCGGATTCATGACCTCGTTCGAATTTTTCCTCAAATTCAAAACTTGCTGTTTTTATCAGCGTGTTATGAAAACTCTGCATCGAATATTTCTTTTATAATAGGAAATCGATAGAGAAAATAATTTTGAAAAGTCTAATCTAGACAACCTTAACGATTTTTTTTCAAAAAAAAAATAAAAAAAAGTCCGACATTTTTTTACTTCTGGCAGCATTTGCGCAAGAGTTTCGCAGTTTTGCGGGAGGGAAGTGTCAGGCCTGCTGATATTTTGCCGCAGAAATGCGTGTTTTTTTTGCGAGAATCCTGCGCCGTTTTCTCTGAGAATATTCTCGACTTTTGTTACTACTTTTATCAATAAGTTATATCATGATCATGTTTTGCTTTTTGTGTCCAACTATAATTTGTTTATATGAAACTGGATCATACTTTGAAGATGAACCCGTTTCAATAATACAAATTATTATCACTGATGCTCACAGATTCAGTGTTATGAGTGTTACATATTTTCACGTTCTATTGAATATTAGTGAGTTGATCTTTGTAGATAAAATTGTACTTGATGTTTGATACAGATAGATTAGACTTTATCGTCAGAGTCAACAACAACAATGATGACAAATCATTTCAAACTTATTCAAAATCTAAATACCTTCTTCTGATCTGTGCAGCAATTCCATTTGGTTCCTTATATGCCTACTCAATAAATTATCCAAATTTGAGACCGTTTGGATTACTTTTCATTGTTTTACTCAATGTTGGCAATACGTTTCTTGAAATAAAATTATATGTTTTATCGAAAACATGGTTCGAAAAAACACGTGGATTAATTTCTCTCAATCAAAGATATGAACTATTTTCTAGTTTGCGGCTTATGAAATCATTTATACCCGCTTCAATTATTGGACTTATTTTCAAATTCGTGACTTTAGGAGTGATTAGTTCGAAAATGTGGATTATATTGGTCGACAATGCAACATTCTATTTTTCATACAATTTGGTGAGTTTGAGAGAAAAATTGATGCTCATAAAAATCAAATAATTTTCAGTTATGGAATATTGATTCTATGATCTTTCCCTGGTTTTTTTTATTTGCAAGTTGGAGAATCAAAATTCACAAGACAAATAAGACGATCCCTATACAACACGATCATTTTGAGCAACTCAGAAAATCTTGGAACTAACAATAAAAAAATCATGATCTTTTGGTACAACATATAATTATGGTGTAATAAAAAGGTTACTGTAGTTTTCAAAAAGGTTGTAATTATTTGAAAATAAAAACAAAAAATAAAGAGATCGCAAAAAAGTGAAAAATAAATTTAAAAAAAAAATAATTTTGACGTGAAACCTTTGCAACCTATTTTCGAGGACCAACCATTTTTTATTGAATTCTAGTCTAGAAAGTAGTGAGTTTTAAAATATTTTTCAGGCTAGATATGAAATTTTTGTCGATTTTCAGGTAAAATTCTAAATACACAAAACTTTCGATGAACAAAAGGAAAAGCTTACAAGATAATGTAAAAGATGAAGCTGAACAGACAAATAATCAAGAGAGATATCAATTAGTGTCGAGAGAAAATCAATCAGATCGTGATGATTTGGAATTGAGTGGTGTTGCTCCAAATGAAGATAATGCTGTTGAGGATGAAATGATAATTGAAGGAAAAGAAGAAGTTGTGAAAAAAGAAGAGAAAAAAGTGGAGCCAAAAAAAGAGGAGAAAAAATTGATTGAAAAGAAAAAAGATGAACCAAAAAAGGAAGAGCAAAAAGAAGTTCCAACTAAAAGAGAAAAAGAGAAAGGTAGCAAAGAGAAGATCAAACCGGAATCGGATTCGGTTTATATCAAAAATACATTGATTCATTATCCATGGTATCACGGATTGATTCAAGGATCGCAAGTTAATGATATGCTCAAGGTACATAGGTTTTCTTGAAACCTAATGGAATCTGAATCAACTTTTACATGAAATCAATTCTTTCGGGAAATTTCTTCACAAAAGTTTAACGGTCTTTGTCTCTAGTCTTGTTTTTGATTTGAAGCCCATTCAGTAAAACTCTTTCAAGTTGAGCCATAAGATTTTCCATATCCAAACTAAATTTATTTTTCAGTGGGATGGTTCTTTTATTGTTCGTCGAAGTGGAAATGGCGATGAAAACGATGTGTTATGCCTTTCAGTTCGAAATAACAAACAAATCCATCATTATGCTTTCAAAAATGAAGGTGGAAATTGGACTTGCCCAAAACTTCCAGACATTGATAAAAATATCAAATTTCCACACATTCATTTACTTTTGAATTATTGGAGTAACAAAATATCTGGAGCAATTGTAAGATTTAGTATCTCAGTGAATTTTTCGATAATTTAAATTCAAAATCTATTTTCAGCCAATTCCACGTGATAAATTCGTACTTTTCCACGATGATGTGAAAATGTCGAAAAAATTGGGATATGGTGAATTTGGAGAAGTTTGGGAAGGAAAATTGAACATCAATGGGTGCACCAAGAAATGTGCAGTAAAAACCATCAAAGGTCAGGTGAAAAAAGAGCAAATCAAGGCATTCTTTCACGAATCAAAAGTTATGGCATTATTCGATAATGAATGTATTGTAAAATTTTATGGTCAATGCACTTTATTTTCACCATTGATGGCGGTGATGGAATTGGCGAATGGTGGAACTGTTAGAGTGAGTAAATCCACACCCACTTATTTTCAACTTTCAAATGCAAACTTTAGAGTCATTTACGATGTAATAAGAATGTTAGTGTTGATACAATGATCAAATTTGTAAATGATATTGCAAAAGGAATGGAACATCTCACTTCGAAATCAGTTATTCATCGAGATCTGGCAGCTAGAAATTGTTTGATTGGTGATAATTTGATTGTGAAAATATCAGATTTTGGGCTTTCTGTAATTGGCGAATCAATTCGAGTTCGAACATTGAAACAAGCACCAATGAGATGGTTATCCACTGAAACTCTTACCACCGGTGTTTTCAATGAGAAAACCGATGTTTGGTCATTTGGTGTGGTTATTTGGGAGATATTCACATTATGCGCATATCATCCATTATATCCGAAAAACTATGAAAGAAGCCTGTTTGGAAATTAAAACTGTTGAAAAACCACATAAATTTGATTCATCGCAGAAATCTCCACCGAAAGAAATTTTGGCAATTATGGAAAGTTGCACAACCCGACAACCTCAAGAACGACCAAAGTTTCGAAATTTGGTAGCAGATTTGGCAAAAATTATAGCAGATCGAAAAAAAGCTGTAAGTTATTCAAGAAAACTTCCAAAATAATCTAATTTTTTAGAAACTAACAAGCAGAAGACGATCGTCAATTAAAAATAGAAGTTTGAAAGTTTTGAAGAAAGTTCCACGTGGAATCATATCACAAACTCGAAAGAGATGTAATATAGATCCTCCGGAAAAACAAGGAACATCTTCTGGATCAGCAAATACCGCATCGAAATCGAAAGAATCTGCAGAAAAAATAGTCCCAGAGATACATACGCCAAATACTCCAACTACACCAACAACAGCAAGATCACCAAAACATCTTGAAACTCCGAGAAGACAAAAGTGTTGAATGAATGTTTTTCTTGAAAATGTTTTTATGACGGTTGAAAATAAAAGAAACGTTTATAGATTTAATAAATATCATTCCTACAGTACCACAATTGAGTGGCCGAATTTCACAAAAAACCGCGTATTCAAAAATCATGGGAAAAATCAGAGAATAATTAGTACAAAAGAATTTTTAATTTTAAACGTGACCTATTGACCGTATTTTCCTTTGACCTTTCGTGATAATAATCATGGTATTCCTAGAAATAAATAAAGACAAAGTATGGATCAAATCTTGTTTTTATCAATGAGTTCTGCAAAAAACATTATACTAATTGTATATAATATTGTTTTCGCAATTATAATTGCTATATCAATGATTACTTGTGTTGTGGCAAGAATTGAGAAGGACAAACCATGCTCGAAATCATCAGCTGTTTCCGGTTCTCAATCTGCAACACATACCACTACAAAATCACCAGTTCCAACATCGGATAACAAAAATGTGAAGAATAAAGAGGAGAAGAAGAGTAGTAAGAAAATGTTTAAAAGTAGTAAGAAAATTTTGTCATACAAAAAAGTGGAAGAAAAAGAGAAAAATGAAACAGGAGATGGGACAGGAACAGGTATGTTGAGATTTTTGATTTGACAAAATAGTTATTTCTAGATGGTGGAGATGGAATGATGTATGATGAAGATGGTAATGTTACTGGAATGAAACATGAACAAACAGTTCGAATTGAAATGGTTGATGATGCTTCAAAAACTCGTTCAACTCGAAGTATGCTTCCAAATAATAATAATATTGACACAACGGGTTTGTTGCTCTATGAAGTAGATGAAAAAGGGGAGAAACAATCAGTAATGGAAACTGCCAGAAAATCGGTCAAAGAAAACAAGCCGCAAAAGAGTTTGAATCTTGATCCGACACAAGAAGATGTACATGGCTCTGAACTTGCTAATTAAATTTTAGCGTCAATGAATATTTTTGTTATCAGAGTTTACTTTTTGGAGATTAATTTCGAAGAAGTAACAGGAAAAAATTAGACATTTCTAACAATAAGTGAGATTTTCTTTACACCGTCGACACGTAAAGAAAATCCACACAAAAAACCGTCGCGAAATTTAAATTGGAGTGAAGATGGCCTTGGCCAGCAAATAATTGATTATGAGTAGTTAATTAACTGCAGGCCATGGCCTAGGCCAGAAGTTACGAAATAATCAGCGTGTTAAAAAAATAAAATTTCGAAATTCAAAAATTTTTAAAAACGAAATTCCGGTTCGTTGCGTTGGAGCGCATTTCGCTCATTTAGTGGTGTGTGTATTTCTCGTGGACAACCAACATTTTTTTTGGCGAATCGATTTTTGTTTGTTTCATTCACGCATGTTTTAGTATTTCTAATGTCAAATCCGTTTTCTGGTGATCCGAAAAGTCGAAGCCCAGACGGCGATTATTTAGAAGCATTGGGTTTGTCTCTATTTGCTATGTAATTGAAAATTTCTTGTACTTTTAGAAAAACGACTAAAAGGTGTGAAGGACAAGAAGAAAATTGATTCAAAGAGTATCATTAAAGATATTGATTCTTTGAAAAACGATCAGTTATTCAAACTACTTTCAAAGACTGATATCCCACTTTCTGCCGACGAACAGAAGTTTGAGAACGATTTTGTAGAAGAGCAATCAATTCTAGATAAAACAATCGAACCAAGTTTGATAAGAAAGAAGGTTGCTCCACAAACGTGTGCGATTAATAAAACTGAATTAGTTTCAATTCTGAAATACGACGTGGCACAGGTATTAGCTAGCTATTTCAGTTTGATAAAATTGTACTGAATATTTTTAGAAACTTCACGACTTCTATCAACAATTAGATCAAACCACAGAGGATCGATTTGAATCAGAAGAAATATTACGAGAAATCCAACAAGTTGCTAAGGAATTGGAAAAACAGCAAAAAGAAGAGGAGGAAAACAATGAGGAAAGCTCATCCTCGATTTGGAGTCAAGAGAACACTACGAGATCAGAAACGGGATCGTGGGTTCGAGATTTTGAAGAAAGCACATGAAAATGTATGTTTAAATTGCAAAAAATATGATGAAAAAATGTTTATAGAATCAAACGAAATTCCGATGTCTCGATGATCGAGGAACACGAAAAGCGTTTCAAAAAAGTTCTCGAATGCATATTTTATTCTCGGATTTCGAACGACCCTGGGAAACTCCATTTTACAAACACACCGATTATCTTTCATGTGCATTGACTTGGGATGGAATATTGGCAATAACAAGTGATCGAGAAAAACGAAAGCATACTTGGAAAGAAATTGATTTGATCAAATTATTGACTGTTGCACCATCTTCGCGAGGGGCCATATTTGAAGTTGCAACTTCCGATGTTAGTCTGGAACAATCTGATGATTGTTTGGCTATTCTTGCAGTATTGTGAGTTTAAGTTGTGTTATTTAAATAACATTTGGGTTATTGATTTTCAGCTGGGTCGAAATCAATGGAATGAATACACCGACAAAATGTTTTGGATCAATTTTCAGAATTTCGAAAAATCTTCAAGTCAAGTTATTCGAAATGGTAAGTAGATAACTTCAATTTCAAATATAACACCTGATTTTTCAAATTTCAGATCGAAACCCCTTCAATGGTTGGATATTGCCGTTTGACTGATCGCAAAACATTTACACACGATTATCATTGTTTGATAGTGTTTCCGAAACAAGCTGAAGTCTCCGCATATCTTGTTGATGTAAATTTCCCTAAAACTTCCAATTCTGAATTTGACACATAAAAATTAATTTCAGGCTAATTCAATTAAGAAAATCGATGATGTTTTTGAATGGTTTCCCTCTTTGGCACTCACCAATTTACCTGGCGGTGCATTGAAATCTTCCTGTATGATTTGCAATGATTATCGATTCAGTGCAGTTGGTTTAGACACTGGTATTCTTATTGTTTCAGTTTGTATGATACAGGGAAATGTTATTTTAGATAGGTTAGTTACTTATCTTTTTCAAAATTTGTCTATTTTATATATTTTACAGTATCCGTCTCAAATTTGCATGTCCAATAACAGTAGTCGAATTTCTTCCTCAAGTCTCCTCTTCAATTCAACGTATACTTGTTTCTTCTTACCTTGGACCAGCTGCGATTTGGCGAATTCATTTGAGTGAAGATGAAAAATTACATTGGGAACAAGAATGTATTTTTGCCGAATCACAATATTATGATTCAGTTATTTGTGGTTGTGTTTATCGATTTTATCATGAAACACAACCCTGGATTCTACTTGGAACTTATTCTGGAAAAATTTTGCGATATGAATTGCCGCCTCCGTTGCCAAATGTCCGAAAATCGAGACAAATTGTAAATATGTGTGGAAAACCGTTTTTGGCGTTGAGAAACAAACCAATCTATAATATGAAACAAACGGGTCTAAATGAGATCTCTGTTGTCACTCAATTCGGATTGACTGTTCTTCAAGAATCATTGATTTCTCCTCGACGACTTTCAAAGTTTGCTTATCGATGGATGGAAAAATATCAGATTTCCAGATTTTGCGATAGACCTGAATTGTCGCAAGATTTTACCGATAATCTTATACAAAAAATAGAACTCAAATCTGAAAATGAGTTTAGATCTCGAGTCGGATCAAGTGCTTCTGTTGGAACATCTCGAGCTGATGATGATTATCAATCATTCACAAGAAGAACAACAATGAATTCGGTTTATCAACCAAGAGAACTTCGAACAGCTCCATCTGGTTCAGTTTCTTCAAGTAGTTCAAACTCAAAATTGCGACAACTTGAAGTCGAAATGTTTTATCAAGATGGTCCTTCTGAACAAGAACAAAGAAGTCCAAATAAAATAGCACAATCTCCAAAAATGGGTGCCATTCAAGAAACAAATTCACTTGCCGAACGCCGATCTTCATCATCAAATTTATTTCGATTTTTACCAAAAAAATCATCGGATCAATCACTGGGAAAAGTTTTCAAATAAGTTTATATTATCTATAAATTATTTACATTATTTTTCATTTGATTATTTTATTTTTTAATGGTTTTAAGATCGATCCAGATTTAATTATCTACTCATAAACAGCCTCAAATATTGTTTTCAACCAAATAGCGATTGCTGTTGCACCAGCATCTGGATGAGTTTGTGCTTCTGCAGAAGTATAACTTGCTCTTCCAACACTTGCTGTTTGTTTTGAAGTTTCTTGAGCGGCAATTTCAGCAGCCTAAAACATCAAATATTTTCAGTGTAGTTATGGCAAATCAAAGCAAAAATAATAAAAATGCCCATATTCCACGACAAGGACCACCGCGTTTCAAAAACTACAGGTTAGTTTTCATTACTCATCTCAACAGCCTTCTTCCATTTCAATTTTGTTTCCTCAATTCGACAACTTTTCAAAGTTTGAACAGCTGCATCTAGAGCATCTATCATAGTTCGATCTCCAGGTCTTGCTCCACCATAAATTTGAACAGATTCATTCGCTTTTTCTAGTCCAATTTGACAAACTTTACTAGAAACTTCTTCATTTCCAAATACTGTAGAAGTTGAACTTAGCATAAGTGCATATAATGCGCCACTTGTTCCACCAACAGTTTGCTCAAAAATGATGGCCAATTGTCGAAGAAGTGTTTGTGGATGAGAAAATGTTAATTTTGGCATAGAAGTTTGAATTGATTTTGCTGCCATTGAAAATGTACTTCCACAATCACCATCTCCAGCGAAAGCATCTAATTTGTTCAAAATCGATTCAGATTCGAACATTGCTTTTGATAGGTTTTCAATAATTTTTCGAAGTTTCTCTGGATCATGATTAACACCACTTTTCTCAATATCAGTTAAATCGGATTTCGAATTCATTTTGATTTGGCTGAATTGAGGGTTCAAGTTGATATTTGTCGAATTTATCCACCCCGGCGCATTAGTTGGATAATCTGTCAAAATTCAATATTTTAATATTTCTAATATCTTCTAAATTTCACCTAAATATTCCAAGATAGTTTCATCATCAACGTTCAGTATTGTTACACTAAATCCATGACCATCTAATGAAGTCATATAAATACCAGGAAAAATATCGAACAATTTCAAAGCTTTGTAATTTGAACCATTCGATAACTTCACCATTTATAATATTCATCTCAATTTGAGAAACTCCGCCAAGATTATTCACAAGAACCACGAAATTTCTGATTTTTCTGCAATTCCATTTTATTTCTTAAAGTGTTGAGAATATCCGAAACTATCGATTTTATATGAACATATCTTGATCGAATTTTTCCTGGTTCACCATGAATTCCGAGTCCAATTTCCATTTCATCTTCGTTTAGATTTGTTTCGGGAGCTTTTCCAGGAATCGCTCCTGGATAAAGTGATACTCCCAAAGTTCCCAGTCGTTTCCCGATATTTTGAGAGACATTATAAATTTCATCAATTGATTTTCCTTGTTCTGCCATAGACCCAGCAATTTTAATCATAAGAACAGCTCCAGCTAATCCACGTCTTCCAACTCGATTATTCGGATTATCAATTGCTACGTCATCTCCGATAGTTACAACTTTTACTTTTCCATCGAATCTTTCAGCAGCTAATCCAAAATTCAATCGATCACCTGTGTAATTTATTATAAATAAAATTGCACCTCCTGGTGATTTCGTAGCTTCTAAAGCAGCTTGAACATGTCTCGAAGGCGGTGATGCGAATACATTTCCAGCCACCGCCGCAGTCAAAAGTCCTTTCCCAATATAACCGGCTGCGTAAGGCTCATGCCCAGATCCACCGCCAGCAATTAATGCAACTTTTGATTGTTGATATTGTTGGATATCAGAACGAAGAACAACTCGATGACAAGTCTAGATATATTCATAATTAAATATACACTAATCTAACCAAACTCACCGGATGAAATTGTATTCCTTTGTTTGCGTAGACCAATCCGTTCAACGAATCATCGACAACTTCATCGATTTTATTCACAAATTTTTTGGACATTCTTTGTTTTGTTGAGACCTTTAAAGATGAGAATGATGAAAAAGGAGAAAAAACCTTGATTGATAAGATTTGATGTTTGTTGTTTTTTCAGAAATAATGGTTATTCAAATCGAGGAAGATATAACGGTAATGGTCCTTCAAATAGAGGATTTCGTCAAAACCATAATATTGCAAAGGTTAGAAAAAAGTCTATATGTAGATCAAAAATATTATGAAAATAAAAAAAATTTTCTAGGGAAAACCAATGGTGACTGTTGTTGATCATGGCGAAAATATACAGGAGAAAAGTACAATTGAAAGAATTTGTGAGTTGAAATTCTACATAGAAGATAAATTAATCAATCAGAGTTATTTTTAGTTGGAAGAAAGACGGTTAAACCGAAAGTTGAAATGATCGATTTGGAAACAAAGTGGGTTTTTTGAAATTGAATCACGTGAAATTTCACGTCGAAATTTAATTAAGAACAATTTTCATTTTTATATGTATTGTTGCAGCGATAATGATGATTCTTCCTCTGAAATTGTATGTCTGGACACGGAAGAAGTTCCAGATGGAATTCCAAGTTCATCAAATCCTACGGTAAACCACTAATTTGTTCCCCCAAATTGTATACTAATTTTCAGACCTCTTGCCCAAATGAATCTGAACAAGAAGATGTTGTCGAACCAACACCAACAATTTCACCGATTATGGAAAATGGTTTATTTTTTTACTAACAACAGAATTTTTCAACAAAAAAAAACAACAAACATAGTGCCTTTCAATGTTATCAAATAACGGTTTTGACAAACTGATAAGATATTTTTGCTATTTTTTCCAAGTTTTTCGAGTTTAAAATTTGTCTAGTTTCAATTTTCCAGAAGTCGAGGAGGAAGAAATTCAAATAATTGCCCAAAGAACATTTCCGAAGAAAACAAGTGTGGTAATAACAAGGAGAAGAAGTCAAAAACGACAAAAAATGGATCAACAGGTAAATTATACACAGATTTTGGATGTTAAATTGGTAATTTTCAGTTTCCACCTCCTTGTGTTCTTGATGGTTTGAACTTATATTTGAATAATCGATTTCCATCAAGTAATATAACTCGAAGATGGGTGGTTGTTCCGGTAAGAATATTTTTGATGAAAGTTTTTGTTTGAAAAAAAATTGAGATAAATTTCAGCAAGATCTTTCACGGATAAATTGCACACCTTCAGTAGAATTTACAATTTGTTCGTATAATGTTCTATGCCAAGAAACGACTCTATCAACCAGTTATTTATATCGCCATACAATGTAGGTTTTTAAAATAATTTTTATTAAAAAAGTGTTGAAAGAATCATCTGAAAAATGCCCTTTTTCAGAAATTCTGACTGGTTAAATTGGGAGAGAAGATGGCCGAATTTTATTCGAGAAATTCAACAAATAAACGCGGATATTTTTGGAATGCAAGAAGTTCAAGATGATCATTTCATCGGATCTTATACCCCATTTTTCAAAAATGGTGGCTACGCGGGTTTATTTAAACAAAAATCGGGAACAAAACGAGATGGTTGTGCGATATTCTATAAATCCGAAATGTTCGATGTTCTTGATTATTTACCACTCGATTATTTTGTGAGTTCTTCTGCAACTTCGAATCGAGAAAATGTTGGACAAATTGTTGTTTTCCGAGCAAAAGCAAACGGTGCTTTATTGATTGTTGCAAATACACATTTAATATTTAATGAAGAACGAGGAGATGTTAAAATATCACAATTAGCGATTCTTTTTGCCAATCTTTTTGAGGTTAGGACAAAACATATCATCGCAAATGTTTCTCCATCGATTATTCTTCTCGGCGATTTTAACATTGAACCATATTCTTCGATTTATGATTTCATTAAAAATGGTAAAATCCACGTGGCAAATGAATATGTTCGAACTTTGAGTGGACAAAGTAAAAGAGAAGGAGGTGCAAAAATCGATTATAATAAATTGATTGATAAAGAATGGGGAATCGGAATGGATTGTGTATTTAAAAATCGATCATGTAATCCGAAAAATGGAAATATTTCGCATCCATTCGTTTTCAAATCGGTTTATAATCATGGTGAAACAAGGGAAGGAGAACGAGAAATTTCGACATATCATAAGGATAAGGCAAATCCTGATTTCATGTTCTACACAGAAAATGAGGTATTTTCTACAGATTTATAGAAAAAACAGAGTTTTAAGTTGTTTTTTTTTCCAGAAAAATCAACTGGTCCTAACACATCGTTATCAACTTCCATTAGCAAATCATTTGGAAATTCTGACTCCCTGGCCAAATTTTTTTGTTCCAAGTGATCATATTCCATTATTAGCCAGATTTAAACTATCAAATTGAATAGTTATAGATAATAGTACTCAAGAATTTTACTGGTATGTCTTTCTATCGAATTCTTCGCATTTTTTTTGAATAGTATGATGAATAGAACGAAAATAAATGTTTTCTGATTTTGTTTTTGTTTTTTTTTCTGATCTGAAATCAGGTGACGTTCGTATGTGAACCTATAAAATATCGTGTTTTTGTGCACTTTTTTGAAAGTTCAACAAGTACTTTTTCAACCAAAAATAAAATGAAAAATATCTATAAAAACCACGTGTTTTTTTCTAAAGGGGCTAGTTTGTTTCTTCTTTTTTTCTTCGTATGTTTTGCCTGCGTCTCTTTATTTACGCCGTTTTCCATTTTCTCTCGAATCATTTATATTGCTTTTTTCGCTGTTTTTTGTTGCCCAAGTTTTTTTTGGTTCGTGGAATATTTTTCGTGAATGTATTAGAAAAAATCGGATTATTTCCAGAATTGATACATTTTTAACTTCTGAAAATTAATTGATTTTTTGTATGATGGAAGCTTTACAACGGACACTTGTTTCAATGATCTCTGTTATAGCAAAGGAACCTTTTTTGTTTCAAAAAGATACATTGGGAACTATTGATCTGAAATTTATTTTTTTTCAAAACTGCGAGTGATTAATTTATTTTCTTGTTTCAGAAAAAAATAAATTTCAGAACCCTCAATTTGAGAGCCTTTCCTGCATCATTTCTTTCCAGTGGAAAGTTTCCACGTTTATAATAAAAATTCCGAAAAAGTTATTTTTTCCAGAATCAGAGAACTGCTTTTCTATCTAGTTTAAACTTTTTTTTTGAAAACCGGAAATTTTCGATTTTGTAAAACTTCCCCCAACAAAAAATCAGAAACCTCAGTTTCAGCTTTGTTCACATTTTCTTCACATGAATTCAAAAAATCAACAAGGGTTCTTTGTTTTTTTTTTGAGATGTGGAGGAACTCGGAAGTTTTGAGTGGGCTGGCTAAAAAATAGATTTTTGAAGGTTTTGAATCAGTTTCTTGGTCATTTTGGAGTTCAAACTACGAACTTTTTTCAGAATTTTTTTGTGACAGGTATCATATCTACAGAGTACTCTGAAAATTCAGATTTTTTGAGCTACAGTAATTCTATAAAAATCTATGGTCACGTCGACTTGGAATATTTTTGTATTTGAAGTTCATTCATTGAGAACTTATACTTAAAATTTGAATACAAAAATATCAATAAAACTTTTCACAAGATTTTTTAAAATCAGGTTCATTTTTATTACCAACTTTGCATCTTCTTTTTCCTTCCAAAAATCTACAGTATTCAGCTGGAATTTCATCGTTAAGCCGAATTTCTAATCCAACCAATCTCTAGACATTTTTTTCCCACGTGGTTTTGACCTATTTGCTCTTTAGTTTCTCTTTTTCCCTTTCTCTTCTCATTTTTTTGTATTTTTTTCAATCACATGTTTCAGTTTATCTTTTCTTCATTTATTTGATCATTTAAACCACGTGTTTCATTTTATTTATCAGCTCACTTTTTCTTGAAGTCAAGTGAAATGCATATTTTCAGAAGTGGAAGAATAATGCCTCGCCAACGTCGTCAAGGAATTATTTATGATATTCGTGAAAGAGGAACTGCTAGATTGGTTTTTGATGAAAAACGGACCAGATTTGAGGTTTGTCTGTTTTTTATAATTAACTCCAAAAATTTCACAAATTATCAATTTAAGGGTGTCTTGGAGACAGTTTCTGGTGAAACAATGTTTTTGAAAGGAAAAATTCCGGATGATATTGCGACAACTTCTGATGGAAATATTACAACAATGAATGTGGATGTTGTCGATGGAGAAGAAGGTTCAGTATTTCATGTGACTGGAGTTGAAGTTCGAGTTGACAATCAGACAGCGAGTATTGAATCGGCGGCTGTGAAATTTGATTCGGAAGATCGCATTATTGGGATGAAGTAAGATACCTTTACGGAAATTTTTAAATCCCTTCTCGAAAAGTCTGATTCGAAAACCTCATGTGTTTCTTTCTCCAAATTTTTTCATCACCATTATTTTAGAGCCGCTGTTGAAATTCGTCAACATTTGACACCAGATCAAGCTGAAGATTACAATGAATTATTTATCGGAAATATGCAAATTCATCTTCTAACCTCACATCGACCACCAACAACAACTAGAAGAGAATCAATTTGTGGTGAAAATAATGATATCAAAATTTTGGAAACATCCGATGATTTTTTGGCATAGTTTAGTGGATGCGATTTTTTTTGGAATTATTTAGGATTTTTCATTTTTTTGCATACTGGTGTTTTTTTGGAATTGAATGAACATTAAAATATGAATTTGATACATTTCTTAATAGTGAGAATCTTTTGAGAAATTCATCAGATGAATTTTATTCTTAAATAACCTTAAAATTCCAGAGAAATTTGCTCTGTCAGGAATTTCAGTTTCTGAATGTGTTGTGTTTATAAAATTTTTCTGAAAATTCAAACTCCAGTCGTCAAAAAATCTTTCTGAAGAGTTTAATATTGATTTATTTTTGATAATCTACAGTAACTACTAATGTTAGAGATTTGAGAAATTTTCACGAGATGTAAAGAGGAAACAAAGTGGTATCCGAAAAAAATTCCAGGAATAGTAGTTTATTGATCAGTCAAAAAATTCAAAAATCATATCATTGTTTGATTTTTTCTAAAGACATTTCACTTCCGTGATTGGCATAATACATTTGTTGTAATTCAAAAGGCGGTGTTTTAATATCGTAAAGATATTTAATCCTTTTAAAAATATTTGCAGTTAATTTTTCAGCAATCCACGGTGCAATATGAGTTTGTCTCCAGGGACCATGTTCCAACATTCTTTTAACTTGTAATGGAAAAAGATTGTGGAATATATTTCGATAATGTCGAACAACAGCAATTCGATAATTAACAACTGAAATTTTTGATTCATCATAAACTGCTGGAGGATGATGAATTGACATCAATGCTATTTTTTCGGATCTAATTATACATTTTGGTTGTTTCCACGTGTCAGTTTTTGTAGAAGTGTTTGTGAATTTTCGGAAAACCATGTTGTCTTTTAACTCTGCATCATTTGTGTATTTTGCAGGAGAAATTTGATCTTTGATAACCCAATCAACAGAAAAATGTAGAGTTGAAACATTCGGAGTTGTTTGGCTGAAACACAATACAGTTTTTGTACTGTTGAAATCTGACAAGTTGGAATCGATTTGTGACTAGTGAATTTCAAATTTTTTGCTGAACCTCTTCAAAAATCCTTATCAAAATGGATGTTTGTTACTTACTCAAGAAGATCGACAATGCGTAGATTTGGAAATTTTTTCATCTCTATTCTTTCATCAATATCCAAAAAAGCCGTCCATTTTGAAAAATATTTACTTCGGAAATGACAATCCTGAACGCATCCATTTTTTATTAATTAGAAAGTTATTGTTATTGAGTTTTTTGTTAATATTTAAGAAAACATAATAAAAAATCAATTTTCTGTGTAACCTACCATCATAACTCACAAAACATTCCTAGACCAGATATACACGCTGATGACTTCTCGTGAGCTGCAATGTTTTACCATACTTCTATCAACTCACATCATTTGCGCTAATTTCAAAAACGGTTATCAAATCTGTACACGAGATTATCGTGGGATCCATTCGGCACACGCTGCCTTTTTTCAAACACTATCAACATTTCTACAGTACTCTTTGTAGAAACATAAAACTTGTTGTGTTAATTTACGAATCCTGATACAAATGTCTGTCTATTTGAGAAAACAACTGCCACAGATTATCTTATTTTTGATCAGATCAGAACACTTTTTAAAATAGTTTTTTTCACAAACTGGTTCAAGTTGAAAAAATATCCTTAAGTGATGGAAAAATTTCAAAGTTGACTAGACACATTATCAAAATACATTTTTGTATCATTTTTTCGTATGAACTTTTCTCAATCAATATCTTAATCTCGTTATCAGTATCTCAATATCAGTTTATCTTTTTAAGTGAGTTTCGTATGGAACTCACATTTATCTGAACTCTGTGCCACATAAAATCAGCTCTCCAATAATGATCATGAACCTGTATCAATTCAACTTCTCCAGTTCGAACATAATCATCAAGAAGAACTCTATCATATTTCGATACATTTTTCACATAAATGTGAAAAAAAGTAGCACCTTGAAGTTTGAAATATTCAATAAAATCAGCTATTTGCAAAAATTTTTGTTCTTCCCCATAAAGTGGAGCCAAACAAACAGTGAAATAATGTGGAAGTTCTGAAAATATGAATTCATGAATATTACGATTTCAGTACGAAAGTCTAAATACTTTTTTTGTTTCTTCTAACAAGTTTTATTGGAAATTCAGCTTCATCGTCTAAGTTAGCTGTAATCGAAATATATTCAGCCCCTTTTCTACGACCACAAAAAACTGTTGATTGTGGAAAATGGCGTGATTCATAGTGTTTTCCTTTCATTTCTCTCATCTTGCAATCATAATAACGGCAATATACAACATCTCTGAAATGTATTGTTTTACCACAAAATTGGTTGATTCATTTTCATGCCCGAACTGTTTTGTGAAAATAATTCGCAGATTGAACGAAATACCTTTTTCCCTAAAATACTTACGAAAAATTTCTTTCAGATGTTAACGTCACCACAATGTGATCTGAATAAACAAATGCTGAAAAAGGGCTTGGCGATTCATTGAACAATATGTCTGCTCTTCCAAGTCCAGAATTCATCAATAAATTATGATAATCGTGATTTGGTATAATGTTGGTTTCAATGTTGTTCCAACTTTCAATATTACACTCATCACTGAAAATGAAACACAAAATTGATTTACAATCGACTGTCTAAAAAACTAACGAGTGAAAGAAATCATCGGTGTGAAAATCAGGAGAAGCTCCTTTCATAATATTTTGATGAGGTTGAACAGCCAGAAAATAATCAATCGAACTTTTGTCACCAGCATTCTCATTGTCAATAACATTTCCCAGAAAAGATTTGCGATTATTTGGATTCATTTTGAACCTGCGAAATATTTCAAGAAAAATAAGCGCAATTAAAATCAGTATCAGAAATTGTCGTTTTCTGTGAAACATGTTCGAATAATTTGGAAATACTAATTGAAAATATCCGTTTGAGAAAACTTTTATTATTATTATAATTATCTAATTTTTGGATCAGATCAAACTTTAGAAAGAAAATTTTTAGAACCATTGTTTTCGCAAACTGGTTCAAGAAAATACAAAGCGTTTTTGAAGAATACAAGGCATAAACTGTCAGGTCCGATTCAGAATATTTCTTTCAAAAAATTGGACCCTTGTCCGATTCAAAGTTTTTCCGGAATAATGTGTATCAAAGTTTATAAAAATAACTACAGTATTTTTGAAATACTGTATATACAGTATTCCAAAAGTGTATAAATTTATTCTTGTTGTAACTTTTGGTTTTAAAACATGTTTGTCTTTTCGATTCCGAAAATCTGTCGAGTTTACTCATTTTGACAAAAAGTTTTTATGTAGTTTTTTGAAAAACTTTCGATCTATGAATTTTTATGACCACTGTTTTTGTATTTTCACGTCATCATTTTGTGTTTAGTTTATGATTTTTAGAGACGCAGACACTGGTACAAACTTTCCCATTCTTATCACAAGATATTTATTTATTTTGATTATTCGATTCATATAAAAAAATGTCTGAAGATCGTCGAGTTTTGATTGCTTGTCTTGCTGGATCTTTTTTTGTTTATCATGTGAGTTGAATCAAATACTTAAGTAAAGTACTTAAAGTACTTATATTGAAACAACGTATTGCATTTTAAGACGGCGAAGAAAAATCATATCTCTGCGATCTCGAATGGAAGAAAAATGGATTCCTATCGGAACTGTCAAATGTTTGGATATTTATCCAATAAAATCTTGTGCTCCTCGAAATGTTTTCAGTTTCAAATGCACTTCTCACGGCGCAGTTTTTCAAGGTTATGAAGATCGCTCATTTTTATTGGTCAATGGAAAAACTGGGAAATTTCTGACTGCTCGGCAACATCCGAAATTAGTCAAAGTTCAATGTGAAATAAGAGATGACATTGTGAAAATCAAGTTTCCTAACTCCGAAGAAATCAGTTTCAACTTGAATGGAACTGGAAAGATTATCAGAGCCACGTGGGTGTTTTTCCCCAAAAATTTATTGCATAAAATCAATACTTTTTAGACTATTCGATGACTTGAAACAAGATGGTTATGATTGTGGAGATTTGATTGCGAATGCATTTTCAGAATATCTCGGAGAATCTGATATTCGATTGATTTATCATAAACCTGGAATGTATACCGAGAGAACTACAGTACCAGAATCAAACTGGTGGAATAATCCAGTTCCAAAGCGAAAAGATGATGTAAAACATTATTTGAATACAATAATTCAACATGATGTTTTTCAGGCACGATTCAATGATCTTGCTCCATTTATGATAACAACTCAATCATCTTTAGATGCTCTCAATGAAAAATTGGAGAGCAAAGTAACAACAAGAAGATTTAGGCCATCAATTTTGATTGATGGTCCTGTTGAATGGGACGAAGACAAATGGGCTGAAATAAAAATAGGAGATGTTCGGTTGGAATGTTTTGCACCATGTACAAGATGTGTTTTGACTACTGTGGATCCGGAATTGGGAGTTATGAATCGAGATGTTCAACCATTGAAAACTTTGAGAGAGTAAGATTGTAAACTTCGAAATAATCCTGGATAGTTTTGTATTTAAGATTTCGACTAGCTCCAGAGGGAAAAATGAGAGAAGCTCACAAAGAAAGTCCTGTATTTGGTGTTTACGCTGGATTGAAAGATTCGTCAAAAGAGGTAAAAATATGATTCTATCAATCAATATTTACTTATGCTGTTTCAGAACTACATTCATGTTGGTCAGACTGTTTATGCGCGCTACAAGCCTTCCGCGTTTTAATTGAAATGTTGAATAAATTTTATATAAAGATTTGCATTTATTGTTACTAATCTATGTAGATTTACATAACTTAACATCATAAAACACCTGAACAACGGCTCAAATTGGAAAAAACTCGCCTGTCGCGACTACTGTAGCGAGTTTTCGTCAAATAAAATGCTTGCGTATGCCACGGTGTTTGCACATTCTAATGTCATCGTTCGAATTTTTATTTTTCTTTTTCGCGTTTTTTCGTGTTGTTTGTTGGGCGCCCAGGCCTTTCTCACAAAAACATTTATTTTTTCAGGTTACAGTTATGTTCCGTAATCAGTACGACAGTGATGTTACAGTCTGGAGTCCACAGGTTTGTTGAGAGATTTTTTCCTACACATTCTTGAGGTGTTTTTTCCAGGGGCGTCTTCATCAAGTCGAATATGCTGTTGAAGCAATGAAACAAGGTTCAGCAACTGTTGGAATTAAATCAGAAACTCATGCAGTTATTGTTGCATTGAAGGTAATTTGAAAATTCCGGACCCCCTTATAAACAATGTTCAATCTTTCAGAGAGCTCAAAATGAGTTGTGTTCTCATCAAAAGAAAATTTATGAAATTGATACACATTCTGGAGTGTCAATTGCTGGTCTTCTTTCTGATGGTCGAATCCTCGCCAGATTCTTACAAACTGAATGCTCCAGTTGGCGATGGGATTACAAATTGCCAATCCCAATGAAGAAATTGGCTGAAGCTATGCAATTGAAATTACAAGCAAACACTCAATATTATGGCAGACGGCCATTCGGAGTTGGACTTCTTGTTGCTGGTTATGATGTAAGTTTGATATTTTAAAACAGCGGGGTTACTTATTAAACTTATAGAAAGATGGAGCTCATATTATTCAAACCGATCCATCAGCTGAAGTTGTGAGTATGTTGGGAACATCAATCGGATCGCGTTCACAATCAGCTCGAACATATTTGGAACGTCATGTTGATGAATTCGAAAAATCAACTCCAGAACAATTGATTGTTCATGCATTGCTGGCTCTTCGTGATACTTTGCCAGCTGAAGAAAATCTCAGCGCACAGGTAATCTAAATTATTCATTGGAAAATTTCGAAACATTCTTATTCAGAACACTTCAATCGGAATCGTTGGAAAAGATATGCCATTCAAAATCATCGAAGATGAACTCGTTCAAACTCATCTCGACCAAGTCGCCACCCATCCAAGAAACATAACTGCACCAGGATCTGGCGCAGCTCCAGCAGCCGGAAGACAATCGCCAGCACCAGGAGGAGCCGGAGCACCAGAACCAATGCAACAATAAGTATTTTCCCCCGGTCGTTTTAATTAAATATTCCCCGATGATTCATTTATTTATTATTTATTGATTTGACTGCTGTTTTCAGCAATGAATTTTCTTAACGGTGTAAAATCTTTTAGAGAATAAGAGTTGATGTTCTCTAAGAAGTCCTATTTTCCTGGTTTAGTTCAGCTAAGGTTTGGTTATCAAATTTTTAGAATGTCTGACAGTGAGGATGATTATATGTCAGCTGATATTTTATCAGAAGTTAGTGATAAACCAGTTGGAATTGCAAAATCTCGAGCACATCAAAGACAATTAAATATTCATGCAAGATTTGAGGAAACTCGAACAATTGAAAAACCAAAACGCCAAACTTTGGCTGAAAAAGAAAAAGAACGTCGAGAAGAAGCGCTGGCAAAACCAATCAGTCACGAATCAAAAGGATTTGCATTGATGGCAAAAATGGGCTTCAAACCTGGAATGACATTGGGAAAAAAGAGAGAAACTACAGAAGAACATGAAGAAAGCGAGCAGAAACGATTGAAAATCCCAATTTCTATTGAAATAAAAGAGGGTCGAAAAGGATTGGGTCATGAAAAACAAGAAATCGCTGTGAGAAATGAAAAAGTTGAGGCGGTTATGAGAAAAATGAAAGAACAAGCAGCGAAACATGAAGAACTCATTGTTGACTACAAAATTCGACGAAGACAAGAAAGTACTTTGAAAGAAGTATTGAAAGATGTTTGGAGCAGTCGAAAAGTTTGTGAAGAATTAGATCATCGATTAGGGACCAAAATACCAAAAATTGGATGGTTTTGGAGAAGTTATGCGGTGAAAACAGATATTGATGATGATTGTGATAAACCTGGAACAAGTAGAAGATTTGACGAGGAGCAGGAAGACAAAAAGTGGGTTTTTTGAGATTATTAGCAAAGATTGTGAATATTTCTGTTTAAAAATAACTAGAAAGAGTGTCGTTATAAATACAAAGTTTTTTAGAAATGACAAAAAATGACCGTCCCGAATGTAACTCACGTTAAAAAAAACTAGAAATGCTCGAATGCACAATTACATTTTTTAAATAATAAAAAAAAGTGCCACGTCATAAATAGTTCACGTCTCATAAAAATTACAGTATTTTTTCCAGATATAAATATTCGAATGGTCTCGATGCTCCGGAAGAAATCGATTTTACAGCAATAGATGAGGATTCTCTTCGAGATCGGTTAGTTTTCTTGATTCTAAAAGAGTTCAAAAATCTGAAATTGCAGGCTGGAGCAAATCACAAATTATCTACGAACAGGTCATTTTTATTGTGTTTGGTGTGGTTCGTTATTCGATTCGCCTGAAGATTTAGAAGAAAATTGTCCCGGTGACACAAGGCATGCACATCATGGTCTTGATTGAAAAATTGAAATAAAATCAATGAATTATAAATGTTTATAAAAATTAAACAAAAATCGATTAATTTTACAAAAGAGATCAATCAAAATGAATGAATATTGTACAGGTTTTGCGGTGATTCAAAAAGATTAAATGCAAATTTTAAAAGTCCACATTGCGGCGAATTCCACCTCTACCACGACCTCTTCCGCGTGGAGTACTACGATGGCTCGAATCGGAACGAACTGTTGAGAAACTACGAACCGATGAAGCGTCGTCGTTGAAATCATTCCGCTTTTCAGTGAGTGACGCGATATACAATTTGTACGGTTCCCATTGACCTTTTCCGGGGGCGGCTTCGGGATAAGTTTTGTTCAAGTAGCGCATACTGAAATACAATAATACATACAAACAGCAGGAAGAGATTATTAAAAGACTTACACAGCGGCTTTATCTTGAGCAAGAAGTTTTGAGCTGAATTCGATAGCGATTTCCAAGAAGAATAGATTTTTCGGTGGTTTATCGTTTCCTTTTGGTGTAGTGTCGAAATCTCGGAAAGCAAAATCGATTGCTGATTTATGGATGGTGGCAACAGCATAACGATTTTTACTGTAGTCAGAACCAAAAGCCGATGCGAATCTGGAAAATATAATAATATAATCTGGAATTGTTTTCCTCAAAATACCTTTTCGCCAAATCTCTCAATGCATTGAATGAATCAGACAATGGATCAAGTTGTTTCTTTGTCTCCAATAATTCTTCAAACATTTCCTGCAAAGCGGTAACCAATGTTTCCGCAGTTTCGACAAAATCAACATCTCTACATTTGTATAACAAATTATTGAAAATATCTCCAAAATCGGTGAAATGAGAGACATAATTTCTGACCAATGGTAATAAACAGCTGACTGGGAAACAACCATGAATAATCAATTTTGAGAATTGAGCAACAAGTTTGCGTTTTTTGTGCATCAATTCAATTTGTTCTTGTTGATCCAATTTCGAATCATTCTCCGATTCAGCAAATGCATTGATTTGAAGAAAAGCGGTCAATTCGCGAATAACAATTTCGTCTGGTTGAAGAACAAGTTGTTTAATTCGAATATTTATATCTGGAAAAATACTGTAATTTTTATGAGACGTGAACTATTTATGACGTGGCACTTTTTTTTATTATTTAAAAAATGTAATTGTGCATTCGAGCATTTCGACGCAGACTTTTAACACAGGCAGAGACATCTCTCGCCTTTCCTTCCCCCTCGGGCGATATATTGCACTGTTCGCAGAGACAGCAGACAAGCAGACACACACAAAACATAGCGCTTGGCCGCGCCGGTTTTTCGTCTGTCGCTGCGTTTATATACCTCATCGGCATCGCCCTTTGATGTGTTGAGGTCTCGCAGCGACTTTCTAACCGAAAATGAATGTCTGCGTCTCCTCGAATTTGTGTGGTGGAAAAACACGCCGAAAAAAGAGGAGATCGCATTTTTATTTTTTTTAATGCAGAAAAAAAAATTCTCTGTTAATTTTTGTTCACGCGAGGACAGGTTGGGCATATGACTCTAGGACATGTTCAAGCCATGTACGAGCCAGGACAAGTTTAGGCCATATTCAAGGACAGGACAACATGAGGCCATGACATTTTCCCCACCCCTGGGTGGCACGACGTGAATTCGTCGCGAATATTTCTTAATTGAATACGTTAGGGCTAATAAAAATATGGCACACGTTTCCTCACGCGTTGTTTTGTCGAGTATTCACACTCATTATTCGCAATATTTATAAGAGCTACTGATCATTATTTAATGTTATTTTGGCAAATTATCACTCTCTATCTTACTTTTTTAAATATCAATTCCACCTGAATTTTCTTATAGGATTATGTCATCAAGTGTTACTTTGCCCGCTGATTTTTCGAACAAAAATCTGGTATGGATTCCAAATGAAAAACTTGCATTGTCACTCGCTTTAGTATGCGGGGAGCCTGATTCAGTTGGATGGGTAGATGTTGAATCGATTGAAACCGGAGAACGCCTACGAATTTCAACCGATGATTGCCAAAAATCGAATACCGCGGAATATGAGAATTGCGAAAATATGACAATTTTTCCATGCTTGAACGAGCCTTCTATTTTGAAGAACTTGAAGCATCGTTTTGTATCTAATGTATTTTATGTAAGTTTCACATTTCGTATTCGGTCAAATTTATTCAATGTTTTTAATTTTCAGACATATTCTGGCCAGACTTGTATTTTCATCAATCCATATAAACATATTCCGATTTACACGGACTCTATTTCGAAAGACTATCAAGGAAAAAAACGAAAGGAGATGCCACCTCATATATTTGCGATTGCTGATGAAGCTTATAGAAAAATGATTTACGAAGGAAAAGGTCAAACGATTTTATGTACCGGAGAATCTGGAGCAGGAAAAACGGAAAATTCGAAAAAGATCATAAAACATCTTGTTTATGTTGCCGGAAATCGATCTGGTGTCGATTCTTCATCTACAGTAGAACAAAATAGAATTTTTATGGATACATTGGAGAATAGATTAATTCACGTCAACCCCATTCTAGAAGCTTTTGGAAATTCCAAAACTTCGAAAAATTATAATTCCAGTCGCTTCGTAAGTTTGAAAATATAAAAGGTGTGGTAATTATACTTTTTTTCAGGGAAAGTTCGTCAAAATCCATTTTGACAAAAATGGTCTTATTCTTGGAGCGAGCATTGAGACGTTTTTACTGGAATCAAGTAGAATAACAAATCAAGAACAAGATGATCGGACATTTCACATTTTTTACCAGATGATTCAAGGGTTGTCAAAGTCACAACGCGATGTTTTATTTATCAAAGATAAAGCGGTTGATTATGAATTCTTGAAAAATGGCTGTGATAAGATTCCTTGCGTGAACGATGCTGATGAATACCGTCAAACACTTCAAGCAATGTTGATGATGGGATTGAATGATGAACAAATAAATCAAATACATCGAATTGCTTCAGCTATTCTACTTTTTGGTGATTTGAATTTTTCGCAAGTTAACAAAGACGATGATCAAGCTGCGTTGGTCAACAAAAATGTTGCTGATCAAATCGCTGACTTACTTGGAGTCGATGCACAAAAGCTCATCGAATCGATTTTGAAACCAAAGATCGAAGTTCAAGGATCTTCCACACATCGCTCCCAAACCATTGATCAAACTTAATTTTCTTGTTGTGCAATCGCAAAAGCTTGTTATGAAAAGATGTTCAGGTAATTATTATTAACCATGCGCCGCATATCTGAGATAATCGACCCAAAAATTGATATTTGGGCTAAAAATTCGTAAAATTCTATATTTTTCAACCGAAAACCCTTGAAAACTTTAAAGTTCTCAGGAATTTTCAGATTTTTAGTCAATTTTAGATGTTTCTGGTGAAAATTTTGATAAAATTTGGAATATTTTTGAATTTTTTAAGATGAGCAATACTCCTTACCTCAGGGGCTAAAACTTTGAAGTTTCCTAATATGAACAATGATTTTTCACCAAAAATTTTATGCTCTTCTTGATTTTCCCAAAAAAAATGCAGTTTAGCCTAATCTCAGAGAATTCTAGAATTTTCTCTAAAGTGTTGCTTATGTTGAGACATTTCCTATTTTCATTGTAGCACTATCACTGCAAAAGTTTTTTAATAATTTGTAGGGTTGGAAAAACAGTGTATTTGCGTACACGGATACACGCGCAGCCAAATACACGAATACACGGTACACGAATACACGCGATACACGAATACACGGATACACGAATACACGCAATACACGAATACACTGTACACGAATACACTGTTTTCTTCTCTTCTCAAGCAATTCAGAAAAAAGCGTGTATTCGTGTACTGCGTGTATTCGTGTACCGTGTATCGAGCGCGTGTATTCCTGTATTTTTTTCCAACCCTAATAATTTGAAAAGTCCACGTAGAAATAAATTTTCAGAAAATTCCGATTTCCAGGAAGATTTTGGTGCCAAAATTAGTAGATATCAAAGTTCTGGCGCCAAAAATATGCTCAAATTTTCATCAAATTTTTTGATTCTGTGTCGATAAGTAGCAATTTTAAGCTTAAAAAGCATGAAAATGTAGACTTTCAAGTTTTTATAGCTGAAAATGAAACGAAATGTTGACGAATTGGGGGATTTGAAATAGGATTATGCGGTGTGTGCAACTAACGAATTTAAAAAAAAATTAATCATTTTCAGGTGGATTGTTCAACATATCAATAAATCACTCGGCCAAAGTCAATCATCTGTCAATTTTATTGGAGTTATTGACATCGCTGGTTTTGAAATATTCCAAAAAAATTCATATGAACAATTGCTCATCAATTACACCAACGAAAAGCTCCACCAACTATTCAAAGATACAATGTTTGTTGAAGAACAAAAAGAATATCTCGATGAAGGTCTCGAATGGAAGTTTATCGACTTCGGTTTAAATAGTCAACCAGTAATTGATTTGATAGAAAAACCGAATGGAGTTCTAGGAATTCTGAATGATGTGTGTCGTTTCGGTCGTGGAAATGATAAAACATTATCGGATAGACTCAGAACTAGTCATTATGAGAACTCAAAATTCATTGATCCTACTTCAAAAGCACTACATGATTTTTCGATTGTTCATTACGCCGGAGTTGTCGATTATTCTGTTGATGGATGGACAAATAAAAATAATAGTGGAATAAATCAATCGGTTGTAGAAATTTTGGCAAATTCGGAAAACGAAATAATGGCTGATATTTGGAGAAATTCGCCGATCTCTTCCATGACAGACGCAAATGGTGGAAAAGAAACTGGGCATTCTTGTCATAAAACAACGCATCATACATCACTCAAAACTGTTGCCCAAGACTACAAACATCAATTATCTGATCTTATAACATTGTTATCCAAAACAAAAATTCAATTTGTTAGATGCCTGAAACCGAATTATGAAAAAGTTCCCGAAGTATTCGATCCTCTTTTGATTCTGGAACAAATACGGTGTAATGGAGTATCTGAAGCAATCAAAATAAGCTGCGAAGGCTATCCCACAAAAATACCCATCCACGATTTTTATGAACGATATGGAAAATGGTTTTCAAATAGAAAACCAAGTAACTTGAAAAATGAATCTGAATTTCCGAGAAGATATTCGCTCATGAAAAAACGATTGAAAATCTGCAAAACCTTTTTGATAAATCAAATGAAAGGTATGATGAACTTCAAGAAAATTTTCGAAAAGCTCGAGAGGATTTTTCGACCCAAGTTGAAGACCGTGATTTGGAAGAAACAGAGAGACAGGATTATTGGAAACGTGAAAAACAGAGGTTGGAAGAAGAGATCGAAACCGAAAGAAAAGCAAAAGATAGTATTTTTAATAGTCGCAAACAATTGGAAAAGAATTTTTCTGATATGAATGCGAAATTTACTTCATGTCAATCCGAAAATGAAATGTCTAAAAAGACATTGTGGATTCTGAAAGAGTCAAACTCCAATCTCAGAACTGAAATTGGAGAAGTCAATGCAGAAAAAGATGGATATTATGATGAAATTGCGAGTTTGAAATTGAAAGTTACCGATTTGGAGCAAAAAGTTGAGCATTCGAAAAAATTTAATGAAGATTGCGAGAAAGAAAAAGAAAAGCTGGAATCCGAAAAGAGGCAATTGGCTGTTTCTGTTGAAAATTATCGAACACTTATACATGGATTAGAAACTAAAAAGAAGGAGCTTGAAAATGAGATAGAAGTGGAAACTTTGAAAAATCGAAATGAATCCGAAAACAAGAAGAAGATTGAAAGAATTCAGAAAGAATACGATGAAAATAGAAAGCAATTGAGAAAAAGAGAAGAAGAGGCTGTTGAAAAAGAAAGTCAATTGAAGATTCTCAAAAATTCCGTGAAAGCTGCAAGTATGTTTTTCAAACAATTTTGAAAAAATTTATTCAATATGCTATTTTCCAGATGAAACCATCGACAGTCTTCGAAAAAAAGAAGTTGAGGACCAGAGAAGATTGCTAGAGTCCAATATTTTTGGCTAAAGAATCGTCTCTCGAAATTATTAGATATCAAGCTGAAAATGAAATCGTTAAAGCGAAGTATGAGGGAATTAATGAGAGGTTCACAAAACTTCAAAGTGCACAAGTAGAAGAAAAGAACAAGGTAAATTAAAATAAATTTATGAAATAGCTTATGATTTTTTTTGCAGTTGGATGATGCAAGAAGACAAATAAGGCGTTTGATAAGTGAAAAGGACATGTTGAGAATGGAGAAGGAATCATTGCAGAAGATGTTCGACAAACTAAGACAATCAAAAAACATGTGATATAATTTTTTAAAGATAATTTTTATGTATAATTTAATTTAAATTTTTTGTGTATAAGAAAAATGTCTTGGCAACCCCGCCTTTTTGCATCCATATTTTTCGTTGATAAATTTTATATGGAATAATTCCTATGAGTTTTGTTGAATCCGCTTCTTTGTGGCCATAAATCGCAAAAAAAATTTTTTCGCATGTTGATTCATCGCATATCAGAGTTCCAGCAGTCGCCATTGTTGTTAATCGTAGAGACAACATTTCATCCAAGTTTTTCAATTGAGCAATGACCACTTTTTTTTATGGTTTTGGGATCCAGAACTGTTCTGATTTCAAACATATCAACTTTGGCAAACATTTTTTCTAATCTTTCGATAGAATTTCGAGACGGAAAAACGTCGAATTTCAAAAGATATAAGGGCCCTGCAATCTCAAAAATTTGATATATGAACATTATGAGCTACTTATAAGGAGGAAGAAAAACAAGAAGTATCTTTTCTTGAAGTCATCGAGAATTATGAAACAAATGTGAAACATTCCATACTTTTCGAGAATTTATTTTCTGCAGAAAGATTCTGAATTATTTGATTTTCTTTTAAAAATTTTCTTTTTTTTCCGGTTTTTTTTTGTTTTCAAAAAACTAGTTAGTTTTTTATTAAAAGTTTATTAACAAAAAAAAGCAAAGAAAAAAAGATGATAGAGCATGCCGAAGTCTTCGAAGTCGTAGTTGCCAAAATGATGTGTCGACAAGTGTGAGTTTCCACCAATTATCATTGAAATTCTGTAAATGAATTCGTTTTGAATAGGGAAGGGAATATTTCAAATCTGAATCTTTTTACACTATGTAAAATGGATCCAATTTTCGCCAAAAAAATTCACGTTTTTTATTTTATTTTATCCGAATCTTTTTACATTATGTAAAAAGATTCCGATTTTTTACTATTCAGAACAGTTTTTTTTACTATTCAGAAACAAAATGATTTCAAATAGGAAGAAACTACAGTAACTGCAAATTCGATCAAACAGAAAAAGTTGTCTTACGATTCCTATTGACAATCCGAAATTTTTAGGTTTTTGTAATAGGAACCAATAGTGTCTAAAAAATCAAGAATTTCCTTGTTTACTGTCAATACAAAAAATCAAAGCAGCTGCAAAGACTGTACAAATGACTTTTTCTTCCATGGCTTTTCGGATTAGCAATATTTACTCGTAGAGAAAACCTTTCACTCACCTCAATTTGAGAAAAAACCGCCAAAAAAATAAAATTGAAATTGCGAAATGGAATAAATTGAAAAAAATCGATTAGGGAACAAATTACACAAAATTGGATGGTTTTGGAGAAGTTATGCGGTGAAAACAGATAATGATGATGATTGTGATAAACCTGGAACAAGTAGAAGATTTGAAAAAGAGCAAGAGGAGAAAAAGTGAGTTTTTTGAGAATTTCTAAGTATGAAAAAAGGGCCGTGAGGAAAAAATGACAACCCTGAATTTAACTCACGTTTTTGAAAAAAAAATTATGCCTAGGCAGCTGACCGATCCTTTTTTGAAATTAGAAATGCTCGAATGCGAAAATTTATTTGGTGGAGCACCAAATATTTAAAAAAACTGTCATGTCATAAATAGTTCACGTCCCAAATAAATTCCAGTATATCTATTTTCCAGATATAAATACTCAAATGGTCTCGATGCTCCGGAAGAAATCGATTTTACAGCAATAGATGAGGATTCTCTTCGAGATCGGTTAGTTTTCTTGATTCTAAAAGAGTTCAAAAATCTGAAATTGCAGGCTGGAGCAAATCACAAATTATCTACGAACAGGTCATTTTTATTGTGTTTGGTGTGGTTCGTTATTCGATTCGCCTGAAGATTTAGAAGAAAATTGTCCCGGTGACACAAGGCATGCACATCATGGTCTTGATTGAAAAATTGAAATAAAATCAATGAATTATAAATATTTATAAAAAATTAAATAAAAATCGATTAATTTTACAAAAGAGATCAATCAAAATGAATGAATATTGTACAGATTTTGCGGTGATTCAAAAAGATTAAATGCAAATTTTAAAAGTCCAAATTGCGGCGAATTCCACCTCTACCACGACCTCTTCCGCGTGGAGTACTACGATGGCTCGAATCGGAACGAACTGTTGAGAAACTACGAACCGATGAAGCGTCGTCGTTGAAATCATTCCGCTTTTCAGTGAGTGACGCGATATACAATTTGTACGGTTCCCATTGACCTTTTCCGGGGGCGGCTTCGGGATAAGTTTTGTTCAAGTAGCGCATACTGAAATACAATAATACATATAAACAGCAGGAAGAGATTATTAAAAGACTTACACAGCGGCTTTATCTTGAGCAAGAAGTTTTGAGCTGAATTCGATAGCGATTTCCAAGAAGAATAGATTTTTCGGTGGTTTATCGTTTCCTTTTGGTGTAGTGTCAAAATCTCGGAAAGCAAAATCGATTGCTGATTTATGGATGGTGGCAACAGCATAACGATTTTTACTGTAGTCAGAACCAAAAGCCGATGCGAATCTGGAAAATATAATAATATAATCTGGAATTGTTTTCCTCAAAATACCTTTTCGCCAAATCTCTCAATGCATTGAATGAATCAGACAATGGATCAAGTTGTTTCTTTGTCTCCAATAATTCTTCAAACATTTCCTGCAAAGCGGTAACCAATGTTTCAGCAGTTTCGACAAAATCAACATCTCGACATTTGTACAACAAATTCTTGAAAATATCTCCAAAATCAGTGAAATGAGAGACATAATTTCTGACCAATGGCAATAAACAGCTGACTGGGAAACAACCATGAATAATCAATTTTGAGAATTGAGCAACAAGTTTGCGTTTTTTGTGCATCAATTCAATTTGTTCTTGTTGATCCAATTTCGAATCATTCTCCGATTCAGCAAATGCATTAATTTGAAGAAAAGCGGTCAATTCGCGGATAACAATTTCGTCTGGTTGAAGAACAAGTTGTTTAATGTGATTCGATTTCGCATTTTGTGCCATTTGAGGGCCAAACATGATCAACAAATCACACATTGATAAATAAGCTTGTTCGACTCCCGATGCTCCAGTTTCCAAAGTTTCAGTCAGAATTCTAACCAATTGATCTCTTCTTTTACGCAATTTTTTGACAGCATCCTGAAAACAATTGATTAAAATAAGATTTCCGAATTTAAAGATGGACTGAGGGCAAAAATGACCGTTTATGCAAAAAATTAGAGAAAAAACTCACAGCTTTAACACTTTCTCCTTCTTTCAATAAATTAAACAAATCAAAATTGAGTTGCATAAAAAGCATAAGAATCGCTTGTTCATGAACATCTCGTTTTGAATCTCCTCGATCATAATTCGAAATGATTCTAAGCATCAAATCCCACATATCCCATTGTCTCAAATCCATAAAACTCGAAAATGCCGAGATTCTTCGAATTGCGCAAACAAAATTCGCTTCATCTTCATCGTCGATTTGTTCTTCTTCAACACGATTTGCAGATCGGCGAAGTTGCAGAGCCATTCCATCGATGAGCTGGAAATCAATTGTTTTTTTTTTGAGAACACAGGGGAAAATTCAAACCTTCATTCTTTCGGCTTCCGTTTGTGGTCCAACAGTTGGATGAACTGATAATTGATAATGAACTTCCGCAACGCCGTGCAAAACTTCCTCATCAACATGTTTTTCGACAACTGCTTCAAGAGCTTTCATCAATTCATTGAGATTCTGTGAATTGTAAATTTTCGATAATAAAAACAAGATTTAGCACTCACATTTTGCATTCTCGAGGCCAAATACATATCTAATTGAAAATGAATTGCAAGAGAAACAAGATTAACAACTCGTTCTCGATCGGCAATATATTTCATGATAAGATTCGGAAGAGTTGGAATAAGAATTTCGGTGAGTCGAACTTTGTCTTCCATTTGTTCGCGACTTTCTTTTGTGGAAGGTGCTCCTCTTTTGATAATCGACCGACCAGTTGGACATTCACCAGTTGCAACTTGTTGAACACTGCATGCCAAAACTTCGATGAGTCTGGTTTCAATATCCGGTTTCACTGAAAATAGATTTTAAAAATTTTTGAAAACTATAGATTCAAATGAAAAATAAAACATACATTTATATTGATCATTCAAAAGCATTTCAACCATTGTTGCCCAATCTTTCACAATTGGATTTGTTTCGATTAGCGAATCGACCAAATAAGTTGCATGATCATGACATTCTCCTTCGATGAAAAATTGAATCAAATCCTTGATCAATGGAACATTATTAGGATTTGAAATTTTCGCTGGTTTTTCGGCGGTTTGGAATACTTTGGTGTTGAGAAATATTCCAGCAGCCATGGCCAATTGACGATTACTCGCATAAATCAACTCATAAACCGGAACACAATCTTGAACGGAAAGCAATGTTGGGAAAACTCTGAAAATGTTAATTTTTTGTTGTTAGATCATAATAAATGAATAAATAAACTCACGTGTAAATGGATTTCATGAGATGACAAGTTTCAATCGCAACTTCTTGATCTTTATCCAAAACCATTGAAACAAGACGTTCTTTGAATTTGTTGGTGAATAATTCGAGTTTGTCGAGGACTCCAGATTTTCCAAAAAGTGGCATGAGAGCACGAATGCATTTCAGACGAACATCGCCAACTTTATCATAAAGTGTCCATCCAATATATTTGAGATATGAATCTTCGAGGAAATGTTCTGGATAAACAACCATCCAATTTCCCAATTCAGTAATACAAATTGATCGAATATCTGGAACTCCATCACGATATCGATGAACAAACACACTTCTGAACAAATATTGCAACATTTGACGAACTTCTTCGGTTTTCTCCTCAATTTCATTTTTCTTTGTCATCAGTGCTTCGAGTTTTTCGTTTCCTGTTGAGTTTTGTTTGATCTTCGCTTTCTCGGTTTCGATTTGTTTTCCATTTCTTTCTTTGATTGAAACAAGATCAATAACAACATCTACAAGAGCTGATGAGATTTTCATGGCAACAAAAGTTGAAGTGTGACGGAATGCGCGAACTTGACTATCAGCGAGACCAGTTAAAAGTTGGATAATACTATCCATAAGTCGATTATCGAACATTAAAGAAGATTTGCATTTTTCAACCAAAGTGTGGAGGAAATTGTGTAAATTCAAGCGGAACTTTTTGAAAACCGCGCCACTTTGAATCAATGGATAATCAACTGAATCTTCGTCGAAGTCTTCTGTCATTCGACGAATAATGTCACTAAAAAACAAAATAATAATTTTGTATTGAATTAATAGTTGAACTTACGCATATTCCATTGTTGCCGACATTTGTGGTGTCAAAATACCTTTGCATCCACAGATTGAAATGAAAAATTGATGAAGTTCAGTGATAGCATGAGGATAATTTTGGTCATATCTCTCAATCCACTGATCAATAGCTTCTGGGATCTTCTTTCCATATTTAACAGCTCCATAAAGACCTTTATCCTCAGCTTCAGCTACTCCATCATCCACAGCTTTTCTTGTAGTTGGTCGACTTCTTACACTTCCACCTCCTCCAGGTGTTCCCTTTGGTCTTCCTCGTTTTGGCGGGGTGTTGTTATAACCGAGCCCACCGAAACTAGATGATAAATCAGCGACAGCATCATTTGCCACACGCTTCTTACGACCACGAGTTCCAGCCATCGGTGAACGGAACACCGCCTCTTCACTAAAAACACAATTTTTGAAAACCTTGAATTTACACCCTTTTTTCCTCACCCTTGGTTAAGTTCCGTATAGTTAACCGGATTCCGAGTTCTAGTTGACATTCTTTGAGGTGAAACATCAGTTGAAGTGTCCCCCATCGTGCTGAAAATCGGAGTTTTAAGCTGAAAACAGATAAAAAGCGGAAAAATCGGAAAATTTCAACTATCGCGGGAGTGCACATTTGCGTCGCAGTGTTTGCACACAATGTTCACTGGTGTTGCATACCGTAATTTATTCATTTTTTTAAATTTTTCCCAAAACTACCTATTGTTCCTGAATTTCGAAATATCTGAAAGTTTATCAATGCAATTACATGCTGATAAGACAGATAAAGTATTTTGAAATAGTTTGCTCCTTGATTGTTCCAAGATCTCTCAAGTTTCCGCTCCATTTTATGTTTTGAAAAAAAATGTGAAAATGAAGAAAGACTTAAGCAGAAATTTTTTAGTTTGACTGAGTTCACGTCTTAATTTCTCACGTTTTTGATACTTTAAATTACAGGAATTTTCATTTCAAAATTATATTACTTAGTAAACAGTCGTACAATTTTGAATTTCCAGCAAAATGGCAGACGCGGGTAAAAAAGTATCGAGGAAAGATGCTAAAAAAGCAAAAGCGAAAGCTGATTATGATAAACAAATTTTGTCGATGGGAGGAGTTGTCGATTCTCTACCCGAAGTTGATGAAGATCATCATCATGGTGAGTGAAAATATACATAGAAATCTTAATTGAAGCATAAAAATTATAGAAGGTGGTGGAATTGGATCCGGTGCCGAATTGGGACAACATTTCACTGTCTCACAAGCTTCGAAAACTACTCAGCAGTTAGCGCAAATCGAGAATAGCATGGATATTAAAATTGAAAATTTTGATATCGCTGCTCAAGGAAAATTATTGTTCGACAAAGCTGATTTAACAATTGTTTATGGTCGAAGATACGGTCTTGTTGGTCCCAACGGAATGGGAAAAACAACACTTTTGAAACATATTGCTGCTCGGAAGCTTGCGATTCCATCTCATATCGATCTTCTTTATTGTGAACAAGAAATTCAAGTGGACAGCACTTCAGCTATTGATACAGTTGTAAAATCAGACAAAAAACGATTAGCTCTTATTGATGAAGAAGCAAAACTCACAGCACAGTTAGAAGAAGGAGATACAGGTGTTACTGAACGATTAAAAGAAGTTGGCGACGAGTTACGTGATATTGGAGCTGATGCAGCTGAGCCAAAAGCTCGTCGAATTTTGGCTGGTTTAGGTTTTTCAAAAGAGATGCAAGAGAAACCATGTACCGATTTTTCTGGAGGATGGCGAATGAGAATTTCGCTTGCTCGAGCTCTATTTTTAGAACCAACACTTTTAATGTTAGATGAACCTACAAATCATTTAGATTTGAATGCGGTTATTTGGCTTGATAAGTAAGATTTTCCTTTTGTTTTTTATCAAACTAATATTGAAAATTGAACATTTTAGCTATCTTCAAACATGGAAAAAGACTCTTCTCATCGTTTCTCACGACCAAGGGTTTTTAGACAGTGTCTGTAGTGATATTCTTCATTTGGATAACAAAAAATTATACGAGTACCGTGGAAATTATAGTAAGTTGTTTTAGAAAAAAAAGTTTTCATCCATATTGATAATCTTTCAGCATTATTCAAAAAGATGTACGTTCAAAAACTTCAAGTTCATATCAAAGCTTTTGATCAACAACAAAAACAATTGAAAGCGATGAAAAAAGAAGGTAAAAGTTCGAAACAAGCTGAAGAGCAGATGAAAACACAAATAGCAAACAAAGCGAAAAAAGGAGCTGGAAAACAGAAGACAACAGCATCTGCAATGGGAGATGAAAATGATGGTCCACCAGCTGAACTTCTTCAAAAAATCAAAGAATATCAAGTGAAATTTGTTTTCCCGGAAACATCGAAACTCAGTCCTCCAGTTCTTGGTTTACACAGTGTTACATTTGGTTATGGAAATGATATTTTGTTTGATAATATTGATTTTGGTGTTGATATGGATTCAAGAATTGCAATTGTTGGACCAAATGGTGTTGGTAAATCAACACTTTTGAAATTGCTCATAGGAAAAATTGAGCCAAATAAGGGAGAATTGAGAAAACATCGATCTTTGAGAATTGGATGGTTTGATCAACATTCGAATGAAGCATTGAATGGTGAACAAACACCTGTTGAATTCCTTTGTGTTAAATTCAATATCGATTATCAAGTAAGTTTGTGAGAAAATTAAAATTCCCTGGTTTTTCTGGAAATAATTTAACGATGATTTCTGAATTGCCACGTCAGATTTCACGTTTCAATAAAAAATATTAATGACTTTTTTTTCTATTTATCACTAATTTTCGATAAATCCTTATCCTTGTTTTTTTTCCAGGAAGCTCGTAAACAACTTGGAACAACAGGTCTTGCCGCCCATGCACACACTGTTAAAATCAAGGATCTTTCCGGAGGTCAAAAATCAAGAGTTGCTCTATGTGATCTTGCTCTTGGAAGTCCTGATATCATTATTCTTGATGAACCCACAAATAATTTGGATATCGAATCGATTGATGCATTGGCTCAAGCTATTGAAGAATTTGATGGTGGTGTTTTAATGGTGACTCACGACGAAAGACTTGTTCGTGCTACAAATTGCTCTCTTTGGATTGTTGAAAATAAGGCAAGCATAACATGAGTGAATTTTTTCCAAAAAAAAAATGTTTGATTTTCAGACTGTTGCTGAAATTGATGGTGACTTTGATGATTACAAAAAGGAAGTTCTCGAAGCTCTTGGTGAATCTTTGGTTAACAAATAATCTGTTGGTTTTTTCTTTCATTTTCCGCTCGATTTAGTTGTTTTTCCCGGTTGGTTTTTTGATAATAAAATCTGTTTTTTCTTCTCTGAAAAAGCAAGAACTGGAACGAACGGATGACCATTTTGGCACAAATATTTACATAACGCTAATTGATATTACGTATGTCAATATAGCTATTTTTGAAAAAATGTGTGAGCGGAGAAACTAGAAAGTTCGGAGAGGAATCACCATATTTCTGAAAAAAAACTAGAAAATCTGGAAATAAATTAGCATATTTTCTATCAAAAATATTTCTTCATTCGCACAAGGAATAATTTGATATTCCTGATCCAATTCTGAAATTCGAAACTTTTTGTTAAATCCGATCAGACAACAAACAAATGTTTCAAAACATTTTTTTTTCTTCTTCTGCATTTTGGTGTTTTTGTCAAATGTTTTCGTCTCGCTCAACTCACAAATCGGTCTCCGCGCACCACAAAAGACTCCATACAAATATTGAAAAACACGAACATTTTGCGAAGAAAAAGATGGAAGATGAAGAATTAGAAGAAGAAGAAGGCGGGACTGAGTATTTACATCAAAACATCTCCAACTTCGTATATTTTCTTTTCCCAACTGCTGCTTTTTATTGTTGGCATGTACGATTCGATTGGGATATTTTTTCTAGGCGTCGTAGTTGTAGCTCAAGATGTAAGTTTTTTCAGAACTCTAGGATCTTTTGACTCAAAAGTATATTCAATATGATTATTTCAGTTCAACCCATATCCACCAATCCAACCTCGAGTTTCATCTGGCAATTTCATTCCACAGCCACCACATCAACCATACCCTAATGTTGATGTAAGTCTCTTCACATTCCCATTTAGAATCTACATAAATTCAACATAATTTTTCAGAACACTGATAGTTTAGACCTTTTTGGTCCTGATGAAATCGAACCACAATTCAAAAAAGTAGTTGTTCCAAGTTTTCCGGAAACTGAAACTGTTCCTGTTCAACCAATTGGCACAATTCCACCACCTCAAATTATTCCAACAACTGCAGTTCCAGATAATTCCTATGCTATTAATTATTGTGATAAGAAAGAGTTTCCAGACGAGACTTTAGCTGCTTATGGTTTGGAAAGAGTTGATTATTTTATCTATAATACATCATGTTCGCATGTCTTTTTCCAAGTAAGAACATTTTTTTGATGAACTAGAAATAGTCAATTTTTTTAGTGTTCTATCGGTCAAACTTTTATGCTTCAATGCACATCGGCTGATCAAGCATTCGATAAATCTACAGAAAACTGTAATTTTAGAAATGCCGTCAAGTTTTGTCCAGAATACGATAATGTTATGCATTGCAGTTAGTTCCAGAAATTTCCCAGAATTTTTTATTGAAACAATAAAAATCCTTGCAGCCGTTCGTGATACTTGTACAAATAATGAATTTGCATGCTGTGCACTTCCTCAAACATGTATTCATTTGAGTAAAAGATGTGATGGACATGCAGATTGTGCTGACGGTGAAGACGAGAATAATTGTCGTGAGTTTTGTTTTTCGCTGACATTTTTTAAAGAAAAGTTAAATATTGCAGCTTCATGTGCTCGAGATGAATTTGCTTGTGTTAAAGACGGGCATTGTATTTCAGCAACAAAGAGGTAAAAGCTTGGGATACTGTAGTTATAATTTCATGATTTGCGAGGTTAGGAAATATTAGTCTACATACATAAAATAAGACACCAAGACAATTTTTTTCTGAAAACAGTGAACATTTTTTTAAACAAAAATATATTCTGAAAATTCAATCTCAAGAATTAATTGAAACTTTATCTGGAAATTACAACCCAGAATTTAGATTCTCGAAATATAAATTTATATTCTTGAAAAAATAATTAGATTCTTGAAATATTCGACCAAACTTTAAAATTGTACTGTTAATATCGCGATCACAAAAATTTCCATACAAGTTGCCTTCTCATATTTCAAGCTATCATAAATTTCATTTCAAAAGTTCTTTTTTATTTCAGATGCGACGGAGTTGCTGATGATTGCGAAGATGGATCAAATCTAGACGAAATCGGTTGTAGTAAAAATACAAGTGAGTTTGAATTTTTCCCAAATCACTCATTGAAATGAATTTGTTTCTCTTAGCATGTGTTGGAAAATTCATGTGTGATAGTTCAAAAGGAGGTGTTTCTTGTGTTGATTGGGAATTCCATTGTGATGGAAATCGAGATTGTTTGAATGGAGAAGATGAGACGAATTGTAGTGAGTTCTTTTTGTGAATTTTTTTGATAAATTCAAAGTTTTTCTCGCATTCAGAACAAGGCGAAAAGCAGCGATATCTTCTATGCGAAAATCAAAAACAATCAGTAACTCGAGCTCAATGGTGCAATGGTGAACCGAATTGTGCAGATGGTTCGGATGAAAAATATTGTTATTGAAATATTTTATTTATTTTACCTTTTTTATACCCACACACAAACACACACGCACATAAATATTGAATAAAAAAATTCAACATCAACTTTGAACTAACATAAAAATAGAATTACCTATTTATTTGGATAAACGATTATAGAAAAGGGAGAACTGGTTGGTTGCCTTCTGTCTCGTGCAAAAAAAGATATTAAAAAATTGAAAAGTCATTTTGTTTGGTTGTAGAAATGATTATGTTGTTGAGATTCTGTTTTCTGCCAATTATGACTTTTGGTTTGATGTGTATTAACTCGACGAGTTATAAAGATCGATTGTTGATTGCACCAAAATCATCGGTTTGCGCATCGGATTGGTCACTTTGTATGAAAACTGTACAGATCAGCACGAGTGAAAGTGAGTTAGAGCTTTGAGATAATTTTTAAAAAATTTGTTGATCTGATATTTTTTGCAATAATTTGTATACGATTTTCTTTCCAAAACAGATGTTCTGATAAAAAATAATTCGCAACTTTGGAAGAAAAGTCGATTAATTTTCAGATATGAGTTGTTTTTGTGAAACTATCGGTAACGGGAAATTAGGATTTGAAGTGGTCTAATTGAGAAATCGAAAAAATACAAGTTGGCTGAAAATTTTTTAACTGATAAAATTTTTTCAATGACTAAAACTGCTAACAATTCCACAGTATCCTAGAATGACGAAAAAACTATAAACACTTTATAGCAAATAACAATTGTTGTTAAATTGATCGTATAAATATTTTTATAGCAAGATTTCTTGCATTGCAAATTTCGGCCAAAGTACAAATTTGAAAGTTTCCTTCAAAAACAAAAATAAATAGAAATTGATTTGGAATTCAGAAAAATTCACACAGTGTTTTTCGAAGAAAAAACCAATTATTGAAACAATTTAGACGGCCTTCCCGAAGTTCTTTCAATACATCGAGAATGTTATGAATTAAAACCGATCACAATCACAAATGATTGTATAGACTCATATGTTGGAAATGAGCCAAGAAGAACAGGTTTGATAGAAAAACTTTGAGAAAGTTCGAATAAAAACTTTATTACAGGACCTCATCTCATCACTTGTTATTGTTCTTCAAATTTATGTAATTTCTGACAGTTTGTTTTGTCTCTTCTTGTCAATTAAAAAAACATGACCAAAAGTCATTAAAATTAAAAACAAACCCGCCCACAATTTTTCCTGATCAAACAAGACTGTATTTATTTTTTCTTATTCTAATTTGTTTGAACAATTAGAATAATGAAGTTTTTAATGTTTACCCTACTGTTATCTTACATTCAAGCTGCAAAAATTCTAATTTATTTACCAAGGATGTTCCAAAGCCACGTGGCATTAATGGCTAATATTGCAAATTGTTTGGCTGAAAATGGACATGAAGTGGTAATTCGGAGTTCAAAAAAAAGAAAAAAAGACAAACCACAGATTCCTTGATGTACAAAAACTTAAAAGTGGTCTGACGAAATGAAAGAGAAAATTCTGTAAAATTCGATATAAACTACATTAGGTTGAAGGTTTTTAGAACTCGTCAATTTTTCTAAATATAATATGCTAAAAATATAATCGGAGATTATTATTCTTTCAGACAGTCATAGATAATATTTTCCGAAATGATATTGGAAATTATCTTGGAAATGAAATTTACGAAATTTTAAAAATTGAGCCAGGCTTGAAAACCACTGAATTATTGAAACAAGGAAATTTACCGCAACTTTTATGGAAGTCACGACCAGAACCAGAAATTCAAAGCGAGGTCAGTTTTCAACTCGCTTGACTTTCAGTTTATTGTTAGAGTCATGGAACAATTCCGATGAATCGCCAAAAAAACATTTTTCAATTAAATTTTCAGGTGATAGAAGATCTTGCACAACTTCAGCGAACTCAGTGCTTACACCTTATCGAAAATTCCACAGTCGTCGAACAACTTCAGAAAAGACTATTTGATCTGGCAATTAATGAAGTGTGTGATACATGTGGAATTGGTTTGATAGAATTGGCCAATATTAAAAAATCAATAATTATTTCATCAACTGCTCCGCTCGATGTTGTTCCATGGGCTCTCGGAATATCAAGTTTATTTTATGATGGATGTAAGAAACAACGCCCTTCACTGTGCAACTATTGATTTCTGGGTAACTATTGATTCATTTTCAGCGACTTTATCTGATTATGGGAATGAGTTTGGAATTTTGGATAAGATTCGGAATTTGAAGTTTGTGTCAGCGATGTTAAATTTTCATGAAATACAAGCTAGAGATGTTGAAAAAGCATTTCAAACAAAGTATGGACTGAAAACCTCATTTTTTGAATCGATGAGGAAATCAAATTTATTATTCAATAACATCAATGAAATGTCAGATGTTGTTCGAAGTACGAGTCGAAGAATGTTAGATATTGGTGGAATGGCATTCACTAAGCCTGAAAAGCTAACGGAGGAATATCAGAAAATTGTAGCAGATGATAGAAAAAAAGTTCTAATCTCATTTGGAACGGCATCACCATCTTCACTCATGCCAATTCATTTCAAGTCAGCAATTCTGCGAGCTATTGAATTACTTCCAGAATATTTATTTATCTGGAAATATGAGATTGAAGATGATTTCGCAAAATCTGCAAGTGGAAATTTGACTAACATTATTTTTCGGAAATATATTCCACAAACCAATTTGTTGAGTAAGTCTTTTATAAAAAAAATGCATAATACCAAATCAAAACAAAATAAAATTTTAGATTCTGGAAACATTTCTTTATTTGTAACACACTGCGGTCAGAATAGTTTGCTGGAATCTTTTAAAAGTGGAACTAGATTATTGGCAGTTCCGTTATTCGCAGATCAAAATCGTAATGCAAAAGCTGCAGAAGAAGCAAATCTTTTAGAAATTCTTCCGAAGAAACATCTAAAAGATTCAACAAAAATAATAAGAGCAATAAAAAAGTCGATGGAAGAAAATTATATAATAACGGATTCATTATACAAGATTTCAAAGAATTTACAAAATGCAAGAAATAAATCGAGAGATCTTGTTTTAAGATCAGTTCAGAACCTATTAGACGACCCATTCCCTATGGATTTTTCAAAGTTTCCCAAAAACTATCACCCAGATTCAATTCTACTGACTTTTTATACATTATTTTTTTCAATTCCAATTCTCATTTTCTCAAGAATTGTATTTTCTTATAATCGTAAATAAATGATTGATATTTTGAATCTTTGGTTAAAATTTTTTATTTCAATCGAATAATTATGAATGAATTGCATCTAACGGTCATGGGATACATTAAAATGTAATTCGATTATTGTTTTCGTTGGAGAAAAGATTCGGAACTGTACGATTTTGATCTTTTTAACTAATATTCAAATCTTAAGATTTAACATACTGGACTGAAACAAATGATAATTGTAGTTAGAACAATTATTGGCTCTTCTTCTTTTCTCATTGTTTGCCTCTTCGAAGTCAATGAGATGCGATGTTGTATTGATAGATTACCGTCGTTGTTTTTGATCTTGATTAGTTGTGGTTTTCTTGTTTCCTTTTTTAAAGCAGAATCCCGATAAGTTCATCTCAAACACATTACAGTAATCCAAGAACATAGAAAAACTTTCAAGTTGTTCTGATAGATTTAAATTTTGTGCCAAAACTCAATTTGAACAGAACATCCACATACACGTCATAATCATTACAAATTTTGGTCAGAAATTGTCCTTTTAATAGAAAAGAGTATCAATGAAACAAATCCGTCGCTAATCTTTTTTGCAACAATAAAAAATTATTTTTAATAATAAAAAAAATATTCAGAAGGTCTTCTCAAAGTTCTTGTGTGATACACAGAGAATGTTATAAATTGAAGCCTATGATTATATAGCTCTTGGGAAATAAGCCAAAAATAACAGGTTTGAAGAAAGCTTCAAAAAAGGTCCCAAATTTTTTTTACAGAACCTCATTACCTCACTTCTCAGCACTTGACACTGTAGACTGACTGTACAAATTTCGTTGATACTTTGTACGGAAACGGGGAAGAGAGAATTGCACATAAGTAACATCCGTTTATCTACAAAGTAGCTACAGAACAGCAACGGCGTAGCTACGGATTCAAAAATAATATTTATAGAGCGGTCACTTCACTTAATTTCTGTCCGCGAATTGTGTAGCTACAGCGTAGATACGCTGTACCTACGTTTTCATCTCTGATTGTGTGACGCTTGGCAGCTCTCGTCAGAATTTAAGGTGTGCGTAATAACGATTTATCATCTGCGTAGCTACGAATTTGATTTTTTTCGTAGCTACGCTGAAGATAAAATGTACCTACGATTTTCGGGAAAAAAGTGTAGGTACAGCGTTCATTCGCTGTATTCACACTTCTTCAATTTGTACAGTCAGTCTACAGAGTCAAGTGCTGAGTTGTTATTGTTCTTTAAATTTATGTAATGTCTAATTATTTGTTTTCACTTATTTTGTGATTTAAGTAACAAATCATGACCAAAAATCATCAAAAACAATCCCGCCCACAATTTTTTTTCTGGTCAAACTAAGTCTGTATTTATTAATATTTTTACATTCTGTTTTATGTTGTGTCAAAAATGAAGTTCTCGATTTTTCTTGTAATATTTTCTCACATTGAAGCTGCTAAAATTCTTGTCTATTCACCAAGAATGATGCAAAGCCACGTGGCATTCATGGCGAATATTGCAAATTGTTTGGCTGAAAATGGGCATGAAGTGGTAAGAATTTTCTCTCCCCAGAGCAAATGCCTGTGTACTTCTGATCATTAGAACAACTTTGTTTTTGTTTACGGGATATTTTTACGACGACGTAGAAAAAATTGATAATCGGAGATTAGGACATTATTGTTTTTCAGACAGTCATTGATAATATTTTCCGAAATGATATTGGAAATTATCTTGGAAATGAAATTCACGAAGTTTTAGAAATTGAGCCAGGTTTTCAAGTCACTGAATTATTGAAACAAGGAAATTTACCGCAACTTTTATGGCAATCACGACCAGAACCGAGAGATCAAAGAGAGGTCAGTTTATAAATACCAAAAAGGTTATGCGGCCTAAATTTTAAACTAGATTTATGTTGAACATAGAACAATTTTTTTTAGCTGATGGAAGGACTTGGAAATCTTCATCGAGTTCAATGTTTACACCTTATCGAAAATTCCACAATCGTCGAACAACTTCAGGAAAGACAATTTGATCTAGCAATTCATGAGGTTTTTGATACTTGTGGTCTTGGTTTGATAGAGTTAGCAAATATCAAAAAATCGATAATTGTATCTTCAACTCTGCCCATGGATGTTGTTCCGTGGACACTTGGAATATCAAGTCTTATTTATGATGGATGTGAGAATACAATTTCATTAATCTAAAATCGGATTAATTTTGCAGCTCTACTCTCTGATTATGGGAATGAGTTTGGGATTTTGGATAAAATTCGGAATTTGAAATTTGTTTCTGCGATGTTAAATTTTCATGAACTACAAGCGAGCGATGTTGAGAAAGCGTTTCAAATGAAATATGGATTGAAAACCGCATTTTTTGAATCGATGAGAAAGACAAATTTATTATTCAATAACATCAATGAAATGTCAGATGTTGTTCGAAGTACGAGTCGAAGAATGTTAGATATAGCTGGCACATCATTCTATGAACCTGAAAAGCTAACAGAAGAATATCAGAAAATTGTATCTGACGATAGAAAAATAATCCTAATCTCATTCGGAACAGCAGCAACATCTTCACATATGCCAACTTATTTGAAATCTGCAATTCTGCAAGCAATTAAATTACTTCCAGAATATTTATTCATTTGGAAATATGAGATTGAAGATGATTTCACAAAATCTGCAAGTGGAAATCTAAGTAATGTCGTATTCCGCAAATATGTTCCACAAACTAATTTGTTGAGTGAGTCAAGAAAACTTCAATACAGAAAAAATTATGAAACATTACAGATACTGGAAATATTTCTTTGTTCATCACACACAGTGGCCAAAATAGTATGTTGGAATCTTTCCAAAGTGGAACAAAAATATTGGCAGTTCCATTATTTGGTGATCAACATCATAATGCAAAAGCTGCGCAAGAAGCAAATCTTTTAGAAATTCTTCCGAAAAAATATCTCAAAGATTCAACGAAAATAATAAGAGCGATAAGAAAATCAATGCAAGAAAATCAAACGATAACAGATTCTCTGTATAGAATTTCGAAAAACTTGAAAAATGCCAGGAACAAGTCTAGAAATATTGTTTTGAGATCAGTGCAAAACCTATTAGACGACCCATTTCCTATGGATTTCTCAAAGTTTCCGAAGAATTATCACCCAGACTCAATTCTACTGTTTATTCATACATTATTTGTTTCAATTCCAATTCTCATTTTCTCGATGATTTTCTTTTTTTATACTCGTAAATAAATGATTGATCTCGCAATTTACAACGTGACCCATTTTTTTCAAAAAAAAAACGTCAGGTTTTCGATTCAGAGTGTCTCACTACTTGTTTTTATTTATGTGGGCTCTAATTATTCTATGGACAATATATAACACAATTGCTTCAGTATTATTAATCGGACAATATACTAATCTTATTTGTGTTGTATTTTTCTCTCCAATTTTATTAACATTACTATATTATATCTTGAAAAATTCAATAAGTTCAGCTGATAATCCGATAAAATCTGAATTTTTCAAAAATTTCAAATTTGGAGGACATCGTGGTTCGCCGGTTCATGCACCAGAAAACACATTAGAGAGTTTTAAATGGGCAAAAGAAGAAGGGGTCGATTTGGTGGAATTTGATGTTCATATAACAGAAGATGGTGAAGCAATTCTAATGCATGATGAGACAACAAAACGAACAGGATTATCAAATTATGAAATATCGAAAACTAAGTGGGAAACATTGAAAACAGTTAAATTGAAAGAAATGAAGTGAGTAAAATGAAAAACAATAAATTTGAATCTCCGCCATGGCGCCACGTTTGCGTCAACAAACGGAGTGTCGTTGTTTTATTTTTATTTTCGGCATGCAAAACATTTTTTTCTTTTTTTCCACTGGTGAACCAAATATACTTATTTTGATATCACATTTCTTCAATACGTACTTTAATTTGATCTACCTTCCTAGAAGAATAGTGCGCGAAAATTTTCAACGTTTTTTTCTGGCAAGTCCGCAGTGAAAACATTTTTTTGTCAAGACTTTGCCCATAAAAACGCGTTTTTTTCTTTTTTTTTCCACAAGAACTTTTGTTTTTTCAGCAATGTATCTTCACGAATTTGCACCCTCAGCGAAACCATCGACTTTTGCATGCAAAACAATCTCAAAATGCTTTTCGACATGAAAAACGACAACATAATTTTAATAGAAAAAATTGTGAAGGAAATATCAAGCCGGAAGATTTATCAACATGTTCTTGTAAGCAGTTTCAATCCAATGGTTGCATATCGACTCAAAAAGATGGATTTGAATATATTGACTGGTTTAACTTATGATCGATCATATTACGCATACAGCGATGATCATAGAAAAGAACCGTTTTCAAGTCATTTCTTCGGACATTGGATTAATGAAATTTACGATGAACTCAATATGATGTTTGCACCATTGTATATTCTACCAACATTTCTAGGAGTTGATGTTTTGATGATGAGTTATCAATTGATTTCAGAGTATGTTTTTAACAATGATAAATCAAAATAGGATAGAATATATAAATTGTTTTCAGGAATCTGGTGAGAGAAGCTCGCGAAAAAGGATTTTCTGTGATTGCTTGGACAGTCAACGACAAAGATTATATGAAACTGATGACAAAATTGAATATTCCCTTCTTGACCGATGTTCCTTACGAAGTCAAAATATCTGAATTGATCGGAAGTCGTGAAATTGCTTAATAAAGCTCTTCTAATTGGAAAATGAAAGAACAAAATAATACACGTAATTGAAATACAAACACTGAACATTAATCGAAAACAGTGTAAATATATCGTCGAACTGGTGGAATCACAATCTTATTGCCTTGATCGTCATATTCAACATTTTCCTCATCTTCATCTTCATCGCTCATATCTTCACCTGATTCATTTGGTTGGTTATAAACGCGTTGGCCAGTTTGAACATATTTGTCGGCTTTTGATGGGTAAGTTTGGGTTATTCTTCAAAAAATAATTATGAAATGGGGAAAAAATAATTTCAAATACCTATTAACCATCGAACTTTTCTGCTTCCATCTCTCCTTTAACATTTGTTTTTTATGTTCATCAACAAACAAAAATACAACACGATCTTCTAAAGATTGTGATTGAATAAGTCTTTTGACACCTTCTTCTTCATCTTCCACTATACTCATTGTGGCAACATGAGGATCAACTTGTCGAATACGATATTGAGCATCGATACTTCGTAACATTCGATCGAAAACTAGTTTCACTTTTGCCTGAAGTTTTTTGATGAAACATTTAGTAATGTATGTTTCCCAACATACCTGTACAATGGCTACACATAGTCCAACAACTGATAAACCAATAAGTGTCATTGCCAAATTGAAAATAATAAAGTTTGGAGTTTTCGTAACAACATCACCCAATCCGATAGTTGTCAAAGAAGTGAAGAAGAAATAAAAGGCTGTGAAATAGGTCCATTCGTATTCCCAAAGGCGAACTATAAAAGCCGAAATCACAATCCACAGGAAAAAGAAAAGACCAGCTGCTTTGATTGGAACTGTTTGAACTTGTTCACCCATTGGAACATCTACATCTAGAGGTGTTAATGGGTGATTCGATTCGATCTGAAAATATTCTTATATTTGGGTTATCATAAATAATCAAAAATAGTACATGTTGAACTGGATTTGATAGATTTGTGGTTGTTCTATGAAGTAGAGGGCTTGTGGAATTTAATGATAATTCACTCCCAACTCGGCGAATTCTTTCGCGGCGAACTCTACGTTGCATCTCACGTTGAAGACTTCTGAAATTTTTTCTCGGGCTGTACACATTCTGTTTCTTTTCAAAAATTGAGAAACTAACTTCTGACAGAAATTTTCGTTAAATCGATTCCAACCGTATTCAATCCATGTGAAATATAAAAATCCCCACTCCAATAAAATTGTAAAAACTAGCGGAATTCCAATACAAGCATACAACATTGAAATAATACGTCCACTTTTTGTTTCTGGATGAAAATTGCCGTAACCAATAGTTGTGTAAAGACTTGCTGAATAATAAACGCCTCCCCAAAGATTCCATTTAGTTTCTCGAATTTCAGGTTCTTGCACAAATAATCCGAGTTTGTTTTCATACCAAGTTAAAGCTTGTCGTGATTGTTCTAATTGATAATTTTCTTTTGTAGTTGTTCGTGGTACATTTTCATCTTGTTCAATATCGCGAAGTCTTTGAATAAGTTGTTCTTGATAATTATGACGTCGCTCAAAAATTTCTTTTTCCGTTTGATATTTTTTCATTAGCAAAGTTGTTTCATGTCCTCCTGAAAAAACAAGTTTAGAATGTTTATTTTCATGAATAGAAAATTATGCACCTTCGATAGCACTAAATACAACTCCACCTAATAAAGAAAACGCAAAAAGTATAACAAGCCATGCAATGTGTCTCCACATTGTTTTTTTTCTCGCATCTTCATTTGCAATCATTACTTTTTGTTTTTTCTCCTGTTCTTTTCTAGCCAAAATTTCTGGATCAATTTGATCAGGTTGTTCTTCTTCTTCGGTTTCTTTTCGCTTCTTCTTTTTCTTCTTTTTACCACCTTCAACTTCTACAATTACTTTACCATCTGCACCATTGGCGGCTACATTATTCTGAAATTTTATTGAATTAAACAAATGATCATTCAGAATTCCTGTTACCTTATTGAAACTTGGGAGACTTTTTGACATGACATTTCCAATATTTTTATTCATAACTTTCCATCGACTATCATCACTTTTACTTCTTTTCTCTTCCTTCTTTGCTGGTGTTCCATTTTTCATACTGAAAAATAAATAAAAAAATATACAAAAAGTGCAGCTGTCTTCAAAAAAAATGATCGATTGATTTTGAGCAAATTTTGTAGGTGGAAAGATCAAAACAGATAAACTGAAAATCAAACCAGATGTGCGAGAGTTTGGAAAAAAAATCGAAAAGTTTCGAAATTTTCGAAAAAAAGGCAGTTGGCGATTCTTAACACTTTGAAAATGAAACATGAGAGGGATTTTCGTTCAGTTTTCAGATGAGATAGTTCAAAAAATCAGAATCACACTTTTTAGAAAATATAGAAAAGGAGCTAGAATTAAGGCTGGGAAAAAAGAAAGCCAACACTATTTTGGGTTTATTCATATTATTGCGAATATGACCATATATATGTAGGTTTTAATATAAGTATTTCCACTATACATTCTTCGTGTAAAACGAACAAAGTAACAATCAGAATCAGAAAAAAAAAACAAATAACTACATGATAGCAAAAAATAAATGAATAAGAGAAATACAATGGAATGCATGACGATATACACTTTTACACTATATCTATCAGATGAAGAGATATATCTTGACGGAAGAGCAGGCAAAAAATAAAAAAAAGAAAGTATTGAGTTGCAGTTGTCTTTTTTTCAAAAAAGAAATAGAAAATAAAAAGAAGAAAGTCATATAATAGAAGTTTTTTGGTAGAGTAGAAGGATTGTTTTTTATTTGATGTACGAAAACATATGCAGTTTGAATGTTTGGCATTTTTTTCCGAAGCTATTTGTAGTTTGACCTGAATCTTTCTGAAGATTTTATGTGTCACGTGAGGCAATTGCACTTGATTTATTGAGAATTTTCGACATCCCCCAAAAGTTATTTTGCCACATTATATTTTGTTCACACAGAATTTCCGGTGAAATTTGAGAACATGTTGACATAGTCAGTGACCAAGTATCCAAAATAAGTTGCACCAATCACGTGGTTTTTCGAAATCTTTGAACACTTTTCTTTTATAATTATAATAAACAGTTTATTATATGAACAATCGTTAAAAAACAGGTGCAATAAATCTTTTGTGAGGGTGCAACAAAAATGAAAGATATTTCAGTGAAGATTATTATAATCGAAAAATGTGGTCCAATCATTCAAAACTAATTGAAACTAATTGTAATCGTTGGCAAGTTGAATAATTGACTATTTGAAAAAAGTTAAAAATTAAAATATTAGAATTCTACCCAAGTTTAGTGAAATTATATGTTTTGTATAACATATCTACAGTCTTCGACTCGTCCTTCTTTGAGGAAGCGCAGCTGACGAGCCTGAAAAACAACAATTGGTTTCAAGAAGTACCTGACAGTTACATACATAATTGACAAGACAAATGAAGATACGGACAAACATTGACACAAATTCTGAAAATGGACGACTTCACATAATTTATCACAACTACAAAAATATGTTACCTTCAGACAAAATCATGGCGTTTGCAAGTTCTTCGCCATTTGAATTGCGAATTGTGCACAAATATTCACCGAAATGTTTTTTGTCAACATAATTGATTGTGATTACACTTGATGTGTCTGTTGTGTTAATAGAATATCCACCAACACCATCAATCAATTCGGTTTCACCAAAGAACCAACGACATTGTGGTGCAGGTTGACCAGAGAACGAGGCGCGCAGCTCTGCCCGGTTCTTTTCGCAAGTTTGCACTGATATTGGTGATTCAGTGAATCGCGGTTTCTCGCCGTGAGTTCTTAAAAATAAAGTTAAATCGAGAAAATGGCATTGGAAAACTCTCTAAAAGCTTTTCTCTAAAACTTACTTTGTTGATCTAACAACATTGAGTTCAATTTCAGCAGTTGCTTGTCCTGATGCATTCAGCGCAGTCAATTGATATTTTCCAGCATCAGAACGGGAAACATCGGAAATTCGTAGGATGAAAGTGTCACCCTCGTTACGCATCGCATATCGATCCTCGTTTTGTAATTTTTCACCGTTGGAACGAGTCCAAGTGATGACCGGATCTGGATGTCCGATGATTTTCGCGCGAAGTTCACATGTAGCTCCAGGATCTGCACGGCATGTTGGCTCGTAGTCAAAGACACGCGGTGCTTCATCAGCAACCGATCGTTCGTTACCTTTAAGTATTATTGTTTTGTTGAGTAATCTTCTGAAATTTCATAACTCACTTCTAACATCGAGTTGCATTGTACACTTTGCTATTCCAAATTGGTTTTTCGCCTCAACCGTGTACTCGCCACCGTCTTCTGGGAAAACGTCAGCGATGGTCAAGAATACCTGAAAGGTATAAATTTCATCTAAAGTTCAATGTTAAAGATGATTTACCATTTTCTGTGATCTCGAATAGCTGAACGATGGCGAATCAACGATCGTGACACGATTTCTCAACCATCTGATTTGTATTGGTTCGGATGCCTGTATGAGTTCAGCAGCCAATTCAACGCGACTTCCGTCCAATACTTTTCGCACTGATTTTATGCGCTCAAAACGGAAAAGTGGAGGAGTTCCATCAGCAGCATTTTGGGAAGATCCTCCAGCAATTTCCAAGTTCATCTGAATGACAGGTAATTTTGCATATCAATACTCCGCTGACGCTAACTTACATTTGATGTTGCTTTACCGTGTTCGTTAACAGCTTCACATGTATAAGTTCCTTCATCAGCAGCAGATACGGAACAAATCTTAAGTGTTGCACATTCTCCATCATATGACATGATATATCGATCGGCTTGTGGTAAAAGTGGCACAGAATTACGGGACCACTGAATACTTGCACATGGATAAGCATTGATTGAACATTCAACACTTATTGATTCGTTTATTGATGTTTGTTGTTTTCCAGGCAGGACTTCAATGAAAGTTGGTGCTTTGGATTCTTTTCCGACTTTTTCGTTTCGCCATTTGTGCGGCAGAATCTTCTTTGTTTGGAAGAATATCAATCTAGAAAATTAATGTGGTTTTGTCAAAATGAGAAGCTAAATTTACCTCTGATGTACATGTGACAATTCCTTCATTGTTCGCAGCAGTACAATTGTAGAATCCACGATCATACATTGAGACATGATGAACTTCCAAATAATAAAAGTCTCCATCATTATAAATCGAATATTTGTTACCGGTCTCCAAAATAACTCCAGCCTTGTCCCAATGAACTTGTGGTATTGGATTACCTGAGATAGCTGTTTTCAATCGGAGAGATTTATATTCTTCCAAAATCTAGAAAAATTGAAGTGATTTTAGGCTACTGGTATTTTAAATTTACCTTTTTCGATTTTGGTTTGACCATAAACTTTGGTCGACAAACCCGTTTGTTTCTTGAACTGATTGCAGCTCGAACTTCATCGAGAGCAGCAGAACTTTCTGGTCGACTCTCCGTTGATGGTCGAGGTGTTGGTGACATCGGGTCTTCAAGTTTCAAACTACTCGCCAATGCTTTTGCTAGTCTTTCAGCATCATTTTTAGCAGTTGCAGTACTTCGATGAGGACGCAGCTTCCTTCCGAGTTTACCGGCAACCGCAGCTGATGCGCCAGCTTTCAAATCCATATCTTCCAAACCTTGAAGGAATTGGGGCGCAGCTCCTTTCTTCCTATGTTCCATTTTTGCAGCCGATGGAGATTTGGTGATCTGTAAACCAAGTTTTGTTTTCACTTACTAAACATTTTCACAATTGAAATCTTACCTGTTCTGAGAAAGCAACTTTTGGTTGAACAGTTAGCACTGGTTCAAGCGAGTGTTTGAATTGTGGTGGTTCGGCATGTCTTGCTTCTCCGACATTCAAACGTCCAGCGGTTCGCAGCACACCGTGGATATTCGATGCTTCGACATAATACATTCCGAGATGTTTCAAACTGACTGATGTGATTGTCAATTTGCTAGTTGTGTCAGTCGGAAATTCGATGTGAACATCGCGACCTTCGACAACTTTTTGATCATTGTGATACCAAACAAGATCTGGTGTTGGGTATCCGGCCAGTTCCACAGAAAATTCGATTTTCTCAGTAAGTGGTGTCCAAATATCTTGGAGACATTTGACGAATCTTGGTGGACCGGCTGGTTGGTCTGATAGTTCTCCAACCAAAAGGTAGCATTGAGTGGATGCTTGACCTGATGAATTTGTGGCAATACATTGATAAGTGCCACGTTGATCTCTCAAAACTCTTTCTGATTTCAATTCAGCAACTTGTCCGAATCGACACTCGATCCAACTTGTTCTTCCACTTGTTAGATTTGTTTTATTTCCAGTGTCATCAGTATAAATCCATTCGAGTTTTGGTTCTGGATTTCCTGTAACATTGCAACTCAAAGTTACTGGATGTCCATTAACAATTCCCATATCTATTAAAGTTTGAGTGAATTTTGGTGCAACATTTGATGATTCGTGTGTTGACTTTTTACGTTGCACGATAACTTGAGTTTCAGCAACAACTTCTTCTCCATTAATATTGACAGCTCTACAACTGAATATTCCAGATGTTTTGGATACAACACATTCAGCAGTCAAATGGCTTTCTCCATCTCCAGTTACGAAATGTTTGTAGATTCTATTTGTTCTCAAAATTTCTCGTCCATCTTTCAACCATGTAACATTTGGTTTTGGTTCTCCAACAGCTTTTGCAACCAATGTGAATTGACCACCCTCATTCACTTCAATTAATGATGGAGGAGCTCGAATGAATCTTGGTTTTTCTGATTTTTCTTCAATCGGATGTGCTACCACAAGATGTGAATCACTTCCACTGGTTTTGGCAATCATTATCATGCTTGATGTTGAATCAACTCCAGCAACATTCGAAGCTGAACAGACATATACTCCTGTATCTTCCGATTCACAATTAAGAATCGATAGTTTACAAATACCGTTGTCTTGCGATTGTCTGATTCTTCGAGTTGTTGATACACGTTCTCCATCTTTAGTCCATGTAAATTCTGGAATTGGGAATCCATCGAATTTACATTCCAAAATAAGACCATGTCCAATAATTGCTGTTGAATCTTGAAGTGGAGACAATACAACTGGTGCAATGAATTTGGTAGCATCTTCAACGGTTACAATACATTCAGTTTCCGCAAATCCGTAATTGTTTGTGACAACACATCGATATTTTCCAGAATCATTTTCGTTTACACTGTGAGATACTAGTTTATGATTCGACTTTTTGTCACTTGTCAGTTCAAATCTTCCAGTTGAATCGATTCTTTCATCATCTTTGAACCATGCAACAGTAGATTCTGATCTTGAAGTAATTCGACAATTCAAAACAATTTGTTGTCCAGCTTGTGATGTCACACTTGTTAACGGTTTATTGACAACTGGAACAATATTTTTCTCGAGAGTATGATCAGGAGTTGTTCTCAAGGATGGTGGTCGATTGAAAATGTTAACTTGGCATGATGTTGTTGCTTGTCCAAGTTCATTTTCAATTTGACAGGTGTAAATTGCATCTTCTTCTTGATTTTTTAACAATAAAGTCGATCCTGTTGAATCATTTTGAATTGTGATATTATCGGTTGTTTGAATCTGAAGATTTTCCTTATACCATTTAACAGATGGTGCAGGTGTTCCGATGAATTCAGCATGAATTTCGAAATCATCGTCACGATTTGCAGTTATCTTGGAGTCGGGAATAGAAGTGAATTGTGGAGCTGTTCCACTGGCTTCAGTTTTGACAACAATTTCATCAGATTGACCAACACGGAAAATGTATTCTGTGTTTGGAGAAAGTCCAGTGACTTCAAGTGGTTTTGATTTGAGTGTTCCACATTTTGTCCAATTTCTTTGATCCGGATTTCGTCTTTCAACGATTTGATCTTGTTGGTCATCTTCTGATGGTGCTGTTTCCCAAGCAATTGTCACACGATCTGTTTTGACATTAACAGCTTTTGGTAAACCTGGTGGTTTTTTCGATTTCTTCTTGCTTTTCTCTTCTTCGTCGACTTTAACTTTTGGTTTCTTTGCTCCATCTGATTTTTTCACAACACTGACTTCACTGTTTTCACGAACTTTTCCTTGTTTGTTTTCAGCGGCAATTGTGTAAGTTCCTTCATCTTCTAATGCAACATTTTGAACGATCAACTGATATGTCAATCCATCATTTTTGAATTGAATTCTTTGATTCTCTTCGAGTTCTTGATTATCTTTCAACCATGTAACTTCTGGAGCAGGTGATCCATTCAAATCAGCAGAAATTGACAAAGTAGATCCTTCTGCTACTGATATTTTTGGCTTTGGTTCAACAATAAAATATGGAAGAGATGCTAATGGTGCTTTCGATGTTTTTCCTGCTATCGATAATTGAGCTGATGTGTGAACATCTCCGAATTGATTGTTAGCAACGGCGGTGTATGTTCCACACATTTCTTCGGTAACATTTTCAATAATCAATGTAGCAGTATTATCATCGAATAATCTTGTTTTATAATTACTCTTTTCATGAAGAGCTTTTCCGTTGTGAAGCCAAACTATTTGTGGAGCTGGATTAGCATAAGATTGACAAGTAAAAGTAGCTGATTCTCCTGATTTTTTCAATTCCACATCTTGCAATTTCTTGACAAATGTTGGCATTTGAGTGATATGTTCAGCATGATCATCATTCGAATTCTCAACAATCAAAATAGCTCTTGTCTCAACACTTCCTATTTTGTTGCTCAATTTACAAACATATTCTCCATTATGTTCTTCGTGAGCTTCATAGATTTTCAAGAACGCAACTCTTCCATCGAAATATGTTCTCAATGTTCGACTTTCTGCAACAAGTTTTCCATCATGATACCATTCAATTGTTGGAACTGGGAATCCATCAACTTCAACTTCAAGTAATTCACGGTTTCCTTCAACAACCGTTGCATCAGCTAATGGTCTTGTTACAACTGGTGGTCTTTGAATATCTCCTCCAAGAACTGATGGACTTCTTGATCTTGATCTGCTTCGACTTCTTACTGGTGTCAACCGCGTTTTTGTCAATCCCATATCAACAACTTTGACTGAACAATGAGTGAAATCTTTTCCAAGATTATTAACAGCTTCACAAGTGTATTCTCCAGCATCATCAATCATAACATTCATGATATTCAATCTTGAAACTCCTTTTCTATCAGTATATTGGAGCATACGATTTTCAATAATCAATTTCAGTCCATCTTTGTACCATGTGATTGTTGGTATTGGTTTTCCAGTTACACAGCATTCCAGTACAATTTCATTTCCTTCACAAGTTGAGCAATTTACCAATGGTTCGACAAACTTTGGTTTTTGATGATCTTTATTGATTGCTTCTTTGATTTCAACAACAGAGAATGATTGTGCAACTCCATGAATATTTTCAGCCTCACAAATATATTTTCCTTGATCTTCTTCTCTTGCTGAAATAATATGAAGTGTACAAACTCCATTTTCATGTCTAATTTGTTTATTGCTCATATCAACTGGTTGATCATCTTTCATCCATTTGATATTTGGATGTGGTGTTCCAGAAACTGAACAAACTAATGTCAAATCACTTCCTTGTGGAACTTCTCTTGGTGTTGGAAGTTGCATTCGGAATCGTGGAGCCTTATTCTTGTCGATCTTTTTACTTCTCTTTGAAAGCAGTTCTTCAATTCGAACACAACAAAGAGTATGTGCCTTTCCGATTTTGTTTTTCGCAACACATTTATATTCCCCACTATCTTCTGCATACGCATCAATAATTGTCAATGAATAATTACCACTTCCATCATCAAATTGTAGTCGATGTCTTGTTGAATGCTCAATTTCAATTTCATTCTTGAACCAATTGATTTCTGGAGCTGGATTAGCTTTGATATTGACTTCCAACTTCAGAATATCACTTTCTGAACATTTCACATCACTCAATTGTTTTCCAAAGTTTGGTGCAAATTGTCCATCTGGTATAACAACTTTCAAGAATCCTTCACTTTCACATTCACCATAAGCATTTTTACCAACAGCTTTCCATATTCCTTCATCAGTTGAATCAACACTCAAAATATGCAATTCATATCTTCCCATATCATGTTTTCTCATATAATTGACATCACTGGCAATAATATGTTCTCCATTATGATACCATTCAACAACTGGTTCCGGAAGTGTTGTATTTGTAACAACCAGAATCTTTGGTTCACCAATTTTGGCTTCATCATCACTTAGTTTGTGATGGAAGTTTGGTGGCATATCAATAGTTTGTTCTTCAATCGCAACAATTTTGGATGTTTTTCTTTTCTTTGCTTCCATTGTTGCTGGTGAAGTTTCAGATTTCTTGGGAATTGTTTTCAATTTCGATGCTTCAACAGATAATCTTGCATGTGTCATAATACTTCCCAAATCATTTGTGGCTCGACAAGTATATTTTCCAGCATCAGTCTCTTCGATATTTTTCACTGTCAGTTCAGCCAAACCTTCATTATAGAATGAGTCGTATTTCATCGATGGAACTTGCAATTCTTTGTCATCTTTGTACCAAGTTATTTTCGGACTTGGATTTCCTTCCAAATCACAAGATAATGTTGCAATAAGATCTCCAACATTTGCAACAATATCTTCGAGTTGTTTCTTGATACTTGGTGGAGTATCTGTATCAAATGCAATATTTCTTTCGAATACTCCATCCATTGTGAGTCTTCTAAAGATAGCTCCTCGTTTGGCAAGTCTTCCAATTGGCAATAAATCATCAGACCATCTTTTGAGGGAAAGGAAGTTTCGTTTTTGTCTAGCTGGCAATGCAGTTGTTTTTGGTTGCATTTTCTGAAAATAAAAAAGAGTTTTAGAAGGAAATTTCATAGAAAAGGTGTTTGCATAAACTGAAAAATAACATAAATAACAAACACACCTTAACATATTCAGACAAATCATTGAATGCAGACAATAACGGACCCTATAAACACAAACACATAACAACATACAAACAAAAATTAATAACACTTACAGTAATCCATGGATGTCTCAATGCATCTTGAACAGACATTCTCTTTCTCTTATCTTTGATCATAAGTCGACAAATGAAATCTTTTGCAAGATCACTAACATCATCCCAACTTGGATCATCGAAATCCCAATCTGCTGCGGAAACATTTGCCAAAGTATCTTCATCATTATCTCCAAGGAATGGTGACAATCCAGATAACCTACAAAACATTGATTTTCTATTTATTTAAACATGTGGTTCAAAAAAACTAACAAAACATAGGAGATAACACCAATTGTCCACATATCAGTTGATAGTCCAACTGGTTGATAATTGACAACTTCTGGAGCGCAAAACTCTGGAGTTCCGAAAAGCAGTTTCACGCTTTTCTTTGGATCTAATTTTCTAGCCAAACCGAAATCGATAATCTTGAGTTCGGTGGAATTTTTGGCTTTGAGCAAAATGTTTTCTGGTTTGAGATCGAGATGGACAATTTGATTTTTGTGCATATGTTGAACACCTAGCAAGATTTGATGCATATAATCACGAACTTCTTCCTCGCTCATCAAAGAATCGTCTTCTAAGATTTTTTCGAACAGTTCTCCACCGGAGACGCTGAAAAATTGAAGAGGTTTTCAATGAAATGATTTCTAAATTTTCCACGTAAAAGTTCACGTTTAACTTACAATTCTTCAATTAGAACCATCTCATTTCCCATATCAAATGCTTCATGCAAATTCAACAATTTATCATGATGAAGTTGATTCATAATTGCGATTTCATGAATAACATTTTCTTTTTTGACTCCTGGTCTAACTTGCACCATTTTTGCGGCCCATGTTTTACCAGTTGCTCTTTCAGTGGCTCGATAAACAGTTCCATAAGCTCCTTTCCCAAGTTCTTCATGAATTATATATTTTGCTTGAAGATCATTTGGCAAACGATGAATATCAATTTCTTTATATTCAGTGACTCCACTATCTTTGGCAGCTTTTTCATAATCAACAGATTCTTGTTCTCGAACTTTATGCTCTTTTTTCTTTGGTTCTTCAACAACTCGGCTAACATCTTTTACATAAACTTGTTCAGATTCTTCTGATGGTTCGGATAATCCAAAAGTGTTATCTGCCCGAACTCGGAAGGTATATTTCTCTCCGGCAACTAAGTTGAACAATGTGACAAAAGCTTGTTTAGTCACTTCTGCTTTCACCCATTTGTTATCCTTTTTCAGTGCACATTTCGACAGTATAATTTCTGACTGGTGAACCACCATCATTTGTTGGCGCAGCCCATCGTAATCTAACTGAATCCACATTTTGATCTTCAACAGCTGGTTTACCTGGCGGAGCTGGTCTATCGGTCACCTGAAAATATATTATTCATAAAAATAGGATTGTTTCCACCTCACTTCATCAAAATCTATTTTCTGTTGTTTTTTGTTTTCGGCACACTGAAATTTGTGTCTAATGGAATCCACACTCTCATTTTTTCAACACAAAAAAACTAGGCTCCACCCACAGAAACCAACAGAGAAGCAACAGAGATGGCAAAAAAAGTTCCAAGTTTTTTTTCTGTGCGCCGTTTTTTTCTCGAGTCGATGGAACAAAATTAAATAAAATTTGTGTCACACCCTGAAGAAGACTCCAATCTATCCAATCTATCTAGATATTTCTTATTTTTTTCGAGTGCCGAACGACAAACTTTTTTTTATTCTCGGAAAAATTCTGGTTCTATATATTTTTCATTCATGAAAAATGGTGATTCCTACTGTAAGTTTCAATATTTTTGAAAATTTATTTTCATTTCTAGATTTATTTCGAAATTTTTTGAGTTTTTCGAAAAACAAAAATAATTTTGTGAACTCGCCTAGTAGCTAAGATAAATCTGTTCCCGGAAAAACATCATTACTGCAAAAAATTGTCAAGAAAAAAATAAATTCAATTTTTCTTTCTGCGTTTCGTTTTTAGTTTCCAAGAAAGGGATCATTAACCAGGAAAAATCGCAAAATCTCATAAATATTTCCAGGGAAACAATTCGATGGTAAACAATGGTGGAGGTGGATTGTGAGTTTTTTTTCGGTCGGGATCAAGAAAAAATTATGCATAATTAGTGTTTGGTGTATGTGGTGGTTATAGTGGTGGTATTGAATTTCACTAACTAACTCAATCATTTTTCAAAAACTTTGGACTTTTTTGTTGAACTGTTCTGTTTTTCTTTACGGGAAAAAATGATGAAAACTAACCTGTAAACCAATTGCATATCGATCTTCTCCACATCGATTTTTTATTTTCAATGCGAATTCTCCTTGATGTTCAGATTCGATTGAAGTTTATTGTGAGTACTGTGTTTAGTTGACTTTTTTCGATCTGAAAATTATATTTCTGACATTGAGACTTTCTTCTTCAAAATCATTTCTGACCCATTTTTCTTTGCTCTAAATTTTTTTTCTCAATTTCCCGAATACATATAAAAAAATTAATTTTTCTCAATACATATTTTTGGAGAGCAGCTGAAGTTGAATTCCGAAATAATTCAATTAGTTAGAAATGTTTCCATTTTCTTCATTTCTCTTTATTCTTTGTTGAGAAATCTATATTCTGAAAAAAAAACAGCTGAAAGAACTTTTTTTGCATTTTCAAAAAAAAAAAACGTCATGTGTACTTTCACTCATATTTTTTCTCTTCCAATTATCCATTTCCTCAATTTTCAGTATATAAACAAAATTAATTAACTTTTTTTTCTGCCAAAAAGTTTATTTTTTTCACGAAAGTTGTATATTAATTCATCTTTGAATAAAATATATACGAGAATGTCACGCTTCTTCAATTTTTCTTCGGACCATAAAGCACTCCATAAATTTCCACTAAATTTCGTATTTTTTCTTAGCTCATTTCTTTGTTTTTTGGTTTTATAACGGTGCCGTGGGTTTTTTCTGTGGATGAGATTTATGTGTATTTTTTGTGTTTTGGTACAAACTATTCACAAACGTTTTTTGAAAGTAAATCTGATCTGATTTCAAACTTGAATAATCATATTTGTTCTGAAAACCAAACATCTGTCTGAAACAAAAAAAAAATTTTCTAGATGAATTATTTTCCAAAAAAAATTGACTGATTTTTTAGGTTAAAATCAGAAGTTTTCCTGAAAAAAACTCGGGATCCGATTCAAATTTTGCCTTGAATCGGGTCATCGAAAAATGTAACTCAGTTAAGCGCAAATTTAGATCTACTGTAAAAATTTTCTTTTAGTGATTTAGAAATTCTGATCATTTTTAGCATATTTTTATACCTGGGAAAATTTACCCCCTCCCTCCCGAAAATTTGAAATTGTTTGTACTTTTTTACGAAATGTCTGTTTTTCTCATAAATAATTCAAACTCCAAACCTAATAAGCGTAAAATCCTTTTTTCCCGAACTTACCTTCATTTTTCTGGATTCCTCAATAACTTTTCCATGATTATCAATCCATTGAACATCTGGAGCTGGTCGGCCTGAAAAACAAAAAAACATTGAAAGGAAAAAATAGCACAAATAGGGTAGATAGCTTCTCTATTTTTTTGAATTTTAATGAATCGTTTTTGCTCTCTGTCACTTCACACTTCCAATTCTTCCGGAACCACGACAAATATAGTATTATTTTTACAAATTTACATATTTTCCAGCTGTCATATTTTTGATGCACTCATCGAGGTTTGTTTTTGTTACGGGTTTGGTGAAATCGCGATTTTGGTGATTGATCTTTGATTTTAATTAATGCGATTTCAAGCAGGTGTATATTTTATGCGTCACTTTTTTTTGAAGAAAAGGACATGAAAAAAGTAATTGGACTTGAACTATTTTCAAAAACTAATCCACTGTGAGAAAAAAGCATCGAATTTTGTTCCTTTTTGTTTCTTCTTTTTTGGACGCGGATGAATACAGAACAAATGTTTAAAAAAAATGGTTTTTTATAAACTGAATACCAAAATGGAAATTCAGCTGTTGGGGATATTGTTCGTATAATTCTGATATTAATGGCACAATGTTTTTCAACAAGGAACTGTTTACTGTTCCATTGAAGTTATCAAAACTTCGAGTAAATCAAGGAAGAAACACGGAACATGTATTTCATTTGAGTCGAACTCTTTTCTACAGCTTTTGTCAGAGATACTGGAAGTTAGGATATTCTAATCAGTCTATTGAAAAATTTCACATTTTCATGGGAAGAATCAGTTCTGTTTTCCAAATCACAAATATCTAAAGTCTTTTCTATTGTTCGAAAGTTTCTTGTTACCTTGGATTATGATAGTAATCAATCTTCAAGAAAAAATGATTTTTGTAATCAAAATTTCTAATATTATCAAAGATCAGGTTTATCTTTACAATATACAACAGGAAAATGCAAAGTTTCTCAGTTTCATTCAAGTTTTTCAGTTGTTGATCACAGAACTTCAAACTTTCACAAAAACTCCTCTTCCAAGAAAACATTCTCTCTCATCTCACTAAATAATTAAAACTCAAATCTCAATCTCAAACTCAAACTCAAAACTCGTCTTTCTCGAAAACTTTCTCTCTTCTTCTTTTTTCTTCATTTTTGCTTCTTCCGAATAGGGGGCGTGCCCACCATCATCTCACGAAGAAAAACTGCATATTCTTGTTCAGCTGTTTTGTGTGTGTGTGTGTTGGCTGCTACTTCTTACTTTTTTCTTGCCTCCAAACTCAACTCCTTCATTCTCATCTGCTCTCGATTTTCGTTGTGTCCATGTAGAAGAGAGTATATGTGTTTTTACATATATACAAGTGTCAGTAAGCCAATAAAATAGACGAGAAAAATTGTGACACACCAAGGAGACACACACACATTTACACACACACACGGATAAAAAAGAAATAAAAAAAAACACGGAAAAAGGTTGGAATATTCTATCTATCTTTCACTATTTATTCAAGTTTTACTATGTCAAATACTTTACTGTGATTTATTGTTTTTTGTTGAAAACTCGAAAAACACACAAAACACCTAAAAATGCCGACCATGTAAGTTTTTTATTCATTCCCACTTTCAAAGGACACCTGTCACTTTTCATTTTTCATGTTTTTTTGGGTGGAAGCGCGCGTGCGTCAGATTTTTATATGCAAATCATGTTTTATTCCTTCTTTTTCATTGGTGGCGGGGGACAAATTTGATTTTTCCCCGATTTTTATTTTTCCTGGTTCAACTTCTCAAAAACCACCTTGTTCGTTGTATTGAATTTTTCGTGATTTACTAGAGATTTTTGAATGAAAGAGATTATTTCAGGAAAGTTGATAGAATTTAAAACTTTTCTTGACAATGAGAGAAAAAAAACTGACCTTAGCCTATGTTTCTACAAATTTTACTATTTTTTCAAAAACTTTGGAGGGATTCTGAAATTGTTAGATAATTTTCACAAGTGCAAGCCCAGGTATATCAATAAAATTTTGAAGAATAATCTTGTGCACTCAGTTTTTGGCCTCTCACTCTCATTGAAATTTTTAAAAAACTTCAGCTCTATCAAAAAATCGATTTTCAAAAAAAAAGATAATTTTTGACTACAAAATTGTCTATTTTGAACACATCCTATGAATATTCAAAATATCAGTCTGTGTGGTTTCAAAAGAATCCAAATTGAAATTTCGGAAGCGTTTTTTTCTCTTTTTTGGTGTCGAACGGAAGTGCGCATCAATGTTCGCTCTCTCGCTTTTTTTTAAAGAAAAAAAACAGAATAAATTCTCGAAAAGTTTTTTTTTTCAAAAAAGAGTGAAATCGAAAGAAAAACAAAATCAATTATGAAAATTTTGTGGACGACAGGAAAATGAGAGCTTTCACAAACTCATTCAAAATTATTATCAATTCTCGGCACGAAATCGACTTTGCCTACCTACTCCTTCTTCTTGAATTTTTTTTTTGAAAAAAAAACATTATTGGAGGGGAAATCGAGAAGAAGGCGTGTCTTATATATTTACCTAGATACATACTTCCATTTTTTAACCCAAGCCAAATTTTTTCGACTTACATTAAGTTGTTTTTCTGACTATTACCAAACTTGATGATAAATGATGGTACGAAAAGAAGGCGATAAATATGGAGTGTTTTTCTCGAAAAATAAGAATTTCTTGGCCATTTCATTTTCATGTCAGGAAGTTTCGAGATAAAACTTTTTTCAACTTCTCAAATTTCATTCCACTTTTTCGTCTTCTTATTTTTCCATTTTTCTCCCCCAATAAGATTTTTCTGCCAATATTATTGTTTTTGATGAGTTTGAGGTTGTTCAAAATGAAAAATACTTGAAAACCTACTACGATTCAACAATAACAAAAAGGGGGTTTTGAATAAAATAAGAATTGTAATTTTTTTGTCTTTTTGTTTTTTCTTTTTAATTTTCTAAAATTTTGGCCTTTTCTAATAATAATATGAAAAATTCTCTAGACTTCATAATTTTATGATACGCGCATCGCGAACAACATCAACTTGTCACAAACCATCCTTCATCTACCAGCCACCAGTCGATGACGAAGAGTGAGTGAAGGAATCAAACAAAACAATACTACACTACTTATATTTATTTTTTCATGTTGTTTTTGTTTTTGGAAAATGTTGCTAGAGGGGTTCTGAAGTTTTTTTTTCGCCCAGTCGAGCTCTGTAGAAGTTCATTTTCTAAATATTCATAGATGTTATTTATGGTAGAAGTAAGTGTGACATATTTTTGTTGTTTAAGTATCATTCCTCAGAATTTTTAAAGTAAAATCAAATGTTCAATTTAAAAAAAATGAAAGGTTAGATGTTCTCTCTGATATCTCTTTTTGGAATCTATATTTGAGATCTGGAAATGACACTTTTCCATTTTATTTGAATTTTTTTCGGTTGTCACAAGATACTGAACTTTTTTGGAAGATTTTATGAAAGATTTCGAATTGCAAATTTGAAGATATCTAGATCATAAGTTGAACTTTGATCTGGATATGAAACTCGAACAGCAGTGATGTTTTTTTTGAAATAACCCAAATTTAAAAAAAGTTTAAAAAATTGAAACTGCTCAAATTTTTGAATATCTGCTTTGCAAAAAAAAACTGTTTCGCTATTTAGATCCAAGATTTTCGCAGTAATTTAAATTTATATATTTTTGTAACTTATTGAATATATTATGCTATATTTTGAAAAAATGAAAAATCTTAAATTCTTCCGATTTTTCTCTCTGAAGTTCAGTAAAAGTTCACTACAGTCTCTTGACGAGATGTTTCAAAATTGATAAAACAAATGACAAATCTGCCTAACGCGTGAAAAAGGTAAACATTTCCGGCTCTCGAAACATCTCTCTGTCCCACAAACAATACAACGAACAAAAAAAACTTTGTGCTGATTTACGGAAAAAGGCCTCAATCTCTTGGGCAACATTATGAATCTCATTTGAATCTTGAATATATTTCTGTTTTTTGTTCTTTTTCTCTACGCTTTCTCTTCTTACTAATAGAATTCAGCAGAAATGAAATATATAATAAAATCAAATCGTATTGTGTGTCTACTGAATCAATCTGATAACTGACTATTCACTGACTGATATTACTTTTTTTTTCGAAAAAAAAACATTTTTTTTTCGTTGAATTCATAGAAGTAGGAAAAGTAGGAGGAGGGGTTGAAAAAACAAGGTAATTCAATTTTCAAAATTTCACCTTTTCAACGAAAAAAGTTTTTTTTTGCGCTGGTCAACAGAAAAAATTGTTTCAATCTTAAAAATACAAAAATTCTTCAATCTCTTTTTTCGCTTGCTCCAAAATGTTGAAAAGTGGTCTCGATCGTGCAAGCGAGCGCCAACAGCCAAGTAAACATTACAGACTCTCGCCGTACGGCGAGAATATAGGAAATAGAATAGACAAAAACTTTGCTCATCCTACTATTTTTTTGTTACTGCACTATTATTTCTGTCTCGACCCGACCCACTCATTGTCCTAACTTACTTACTTGTTTTTTTCTGTGAGATACTTATTCCCTAAACATGTGCTTTAAAGTTTTTTTCGTTTTTCCTCATTGGGCCAAAAAAAAAAAATCAAAATCAAGTGTGTTTTTCTCGGTTCATTCAACCGGAAAACAACAATACTTTCGGCCCAAATTCGAGGCAAAAATTTATTGGAGGAACAAAAAAAGCATAGAGTCAGAAAACGGTTTTTTTCACCTGCTACCAAAGTTTGCACTTTTGATTAGTTGTTATAAAATAGAAGTCGTATCGGAAAGAACGCAAACTTGCTCTACGTCTCTAGCTTTTCCACCGTTCTTTGATCTACCTTTTTTGCAGAAAAAATAATTATTTTTGTGGAAGAAAATATCTGAACTTTTGTTCTTAAATATTGTGTTCAGATTTTTGAATTGAGGAATGTTTATTGAGATCACATCCAGAATTTGGTTTTTTTTTTAAATTTTTTCTTGTAATTAATACACCAAATATTGAAAAATAATTTCAAAGTCTTGTTGAAAATTTTACAGTACATCTGAAAATCTTTTCCAGAATACTGATTTTTAGACCACTGTTTATGCATTTTTTTTAAAATTTACTACTAGAACTTTCTCTTATTCTTCTCGTGCGATTCAGTGAATTTATCTTGCCATGTATTCCTTCCGGCTAAGTATACCTTTTCATAGAAATTCATTCTAGTTTGGTAAGTGGATCAAACTTGTTTTAAATACCTGAAAGATTTCTGACCTCATAATCTCGTATCCCTCTCTCTCTCATTTCTCAACAATTTTTTTTGCTATGTTGCAACCATTTGGGAGTAATTGCAAAATGTCCAGTCAAGTATGTTTGTTTTTTGTGATGGTGCTCAATTTTTCATTTCTTCCAACACATCCGTTACTAATAACCTCTCTCCTCCTCCCGTTTTCCGCCAATTTTTCTCGCGTCTTTTTTTCTTAAAAAATGCATCCAACTGGAAACCAATTTATAATCGGAGAGGTGCCATTGGCGCTAAATATCTCCACATGTGGCTGTCTCAAATATATCAAAAAGATTTATTTTTGTATTATTTTGCTCCCTCTTTTCAAAAATTCCGATTCCAACAAGTTCCACATCTTCATCTTGTGTGATGAAGGGTCATCATAGCAGGTGTGTTCTTTAGATTCCGCGTTTTTTGTTAGTTTTTGTGATTGTTAGCCAACTTGATTAGTTAGTTAGTACATATATCGGTTACCATTGTGTACTTGTGGGATTACATCCCACCGCCTGCTTGCCGAATTTTTTCATTGTTTTACGAGAGACCCACATATGTTTTGATTCGGATCTTTTTTCTTTTTTTTTTTCAAGAAAATATCGCATTTCTAGTTGTTGTTGTCTATTGATTTGTTTACATCAAACTATCAATCACTTTGTTGTGTTTTTTGTTATTTTTTGAGGTGATTTTTTGACGGTAGTCTTTTAGAAACTTTTGCTTCAGAGTTTTCTGAGATCTTCACGTAACTCGACTTTCGAAAAACTTTTGAAAATAAGAGTACAATAATTTATGAAAAATATCCACAGATTCTTGTTTTTATTCACCGTGTAAAAGTCCTTGCTCAAAAATTAGACGTAAATCATATTTGTATACCCAACAATTATCTCAATTCCTATAATTAGATCAGTCACCTGTGTGTGTGTGTGTGTGTGAAAAGTGCTAGCCAAAGAAAAACTAAACTTATACACCAACCGGAAAGCCCGACAAACTCGTTGAGCCAAAAATAATCCAAATAAAAAGTATTTTCATTACACGCCATAGAAAAAAACACATATTTTTCTTTCCTTCCACACATATTCACACATATTTTTTCGCTTCTTTGCGATAAAATATAATAATATTATTATCTTCTCACCGGCTCCTCGGTTTCCCACGCGACCAAAGCCTCTTTGCCTCTCCTCTGTTCGTCGGCTGTGCTCGGCTCAAGGTGTGCGCTGCCTTGACAGCTCTGATTATATTCTATTTTTCCTCTGTTTTTGGTCGCTCAAAATAAAATATTATCTCCTCTTTATTGAATTTTCTATCCATCTTCTCATCTTCATTACTTTTCGTCTGAAAAATGGCAACAGCCAGTATTTCGTATTCCGCGTTAGCTTATAATGGACAGTAAGTTTTTGATAACTCAACAGCTGCATGAAAAAAGGTGTTAAAAATTATGATGGATTGTGTGGTTTAATGTTCGTGTCATTTGTCAATTTATCTTCTTCTTTCTTGAACTACACACTTTGAGAATTTTTAATATAACAGAAAGTACTTCCTTCCTCTTTAAATATAGCTTCAAAAACGGGATCTAGTCTGATTATTCGAATCTGAACTTGAAGATTGCCAAACCGGGCCAACTTATACCTTTTCTTCTAAAATTGTGCCTAAAAAATTGGATACATTTTCTGGGTAACGGAAGCAGAAACTATTCGGTTCAGATCAATCAAGTCCGATTCAAAATAAGGCCGTGATTCTGAAATTCAAGTTTTTTGACAAACGAGATTCTCCTTTTACATAAGCCCTCAGATCTAAAAATAACATTATTCCGATTTTCGAGAATAAAACGGCTCCGAGCCCTCAGTTTCACAACGTTTCATCAACGTTTTTTTTACATGAAAAAAACTACGATTCATTGAATTTCGATTAACATAATCTCAATAATCTTCAACATCCTTCCGTTGTCATCATTTTCTTCTTTTTCTCCTTCGTGTTTTTTATCTCTCCCATGTTCTTCTCACTTCGAAGTGTCAACTCAATTTCAATCATCATCGACACCCTCCTCCTTCTATTTCTTTTCTATTTTCTGCTTTTTCCTACTTCATCTACTTTGACTAACTAAAAATATGGCTATCGCAATATCGCAAGCCGTTTTGGCGCATCGCAATTCCACCACCACATTCGGGGTTCCAAATAGTGATGCGCAACTCAAATTCCATAATTTCAGGGTAACCGGAAACATGATCAGCGGGTAAGTTCGAAATCTTTCTCTCTTGAATTTCGCTCATCCAATTCTTCTAACTCCCTTTTTCAGTTTGCATGTTTGTTGTGTATTGTAATCCAATTAAAATCCCAGATGAATGAGAAACTTATCAAAACTAATTATTAATTTAGGTAAAATCAATAAACGACAAAATTTTTCAGGGCCGCACAACAGCATAAAAAACGACTGGTACCTTTGCGGCGTACCGATGCTATGAGCCAAGCGGAACGCCGCAATTATCAAAATTTGGAAGATATTTATCGAGCTGGAGCACCAGATAGCTTTCAGGTATTTTCTGTGTACTTTTGAAAAACAAAGCAAAATTTTTGTAGCAAATTGCTGTTGGTGGACTTGATGAGAATGGTGATCCTTTGTTTTTACGATTAAACATTGGAGGGACAAGTTTTATGATTTTGGTGGATGCGATACTCCGCTCAGAAAACACAACATTTCTTTCCAAGTTTGTGCAACTCACACATTCTGCTAGATTGAAAGTTGCTGATGCTTACATCAAAAGTGAAGATGCATATTATTTCCAAAGATCTCCGACAGCATTTGAAGCAATTTTTCAATATTATGCAACTGGTGTAGTTCATCGACCGTCTGAAGTTTGCCCCGCTTCATTTCTCGGTGAACTCGATTTTTGGCGAATATCTCATCAACACGTCGGTTCGTGTTGTGCTGATGTCATTCCACAAAAAAGAGAAGAGGAAAAAGAAGAGGAAAAGGTTTTGAATTAGAATTAGTGTATGTATGAGAAGACATCGTGTTTTTTTGCAGGTTGATGACACGACTTTTGATAAATTAATGTTTGGAAAATTGCGAAGGCGGATGTGGACATTTTTAGAAAGACCTGGATCTTCGATGCAAGCGAAAGCTTTTGAATTATCTTCTACTTTGTTTGTTGCGATTTCAGTAATGGGACTTAGTTTTGGAACTATTCCAGATTTTCAGGTATTCCTATATACCAATATAAAATCTATATTAATTTTTCTAGATAACTCAATATATGCCCCCACAAAATGAGACAATAGTTTTGCCAAATGGTACAGTTATGATGATTGAAAAAATAGATGAGATGAAAGTTGAACATCCTGCATTTGTATTTACCGAAAGGATATGTATTGCATTTTTCACAGTCGAATATTGTCTACGGTTTTTTGCGGCTCCTCGAAAACTTCGATTTGCCTTGAAACCTTTGAATCTTGTCGATTTATTAGCAATTGTTCCATTTTATCTTGAACTTCTTCTAACTTTATGTGGAGTTGATGATCGGAAATTGAGAGATTTACGATGGGCATTTTTGGTTGTTCGAATTTTGCGAGTGTTGAGAGTTATCAGAATTATCAAATTAGGCCGATTTTCATCAGGTCTTCAAACATTTGGTATGACGTTGCAAAGGTCACAAAAACAACTACAAATGATGACAATTGTGTTGCTTACTGGAGTTGTGTTTTTCTCAACAATGATATACTTTTTGGAAAAAGATGAAGACGGAACACCATTTACAAGTATACCTGCTGCATATTGGTGGTGTATTGTAACAATGACTACGGTTGGATATGGTGATGCTGTACCAGCTACGACTAGTGAGTTACGAAAAAAATATTGAATTCAAAAAAGTTTTTCAGTGGGTAAAATAATTGCGTCAGCCGCAATTATGTGCGGTGTTCTTGTTTTGGCTTTGCCTATCACTATCATCGTTGATAATTTCATCAAAGTCGCTCAAGATGAACAACAAGCTGAACAACAAAAAATCGATCAATCTACAGAACATTTGGCTTTTGAAGCAATGTTAGCTCATGAAGATTAGCCCTAACGAAAACCGTGTTACATAACATACGCCTGAACCAGTTAAAAGTACGAGTATTTTTGAAAAGAAACAAGAAAAAGTGCGCTTTCTTCTTCTTTAAAAATTGTGTTAGTTTTGATTTTTTTGTAATTGTCAAAAAGGGATTGAATTTTTTTGTCTTTTACGTTTTGCTCTCAAATCTTATCACTTATTTTTATTCTATTCTATTTTATTTTTGAACTTTTCTTTAAAAAATCTCTAAATCCCACCTCCCTTCCCATTTTTCCTAATTTCGCTAGATCCATGGCACACATATCAACCAATCCCATTTTAAGATTTTTACCCGATGATGAAAAAAATAAATGATTAACAATAACTGACCTGAGAATGATAGACGAAGTTTGACAGTTTCTCCTTTGTCAAAAACGAGAGTTGAGGAATATCTTTCGACTCGATTGATTTCAGGAAGTTGGTCCATTGTTAGTTTACAAGTGTGTTCGCTGCTTCCAGCTTCATTTTTGATGACGATTTTGTAGTCACCTAGAAATGTGATGGAATAATGATGGCTATCCGGTTGCTTGTTGTTTTTTTGAACAAGGGTTCAAAAAAGTTTGAAAAAAAATTTGGTTCTTGGTAAATTCGGGTTTTCAAAAAAATTCAATAAACCTTTAACCGACCTTTAAAATCCTCCTAAATACTGAATTTTCTCAACGGTTTAGAATACTTATGAAATTGAAAATGAAAAAAAATGCGTCAAAATGTCACGTCACATTTTTTATTTTATTTTTTTCTCTATAACTTTCCAATCCAAATTAGCTAACCTTCATCATCTTCTCTCACTTCTCCAACAGTCAAAGATGTGCTTGTCGGTGTCGATTCAATCCATTGTCGTTTTCCCGAGAATATTTCCTTTTTATTTTTGAACCAATGAATTTCTGCAACATCAGGATGCGCTTCAAATTCTGCCAAAATCTTGCATTTTTGACCCTTTATCGCAATCAAATCATCAGGCGACAATGTGAATTTCGGCTTTGAAGTGGCTGCAAAAATTGTTGAAGCAAAAGCGAAAGATTGATTGAAAGTAAAACGATGAAATGTTAGTTAATATTTTTTTTTCGAAAAAAAGTTTTGTTTCATGCAAGAACAGGACGAAAAGGAAAGAAAAGAAGGAAAAGGAACTGAATTTGCGACATTTTCAACAGAATGATAGTTATTTCTCACCTTGTTTTATTGTGAATCTCGAAATTTTATTAAAATTTAAACATTTATTCATTTATTTCGAAATAAAGTTAACACTAATTATTATGATTATATAAAGAACATTTATTTCGATTTATACCCGCTGGTTTCGTTTTTTTGGAGAAGTGGTTCACATGCGAGGCGACTTTTTGGAGGATTTCGAGGAAGAAGTAGTGAGATCTGAGATGAGGTGAGGTTTTGTGAGAAATTAGAAAATATAATTAATTAGCTAATTTCTGACAAGTTAAAAACGGAAATATTAGTTAGGGATAGATTTCATGCGAAATAAAAATTTGAATCAGAAAATAACATACCTTGACTATCTTTACAGTCAATTGTTTCACTATTTTCCGATGTGACAGTTTGACCGTTTTTGTTTTGAGCAACAATTCGGAAAATGTATCCTTCGCCATTTTTCAATTGAGATATGGTTGCCGAACATTCATGCAAGTCCTTAGCCACTGGACTCCATGGTCGTTTTGAATTCGCCTGGAAAAAATTGATTGAAAAAAAATGGATATAAATAAGACGGGTAAGTGCGCCCCATTGCTAACGTTTATAAAAAAATAATTTTGAAAAAAATTTAATTTTTCATATTTTTTTCTGGTAGGTCAGCAAAGTTTTTGATCTACAAAAAGTCGAAGTTGTTTGCTTCGTTTTTTTTATTGATTTTCTCATTTATTTGGGGGCAGGGAAAACTGTTTTCCAAAAGGGCTGATTCACGAACGAAAAAAATGTTAAAAAATGTTTTTTTAACATCGAAAGATCAATTCACGAAAAGTCAAAAAATGTCGAAAAAACATTGTAGGTCAAAATTAGTTTTTCCAGTTTTTCAGTCAAAAATGATGACAAATCGAAATTTTTGAAGTTTCTGGAGTGATTTCTGATGAAAATAAGCTTCGAGAACCCTATTTTGCTTTATTTTATGATTTTTTTCGAAATTCATCAAAATTTAAAATTTTTTATTTTCCGAAAAATCAGCAAAACCTTCTGGAAAGTGAATTCCAAAGTCAATTTTATCAGAAATTACTTCAGAAGCTTGAAAAAAATCGATTTGTCATCATTTTTGGCTGAAAAACTCGTAAAACTAATTTTGACCTACAATGTTTTTTCGACATTTTTTGACTTTTCGTGAATTGATCTTTCGATGTTAAAAAAATTTTTTTAACATTTTTTTCGTTCGTGAATCAGCCCTAAAGAAAAATTTTTATTTTTTATTCATTCTTTTTCACGTTTCCACAATTTCTTAATTTTCAATCATTTCTAGAGTTCCACCTTCTCAAAACCGCCCTATATATAATCAAATTGACAATGCTATTCACATTATTCGATGGAACATTGAGGACAAATAGGAACAACGAAATGTTTAGTTAGTTTTTTTTGGGTTTCGGGTTCTGTCAAAAACCAACCTCTTTCATTTGAACTGTATAAGTCACATCTTTCTCATTTTGTGCAGCCCATTGTAATGAGATTGATGTTGCACTTGTTGATACCAATGTTGGTTTTCCTGGCGCATTCAAAGTAGTTTCAGCATCAGATTTGGTTTCTGTTGTTTTCTTCTCTTCTTGTTTTTTGACAGCAGCCTTTGTCTTAAAACAAGCTTCAAGAAGAACTTCCAGTTCCCATTTCATTAATTGCTGAAACTCTAACATCATACTCTGTTTCTTCCTCAATATCTTCTAATCGATATTTGGTTTCTTTTGTTTTTCCACATTGCTTCCATCCTCGATTTTTCTTTTCTTTTCTCTCCACATTATATCCACTAATTTCACATCCTCCATTATTTTCTGGTGTTTTCCATTCAAGTTCAGCCGAATTATTAGTGATATTTGAGAAAACAATTGGACCAGTTGGTATTCCCGGTGCTCCTTTTGTTGCACCTTTGATTCGAACAGCAATTTCGACATGCTTCTTACCAACATCATTTTTAACGTTGAGTTTGTATGTTCCGGCATGTGTTGGTTCGATTTTGTTGATTGTTAGTTCAGCAATTCCAGCATCACTAACTGTTGATTGAACATTACTATCGATCTGAAAATATTCAAGTGTGATGCATTTTTTTTTCAAAAAACAATTACCTTTACTGGCTCATTATTCTTGGTCCATTCAACAGAATCTTGTCCTGAGATCTTTGCTGATAGTTTAGCTGTTTCTCCGATTTTCACTTCAACTAAAGTTTGTTCAGCTTCAACTTTCGGTTCATCAGTTGCTGAAAACATTTGTTTGTTTGTTTTTGTCTCTAAGTTCAGATCAAGATTACCTGGAAGCTTCACGGTTACACTGATTGTAGCTTCTTCAACTTCACCATCTTTTGATTTGACTTTGCAAGTGAATGTTCCAGATGTTTTTGAATCAACGTTTGGTATTCTGACAACTGAAGATGTAGGATCAGTTACAATTGTGAAAGAAGCATCTGCATCGATGGATTTCCCATCTTTAGTCCATTCAACATCAATTGCAGCCTCATTTAATGTTGCACGAACTTCGCCACATTTTCCAACAACTAATTCGATTTTATCGGAATCAGCTTTGACCAATGACTTCTTTTTCTTCACAACTTTCTTCTTTTTTAGTTTTGCATCTTCAGCTGATGTTTTTGCTTTTTGTTGTGAAAGGTCTTCACCATCAGATGCTTGAAGTGATCCTCTTCTTGATTCGTCTTGAACTTTTTCAACAGCTTTGCCCTTCTTCAATTTTTCTTTAATTTCTTTAAGATCTTCCTCTCCTTGAGCCACTTTTTTTACTTTTGGCTTTTCTGTGACTTCTTTTGGTTGTTCAACGGATTCTGATCCAGGAATGATAATTTTGACTGGATCAGTTGCTTCACTTGGACTTGATAAAGCGTGAATTCCAGTTGCCGTGACTTGATAAATATATTCTCCGCTTTCAGTCAATGATAAATCTTTGAATTTATTTCTATCAGTATTGGCAATTTCCAGCCAATCTTCCTCACTTCCGATTTTCTTTCTTTCCACTTTGAACAAACTGGTTTCTGGTACTTCTTGCCATCGGAGGGTCACTTTTGTATCATCAACACTTACTGTTACTTGTGGTGTTGCCAAAACCGCAATTTTTGGTACGAATAATTCTGTGGATTCACTTGTTGGTTCAGAACTTTCTAATGTTAAAACATCAATTGTATCACATGGTTCTGATTCTCCAACATCATTTACAGCCAAAATACGGAATCCATATACTTGATTACAGAATAATTCATCAGCCAAAAATGATGTTTTTGTTGGTTTAACTTGTCCGACTGGTCTCCATCTATTATTATCAACTCCTTTTCTTTCAATAACATATCCAGTTAATGGTGATCCATTTGTTTCTGTTGTTGGTTTCCATAAAAGAACAACACTGTCTTCAGTAACATCTTCGAATTTAAGATCAGATGGTGGATTTGGAACATCAATAACTGTCAATTGAATTTCTCTGATACATTGTCCAAGTGGACTTTCAGCGATAACTCGAACAATTCCAGAATTATCCATTGTTAAGTTCTTCATTCGAACACTTACACAATCATCATATTCAGAAATGATAGCGATAGCTTTTAGTGGTGTTCCATTGTTTGTCATATGAATTGTTGGTGCTGGGAATCCAGAGAAATCAACTTTGAAGTCGAATTCATTTCCAGCATGAACAATAACACCGTTTGCAAGAACTTCTGGAACTGTAACATTTGGTGATACTTCCAATTGAATTTTGGATGGAGCTGATTTTTCTTTTTCGGTGATTGAAATATAATAATCTCCAACATCATGATGATCAAAGTTCTTGATTTGAAGTGTGGCAGTTGTTCCTTCATTTTCCATTATAGCTTTATTCATTTGTGGCCAAATTTCAACATTATTCTTGAACCATTTGACTTTTCTCACAGGTTTTGATAATTTGCAAGTGAGAACAATGTTTTCACCAAATGATTTGACAATTTGATCTTGTGGTCCAACAAGAATATGTGGTTCTTCTTCATTTACAATAACTTCTCCTTCAGTTTTACTTCTTCCATCTGAAGTTTCACATTTATAAACACCACTATCGAAATCTGTCGAATTCTTGATTCGAAGTGTTCTTTTCCTAGCCATTGCAAAGAATTGAACTCTATCTGAAGCGACCAATCGTTTTCCATCCTTATACCAATTCACAATAGCTTCTTCATCCGATACTTCACAAGTCAATTCAATATCTTGTCCTTCAGCAATTTCAGTCATTTCCGAGAATGATGAATTGAAATGAGCACGAACATCGCTGATTGAAACTTCAGCTTCAGATTCCACAACACCATGAATGTTTTCAACAAGAATTTTGTATTTTCCTGCATCTTCTGAATTCATTTCATGAATAATCAATGCACTCATCGATCCTTCATTGATAATTTCGGTATTTTCATCCATTGGAATGATTTCTTTTCCATCCTTATACCAGATATATTCAGGTGCAGGATGTCCAGCTGCATGACATTCGAGACGCAATTCACATTTCTTTGGTATTTTAGTTGATTTGATACCTTTCAATACTTTTGGAGCATCTTCAGCCAAAACAATAACTGGAATTGTTGGTTCACTGAATTCCCCAGTTCCATGCTCATTTCTTGCTGCAACTCGGAATACATAAGCAATTCCTTCTCTCAAACCATCAATTGTGCAACTTGTTCCATTCGAATCAACACTTGCCCAAATTGATGATCCATCTGATTTATATTGGATAACATAGTCTTTTTCCTTCTCATCTGGAATCCAAGTGACTTCAACTTTTTCGTTGTCAATAACTTTTACGATTGGAATTTGCAATACAACTTCTGGAACCAATCCTTCTACTCTCAATTTGTCTGAAACAACATTTGAATTTGATCGAAGTCCAGCTTCATTGACAGCTTCGATTTTGAATTCATATTCTTTTCCAGCTCCAAGTCCTTTAACATGATATCCTTCATTAAATATAAGTTCTTCACCATTCAATTTCTGCCAATCTCCTCCATTTTCTCGCTTATAAACATCATAACCATAAATTGGAGAACCTCCATCATCGAATGGTTTTGGCCAGGATAGTGTACAAGTTGTTGATGTTGAATTCTCAATAACTGGAGCAGATTCCACGTTTGGAACTTGGAATGGGCTACCAGTTTGAACTGGTTTCGATTCAACAAATTCTCCAGTTCCGAATTTATTAACAGCAGCAATTCGAATAATATAAGGTGTCTCGATTTCCAAATCATCTACAATATGCGATGTTTTTCTGCCATTGACTGTTGCGACTTTGTGGAACTTTCTTCGTCCCGCTTCTTTCTTTTCAATGACATAAGATGTTACTTCGGCACCATTTGTTTCAGCAGGTGCTGTCCATTCAATATGCAAGCAATCGCTCTCAACTTTAACAACTGAAATATCATCTGGTGCAGATGGACTGTCGTTGACCTAAAACAAAATATAATTTAGTTTCATAATGTTCACTTTTGCAAATTATAAACCCCGGCAAATTCATTTAAAACCTAGGCTGACAAAAATGAGGCATTCGGGTATTTCTATACACTAATTTTATTTTTACACGTTTGCAGAAATGCCCGAATACACTTACACTTTTACACTATATACATTTTTACAATAATACACGAATACACTATTTTTGCTCCGGCTTGGAAAAAAGAAAATAAATGCCAAAATCTCAATGTCGAAACAAAATAATGGTTTCCTAAAGTGAATAAAAGGTTTCTGTTCGAAAATAAAGGATTTTAGAGTAAGAAAAGGGGTATTTTTCGGGTAATAAATAATTTCAGAAAATTAAAAAGGAATATAAAAGCCTGCTTAGAAAATGAATAATTAACTTTCCTTGGCTTTTGGCTTGAAATAACTCTGATTTTCAGACTTGAACATAATAAAAAACATGGAATTATCAACTTATCTACGATTTTCATGCTTTGGCTCTGCTAATTCTCATATAATGACTGTTTTTCACTATTTTTCAGTCTTTTTTGGCACTTTCAACAACTCTTTTCCAGAAAAATAGTGTAAAGGTGTAAAAGTGTAGCCTTATAAATAAAAATAGTGTAAACGGGCATCATTTCTAAAAACGTGTAGTGTAAATGGGTAAGCCATTTTTGAGCATTTCTAAAAATAGTGTATTCGGGTAATTTTTTGCCAGCCTATTAAAACCTTTTCGCTTTTTGTATTCGAACGTGACATTTTCAAATTAGCAATTGGCATTCTACAAAAAAAATCCAAAAATTATTTTTAAAAAATTCCACTAAAACGTGTCCTAATTTTCTATACCCTATTTATCGCATAGTATCAGAATCAGTTTTCTCTTTTTCTGGAACAACAAAACATGGCAGGAATTATTTGTGAGTTTCTTGGGTGCTACCGTAGTTTGCCATTTTATAGGAGGGCTCAACTGATACTAGGGTCTGTCCTGCGTTTTTACCTACCTGGACATCAAATTTCTGTGATACTTCTCCGAATTCATTTTTCAATTTCAATTCATATTCACCAGCATCAGCTTTAGTGACACCACGCTTTGATAATTTGATTCCATCATCTACCATATCAATACGAGTTCGACCGTCAAATTCAAGATCGCTTCCATCTTTTGACACTGTGAAACTAGCTTCAGGATTACTATCATAAGGAACATGAATTGACAATTTTTCATCTTTGTCCACCTGAAAAATGAAAGTTTTTGAGGTAATTGGAAAATTTACAGTCAACACGAAAAATATTCTTTGAAGAACATTTTTTCATGTTGATAGCATCTAAAAGGTTCTGGATAATTCATACTTTTGAAAGGAGAAACAAACAAAAAAGGGTTTGATTGTGTATAAGGATAACAACACTTGCCTGAATAACTGGTTTCTCATCTTTCACATTTTTCAATACTGGTTTTCCTTGAACAGTCAAATGTGTGCTACATTCGACACCATCACACTTGACAGTGTATTTTCCGGAATCTTCGTATTTTGCTCGTCTCAATGTTAATGAAACTGAACATCCGATTGAATCGATTGAATAATCTTGTGAGATTTCCAATGGTTTTCCATTCTTAAACCAAACAACTTGACTAACATCAATTGGATGATTCAAAGTAACAGAAATTGTTAATTCTTGTCCTTCTTTTCCAGTCGATTTTCTTGGAAGTAGTTTCACAAAATCGGTTGGAACATCTTCTACATTCAAAACAGTTGAACATGTTTGATCTTCACACGTTGCCGTGATTTTCATTCCAGAATCTTCAAGTTTGACATCATCGATAATAAGTGTTCGGAAGAATGAATGAGCCGATTGATGATATCTTGAATTCTTTCCGATATCTTTTCCATTAACTTGCCAAGTTACAGAATCATCTTCATTCACTAATTCGATTTCAATTTCAACATTATCTCCACTCATTGCTCGTGTTTCATTTGCAAATGTTGATGCAAATCCGGTTCTTCTTCGTCTTCTTCTTCCTTCCGAAGATGTTTTACTTGAAACACTTTCCTCGCCATCACTGAAAACAAGACTTTGTTTTTTCTTGATTATTGCAGCAACATCTTCTTCAACTGTTTTTTGCTCTTGATTCAATGTGAAATCGGATGATTTTGATACTTCTGCATCTGTTGTTGTTGTATCCAATGCCGAATCAGAACCATTTTCGGCTGGTTTTGTAGATGGTTCTTCTTTGATTGTTGCAATAGAAGATGTTTCGCTGATTACCGAATCTGATTTCTCAGTCTTCTTCTTTAATACTTTCTTCTTTGGTTTTTCGGTTTCTTCAGTAGATTCACTAATTTTTGAAACATCTGCCAAACTCGCTTCACTTTCACTTTTGTCAGTTTTCTTTTTGATAACTCTTTTCTTTGGCTCTTCAGTTGGAGCTGGTGGTTTTGTTGTTGGTTCTTGTTTCACCTTTGAATCATTGTCGCTAGTTTTCTTGTCGGATGATTGTGAAACTTCCGCCTCATCAGATTTGTTTGGTTTTGTAGAATCGATTTCTTGCTTGACTGATGATTTATCACTGACCACAGAATCGGATTTCTCCGTCTTTTTCTTCACTAATTTTTTCTTTGGTTTCTCAGCATCTGCAGATGGCTTATCAGATTCTTTTTTGGCAACTTGTTCCAATTTCTCTACGGATTCAGCTTTAGCTTGATCGTCCTTCTTCACTTGAACGTCTTCTGCAGTCTTTTTGGCTTCAGAATCTTTTTTGATTTTAGCTTGTTCCTCGGCCTTTTGTTTCTTCGCAAGAGCCTCAGCTTCAGCTTTGTCTTTTTCAGCTTTTTCCTTTTCAGCTTTTTGTTTCTTCGCGAGTGCCTCAGCTTCAGCTTTTTCTTTTTCAGCTTTTTCTTTCTCGGCTTTTTGTTTTTTGGCAAGAGCCTCAGCTTCAGCTTTGTCTTTTTCAGCCTTTTCTTTCTCGGCTTTTTCTTTCTCGGCTTTTTGTTTCTTGGCAAGGGTCTCAGCTTCAGCTTTTTCTTTTTCAGCTTTAGTCTTGGCGTCCTTTTCAGCTTTTTGTTTCTTCGCGAGAGCTTCAGCTTCAGATTTTTCCTTTGCTTCTTTTTCAGCTTTTTCTTTCTCGGCCTTTTGTTTCTTGGCAAGAGCCTCAGCTTCAGATTTTTCCTTTGCTTCTTTTTCAGCTTTTTGTTTCTTGGCAAGGGCCTCAGCTTCAGCTTCAGCTTTTTCTTTTTCAGCTTTAATCTTGGCGTCTTTTTCAGCTTTTTGTTTCTTCGCGAGAGCTTCAGCTTCAGATTTTTCCTTTGCTTCTTTTTCAGCTTTTTGTTTCTTGGCAAGGGCCTCAGCTTCAGCTTTTTCCTTTTCAGCTTTTTGTTTCTTCGCGAGAGCCTCAGCTTCAGCTTTTTCTTTTTCAGCTTTTTGTTTCTTCGCGAGAGCTTCAGCTTCAGATTTTTCCTTTGCTTCTTTTTCAGCTTTTTGTTTCTTGGCAAGAGCCTCGGCCTCAACTTTTTCCTTCTCAGCTTTTTCTTTCTCGGCTTTTTGTTTCTTGGCAAGGGCCTCAGCTTCAGCTTTTTCTTTTTCAGCTTTAATCTTGGCGTCCTTTTCAGCTTTCTGTTTCTTCGCAAGAGCCTCAGTTTCAGCTTTTTCTTTTTCAGCTTTTTCTTTCTTGGCAAGGGCCTCAGCTTCAACTTTTTCCTTTGCTTCCTTTTCAGCTTTTTGTTTCTTCGCGAGAGCTTCAGCTTCAGATTTTTCCTTTGCTTCCTTTTCAGCTTTTTGTTTCTTCGCAATAGCCTCAGACTCAGATTTCTCTTTCTCGGCCTTTTGTTTCTTGGCAAGAGCCTCAGTTTCAGCTTTTTCTTTTTCAGCTTTTTCTTTCTTGGCAAGGGCCTCAGCTTCAACTTTTTCCTTCTCAGCTTTTTCTTTTTCAGCTTTTTCTTTCTTGGCAAGGGCCTCAGCTTCAACTTTTTCCTTTGCTTCCTTTTCAGCTTTTTGTTTCTTGGCAAGGGCCTCAGCTTCAACTTTTTCCTTCTCAGCTTTTTCTTTTTCAGCTTTTTGTTTCTTCGCAATAGCCTCAGACTCAGATTTCTCTTTCTCGGCCTTTTGTTTCTTGGCAATAGCCTCAGCTTCCGATTTTTTCATAATATCAGCTCGATCTTGGGCGTCTTGTTCTCCAGCCTTATTTTTGTCAGATGTTGCAATTGAATCACCTTCGTTCGGTTTTCCAGTAGAAGATTTATCGCTGATTACTGAATCAGATTTCTCCGTCTTTTTCTTAATCAATTTTTTCTTCGGCTTTTCAACTTCTTCTGATGATTTTGTTTCTAAGTTAGTCTCACTTGGTCCATCTTCTCTCTTATTGTCCACTGTTGGTTTGATCGATTCTTTTCTAGATTTAACCTTCGAATCATCCAGAACTTTTGTTGCAACTGGTTCAGATTTATTTGATAAATCTTTTGCTTCAGAATCGGTTACTTTTGATTTGGTTGGTTTTGTAGATTCAGCCGACTTTTCGCTAATTACGGAATCTGATTTTTCCGTTTTCTTCTTGATCAACTTCTTCGTTGATTGTTCTACTGATTCATCGTCCTTGGTTTTCGCGTCAGTGCCAGATTTCTCCTCTTTCTTACTCAATTTCACCGTTGTCGAATCAGATGGTTCAACTTTTTCTTCTTGTTCAGATGTTTTTAGTTGCAAACTAATATCTGATTCAACATCTTGGGTTGCGGGTTCAACAGATTTCTTTGTTGTTTCGGGTTTCTTTCCATCCTCAACAGCAACATTTTCATCATCATCATCCTAAAGAAAAAGGGGTGTGCATAAGGGGAAAATGGGATTGATAGGATTGAATGTGCGATTTGCATTCAGGGTTCAACATAAAATTGGGAATTGGGTAATTAACACTCACTTTTTTCGATGATTTTGGTGGCAGTCCTTCTTTTTTACGATTTTTATCTTCAGGTGTTTCTGAACGCTTCTTGAAACTGAATTCGGCTTTTTCTTTAGCGCTTCCGACCTGAATTTGATTTTTTATAATTTGAAAAATGATTTTATGAAAATATAACATACTTTCATAGTAACACTAGCTGACAATGGTTCTGGAATTGATGGTGTGATAGCATCGGCACTCTTTTCTCTTCCACGAACAGTTGTGCTAATATTTGTTTCAGAATGAATGATACTTGGATCACCAAATCTTGAAGATATTTCATCTGGGATGAACAAGGCTTTTGGAATCTGAAAAATCAATATTTTTGGTAAACGGTCGAAAACAGCCATCATTTTAGGCGAGGAAAATTTTCAATTCGCAACCCTCTAACTTACCTTCTTCTGTTTCTTTTCTGCTTCTGGTGTCGATTCTTTTGATGGAACTGTCTTTGTTGGTTCATTTACTGGCTCAGCTGGTTTTTGCACTGGTTTTTCTTTTGGTGCTTCGGTTGGTTTTCTGACAGGTTTCTTGATTTTCTTTTTCTCCTCTGATTTGACTTCGACATTTTCAGTTGTAGGGAAATCGAATTTCTTGTCTTGTTCTTTTTCCTTTTTAGTTTCTTTGGCTTCATCCTTCTTCTCAATTATCACATTTTCTTCAGAAGGTTGATCATCTTTCTTGGTTTCTTCTTGTGAAATCTCAGATTTTTCTGTTTCTTTCACTTTTTTCACAACCTTTTTCTTTTTCTTATCAACATCAGCAGAAGGTTCGTCTTGCTTAGCTTTTGCAGTTTCAGCCTTGAGTTCATCTTCAAGTTTCGATTCTGAAAATTTAATATTGGATGTTAAATAACGGAGAAAACGATATCTGATTATGGTTTCTGAATCTTGAATACAACAAACATAGATGACTGGACAAAAGACATGGACAAAACAACACCTTGAGACATATGGACAATGACGTCACTAAAACACCAAGCTTCTCCAGCTACATTAATTGCTTGACACGCATATTCAGCCTCTTCATCTTTGCAAATATCTTTCAATATCAACCAATGTTTTCGCATTTCTTCCTCGTGACGAATTTCGAGCTGAAACAATTTTTTTGTTTCGAGAAAAAATCTACTTTAATAAGTAGATCTACCAACCTTTTCACCACTACTATCATCCAATAATTTTCCGTCTCGATAGAATCGAACTTGTGGTTCTGGTTCTCCAAGTGTTTCAACCATCATAATAACATTCTCTCCAACAACTGCATCGTGATCGGATAAGATTTTGTCGAATCTTGGTGGGATTAATTGTGTTAATCGTGGGGCGTTCGGGTTCTTTCTCTCAATAACTTTTTTGGTTCGTCGCTTCTTTTTTCGTCTTGCATCATCTAATTCGGAATCAGAAGATGCTTCGATAATACGCCGACCTCTTTGAAGTCTTCTACGACGATTGAAATGCTCATCATCTGGATATTCAGAACATTCAACAACAACTTGGAAATTACAACTATCAACTCCGGCAAGATTTTCAACCAGAAGACTATAATCATCATCATCTTGGAAAATCACAGTCAGCAATTCTTGCTTCAAATTCTCCATCAGAATGATATTCCAACTGATATTTTGTGGACGGTGCCATCATATCAATCTCCTTTCCATTTTTGATCCAAATTAATTCCGGTAATGGATAGCCCTCTACTTTTCCGGTCAATCTAAAAAGTCATTCAGGATTGCTTTAAAAAATAGTAATAACTTACGTAGCAACTTCTCCTTCTTTTACATGAACATCTCCAATTGGTTCCAAAATACCAGCAGAAACATGTTCTTCAGTATAATCATCAATAAATGAACCAGAATCTCTAACATCAAGAAGAATTGTGCATTTATCAACACCATAATCATTTTTCGCTTCAAATACCAATTTTCCACCGTCAGCTTTATCGATATCGGTGATGGCAACATTGAAAGTATGCATTGTTCCGGTTGTAAAACCATCAAATTTCATTTTTTCGAAGTTTGCAACCGGGAAGTCATTTCGATACATTCGAAGCTAAAAAAAATAGAAATTATTTTCAAATATTTATTTTTTTTTCTTCTTTAATAACTCACCGATGGGACTTCGTCGGCCACAATTTTAATTGAGAATGTCACTAGATCTCCTTCAATGCATCCAATATATTGCATCTTTTTGGCAAATGCTGGAATTCTCAAAGCAAGTGAATTTTCATTCTGACCATCCTTCTTTCTTCTTCTTCGTCTCTCAACTCGAACACCTTGTTCATCAAAAGTTATACTTTCAGCATCGCTGAATTCTCCATCCTGAGAAATGGCAGAAATTATGAATTTCTTTTTTCTTTTCGGTGGTCCACTACTAGATTCACCAGTTTGTTCAGCTTCCGAATCAGTTTCTTCGATAGTTTCTGTTTCGCATATTTTCAATGTTAATTCTCGTTTTACTTCTGTTGATTCATCAACTGATTTTTTATTGTTCAACCAGAAATCGGTGTCGGATGTTGAAAATTCATCGGTTTCTTTTAATTTTCCATCATTTTCTTCAACTTCATCGTGTTGTTCTTCTCCGGAAAGTTGGAAATGTGTAGTTTTTTCGGCAAATGTTACTCCCGCTTTTGGTTTTTCTTCGTGTTGTTTTGAAGCATATAAATTATCACCAGATTTCTCAAAACTAGATATGAGTGATGTTTTATTATCTTCGATACTTTTCTCATTTTCAACTGATATTCCTGAATCTGCAACCGATAGACTTGTTGTTTCATGTCGAGCAGATAATGTGTCTGAAGTTCCAGCTTTTTCTTGTTTTTTCTTCTTCAAATTTGATTTTTTCTTGACTTCTGAATATGAATCATTAATTGGTTCTTCTTCAATTTTGATAACAGTTTCTGCCATTTTTTCTTTCTCTTTTTCACTTGCTTCGATGTGTTCATCAGTGGAAATTGATTGATTTTCCAATTCATCTTTTTTCTGTTTTTGTTTTTTCGGAGTTTTTATTTTCAAATCGAGCCTTGAAGAATCTTTAGAAATAACTTGTTCTGCATCTTGAACTACGAAATCATTTGTCAATTCAATATTCGAACTCTTCTCGTCATACTGTGTTTGATCATTATTAATTCCAATTTCTTGTGTTGTCTCCGCCGATTCACTAGTTCTGTCTAAATCTTGGTCCACATCTATTGTCGTTAGTTTTGTTTTGGAATTATCAGAAGAAATCACCTCACCGATTTCATTTTTCTCATCGTTTTCAATTGCAATATCAACATTTTTGAGTGATAATTTTTCTGATTCACCAATATTCGATGTTCCGATTGTTGATGAAATATTGGCTTTTTCTTCATTTTTCTTAAGTTTCGGTTTCGTTTTTTTGGTGTGCAAAGAGTCTTTGGCGTTTTCTGAAAGTTTCATATCAATCTCGGTTTCTAATTTTTTATCTTTTTCTCGAAGATTTTCTGTTAAAGATAGAACTTCCAACGAATCGCTTTCTGTAGATGTTTGATTTTTATTTTTCTCAGCCGTTTCATTTTGAGAAGCATTGTCGAATTCCAATTGTTTTGTTATCAAGTTCATTGAATCCACATCTTTGTTTTTGTTCGATAAATTATTAGAAACTTCAAGATCTTCAGATCCTTTGACCAAATCAGTTTCAGTTGTTTGAACATCCAAAGAATCTTTGAGTTTATCATTATTTATTGATTTTGTTGTTTCCGATTCCTCATCATGTTCTGAAATGATATGTTCTGAATTAGTCACCGCCAACACATCTGAAGATTTTTTGTCTCCAACAATTTTCGAGGCTGACTTTTTCTGTGGTTTCTTTTTCTTGGTTTCTTCCAAGCTCACAGACTTTTCATCGACAAGATCTATTTGGCCAAATGTCGAAATTTCAATCTCGTTTTTATTCATAACATCTTCGGACTGTTCAATATTCAAAATAACTTTATCGATCTCACTCTTTGGGATATTTTCCAGAGCTGATAATTCACTTTCGTTCTTTGGACTCAAAACTTTGTTGGTATCAATAACATCGAGGGAATCAGTTTCTTTTGTTGATTCATTGAATTGTTTTTCGGCTGCACCATTAGCATCCTTCTTCTTTTTCTTTCGAATATTCGATGTTTTTTCTCCATAACTTGTGGTTTCTCCTGGTTTGTTTTCCAGTGAAGTTGAGGCATGTTCCGATTCCTCTGATTTTTCGAAATCTTCAGAAGCTATTCCAACAGCCAAACTATCCTTTTCTGACTCATCTTTATTTGTCAAACTTGCTGATTCAGATTCGTCTGATTTTTCCAAATGTTTTTTATCAGAAATAATGTTCAATTGATCAGATTCTTTTGCATCAATATCGAATTTTCTCTCGGTCATTTCTTCCGTTTCCAGCATTTTATCAAGTTCAGATGTTAAACTTTTATCAGCATAACTTGTTTTTGTTTTTTTAATAGGCGATGGATGTTTTAGACTTGTTTGAACTGCATCTTCTTCGTCCTTCTTGTTCAATTTTTGATTTTTGGTAGTGATGGAGAGATTTGCATCAGAATCATTAATATTTTCTGATTGAGTTGTTTCAACATTCGCTTTTGATGGAACTTTCTTTTTCTTGATTTTCAAATTCTTCTCCTCATATGATGTTTTTTCATCTTCAATTCTCTCATCGCCGGTCAAAGAGGCTTCTTCGAATTCGTCTGATCTTGTCAATTTCTTTTTCATTCCACGAATAGCCAATCGATCATTTTCGAGTTGTTTTTCGGGAATAATATCATCTACAGATTCTTGTTTTGCGGATGCATCAAAACTAACATGACGAGTTCTTGTTGTTAGTGAAGTTTTATCGTGATTGTTGACAGCAACAGCATGATCGGATGAACCATTTGAACTTTCTTTTGATTCTAATTCTGCACTGATTTGTGTGACTGCCATTGCTGAAGAATCTGTGTTTTTCGATGGAATAACATTCGAGATTGATTTATCTTCTTTTTTTGTTGATTTTTTCTTGGATTTCAAGGTGACTTCAGAGAATGAATCATCGGTTGAAGTTGGAATTCCAAAACTTCCAGACGTTTCAATATCTCCATCGAATTCTTGAGATTTGTTTGAATTCAAAGTAATTTCAGAGAAAGATGTGATTTCTGCTAGTTTCGGAGCTTTGTTCACTTCAGTATCCTCATGTTGATTAATAGATTTTGATTTCTTCGATTTGAGTGTGACTTCTGAAAAGTTGTCAGCATCAGAGTTAGACAAAGAAGTTTCATGAATAATTTCTTCGTTTTCTTCTTTTCCAGATGATTTTTTCGCATTCAAAGTTATATCTGATAATGATTGTTGTTCATTTTGTTTTTCAGTGTTTGACAATTCGGTTTCTTCATTTTCTTGTTTTTTATTCTTCAAAGATTTTTTGGTTGTTTTTATTTCCATTTTATCATCATCATGTTCTTTTTCGGATATTGAATGTGTTGTTTCAGCTTCTTCTTGTTTTTTCTTTCTTTTTTTCGTTGAATCTTGAACTGCCATCGAGAATTTTTCCTTGTTTTTCTCATCATCGCCAAACCTTTTTTGGGCGTCTTGATTTTCATTTTCATTTTCCAATTTGATATTTTTATCAATGATATTCAAATTATCTTTCTCTTCATTACTTGCATCAATTTCTCCGGAAGTTTGAGCTAGATTTTCATGTTTTGAAATATTTTCGTTTGCTTGAGTGATTGCTAAACTTGTCTCATCATTTACCGAATCAATATTCCCAAGAGAAACATTTTCATCTTTGTTTTGTTTTGATTTTATATTTTTGTTGATGGTTCTTATCGAAATGGCATCTCCATCTTTATTATCTTCAGTTTTCGTTAATTCAACAGATTCTTCAGCAACACCTTTTTTGATTATTTTCTTCTTCAAAGTTTGCGATGCCAATGTAGTAGATTCCGCGGTTTGTTCATCAATGTTTTTTGAAACTTCAAGTTCATCAGTGGAATTTTCAAGACTTTTGTTCAAATCAATAACTTCCAAATAGTTTCTCAGATCTTTCTCAGATATATTTTCCAAAACATCAGCTTCTTCTTCCAATTTTTCTTCAACAACATCAGCGTCAACATCAGATTCTCGAATATTCAAACTTCTTGTCAAACTCTTTCTATTCGATTTTTTCATTTGTTTCTCAGTGTGTCCAGATTCTTCAGGTGAATTGAAAGTTGAATCGATATTGGTGTTTTCTTCAGTCTTTGGTCTTGTATTTTTATCATCTTGCTCTTTTTCTTGGCCATCTTCACTCTCTGAAAAATCAATTTTCAGAAAAAAATAGAATAAAAAAATAAGAAGTCAAGTACCTTTGCGATCTTTTCGTTTTTCAGCATCATTTTTGTCGGTAGACTTTTTAGCGGTAACTGTAAAAATAAAAATGTATCAATTCTTGTTGACCCCTCCCACCCAAAAACAGAAAAAAAACTACCTGCTGACACAGAAAACCTGAAATTATTTTTTAAAACTTTTTTCATAGCATGCAATACAAACACAAACATGCAATTCAGATTCAGAATCTAAATCAGATTTTTCGTAGTCAAACTCACGACTTTGCTCATCTTCTTCAACTGATTGTTGATCTGAAAGATAGAAAAAGTGATAAAAGGATTTGTGCGAGAAATGCGTATTGATGGAACACGTGTTGACACATACTTAACAACTCTAAATTCTTCTTGTCAAGCAGGACTTGTGTACGAGAGTAGAAATTGGAAAAAAGAAGAAGAAGAAGAAACTATTTTGTTACAAAAAAAGAGAGAGATGAAAAAATGGATTTTTGAAAAATTGTAGTATTTACTAGTAAAACATAAGGTGTTGTATCGATTTTTTCTTGAAAATTACCGCCGGATGATTTTGTTTGCATTGTTGTTGACTTTTTCTTGATTTATATTATTATATGAAATTTCTGTTCTCTGCGAAGATTTCGGGAGAATTTTTGATGTTTGAGCATTTTATCAGACTAGAAAAAATTTAATTTTTTCAGAGGAAAAAATTCATTTCGAAAAATGCAGAATTCTGTATAAAAACTATGTTTCAAAAATATAATTAACAAGGAAAGGTTTTCAATGTTCCCCCAAGGAAAAAATCGAGAGTATATGGAATTTTGAGGGTTCCCATGGGTAAGAAAAACCCTAACGGGAATAAGGAGAAAAATGCCTTGTTTTAGAAAATTTTGGTGTTATTGATTTTTGCGATGAAATTTTTTAGAAAAATCGAAACTTTTTTTCAAAATTGATGAAAAAAGTCAGTCTAAAAATCCATTTGTAGCGCAAACGGCGTACTTTAATATTACTTCCACTAAAATTAGGAATAAAATAATTTTGGTCCCAAAAGTCCACTAAATCAAAAATCCAGTTTGAAAAATTCATAGAAAATCAACGTTTTCGTTGTGAAGGAGAAGTTTGTGTGAATCGAGACTATGATTTTTGGATTCTACGGACCAAATTACGTCTGTTGACCGTCATAAATTTTTCAAGTTCCGTTCATTTGAAAATGGAAAAAATTATTTTTTGTGTTTTTTGGTGACCATTTGATCAGAAAAACCCCGACTGAAAAAACCAAATTTCAAAAAATGTCTAATTTTTTGATAAAAAGTTTCACAAACACGTAATCGACCATTCTGAACAACTTCCACGACTCAAAAGTTCATGAAATAGATTCAAAATCGAGTTACAGATGCTCTAAAAATCAAAAAATGGTGTAAAAATCGACCTAAAATACATTTTTTCTCGAGAATAAGGCATTTTTCTCCTTATTCCCGTTAGGGTTTTTCTTACCCACGGGAACCCTCAACATTCCACATACTCTCGATTTTTTCCATGGGGGAACATTGAAAACCATTCCTTGTAAGTGTTTTTGAGAATGAAAAAATCATGAGCTCGAACTAATTTTTTTTTTGAAACCTGGTTTTTGAATCTTGAAATAATTGCTCATATTCAAAAAAAACATCTGGATTTTTTCGTTGAAATTCCATGTTGCTCAAAAACAACAAAAACAGAGCGTGAGAAAATCAAATTTGAGAAAAATAAATAAACAATGCTATGGAATTATTCACAATTAAAAAAAATCTTATATATCAAAACTACTCGGTCAGAAAACGGCGGGGTCGCTACCGATCGGAGCGGAGTCGCTACACGTTTTTTGTTCCCCGAAACGTGTAGCGACTCCGCCCCGATTGGTAGCGACCCCGCCGTTTTCTGACCGAGTAATAATTTTGCTCAATCAATATTTTGCAGAAACCTTATAAATCTGACTTTGTATAAAATAACACATTTTTATGGATCAAGAGATACAAAGAACATAAATCGCAAGAATGTCAAGTGCTTCACCACAATTGAAAATTTCTCGTGTTTTTGCATTCTCTGAACACACATACACTTGAACATCAGAAATTATTATATCAAATTTTTCGTGAAAATTCAGTAATTTTGTCAGAATTTTGTAAGCAAAAAAAAGTTTCGTGATTTTTGGTGTGTTTGTTGTTATGAGATGTCGTTGAGCAAACATATCTAATATCTATTTGGATGTGTGAAACAATTCAGACAGAAAAAATGAAAAAGAAAATATTGAACAACAACTAAATAAAATAATATAATGAATTATGAGGAATTCTTGAAATGAGGAATAATGAGATATAGAATACAATAAATGAATGAGAGGACGAACGAAACTAAACTAAACAGGCGGCTTTGCGAGATAGATAATGTCAATATTGCGCGGGGGCGACGATCTTTTTTGCGAAATGAAAAATATGAAAGAGAGGAATCTTGTAGCAGTGTCTGTAGTAGTGATCAGCAAATAAATAATAATAGGCACCCAATAAAAAATAACAACTAACCTTCGGCATTCTTTGTAGTTATTTCAATTGTTTCACTTGGTTCACCTTCTCCAGCTGCATTTATTGCGGTCACACGGAACACATAATCAGTTTCAGAGAATAATCCAGTGATTGTTGCTTTGGTGTCTGAAATGGTGCATGAGTTTCGCCATCTTGAAGATTCGCCCGATTTTCTTTCAACAAAATATTCAATGACTTCTCCTCCTGAAAATTGGAAAATTATTGAAACTGTAATTGGAGAGCTAGAATTAGAAATGAAGCTAATCTTGAATTTTAGTGATCCTTTTTAAGTAAAAATAATTATTCTTAGGGCGATTGAACTTCTAATTGTAAGGTAAGCTTCATTTCTGGTTTATCCTCTCAAACTAACCATTAATGTTTTGAGGTTGTTGCCATTTTAATGTTATTTGATCTTCGGAACATTCCACAATTTCTAATTTTACGGGTTTGCTTGGAACATCAATGATAGAAATAGGAATAACCAATTCATCATTGCTATCCGAGTTTTCGATGCGAATTTTGATTTCTCCACTATCGGAAACTTTAACTCGTTTCATCCGAATTGAAATGATATCATCATAATCTGTAACATCAGCTCGAACGCGAAGATTTTCATTGTTATGAAGAAGTTCAACTTTGGTTGGTCGGGGATAACCTTCGAATTTCAAACTGATATCCAGATTCTTGTCAGCAATGATTGATTGAGGAAGTTTGGAATCAATATTGATTTTACATGGAATTTTAATATCGAGTCGAGCGAAATTTGATTTTTGTTCATTATCAAATACGGCGTAGATATCTCCAATATCTTTTTCATCAATATTTTTTATGGTTAAAACTGATGAATCGTCTGTTGTTTCAACTGATGTTTTACCATAGACAATTCGAATTTCGCGATCACCACGCATCCATTTAACATAAATTGGTTTTTTCGAATATCTCACACTAAATTTGACCTCATCGGAAATTGAAGTTACGGTAACTGGTTGTGGATGAGATGTGAAAACTGAATCCGGAACAATTTCTTCTTCTTCTTCAGTTTTAAGTTTGATAGTTGAAGATGTTTCAGAATCTTCTTGTGTTTCAGCCGCACTTTCTTGTTGAGGTAGTTTGATATCGGCATCGGTTTGAACATCTTCCACTTTTTTCGCTTTTTTAACTTTCTTCACAATTGATTTTCTTCGGGGTTCTTCCGGTTTCTCATCAGTTTTTTCGTCGACAGAATCAGATTTGAGTTTGATAGTAGCAGATTCAGATTGTTCTTTGGTATCTTCAGTTATTTTCGAATCCGATTTTATAGTTACACTTGATTCAACATCTGATGTTTTATCCTCAGCCGATTCAATTTCTTCAGAAACCTTTTTGATTTTCTTCGTATCCTTTTTGACCACAGTTTTTTCTTCCAATTTATATTCTGATGGTTTATCAAGTGTTTTAGATTTTTCCTCTTCATTTTTCTTGCTTTTTGTTTCATCTTGTTTGACAGCGATTTCAGAGTCTCCACTCAATTTATTTTCGGAAACTTTTTCCGATTCAGCTTTTGATGATTTCTTCAATTTTTTCTCCGGAGTTTTCTTGGATTCTACTTCTGTTTGAATTTTTGGCTCTTCATCCAAATTTCGATCAACTGTCACTTCAGGTTTCTTCGATGGTTCAATCTTCGAATCAGTTACCTCTGGGATTTTCTTGGCCTTTTCTTTTTCTGTCGCAACTTTAGATACTTCAGAAGGTTTGGAAACAGTATCTTTAGGCTTGGGTTCGTCTTTCACAATGTCAGATTTAGAAACTTTTCTCAATTTCTTATCTGGTGTTTTCTCAACTTCAGACGTTTCCTTGTTCGCAGTAACTTCGGCTTCTTTGATAACCTTTGCTTCAGTAATCTTTTCTTCATTCTTATCTGATGAAATTGTAGATTTTTTCTCTTTTTCCTTTGGCTCATCTTTCACCGCATCTATTTTTTTCATCTTCTTTGCAGAAGTATCTGATTTTGTTGGCACCTCAGGTTCAGAAACTTTACTAATTTCCTTCTTTTGAGCTTGAACTTCAGATTCCTTTTCATCAACAATTGTGATCTTTGTATCCTCTTTCACAGATTGTTTTTCGGAGTCCTTTATTGAGTCAACTTTCGAAGCTCTTCTCAACTTCTTTTCTGTTGTCTCCTTAATTTTCGGCTCATCTATTTTAGCAGAAACTTCAGGTTCTTTTGTTGTCTTTACTTCACTGAATTTTTCTTTTGGAGTTTTCTCGATCTTCGTTTCATCTTTTCCTGATAAAACTGTCGATTTTTTCTCCGCCTCTGATGGTTTTCCAGATTTTTCATCCAGCGCCTTCTCAGAAGTTTGTTGAATTTTTTTCTCATCATTAACCACTGGTGTTCCAGATGTTTTCTCTGCGTCGGATTTAGAACCTCTTCTCAGATTCTTCTCCGGAGTTTTCTCAATTTTCAAATCTTCTGCAGGGATTACAGGTGCCTTTGAATCCTTTTCATCAATCTTCTTTAATTTTGTATCATCTTTTTCAGCAAGAACTTCAGAATCTTTGCTGGATTTCTTCTTCGGTGTTTTGTCTTGAGTTTTGGACTTATCATCCAATTTGTTCTCAACAATTGTTTCAGTCTCAGATTCTTTTTGTTTAACTTCAACTTCTAATATCTCATCATTGGATTTCTTCACTGAATCAGTCTTCGATTTGTCTTCAGTAACATCTTGATCTTTACTTCCATCCTGCACAGGAGAAACTTCCTCTTTTTTCTCTGATTTGGGTTTGGTCGGTTTTTTAAACTTCTTTTCTGCAATTTTCTCCACCGATGCTTCATCTTTTACAGCTGGTTCTTTCATTGATTTTTCTAATTGAGCTTCAGGAACTTCATGAATAACTTCCTCATTGTTAACTAAAGTTTCGTCTGGCTTCTTTTCGGTGTCAGTCTTCGCAACTTTTTTCAATTTCTTTCCTGAAACTTTCTTTGATTCAACTTCGATTGGAACCACTGCTTCAACACTCTCAGAATCCGCAATGACTTTTTGATCGTCAGGTTCATGCTCATTCTCTATTGTCACAGATGTGACATCACATGAAACTTCGACAGATTCAGTTTCAGTTGCAATTCTCTTAGGTTTCTTTTTGATTTTCTTCTCTTGTTTCTTCTCTGGTTCTTGATCAACAATGATTTCAGAAGTGACTTCGGCATCGATTGAAACATCAATTGGTTCAGTTTTTTCTTGTAACTCTTGAGTTTCATTGCGTTTTTCAAAATCAAAAGTTTCTTCTTGATCATAATCTAATGTATCCACTTCGATTATATCACTTGGTGCACCTTCACCAAAGCCATTAACAGCAACAATTCGGAATGCGTAGAATTCATTTGGTACAAGATCAACTGCAGTGTATTTCAGGTCTTGAACATGTCCAATATTTCTCCATCTTCGACTCTCTGTTGATCTTCTTTGTACAATATAATGTAGAATATCCGAATCACCAGAATGTGGAGGAATCCATTGGAATGATGCTGAAACATCAGTCAAATGAATCAACTGTGCTTTTCTTGGTTTCAAAGGAGTATCAACTAGTGAAATATCCAATGTGGTTTCGTCTTTTCCATATTTGTTTTCAAGCACAATTGTATATTCTCCTCCTTCTCGCTTATTCAGCTTTGGAATATACAAAGAGACAATGTTATCATAGACTTCATATTTCACATCGAATGATACGGGTTCACCCTTCAAAAGGATCTTGAGCCTTGGAGCAGGAGATCCAGTGAAATTGAATTTATATGAGAATGATTTTCCAGCCTGATGAGTGATTGCTTTTTGAAGTCTGAAAAAAATTAGTTTGATTTTTTTTTAATTCCCGAATAAGCATTTACACTTTAATTTTATGGGGTGATTCAGGTCGAAAAAAAAACTAAAAAAAAAAGTTTTTTTTTAAATAAAATTTCGATTCAGCCAATGTCAAAAAACGATATTTTTTCCTATTTTTCGACATTTTTAAACATTTTTTTTTCACTGAAACATTTTCGCTCTCTCTAGGATTACTGTAGAAAACAATGTGTGCATGCATTTTAAATGACGCGCAGTTGTTTTTATTTTTCTCTTTTTGGGCGGTCGGCTTTTTTTCTGTTTTTTCTGTGTTTTTCGTGGATTTTAAGTGTTTTTCTCGCTAAAATAGAAGTAAATGTTTGAAACAAACAGGAATTTCATCTCTTTACATGTTACTCTCTGTCGGCTAGGAAGTAGAATTTTCGGCTCTATCATGAGGTGATTCAGGTCGAAAAAAAACTAAAAAAAAACGTTTTTTAACAAAAATTTTCGATTCAGCAAATATCTATCAAAAACTATTTTTTCACTGCTAGGACTACTGTAGAAAACAAAGTGTGCATGCATTTTATATGACGCGCAGTCATTTTTATTTTTCTCTTTTTGGGCGGTCGGCTTTTTTTCTGCGTTTTTCGTGGATTTTAAGTGTTTTTCTCGCTAAAATAGAAGTAAATGTTTGAAACAAACAGGAATTTCATCTCTTTACATGTTATGGGGTGATTCAGGTCGAAAAAAAACTAAAAAAAAAACGTTTTTTCTACACTAATTTTTTTTTGTAAAAAAACGTTTTTATTTTAAGTTTTTTTCGACCTGATTCAGCTTACAGATCTGATCTTCAATATAGTATTTACTAAAATTCTCCTACATTTTTTGACTCGATCAATAAACTCCTTGTATATAAATTTATAAAAACTCCTTGTATATAAATTTTTTTATTTGAAAGTACGTCTTCTTCCTCTCACTAATTCTCTCTCCATTCTCTATGCTCTCTCATTTACCATCTCTATTTTTTTTGGTGGTGCGTCTATTTACTGGCGACTAACTTTCTTATATATTAAACGGTGTGCCTGTCCGCTAGACCTACTTTTGTGCCCTAGATTATTCGACGTGAATCATTTTGCTCATTTCTGATTTTTAAAAACGTTCGGATTGTGGCCTTAATTTTTCAAAATGTATCGTGAGTTTACTTGAAGAAAGGTGTGAATATTGGAAAGCTCTGAAGGTAATAGACCTAAGATTGTAGTGAGATGATTATTTTTGGTTTCAGCTTTGTATTTATAAAATTTAAAGTTTATAGAATCTCGTTTTTCGTGATTATTATACTCCAACTATGTTTGATAAATAAATTTTAAATCACAAAAAACTAGAGATTATATAGATTTCAAATTTTATCCAAAACTGAAACCGAAAATAATCATGTCACAACAAGTCTATTCCCTTCAGAGCTTTCCAATATGCACACCTTTCTTCAAGTAAACTCACGATTATTTGTTATTTTTCAACTAAAACACCGCGAAATTATTTTTTTTGTTAAATTAAAAAAATTCCTAACCTAGTCCCGCAATTTTTTTTTAAATCACTGTGGATAGATCACGCGCGATTTCACTCTCTTTTTGTCTCCTCTCTCTCGTTTGGACGCCAATATTTTGGAATATCGTTTTGAATCAATAAAATACAACCAAAAGTTTCATTAAATTGAAAATATTTTTCAGATTGGCCGTGAATGAAAATATTCGAGATGATTTTACATCAATTTTGAGCGAGATGACAATCGAAATTTCAAAGGTTAGTTCTTTTTTTGGGTTCGATTGAGTAGTAATGTTTTAGTCTGAGGGAGTTCTGATTTGCATTTGAATCGAGGATGCTTTTGAAAGGAAGTTTTAGAATATTTTTAAAACTTTGAGGTCGGGAGAGATAATATTTCTTTTTTTTTTTTGAAATATGAAATAGGCATTTGTTGTTTCTAAAAGTTGTTAGAACTTTGAGACAAGACGGGGGATATATTGGGTTTTTTGTGGATATGGACAAGTATCTTGGGGAAAAATGATTTAAAAATGAAAAAAAGGCATTTCATCAAAAATTCGCTTGATGATAGTAAAAATAAAGCTGAAATTATGTTTTATATTTTTATTTTTTTGAAGTTTGTTTTTGTTATGTGATTTTTTATGACTTGATTTTTTTCTCAAACGGTGTAAAATACAAATCGATTTGAATCTTGCACTGGTTGAGGTCATCAACCAATTTTTCGAAATAATTCACAGAATATCTAGTTTTTTGTGATATGTATAGTCAAACTATATCAATTGCAAGAGATATAATGAGTTCAATAAACAAAATTCAATTTTTAGCTCATAAACGAGAATGCCGAAAAAAAGAACGTGTCTTGAATAACGTGTTCTGAATGACGAGTTCGAGTATGCCACGAGATGCCTTGTTTATGTCGCTCATTAATTTTTCTGATCGAGATTAGAAACGGTGGTTTTCTAATCTATATTTATCTAACTTCTATTCTAAAAGTGAGAACTGGCAGAAAGCTGAATGACGCGGTTAGCAAGGTATGGTTTTATGAAAGGACACTTAGAGGGTAGAAGTAAATTAGGCTCCGATCTTACTGGTGGATGGGGCCATACATCGCAATCTTCCCCTCTGAACCTCAAAGTGATACACCCTATTTCAAAAAAAAATTCGCGAGTGATACACCCTAATTTTTGTCTGGAAGGCGAAAGCCTTCCATTAAAAAAAATTTTTTTTGTTCTCAAAAAAAAATTTAAAAATTTTGCAACACCATTGCTCTTGGCAGGAATCGATCCAGCGACTTTCAGCGTTATGAGCTCGAGCCCTAACCACTGCGCCAAGCTTGCACTTTTCTTCCCATTCTTCTTTTTTAAAGATATGATTGGTGAGATGAGAGATAGAAAAGAGAAGAGATAATCAGCTTGAAGAAAAATTTGCATATTTTCAGTCTGACAATTGTCAAAATAATACTTGAACGAGTAAAAGTTGAAACATGAAACTTGGCACACATAAAATTAAGCGTATTCTGAAGGATATTGAACAATAAAATCGGAGGGGCAGACCCTAGAACTCAAGGTGCACACCCTGTCCACTGAAGAGGCCTTTTTTGACTAGTTTAGGGGACCGGGTATGCACCTCACTTCTGAGTCATTATTTCGTGTAGAACTTTTTAGAACTTTATAGTAGAGGAAATTTGCTAACTTTCCATTCAAAAATATTCTAGAAAACCTTACTAAAATGTCATTTCCTTGAGGGGTGAAAATGTGCATTTTTTACAAAAAAATTTTTTTTCGAAATTGAAGGAAATTCAAGATTTGATTTTCGTTTGTTCTTTAAATCAAACTACTGACTTAATTTGAGCCACTGAACAACGTGGTGGCCATCAATTTTTGATTTCCTCGATGGTCTCGAGTCGAAGATCGAGAGAAACATCCGAATTCCATCAATGTCAAAATCATACAAAATACATCGCGTTTCGATTCAATAATGATGTTTAGGATTAGGCATGCTCAAATCGAAGTGTTTTATCGAAAATCCAATAATAATATGCCATGAAAATCGATTTTTTGGGTCATAACAATTTTTCTAGATGGTCTCACTGGAACTATCGGAATAGATCTCATAATGAATGAAAATGTAGTATCAGAGTTGGAATTAATAGGTGAAATATATATATATTAAGGCATAGGCTGAGTAAACTACTATTTGTGGCAAAATTGAAGTTTTCAAGTTAGTTTTAAAAAAACTGAAAATTTTCAGAATCAGCTTTAATGATCTGAAAGGCCACCACTAAAAAAGTTTCAGAAAATATCTCAGAATCGTGTGCACTACAGACCCAAATAGCTCAAAAAAATTTGTGCCTGATTTGAAAAAGGTTAAGTGGTTAATAGCAAAAATCAAAAGTATCCATCTTTTTGGCAATTACTGTAACTCGTTTTGGAAAAGTTTCTGGTAGTATTTGAGGCCACCACGTTGGTCAGTGGCTTAAATTAAGTCAGTAGTTTGATTTAAAGAACAAACGAAAATCAAATCTTGAATTTCCTTCAATTTCGAAAAAAATTTTTTTTGTAAAAAATGCACATTTTCACCCCTCAAGGAAATGACATTTTAGTAAGGTTTTCTAGAATATTTTTGAATGGAAAGTTAGCAAATTTCCTCTAATATAAAGTTCTAAACAGTTCTACACGAAATAATGACTCAGAAGTGAGGTGCATACCCGGTCCCCTAAACTAGTCAAAAAAGGCCTCTTCAGTGGACCGGGTGTGCACCTTGAGTTCTAGGGTCTGCCCCTCCGATTTTATTGTTCAATATCCTTCAGAATACGCTTAATTTTATGTGTGCCAAGTTTCATGTTTCAACTTTTACTCGTTCAAGTATTATTTTGACAATTGTCAGACTGAAAATATGCAAATTTTCTTCAAGCTGATTATCTCTTCTCTTTTCTATCTCTCATCTCACCAATCATATCTTTAAAAAAGAAGAATGGGAAGAAAAGTGCAAGCTTGGCGCAGTGGTTAGGGCTCGAGCTTATAACGCTGAAAGTCGCTGGATCGATTCCTGCCAAGAGCAATGGTGTTGCAAAATTTTTAATTTTTTTTTTGAGAACAAACAAAATTTTTTTTTAATGGAAGGCTTGCGCCTTCCATACAAAAATTGAACCTCAGTGATACACCCCCTCAATTTAGAAAAATTGCAAAGTGATAGACCCTAATGGCCCCTGCAGGGGGAGCGATGCGATCTATGGGATGGGGGGCTAATCTACACTGGGTAGGATTTTCTTTATTTGTGTACGACACTGGGGGCCGATCTACATTGACGCGTTTTTGCCGGTTAACTTACTTATTGGTTATGATTGGTGGAGCTGGTCCAGATAATTGAGCGGGTTGACTTCCAATCTTACCATCGATAAGCACGTGATATTTTCCCTTCATTTGTGGTAAGAAACGATTCAATGACAGAGTTGTTGTTTTTTCAACTGTTTCAATTACGACATCATCAGTGTTTTCAATAATCATACCATTGCAGAACCATTTCGCTTCGCTTATATCTTTTGATGTTTGACATTTCAAAACGATCAAAGAATCAAAGTTTTCAATTGATTGAGAAATAGGATGAATAATAATGGATTGTTCGTCCGTTGGTAATGTTATAGTGAAAGAAACCTCATCTTTGGATGATAAGTTACTTTCAGCTTCTCCAATTTCTTCAGCTTTTCTGATTTGGTCTTTAGGCATTGAAATATCTTTTGATACTTCGTCTATGACTGTCGGCGGTGGGAAAACATTGACTCCGTCAGTATCATCAATATTACTCAAACTGACATCACATTCAATAGATTGGCTATCATCTTCTTCGCTTTCATATTCTTCCATAATGCTCAATTCCATTTGATCATAGTCATAGAAATTGAGATCAACAAGAGCATCTGTATGGATTGATTCTTCGCCTGCTTCGATATCCACGTCCACAAAAATGAGACTACTTCCTGCAAAACGAGTTTTATATTTTTCTTTCGACAAACATTACCTGAATTTGTTCGTTTTCTTTCTAACCCTGATACTTCTGGTTGTAAATGCGTTGTTTTATCATCTTGCTCGGTTTCTTTTACTGCTATTTTCTCCTTCCGGTGTGTCTTTTTCTTCTTTTTCAATGTTTTCTTTGGTTTGGGACTTGATATAGACAATCCATCGACTACATCAGTGAGCAAACAATCTATAATCACAGGGATTACAATGTAACTTGGAAAATGATCAGTATAAGTTTTTTTTGAGAAAAAGTATGGCCTTTCCCAGAAAGAAAAAGTCTAGAAGGTTTTGGTATACCGAATATGATCTTTGAGGTATCTTTGATTTCTTGTCACCCCCCTCCCCCTTTATAAATATTAATTAATGTTAAAACTTACTCTCATCAAGTCTACTAGGCCTTTCTGGATCTTTAGATGAAGATTTCTCGAAAATTATACCGATTCCTATTTTGTCTGTTCTTTGTTTGACGAAGGACTGAAATTTTTTCAAAATAATTCTGTGGAGAACTGAATTAGACTTACTGCATTACATACGACTTCGAGAACATATGGTTGTTCGGTGGATAGTTCACAGCATAATTTTGGAGAAATATAAAAAATAGATGATGATGATTTTTCTTTCGAATTCAAAGATATATCTATGGAAACAACATTCTCCTCTTTTTTCTTTGATTTTTTATCACCAGCTTGTTTCCCTTGGCCGTCCACTACGAGTGTTTTCTTCTCAACAACTTTTTCACCCGCATCAGGATTGGCTGCATTTTCGAGTTCCATTTTATTTCTGGTGTTTTTTTCCGCCTTGCTTTGTTCGATATTTGGCTCTCCAGGTTTAGCATCTTCTTTGACCTCGGAAACTTTAACTGGTTTTTTATCATTAGGTTGGACAGTATTTTCAACAGAATCCGATTTCTCAGTTTTTTTCTTCACTAATTTTTTGGTTGCCTTTTCCGCATTGTCTGCTTTAGCTTCGGTTTCTAATTTATCTTTAGCATCCTTATCTGCCTTCAGCTTCAAATCCTTTGCAAGTTTCTCTTGAGCATCTTTCTCTGCCTTTTGTTTTTTGGCCAAACTTTCCAACTCAGTTTTCTTCTTAGCTTCGGCTTCTAACTTATCTTGAGCATCCTTATCTGCCTTCAGCTTCAAATCCTTCGCAAGTTTCTCTTGAGCATCTTTCTCTGCCTTCTGTTTTTTGGCCAAACTTTCCAACTCAGTTTTCTTCTTAGCTTCGGCTTCTAATTTATCTTTAGCATCCTTATCTGCCTTCAGCTTCAAATCCTTCGCAAGTTTCTCTTGAGCATCTTTCTCTGCCTTTTGTTTTTTGGCCAAACTTTCCAACTCAGCTTTCTTCTTAGCTTCGGCTTCTAACTTATCTTGAGCATCCTTATCTGCCTTCTGTTTTTTGGCCAAACTTTCCAACTCAGTTTTCTTCTTAGCTTCGGCTTCTAATTTATCTTGAGCATCTTTCTCTGCCTTCAGCTTCAAATCCTTCGCAAGTTTCTCTTGAGCATCTTTCTCTGCCTTTTGTTTTTTGGCCAAACTTTCCAACTCAGCTTTCTTCTTAGCTTCGGCTTCTAACTTATCTTGAGCATCCTTATCTGCCTTCTGTTTTTTGGCCAAACTTTCCAACTCAGTTTTCTTCTTAGCTTCGGCTTCTAATTTATCTTTAGCATCCTTATCTGCCTTCAGCTTCAAATCCTTCGCAAGTTTCTCTTGAGCATCTTTCTCTGCCTTTTGTTTTTTGGCCAAACTTTCCAACTCAGTTTTCTTCTTAGCTTCGGCTTCTAACTTATCTTGAGCATCTTTCTCTGCCTTTTGTTTTTTGGCCAAACTTTCCAACTCAGTTTTCTTCTTAGCTTCGGCTTCTAACTTATCTTGAGCATCTTTCTCTGCCTTCTGTTTTTTGGCCAAACTTTCCAACTCAGTTTTCTTCTTAGCTTCGGCTTCTAACTTATCTTGAGCATCCTTATCTGCCTTCTGTTTTTTGGCCAAACTTTCCAACTCAGTTTTCTTCTTAGCTTCGGCTTCTAATTTATCTTTAGCATCCTTATCTGCCTTCAGCTTCAAATCCTTCGCAAGTTTCTCTTGAGCATCCTTATCTGCCTTTTGTTTTTTGGCCAAACTTTCCAACTCAGTTTGCTTCTTAGCTTCGGCTTCTAACTTATCTTGAGCATCTTTCTCTGCCTTTTGTTTTTTGGCCAAACTTTCCAACTCAGTTTTCTTCTTAGCTTCGGCTTCTAACTTATCTTGAGCATCTTTCTCTGCCTTTTGTTTTTTGGCCAAACTTTCCAACTCAACTTTCTTCTTAGCTTCGGCTTCTAACTTATCTTGAGCATCCTTATCTGCCTTCTGTTTTTTGGCCAAACTTTCCAACTCAGTTTTCTTCTTAGCTTCGGCTTCTAACTTATCTTGAGCATCTTTCTCTGCCTTCTGTTTTTTGGCCAAACTTTCCAGCTCAGTTTTCTTCTTAGCTTCGGCTTCTAACTTATCTTGAGCATCCTTATCTGCCTTCTGTTTTTTGGCCAAACTTTCCAACTCAGTTTTCTTCTTAGCTTCGGCTTCTAACTTATCTTGAGTATCCTTATCTGCCTTCTGTTTTTTGGCCAAACTTTCCAGCTCAGCTTTCTTCTTAGCTTCGGCTTCTAACTTATCTTGAGCATCCTTATCTGCCTTCTGTTTTTTGGCCAAACTTTCCAACTCAGTTTTCTTCTTAGCTTCGGCTTCTAACTTATCTTGAGCATCTTTCTCTGCCTTTTGTTTTTTGGCCAAACTTTCCAACTCAACTTTCTTCTTAGCTTCGGCTTCTAACTTATCTTGAGCATCCTTATCTGCCTTCTGTTTTTTGGCCAAACTTTCCAACTCAGTTTTCTTCTTAGCTTCGGCTTCTAACTTATCTTTAGCATCTTTCTCTGCCTTCTGTTTTTTGGCCAAACTTTCCAACTCAGTTTTCTTCTTAGCTTCGGCTTCTAACTTATCTTGAGCATCTTTCTCTGCCTTTTGTTTTTTGGCCAAACTTTCCAACTCAACTTTCTTCTTAGCTTCGGCTTCTAACTTATCTTGAGCATCCTTATCTGCCTTCTGTTTTTTGGCCAAACTTTCCAACTCAGTTTTCTTCTTAGCTTCGGCTTCTAACTTATCTTGAGCATCTTTCTCTGCCTTCTGTTTTTTGGCCAAACTTTCCAACTCAGTTTTCTTCTTAGCTTCGGCTTCTAATTTATCTTTAGCATCCTTATCTGCCTCCAGCTTCAAATCCTTTGCAAGTTTCTCTTGAGCATCTTTCTCTGCCTTCTGTTTTTTGGCCAAACTTTCCAACTCAGCTTTCTTCTTAGCTTCGGCTTCTAACTTCTCTTGAGCATCTTTCTCTGCCTTTTGTTTTTTGGCCAAACTTTCCAACTCAATTTTCTTCTTAGCTTCGGCTTCTAATTTATCTTTAGCATCCTTATCTGCCTTCAGCTTCAAATCCTTCGCAAGTTTCTCTTGAGCATCTTTCTCTGCCTTTTGTTTTTTGGCCAAACTTTCCAACTCAGCTTTCTTCTTAGCTTCGGCTTCTAACTTATCTTGAGCATCCTTATCTGCCTTCTGTTTTTTGGCCAAACTTTCCAACTCAGTTTTCTTCTTAGCTTCGGCTTCTAATTTATCTTTAGCATCCTTATCTGCCTTCAGCTTCAAATCCTTCGCAAGTTTCTCTTGAGCATCTTTCTCTGCCTTTTGTTTTTTGGCCAAACTTTCCAACTCAGCTTTCTTCTTAGCTTCGGCTTCTAACTTATCTTGAGCATCCTTATCTGCCTTCTGTTTTTTGGCCAAACTTTCCAACTCAGTTTTCTTCTTAGCTTCGGCTTCTAACTTATCTTGAGCATCTTTCTCTGCCTTTTGTTTTTTGGCCAAACTTTCCAACTCAGCTTTCTTCTTAGCTTCGGCTTCTAACTTATCTTGAGCATCCTTATCTGCCTTCTGTTTTTTGGCCAAACTTTCCAACTCAGCTTTCTTCTTAGCTTCGGCTTCTAACTTATCTTTAGCATCCTTATCTGCCTTCTGTTTTTTGGCCAAACTTTCCAACTCAGTTTTCTTCTTAGCTTCGGCTTCTAACTTATCTTGAGCATCTTTCTCTGCCTTCTGTTTTTTGGCCAAACTTTCCAACTCAGTTTTCTTCTTAGCTTCGGCTTCTAATTTATCTTGAGCATCCTTATCTGCCTTCTGTTTTTTGGCCAAACTTTCCAGCTCAGCTTTCTTCTTAGCTTCGGCTTCTAACTTATCTTTAGCATCCTTGTCTGCCTTCTGTTTTTTGGCCAAACTTTCCAACTCAGTTTTCTTCTTAGCTTCGGCTTCTAACTTATCTTGAGCATCTTTCTCTGCCTTCTGTTTTTTGGCCAAACTTTCCAACTCAGTTTTCTTCTTAGCTTCGGCTTCTAACTTATCTTGAGCATCCTTATCTGCCTTTTGTTTTTTGGCTAAACTTTCCAACTCAGTTTTCTTCTTAGCTTCGGCTTCTAATTTATCTTGAGCATCCTTATCTGCCTTTTGTTTTTTGGCCAAACTTTCCAACTCAGTTTTCTTCTTAGCTTCGGCTTCTAACTTATCTTGAGCATCCTTATCTGCCTTTTGTTTTTTGGCTAAACTTTCCAACTCAGTTTTCTTCTTAGCTTCGGCTTCTAATTTATCTTGAGCATCCTTATCTGCCTTTTGTTTTTTGGCCAAACTTTCCAACTCAGTTTTCTTCTTAGCTTCGGCTTCTAACTTATCTTGAGCATCCTTATCTGCCTTTTGTTTTTTGGCTAAACTTTCCAACTCAGTTTTCTTCTTAGCTTCGGCTTCTAATTTATCTTGAGCATCCTTATCTGCCTTTTGTTTTTTGGCCAAACTTTCCAACTCAGTTTTCTTCTTAGCTTCGGCTTCTAACTTATCTTGAGCATCTTTCTCTGCCTTCTGTTTTTTGGCCAAACTTTCCAACTCAGTTTTCTTCTTAGCTTCGGCTTCTAACTTATCTTGAGCATCCTTATCTGCCTTTTGTTTTTTGGCTAAACTTTCCAACTCAGTTTTCTTCTTAGCTTCGGCTTCTAACTTATCTTGAGCATCCTTATCTGCCTTTTGTTTTTTGGCCAAACTTTCCAACTCAGTTTTCTTCTTAGCTTCGGCTTCTAACTTATCTTTAGCATCCTTATCTGCCTTCTGTTTTTTGGCCAAACTTTCCAACTCAGCTTTCTTCTTAGCTTCGGCTTCTAATTTATCTTGAGCATCCTTATCTGCCTTCAGCTTCAAATCCTTCGCAAGTTTCTCTTGAGCATCTTTCTCTGCCTTTTGTTTTTTGGCCAAACTTTCCAACTCAGTTTTCTTCTTAGCTTCGGCTTCTAATTTATCTTTAGCATCCTTATCTGCCTTCAGCTTCAAATCCTTCGCAAGTTTCTCTTGAGCATCTTTCTCTGCCTTCTGTTTTTTGGCCAAACTTTCCAACTCAGTTTTCTTCTTAGCTTCGGCTTCTAACTTATCTTGAGCATCCTTATCTGCCTTCTGTTTTTTGGCCAAACTTTCCAACTCAGTTTTCTTCTTAGCTTCGGCTTCTAATTTATCTTGAGCATCCTTATCTGCCTTTTGTTTTTTGGCCAAACTTTCCAACTCAGTTTTCTTCTTAGCTTCGGCTTCTAACTTATCTTGAGCATCCTTATCTGCCTTCTGTTTTTTGGCCAAACTTTCCAACTCAGTTTTCTTCTTAGCTTCGGCTTCTAACTTATCTTGAGCATCCTTATCTGCCTTTTGTTTTTTGGCTAAACTTTCCAACTCAGTTTTCTTCTTAGCTTCGGCTTCTAACTTATCTTGAGCATCCTTATCTGCCTTCTGTTTTTTGGCCAAACTTTCCAACTCAGTTTTCTTCTTAGCTTCGGCTTCTAATTTATCTTGAGCATCCTTATCTGCCTTTTGTTTTTTGGCTAAACTTTCCAACTCAGTTTTCTTCTTAGCTTCGGCTTCTAACTTATCTTGAGTATCCTTATCTGCCTTTTCTTTTTTGGCTAAACTTTCCAACTCAGTTTTCTTCTTAGCTTCGGCTTCTAACTTATCTTGAGCATCCTTATCTGCCTTCTGTTTTTTGGCCAAACTTTCCAACTCAGTTTTCTTCTTAGCTTCGGCTTCTAATTTATCTTTAGCATCCTTATCTGCCTTCAGCTTCAAATCCTTCGCAAGTTTCTCTTGAGCATCTTTCTCTGCCTTTTGTTTTTTGGCCAAACTTTCCAACTCAGCTTTCTTCTTAGCTTCGGCTTCTAACTTATCTTGAGCATCCTTATCTGCCTTTTGTTTTTTGGCCAAACTTTCCAACTCAGTTTTCTTCTTAGCTTCGGCTTCTAATTTATCTTTAGCATCCTTGTCTGCCTTCTGTTTTTTGGCCAAACTTTCCAACTCAGTTTTCTTCTTAGCTTCGGCTTCTAATTTATCTTTAGCATCCTTATCTGCCTTCTGTTTTTTGGCCAAACTTTCCAACTCAGTTTTCTTCTTAGCTTCGGCTTCTAACTTATCTTGAGCATCTTTCTCTGCCTTCTGTTTTTTGGCCAAACTTTCCAACTCAGCTTTCTTCTTAGCTTCGGCTTCTAACTTATCTTGAGCATCCTTATCTGCCTTCTGTTTTTTGGCCAAACTTTCCAACTCAGTTTTCTTCTTAGCTTCGGCTTCTAACTTATCTTGAGCATCTTTCTCTGCCTTCTGTTTTTTGGCCAAACTTTCCAACTCAGTTTTCTTCTTAGCTTCGGCTTCTAACTTATCTTGAGCATCTTTCTCTGCCTTCTGTTTTTTGGCCAAACTTTCCAACTCAGTTTTCTTCTTAGCTTCGGCTTCTAATTTATCTTGAGCATCCTTATCTGCCTTCTGTTTTTTGGCCAAACTTTCCAACTCAGCTTTCTTCTTAGCTTCGGCTTCTAATTCATCTTTAGCATCCTTATCTGCCTTCTGTTTTTTGGCCAAACTTTCCAACTCAGTTTTCTTCTTAGCTTCGGCTTCTAATTTATCTTTAGCATCCTTATCTGCCTTCAGCTTCAAATCCTTCGCAAGTTTCTCTTGAGCATCTTTCTCTGCCTTTTGTTTTTTGGCCAAACTTTCCAACTCAGTTTTCTTCTTAGCTTCGGCTTCTAACTTATCTTGAACATCCTTATCTGCCTTCTGTTTTTTGGCCAAACTTTCCAACTCAGTTTTCTTCTTAGCTTCGGCTTCTAATTTATCTTTAGCATCCTTATCTGCCTTCAGCTTCAAATCCTTCGCAAGTTTCTCTTGAGCATCTTTCTCTGCCTTTTGTTTTTTGGCCAAACTTTCCAACTCAGTTTTCTTCTTAGCTTCGGCTTCTAATTCATCTTTAGCATCTTTCTCTGCCTTCTGTTTTTTGGCCAAACTTTCCAACTCAGTTTTCTTCTTAGCTTCGGCTTCTAATTTATCTTGAGCATCTTTCTCTGCCTTTTGTTTTTTGGCCAAACTTTCCAACTCAGTTTTCTTCTTAGCTTCGGCTTCTAATTCATCTTTAGCATCTTTCTCTGCCTTCTGTTTTTTGGCCAAACTTTCCAACTCAGTTTTCTTCTTAGCTTCGGCTTCTAATTTATCTTGAGCATCTTTCTCTGCCTTTTGTTTTTTGGCCAAACTTTCCAACTCAGTTTTCTTCTTAGCTTCGGCTTCTAACTTATCTTGAGCATCCTTATCTGCCTTCTGTTTTTTGGCCAAACTTTCCAACTCAGTTTTCTTCTTAGCTTCGGCTTCTAATTTATCTTTAGCATCCTTATCTGCCTTCAGCTTCAAATCCTTCGCAAGTTTCTCTTGAGCATCTTTCTCTGCCTTTTGTTTTTTGGCCAAACTTTCCAACTCAGTTTTCTTCTTAGCTTCGGCTTCTAATTTATCTTGAGCATCCTTATCTGCCTTTTGTTTTTTGGCCAAACTTTCCAACTCAGTTTTCTTCTTAGCTTCGGCTTCTAACTTATCTTGAGCATCTTTCTCTGCCTTCTGTTTTTTGGCCAAACTTTCCAACTCAGTTTTCTTCTTAGCTTCGGCTTCTAATTTATCTTGAGCATCCTTATCTGCCTTCTGTTTTTTGGCCAAACTTTCCAACTCAGCTTTCTTCTTAGCTTCGGCTTCTAATTCATCTTTAGCATCCTTATCTGCCTTCTGTTTTTTGGCCAAACTTTCCAACTCAGTTTTCTTCTTAGCTTCGGCTTCTAATTTATCTTTAGCATCCTTATCTGCCTTCAGCTTCAAATCCTTCGCAAGTTTCTCTTGAGCATCTTTCTCTGCCTTTTGTTTTTTGGCCAAACTTTCCAACTCAGCTTTCTTCTTAGCTTCGGCTTCTAATTCATCTTTAGCATCCTTATCTGCCTTCTGTTTTTTGGCCAAACTTTCCAACTCAGTTTTCTTCTTAGCTTCGGCTTCTAATTTATCTTTAGCATCCTTATCTGCCTTCAGCTTCAAATCCTTCGCAAGTTTCTCTTGAGCATCTTTCTCTGCCTTTTGTTTTTTGGCCAAACTTTCCAACTCAGTTTTCTTCTTAGCTTCGGCTTCTAATTTATCTTGAGCATCCTTATCTGCCTTCAGCTTCAAATCCTTCGCAAGTTTCTCTTGAGCATCTTTCTCTGCCTTTTGTTTTTTGGCCAAACTTTCCAACTCAGTATTCTTCTTAGCTTCGGCTTCTAATTTATCTTGAGCATCCTTATCTGCCTTTTGTTTTTTGGCTAAACTTTCCAACTCAGTTTTCTTCTTAGCTTCGGCTTCTAACTTATCTTGAGCATCTTTCTCTGCCTTCTGTTTTTTGGCCAAACTTTCCAACTCAGTTTTCTTCTTAGCTTCGGCTTCTAATTTATCTTGAGCATCCTTATCTGCCTTCAGCTTCAAATCCTTCGCAAGTTTCTCTTGAGCATCTTTCTCTGCCTTTTGTTTTTTGGCCAAACTTTCCAACTCAGTTTTCTTCTTAGCTTCGGCTTCTAATTTATCTTGAGCATCCTTATCTGCCTTCAGCTTCAAATCCTTCGCAAGTTTCTCTTGAGCATCTTTCTCTGCCTTTTGTTTTTTGGCCAAACTTTCCAACTCAGTTTTCTTCTTAGCTTCGGCTTCTAACTTATCTTGAGCATCTTTCTCTGCCTTCTGTTTTTTGGCCAAACTTTCCAACTCAGTTTTCTTCTTAGCTTCGGCTTCTAATTTATCTTGAGCATCCTTATCTGCCTTCAGCTTCAAATCCTTCGCAAGTTTCTCTTGAGCATCTTTCTCTGCCTTTTGTTTTTTGGCCAAACTTTCCAACTCAGTTTTCTTCTTAGCTTCGGCTTCTAATTTATCTTGAGCATCCTTATCTGCCTTTTGTTTTTTGGCCAAACTTTCCAACTCAGTTTTCTTCTTAGCTTCGGCTTCTAACTTATCTTGAGCATCTTTCTCTGCCTTCTGTTTTTTGGCCAAACTTTCCAACTCAGTTTTCTTCTTAGCTTCGGCTTCTAATTTATCTTGAGCATCCTTATCTGCCTTCTGTTTTTTGGCCAAACTTTCCAACTCAGCTTTCTTCTTAGCTTCGGCTTCTAATTCATCTTTAGCATCCTTATCTGCCTTCTGTTTTTTGGCCAAACTTTCCAACTCAGTTTTCTTCTTAGCTTCGGCTTCTAATTTATCTTTAGCATCCTTATCTGCCTTCAGCTTCAAATCCTTCGCAAGTTTCTCTTGAGCATCTTTCTCTGCCTTTTGTTTTTTGGCCAAACTTTCCAACTCAGCTTTCTTCTTAGCTTCGGCTTCTAATTCATCTTTAGCATCCTTATCTGCCTTCTGTTTTTTGGCCAAACTTTCCAACTCAGTTTTCTTCTTAGCTTCGGCTTCTAATTTATCTTTAGCATCCTTATCTGCCTTCAGCTTCAAATCCTTCGCAAGTTTCTCTTGAGCATCTTTCTCTGCCTTTTGTTTTTTGGCCAAACTTTCCAACTCAGTTTTCTTCTTAGCTTCGGCTTCTAATTTATCTTGAGCATCCTTATCTGCCTTCAGCTTCAAATCCTTCGCAAGTTTCTCTTGAGCATCTTTCTCTGCCTTTTGTTTTTTGGCCAAACTTTCCAACTCAGTTTTCTTCTTAGCTTCGGCTTCTAATTTATCTTGAGCATCCTTATCTGCCTTTTGTTTTTTGGCTAAACTTTCCAACTCAGTTTTCTTCTTAGCTTCGGCTTCTAACTTATCTTGAGCATCTTTCTCTGCCTTCTGTTTTTTGGCCAAACTTTCCAACTCAGTTTTCTTCTTAGCTTCGGCTTCTAATTTATCTTGAGCATCCTTATCTGCCTTCAGCTTCAAATCCTTCGCAAGTTTCTCTTGAGCATCTTTCTCTGCCTTTTGTTTTTTGGCCAAACTTTCCAACTCAGTTTTCTTCTTAGCTTCGGCTTCTAATTTATCTTGAGCATCCTTATCTGCCTTCAGCTTCAAATCCTTCGCAAGTTTCTCTTGAGCATCTTTCTCTGCCTTTTGTTTTTTGGCCAAACTTTCCAACTCAGTTTTCTTCTTAGCTTCGGCTTCTAATTTATCTTGAGCATCCTTATCTGCCTTTTGTTTTTTGGCTAAACTTTCCAACTCAGTTTTCTTCTTAGCTTCGGCTTCTAACTTATCTTGAGCATCTTTCTCTGCCTTTTGTTTTTTGGCCAAACTTTCCAACTCAGTTTTCTTCTTAGCTTCGGCTTCTAATTTATCTTGAGCATCCTTATCTGCCTTTTGTTTTTTGGCTAAACTTTCCAACTCAGTTTTCTTCTTAGCTTCGGCTTCTAACTTATCTTGAGCATCTTTCTCTGCCTTCTGTTTTTTGGCCAAACTTTCCAACTCAGTTTTCTTCTTAGCTTCGGCTTCTAATTTATCTTGAGCATCCTTATCTGCCTTCTGTTTTTTGGCCAAACTTTCCAACTCAGCTTTCTTCTTAGCTTCGGCTTCTAATTTATCTTGAGCATCCTTATCTGCCTTCTGTTTTTTGGCCAAACTTTCCAACTCAGTTTTCTTCTTAGCTTCGGCTTCTAATTTATCTTTAGCATCCTTATCTGCCTTCAGCTTCAAATCCTTTGCAAGTTTCTCTTGAGCATCTTTCTCTGCCTTTTGTTTTTTGGCCAAACTTTCCAACTCAGTTTTCTTCTTAGCTTCGGCTTCTAATTTATCTTGAGCATCCTTATCTGCCTTTTGTTTTTTGGCTAAACTTTCCAACTCAGTTTTCTTCTTAGCTTCGGCTTCTAACTTATCTTGAGCATCTTTCTCTGCCTTCTGTTTTTTGGCCAAACTTTCCAACTCAGTTTTCTTCTTAGCTTCGGCTTCTAATTTATCTTGAGCATCCTTATCTGCCTTTTGTTTTTTGGCTAAACTTTCCAACTCAGTTTTCTTCTTAGCTTCGGCTTCTAACTTATCTTGAGCATCTTTCTCTGCCTTCTGTTTTTTGGCCAAACTTTCCAACTCAGTTTTCTTCTTAGCTTCGGCTTCTAATTTATCTTGAGCATCCTTATCTGCCTTCTGTTTTTTGGCCAAACTTTCCAACTCAGCTTTCTTCTTAGCTTCGGCTTCTAATTTATCTTGAGCATCCTTATCTGCCTTCTGTTTTTTGGCCAAACTTTCCAACTCAGTTTTCTTCTTAGCTTCGGCTTCTAATTTATCTTTAGCATCCTTATCTGCCTTCAGCTTCAAATCCTTCGCAAGTTTCTCTTGAGCATCTTTCTCTGCCTTTTGTTTTTTGGCCAAACTTTCCAACTCAGTTTTCTTCTTAGCTTCGGCTTCTAATTTATCTTGAGCATCCTTATCTGCCTTTTGTTTTTTGGCTAAACTTTCCAACTCAGTTTTCTTCTTAGCTTCGGCTTCTAACTTATCTTGAGCATCTTTCTCTGCCTTCTGTTTTTTGGCCAAACTTTCCAACTCAGTTTTCTTCTTAGCTTCGGCTTCTAATTTATCTTGAGCATCCTTATCTGCCTTTTGTTTTTTGGCTAAACTTTCCAACTCAGTTTTCTTCTTAGCTTCGGCTTCTAATTCATCTTTAGCATCTTTCTCTGCCTTCTGTTTTTTGGCCAAACTTTCCAACTCAGTTTTCTTCTTAGCTTCGGCTTCTAATTTATCTTGAGCATCTTTCTCTGCCTTTTGTTTTTTGGCCAAACTTTCCAACTCAGTTTTCTTCTTAGCTTCGGCTTCTAACTTATCTTGAGCATCCTTATCTGCCTTCTGTTTTTTGGCCAAACTTTCCAACTCAGTTTTCTTCTTAGCTTCGGCTTCTAATTTATCTTTAGCATCCTTATCTGCCTTCAGCTTCAAATCCTTCGCAAGTTTCTCTTGAGCATCTTTCTCTGCCTTTTGTTTTTTGGCCAAACTTTCCAACTCAGTTTTCTTCTTAGCTTCGGATTCTAATTTATCTTGAGCATCCTTATCTGCCTTTTGTTTTTTGGCTAAACTTTCCAACTCAGTTTTCTTCTTAGCTTCGGCTTCTAACTTATCTTGAGCATCTTTCTCTGCCTTCTGTTTTTTGGCCAAACTTTCCAACTCAGTTTTCTTCTTAGCTTCGGCTTCTAATTTATCTTTAGCATCCTTATCTGCCTTCAGCTTCAAATCCTTCGCAAGTTTCTCTTGAGCATCTTTCTCTGCCTTTTGTTTTTTGGCCAAACTTTCCAACTCAGCTTTCTTCTTAGCTTCGGCTTCTAATTCATCTTTAGCATCCTTATCTGCCTTCTGTTTTTTGGCCAAACTTTCCAACTCAGTTTTCTTCTTAGCTTCGGCTTCTAATTTATCTTTAGCATCCTTATCTGCCTTCAGCTTCAAATCCTTCGCAAGTTTCTCTTGAGCATCTTTCTCTGCCTTTTGTTTTTTGGCCAAACTTTCCAACTCAGCTTTCTTCTTAGCTTCGGCTTCTAATTCATCTTTAGCATCCTTATCTGCCTTCTGTTTTTTGGCCAAACTTTCCAACTCAGTTTTCTTCTTAGCTTCGGCTTCTAATTTATCTTTAGCATCCTTATCTGCCTTCAGCTTCAAATCCTTTGCAAGTTTCTCTTGAGCATCTTTCTCTGCCTTTTGTTTTTTGGCCAAACTTTCCAACTCAGTTTTCTTCTTAGCTTCGGCTTCTAACTTATCTTGAGCATCCTTATCTGCCTTCTGTTTTTTGGCCAAACTTTCCAACTCAGCTTTCTTCTTAGCTTCGGCTTCTAATTTATCTTGAGCATCCTTATCTGCCTTCAGCTTCAAATCCTTCGCAAGTTTCTCTTGAGCATCTTTCTCTGCCTTTTGTTTTTTGGCCAAACATTCCAACTCAGTTTTCTTCTTAGCTTCGGCTTCTAATTTATCTTGAGCATCCTTATCTGCCTTTTGTTTTTTGGCTAAACTTTCCAACTCAGTTTTCTTCTTAGCTTCGGCTTCTAACTTATCTTGAGCATCTTTCTCTGCCTTCTGTTTTTTGGCCAAACTTTCCAACTCAGTTTTCTTCTTAGCTTCGGCTTCTAATTTATCTTGAGCATCCTTATCTGCCTTCTGTTTTTTGGCCAAACTTTCCAACTCAGCTTTCTTCTTAGCTTCGGCTTCTAATTTATCTTGAGCATCCTTATCTGCCTTCAGCTTCAAATCCTTTGCAAGTTTCTCTTGAGCATCTTTCTCTGCCTTTTGTTTTTTGGCCAAACTTTCCAACTCAGCTTTCTTCTTAGCTTCGGCTTCTAATTTATCTTTAGCATCCTTATCTGCCTTCTGTTTTTTGGCCAAACTTTCCAACTCAGTTTTCTTCTTAGCTTCGGCTTCTAACTTATCTTGAGCATCCTTATCTGCCTTCAGCTTCAAATCCTTTGCAAGTTTCTCTTGAGCATCTTTCTCTGCCTTCTGTTTTTTGGCTAAACTTTCCAACTCAGCTTTCTTCTTAGCTTCGGCTTCTAACTTATCTTGAGCATCCTTATCTGCCTTCAGCTTCAAATCCTTTGCAAGTTTCTCTTGAGCATCTTTCTCTGCCTTTTGTTTTTTGGCCAAACTTTCCAACTCAGCTTTCTTCTTAGCTTCGGCTTCTAATTTATCTTTAGCATCCTTATCTGCCTTCTGTTTTTTGGCCAAACTTTCCAACTCAGTTTTCTTCTTAGCTTCGGCTTCTAACTTATCTTGAGCATCCTTATCTGCCTTCAGCTTCAAATCCTTCGCAAGTTTCTCTTGAGCATCTTTCTCTGCCTTCTGTTTTTTGGCCAAACTTTCCAACTCAGCTTTCTTCTTAGCTTCGGCTTCTAATTTATCTTGAGCATCCTTATCTGCCTTCAGCTTCAAATCCTTCGCAAGTTTCTCTTGAGCATCTTTCTCTGCCTTTTGTTTTTTGGCCAAACATTCCAACTCAGTTTTCTTCTTAGCTTCGGCTTCTAATTTATCTTGAGCATCCTTATCTGCCTTTTGTTTTTTGGCTAAACTTTCCAACTCAGTTTTCTTCTTAGCTTCGGCTTCTAACTTATCTTGAGCATCTTTCTCTGCCTTCTGTTTTTTGGCCAAACTTTCCAACTCAGTTTTCTTCTTAGCTTCGGCTTCTAATTTATCTTGAGCATCCTTATCTGCCTTCTGTTTTTTGGCCAAACTTTCCAACTCAGCTTTCTTCTTAGCTTCGGCTTCTAATTTATCTTGAGCATCCTTATCTGCCTTCAGCTTCAAATCCTTCGCAAGTTTCTCTTGAGCATCTTTCTCTGCCTTTTGTTTTTTGGCCAAACTTTCCAACTCAGCTTTCTTCTTAGCTTCGGCTTCTAATTTATCTTTAGCATCCTTATCTGCCTTCTGTTTTTTGGCCAAACTTTCCAACTCAGTTTTCTTCTTAGCTTCGGCTTCTAACTTATCTTGAGCATCCTTATCTGCCTTCAGCTTCAAATCCTTCGCAAGTTTCTCTTGAGCATCTTTCTCTGCCTTCTGTTTTTTGGCCAAACTTTCCAACTCAGCTTTCTTCTTAGCTTCGGCTTCTAATTTATCTTGAGCATCCTTATCTGCCTTCAGCTTCAAATCCTTCGCAAGTTTCTCTTGAGCATCTTTCTCTGCCTTTTGTTTTTTGGCCAAACTTTCCAACTCAGCTTTCTTCTTAGCTTCGGCTTCTAATTTATCTTTAGCATCCTTATCTGCCTTCTGTTTTTTGGCCAAACTTTCCAACTCAGTTTTCTTCTTAGCTTCGGCTTCTAACTTATCTTGAGCATCCTTATCTGCCTTCAGCTTCAAATCCTTCGCAAGTTTCTCTTGAGCATCTTTCTCTGCCTTCTGTTTTTTGGCCAAACTTTCCAACTCAGCTTTCTTCTTAGCTTCGGCTTCTAATTTATCTTGAGCATCCTTATCTGCCTTCAGCTTCAAATCCTTCGCAAGTTTCTCTTGAGCATCTTTCTCTGCCTTTTGTTTTTTGGCCAAACTTTCCAACTCAGCTTTCTTCTTAGCTTCGGCTTCTAATTTATCTTTAGCATCCTTATCTGCCTTCTGTTTTTTGGCCAAACTTTCCAACTCAGTTTTCTTCTTAGCTTCGGCTTCTAACTTATCTTGAGCATCCTTATCTGCCTTCAGCTTCAAATCCTTCGCAAGTTTCTCTTGAGCATCTTTCTCTGCCTTCTGTTTTTTGGCCAAACTTTCCAACTCAGTTTTCTTCTTAGCTTCGGCTTCTAATTTATCTTGAGCATCCTTATCTGCCTTCTGTTTTTTGGCCAAACTTTCCAACTCAGTTTTCTTCTTAGCTTCGGCTTCTAACTTATCTTGAGCATCCTTATCTGCCTTTTGTTTTTTGGCTAAACTTTCCAACTCAGTTTTCTTCTTAGCTTCGGCTTCTAACTTATCTTGAGCATCCTTATCTGCCTTCTGTTTTTTGGCCAAACTTTCCAACTCAGTTTTCTTCTTAGCTTCGGCTTCTAATTTATCTTGAGCATCCTTATCTGCCTTCTGTTTTTTGGCCAAACTTTCCAACTCAGTTTTCTTCTTAGCTTCGGCTTCTAACTTATCTTGAGCATCCTTATCTGCCTTCTGTTTTTTGGCCAAACTTTCCAACTCAGCTTTCTTCTTAGCTTCGGCTTCTAACTTATCTTGAGCATCCTTATCTGCCTTTTGTTTTTTGGCTAAACTTTCCAACTCAGTTTTCTTCTTAGCTTCGGCTTCTAACTTATCTTGAGCATCCTTATCTGCCTTCTGTTTTTTGGCCAAACTTTCCAACTCAGTTTTCTTCTTAGCTTCGGCTTCTAATTTATCTTTAGCATCCTTATCTGCCTTCAGCTTCAAATCCTTCGCAAGTTTCTCTTGAGCATCTTTCTCTGCCTTTTGTTTTTTGGCCAAACTTTCCAACTCAGCTTTCTTCTTAGCTTCGGCTTCTAATTTATCTTTAGCATCCTTATCTGCCTTCTGTTTTTTGGCCAAACTTTCCAACTCAGTTTTCTTCTTAGCTTCGGCTTCTAATTTATCTTGAGCATCCTTATCTGCCTTCTGTTTTTTGGCCAAACTTTCCAACTCAGTTTTCTTCTTAGCTTCGGCTTCTAACTTATCTTGAGCATCCTTATCTGCCTTTTGTTTTTTGGCTAAACTTTCCAACTCAGTTTTCTTCTTAGCTTCGGCTTCTAACTTATCTTGAGCATCCTTATCTGCCTTCTGTTTTTTGGCCAAACTTTCCAACTCAGTTTTCTTCTTAGCTTCGGCTTCTAATTTATCTTGAGCATCCTTATCTGCCTTCTGTTTTTTGGCCAAACTTTCCAACTCAGTTTTCTTCTTAGCTTCGGCTTCTAACTTATCTTGAGCATCCTTATCTGCCTTCTGTTTTTTGGCCAAACTTTCCAACTCAGCTTTCTTCTTAGCTTCGGCTTCTAACTTATCTTGAGCATCCTTATCTGCCTTTTGTTTTTTGGCTAAACTTTCCAACTCAGTTTTCTTCTTAGCTTCGGCTTCTAACTTATCTTGAGCATCCTTATCTGCCTTCTGTTTTTTGGCCAAACTTTCCAACTCAGCTTTCTTCTTAGCTTCGGCTTCTAACTTATCTTGAGCATCCTTATCTGCCTTTTGTTTTTTGGCTAAACTTTCCAACTCAGTTTTCTTCTTAGCTTCGGCTTCTAACTTATCTTGAGCATCCTTATCTGCCTTCTGTTTTTTGGCCAAACTTTCCAACTCAGCTTTCTTCTTAGCTTCGGCTTCTAATTTATCTTTAGCATCCTTATCTGCCTTCAGCTTCAAATCCTTCGCAAGTTTCTCTTGAGCATCTTTCTCTGCCTTTTGTTTTTTGGCCAAACTTTCCAACTCAGCTTTCTTCTTAGCTTCGGCTTCTAATTTATCTTTAGCATCCTTATCTGCCTTCTGTTTTTTGGCCAAACTTTCCAACTCAGTTTTCTTCTTAGCTTCGGCTTCTAACTTATCTTGAGCATCCTTATCTGCCTTCTGTTTTTTGGCCAAACTTTCCAACTCAGTTTTCTTCTTAGCTTCGGCTTCTAATTTATCTTGAGCATCTTTCTCTGCCTTTTGTTTTTTGGCCAAACTTTCCAACTCAGTTTTCTTCTCAGCATCGGCTTCTAACTTATCTTGAGCATCTTTCTCTGCCTTTTGTTTTTCCTCTGTTCTCACAGGTTCTTGAACGGTTTCAGGCTGAACTGGTAGTTGTTCGATCTTGGGCTCCACTGGTTTCACAGATTCTTGAACAGTTTCAGGCTGAACTGGTAGTTGTTCGATCTTGGGCTCCTCTGGTTTCACAGATTCTTGAACAGTTTCAGGCTGAACTGGTAGTTGTTCGATCTTGGGCTCCTCTGGTTTCACAGATTCTTGAACAGTTTCAGGCTGAACTGGTAGTTGTTCAATCTTGGGCTCCTCTGGTTTCACAGATTCTTGAACAGTTTCAGGCTGAACTGGTAGTTGTTCGATCTTGGGCTCCTCTGGTTTCACAGATTCTTGAACAGTTTCAGGCTGAACTGGTAGTTGTTCAATCTTGGGCTCCTCTGGTTTCACAGATTCTTGAACAGTTTCAGGCTGAACTGGTAGTTGTTCGATCTTGGGCTCCTCTGGTTTCACAGATTCTTGAACAGTTTCAGGCTGAACTGGTAGTTGTTCGATCTTGGGCTCCTCTGGTTTCACAGATTCTTGAACAGTTTCAGGCTGAACTGGTAGTTGTTCGATCTTGGGCTCCTCTGGTTTCACAGATTCTTGAACAGTTTCAGGCTGAACTGGTAGTTGTTCAATCTTGGGCTCCTCTGGTTTCACAGATTCTTGAACAGTTTCAGGCTGAACTGGTAGTTGTTCGATCTTGGGCTCCTCTGGTTTCACAGATTCTTGAACAGTTTCAGGCTGAACTGGTAGTTGTTCGATCTTGGGCTCCTCTGGTTTCACAGATTCTTGAACAGTTTCAGGCTGAACTGGTAGTTGTTCGATCTTGGGCTCCTCTGGTTTCACAGATTCTTGAACAGTTTCAGGCTGAACTGGTAGTCGTTCGATCTTGGGCTCCTCTGGTTTCACAGATTCTTGAACGGTTTCAGGCTGAACTGGTAGTTGTTCGATCTTGGGCTCCTCTGGTTTCACAGATTCTTGAACAGTTTCAGGCTGAACTGGTAGTTGTTCGATCTTGGGCTCCTCTGGTTTCACAGATTCTTGAACAGTTTCAGGCTGAACTGGTAGTTGTTCGATCTTGGGCTCCTCTGGTTTCACAGATTCTTGAACGGTTTCAGGCTGAACTGGTAGTTGTTCAATCTTGGGCTCCTCTGGTTTCACAGATTCTTGAACAGTTTCAGGCTGAACTGGTAGTTGTTCGATCTTGGGCTCCTCTGGTTTCACAGATTCTTGAACAGTTTCAGGCTGAACTGGTAGTTGTTCAATCTTGGGCTCCTCTGGTTTCACAGATTCTTGAACAGTTTCAGGCTGAACTGGTAGTTGTTCGATCTTGGGCTCCTCTGGTTTCACAGATTCTTGAACGGTTTCAGGCTGAACTAGTAGTTGTTCAATCTTGGGCTCCTCTGGTTTCACAGATTCTTGAACAGTTTCAGGCTGAACTGGTAGTTGTTCGATCTTGGGTTCTTCTTTTTCTTTGACCTCTTCTATTGTTGTTTTGGATTTTGTCGTTCTGATGAAGCTTTCAATTGCTGTTGAATCTTCCATCAATAAATCGATTTGAAGATGATTGAATACTCCAGGATTATTAAAAACAAGTGAAACTTCTGCCTCGTTTTTGATAATTGAAATTTCTCTTTGTTCTTCATTTTCCTCCAACTTTGGCTCCTCTGGTTTCACAGATTCTTGAACAGTTTCAGGCTGAACTGGTAGTTGTTCGATCTTGGGCTCCTCTGGTTTCACAGATTCTTGAACGGTTTCAGGCTGAACTGGTAGTTGTTCGATCTTGGGCTCCTCTGGTTTCACAGATTCTTGAACAGTTTCAGGCTGAACTGGTAGTTGTTCGATCTTGGGCTCCTCTGGTTTCACAGATTCTTGAACAGTTTCAGGCTGAACTGGTAGTTGTTCGATCTTGGGTTCTTCTTTTTCTTTGACCTCTTCTATTGTTGTTTTGGATTTTGTCGTTCTGATGAAGCTTTCAATTGCTGTTGAATCTTCCATCAATAAATCGATTTCAAGATGATTGAATACTCCAGGATTATTAAAAACAAGTGAAACTTCTGCCTCGTTTTTGATAATTGAAATTTCTCTTTGTTCTTCATTTTCCTCCAACTTTGGCTCCTCTGGTTTCACAGATTCTTGAACGGTTTCAGGCTGAACTGGTAGTTGTTCGATCTTGGGCTCCTCTGGTTTCACAGATTCTTGAACGGTTTCAGGCTGAACTGGTAGTTGTTCAATCTTGGGCTCCTCTGGTTTCACAGATTCTTGAACAGTTTCAGGCTGAACTGGTAGTTGTTCGATCTTGGGCTCCTCTGGTTTCACAGATTCTTGAACAGTTTCAGGCTGAACTGGTAGTTGTTCGATCTTGGGCTCCTCTGGTTTCACAGATTCTTGAACAGTTTCAGGCTGAACTGGTAGTTGTTCGATCTTGGGCTCCTCTGGTTTCACAGATTCTTGAACAGTTTCAGGCTGAACTGGTAGTTGTTCGATCTTGGGCTCCTCTGGTTTCACAGATTCTTGAACAGTTTCAGGCTGAACTGGTAGTTGTTCGATCTTGGGCTCCTCTGGTTTCACAGATTCTTGAACAGTTTCAGGCTGAACTGGTAGTTGTTCGATCTTGGGCTCCTCTGGTTTCACAGATTCTTGAACAGTTTCAGGCTGAACTGGTAGTTGTTCGATCTTGGGCTCCTCTGGTTCCACAGATTCTTGAACGGTTTCAGGCTGAACTGGTAGTTGTTCGATCTTGGGCTCCTCTGGTTTCACAGATTCTTGAACAGTTTCAGGCTGAACTGGTAGTTGTTCGATCTTGGGCTCCTCTGGTTTCACAGATTCTTGAACAGTTTCAGGCTGAACTGGTAGTTGTTCGATCTTGGGCTCCTCTGGTTTCACAGATTCTTGAACAGTTTCAGGCTGAACTGGTAGTTGTTCGATCTTGGGCTCCTCTGGTTTCACAGATTCTTGAACAGTTTCAGGCTGAACTGGTAGTTGTTCGATCTTGGGCTCCTCTGGTTTCACAGATTCTTGAACAGTTTCAGGCTGAACTGGTAGTTGTTCGATCTTGGGCTCCTCTGGTTTCACAGATTCTTGAACAGTTTCAGGCTGAACTGGTAGTTGTTCGATCTTGGGCTCCTCTGGTTTCACAGATTCTTGAACAGTTTCAGGCTGAACTGGTAGTTGTTCGATCTTGGGCTCCTCTGGTTTCACAGATTCTTGAACAGTTTCAGGCTGAACTGGTAGTTGTTCGATCTTGGGTTCTTCTTTTTCTTTGACCTCTTCTATTGTTGTTTTGGATTTTGTCGTTCTGATGAAGCTTTCAATTGCTGTTGAATCTTCCATCAATAAATCGATTTCAAGATGATTGAATACTCCAGGATTATTAAAAACAAGTGAAACTTCTGCCTCGTTTTTGATAATTGAAATTTCTCTTTGTTCTTCATTTTCCTCCAACTTTGGCTCCTCTGGTTTCACAGATTCTTGAACAGTTTCAGGCTGAACTGGTAGTTGTTCGATCTTGGGCTCCTCTGGTTTCACAGTTTCTTGAACAGTTTCAGGCTGAACTGGTAGTTGTTCGATCTTGGGCTCCTCTGGTTTCACAGATTCTTGAACAGTTTCAGGCTGAACTGGTAGTTGTTCGATCTTGGGCTCCTCTGGTTTCACAGATTCTTGAACAGTTTCAGGCTGAACTGGTAGTTGTTCGATCTTGGGTTCTTCTTTTTCTTTGACCTCTTCTATTGTTGTTTTGGATTTTGTCGTTCTGATGAAGCTTTCAATTGCTGTTGAATCTTCCATCAATAAATCGATTTCAAGATGATTGAATACTCCAGGATTATTAAAAACAAGTGAAACTTCTGCCTCGTTTTTGATAATTGAAATTTCTCTTTGTTCTTCATTTTCCTCCAACTTTGGCTCCTCTGGTTTCACAGATTCTTGAACAGTTTCAGGCTGAACTGGTAGTTGTTCGATCTTGGGCTCCTCTGGTTTCACAGATTCTTGAACGGTTTCAGGCTGAACTGGTAGTTGTTCGATCTTGGGCTCCTCTGGTTTCACAGATTCTTGAACAGTTTCAGGCTGAACTGGTAGTTGTTCGATCTTGGGCTCCTCTGGTTTCACAGATTCTTGAACAGTTTCAGGCTGAACTGGTAGTTGTTCGATCTTGGGCTCCTCTGGTTTCACAGATTCTTGAACAGTTTCAGGCTGAACTGGTAGTTGTTCGATCTTGGGCTCCTCTGGTTTCACAGATTCTTGAACAGTTTCAGGCTGAACTGGTAGTTGTTCGATCTTGGGCTCCTCTGGTTTCACAGATTCTTGAACAGTTTCAGGCTGAACTGGTAGTTGTTCGATCTTGGGCTCCTCTGGTTTCACAGATTCTTGAACAGTTTCAGGCTGAACTGGTAGTTGTTCGATCTTGGGCTCCTCTGGTTTCACAGATTCTTGAACGGTTTCAGGCTGAACTGGTAGTTGTTCGATCTTGGGCTCCTCTGGTTTCACAGATTCTTGAACAGTTTCAGGCTGAACTGGTAGTTGTTCGATCTTGGGCTCCTCTGGTTTCACAGATTCTTGAACAGTTTCAGGCTGAACTGGTAGTTGTTCGATCTTGGGCTCCTCTGGTTTCACAGATTCTTGAACAGTTTCAGGCTGAACTGGTGGTTGTTCGATCTTGGGCTCCTCTGGTTTCACAATTCTTGAACAGTTTCAGAGCTGAACTGGTAGTTGTTCGATCTTGGGCTCCTCTGGTTTCAGTTCTTGAACAGTTTCAGGCTGAACTGGTGGTTCGATCTTGGGCTCCTCTGGTTTCATCTTGAACAGTTTCAGCTGAACTGTTAGTTGTTCTCTCTTGGGCTCCTCAGTTTCACAGATTCTTGAACAGTTTCAGGCTGAACTGGTAGTTGTTCGATCTTGGGCTCCTCTGGTTTCACAGATTCTTGAACAGTTTCAGGCTGAACTGGTAGTTGTTCGATCTTAATCAGTTTCAGGCTGAACTGGTGGTTGTTCGATCTTGGGCTCCTCTGGTTTTCACAGATTCTTGAACAGTTTCAGGCTGAACTGGTAGTTGTTCGATCTTGGGCTCCTCTGGTTTCACAGATTCTTGAACAGTTTCAGGCTGAACTGGTAGTTGTTCGATCTTGGGCTCCTCTGGTTTCACAGATTCTTGAACAGTTTCAGGCTGAACTGGTAGTTGTTCGATCTTGGGCTCCTCTGGTTTCACAGATTCTTGAACAGTTTCAGGCTGAACTGGTAGTTGTTCGATCTTGGGCTCCTCTGGTTTCACAGATTCTTGAACAGTTTCAGGCTGAACTGGTAGTTGTTCGATCTTGGGCTCCCTTCTGGTTTCTTTGACCTCTTGTTGTTTTGGATTTTGTCAGATTCTGATGAAACTTTCAATTGCTGTTGAATCTTCCATCAATAAATCGATTGTCCTCGATGATTGTCACAGGATTATTGAAAAACACAGTGAAACTTCTGCCTCGTTTTTGATAATTGGGAACAGTTTCTTTTGTTCTTCCATTTTCCTCCAACTTTGGGCTCCTCTGGTTTCACAGATTCTTGAACAGTTTCAGGCTGAACTGGTAGTTGTTCGATCTTGTGCTCCTCTGGTTTCACAGATTCTTGAACGGTTTCAGGCTGAACTGGTAGTTGTTCGATCTTGGGTCCTTCTTTTTCTTTGACCTCTTCTATTGTTGTTTTGGATTTTGTCGTTCTGATGAAGCTTTCAATTGCTGTTGAATCTTCCATCAATAAATCGATTTCAAGATGATTGAATACTCCAGGATTCTTATTAAAACAAGTGAAACTTCTGCCTCGTTTTTGATAATTGAAATGTCTCTTTGTTCTTCATTTTCTCCAACTTTGGCTCCTCTGGTTTCACAGATTCTTGAACAGTTTCAGGCTGAACTGGTAGTTGTTCGATTTTGTGCTCCTCTGGTTTCACAGATTCTTGAACGGTTTCAGGCTGAACTGGTAGTTGTTCGATCTTGGGCTCCTCTGGTTTCACAGATTCTTGAACAGTTTCAGGCTGAACTGGTAGTTGTTCGATCTTGGGCTCCTCTGGTTTCACAGATTCTTGAACAGTTTCAGGCTGAACTGGTAGTTGTTCGATCTTGGGCTCCTCTGGTTTGCACAGATTCTTGAACGGTTTCAGGCTGAACTGGTAGTTGTTCGATCTTGGGCTCCTCTGGTTTCACAGATTCTTGAACAGTTTCAGGCTGAACTGGTGGTTGTTCGATCTTGGGCTCCTCTGGTTTCACAGATTCTTGAACAGTTTCAGGCTGAACTGGTAGTTGTTCGATCTTGGGCTCCTCTGGTTTCACAGATTCTTGAACAGTTTCAGGCTGAACTGGTAGTTGTTCGATCTTGGGCTCCTCTGGTTTCACAGATTCTTGAACAGTTTCAGGCTGAACTGGTAGTTGTTCGATCTTGGGCTCCTCTGGTTTCACAGATTCTTGAACAGTTTCAGGCTGAACTGGTAGTTGTTCGATCTTGGGCTCCTCTGGTTTCACAGATTCTTGAACAGTTTCAGGCTGAACTGGTAGTTGTTCGATCTTGGGCTCCTCTGGTTTCACAGATTCTTGAACAGTTTCAGGCTGAACTGGTGGTTGTTCGATCTTGGGCTCCTCTGGTTTCACAGATTCTTGAACGGTTTCAGGCTGAACTGGTAGTTGTTCGATCTTGGGCTCCTCTGGTTTCACAGATTCTTGAACAGTTTCAGGCTGAACTGGTGGTTGTTCGATCTTGGGCTCCTCTGGTTTCACAGATTCTTGAACAGTTTCAGGCTGAACTGGTAGTTGTTCGATCTTGGGCTCCTCTGGTTTCACAGATTCTTGAACGGTTTCAGGCTGAACTGGTGGTTGTTCGATCTTGGGCTCCTCTGGTTTCACAGATTCTTGAACAGTTTCAGGCTGAACTGGTAGTTGTTCGATCTTGGGCTCCTCTGGTTTCACAGATTCTTGAACAGGTTTCAGGCTGAACTGGTAGTTGTTCGATCTTGGGCTCCTCTGGTTTCACAGATTCTTGAGTTAGTTTCAGGCTGAACTGGTGGTTGTTCGATCTTGGGCTCCTCTGGTTTCACAGATTCTTGAACGGTTTCAGGCTGAACTGGTAGTTGTTCGATCTTGGGCTCCTCTGGTTTCACAGATTCTTGAACAGTTTCAGGCTGAACTGGTGGTTGTTCGATCTTGGGCTCCTCTGGTTTCACAGATTCTTGAACGGTTTCAGGCTGAACTGGTAGTTGTTCGATCTTGGGCTCCTCTGGTTTCACAGATTCTTGAACAGTTTCAGGCTGAACTGGTAGTTGTTCGATCTTGGGGCCCTCTCTGGTTTCACAGATTCTTGAACAGTTTCAGGCTGAACTGGTAGTTGTTCGATCTTGGGCTCCTCTGGTTTCACAGATTCTTGAACAGTTTCAGGCTGAACTGGTAGTTGTTCGATCTTGGGCTCCTCTGGTTTCAATAGATTCTTGAACAGTTTCAGGCTGAACTGGTGGTTGTTCGATCTTGAGCTCCTCTGGTTTCACAGATTCTTGAACAGTTTCAGGCTGAACTGGTAGTTGTTCTGATCTTGGGCTCCTCTGGTTTCACAGATTCTTGAACAGTTTCAGGCTGAACTGGTAGTTGTTCGATCTTGGGCTCCTCTGGTTTCACAGATTCTTGAACAGTTTCAGGCTGAACTGGTAGTTGTTCGATCTTGGGCTCCTCTGGTTTCACAGATTCTTGAACGGTTTCAGGCTGAACTGGTGGTTGTTCGATCTTGGGCTCCTCTGGTTTCACAGATTCTTGAACAGTTTCAGGCTGAACTGGTAGTTGTTCGATCTTGGGCTCCTCTGGTTTCACAGATTCTTGAACAGTTTCAGGCTGAACTGGTAGTTGTTCAATCTTGGGCTCCTCTGGTTTCACAGATTCTTGAACAGTTTCAGGCTGAACTGGTAGTTGTTCAATCTTGGGCTCCTCTGGTTTCACAGATTCTTGAACGGTTTCAGGCTGAACTGGTAGTTGTTCGATCTTGGGCTCCTCTGGTTTCACAGATTCTTGAACAGTTTCAGGCTGAACTGGTAGTTGTTCGATCTTGGGCTCCTCTGGTTTCACAGATTCTTGAACAGTTTCAGGCTGAACTGGTAGTTGTTCGATCTTGGGCTCCTCTGGTTTCACAGATTCTTGAACAGTTTCAGGCTGAACTGGTAGTTGTTCGATCTTGGGCTCCTCTGGTTTCACAGATTCTTGAACAGTTTCAGGCTGAACTGGTAGTTGTTCGATCTTGGGCTCCTCTGGTTTCACAGATTCTTGAACAGTTTCAGGCTGAACTGGTAGTTGTTCAATCTTGGGCTCCTCTGGTTTCACAGATTCTTGAACAGTTTCAGGCTGAACTGGTAGTTGTTCAATCTTGGGCTCCTCTGGTTTCACAGATTCTTGAACAGTTTCAGGCTGAACTGGTAGTTGTTCGATCTTGGGCTCCTCTGGTTTCACAGATTCTTGAACAGTTTCAGGCTGAACTGGTAGTTGTTCAATCTTGGGCTCCTCTGGTTTCACAGATTCTTGAACGGTTTCAGGCTGAACTGGTAGTTGTTCGATCTTGGGCTCCTCTGGTTTCACAGATTCTTGAACAGTTTCAGGCTGAACTGGTAGTTGTTCGATCTTGGGCTCCTCTGGTTTCACAGATTCTTGAACAGTTTCAGGCTGAACTGGTAGTTGTTCGATCTTGGGCTCCTCTGGTTTCACAGATTCTTGAACAGTTTCAGGCTGAACTGGTAGTTGTTCGATCTTGGGCTCCTCTGGTTTCACAGATTCTTGAACAGTTTCAGGCTGAACTGGTAGTTGTTCGATCTTGGGCTCCTCTGGTTTCACAGATTCTTGAACAGTTTCAGGCTGAACTGGTAGTTGTTCAATCTTGGGCTCCTCTGGTTTCACAGATTCTTGAACAGTTTCAGGCTGAACTGGTAGTTGTTCAATCTTGGGCTCCTCTGGTTTCACAGATTCTTGAACAGTTTCAGGCTGAACTGGTAGTTGTTCGATCTTGGGCTCCTCTGGTTTCACAGATTCTTGAACAGTTTCAGGCTGAACTGGTAGTTGTTCAATCTTGGGCTCCTCTGGTTTCACAGATTCTTGAACAGTTTCAGGCTGAACTGGTAGTTGTTCGATCTTGGGCTCCTCTGGTTTCACAGATTCTTGAACGGTTTCAGGCTGAACTGGTAGTTGTTCGATCTTGGGTTCTTCTTTTTCTTTGACCTCTTCTATTGTTGTTTTGGATTTTGTCGTTCTGATGAAGCTTTCAATTGCTGTTGAATCTTCCATCAATAAATCGATTTCAAGATGATTGAATACTCCAGGATTATTAAAAACAAGTGAAACTTCTGCCTCGTTTTTGATAATTGAAATTTCTCTTTGTTCTTCATTTTCCTTCAACTTTGGCTCCTCTGGTTTCACAGATTCTTGAACAGTTTCAGGCTGAACTGGTAGTTGTTCGATCTTGGGCTCCTCTGGTTTCACAGATTCTTGAACAGTTTCAGGCTGAACTGGTAGTTGTTCGATCTTGGACTCCTCTGGTTTCACAGATTCTTGAACGGTTTCAGGCTGAACTGGTAGTTGGTCGATCTTGGGCTCCTCTGGTTTCACAGATTCTTGAACGGTTTCAGGCTGAACTGGTAGTTGTTCAATCTTGGGCTCCTCTGGTTTCACAGATTCTTGAACGGTTTCAGGCTGAACTGGTAGTTGGTCGATCTTGGGCTCCTCTGGTTTCACAGATTCTTGAACAGTTTCAGGCTGAACTGGTAGTTGTTCGATCTTGGGCTCCTCTGGTTTCACAGATTCTTGAACGGTTTCAGGCTGAACTGGTAGTTGTTCGATCTTGGACTCCTCTGGTTTCACAGATTCTTGAACAGTTTCAGGCTGAACTGGTAGTTGTTCAATCTTGGGCTCCTCTGGTTTCACAGATTCTTGAACGGTTTCAGGCTGAACTGGTAGTTGTTCGATCTTGGGTTCTTCTTTTTCTTTGACCTCTTCTATTGTTGTTTTGGATTTTGTCGTTCTGATGAAGCTTTCAATTGCTGTTGAATCTTCCATCAATAAATCGATTTCAAGATGATTGAATACTCCAGGATTATTAAAAACAAGTGAAACTTCTGCCTCGTTTTTGATAATTGAAATTTCTCTTTGTTCTTCATTTTCCTTCAACTTTGGCTCCTCTGGTTTCACAGATTCTTGAACGGTTTCAGGCTGAACTGGTAGTTGTTCAATCTTGGGCTCCTCTGGTTTCACAGATTCTTGAACAGTTTCAGGCTGAACTGGTAGTTGTTCGATCTTGGACTCCTCTGGTTTCACAGATTCTTGAACGGTTTCAGGCTGAACTGGTAGTTGTTCAATCTTGGGCTCCTCTGGTTTCACAGATTCTTGAACGGTTTCAGGCTGAACTGGTAGTTGTTCGATCTTGGGTTCTTCTTTTTCTTTGACCTCTTCTATTGTTGTTTTGGATTTTGTCGTTCTGATGAAGCTTTCAATTGCTGTTGAATCTTCCATCAATAAATCGATTTCAAGATGATTGAATACTCCAGGATTATTAAAAACAAGTGAAACTTCTGCCTCGTTTTTGATAATTGAAATTTCTCTTTGTTCTTCATTTTCCTTCAACTTTGGCTCCTCTGGTTTCACAGATTCTTGAACAGTTTCAGGCTGAACTGGTAGTTGTTCGATCTTGGGTTCTTCTTTTTCTTTGACCTCTTCTATTGTTGTTTTGGATTTTGTCGTTCTGATGAAGCTTTCAATTGCTGTTGAATCTTCCATCAATAAATCGATTTCAAGATGATTGAATACTCCAGGATTATTAAAAACAAGTGAAACTTCTGCCTCGTTTTTGATAGATTGAACATTTCTCTTTGTTCTTCATTTTCCTTCAACTTTGGCTCCTCTGGTTTCACAGATTCTTGAACGGTTTCAGGCTGAACTGGTAGTTGTTCGATCTTGGGCTCCTCTGGTTTCACAGTTTCTTGAACAGTTTCAGGCTGAACTGGTAGTTGGTCGATCTTGGGCTCCTCTGGTTTCACAGATTCTTGAACGGTTTCAGGCTGAACTGGTAGTTGTTCAATCTTGGGCTCCTCTGGTTTCACAGATTCTTGAACGGTTTCAGGCTGAACTGGTAGTTGTTCGATCTTGGGCTCCTCTGGTTTCACAGATTCTTGAACAGTTTCAGGCTGAACTGGTAGTTGTTCGATCTTGGGCTCCTCTGGTTTCACAGATTCTTGAACAGTTTCAGGCTGAACTGGTAGTTGTTCGATCTTGGGCTCCTCTGGTTTCACAGATTCTTGAACAGTTTCAGGCTGAACTGGTAGTTGTTCGATCTTGGGCTCCTCTGGTTTCACAGATTCTTGAACAGTTTCAGGCTGAACTGGTAGTTGTTCGATCTTGGGCTCCTCTGGTTTCACAGATTCTTGAACAGTTTCAGGCTGAACTGGTAGTTGTTCAATCTTGGGCTCCTCTGGTTTCACAGATTCTTGAACAGTTTCAGGCTGAACTGGTAGTTGTTCAATCTTGGGCTCCTCTGGTTTCACAGATTCTTGAACGGTTTCAGGCTGAACTGGTAGTTGTTCGATCTTGGGCTCCTCTGGTTTCACAGATTCTTGAACAGTTTCAGGCTGAACTGGTAGTTGTTCGATCTTGGGCTCCTCTGGTTTCACAGATTCTTGAACAGTTTCAGGCTGAACTGGTAGTTGTTCGATCTTGGGCTCCTCTGGTTTCACAGATTCTTGAACAGTTTCAGGCTGAACTGGTAGTTGTTCGATCTTGGGCTCCTCTGGTTTCACAGATTCTTGAACAGTTTCAGGCTGAACTGGTAGTTGTTCGATCTTGGGCTCCTCTGGTTTCACAGATTCTTGAACAGTTTCAGGCTGAACTGGTAGTTGTTCAATCTTGGGCTCCTCTGGTTTCACAGATTCTTGAACAGTTTCAGGCTGAACTGGTAGTTGTTCAATCTTGGGCTCCTCTGGTTTCACAGATTCTTGAACAGTTTCAGGCTGAACTGGTAGTTGTTCGATCTTGGGCTCCTCTGGTTTCACAGATTCTTGAACAGTTTCAGGCTGAACTGGTAGTTGTTCAATCTTGGGCTCCTCTGGTTTCACAGATTCTTGAACGGTTTCAGGCTGAACTGGTAGTTGTTCGATCTTGGGCTCCTCTGGTTTCACAGATTCTTGAACAGTTTCAGGCTGAACTGGTAGTTGTTCGATCTTGGGCTCCTCTGGTTTCACAGATTCTTGAACAGTTTCAGGCTGAACTGGTAGTTGTTCGATCTTGGGCTCCTCTGGTTTCACAGATTCTTGAACAGTTTCAGGCTGAACTGGTAGTTGTTCGATCTTGGGCTCCTCTGGTTTCACAGATTCTTGAACAGTTTCAGGCTGAACTGGTAGTTGTTCGATCTTGGGCTCCTCTGGTTTCACAGATTCTTGAACAGTTTCAGGCTGAACTGGTAGTTGTTCAATCTTGGGCTCCTCTGGTTTCACAGATTCTTGAACAGTTTCAGGCTGAACTGGTAGTTGTTCAATCTTGGGCTCCTCTGGTTTCACAGATTCTTGAACAGTTTCAGGCTGAACTGGTAGTTGTTCGATCTTGGGCTCCTCTGGTTTCACAGATTCTTGAACAGTTTCAGGCTGAACTGGTAGTTGTTCAATCTTGGGCTCCTCTGGTTTCACAGATTCTTGAACAGTTTCAGGCTGAACTGGTAGTTGTTCGATCTTGGGCTCCTCTGGTTTCACAGATTCTTGAACGGTTTCAGGCTGAACTGGTAGTTGTTCGATCTTGGGTTCTTCTTTTTCTTTGACCTCTTCTATTGTTGTTTTGGATTTTGTCGTTCTGATGAAGCTTTCAATTGCTGTTGAATCTTCCATCAATAAATCGATTTCAAGATGATTGAATACTCCAGGATTATTAAAAACAAGTGAAACTTCTGCCTCGTTTTTGATAATTGAAATTTCTCTTTGTTCTTCATTTTCCTTCAACTTTGGCTCCTCTGGTTTCACAGATTCTTGAACAGTTTCAGGCTGAACTGGTAGTTGTTCGATCTTGGGCTCCTCTGGTTTCACAGATTCTTGAACAGTTTCAGGCTGAACTGGTAGTTGTTCGATCTTGGACTCCTCTGGTTTCACAGATTCTTGAACGGTTTCAGGCTGAACTGGTAGTTGGTCGATCTTGGGCTCCTCTGGTTTCACAGATTCTTGAACGGTTTCAGGCTGAACTGGTAGTTGTTCAATCTTGGGCTCCTCTGGTTTCACAGATTCTTGAACGGTTTCAGGCTGAACTGGTAGTTGGTCGATCTTGGGCTCCTCTGGTTTCACAGATTCTTGAACAGTTTCAGGCTGAACTGGTAGTTGTTCGATCTTGGGCTCCTCTGGTTTCACAGATTCTTGAACGGTTTCAGGCTGAACTGGTAGTTGTTCGATCTTGGACTCCTCTGGTTTCACAGATTCTTGAACGGTTTCAGGCTGAACTGGTAGTTGTTCAATCTTGGGCTCCTCTGGTTTCACAGATTCTTGAACGGTTTCAGGCTGAACTGGTAGTTGTTCGATCTTGGGTTCTTCTTTTTCTTTGACCTCTTCTATTGTTGTTTTGGATTTTGTCGTTCTGATGAAGCTTTCAATTGCTGTTGAATCTTCCATCAATAAATCGATTTCAAGATGATTGAATACTCCAGGATTATTAAAAACAAGTGAAACTTCTGCCTCGTTTTTGATAATTGAAATTTCTCTTTGTTCTTCATTTTCCTTCAACTTTGGCTCCTCTGGTTTCACAGATTCTTGAACGGTTTCAGGCTGAACTGGTAGTTGTTCAATCTTGGGCTCCTCTGGTTTCACAGATTCTTGAACAGTTTCAGGCTGAACTGGTAGTTGTTCGATCTTGGACTCCTCTGGTTTCACAGATTCTTGAACGGTTTCAGGCTGAACTGGTAGTTGTTCAATCTTGGGCTCCTCTGGTTTCACAGATTCTTGAACGGTTTCAGGCTGAACTGGTAGTTGTTCGATCTTGGGTTCTTCTTTTTCTTTGACCTCTTCTATTGTTGTTTTGGATTTTGTCGTTCTGATGAAGCTTTCAATTGCTGTTGAATCTTCCATCAATAAATCGATTTCAAGATGATTGAATACTCCAGGATTATTAAAAACAAGTGAAACTTCTGCCTCGTTTTTGATAATTGAAATTTCTCTTTGTTCTTCATTTTCCTTCAACTTTGGCTCCTCTGGTTTCACAGATTCTTGAACAGTTTCAGGCTGAACTGGTAGTTGTTCGATCTTGGGTTCTTCTTTTTCTTTGACCTCTTCTATTGTTGTTTTGGATTTTGTCGTTCTGATGAAGCTTTCAATTGCTGTTGAATCTTCCATCAATAAATCGATTTCAAGATGATTGAATACTCCAGGATTATTAAAAACAAGTGAAACTTCTGCCTCGTTTTTGATAATTGAAATTTCTCTTTGTTCTTCATTTTCCTTCAACTTTGGCTCCTCTGGTTTCACAGATTCTTGAACGGTTTCAGGCTGAACTGGTAGTTGTTCGATCTTGGGCTCCTCTGGTTTCACAGTTTCTTGAACAGTTTCAGGCTGAACTGGTAGTTGGTCGATCTTGGGCTCCTCTGGTTTCACAGATTCTTGAACGGTTTCAGGCTGAACTGGTAGTTGTTCAATCTTGGGCTCCTCTGGTTTCACAGATTCTTGAACGGTTTCAGGCTGAACTGGTAGTTGTTCGATCTTGGGCTCCTCTGGTTTCACAGATTCTTGAACAGTTTCAGGCTGAACTGGTAGTTGTTCGATCTTGGGCTCCTCTGGTTTCACAGATTCTTGAACGGTTTCAGGCTGAACTGGTAGTTGTTCAATCTTGGGCTCCTCTGGTTTCACAGATTCTTGAACGGTTTCAGGCTGAACTGGTAGTTGTTCGATCTTGGGCTCCTCTGGTTTCACAGATTCTTGAACAGTTTCAGGCTGAACTGGTAGTTGTTCGATCTTGGACTCCTCTGGTTTCACAGATTCTTGAACGGTTTCAGGCTGAACTGGTAGTTGTTCAATCTTGGGCTCCTCTGGTTTCACAGATTCTTGAACAGTTTCAGGCTGAACTGGTAGTTGTTCGATCTTGGACTCCTCTGGTTTCACAGATTCTTGAACGGTTTCAGGCTGAACTGGTAGTTGTTCAATCTTGGGCTCCTCTGGTTTCACAGATTCTTGAACGGTTTCAGGCTGAACTGGTAGTTGTTCGATCTTGGGTTCTTCTTTTTCTTTGACCTCTTCTATTGTTGTTTTGGATTTTGTCGTTCTGATGAAGCTTTCAATTGCTGTTGAATCTTCCATCAATAAATCGATTTCAAGATGATTGAATACTCCAGGATTATTAAAAACAAGTGAAACTTCTGCCTCGTTTTTGATAATTGAAATTTCTCTTTGTTCTTCATTTTCCTTCAACTTTGGCTCCTCTGGTTTCACAGATTCTTGAACGGTTTCAGGCTGAACTGGTAGTTGTTCAATCTTGGGCTCCTCTGGTTTCACAGATTCTTGAACAGTTTCAGGCTGAACTGGTAGTTGTTCGATCTTGGACTCCTCTGGTTTCACAGATTCTTGAACGGTTTCAGGCTGAACTGGTAGTTGTTCAATCTTGGGCTCCTCTGGTTTCACAGATTCTTGAACGGTTTCAGGCTGAACTGGTAGTTGTTCGATCTTGGGTTCTTCTTTTTCTTTGACCTCTTCTATTGTTGTTTTGGATTTTGTCGTTCTGATGAAGCTTTCAATTGCTGTTGAATCTTCCATCAATAAATCGATTTCAAGATGATTGAATACTCCAGGATTATTAAAAACAAGTGAAACTTCTGCCTCGTTTTTGATAATTGAAATTTCTCTTTGTTCTTCATTTTCCTTCAACTTTGGCTCCTCTGGTTTCACAGATTCTTGAACGGTTTCAGGCTGAACTGGTAGTTGTTCAATCTTGGGCTCCTCTGGTTTCACAGATTCTTGAACAGTTTCAGGCTGAACTGGTAGTTGTTCGATCTTGGGCTCCTCTGGTTTCACAGATTGTTGAACGGTTTCAGGCTGAACTGGTAGTTGTTCGATCTTGGGCTCCTCTGGTTTCACAGATTCTTGAACAGTTTCAGGCTGAACTGGTAGTTGTTCAATCTTGGGCTCCTCTGGTTTCACAGATTCTTGAACAGTTTCAGGCTGAACTGGTAGTTGTTCAATCTTGGGCTCCTCTGGTTTCACAGATTCTTGAACAGTTTCAGGCTGAACTGGTAGTTGTTCGATCTTGGGCTCCTCTGGTTTCACAGATTGTTGAACGGTTTCAGGCTGAACTGGTAGTTGTTCGATCTTGGGCTCCTCTGGTTTCACAGATTGTTGAACAGTTTCAGGCTGAACTGGTAGTTGTTCGATCTTGGGCTCCTCTGGTTTCACAGATTGTTGAACGGTTTCAGGCTGAACTGGTAGTTGTTCGATCTTGGGCTCCTCTGGTTTCACAGATTGTTGAACGGTTTCAGGCTGAACTGGTAGTTGTTCAATCTTGGGCTCCTCTGGTTTCACAGATTCTTGAACAGTTTCAGGCTGAACTGGTAGTTGTTCAATCTTGGGCTCCTCTGGTTTCACAGATTCTTGAACAGTTTCAGGCTGAACTGGTAGTTGTTCGATCTTGGGCTCCTCTGGTTTCACAGATTCTTGAACAGTTTCAGGCTGAACTGGTAGTTGGTCGATCTTGGGCTCCTCTGGTTTCACAGATTCTTGAACGGTTTCAGGCTGAACTGGTAGTTGGTCGATCTTGGGCTCCTCTGGTTTCACAGATTCTTGAACGGTTTCAGGCTGAACTGGTAGTTGTTCGATCTTGGGCTCCTCTGGTTTCACAGATTCTTGAACAGTTTCAGGCTGAACTGGTAGTTGTTCGATCTTGGGCTCCTCTGGTTTCACAGATTCTTGAACGGTTTCAGGCTGAACTGGTAGTTGTTCGATCTTGGGCTCCTCTGGTTTCACAGATTCTTGAACGGTTTCAGGCTGAACTGGTAGTTGTTCGATCTTGGGCTCCTCTGGTTTCACAGATTCTTGAACGGTTTCAGGCTGAACTGGTAGTTGTTCGATCTTGGGCTCCTCTGGTTTCACAGATTCTTGAACAGTTTCAGGCTGAACTGGTAGTCGTTCGATCTTGGGCTCCTCTGGTTTCACAGATTCTTGAACGGTTTCAGGCTGAACTGGTAGTTGTTCGATCTTGGGCTCCTCTGGTTTCACAGATTCTTGAACAGTTTCAGGCTGAACTGGTAGTTGTTCAATCTTGGGCTCCTCTGGTTTCACAGATTCTTGAACGGTTTCAGGCTGAACTGGTAGTTGTTCGATCTTGGGCTCCTCTGGTTTCACAGATTCTTGAACAGTTTCAGGCTGAACTGGTAGTCGTTCGATCTTGGGCTCCTCTGGTTTCACAGATTCTTGAACGGTTTCAGGCTGAACTGGTAGTTGTTCGATCTTGGGCTCCTCTGGTTTCACAGATTCTTGAACAGTTTCAGGCTGAACTGGTAGTTGTTCAATCTTGGGCTCCTCTGGTTTCACAGATTCTTGAACAGTTTCAGGCTGAACTGGTAGTTGGTCGATCTTGGGCTCCTCTGGTTTCACAGATTCTTGAACGGTTTCAGGCTGAACTGGTAGTTGTTCGATCTTGGGCTCCTCTGGTTTCACAGATTCTTGAACAGTTTCAGGCTGAACTGGTAGTTGTTCGATCTTGGGCTCCTCTGGTTTCACAGATTCTTGAACGGTTTCAGGCTGAACTGGTAGTTGTTCGATCTTGGGCTCCTTTGGTTTCACAGATTCTTGAACAGTTTCAGGCTGAACTGGTAGTTGGTCGATCTTGGGCTCCTCTGGTTTCACAGATTCTTGAACGGTTTCAGGCTGAACTGGTAGTTGTTCAATCTTGGGCTCCTCTGGTTTCACAGATTCTTGAACAGTTTCAGGCTGAACTGGTAGTTGTTCGATCTTGGGCTCCTCTGGTTTCACAGATTCTTGAACAGTTTCAGGCTGAACTGGTAGTTGTTCAATCTTGGGCTCCTCTGGTTTCACAGATTCTTGAACAGTTTCAGGCTGAACTGGTAGTTGTTCGATCTTGGGCTCCTCTGGTTTCACAGATTCTTGAACAGTTTCAGGCTGAACTGGTAGTTGTTCGATCTTGGGCTCCTCTGGTTTCACAGATTCTTGAACAGTTTCAGGCTGAACTGGTAGTTGTTCAATCTTGGGCTCCTCTGGTTTCACAGATTCTTGAACGTTTCCAGGCTGAACTGGTAGTTGTTCAATCTTGGGCTCCTCTGGTTTCACAGATTCTTGAACAGTTTCAGGCTGAACTGGTAGTTGTTCGATCTTGGGCTCCTCTGGTTTCACAGATTCTTGAACAGTTTCAGGCTGAACTGGTAGTTGGTCGATCTTGGGCTCCTCTGGTTTCACAGATTCTTGAACGTTTCCAGGCTGAACTGGTAGTTGTTCAATCTTGGGCTCCTCTGGTTTCACAGATTCTTGAACGGTTTCAGGCTGAACTGGTAGTTGTTCAATCTTGGGCTCCTCTGGTTTCACAGATTCTTGAACAGTTTCAGGCTGAACTGGTAGTTGGTCGATCTTGGGCTCCTCTGGTTTCACAGATTCTTGAACGGTTTCAGGCTGAACTGGTAGTTGTTCAATCTTGGGCTCCTCTGGTTTCACAGATTCTTGAACAGTTTCAGGCTGAACTGGTAGTTGTTCAATCTTGGGCTCCTCTGGTTTCACAGATTCTTGAACAGTTTCAGGCTGAACTGGTAGTTGGTCGATCTTGGGCTCCTCTGGTTTCACAGATTCTTGAACGGTTTCAGGCTGAACTGGTAGTTGTTCGATCTTGGGCTCCTCTGGTTTCACAGATTCTTGAACAGTTTCAGGCTGAACTGGTAGTTGGTCGATCTTGGGCTCCTCTGGTTTAACAGATTCTTGAACAGTTTCAGGCTGAACTGGTAGTTGTTCGATCTTGGGCTCCTCTGGTTTCACAGATTCTTGAACGGTTTCAGGCTGAACTAGTAGTTGTTCAATCTTGGGCTCCTCTGGTTTCACAGATTCTTGAACAGTTTCAGGCTGAACTGGTAGTTGGTCGATCTTGGGCTCCTCTGGTTTAACAGATTCTTGAACAGTTTCAGGCTGAACTGGTAGTTGTTCGATCTTGGGCTCCTCTGGTTTCACAGATTCTTGAACAGTTTCAGGCTGAACTGGTAGTTGGTCGATCTTGGGCTCCTCTGGTTTAACAGATTCTTGAACAGTTTCAGGCTGAACTGGTAGTTGTTCGATCTTGGGCTCCTCTGGTTTCACAGATTCTTGAACAGTTTCAGGCTGAACTGGTAGTTGGTCGATCTTGGGCTCCTCTGGTTTCACAGATTCTTGAACGGTTTCAGGCTGAACTGGTAGTTGTTCGATCTTGGGCTCCTCTGGTTTCACAGATTCTTGAACAGTTTCAGGCTGAACTGGTAGTTGTTCAATCTTGGGCTCCTCTGGTTTAACAGATTCTTGAACAGTTTCAGGCTGAACTGGTAGTTGTTCGATCTTGGGCTCCTCTGGTTTCACAGATTCTTGAACGGTTTCAGGCTGAACTAGTAGTTGTTCAATCTTGGGCTCCTCTGGTTTCACAGATTCTTGAACAGTTTCAGGCTGAACTGGTAGTTGTTCGATCTTGGGTTCTTCTTTTTCTTTGACCTCTTCTATTGTTGTTTTGGATTTTGTCGTTCTGATGAAGCTTTCAATTGCTGTTGAATCTTCCATCAATAAATCGATTTCAAGATGATTGAATACTCCAGGATTATTAAAAACAAGTGAAACTTCTGCCTCGTTTTTGATAATTGAAATTTCTCTTTGTTCTTCATTTTCCTTCAAGTTTGGCTCCTCTGGTTTCACAGATTCTTGAACAGTTTCAGGCTGAACTGGTAGTTGTTCGATCTTGGGCTCCTCTGGTTTCACAGATTCTTGAACGGTTTCAGGCTGAACTGGTAGTTGTTCGATCTTTGGCTCCTCTGGTTTCACAGATTCTTGAACGGTTTCAGGCTGAACTGGTAGTTGTTCAATCTTGGGCTCCTCTGGTTTCACAGATTCTTGAACGGTTTCAGGCTGAACTGGTAGTTGTTCGATCTTTGGCTCCTCTGGTTTCACAGATTCTTGAACGGTTTCAGGCTGAACTGGTAGTTGTTCGATCTTTGGCTCCTCTGGTTTCACAGTTTCTTGAACAGTTTCAGGCTGAACTGGTAGTTGTTCGATCTTGGGCTCCTCTGGTTTCACAGATTCTTGAACGGTTTCAGGCTGAACTGGTAGTTGTTCGATCTTGGGCTCCTCTGGTTTCACAGATTCTTGAACAGTTTCAGGCTGAACTGGTAGTTGTTCGATCTTGGGCTCCTCTGGTTTCACAGATTCTTGAACGGTTTCAGGCTGAACTGGTAGTTGTTCGATCTTGGGCTCCTCTGGTTTCACAGATTCTTGAACAGTTTCAGGCTGAACTGGTAGTTGTTCGATCTTGGGCTCCTCTGGTTTCACAGATTCTTGAACAGTTTCAGGCTGAACTGGTAGTTGTTCGATCTTGGGCTCCTCTGGTTTCACAGATTCTTGAACGGTTTCAGGCTGAACTGGTAGTTGCTCAATCGTTGGTTTTTCTGATTTCACAAATTGTTGGCCTTTATCTGTCGAAACTGGTATTTCAGAAGTTTTAAGTGATTCTTGTTCGGTTCCAGATGATGTTGATAGCAATATGCAAAGAACATCAGCTGATTGTTTGTCTATTCTCAAAGAGTAGTTAAAATCTAAGTTTTCTTCTTCATCGTTATCGCTACATGTTTTGCTTATTGATATTTCTTTACTATCCGCAATATTACCACTTTTGTCGAGAATTTCGAATTTCATAAGTTTAGCATCTCTTCCAATATCCTTAAGCTTTATCGAAATTGAATTATCGTTCTCGTGTTCACTAAATTTATTACATATTTTAATAGTGATTTAACTGGGGAACTTACATATTCTTATCATCCACAGTGCATTTAGTTTGAATACCATCTCTGGATATAACAACCGCTCTCACAGCTGGATCGCTATCTTCATATTTTTTCCCAATCGCACAGAATGTTCTATTCTGATCGGCTATCACAATTTCCGATAATATCTCTTCAGATTTTGTTACAATACACTCGGTTGAACAATGGCTCTTTTCATTTTTTGCAATACATGTATACTTTTTTGGACATGCTGCATCTCGTAGTATAATTTGCAGAATCGAGACATTTTCTTGATTGGTTATTTTGTGGAATCGATCGTTTGAAATGGTGTCATCATCCTCAAACCATTCAAATTCGATCGGTGTTTCACCTTCACAAACTACTCTCAATTGTGCAACTTCCTCAACAACTGATGTGTCCTGTAATATTTAAGTTTATTTCGTAGTAGTTTAATTTATATTTGAGTTCATAAATGAAGTTATTCAATATTTACTGGAAAAAAAAAGTTTTGAAGAAATTCGAATGTGGAGTAAACACTTTTCGTATTCAATTGTCTGATGTCATTTTAGATATTGCTATTTTTTTGGTTTTTGAATTATGTACTGCCAAAAAACAGGAATCCAAGAAACATTTTGTTTCACAATCCCTTTTTGGCGGTACATAATTCTGGTCTATATAGTTTACAAAAAGTGATTTTCCGGGTATTTTAAGACACTTACATTCAAAGATTTTACGAACTTTAATCCAATAGGACCATCCGACTGTTCTCCATTTATTACCATTTTGATGGACGTACTCCCACATTTATTGTTAGCATTTGCACAGAATACATTCACACCCTCTTTCAAATGAGATGTTTTCAAAATTCCTATTCCATCTTCAAAAATTGTTGTATAGTCACTGTCGTTTTCAACTGGCAATCCATTGTGTGTCCATGATAATGTTGGTTCTGGAGATGCAACAACACCAACTTTCAGAGATACAGTTCCATCGTTTGTGTTCGATGTGTTATAGACAAAGACAGGCTTCTGCTCGGTTGTTTGATCTGATTTCACTCTTTTCACAATACATTCACAATCTACACTTCCAGCAGTGTTTCTTAGAGTGCACTTTACCAAAGAGCCATCTTCATCCACATTGCAAACATTAATCAGAATCACACCATCTTCAAATTGAATACTGAAAAAAAAAACCATATTTTTTTATTTGCACTCTTTTTTATCAACCTCTGATCATTCCCATCAACGGTACACACAACATCTGGTAGCGGATCTCCGGCTACAATACATTTTATTGTTATATGGTCAGAAGTTGTGAATGTGTCTTTCAGTGGAACAACAAAGAATGGAGATTGATCAGTTTGTTCAGTAATTTCACTGAATTCGTCTTCTTTTCGAATCACACAACTTGTAACAGCTTTTCCTTTGCAATTTATTGCTTCACATTGAACATTGAGCACTGAATTGGTAATGTTTTTCAATCTAAGAAGCGCAATACCATCTTCGAAATATATTTCAGTATTCCTGGAAAATAATACAGTTTTCATAATATCCAGACTCAAACTCACTCATTCTCCTGAACAATATCACCATCAACAATCCATTTAACAATAACCAATGGGATACCCATTACAACGCATTTCAAAGTGCACTTATCATCGCTGAAGTTTTTGTTGTTTAATGGTAATAGGAAATATGGTGGTTGTTTTGCGAGTGATCGATTGACTGGTGGGAAATTGAATGAAACACCCAGATGATTTGGTGATTGAACCATCACATCCAAAGCAACGTCATTTTGATCCCGATCACAGATAACATGAATTCCTGTATTTTCCATTAATAATTTATCGTCAACAACTTGAATATGACAAGATGTTGAATCACAGCCTGATTGATTCGCAATACTACAAGTGAAAACTGCATTGTCATCTAATGTTGCTTTCTCAATTTTCAATATACTAATACCATCTTCAGTTGTGACAGAATACTTTCTGAAAAATTATCAATTTTAAGCTTGTCTTTAGGGGATAAACCAAGAATAGCCCCCACTCAATGCATTTCAGGCCCCCACTTGGCAAACTCATTTCGATCCCCAACATTTGTTTACAATTAGATTCACGAGAAATTCTAGAGAACGAATAGTATTATTTTGACGTGACGTGACACGTAATTTCATTTTCCACTATAGAAATAACCAAAATATAATTTATGGTCTTTTGTCGCTAGTTTCCCGTGTGTGTGTGTGTGTTTTCGCGAAGAAATTTCTGGGGATTTTTAAAAATTGGGAACCCCCCCCCCCTCAGATTTTAGAAATGGATATGTTAACTTATAACATATGGGAACCCTGAGAATCTCTCCAATGTCACTTTTCCCTTGGAGAATACTAGTTTTTCAAAAAAATTATACATTTTTTTAAATTCTGTCCACTTTTTCTTTTGATTTGTTGATTTCACAAGAATTGGGACATTTGGTCCCTTTTTTCCCGTTCACTTTCCCACCAATCCGATTTATGCTTCTGTTGTTTTATTTTTCCCAAGATATTCTGAGACTTTCTCGAATCGACACAAAAAAATGCGACTTTTTCGAAAAAATCAAAAAATCTTGAAAATACTTTGGGAAAAATGCGACTTTTTTTTCGATCGATTTGAAAATGTATTATTAACCGTGTTTTCGCTTGAAAAATACGTGAAAACACAAACAGTTTGAATAAAATTGAAAAGTGCTGACACTGTGCCCGGAACGCGACAGCAGAGAAAATGTTTTGCCTCTACCCTTTTCTCATACTCTCTCGTGTGTCTCTTTTTCTCTCGCGTCTCTTCACAACCCCACACACTCTCGCTGAAAACTGACTTTTGAATAAAAACCGCAATTTAAAAGCTTGAAACTCGGAATTTCGAAGAAGTAAGATGATGATCAGAAAGAGGAAGAGTAGTAGAACGCAGAGATATGAAATTCACCCAAAAAAAATTCTGGAAACGGCTTTCAAACACGGGTTTGAAAAAAGTGAATTTCTATTTTTCAATTTTTTTCATCCAAAAATGAATTTTTCCAAAATGTTCATAACAGATCTTGTAGAGAAGGTTAAGCTGGTTAGATTCCAATATCAAAGTCTTAACAATGATAGCTACTTCATGAAATTATCGCTCTCAAAGTTTCATACATGGGCAAGTTTTGGCAGAAAACCATGAGTTTAAATGAACATTGTTTGAAATTGTGTTTTAACAACAATGTAATATAGGTCTTCCTCTTTCAAATGATGTATAAAACTTCAGCTTTTTGGAAATAATTCGATGAGAAAATCCAGATTTGGTTTCAGAAGTTTTTTCCCCAGAAAAAAAACGATGGCCGAAATTTTTTGTTCTGGCCGAACTAATCGGAAACTCGGCCATTGTTGCGCTCAGGGCACAGTGTGCTGACAAATGTGTGGCCGTGGACTAGGAAACCAAACACATTTTTTATTTCTCTCGGACAAACTTTTATTTTTTTTTCTTTTTTTCGCAAAACATTTTTTACTGTTTTTTCGAAAAAAAACATGTTCTATATGATTTTTTTTTGTTTCAGATGAATGGAAATGGACAATTGATGGATTTGCGATAATGGAATGATGATGACATATTGTAAGTATTTATATTTTTGTGAAAATAGTCATTCCTGTATTTTTCGATAAAATTTGAGAATTCTGTTCAATTTTCGTTAAAGGGTGAATTGAACAGAACAGACCTGTCGTTCTGAAGGATTTTCATGAAGTTCGAGCCGGTCTTTTAAAAGACCGTGCCTAAATGGAGCGAATAAGACGGCTAATATGAACTCCCGCTCCCATTTTTTTGGTGGGCCTTGTCAATATTGGGGGTTGGAGGACATGATCAGGTTCTGCATTTTTACCGTCTTCAGGTTGGCAAAATTTTTTTCTACAAAAAACCTACTGTAAATCAAGTAGAATTCCATCTTTCTCCCACATCGCAGAAGGTAATGGTTGACCATTAAATTTACATTTGATAGTCATGAAGTCATTTGTTGCACATTGAACTTTTTCGGGAAGTTTTTGAACGAATTGTGGTTTTGTCATCGATACCATCGATGATGCTTCGCTCATACTCGATGTGTCATCTGTTGGATAAATTTGACACGATGTTTCGGCAGTGCCTGCCACATTTGACGCTTGACATTTGAGAAGTCCGCCAGTGTTTCCACCAACGTTGGAAATTCGAATGGTACTTATTCCGTTGTCGCATTTTATAAAAATTTTGTCACTGAAAATCGAAGGTATTCTTAATATGTACTACGTTTAAAAAACTTACTTGTCTGTTGTTAATTCGTGGTCATCTAATAGCCATTTGATACGTGGTTGCGGCACACCTATAAACTGAGTTTCCAGAGTCAGTTTATCATTGATAAAAGTTATAGATGTCGGTAGATTTTGAGTGAAACTTGGTTGAATATTTAATGGACTCGAAGATAAAGAAGTCAATGTGTCAGCAAGGGTGGAGCAATCTGAATAAAAATTGTATTGTTTTTTTGTGTACTTATAATATCTTACCATCTTCATCATATCCTTCTTCTGCAACAATCACATCAGAAACAATGTCTTCTGATGGTCTTCTGAAAAGAAGATCAACTGTCACATTATTTTCTGGTTTTGTGATTTCTTCGATAGCTTCTTTGATTAGCTGATCTGCCATTTCAGACGCTGCGATTTCTAATGACGAATCAACTTTTGTAACTTCCACACTTGGTATCTTCGGTAATTCAACGTCTCGTTTCACAATGTTTTCTAAATTTTCCTGAATTGGTTGTTCAGGTGTTTTGTCCATACTCTCAGTTTTCTCAGTAGTTTCTTGAACATCTGGAGAAATGTGACCTTGTTGCTGAACTATTTGAACTTGATCATCTTTTTGAGAGATGATATCTTGAAGAGTGGCTGCATCTTCAGTTTGATTTTTTTCTCTGATTTCTTCATCGATTTTCTCAATTTCTGGCGCAATGGGAGTTCCAATTTCATTATCTTCCTGAACGTTGGCTGCGATGTCAGGTTGAATTTGTTGTGGTTCTTGTTCAACAGGTTTTGTGATTTCTTCAAAGTCTGGCTGAAGATTGGCTGCGTCTTCAACGTTAACTTCTTGAGAAATCTTCTGTTCATCTACGATTTTTGGTTCAACAACATTCTGAATACTGGCTGCATTTTCAGGATGTGGTACTTGAAGTTCGGCTGCGATTTCTTTAATTTCTTCCTGAGATTTGGCTGCGAGCTCAGGTTCAACTTGTTGTGGTTCATTTATAACAGCGGATTCCTCTTGAATATCTAACTGAAGTTTGGCTGCGTCTTCAGATTGATTCTCTTGAGTAATCTTTTCTTCTACAGTTTTGAAATTTTGAACGACATCCTGAATTGGGGCTGCGATTTCAGGTTGTGATTCTTGAATCTCTACTGTTTGTTGGAATGGAGTTTTAGTGTCTTTCTCAGTCTCTTCTAAAGGTTTGGCTGCGACCTCAGATTCGACTAGTAGCTGTTCTTGGGTTAGTGTTGGTACTTGAGTAACATCTGACTGAAGATTGGCTGCTTCTTCAATTTTTTGATGTTCATTCTGACTAGATTGTGGAACAGTAACAACTTGATTATCTTCAACAATATCAATTTTGACAAAATCATCTGATGAACCATATCCTTCTACAAATCTAAGATTTTCAGTACTTGTCAATTTTGGTGACTGTGCAACATTCAATTCAGCAATCTCATCTGAATCTTGAACATGAAGAGAAACATCGACTTCTGGTTCAATTTCTTCCGCAACTGCTTGTGTTATCAATTCACCATTTACAACAATAATTTTTGACACTGGCGACAGTTTTCCAATAATTTTCACAGAGTAAATTCCAGCATCTGACCAATCGATGTTAGAAATAATAAGTTCGTGATTTTGCCCATCGCTTGATGTTGAATAAATATGTTTTGTAGAATCAGATGGAAGACTTTCACCATCTTTGCACCACTGAATATCCTGATGAGAATCTGATGTTTGACATTGAATAGTTGCAGTAACTCCAAATGGTACAACTGTTTCATCGCATGGTTCGTTATCTAAAATTTTATCTGGATTGGTGTTTTTTTGTAATATATATTTTTTTTTTATTTATTCGAATATTTTTGGAGAAACGCAATCGAGAGTTAACAAATAAATATATAATAAGGACAGTAATAATGATAAAAATAATAACAAATAAATATTTCAAAAGTATTATGATTGTAAAGAATTGTTAGATATTCGTTTTCGTTTCAACGCATGAAGCGTAGAGGTAACACTATTCACACATAAATGAGCAACACGGAATTCAGTATTAGAAATACACACACTATACAATCCACTATCAACACTTGTAGCATCATGGACAACTAAATAATGCTTTAGACCATTTTGAACATGCTCAATTTTTCCGGGTTCAAAGCGGATATCTTTTCCGTCGCGCAGCCAACGAATCGATCTCTCGTTTTCGAATTCTTCCAACTCGCAAGCAATTGTTGCCGTACTTCCAGGTGGAACAAGATATTCTTGAACATCATCTTCTTCACTTTCTGTTCCAGATGGAACTACTGTCACTTCTTTTTCTTCTATTCGTTCTGAAATGAGTGAATTTTTTGGAAGAATATTTGTTTTTTTTTTGAAAATTAAATTGTAATGTTCAAAAAATTCAAATTTCGAAGAAAAACCTTTTTTTGCATTTTTTATTTCATCGCTTAATTTTTATGGGTTCAACTCCGAGCCAAAGCTTTTTCCTATATCCGCTAGGTATGATTTTTTAAATTTCTGAAGAAATGTGAAAAAAAATGGTTTAAAAAATACGCTAAAAATTTCTAATGGGAATTTCATATATGCCACAAGTTAACTCACCTTCTACTACTAAAGTGATAGCAACACTTTGTGTCGAAGTTAATGCAAGATAAGTTCCTTGGTCAGATATTTGAGTGAGCGGAATCATAATTCGATGTGTTCCACAATCATCATTCTCGAAAAATATGTCCTCCGTCTCATGGAGTGGCCGTCTATCTTTCAACCAAGTTACAGCCACACTTGGTTCATCGATTGTACATGTTATAACAGTTGGTTGGCCTTCCATAACAAATTGTGTTTGTGGTCGAGTAAGAATGTTACCAGTTACACTTATTACATTCGGATTTTCGACAATTAGATAAGCAACAGGAAACATATCATCATTGATTTTGAGACTATAAAGATTACCGCTTGTTGGTTCAACACTTCGAATAATTAGAACCTCTAATAAATCGTGACTAATTCTATCGAATTTCTCATTGTCAATAACAACTTTCGATTTTCCACAATACCAATCAATTCTACAATCTTTCGGCAAATAATTGTTCAGTTCACATGTAATTGTTGCAGTTGATTCGAGTTTGACAACATAACTTGGAATTGAAATAGTTCCGGTCGAGCTGAGAGTATTTTCAATTTCAGAAATATCTTGTTGTGAGCTTCTCAATGATACTTGTGATTTTAAAGTGTTTCCATCGGCTTCCGAAACTGTCACATTAAACATACTATGACGAACTTCTTCGGGTAAAGTCATTTCAACTTCTCCCCATGCAATTTCTTCCAAAGATGCGTAAATTCCATCATTCAAACTTCTTGCAACGATTGAAACGGTGATTCCAGTTCTAGTCGTTGCTAAACTGATATCATCAATTGAGCCAGCTTGCAATTTAGTATTATCAATTTCTGTTTGTAGATTAGTTATAACAACTTCAGGAGTATCATCTTCACAATCTGACATAATTGTCAATGAAGTATAATCAACAATATCTTCGATAACCTTGATTGAAATACTATATTTTTGTGGTTCTTGAACAACATCAACATCGAATGTGTTATCAGCAGCCACTGTAGCAGATATTGTGTATAACAATGAATGTACCACAATACCCGTTACTTTTCTTCTAGCACTTCGTTTTGTAACAGAAAATGTTTCTGTTATCTCAGCTGGAGCTGGTGTGATTTCGAATGTAATTGATTCATCGCTCAATATGTCAGTTTCTCGAATTGTGTTTGAAGAGAAAGCTCTATCCGATAAAATTGTTGTATTCATTTGGCTAAGCATTTGGCTGAGTTCCTTCTCTTCAAGAACAACATCTACAGTTACAGATGAATTTCCGATTAATGATATATCAGCATTTATTTCTTCGACTTCTAATATCTCTTCACTTTCTTTGGAATTATTGTTCAAATTATCGACACTCAACGAAGAAACTGAATGAAGTTCGACATTAACATAAACATCTTCAGTCGGTTGTGGTTCATTTTCGGATGTTGAATGATTGAAATATCGAACACTTCCTGATAATAAAAGTGATCTATCTGTATCTGATGGATAATCTGATTCTTCACATAACATTTGAATCGATTCCAAATCATCAAACATTGGAATATCATACTGTAATGCAATCGTGTTCGACATATCCACAATGGCATAAACTTCGTCGTATTCATGATAAAAATTGGAAAATGAAAAACTGGCTCTATGAATAACAATATTACTGTTGCATTCTTTTTCTTGTGGCTCGATTGTTTTTGTCGGACGAGATTTACTTCTTGGTGGTCTAACTGGTGGATTCTCTTCTTCTGACATTATTGAACGACTTCGCCTAGGAGGTCTTACTGGAATTTCTTCGATTTCTTCCGATGCTCGAGAACGACTTCTTCGTTCTGGACGAACTGGTTTTTCAATTTCTGGTGATAAATGTTTTGTTCTTGGCGGGGCTTGTGGAATAGTTTCCTCTTCATTTTTAATAGTACTTGCTTCACTTGAAATTAATGATTTAATCATTGAAGATTCAAAGCTAGCTGGACTTTCTTCCATACTTCTCATGATTGATTTTTTCAATGAAGTTATAGATCCTCTTGGAGTACTCGTTGGTATTCTATTTGATGGTTCTTCATCAATAATACCAATAATATCTTCGGATTCTGGTTTAACTTCGAAACTGTACCAAACAGTTATTTCATTTGAAGTATTCATTGCTTCTATTGGTTGAAGATTTTGTGCAACTCTAATAACATTTATAATACTTGCGACATGTAACAAGACTGAATTCAAAACATGTGTGACTGTTTCAGCACCATTTTTAGTCATCTTTTGTTTGCAAAGTTCGGCAATAGTGTTTATTTCTTTTTCGATTTTTCGGAACAATTCTTGAATTTCTTCATCCTCTTTTTTGTCCCGCGATGCCGAATCTTCACTAACAGTCATTTGATGTAACTGGGTTAATCGATCTCTTAAATTCATAGTAATCGGAGTAATTCTAGCAGAATGTGCACTTGGAACTCTTTTAATTCGAACAGCTTTTCTTTTGTCATTTTCATTTCCTTTTCTTTTCAGAATTTCAGTAACTTCAGTGTCTTCTAGTAAATTATTCTCAATTTCGGAAATGGTTTTGCGAAGTTTTGCGATAGCTTCGCTTTTCTCATCAGTTTTGTTTTGAACAGGTTTTTCTTTTTGATTATTCCTTGGTTCATGGTTCAAAATCATTTCAGCCAACGCAGTCCGCAATATTTCTTCATTTGCTTGTTGTTGTGCTTCAGAAACTGGTTTCTGAAGTGCAATTTGATCCGAAATACAGAAAATTGCATTTTCAATCGATTTCAAATCAAGTGCTTCCAGTTTTCTATTTTTCATCATATTACTGATGTCTTTCTCAACTTTCTTTGCCAATTCATCCAAATTTTCTGGTGTTTTCACATTAATTTCACGCAAAGATTCCAAATCTTGTTGAACTTGCTTTGCAATTGCATCTAAATCCACATCTTTCACAACCTTCTTCTCTGCTTTTGAAACAACTTCACTAGCCTTGAGTTCTGCATCAAATTGAAGAACACAATTTTTCAATTCTTCTCCTTTTGCAAATATTTCTTGTCCTTTATAGGATAATTTTCCCGGAAGAATTGGTGTTCTTGGTTGATCCGATTCATTTATTTTAACATCTTTGCTTTCCGGAAATGGTTCATTAAAGAAATCCCAAGAATTTGTGGAACTTGTAACTGACAATCGGTTGTTTCCAGTTCCAAAATTCGACGTGATCGATTCATTAATATTTGTGTTTTGATTACAAAACATAATACTTGTATTGCTAGTTGCAATTGCTTCGGGATTTATTATAATTTTGGCAGAAGTTTGTTCACTTTGATATAATTCAGTAACTTTGACTGTTGTTTCCGCTGCTTCATAGAATTTTTTGAAAGATTCAGTTCTTTTCAAATCTTTGTTATATTCCGCAGTTATCGCATCTTCATATTCACTAATTGGATAAATATCAGTAGATATATCTTGTGTTGATAATTGCATCAATAGTTGCTCTTCGTCATCTTCCTCATTATCATCATCAATATTTTCTGCAAAAAATTAAAATCCAAACATGCAAAGTGGCACCCACCCACATGCATCAAGCAAAACTTAACTATGCGCAAGAAAAACAAAACGAACGAGCAGTTTTGAGTTGAGAAGAAAAAATGAAAAAAGAATTTGAAGCCGGGTGGGCGCCTTTTGGTTAGCAAAGAAGAAGTAAAAGGAAGAAGAGGTAAAAAACAAACAACAAGAATTTACAAAAGTATATATGTATGTACCAATAACTCTCTCGATTGCGTCTCGTTTTTCAAACACATTGAAAAGTTTCGAATGATGATACTGAATTAAATAACTAACCTGATAATTTGAGATAACATTTGCTTGTGACTGAACCAGCAACATTTGAAGCAATGCAACAATATTCACCTTCATCTTCTGGAAGTGTTGATTCAATTCGTAGAATACAAACACCGTCTTCATAAACAATATCGTATTCTCTGCAAAAAAAAATAATTCGAAAATATATTCATAATAAATTCAAACTCACTCATTTGGTATAATCGGATCTCCATCAACAGTCCATTCAACTTCCGGTTGTGGCATTCCAGCAATCAAACATTTCAATTGAACAGGCTCTCCTATTTTTCCATGACAATTCGCCAATTTTCGCAAGAATTTCGGAGCTTGTGGTGCTGCACTCGATTCAGTAGCCAATGATTGACTAACTTCTGTCAATTCATTATTTTCGTTAATTGATAGAGGTATTTGAGCTGGAGAGTTGACAGTTGCTACGATTTCGACATTTTGATCTGGGCAATTTGCATCGACTTCAACAAATACCGCAACAACATGTGATTCTTCCTCGTCATATTTTGAACGGCGAGACCATGTATGTTCTTCAGGTCCCTGGAAAAAATTGTATTTTTTTCCAAAAATTATACTCAAAAACTCACAGGTTGAGTAGGATTCTGGAACAAAACATGTGAAGTATTCTTTTCTGCAATTGCACTAGCAGGTTCATCAATTGAACTCTCATATTCGATAACCAATTCTTGATGTGCTCGATCACCATCTCGAACAAGAGCAACACTAACATTTTCCAATTTCAATTTGTTAGCTGCTGCTGCAACTTGCAATAGCTCAGGTACAATTGTTTCGTTGTCAATAATTGTCATGACTTGTTCATTTGTTTCATCTTGTTTCACAACTTCGACATGAGCATAAGCTTTTGATTCAGCATCTCCAACAAGTTTCTTCACTTTTTTCAAACTCCATGTGATTGCATTGTGGAAAGTGTTGGACATTCCTTGTAAGACAACAATTCTATGTTGAGCATTTGCTGTCTTTTTCGATTTTTCAATAATCATTTTATCGATAGTTTCACAAGATGTGCTTGGTTTCTGAATGATAGTTTCGAAATCAATAAACTTCAATGGAACTGATGTTGTTGTACTCAAAAATAGCGTATGAGTTTCAATATTCGATTCAATCACAGTAACAACTTGCTCATAATGTTGTGGTTGTTGAGTTACAATTACTGTTGTTGTTTCGTCAGAAATATGGGAATCTTTGAGAGCCATTGCACTATTCAATAAGATATTTGTGGCTTGAATTGGTTCAAGTTCTTCTTGTGATGCAACACGTCGAAGATTTGATTCGAGAGATTTCACTTTTTCATCATATGGCATTATTGGACTTGATTGTCTAACTTCTTCCAAAACCTTTTCTGGTTCATTCTCTGGAATTGGTTCAAGTTTTTGTGTTTTTTCTTGTTCCACGGGTTGCGATGTTTGATTTGCAACTTCGGTGTACACATCTTGGAACCATAGTTGAACTAAATGTTCGGATACTTTTTCAGCTGCCAAACGGAGTTCCTTAAAATATTATTATTAGTTCTAGTTTTATTTCTCTCTCAAATTACCTTTTCTTTTTTCTCTTTCTCTTTTTCATCTTCAACAAGAACATGAGTAATTTGTTCAACTGGATCAACATTTAATTTCATTGATAAAACTGCAGTTCCATGAATATTTGTAGCATGACAATAATAAGTTCCTTCTTGATTTCGAAGAACATTTTCAAGAACAATTGAAGACGATTCTTCTTGCAACTTGTTTTCTCCAAAATACCATTCAATATTTGGTGTTGGATTTCCACTAACAGTTGTACTCATTTTAATAGTTCCATTCTCTTTAACATGATATTCTTCAACTCCAGTTTCGAATCTTGGCTCAGATTTGTTTCCATCATCTTCTTCATCTTCAGATTCTGCCAATTTTTTGACAGCTTCTCTGACAGCATCAAGGAAAACATTTGCAACAAGAGTACTCGCAACTTGATCAGCCACTTTAATCAACAATTTGAATTCTTCTGAAAAATAAATTCATAAAAGCTACTGTAGATCACAAAAAGTAAACTAACCTTCTTGTTTCTCAATAGCCGCTGTTCCAGAAACTTCTTCTTTGTGAATCACTTCAATATCATCATCAATTCCAGTTTCTTTGGGTGTCGCAATAACTTGACAACTACTGTTGCTTACACCATGTTCGGATTCAGCGGTACAAGTGTAAACTCCAAAATCGTCTGATTTTGGCTCACGAATAGTCAAAATTTGAGCACCATCTGAGAATTGAACAACTTCATGTTTTGGTGAATCATACAAATCGACGCCATCTTTTTGCCAAGTTACAGTAATTGGAGCAATTCTGAAATATTTCATCTATTTATTTGTATTTAAAAAAACAATTAACTTACGATTGAACAGTTGCTACCAATCTGATATATCCCAATTGTTCATAATTATCTAATTCGGCTGTCAATTGTTCTGTAAACTTTGGTGGCAAAATGACCATAACATCTTCGGTGAGAACTGATTCTGAAATTTCAGCTTCCTCTAAATCTTTCACATATTCTACTCCTTCCACATTAATATATGCTGCAGTTTCAGCAGTACCATGTGGATTTGTTGCAGTACATTTGTAGAGTCCAGCATCTTCACTAAAAACTTCTGGATTCAATAATTCACAAGTTCCATCTTCTTTAATTGATGTGAGAACATCTTTATTGAGAACCCATTCTTCAACATCAATATCATCTTTTGACCAAACAATTGCTGCGGATGGATTGGCTGTGATTTTGCAGCGGAGTGACATTGGTTGACCATCGAGAAAAGTTGTTGAATGAAGTGGTTCAATGATTTTTGGAGCACTTTCTTCCGGAAGATCTGGTGGAACTATTTCGAAAGATTCATCATCAGCTGAAAAATATAACGTTTTAAAAAATTCAGGAACTTTTTTGAGTTTTCGAAAATGTAACACAGACTGTTATCAAGTGTTTCTTTCCAAAAAAAAAAAAAAGATTAGTAAGCGTGAGACTCACAGATACTCAAATAAGCTGAAGATGTGAAAACATCGCCTTTTGTATTTCGAACTTGACAAACTATTTCACCACTTTGTTTTTCATCCAATCTCTCAATTATTAAAGAACTCTCAAATTCACTATTTTCAATTGTAACATCTTCAATAATTTCAGCATTAGTTCCATTAATTGTCCAGACAAATTGGCAACTTGTAGTTCGAGTTTCATCAAATTTGACAACAATTACAATTCTTTGTCCACGTTGTCCAGAAGTTGGCAAAACTTCAGTGACTACAGATTCTTCTAATGTGAACAATTCCTCAATTCTAGTTGTCGTTGTTGTTTTTTGATTTGATGTTGATGTTGATTGAATATTATAATCAATCATAATTTTTGAAGCCCAACGATCTTCTCCCATATTATTTCTTGCAATTACGGATAAGTTTCCTGCTGGAGTATTTTTGAATTCAACTTCAGATTCATTAATTTCTTCCGAATGAATTGTGACATTTTGATTGTTTCTCAATTCGAAATTATTGAGCATCCATAAAAATGTGGCTGGTGGAAGTGCACTACAAATTATCTTCAATCGCATTGGTGTTCCTTCGATCAATCGGAAAATCGAATCAGTTGGATATCCAACAATTCTGGGAGCAAATGGTAAATCTTTTCCCTTTGGAACTGGTGATTTTTTTGATCCAAGAACATTGGCAAACGGATTAACTTGTCCAGTTGTGATTTTTGGAGAAGTTGCCTCGATAAATGGTTGAATATCAACATCTTTCATTCTACGAACAGTTTGGAAAGATGAATGTGATTCGACATCATCTTCGCCGTCGTGTGAAGTAACTACAGTAACTGCAGTCTCAACAATATCCGGTGCATCTTCAAGATCTCCTGTTCTTTGAACTTGAGTTGTCATTGATTCACTTCCAACATCATTTCTAGCAGTTATTCTATATTTTCCTTGTTTAACTGGTGGATGGATGACTAATGTTGATTTGTTATGTTCGTTTAGAAGTACAACATTCGAACTCTTTTTCAATTCAAATCCGTTAATATGCCATTGCATTTCGGCTGCAGGAATCGCTTGCACATCAACTGACAAAACTAATTTCTCGTCAGTGGTCAAAGTTACAATTTGTGGAAGTGTTGTTACAAACTTTGGTGGCTCTGGTAAAAATCGTCGTGTTAATTGCGCCGGTGGTCGAGTTGAATTTCTATTGAAACGAGCTCCAACAATACTTGCGGCGTCTGAAATTTTTTGACATGCGATGAGCGAGAAAAAAATGAAACGCAAAACTTATCCATCCAACACAATGTTTTCAAAATGTTAGTATTCAACATACCTTCTCGAACTCGAGTTTGTAAAGCAGATGATTCATTTGAAACTTCGACATGTGATTCGAGATGTCGAACACCTCTTGGAACACTACTTGATCGTTGTGTATAATTCAATTCAAAAAGATTTGTTGCTTGTCGACTTGGTCTTCCACTTCTCATCGAACTTGTCATCGAATCCATTTGATTATATTGCTGTTGATGGATCTCTTCAGTTTCAGTTCGTTGAATATCAACATGTCCACAACTCATTGCAGATCCATGAACATTTGATGCAACAACTTTATATTCACCAGCAATTGGAAGTGAGAATCGAACAACACTTCGATTCGCATCCGGTGAGAACATCTCAACATTATGAATAGTGCATTCTCGACCATTAACAAACCAAGAAAATCTGGCTGGTGGATTTGCATCAACTTCAACATCAATAATAACTTGACTACCAGCAGTAACAAAAAGATTTGGAACCTGAAAGAGAATAAGGTGCATTAGTGTCTCTCACTAATTCAGTGAAAAGCAATTAAGAATACCTGTGTCAAGAATCTTGGAGCTTGATGATAAGTTACACTGTGTTGTCGAACTGATCGAATGTCCTCTTTTGACTGCGAAAGATGTTCTCGATCAGCATTCACAGTTATATAACCATAACTTGTGCTCATTCCAGCCGGATTCCGTGTCACACATTTATAAACACCCTGTTCCGGTTGATTAACTTTCAGGCGACTGATATTGATCCCATGACCAATTTGAAAGCGTGATCGGTCCTGGAAAAACATGATGATTAATTTTTCTGGTGTAAGTTTTACCTGTAGCACAGATTTCTCATTGCAAAACCATTCAAAAATTGCTGGTGGATCAGAAGCGACTTCCACAACAAGACTAATGGTATCGGATGCTAGAACTCGATACGCTTTGATAACTTGAATAAATTTTGGAGGAGCAAGAGCAACAAAACTCGTAATCTCGCTACTCCAATGTTCTTCGGTATATGATTGAGATTGTGAACCGATCGAACGAATCAAATGAGTTTCGGCGACTGTTGCGTGGCCACTTGCGCTGCGTAGCACTGTTTCACGATCTACAGTAATGTTATTTTTAGTTTGTAAATTATTATTCTTAGATCAAAATATACCTGTCGCATAACTCATTGCAGGACTAACTGGTTGAGAAATGCTTCCAGTAACAGTTGTGTCAATGTTTAGATGTCTTGTTGGCTGCTGTTGATTTGACACTCCTGTCGGTGGAGGCCGATCTTCCTCATTTCCCTCCATTTTTTGTCGATTCCAAATACTCGACTTTTTTTCTTAATTTTTCCTTTTGGTTCGATCGATCTGAAAATTTCATCCAGTTTAGTTTTATTCTCATTTTTCTATTAATAAATACAATTTTCTCATGTTTTGTACAAATATTTATTTATTCATTCTTTTTTATTCATTGAATAAAATTAGCGGTTTCTCAAATAATTCAATTGAGAAAAAACATGAGAAATATTGTGTGGTTTTTATTGATTTCTGCTATTTTTGCGGAAATTCAAGATGATGAGTTTTTCGGAAATTCTATCATCAAATCTTTGAATCATGGATACGAAATTCGAGATGCTGAATTTATTCTGAATCTCTACGATTCCTCATTTTTTGATGATTGTGAAATTGGAAGTTATGAAAATTCGAGAGATCAATTGGAGTTGGAATTAGCAACATCAAAAAATATAACGGTAATTATTCATTGTTTTATTTTCTTCAAAAATTTATTAAAACTATTTTTAGTTCAATTTCCTCAATGCCAAAACAATCTCCAGTAATTTCTTCAAAATAAAATTCCAAAAAAGTGGTTCATCAAAAACTGGCGAAATGACTATTCAAATCAAAGATGATATTCCAAGTATAATAAGATCGAAAAATGATAAATGTGCTCTTTTTTAAACTCGATGAAAAATGTGCACCTTTTCTTTTCGTTCCTTCTAATTGCCTATACACAACACATATGTTTATGTTTTTCAGAAAACCGACAAAAAATAGATGGGAGGGGGAGGACGCAATTTTTCAGATCGTCAAAATTGGGACAGAAAAACCTTTCGATTTTTGAGACTCAAACAAGACACCTGACGCTTGTGAAAATGTTTCGATCTTGTTTCAGAAATTGATTTGGGAAAACCGAAAAATTTTGTTGAAAGATCGGATTGAAAAATATAAATCAGCCTAGCTTTTGTGAGAAAATAGTTGAGACGGGTTTTGGAAAATCATTTGGAATCTACGCAAAATTTCCGAACAGTCAGGAAAAATTGAGATCCAGAAAATTCGACTTGAAATTTTCTGTTTTTTTCTGAAAATAGAAAGATTTTTTGAATTTCCAGTCGCAGAATTAAAAATAAATTATTTCTTGATAGTTGTGAAAAATAGTTCTCGATATATCCAAATTTTCGAAATCCTAAATTTTAGGTTTGAAATTTTGTCTTCAAAAAACTTAATCAAAATTGAGCAACTGGAATTAAATTAACCTAGCAAAACCAAAAAAAATTAAATAAGAAACTCTTGAAAACAAAAATAAAAAGTGAAGGCGTAGGAGATCAATGTTTCTCTTCTCTTTATCCCTCTTTTCTCTCTCATCTTCCCGATCATCATTTTCCAGGTCCTTCGGGGCATTTCAACAGTCTGCGTCTCTTCTCCCAATCCTCTCTCGTCGCTAAATTGTAAAGATGCAGCAGCACCGCGGTTAGGTTAACTCGGACATTTGTGAAAATCTCCCTCTCTCTCTCTTCATCTTCTTCTCCCGTTTCATTCATAGCTGGCTTCAAATAAAAAGTTGTAATAATACAAAGGGTTGATTTTTGTTAAAAATAAGGGTGAATCCGATGAATGAGTGATGAACAACAAGCAAAACAATGGAAATTATCAATTTTTACTATTCAAATAAAAAAAAAATCAATCCGAGTCATCTTCGGCGGTAAAATCAAACGGTTTGAAAGCTTCCTTCAACTTATTAACCAACTCAATTTCTTTTTCTTTTTCTAAAACACATTTCTTCCAATCAATTTTCTCTTCGCAATCCAATATTGGAGCCGACGCGAGCACCTGGAAAAATTAATTACTCGGGAAAAATTCCGCAAGTGTCGGCAAGAATTGCAGTAGAGCCGCAATGGCTGCGGGTGAAGCCGCCGTTGTTGCGGGGGAAAGACAAGGGAAGTGTGAGAGAGCACAGGCAAACAGACAAAAAGTAGCGAGCGTCTGCGCTCTCTCACATTCCCCTTGTCTTTCCCCCGCAACAACGGCGGTTTCATCCGCAGACATTGCGGCTTCACTGCAATTCTTGCCGGCACTTGCGGGATTTTTCCCGAGTATAAAAGATTTTGAAAAAAAGAAGAAAAAGTTACCTCTCTACCAAACTGCAATGGAAATCCTTTCATACTTCTTGTGAATAATTTCGAACCATCAGGAAGTTCGGCGACAAAATACGGGCAACCTTCATTAACCAAATCGGAAAGCTGAAATTGAGTATTTTTTAAGAGAAAAATGACTTGATACTCGATAGTTCATAATTTCTAAAAAGCAAAAAACTTGTTATTTTTCTCTCCGAAAAAAAATTTGTTTTTAAAATAAATGGATAAAAATAAATATTATCAACGTGTTCTGTGACGTGTAAAATTCATCATTGATAATTTTTGCCAAAAAAAAAACATTTCGAATATTTGAGAAACTCTGCAATGTATTTTTGTAAATGTAGGTTTTTGCGCGTAATGTTTTTGATGTATCCGATTATTTTCCGATTTTAATTGAATATAACCTCGATATTTTTTATTTATCAAAATCGAGATCAATTTCTAACAGAATTTTCAATTTTTGTGTTTTTTTTTGAAAACTTAGATAACAATGTTTAGTGACTTATTTTCGCAATGCCAACAATCGCAATTTTTCGAAGATAAAAATAAAACTAACATGTTCATCATGTCCAATAGTAACTAATTCAAATCCAGCCAGCGCAGCCGAATTCATAAATGCTCCTTTCAATGCTCTCGTCGATGCTTTATCGATCGCCACCATTTGAACTTGTAAATGTTGTGTTCGAAAATTCCGCTCAAAAGTTACTAACGCTTTTCCAGTCTTATTTGCCATTAATGTGAAAGCACTTTTGAATTTCTCAATTTCATCTCGAACAGCAACTGGAGCTGAAACTTGTGATTGAATATGTCCAATTGATAATATCATAACGTGTTCATTTGTGAGTGGTCCTTTTGGCATTGCGGCATAGCATGAATTTCCAACACTGACGACAAGATGTTTTTCAGCGTCGACGTTTGAAAGACAGAACCAACATGGAGCTTGAGGCTGCTTGTTTCGAGGACCATCGTCTGAAAAAATTGTTTTGAAGTTTTTTCAAAAAATAAACTTTTTACAATGAAACATGAACTTTTGGAAAAAAACACATTTCGAAAATAAATAAGGATACAAGATACATTTTTTGTTTAAAAAAATGATCTCATTTGAACCCGAATTGTCATCTTTTTTCCAAACTATAAACATCTAAGAAACATGCACTATTTTTTAGTCTCTTGTTTACCTTTTTTCTTATTAGTACTTTTTCATCCCCTTTTTTTCTTTTTATCTCTGTGTTTCTTTTCTCTTATGGTTGCTATGTCTTTTTGGTCATTCGTTGTATTTATTGCATCAGAAATTAGTTTTTTGTTTTCAGGTTCAAAATCAGAAAAATGAAACGTTTCACCAATGAAATCACTGTTGATGCGAAAATTCTTGGAGATCATTTGAAGTTTCGCTCGGGAAAACAGACGCAGAACCGATTTTTGAAAGCGGCGTTGACTGAAAGAGTGTCGAGTTTTGATCCACAAAATCCAACAAAACATGGATTGCCATCACAAACTTTGCTCAATCTTTATGATAAGTGGGGAAATGGTCAATTTGGCGCGATTCTAACCGGAAATGTTATTGTTGATTCAGTAAGTTATAAATTAGTTTTTTTTTTCTATTTTCAAAAATCATAATTCAGACACACTTGGAAAGTGCTGGAAATGCGATTATTTTCAAAGAGGGAGATGGACCAGAACGCCGCGAACTTTTTGGAAAATGGTCCAAAAATATAAAACAATCCGGTTCATTGGCATTCGTCCAACTTTCTCATGGAGGAAGACAAACACCAGTAACAGTTCAACCAAATCCATTTTCGGCATCTTCAGTTCAATTAGCAGGAGAAAGACGCTTTACAGGATTTGGGAAACCTGTTGAATTGACTATTGAACAAATTCAAACTGAGGTAATCGATAGATTTGCCTACGCTGCCAAGTTTGCATATGAAACTGGTTTTGATGGTGTTGAATTACATGCTGCTCATGGATATTTGTTGGCTCAATTTACTTCGCCTACAACTAATAAGAGAACTGATAAATATGGAGGAAGTTTGGAAAATCGATTGAGAATTATTCTCGAGATCTATGATGCGATTAGACAACAAGTTCCAACAGAGTTTATCGTTGGAATCAAAACAAATTCCGTCGAGTTCCAAGAACAAGGTACAACTGTTGATGATGCCAAGGAAATGTGTAGTATCTTTGAGGAAAAAGGTTTTGATTTTGTTGAATTATCAGGAGGAACTTATGAAAAGATTGCATTCCATCATTTGAGAGAATCAACAAAACAACGTGAAGCATTCTTTTTGGAATTCGCCGAGAAAATTCGACCAGTTTTCAAAAACACTGTTGTTTATTTGACTGGTGGATTCCGAACTGTCAAAGCGATGGTTGAAGCTGTTGAATCGGATGCCACTCAAGGAATTGGATTAGGAAGACCAATTACAGCTGAACCTGATTTGCCTAGAAAGATTCTCTCCGGCCAAGTCGCTTCTTCGATTGCCAACAATTTTGATGAAAACAATTTTGCAATCACAAACTTGGCAAGTAATTCGCAAATGGAGCAAATGGGCAGAACTACATTTGCGGAAGTTCATAATAAGTAAGTCGTTTGAGTTTTATGATATTTTTATGTGATATTTTTTCAGTATTCTTGCAAATATCAGCGACTTTTCCAATACTGAAACATCGGATCGATATTTGGAAGCTGTCAAGGGATATTCTGAATATATGAAAAATGAAGCATCTCAAGGAAAACCAATTCACGGTGTTTTGAGATTTGATTGATCTGAATCTTGTAGAAATAAGGAGAATAAATAAATTTACCATTTCCATTATTCGCTCGTTTTCTTGAATTTTCTATTTCTTCAGCATTTCCTTGTTCAAATCGATATTGTGAGCCTTCAGAACGTTGTCCTTTTGTTCCATTCATTCGCTCAAGTTGCTCTCTGAAATGGTTTTTTTGTGAAAGTAAATTAATAAGTCTCCTACATTGCTGCTATTTCTTCGAGCATTTCTCGATATGGAAATTCAGAAGCATTTGGTGGTTGTGCTGTTAATTCTTCCTTTTCCATTTTTCTCATTGGTTTCACATTACAAGCATACAACCATTTTTGCTTCTCGGTATTTCCAACTGTTGCTAATCCAATAAATCGAGTTGTATGTCTTGCAGGTTCTAATAGCACTCGATGGTTTCTATATGGTTGTCGTTCATAATGCACTCCCATTCCAGCGAAATGATATCTTGGTTTCAGACTTGCTGCAAGTTTGGCTATTAAAATCGAACCGGGCGGTGGTTTTGTTGGTTGATTATGCGAATGTTTTGCTACACCAGCAGGCCACATTGATGTTAGAAGAATATCTACTCCACTAAAACCGGCTTGAGTTCCAAGAGGAATCAAAAGTTCTTCAATGTCCTCTCTATTAAATGTATGTTCTTCGTTTGATGTTCCTTCAACACCACTCAAATATGCGATTTGTAATCCTGAAGCTGTACTGAGCATTCCTCTCTTTCCCAAATATGTCAAGTTTGTTGAGAACTCGGTTGATTCTTCGGGAAATAGAAAAGCATGTCGAGGGTCTGCTGCGCCTAGAATATATGTTGGAATCGGAAATTCGATTTGGCCATTCACTAGTTTTTCATTATCTTCATCGTTGTCACCAAAAAATTCACCAACACAAAACAATGCGTCAAAAGGACCACTCTGAAAAACTAAATTTAGTAAGTAAACTTTATAAAGTTGAAAAATTATTTTTTTTAACTCTTACCTTCTGACTAATCGTTGTCAATTTTTTGACCAGTTCAACAAATTTACCATTGACATCACCACAACATAATACTTTAGCAGCGGACATCTTAAAACGTGAAAATTAGGTTTTTTCCGAAAGACGAAACAAACGAGAAAAAAATAAATTGTTGTCCGAGAGAACTTCAAAACTTAAAAAAGCTAGTCCCTCTTGGGTTTCTAGGTCATATTTTTCTTCTTATAAAAAAGCGCGCTTTTAAAAGAAGGAAAAATACTTATGTTTTATATTTAAAATAAAGAGAAATGGTATAAAATGAGAAATGAAAATTACTAGAAGGGCTTCGCTGGCTAACGCCATATTACGGGAACCCTGAGAATCTCACAAGCTTCACTAGTGAAAGTACTTTGGCTGAAACATGATTTTTCATTTAAATTCATAAATCCTATAAGTTCATAAATCCTAGACCCGCAAAAAAATATATAGTGTAGATCACGCGGGATTTTAACAAATTTTCGTTGTTCTTCTATATCGATTGGCATTTTTTCAAGAAAAACATTTTTTGAAATGAATTTTTTATTTTGTCGGAAGAAGTGTTCACGTTATTATTTTAAGAATATTCGAAAAATTACGCTAGATCTCCTTTTTTCAGGTTGGACGCTCATTTCTTGAATTTTTTTATTTTGTATTCGTCCTTCAATGAGAGCTCTCGATTAAACGTAAGTGAGAGTTTATTTTTCTTTCTTTTTATAACCCAGAGAAATTCCAGATTGCTTGTGAATTCGGAATTGAGCGAGCCGATGTTGGTTTCCCACAAACAAAATGAATTTGAGGAAATTGAGGTCTTATACAACTGCAACTCATGTCAGGTCAGTTTAATTGGGTTTTGGGTTTTGTTCTGGGGTTTGGGAGAGAAAACACAGTAATTTGTGTTAAATTATATCACAGGTGAGTTTGGGGTGTATATATCTGCAGTCTCAGTTGCTCACAAGCAAAAACTTGTGGGAAAAGAGGAAAATGCCTCAAAATTCCTCGTTGTTTTCTTTCATTTTTTTAAATTATTTTTTTTATTGTTTTCAACAAATTAAAACGTTTGTATGACTAAAAATATTCGACTATGGGAGAAATTAGAACGATCAAATAAGAAACGTGGCCTTATAATTCTTTCGAATAAAAGCGTGATCATCTACTATCTACTATCTACAGGGTGCGCGCGAAATATGTGTGCATGCGAAAATTTCACATACAGTTTTAGTAATATTGGCACACGTAGTAAATTTGAGTATGGATTGTTCAAAACAAGTCACAAGTATCCGAGAAACACCATTTACAAGAATTCAAGTCAATCTCTTCACTTAAAATAGAATCCGGTTTGTATGAAGTCAGAAGAGAATTTGTGAAAATGAGAAAATAAGAACGCGACTCTTCCTATTTTTCGGATAATGATTTTGACCAATTAGAACTCGAGTTTCGTAAAAGTTATTTAAATATGATTTTGTAGGATGTCTTTAGACATCATTGGCTTACTTTATTTAAATTCATAGAGTTCATTATATCGTTTTAAGAACGAGCAGGCCTACAACAAAATTCCTCTCGAGGAATCGGCGAAATCTGAATTCAATCTGAGAAACATGCTCTAGAGCACTTAAAAGTCAATAATTCATCGTGATTATGACTGACTCATGATAATATGTTCATATTACTGCAGTTTGATAGAAATATTAGTTATACAAACATTACTTCCGACAATAATTGATTTTTGTCTCTTTTTGGGAAATTTTTTTTTGAAAACTTCGCTTTTGTAGGTTGCACTAAACACCATTTTCAGAAAGTTTTGTGGAACCAGATATGGATTTCTGTTATGAACACTATTAGGGAAGGTAAAATAAAGGTTTTTTGCTGATCACTTCAATTAATAGTCAAAATTAAGACTTTGAAACAGTCTTGTGAACTTGAAAATAGCCGCGTTCATACCACACTCATTCGAAAACGATACCCCAAAGGAAATTATGTGACTTGGTCTAGGTATACAAAATCGGTTTCGGATTTTGTATTGTCATTAGTTTGGCTAATTTGAGACCAAATCTCAGCGTGATCAGACACGTACTGGCTTTATTATGGCCAAAAGTTCATGCACACATATTTCGCGCGCACCCTGTACTATCTACTTATATATTATTTCCCGAGGTGTCCTTCCGCGGAGCAAAAAGAATGAACACGTTTTTATTCAGAAAAAAATCAAGGCCACGTCCCTTATCTGATGAACCATTTAATATTCAGAGAGGAGTATTTTAATCATTTTTTAATGTTTCCTTATTCCAAAATAGTTGATGTACCAATTCATGGGTGTGAGTCGGGTTACTGTAGGCGTCAAAGTTTCAAAGTGTCAGTAGTCTAAGTTTCAAATACTGAATAATTGTTTCGAATAAAAATAATAACAGTTATTTTTGATATGAATTCATAATTCTAATGTGAGAGTTTTGTTATAATTTTAGTTTTGTAGAGTTTTGAAGAAAATTTTGAAATTGAAAGCATAAAAATCTGAAATTGGAAATTTTTCTTTCAGCTGAAACACTTTTCTCTTGCTCCAAAAGATTTGAAAGTTTTTTTTAAAAGAAATAGCATAATTTCCAAAAATTACATTTTCCTACAGAATCAAACAATTTACAGTGAGTAACGCATAGCCATTTTTATGAAGGTTAGAGAAAACTGAAAACTAGAGGAACTATATCTTTTTGAAATACAAATTTTGTCACATCCACTGTTCGGAAATTTCAAACATCTAGGTTTTCATACAATTCTGCATTCTCACACAGCGAGAATACAGTAAAAACACAAGGAAATTCCGTTTCGCGAACAGGAAAAGTGTATACTTGAATCTTATCTGAAGTTCTATGTATCAACATGTTTCTGAAGTTCATTCGATCCAAAATTCACTTTTATTGAAAATTTGTCAGTTTGAGTTTCATAGTCAAATAGTTGTGGCCTTTTCTTGATGTTTCTCTTACCCTAATCGGAATATGAAAAAAGGAAAAGTAAGTAACTCAATCTCAAAAGTAGATGATCTCAAAAACTGCGATTTCCAGATATTCCAGATGAACAATATTTTTTAGCTTCAATGTTTTTGGCAGTTTTTCAAAAATTGTGATCTTTTTTTATTGAATTTCGATGATCAAACCAATTCAAAATAAGAGACAAACTGATTAGAAAAAAAAGTGAAGTTTCATGAAAAGCACAATTTATCCCATATTTCTTCTAAAAATTCCTACATTCTTGAGAGTCCTCCCTTTTTTCTAAAAAAAATTCAAAAAGAAGGGTTTTGGAATGAAAGAGGTTGTTAGAAAATTAGGCTCACAAAAAAATTATGTCAAAATTATGACTCTACTTGACTTTTGAAAGGAAAAGCAACTTTTGAAGTTAAGTTTGAGCTACGAAAATATCAATACGCCTTAATTTTTGAAAAATCCACTTACATTTTGTTTCAACATTTTCCTTTCACGAACAAAAAATGGATCTGAATAGGACAAGATGGGTTCAGGAACACTTTTAAAAAAAGTTCAAAAATTGTATTATCAGAAAAAATAAGGGTTGCAAATATGGAAAGGGTTTTTCAAACTATGATAGGGTTTTGATTTTTTCGTGACTTGAACTCAATTTCAAAATTTGCTTTTCAACGTAGTTTAGTCCTAATTTTTAACTTTAATTAATGGTGTGAGGATTGAGAGATTTGGCCGAGAGTCATCTGCCGAGGGTTTTACTTGCATAACAGGGCTGGTCGGAAGTGACTTTTCGGAATTCCGACTTTTTCTTTCGTATTTTTTTTCGGAATACCCGAAGAAATTCGGAAGTGTTTCGGAAGTTCTAATACGCAGGAAAAAGTGAAAAACGACGTTTTTCGAAGAGTAATTTCGATTAAAAAAAGTCGAAAGTAGAAAAAGTCGGAACGAGAGTCGGAATTTAAGCAATTCCGAGTTGTTTTTCTCGGAAGTGCTTCCGACCGAACTGCACTTCCCAAAAAACGTCGATTTTCGGAATTTCGGAAATCCGATATTCTGATTCCGACCAGCCCTGTTGCATATGAATCACAAAAACTCGATTGTTGTGTAAAAAAAATGAGATAAGAAGCTAGAAAGTGTTAGGTGTGGACAAGGCAGCCGAAGGCTGCCTGTAACGGTTCGCAGCCGCAGGCTGCGTAACACAAGAATTTTGCCGCCGGAGGCGGCTATAAATTCTTGTCTACTATTATATACTAATTGGAAACTGCTTTTTAAGAGGTGCGTATGTCCGATGGACCAACTTTTTTTCTACTTCATGAAAAGTTTCGGTTAAAAAAAGAAAAGTTTCCAAATAGTTGCAGCATGGTGCAGAACATTATGAAATTTCAAAGTTTTTTGTTGTAGTGCGCGGGGAAACTTTTAACTGAAAAAACTCCTGAAATTCAATGTATTTTTGAAAATAAAAATGTGTCGCCGACCGTAACTCAATTTCTAGAAGACCGTTTTGAATGAGACTTGGACCAAGGTGTTTCAAATTTTTCGTAGATGATGCACGATATTCGAAATATTTCAAAAGTGCGCAAGTTTTCACGTGAAAAATCAAAACTTTTTCCGTGTAGAAAAGAATGAACACGTTTTTAATCGGAAAAAATTGCTAGGTCACGTCCCTTATCTGATCTTTCCATTTCATTCATCTCAGGTAGCAGCTTGCCCATGGACTGCCCTTAGGAAAGCGGTTGCCCCATAATTGCACCTTGGGCAAGCCCTAAGGGCAAATTTTTTAATGGGAAAAATAAATTTATAGCTATTTTTCATAACGTGACCTAGTTTTGATACGTGTCCTGTTTCGAAATCGGAATTTCTTCTCATTTTTGATATTCTGTTAGCCAAGAAAATAGCGAATAAATCAAACTATTTCTATGACGCTCAAATATCTACTCATTAGAAAAGCAGTAACTTTATGCAAAACACTGTGAGCAAGTTATCAATTCAAATATAGTTGAGCGGATTCTGGGATTATCACTGTGATTGTTAAATGGATTTTTGTGAATTAGATGTGTTCCAAATCATGTATAAATTTATCCGATTCTCAAAAAAGCTATTTTGGATCAACTCCTTCAAACCAATTATAAAATTTCGGTCAAATCACCTAGAAAATTCACGAATGCTCGAAAAATCAAGCTGAAGTGCATCTATCTCTCCTATGTTATTTCTTTCAATAAAACTTTTACTTCTAAAACACTTATAATAATGTTTTCTTGTATTTAAATTTAAATTAGTTGAAGGCTGCTCACTTTTGATGAAGGCTGCCCCTCCAAACTGCCCGATTTTGGGCCTAGGATCCATTTTTCCAAGCTGGAAACATGAAAAATTAGTGAAAATGCTTTTTTTACGTGGCTTGAATTAATTTGAATTTTAAACGTGATGTCCTTGTTTTATTGAAATGCCCAAAGATTGCCCCTTGAGTGCTCCAATGCTGCCCTTAGAACCTGCTCTAAGGGCAAAATAAGGGGCAGTCCATGGGCAAGCTGCTACCTGAGATAGCGATTGGACATTTTTAATCATTTCTCGCTAATACTCTACTACTAATCGGTTTGGAAAAAAATGGAAATTAAGTGAGTCAAATTACTGTAGATAAATTTATATACTGTTCGAACTTTCAGATATTGAATAATTTCTTTTACAAAAAGAAAAACAAATACTTTAATGTGAATGTTTGATAGTGAGTTTTGATGTGTTTGGGAATCCCAATATAGTTAAGCCCAAATTATTTCAGTTCCGTTTTTTTCTATGACTATTTTCAATTTTCTGTGGAAAAATCAAAAATAGACTCGTGGCAAAAAAAATCGGGCCGAGTTTTTTCGTTGGATAAAAAAAATCGGGCCGAGTTTTTTCAAAAAAAAAATCGGCCCGAGTTTTTTCAAAAAAATTGGGCCGAGTTTTTTCAAAAAAAAATTGGGCCGAGTTTTTTCAAAAAAAAATCGGGCCGAGTTTTTTCAAAAAATCGGCCCGAAATTTTTCGAAAAAAAATCGGCCCGAGTTTTTTCAAGTTGGATAAAAAAATCGGGCCGAGTTTTTTCAAAAAAAATCGGTTTTCGTTGGATAAAAAAAATCGGCCCGAGTTTTTTCGTTGGATGAAAAAAAAATCGGGCAGAGTTTTTTCAAAAAAAAAAATCGGTCCGAATGAATCAATGAAAATAATCAAAGGGCGGCGGAGTTTACTGTATTTTGGTTTTATCTTCCACGGCTCTGAAAATTTCAGATGGAACATAGAAGCTTATACTCAGAAAATAAGGCAGCATTTCTTTTCTCTCTGGATATAGATTTTTTGGATATAGATTTTAGATTTTCGGAACAGTTTCGCCAAATGTTGTGCTTTAGTTTTTGAGACGTAGAAAATTTGGATTAACCTCTTTATAAAATCAAGAAATTTTTTCGCACATTTTTTAAAACCATTTTTGTCAATTTTCTTCAGAAATTTTAAAAATCATACCTAGCGGAGAAAGAATTCAACGAAAATCAAAATTTTGGTTTTTGTTGAAAGAATCTTTTCCAACTTTTCAAAAATTACAACTCTGTCGTATTTTAAGACGAAACATGTTTCTGTTTACACCTAAAGAAAACTACGCGCGAAGCCGGGACAATCCAGAAGGAGGAGCCGGCGTTAGCCGGCGGAGCCCTTCTGGTTCTTTCTAATATGAAAAAAGTTTTGATTTTTCACGTGAAAGAATTTGGGATCAAATTGTGAAGGTCCCATCAAAAATGGTCTTCTGGAAATTGAGAAAAGTCGAGAGACACATTTTAAATCCGAAAAATACATTGAGATTTTCAAACTTTTGATTCTCCGCGCACTCACAGACATTTTGAGAAAGAATGAATAGGATGCACACCGAGCTGCCAACACTTAGAAACTTTTTTCTTTTTTTGATCATCAATTTTTATGCAAACAGTTTGGAGAACGGGTCCCGGACACGCTATTGCCAAAAAAATTTTCCCAATTAGTAAATAGTAGATAAATAGTAGATAATAGTAGAATATAGTAGATATATATTTTAATTTTCCATGGGAAGACTAACGTTCACAGATTTATTTGTTGACACTTTAGAAGTACAAAAACAAATTCAGAAGTGCATCCAAAGCCAAAAAAACATGTTTTTTCTGAAAAAATGATGACAATTGTTTGGGTATAAATATTTGGCAAATACTATTTTGTTTTTTTCAGTCAAAGAAATTTTGTTGTTTTTCCACTCTCGCTCCCCATTTTTTTCTATTTTTTTCCTTATCGATTCGATTTCAGCGATGAAAAGATATACCGAAACTCTGACTGAGGATATCAATGTTCTCAAAGAGCGTCTCAACTTCAATTCCGGAAAACATGCCCGAAATCGATTTTTGAAAGCTGCGATGACTGAAAAAATGGGAACTTATGTTCCAAAAAATCCGGAAAAACATGGATTACCAAATCAGAAAATGTTGAATCTTTATGATAAATGGGGAAATGGTAATTTTGGTGTTATTCTAACTGGAAATGTTATGGTTGATCCGGTAAGGTTATATTAATTAGGCTGGCAAACAAAACATGTAATTCATCAGACTCATTTGGAAAGTGCTGAAAACGTTGTAATTTTCAAAGAAGGAGATTCTCCTGAACGACGATTTTTGTTTGGAGAATGGGCTAAAAATTCGAAACAAGATGGAGCATTGGCAATTATTCAATTATCTCATGGTGGAAGACAAACTCCGATTGCTGTTAATCCAAAACCTTTTGCTCCTTCAAAAGTTCAGTTAGTGGTTGATCCAAATTTTACTGCATTTGGAGAACCGATTGAATTGACTATTGAACAAATCAAAACTGAAGTTATTAATAGGTTTGTGTATGCAGCCAAATTTGCATATGAAACTGGTTTTGATGGTGTTGAATTACATGCTGCTCATGGATATTTGTTGTCACAATTTACTTCGCCTACAACTAATAAGAGAACTGATAAATATGGAGGAAGTTTGGAGAATCGATTGAGAATTATTCTCGAAATTTATGATGCGATTAGACAACAAGTTCCAAAAGAGTTTATCGTTGGAATCAAAACAAATTCTGTAGAATTTCAATCAGAAGGGACTACGGTTGAAGATGCCAAAGAAATGTGTAAATTATACGAGAAGAAAGGTGTTGATTTTATTGAATTGTCCGGAGGAACATATGAAAAATTTGGATTTGAACATGTTCGAGAATCCACAAGAAAACGAGAAGCATTTTATTTAGAAACTGCTGAAAAAATAAGACCAGTTTTCAAAAATACTGTAGTTTATTTGACTGGTGGTTTTCGTACAGTTCACGCTATGATTCAAGCTGTGGAATCTGGTGCAACTCATGGAATTGGATTAGGTCGGCCCACAACAGCTGAACCTGATTTACCGAAAAAGATTTTGGAAGGAAAGGTTTCATCCGCCCTTGCAAATACCATCGACGGAAATAACTTTTATTACACAAGTTTGGCTAGTGGTGTTCAGATGGAGCAAATGGGAAGAACATCTTTGGAAGAAGCAAATAACAAGTAAGTTAGGAAAAATTCACGGAGTTCGGAAAATAAATACAACAATTTCAGCATTATGACAAGTATCAGTGATTTTTCAAATCCGGAGACAACTAATCGATTTCTTGAAGTTTTGAAAGATTATGTTGAATTGACCAAAACCGAAAAAATGAAAGGAAATCCTGTTATAAAAACTCTAATTTTCGATTAATGTTTTTTATTGTTTGCTGATGTAATTTCTACATACCTCACTGACTATATTCTGGTCACATTTTTTGAGTTGTCACAAAATAAGTTTCATAGTAGTATTATCATCTTTTCTTTGTTTTGTCATCATTTTTGAACAATCTGTGTGCCGAAATAATAAACATTGAACATTTTCTGATAGTATATAAGAGAAAGAGAGAGAAATGATAATAGGTAAAACGTAGTTATGAACCGTTATACAGATGATTTTTCTACTGATCCAAAAATTTTGGGAGATCATTTGAAGTTCAATTCCGGTAGAGAAGCCCAGAATCGATTTCTGAAAGCGGCGCTGACTGAAAGATTATCCACGTTTGATCCACAAAATTTGACGAAACACGGATTGCCAACTCAAAAGCTTTTGAATACATATGAAAGATGGGGACAAGGTGGATTTGGTGTTGTTTTGACTGGAAATGTTATTGTTGATTCAGTAAGTTCGTTTTAAAAATTTGTTTGTTTGTTCAAAATTAAATTTGTTTTAGACACACTTGGAATATGCTGGAAATGCTATCATTTTCAAAGAAGGTGACAGTGAAGAACGTCGTGAACTTTATAAAAAATGGTCCTCTAATATTAAAAAAGATGGAACATTGGCGATTGTTCAATTATCTCATGGTGGAAGACAAACACCAATTGCTATCCAACCACACCCATTTAGTGCTTCCGATGTTCAATTAGTGACAAATCCACCAAATCATGGAAAACCGATTGCATTGACTATTGAACAAATTCAAACTGAGGTGATCGATAGATTTGCTTATGCAGCCAAGTTTGCATATGAAACTGGATTTGATGGAATTGAATTGCATGGAGCACATGGATATTTGTTATCACAATTTACTTCGCCTACAACTAATAAGAGAACTGATAAATATGGAGGAAGTTTGGAAAATCGATTGAGAATTATTCTCGAGATCTATGATGCGATTAGAAAGCAAGTTCCAAAAGAGTTTATCGTTGGAATCAAAACAAATTCAGTCGAGTTCCAATCAGAGGGAACTACTGTAGAAGATGCGAAAGAAATTTGTAAACGATTGGAAGAAAAGGGATTTGATTTTGTTGAGTTATCAGGGGGGACTTATGAGAAATTTCAATTTGAGCACCAACGAGAATCAACTATAAAACGTGAAGCATTTTTCATCGAAGTTGCTGAAACTATCAGACCAGTTTTCAAAAACACTGTTGTTTATTTGACTGGTGGATTCCGAACAACAAAAGCAATGGTTGAAGCAGTGAGTTCAGATGTAACTCAGGGAATTGGACTTGGTCGACCAATCACAGCTGAACCTGATCTTCCCAAAAAGATTCTTGCAAAAACAGTAGCATCCGCGCCGAAAAACGCGTTTGATCCAAATAATTTCACACACAGTCTTTTTGGATGCATTACTCAAATGGAACAGATGGGAAGAATCTCTTTAGAAGCACATCCAGAAATTGAGTAAGTTTTTGATTTTTAAAATCAACAAACACTGGTATCAAGACTGAAATTTACAATTTTTCATGAAACATTTATATTTTTCAGCATCATGACGGATATTAGTGATTTCACAAATACCGAGACAGCAAATCGATACCTGGAAGTTTTTAAGGATTATATCACAAATCGGAATATTGACAAATCTAAAGATTTTGGTCTTCTAGTATTTGATTAAATGAAAATTTCAGAAATAAATAAAAACTGTGAAAACGACACTTTCTAATCTCTCTTTCAAATTGAAATTTATTGCGCGTTTTAAATGACGTTTCTTTGAAGATTTTTCATGCAGACTGGACTGATGAGACGAGCAAAGAAAAAGAATTTGTCTTTGGTTCGAGTAATTTGTCTCGATACTTTTATAAGTGGAACATAATTATTTTGAGTGTACATATGTATGCATGGCTATGTATGTGCATTTTCTTGTCTTGTCAATCTTTGCAGAAGTTTCCTTTTTTCGATTTTTAAAGCGTTTCTCTTATTTTGTTCACAAGGAAATTTTTGTTGTTTTCTTTTTTTCTGACGGTGAATCAATTTATCTTATTTCAATGCATTTCTAGCATCTATTTAAAAATATCGAATAAAAATTTCAATTCCAACAAAAAGTGCATCATCTACAACATTATGATCCCGAATTTGAGCCGAAAAATAGTCTTTCTTTTCTCGTTCGTTTGATGCGCACAAAAAATACTTCCGGACGTTTTTTGAAAAGAGCTCAAATTGCGTGTTAGACAGATCCCAGTTTCTTTCTAATGCTTTTTTTTGAATTTTTTTTTCGTTTAGAAAAATCTCTGAAATTCCTAAATTTCTGAAGTCATTTTTTGGAAAAGTTAAAAAAAAATCAAATGTTTTGATTTTTTTAAATGAATCGAAAGCGGTAATTTCCACTTTTCATAAAAATGAAAGTACTGTGCACTTTTCAGCAAACCTATAAATCGTTGTCCCAAAATACTAATAAATTTTGCTATTCTTTTGCCACAAACATCCATAAATTTGTTGGTTTAAACGATTGCTTTGTAAAAATGTTTATTATTCATTTCAACTTTTCTGTTTTTGGTTTTCTTTTTCTTTATGCTCTCCACATGCAATAATAATAATAGTAATAATACATAATAATAATAATAATAAAAACAAAAACAAAACAATAATTACCTTTGCCCGATGTTTTTTCTCACTTCTTCCTCAAATGTGACAACAACTGTCTTCTCATTTTTCGTCATTTATTGTTGTTTTTTTTTGAAAGAAATTTTAGACGTGTGACGTGAAAACTTCAGAAGTTCTCAGTCAGGAAAGCCATTTTTGACCACCCAAAAGAGTTTTATATTTTTTCCGTTTTCTAGTGAAATGAAGTTGTTTTGAATAATTAAAATTGTTCCGGTTGATGAAAAAATGTGACTTTTTGAAAAGGGAGAGTTTTTTAGTTCCACAAAATTTACATTTTGGCCTGGATTATTCGAGTTTCGTTCAAAAAAAAAATTGGTCTTTGAAAATGTATTGTATTATCGATGAAGACTATAAATTTTCTGAATAATAACAGATTTTTTGCGATTTTTGAAAAAAAAGTTTTTTGGAGCAATTTATTTGATTGGAAAAAAGAGGGATTTATTTTTCTAACCTATAATTTTTTTGCAAGTTCTTTTCCAGATTCCAAAACTTTCACGAAAATTATTTTTAGGAATTTTTCTCGTTAGTCCTAAACATTTTCTCGGCTAGGGTTGTTTTTGCAAATAAAAAGTTTACGGTACATTTCTATATTTTGAACTCCGATAGTAATGTTGTGGACGCCTTTAGAACTTCTGTGTCAAAGTTTATATCAGAGCAACGGATCGTTCAGATTTTGCGACATGAGAGTTAATAGCTACGGTATCTTGGAAGCTTCAATGTCAAGTAGTCGCGCCTAGAGTTTGAATAGAATGTCAACAAAACCCCTAATTGTTTTGGAAAATACTCTAAAATATTACAACTCGGTTTATTATTTGAAATTGAAAGTATCAAACTCTACGTCGACCAAAATAACATTCAAGAAAACGCCAGACAGAATTTTCCGAAAACTTGGCGCGTGTCAAAAATAGGTTTATTTAATTTTTGGATTTCCGTGGCATTTTCATTTCACATGACTCTCTTCTTTCTAATTACTATTTATTTGTCTGCCCTTCTCACTTTGATACCTCAAGAACTTTCCATTTTGATCTACGATTTCCAAAAAATGTAAATTTGACATGCCATGTGTTTTTTTAATTTTTCGACTGCTCGTTTCGTTTCAAAAAAGAGTTAGAGAGTTGTTTATATGAAATGAAAAAAAACATAGATGGATTAAAAAATGCTAGTTTATTTTTTATTTGTGTCCCCTTGAAACTTTTTTAATCGAACGAACGGAAATACGAGATTTCTTCTTCTATTTTTATCGTGCAAATTATCATCGGAACACATGTGTCATTAGAAGAAGCACAAAAAATATGAGTCAACTTTTCCAAAACCCTATAATTATTGCATTTTTTAACCGTCGCACTAAACACTTTTTTGAGCTTTTTTTGGCTGAAAACAAAACATATTAGCTGCTCTCAAGTATGTTCTTGTTAACAAGATCAATGTAAATAGTGACACTTCTTTTGAACATCCATCATTTTTGTGTTTTGTTTTGTTTTGTTTTTTTCTGTTGTGTTATGTTGTATTTTTCATTACTCTCACAATTAACACACAAAAACACTAGTACAAATTCGATATGTTTTTTTTTCAGGAAAAATTTTTATGTTCATATTTTCTTTTTCATCCTTTCTTAATTTCTTTCTTTCACCAAAAAAATTAGGTCAACGAGACCTCATATGGGTTATTCACCATTTTGAGAGCTGTGAAATAAATTCAATTTATTATTATTTTATCCCAATTTTTTTTGCTCGTCGTGTATTTCTTTTGTTTTTCGATGGAATTGTGAAATTTTTATAGAATTTTGGATTTGTTTTTTGTGTCCCGATGAGTTTTTTCGCCGACTGAATTTGTTGCTGACACAGTTTTGTGAATAAAAATGCTGATGTGATCTAACAGAATTTTGCTGAAATCCGTTTTCTGGTTTGAATTTTCGATGAACCCTGAAGATCGGATCAAAAGTTTTTATGAATTGGACCACTCAAATGTGTTGAGATGTTCTTGAGACTAAAACATGAAATACACTCAAGATTAGATTTATTTTGAATACTTTTGCTAGTTTTAGTAACCATTTCTTGGAACGTCTGTCCAAATTCTGAAACAGTTCTAAATCAAATAATTTCTGAGATTTCGCATTTCTTAAGCTTTGACCTAAATTTTCCTAATTTTATCTTTCAAAAATTCACTATAAAATGTCATTGTTTTTCTGTGAATCAGAAACCTCCGGAATTGTTTCTCTTCCCATTAAAGTTTGCAGTTCCAAATTCTTTTGCAAGAAACTTCTGACACCTCCACACACCCACAAAAAAGCATACTTTCATCCGTGTGTGTCAAACAAAAAAAAGAAATAAAATACATTTTTTGAGTTGCGTGGATCTCTCCGTTTTTTCTCATTTCAGTTTTTTGTCGTAGTCGCTCCACACATAATTATCTACCCTCACACGTTTTCATTCTGTCGCCTTGTTGTAATTGACTTTTGCCAAAGAGTTTCATTTCACATTCTAAATATTTGTGAGGAGGTATTTTCATTTATTTTTTGTTGTTTTCTTTGTCCAGCTTTGCACACAATGATTTCTGAAACAACATTTTTTATTGCTCCTTTTCTGAAAAATTCAAAATTGTGAATCACGTTAGATCCGGTGTCTCTGAAAAACGCCGATAATTTCCGGTCGAACCTTGCGCGGTGCAGAAAAAGTTTCCAAAAATACTTGTGTGTCATCTAAATCGTCATTTCTTCTTTTTTCCTCGTTTTTTTCATAATAATTGCCTTCATTTACTTCTGTTCCTCTGTTTGAAAATTAGCATAATTCGAAAAATATATATATTCCCAAAATATATAAAAGTATAGTAACATTTGATCTTTTCTCTCTCTTTTCAGATATTTTTCCCATTTTTTGTTTGATGAAGGGTAACATGAATTGTAAATGATTGTGAGAAGCTTGAGTGTACTCTAATTTTCTCGAGGTTTCAGAATGTTCAATCAGAAATCTTGTAGTTTGATGAATCACTGATATTTTTTATTCAAAATATCCGGATGAAAATATTCAGAACAAAAGTTCTGAAGATCAACGTTTGTGTATTATCGGAAATTGAAAGAACGCTCAGAATATAATTATTTCCAAAATTTTATTGTGAACAGCTCAAAAGTATTCATGACGTCATAAAGGTTTCCGAGTACTGTAGTGGTTTTCTGAAAATATTGCAGTACTTGAAAAGTCTTTTTCACGTTTTTGAGCAGTTTCAGAATTTTCATGTAAATTACCTGAATCCAAAAATAACTGAAAAAATATCTTTCTTATATATTAAACGGTGTGTCTGTCCCGTTTGACCTACTTTTGTGCCCTAGATTTAATTTAAATAATTTGACGTGAATCGTTTTGCTCATTTCTGATTTTTCAAAACGTTCGGATTGCCGTATTTGTTTTCCACACTATTTTTTGAAATGTAGCAAAGCATGTGAGTTTATTGAAAGAGGGTTCGCATTCGTAAGAGTAAGACAAACTCTTGAAGTTAGAAGCTAAAGAAATAATAATCAAATGTATTTTTTTGTTCAATTCACACATTTGATTATTGGAAAGCTCCGGGTGTGATAGACCTAGGAACTCGGGAAAAATCCCGCAAGTGGTCGGCAAGGGTTGCCGGCTGGCCGCAAGTTTTGCTGCCGAAAATAGTCAAAAATCCCCAAAAATTTTCGAGAGGCCCGCAAATGTTGCGGCAAAGGAATACCCCCGCAAAGGCCCCGCAATTTCAAAATTAATGCCGCAAGGCGTTTGCGGAAGCCGCTTCCCCCTCAAAAGCGGAGCAATGGTAGCTGGCGAAATACCCGCAACCATTGCCTTTTTTTCGGCAAAACTTGCGGGATTTTTCCCGAGAGGATTTAAAAAACTTCAAAAATGAACACTTTTGTTATCAAAGGATTTCGGGGAATTTTAAAATTAAGATCCTACGAGGATCTGAAGATACGTTAATCCAGAGGATTACGGAAAAATAGGTGCTAGGTAAAAAAGGGTTTTAGAAAAAAGATTAAGGGTTCCAGAAAAATTGGATTTTGAAAAAAGAGGGATTGTGAAAAAACAGAGGGTGGAGATTGGCAAGTTTTTCCCAAAAATTCGAATTTCGAATAAAATGGTTTTCAATGTAGTTATAAAAATTATAGATTATTTTTACTACTTTCAAGAAAAATTCTTGGCTCTGCGCGGAAAAAGAGGGGTTTAGGAAAAAAAGAGGGGTTTTCAAAAAAAAGAGGGGTTTTCAAAAAAAGGAGGGGTTTTCAAAAACTTGGTTTTTAAAAAGCTTGAAACCATATTCAAAAGTTGGTTACAGAAGTAGCTTTTGTTCAGAATTTTGAGCTTAATCTGATCCTTGCGCTCAAATTTCATGAAAAGTGAAAATATTCCAACATTTGAGAGCATGAAGTTCTCAAAACCCGTCTTTTTTGTCAAAACCCCTTTTTCTTTTGAAAACCCCTCTTTTTTCTGAAAACCCCTTATTCTTTTCTAAACCCCTCTTTTTTCCTAAAACCCTCTTTTTCCGTTTAGAGCCAAATTCTTTTGTATTTTTACAGTTCAAAACATTCTCCGTTATGAAACGTGTTTCATAAAAATTCCGCTCTGAAATTTGTAAAAAAGACAAATAAATATGAATTTTTCGAATTTTTGGCTCGGAAAATTAGTTTCTATGAACAATTTTGCCGAAGGAAAGTTTACTGGCGGAGGTTCGTTAGACCAAACGAGCTTTATTAGAGAACAATTGTAAATAAAAATACTAAAGATGCAGAAGATCTGAAGTTTCATTATCTGAGTTTTTGAAAAGTGAATTGCCAAAGAAAATGTGATAAAATTAGATTGAAATTAGAAAATTAAATTTGATAGCCCATGAAAAACACTGCAATATGCTTTTTTGAAAAGTTAAATACAAAAAGGGTTATAAAACTTTTGTAAATAGGAGACCGAAGGCTGTATGATCAGGAATGATTTTTATAGAAAAATTGAAGTGGTTGCTGACAATCGATGTGTGTGTGATAACACAAAATTTAATGAACATGCTACATTCAGATCCTAAAACTACATAATGAAATTGTATAGGCAAGCTAGTTTTCCGCGCAAAAAATTGCCAAAAGTGAGGGATTTCGAAGTAAGAGATTTCTGAATGAGTTGTGTCCAGGATAGTTCTTTCTCATAGACCAAGAACTTTGATGTTCCATAGTTAATTCGACGCGATTGATTATTTTGTTCACATAAAATTTTCAATTTTTCATTTTGGAAAAGTTTCATGAACGGACAGAGTTCATTTTTCAAGAAATAACCCTCCATTTCACTATACTAATTTTATGAGACTCTATGAGATTTTACTGTAGGATACAAACTTCAGCACGCAGCCGAAGGCTGCGTAGCAACAAGAATGAAGACCGGCGTTAGCCGGTCGTTTCATTCTTGTATATTCTGAATTATTGTTATTTGAAAGAGATGAATTTTAAAAATATTCCTCGTGATTTTTAAATTGTATCTATAAACTATTTTTTCAAAAATTCATGTGATATTGAAAGATATTTTTTGTTTTTCAAATCTTGAAATCTCAGAAAAATGTATTTTTGTAAGCCACGTCACCTTCTGATATAAAAATTTTAACAAAAAAATTCCAAATAACTCAAATGTCTATCATTCAAAAATTCTCGTGACCTTGCCATTTATCCACATGTCTTCTCCCAACAACAAATTCATTTTCCATGAGAAAATACACAATGACTCATTCCACCCTAAAATGTGTTCCTTGCTCACACAAAAATCATTCATTTTTGTTCAATGATTTTTCCGTCTTCTTTCTTATTCCATTTTTTTTCTTTCTCCAAAATCCAGACCACCCATTTTTCGCCTTCTTCTAAAATTCTTCATTAATTCTCGCAGCCCCCGAATTTTTTGTGCTCTCTCACGATATTCTTTTTGCGCGACAGAGAGATACGCTGAAATATATTCCAGTCATTTTTCATTTATTTCCATTATTCAGGATTTTCTAGAAATTGGGAACTTTTAGTAAAAAAAAATAAAATGTTATTATCTAATGAATCAGCTACAGTAATATCGTTGCTCGGATATTTTTCGTAGCCACAATTCCACTTGATTAATTCTAAGAAAATTTTAGTTTTTGTATACTTTTTCTCAACTCGAAAACATTTTTCAGTCTAGCTAACTAGAACTTTGTCTGAATATCAGATGAAAACAACCAAATTTCAGACAAAGTTCCCACACTGATTCCCACGACTGATCACACTCACTTACATATTTTTTCATCCAAAAAATTCCTTTTCATTTCTGCCATTGCCTCATATTTTATTTTTCGCGTCGCCTCCAAGCCTCATTATCAGACTATTCATCAAAATAAATGAAATCAAGCAAAAGTTCCCGCTTATCCACTTTTTGAATAACAACAATGTATTTTTTTGGAGTAATATTTTTGCGCGGTCAATTTATTTTTTGCGGGTGTTTTTCTTGGAATGTTTGATAATCTTCATTTTTATTGAAAAATTGAACTAATTTTAACTCGGGACAAATAAGGAATTTTCTAGGAATATTTTTTAATCATGCACTTTATCACAACATTTTTGAAACAACAACGTTTTCGTAAGTATCATGCTCAAAAATGTTCCACGTCTTTGAAAGTTTACAGCTTACTTACTAATCTTGATCTCTGGGCCTCACACTTTTTGAAACCCTCATATTTTGTGTTGAGCTTTGTCTATTCAAGCCCCGCCCCCAAAAGATGTCAAAAAATTGGGTTAGTGCAGTTCTGCTAACAAGAATATGTGTATTGTTTTTTCCAAAATGTAATTAAAAATCCATATGTACATAAAATCAAACCGCCATATTTTTCTCTAAAATCTCTTTTCAAGGAATCCATTAATTAAAAAAATGAATTATCTACAAATATTGTAGGATGCAAATATCTGTCTATGTGTTTTATTCGAAATTTTCCATTGTCTTCCTAACTTCGAATTGTGTTCCATTTAATTGTTTTGCAGATGGAGAGTCAACAATGGATGGCTTGTGCCATCCTGGCAATTGTGTTTATTGGAATATTTGGAAATATTCTTTCATTTGTCCTATTCAGTCGACCACATATGCGATCATCTTCAGTAAATGTGTTACTTTGTGCACTTTCATTTTTTGACTGCTCACTTCTAATTTTCTCGATTCCGATTTTTGTGGTCCCGAATATTGATATCTTGTGAGTTTGTTCTGTAAATATTGTTTAGTATTCTTGTAAAAAAAATTCAATTTTTAAATTACTTGTGGAAATTTTTCTGAATTGAAAGTGTGAACTGAATTTTTTCCAGAGAAAGTGAGCAACAACACGTGCAATATATGGCATATGTGCTGAAATTATTATATCCAACAAATTTGATGATGCAAACTTGTTCTGTTTATGTGATGGTTATGATAACTTTGGAGAGATGGATTGCAGTTTGTCGTCCACTTCAAGTTCGAGTTTGGTGTACGCCCAAAAAATCAAGAAATGCAATATTAGTTATAATGATAAGTGCATTCGCTTATAACTTCATTCGATTTTTTGAATATCGTTTTGATTATACTGAAGAAGGTGGTGCAGTATATGAAATTTGGTTACGAGATCCAGCCGAACATCGTTGGTATTATGTGGGATATTATACAATCTTATATATTGTGACACATTTTTTGGTGCCATTTACAGTAATGGCTTTTGCAAATGGTCATGTTATTGTTGCAATGTGCAAAGTTAGCAAAACTCGACAAATGTTAACTAGACAGCAGAGAAGAGAACAAAGTACTACAGTCATGTTATTGATTGTCACTTTTATTTTTGCTCTTTGCAACACACTTCCTTTTATTTTAAATGTCACCGAAAGTATATTTCCAAGCCTGTTTACAGATGAAGTGAGTCATTTTTAATTTCTTTTTTCAAAACTCCGAAAACAAGTTCGCGTGTTTCAGAGTACAAGAAATCTGGCATACTGGCTGAATGATTTATCAAATCTTCTTGTGATTCTCAATTCAGCGACAACATTTATTGTGTACTTTATTTTCTCCGAAAAGTACCGGCAGACATTAATTTTCATTTTGAAGTGAGTTTTTTTCAGGGAATTTATAGTATTCAAGAAAAATAATTGAAAAGGTCACGCAAAATTTGCAAATTCTGAGTAAAAATTAATTTGTTTGATGAAGCGTGTTAGCATCTTGCGTGACTTTTTTCCCCTGGGATGATTTTTTAGACTTCCTGTTTTTTAGTCGAGGGTTCAATTTTATTCTGAAATTAATAGTAAAACAAAAACTGGTCACGCAAATGCTACATATTCTGAGTAAATAACAATTAATTTTTTGATGAGTGTGTAACTTCTTGCGTGACTTTTTAGGGATGGTTAACAATAAAAACGGATATGTTTAATCAAGAATTTACTTTCCAAGACATATCGCCAGGACTTTTAGACATGCGATTAAGAAAAAACTGGAAATGACCTTGTGTGAAATATTTGGAATGATTCAAAAAATGGAAGGTCGGCATTCTTAATCTGAAAATTTCTCAATTTTCAGAAATGGTTGTTGTGCAACAATCAGTGATTACAACAACTATACCGCAATGTCGAGAACTGCGTCGATGAGAATATCTTCTGAAACTGGAGGACAAATTCAACGACAGGGTTCAAAAATGAGCACATGCAGGTAAGCCGAGAAAAAAAGTGATTTTCAAATTGTCTTTGCTATCCAATCCTTACAGAACCCCAAAACTTATGCTTAGAGCAAATATGTCGGAGGTAAAATAGGCATGAAATACAAAAATGAATCTATTAATTTCACAAACGGGAAAATGTCGAAAACTAACAAGCATGACTTCTAATTGAAAAAAAAATGTGTTCAAATAAAAATTATGCACATTTTCAGCCGCTCATCAGATGTCCTACTGAAACCGATATACATGCAAAGGCGAGGCGACCGATTCTTGTCGGAGTACAACGAGAGGACTTGCAAGTGAGATTTCTTGAAAGTTTTAAAACCGGGAAATAATTCTGAATTTGAAGTTGAAATTTGAAATAGAGAACTTCAAAGTATCAAACAAAAAATTTGGAAAATCAAATGGGGAATTTTCTTTCAATTTTTGAAATAAAGTTGCCGAACAAATTATCTACAATTTTCAGACACCTCGCGCCATTCGACGAACTAAAACTACCAAAATTGCCTGGCGAGAAGAAGAGTCGCAAGAAATTGCACAAAATGTCAGCTATCGAACATCGAACAATGCCGGAAATCACAATAACGTTTAGCGAAGACTTGCCCGATGCTTAACTTATTTTCGATACGTAAAAAAACTATGTACAGAAATATCTAATATTCAAATCGATTAGTGTTCCTTAATTGCTGCTTGTCTGTCTGTCCATTTAAACGGGTATTTATATTCAATGTGTATACTTATTATGTTTTTGTTTATAAATATTTTCTATTTAATTCTAATGGGTGTCCTCTAAACTGTGTTAATCTCTGCTAAATTTTGACCAGGTTCTCGTTTGGGTTTAGTTTTGTTCTGTTCAAAATGAAATTGATATTTGCAAAAAAAGAAGAGTTTCTGTTGTTGTTCAAACAAATGTGATTCATTTTTATGGGGGAGAACGAAGGAAAATGAGAAAAAACACTTGTTCCTAGGTTTTATTTGTTTATTTTGTTTTGTGTTCTCCATTACTTGTGCACTTTTATTTAGTCGAATTTTGAGAACTTTTTGGATTTTAGAAAAAGTGTTTTTCAAGAGTTCCCAACTTTCTTAAAATTTAAAAATTTACCGAATGGATTGTTTATATGAAAATGAAGTGTTTTTCTCAAATGTTTAGAAATTCTCACTCGAAATTTCAAAATATTTCTCAAATTTCCTGGTCAAGTTCAATTGTTTTTCTAGGCCCTTCATAAATCTAGCTCTTTTCCTCTCAATTTATTTATCTGTTTCCATTATCCATCTCAATTAAGTTGACCCATCTCTTTTTTTCTTTTCCATTATTTTAAAACTATTTTACCCCGAGAATTTTTTCGTTGTAAAAAACGAACCCTTCTCCTACTCGCTCTCGCTCTATTTCATTCCTTTCGATCATTTTGTCACTCTGATCAAATCTGACATTTGTTGACAACCAAAGAGAAAACGAGAAAAAAAGAAACGAAATGCAACTTTTTTCCGAAAAAAAAATTATGTTTGTGTATTTGCTTAATTCTTCATCCCCTTCCATCCATCCACATTTCAATTGATTTTCGCGTTTCCCTCTTTGCTTTAACACTTTTTCATCCAGAGCTTTCTTGTTTCAAGTGACTGATTTGACATCTCTTTAGCCACTTTTGAGAAGTTTGGCATAATTTTTGGAGGAAGAAGGATTAGTGATTTGAATACTAATATCCTTTTTACGTGTAATTGTTCAGAAATTCGTACAATTAGATTTTTATCCAAAATTCTTATCTCAGTTTTTCAGTGCAATGAACCATAGAAATAATATTAAAAATAGGCAAACGACATTGAACTTCTGAAATTGTTCACATTAACCGACATTTTTTGAAATCCTATTCATAATTTGTTTTTCTACATAATGATTCATTTCAAAACGTATCAATTTTGGCCACGTGGCAATTGAAATTCCCTCAACTGGTCAAAATCACATTTTTAGAAAATCTAAAAATGCCTCGTATACGAAACTCGACTAAAACAACAACTAAAAAAGTAAACAAAAAGATCCGATGGCCATTTTCTTATATATTGAAAAGTGTAAACGTATAAAATTACATCTCATTTTTCTCGGCTATTTTTCACGCTTCATTTGAATACCGTTCTTTTTATGTATGTTCATTTTCCACAACAACAACACAATAATTTTCTATTTATTGTTGTTGTGGGAACCAAGGTCAAACTTTTTTTTTTGATTCTGTATGTCGATGATCGATTTTCTTTTTAATGTTTGCTGGATTCGATTGTCGATTAATTTTTTGTTTGCAGAATTTTTTTGTGTCAAAAAATAAAAAATCATAACAATGGGAAAACATTGCTATTCTTCTTATTATTATACATCAAAAAAATAAAAATAATATTTATTCGCCACTTTTATTGTTATTATATATACTAAAACATACCAAAACCTTGTTCTTTCCATTATTTGTCCAAATACAAATACAGTACTATTTGCTCATTGTCCTTTCCTTCTACTACTATTTATCCCAACTTTTTTATGTGTCCTCCTTGCCCTTTAAGGATTCTCAATTTTGGAGGAGGAAAATAAAAAATCCCCACGGGCCACTTTTTTGATAAATTGAAGCGCATTGTGTGACATTTTTTCACCAGAAAAAAAATATTCAACATGTCTAGTCGAATTAGTTTATTGATTTTTGATACTTTTTTTATTCTTTCAATCATTGTGTTAACCGAACTAGTTTCTGGCCAACAACAGAGAGAAAAATTATATATCAAATTTCAGCGTTTTTGGGGTTAGATGTGTAATAATGATTTATGCGCAAAAAGTGGGCGAGGTGACTTTTTCCACGTGGCAAAAATATCGTAGTCTCAAGAAATTGATGGGAACCGTTTTATTGGTTTCTAGTGTTGTTAGAAAAAAATGATTTTGGTTTTGCCACGTGGAATTTTCATTCCGAATTACATTTTTTGTCGCAAAAATGTGGATTTGCTGTTTTAAAGTTTTGTTAAGTCATTTAATTTTGGCATAGCTATTCCTAAAGTTATTTTTTGGATTGAAACAAGTATATTTGAACTTTCTCAATTTTTGGCCCGTGGACCTGTCTGAGTTTTTAGAAAGAATTGAATTTGCTCACTTCGAAGTTGTTCAAGATTCCGCCTATTTTTCCGAAATGATTCCACTGTTTCCAAAGTTCATGTTCTAATAGTGGTGTATTTATATAAAACTTTTCTCGAAAAATTTTATTTATTTATTTCCAACCACTTTCTTCATTCTTCTCTCTTATTTTATTTCACTCTTTCTTTTTCTCTTTTCAACCACTTGAACCCATATGTCATTCTAATTTCATAAAAGCCATTGTAAATTAATCCGAGTCGAGTCTCGTTCTCTTTTCCCTCACCACCAATAAAATAAACCCACCCCAGTTCACCATTTATTCTTCACCCTCTCTCCCCTTTCTGTGTCGTCTTTTCTCTTTTAATATGCACAAGTCTGCGTCTCTTCGTCTCGCACACTCTCTCTCGCCTTCATTTGAAACCGCAATCGATCGAGGGATGTGTGGCAGCGCGCGTCTTTGTTCTGCGTCTCTCTATTCTTTATACTCTCTAGCTTGCGGATTGTCTGCGTCTTCGATGCGTCATTTGTCGTCCTTCCTCTCTCTTCTCTCTCTCTCTCTCTCTCTCTTCATAGATTTTATTTATTTTTTGTTGTGTATGTTTTCTAGTAGAAGATCTTGAACATAATGTGTTTCTTTTTTGTGATTTCAGCCAATTTTTCTGTTGTTTTTGTTTTTCTTTATATTTTCCGGATGCTGCACTTTTCTGCCAACAATCCTCTTGAGAATATTACTGCAGCTATGAAATTTTTATTTGAGATTTTCAGAAAAAAAAAACTATGAGCATTCAATTTCCAAAGTTCAAAACTTTAATTCCATGTTTAGAAAAATTCCTTTTTTAACTTGAAAACTTCAACAAAAACTTTTCTTCGCTTGCAAAAAAAGTGTCATCTCATTCATTCCAAAAAACTCGAACTCTTTTTTTTCCAAAAAAATTTACTCTCTCATTTTTCTATACTATCTCGTTTCCAATTCTGAGCCCTATGCTCTTTTTTTTCTCTTTTTTTTGAGCACAACTCAGTCGGACCACTAAGCCTCTTCTTTTTCTTTTGTGTCTCTGCGTCTCATTGGCTCTCTTTTTTTTGGTGGGGCTCCCTTCCATTTTTCGATTTTGTTTTAGTTTTATTTTATTTTTCTGTGCTTTTATTGTTTGGCTGGTGCTCAGATGCGTTGTACTTATCCCTCGCTCGTTTTCTCTTTTTTCCATGAAACATTTTTGTTTTGTTCAATATTTTCTAGTTTTTCAGCAAAATTTCGGCGGGACTTGCTACGGCGCGAAACGACGTCGGCAATATGGCCCAGGTTTGTTAATTATTCATTTGTTTTTTCTTTACCCTGGTGTCAAGATTTTCTAAATTGGTCGCTTTGAACGGGGAACATACATTTCGTACTATTTATTGATTTAGCTTTTCAAAAATAATTTCGTAATGAAATCAGAAATTTCATAACTACATATTGTTTCTAGGTTAGTGGTGTTATGACTCATTCTCTCAAAATCTGTAATTTCGTTCAAAAACCTCAAAAAGTAAAAAGAAACAAAAATAATTAATTGTGAGAGAGCACACAAAAATGAGAGAGACAGACTGAAATTTTGAAAAGTGTGCGTACACAGCGACGAACAATTGCACACATTCGCAGCACCGAATTTTTTTTTGCAAAAAGTTTTGGATTTTTCAGCTTTTTTTCTGAAGTAGAAAGGTTATTGACCTGAAATTATTGGATATTCAGCTAAAAATAGAAATTTTCAACGTGGCCTCAATTTTGAAATTTCATTTTCAGAAAAAAAAAATCAGATCTCTCTCATTTCAAAATATGAAATGAATTTTTACGATTTGAACTTATTTTTTTAGACGTGACCCATTTTTCAGAAAAAATTATTTTTTTCAATTAAAAAAAAACACATTTTTAATTTCAGGTCGACGTCAATTCTGGCGCCTATAACCAAGAAGGGGACTATGATGAAGACAACTCGTCCGCCCGTCTTTTCGAACGATCACGAATTCGCGCTCTTGCCGGTTAGTTTCTCAACTAAACTTTACTTCTTGAACTTTATTTCTCAAATATGCATATAAGTGTCAAAAACACCTCAAATACTCAATTTTGGCGAAAATCAATAGATAAGACAACAATCTGATAAACACAAACATTTTCACTCACTTCTTCTCTTTGTGTCAGACTAAAATTGTCCTTCTATGGTGACAACTAGAACCAGCGCAGATACTCTTGATCCATTCTGTGGTCGGAGTAGCAATGCGACCACTGTTGATTTTAGATTCAAGAGTTTGAGAGGTTTATTATTCGCAGGGTTTGAGTTTCAACAAAATCAATGAATTTTTTCAGAGGAGCGTGAGTTTGTGCAGAAGAAAACGTTCACAAAATGGGTCAACTCTCACTTGGTTCGTGTCAGCTGCAAAGTTCAAGATCTCTATATGGATATGCGCGATGGTAAAATGTTACTCCGACTGCTTACTGTTCTTTCCGGCGAACGCCTGGTAAGTTAAAAATCAAGATAATCGGGAGCTCCTTCAATAAAATTTGTAAATTTTTAGCCGAAGCCAACGCCTGGAAAGATGAGAATTCATTGTCTGGAGAATGTCGACAAGGGTTTACAATTTTTGCGAAATCAACATGTGCATTTAGAAAATTTGGGTTCACATGATATTGTTGATGGAAATCCACGCCTGACACTTGGTCTCATTTGGACGATTATTTTGCGATTCCAAATTCAAGACATCACTTTCGAAGATGCGGATAATCACGAGACAAGATCTGCCAAGGAAGCATTGCTTCTTTGGTGTCAAATGAAGACAGCTGGTTATCCAAATGTCAATGTCAAAAACTTTAGTACTAGTTGGAGAGATGGATTGGCGTTCAATGCGCTTATTCATAAACATAGACCGGATTTAGTGGATTATGATAATCTTCAAAAATCGAACGCTTTATACAATTTGCAAAGTGCTTTCGATACCGCTGAAAATCAATTGGGATTGCCGAAATTCCTTGATGCGGAAGATGTGAATGTAGATCAACCAGATGAGAAATCCATCATTACCTATGTTGTTACTTATTATCATTATTTCAACAAAATGAAACAAGATAATATTCAAGGAAAACGTATTGGAAAAGTTATCAATGAGTTGATGGAAAATGATAAAATGATCAATAGATATGAAACATTATCATCTGATTTATTAGAATGGATTAATGCTAAAATCGAATTGTTGAACGATAGAAAATTCGAAAATTCGTTGGAAGGAGTTCAACGACAATTAACTGAATTCAATGATTATAGAACACAAGAAAAACCACCAAAGTTCGATGAAAAAGGTGAACTTGAAGTTCTCCTTTTCACACTTCAATCTGCAATGAGAGCTAATAATCAAAGAGCTTTTGTGCCAAGAGAAGGAAAATTGATTGCTGATATTAATCGAGCTTGGCAAGCTTTGGAAAAAGCTGAACATGAGAAAGAACTTGCATTGAAGGAAGAATTGATTAGACAAGAAAAACTCGAACAATTGGCTGCTCGATTCAATAGAAAGGCTGAAATGAGAGAGACTTGGTTGACTGAAAATCAACGACTTGTTAGCCAAGATAACTTTGGAAATGATCTTTCTTCGGTTGAAGCTGCTACCAAGAAACATGAAGCTATTGAAACCGATATTTTCGCTTATGAAGAACGTGTTCAAGCTGTTGTTGCAGTTGCTGGTGAACTTGAAGCTGAAAATTATCATGATCAAGCAAAGATTAATGAAAGAAAGGAGAATGTTTTGAAATTGTGGAATTATTTGTTCCAATTGCTTCTTGCAAGAAGAGTTCGTTTGGAATTATCGATGGCTATTCAAAAGATTTTCCATGATATGCTTCTCACTTTGGATTTGATGGATGATATCAAGAAGAGATTGTTGAGTGAAGATTTGGGAGCTCATTTGATGGATGTTGAAGATTTATTGCAAAAACATAATCTTCTCGAATCCGATATCAATATTATCGGTGATCGAGTTAGAAATGCTGTTGCTCAATCGGAGAAATTCAGAAATCCAGATGGTCCAGATGGAAGTGGATATCAACCAGTTGAACCATCGACAATTGATGAAAGATGCGATATTCTCCAAAAAAGATATCAAGAATTGCTCGATCTTGCCGCTGAACGCAAAAAGCGTTTGGAAGACAACAAAAGATTGTGCCAATTCTGGTGGGATGTTGCTGAATTGGAACATGGAATCAAAGAACAAGAGCAAGTTCTTTCATCAAATGATACTGGAAAAGATATTGTTACCGTATCCCATTTGTTGGCCAAACACAAGAATGCTGAAAATAATTTGAGAGATCTTGAAAAACAATTGAATGGACTTGACAAAAGTGGACAAGAATTGCAAGATGAAAATATTCCAGGATCTGATAATATTCCACCAAGACTTCAAGAAATCCGTGATTATATCAATAAACTCAAAGATTTGTCTGGAGCCAGAAAAGAAAGACTTGTTGGAGGTGTTGATTATTATCAATTCTTCACTGATGCTGATGATGTTGATCGTTATTTATATGACACTCTTCGTGTTATGTCATCTGAAGATGTTGGAAAAGATGAGGGAACTGTTCAAATGCTCATCAAAAAACACGATGATGTCAGCGATGAATTGCAAAACTTCGAAGAACAAATCAAAGTTCTTCACGCCAAGGCTGAAAGTCTTCCACAAGAAGCAAGAGAACACCCAGATATTGTCAAGAGACTTGATACAACTCTCAAACAAAAAGCCGAATTGGAAAATTTGGCAAAACTTCGCAAACAAAGACTCATCGATGCTTTGTCGCTTTACAAATTGTATTCGGATGCCGATTCTGTTGAATCATGGATTGATGAGAAGGGTAAACTATTGGCTACCCTTGTTCCAGGAAGAGATATCGAAGAGGTATGTTTTCATTTATTGAAAAAAAAATAATTTTGGTTTTATTTTCAGGTCGAGATCATGAAACATCGTTTCGATACCTTGGAACAAGATATGAAAAATCAAGAAGCTAAAGTTGCCAATGTTAATGATTTGGCTAGACAACTTCTCAATGTTGAACATCCAAACTCTGATGATATTCTTCATCGTCAAAACAAACTCAATGCGAGATGGGCTCAACTTCGTGATATGGTTGATCAAAAACGTAATGAACTCGAAAGAGCACATCGTCTTGAAACATTCCGTATTGATTGTCAAGAAACTGTTACATGGATTGAAGATAAGACAAGAGTTCTTGAAGATTCGGATGCTTTGACCAATGATTTGTCAGGAGTTATGAAACTTCAACGTCGTTTGTCGATGATGGAAAGAGATCTTGGAGCAATTCAAGCAAAACTCGATTCACTCCACAAAGAAGCGGATGATATTGAAAGAGAAAGACCACAAGAAGCTCAAGCTATTCGTGAAGATATTAAGAGAATTCATCAAGTTTGGGATATTCTTAATAAGAAGGTTCGAGAACATGAAGCTAAATTGGACGAAGCTGGAGATCTTCAAAGATTCTTACGTGATTTGGATCACTTCCAAGCTTGGCTTACTGCAACTCAACGACAAGTTGCTTCCGAAGAAGAACCACAATCATTGGCTGAAGCTGAACAATTGTTGAATCAACATGCTGCAATTCGTGAAGAGATTGATGGATATGCTGAAGATTATAAAAAGATGCGAGCAATGGGAGATCGTGTTACACAAGATCAAACCGATCCACAATATATGTTCTTGCGTCAACGATTGGCTGGACTTCAAGAAGGATGGGAAGAACTTCAACGAATGTGGGATAATAGACAACATTTACTCTCACAAGGTTTGAATCTTCAAATGTTCCTTCGTGATGCCAAACAAGCCGAAGTTATGTTATCTCAACAAGAAAACTATTTGGCTAAAGATGAAATGCCACAATCATTGGAACAAGCTGAAAGTGCATTAAAACGTCATCAAGATTTTATGACAACTATGGATGCAAATGATGATAAGATTCGTGCGGTTGGTATGTTTGGTGATCAACTTTGTCAAGATGGACATTATGCGGCTGATAAGATTCATAAGAAAGCTAGAAATATTGATGAAAGAAGAGGAGCCAATAGAGAAAAGGCGCAAGAAGTTTTGAAGAAATTGAAAGATGCATTGTCGCTTCAACAATTCCTTTCGGATTGTGATGAATTGCGAGAATGGATTGAGGAGAAGATGATTAGAGCTCAAGATGAAACATACAGAGATGCCAAGACTATCACTTCTAAATTTGTTCGTCATCAAGCATTCCAATCTGAATTGGCTGCCAATAAGGTTAGTTTTTATTTTGAAATTGAAAAAAATAAATAAATTCGGAGTATTTTTAGGAGCGCCTTGATCAACTCAAACATGCTGCTATCAATCTCGGAGATGATAAACCTGAATATCATGGAACTATTGATCCACAAATTGTTGAACTTGCCACCCAATGGGATGAACTTGAAAAGACAACTGAAGAAAAGGGACAAAAATTGTTCGATGCAAATCGCCAACAATTGTATGTTCAATCTATTGCTGATATGAAAGAATGGGCAACACAACTTGAAAATGAGATGACTCGAGAAGATCAACCAGCTGATCTTACAACTGTTAATGTTGCTATGCAGAAACAACAAATGATCGAAACTGAAATGATCAAGAAAGCTCAACATATTGATCAACTTATGGAAATGGAACCACAATTGGAAGAACTGCATCCAGAAGAACTTGAGAATATTCGAGCACATCGTTTGGCTGTTCAAGAACAATTGCAAAGATTGCAAGCACCATTGGATGATAGAAGAAAGGCTTTGGAAAGAAAGAAGGCTGCATTCCAATTTGGAAGAGATGTTGATGATGAAAAATTGTGGATTTCGGAAAGGCTTCATTTGGCAAGAGCACAAAATCTTGGAGAAAACTTGCCAGATTGTCATCGTTTGCAAAAGAATTTGCAATTGTTGTCAAATGAAATTGATAATCATGAACCATGGATCAATCAAATTTGTGGAAATGGTCAAGAACTTATTGATGAAGGACATGCAAATGGACCAGCATTTGAAAAGAAGATCCAGGAACTTCGAGCTGCTTGGCAAGAATTGAAGGATGCTGTGAAAGAGAGAAAGGGTGATTTGGGAGAAAGTGAAAAAGCTCATCAATTCTTGTATGATTGTGGAGAAGCGGAGGCTTGGATGAGTGAACAAGAATTGTATATGATGCAAGATGAAAGAGGAAAAGATGAATTCTCGACAAAGAACCAAATTAAGAAACATGAAAGATTGCAAAGTGATATTGACAAATTCGCTGATACTATCAGAAATTTGGCAACCAAGGCACATAAATTTGTTGATGAAAAGAGCCCATTGAGTGACCAGGTAAGAAATGTTCAATGAACTACAGTACTCAATTATATTTTTTCCAGATAACACTCCGTCAAGCTCAAATCGAAAAACTCTACGCTGGACTTCAAGATCTGTCAAAAGAGCGTAGAAAGAGACTCGAGAAACTTTCAAGATCTTTGAGTCGTGATCGCTGATGATACTTCTTGAAATGGCGCAGACACAAATCAAGTGTTGCTGGATCACAACAAGTAAATGACAAGATTATGAACATGTTCAAATGCTTCAAGAAAGATTCCAACAATTTGCCCGTGATACTGAAAATATTGGATCTGAACGTGTCGCAAATGCCAACGATGGTTGTGATGCTTTGATTGCCAATGGACACACTGATGCACCAACAATCGCATTATGGAAAGATTCGTTGAATGAGGCATGGGAGAATTTGTTGGAATTGATGGATACACGCGCTCAAATTCTCGAAGCTTCTCGACTTTTGCACAAATTCTATCACGATTGCCGCGATTGTCTTTCGAGAATTATGGAAAAAACACATGCGATGCCAGAAGATTTGGGAAGAGATTCGAGCAGTGTCGGAGCACTTTCAAGAAAACATCAAAATTATTTGAAAGATATTGCTGCGATTGGTGAACAAGTTCAACAAATTGAACGAGATGCTGCAGAACTTCGTGATGGTTATGCTGGAGACAAAGCTTTGGATATTGGAGCAAGAGAAAGTGAAGTTGTAAAAGCATGGAGACATTTGAGAGGATTGTGTGATGCAAGAACATCTAGATTGGTTGATACATCTGACTTGTTCAAATTCATGAGTATGGTTCGCGATTTGTTGTTATGGATGGATGAAGTGAAACGAGAAATGAATTCGCAAGAAAGACCAAAGGATGTTAGCGGTGTCGAATTGTTGATGAACAATCATCAATCATTGAAGGCTGAAATTGATGCCCGTGAGGACAATTTCAACGCGTGTATTTCACTCGGACGCGATTTACTCAATCGCAAACACTATGCTTCCAGTGAAATTGAGAAGAAGCTCATTAAATTGACAACTGAAAGAGCTGAAATGATGAGAAGATGGGAAGACAGATGGGAATATTTGCAACTCAGTAAGTTGAATTTTATAATGAAAATCATTCTTGAAAAAAATCCCACGTTTTTTTGCAGTCTTGGAAAGTGTATCAATTTGCTCGAGATGCGGCGGTTGCCGAATCTTGGTTATTCGCACAAGAACCTTATCTTATCTCTAGAGAATATGGTAGAAATCTTGAGGAAACTATCAAACTTATTAAGAAACATGAAGCGTTTGAAAAATCGTCAACAGCACAAGAAGAACGATTCTTGGCATTGGAGAAATTGACAACGGTAAGTGAAGAGAGTGCAGAGAAAAGAAGATAGAAAACAGCCAGCATGTGAATTTGATTTTGGAATGGGAGAGAAAAAGGGACGGTGGCTTAGTCGGTTAGCGCATGTGTTTTCGAATCTCGAGGTCAGGGGTTCGATCCCGCGCTGCCGCTGGTCTCGATGATGATAACACTCAGCTCACTCTTACGTAAACCGTGGTGATAACTTCTTTCCCCGTCTTAGAGATCATTTTATTTTTTGGTTCTAATTCAACCTAATTTATTGTGATTTTGCAGTTCGAATTGAAAGATTTGCAACTTCGTGAAGATGAGGCATCGAAACGACGTGGTGGACCAGCTCATATTGGAAGCCCGTCTCGATCAACACCAGCCGCGGAAGCATCATTCTCTGCACAAGAAGATGGTGAGTAATTTTATTTTCATTTTTTATCGGTTTGCTGTGCACTCTGTTTTCTTTGTTGTGTTGAGAGCCCCATTTCAGATGCGGATATCACAATGAGCAGTTTGGATAGTCACCGGAAAGCATCACTTGGTTGGATTTTCATTTTATATTTATCTAGATTTCTCATTTCTTTAAAATTTGTTTCTGTTCTTGTAGTGTTGTGCTTTGATTTTCAGAACGTCGACAATTGGCACATTCTGAATCAAGCAGTTGGAGGAAATCGCTGGCAAGAGCGCCGAAGTTTGATCGAAATGATCCAAAGGGTACGCTAGTTTTTTATTTATTTTGTTGTAGTGTAGTGCTTTCTATACTTTTGTGAAAGTGAAAAATAATGAGAATCTTCTTCAATTTTATTTTATTACGATTAAAATTTAGGAGCTAAACAAGGCGATACTTTCGAGGGAACACTTATTCGAAAGCACACCTATGAGAGTCTCGACAAAAAAGCAGCAAATCGATCATGGGAGAAATTATTTGCTGTATTACGGCAAAACGAACTATCGTTCTACAAAGATTCAAAACATACGTAAGTTTAAAATAATCTTGGCAGTTTGAAAATTGATTTTTTGTCTTCGTTATACTGCGACAAAAACGCTATTTTATGTCCGAATTGTAGAACAAGGATTGGAGGCCGAGGAGTTTATTTGGAGAAAACATCCCCCTCCTCCTCGTCCTCCTCGTCCTCCTCGTCCTTCTCTTCCATAAAATAACGAATTTTTTTGTAGAGAAGAATCAGCGCATGGTGAACCACCGATGTCTCTACCAGGATGTTCGGTGAATGTTGCCAGTGATTATCAAAAGAAGAAGAATGTGCTATCTTTGCGATTACCTGTTGGAGCTGAATATTTATTACAATGTTCGAGTGATGATGATATGCAACGATGGTTGACTGAATTGCAAGTTGCAACTGGACAATCGCATTTAGAGGAGGCTAGCAGATCACAAACATTACCAGGTAAGAGATTTTGAAAGGGATTTTTATAGGGTTAACTTATTGAATAGATTAATTTCACGATTCTAGATATATTTTTTTTTTCATTTTAACTTCAACTAATTTTCATGGGTTAAAAATGTTTAATTTTGAAATAAATAATTTTTTATTTTACAAAAAATAATTATACTTTTCCCAGGCTCAAATTTCATTTACCAAAAAAAAACTTCTTGAAATTTTCTCGAATTTCATGTTCAAAAAACATTTTCCCAGAAAAAAGTTGGAACATTTTGAATTAAGCTAAATTTTTCAGGGTGATTTTTGAGCCGGAATGTCGGAATACTTTTTAAAAAATATTTGGCCTGTTTTAAAATTTTTCCCTTGTGTGAAATATGTGAATACTGAAATATTCTCACTTTTTACTCTTCAAAATTCATTTTTTTTCAGCTGAAGGTGGTTCGTCAACAAAACAAAAGAAGGGTGGATTCTTCTCGCGAGGCAAAAAATAGAGGATTAGATTTGATAATGAATCGTCTTTGAATTGAATTGCTTTGCTCTTGCGACATTTTTATTTTGTGAAATATCGGCAATTTCACATTTATCAATGTTCAAAAAATCGAAATTCTTCATTTCAATATTCGATTTCGTCTTTCTTTTTTTCTCCCCATCCAAAATATGTACCATTTTTATCTAGTTTCTAGTTGTTTTGTTTTGTTTTTTGCAAAAAAGAATCCCCCTTTTTCTCCACACAACAGTCAGCCTAAATGAGCTCTCCCTAATAATACGGTTTCGCCTTCTTCCATTCAAACATTGCTATTTTTCCAACTGAAAATTTCTATTAGGCATTAATAACATAATTAATTAAATAATTAATATTATTTTTTTATTTCTCAAAAAATCCTGACATTTGCTTATAATTAGATTGCGATTTACATACATGTAGACATAAATTAGCCTTTTCATTGAATCTCTGATATTTAGGATCCAATTTTGAAAGAAAATCGGCAGTCTTTCATTTTCGGTCTCCTTTTTAATAGAATTCATTTTTAAAGTTCATTTTAAGCTCGGTTTTACCCCATTGTTACACGGCTTTCTATTGTTTGTTTTTTTGATTTTCAAAAAAACACTCAACCCCAAAATTGCTTTCGTTCATTTCATTTTTGCATTGAAAATCCCTTTCTTTTTCCCGAAAAAAGGAAGAAATTTTGTCAGAGAATTTTTCGAAGAAAATTCGATTTCTTCCTCGGTTCTGTTCATTTTTCAATTGTCAAATGTGTTTGAAATAATAATGATAATAAAATGATAATTAATTTAATGTTTTTGTTTTTTTTTGTCGGATGAAAAGAATTTCAGAATTTTTTGAAAACTGGAAATTTTTCTAGATTTTTTCCCTGTAGATTTCGACCCTTTTTCCGAAAAAAGTATTCAATAATGTTTAACTCTCTTGTGGGAGTTGCCACGTCTCAGTTCACGTTGAAACACAATTTGTGAGAAATATTGACAAAAAATGTTTCAAGCTTAAGATTCACAGTACGATTGGAGATTTTTAACATCTAAATTTTAATATTCCAGCTCAGATTTTGGAAAAATATGCCATCTTCATATTTTCGAAAAATTCAAGATTAAAAGAATCGATCAAATTTTTAACAAGCACTTCTTTCTACTTTTTGAAAATTTTTCTGAATTTTCGATTATAATTCATTAATATAATTATACCAATTCATGTGGGAATCTTGAAAAACCTTCCATTTCTCCTCACTAATAAATCACATTTTCGACGTTATGTTTCCTCATGAGAGAAATAGAGCCAACCTACGCAAATACTTTTTCATAATTTTCAGCCTCGATATTTTCGGCCACTGAAATCAGACACTCGTCCTTTCTCTGCATCTCTTCAAATATCTTCAACAATTTTATGCATCTCGAAATTCTTCCTCTTTTTTTTCGTTCTCTTCTTCTTCATGTGCTCTGTCGCCTTTTGCCTATCGATCTTCGCAAGATACTTTTTTCATATTTTTGGCCACAAAATTTTGAAGTCGAAATTTTGCAGGTGGTTTTGCTAGTTTTTTTTGTTCTTTTTCTCCGTCTCTCACTTTTTGCGGCTATCGCGGAAAATTATTGAGAGAAAATGATTGTTTTTGTTTTGTGGGTGAATTGAATTGGTCATTGTGTTTTCCATTTTTTTTAATCTATGGTTCATTGATTTTACGTAAGTTTTCTGACATGAAAAAAATTAACTAATTTTTCTATAATGAGAACATTCCTCGGGGTAATCCTCAACAAAAATTAATTTTTGATCGTTGGAAAAAAATAAGATAAAAAAGGTGACAGCTTGTGGAATTTTTTTTTGAAAAAAAAGTGAAATGAAAAATTTTCTCGAAAAAATTTCTTTTCATTTTTCCGAAAATGTTTGTCCCACTTTTTCCCCAAAATAATTTTCAATTTTCCGGAAATTGAAGTTTTTATTGATGCGAAATTTCCAGAAACTCGCTGAATCTGTATTGAAGTTATTATACTTTATAATTTTCTGAATTTTCAGAATAATATTTCTAAGTTTTCTACAATTTTTTTTGGAATAATTCAAAACACTTAGGAAAATTTGGATTTAAAAATTCAGTAATTCTGAAACTTGGAAAAATTGGTCATACATTCTCAAAATTGAATGATTACTGGGATCCGATTCATAAATTCCCTTGAAATTGTAAAATTTTTACATTAACTTAAAAATTGAGGTTTTTCTTGCGAATGAAAAATGTTTTCCCAAAAAAAAGGAAACTTGAAACTCTAAAAACTGAAACCTGAGAACAGGGTTACCTATCAATTTTCTGCCTAACCAAAACCGGAACTTTTCACCTCCAAACCAAAAAAAAAGCCAGCTGAATAATACATCTGTCTGTCGTTTCCATGACTCATATTAACACAGTACTCTTTTTGCATTCTCATTTTCCTCTACACAACAAAACAAAACAAAATCATCGATCTCTCGGGAAAAATACGGCGCCTTTTTAGCACCGAGGCGACAAAAATTGTCGAGGAGTTTTGGCCGCCCCGGTGCTAAAAAGGTGCCGAAATTACGGCACCTTTTTAGCGCCGAGGCGACATTTTCATGAAAAATCCATTATTTTACCATACAAATGACTATTGTTCTCTTTTCATCGAAATTTTCCGCACTAAAAATGTAGCAAGCGTGTCCGAGTGGATAAGAGGATGGGTTGTCATTGTTTTGACCCAAGTTCGATGCCCGCCTTCACGCACCTTTTTTTATTTTTTTCGTCTCACTGGCGCACCATTTTAGCGCCGGTGCGTCCCTTCGCGCGCCGTTTTAGCGCCGGTGCGTTCTCTCTGCGCACCTTTTTAGCGCCGAGGCGAGAGCACTTCCCGCCTTGGCGCCCCAGAATGTCGCCTTAGCGCCCCAGGATGTCGCCTTGGTGCCGTATTTTTCCCGAGGCTCTTCTTCTTTTTCCCATTCTTTTTTTCCTAAATATTTGTCCTCAAAACTGACACTTGATTGTACTTTTATTTGCCAACTAGTCCACTTCTTCTCTTGCATTTCAATATTATTTCCATTTTCATTTTACGCACTGTTTTTATTTGAGAGAAACGTGAACCTTTTTTTTTATTTGGTGATAAGACATTTTTACAATTTATTTCTAGATGTTATTGAGTGAGGAGGAGGTGCCAAAATTATTAAAAAGGAAGCATGTTATATCAGGATATCGACCATTGAATCAATCCACGTGGTTTTATTTGAAATCTGCATTCACTTCACATAATGAAGTGGTGAGTCCCATCAACATCTTTGAAGCTAAAAAAAAAGAAACATACATTTCAGTTTAATGTTTGGACACATTTTCTGCCTGGGATAATATTCCTCTTCACTTATCTTATACCTGAATTACGATCTGATCATCCACGAGTACCCGTAATTATTTTAGCCGTTGGTATAGTTCATCTGTTAGTCGCTTCTGGAACTGCACATTTGATGCATTCTCGATCACAACTTAGTCATGTTTTTTGGTTTTTGATTGATTTTAGTGGTATTGCACTTTTTGGAATTACGATTGGTTTACAACGATATAGTTGTAGCGATGATTTAGGGCTTTTTATGAGTGTGGTAAGTGTTTCAGGGTTTTTTTTTAACTTTGGGAAATTGTTTTGAAATTCCAAAAAAAAAATTTAATGTAAAATTTTTGAGAAACAGTTTACGTTACCCCAAAAAAATGATTTTAATAGGAGAAACCATTTTCGAAATTAATTTTTGAGATTAAGGCCACGTGGAAAACTAATAATTGAATTTTGAAATTCATTCCGTTATTTTTTCAGGCCTATGTTCCACTTCTTCTCATAGTTGTTCTAATCGGCCAATATTTCTCAACATGCTATCTTTTTTGTTTTCCAACCTCATTACAAACATCGAATGGAACTTCGAATGGGCTCTTGCTTCCTACTTGCATGTTGGCTTTATATTCCATTACATTATCGATATTTGTCTGAAACAACTCCTGGAGCAGATTCAGCTCTTCCACTTCATTCAAAAGCTTTTCGATGGTTAATTGTATCAGGGATTTTTATGGGTGCTCATATTCCGGAAAGATTTGCGCCAGGTGTTTTTGATATTGTTGGATACGGTCATCAAGTAGGTTTTATATATTTTTGAGACAAACTTTACTTTTAATCAAACATTTTCAGCTGTTCCACCTTTGTATTGATATGGTTTCTTGGAACCTTCTTGATGCAGCTAATATAGATTGTTCTGCTTCTGAAGGCCATCCTGGAAATTGGCGCAATATTCTAATCGTCTTCGCTTTTTTATTTTCAATTGGCGCAATTATATTGAATGTGCGTTTGATGATGGCAAAAGCCCGCACAAAAACATACGACCATGAAAGCGATTATGTTGAGAAAAAATGTCATTAGGAATAATTTTAAAGAAAGAAAAACAGTTCAAATTTAGATCTCTATATGTTTTCAAATTATTAGATTCGGGTTTCTGTTAACTTATTTGATATGAATGAAATTTGATTACAAAATATTTATTTTTAAGTTAACAGTTTCAAAACATTTCAATAACCATCAATTAAATGTGTCTGGAATCCTTGATTTTCGAATTCCAGACATTTTCGGTCATGACGTAGATCATTGATGGTCTGGCAAAGCCATTGAAAGTTGTAGATGCAGCAATTGTGTATGCTCCCATATCCGGATAATACATCCAATCTCCGACTTGAAGTTTGCACATCATTTTCTTGTCTTCAACCAAATCAAGACTATCACAAGTTGGTCCCCAAATTGTTGAGACGAATTTTTGATCAGAATCTTGGTCGAAAAGTGGTCCTCCAGTTGGATGAACATGATCGAAAAGAATGCAATTGAAAGAACCGTACACTCCATCATTAATGTAGTACATATATCCTGAATCACCTCCGTCTTTTTCGTTTTTGGTGATTTTTGATGCTGGCACTTCAGTGGCGTGGATAATGTTGGCAACCAAACTAAATGGAGCGGCAGCAAAGAATCTTCCAGGTTCGGCGATCAAACGTTTCTCAGTATCTGGGAAGAATTCATCAATAGCTTCTCTGATAACTTGAGCAATGTTTTCAAATGAATTCTTATGTTCCGATCCTGGGAAACCACCTCCCATATCGATAATATCCATCTTGAATCCAAAACCTTCTCCAATTTCGCAGAGATTTTTTGCGTGTTGAAGAGCGACTTTGTAGGCGGTGGCGTCATTGCAACCAGATCCAACATGGAATGAGATTCCAACTACGTTGACTCCCTCATCGTAAGCTTTTTTGAGAAGTTGAGGAGCGACAAGAACTGGATCACAACCAAATTTCAAGTTAAGTGGACAAGTTGCAGTTGGATCACTGACAGCGATTCGGAGGATCATCCTGAAACAAATTTGAATTTTTATTGTTACATAACATTTCGAAATAAAAACTCACTCAGCATTTGGATGAAGCTTGGCAACTTTGACGAGCTCTTCAGCATTATCAAAAGTCATCATACGGACATCTCGTTGCATAGCATGAGCAATGAAACTTCTTGTCTTGCAAGGATTTGCGTAGATCAAACGATCAGCTGTGACACCAGTATTCATAACAATGTCGATTTCTTCACGACTTGCACAATCAAAACCACATCCAAGAGTTGCAAGAATTCTCACAAGAACTGGATCAGTGTTGCATTTGACAGCATAAAATGGTTCGATCATTGGAAGTTGTTGTTTCCAAAGTTGAAATCTCTCAATGATTTTGTCAATGCTGACAACCATAAAAGACGAATCATTGAGTTGCAAATCCTTATTTGTCGCAATATCTCGAGCCAATTGTTTGACATCAAACTTTTCGCTCAAAATTCCGACTTTATCATTTCCAATAAGTTCCATTTGTGAAATCATGATTGTTCGAAGTTCCAAGGTGGCGGTCCTGGATCGTAGAGAATTGGTGTAGCCGAAATTCGTCGGGCAGTAGCGGTGGCCGCTAGCCTCTTTAATTCAACAACGCAAGAGATTTTCTGGCAGATGGGCTTTCCCAGTGGATCGAATCAAAAACGCTGAGTGCAATTGGAAAACAATTGCAACAACGTTAAGACTGTAAAAAACATAGATTTATTGAGAAAAAAAAAACGTTTTTTTGGTTGGTATAATGATCAAGTGTGAAGAAATAAATGATAAGAAAAATTTATCAAAGAACAAAGAAATATTCACGTGAATCTTGTGAGAGTTTTCGGAAACTTCAAAGGAAATTGGAATTTGATGGAAAAAGTAAAAAAGTTTTAACCCAACGGAGGGAGGGGGGACATTTTGGACTACTGATCTTTTTCTCAAATATTGAAATGTCTGGCAATAATCCATTGAACCTGATATTAGAAAATCTTGCAAGATGGTGACATATTTTGAAAATCTGTTCATGAAAAAATGGAACTTAACAAGTTAACGATCCAAGAGCATTCAAAATAAAAATCAAAATTTTAGGCCTTTTTGGAGATTATATACAATGGACGCCGACCACAGCGTCATAAAATAATATTGATAAGAAAAACGACGACGACGACCAAAAAATCGACAACATGTGAAAGAAGATGGAGAAGAAATGTGTCGACCGGTGTTTCCCGACCGCCTTTTGTACTAACCGTGGGCGTGGCCTAAATGTATACGAGCGGTCGGGAAACACTTTATGAATAATCAACAATTTGGGTGCATTATGGGGACATATAGGTGCATTCGACGAAGACATATGTATGGTGTGAAATGGAATTGATATGACAGGTCATATGTATGTATTTTTTGTTGTCGAAGATATTTGGGTACAAAATACATTTGCATATATGTATAATTAGAATTTTATCATAGAAATCACAGAAACTATTTTTAGATCTGAACTTTTCTTTTAGATACAATTTCCCGTACTTCAAATTTTTCTAGTTACAGTAACCGCCAACGTCACCAGAACTAGTTTAATAAAAGTTGGTTGAATAATGAGGAATTCAGTGGACTTTGAAACTGTAACATTATTTTATCGCTGTGGTTAAGCATTTTTCAATGAAAACTGATATCGTATGAGTTTTTATGTGATGTAAGAGTTCAAATTTTGATACTTTTGAGCATAGAACGAATGAAGATTTTGCAGAAAAGAATACAGGAAACATGTTTGGAAAAATGCGATGTGAGCTTCAATGTGAAAGTCTGGAAATGTTTCCCGATTGTGACAGAATTTTCGAATGAATTTTTTGTTGTTTTTTCACTAGACTTATTCTCAGAATCAGAATCAACCTATTTTTTTAAATTTTCATTATTTAAAATTCTTGATTATTTCACCAAAATTTGTATGAAATCGGAACATGATTCACATTTCATTAGTTTTTTTCTGATATAATTGTTCCAAAGAGAAAATTCAAAACCGGCTGAATGATTTTTGAACCCTCTGTTTCATTCATCGACCTATCAACAGCAACAATATTCCAGCTTCCGGTGCAAAATAACATTGTGATTGTTTGATCTATCATGACCTCTGCCTAATCAAAACACCTAATCATAATAGTAATAAAATTATATATTAATATAAACATGACGAATATTCGGTTTTTGGTCGTTTCTACGTAGTTGGCCTTGTCTTTCCGTCTTCTTGCGTAAACAAATATGTAGAAATTAAACCTGGACAGAAATATTTCTAAATTTAGACAGATGTTGATTATTTGGGAAGAAAACATGGAGAGTTTGTGGTTGCGACTTTGATTTTTGCGAATGTAGTTTGGGAATTGTAATAGTGATGAATTCTTATCTTAGTTTTCAGACTAGTCTTTGATAAATCTGTAGTTTTGATAAAAAATATTGACGAAATAAAGTTATGTTCAAAATAAACATGTTATATACGGTTTTGCTAGATTTTTTGCGTAGATTTCGAATTTCACAATCATTTTATACCTAATAATCTCTGAAAGATTTGGATTTCAAAGAAATCTAAAAAAAATGTGTGCATTTGCGCGTCATCTTTGCTGTGCGCGCACACATTTTTTGAATTTTTATAATTTTTCATTTTTTTCTGTAACTTTTATTTTTCCTCTTTTTAACGTTTCCAACAGTTTTATTTAATTGAATTTTTATTGATTATGAAAATATCACCCATTTACAAATTTCAGCAATAAGGCACGGTTGATATTTGGTACTAGAAAAGGGTATTTTTGATCGATCGCAGAAAATAGAATAGAAAGATTTTTGAAAGATAATACTTTTGTCCTAATGATAATAAGAATATAAGAAAATAATAAAATTAAAAATTGAACCCGGTTATGATTGTAGCAGCTGATCTTCGTATTGTTTGACGAAACATTCTCCGACTGGGAAGAAGTCCCAATCTCGATTGTCATATTTCTCTCGAACATACGTTTCTTGACCAGTATATTCTGTTTCGTCTTTGTTGACCAGATGTTGTAGGAAGAACCTGAATTATAATAAGTTAGTTTTTGTATATTAGTTATAATAAGTTAGTTGATTTTTCGGAATTTTTGAAGGTAAAACTCACAAATAGTTGGCGAAATTGTGCTCTTTGGTTGTGTGTATCTCGAAACCTCTAGGCATCCGATCAAATGTTTCTTTACCGATGTCGCAGATAAAGCACGATGATTCGAGTTTTTCGGTGGCCGATTCTTGTTGGTCACGAAGTTCTCCGAAAGCGTCGATGATCAAACCTTGCATGATAGCAAGAAGAATGACAATGACGAAGAAGAAGAATGAGATATCGTAGAACATTCTGGGATATTCCAAATCGTCACCATATGGGCTTTCAAGTTCATCTCCAATACCTCCACCAGCACGCACTCCGGCGTAGAAATGATAGATGAAACACTGCAAAAATTATTGACAATTGTGAGTTTTTTTTCAAATTTCAGCATGAATGTGACACATTTTTATTTTCATTTTCAAAATTCCTTTTTTTCAACTTACAGTAAGCATGTTGTGACATTTTCGATCTGGTTCTTCTCCATCTTCAGCCTCTTGAACATAGAATTTCCGGAAGAAGTTGAAAGCGATGACAGTGTAAAGATATACAACTACCAAAGTCATCATGATGGTGAGAATCAATTGTTGTAAATTGTGTGTAACGGATTGCAAAATAGCCTTTAACATAGGGAATGAGAGCACAACATCGATAAGATGGAAAGCGTAGAAGAATGGTGAGATAAAAACACCACACGCAGAACAGAGAAGATAACCGACACGATACAAGAATTGGCCATTGGTCAGGATTACTCCGAGCCATAACCAACATGAATATCGATAATCGTAGCTTGAATCTGTTGACATTTTTTCTTCTCCTAGAATCGAAGTTAATGTTTCTTCATCGACTTGATCCTTGAACTTTTGACGAGTCTTTCTTCTTACGAATTTGTCCCAATACATCATTGGGAATGATTTGGCAGAAATAACAATTCTATCCAAATACCACATAAATGTGTCAACAATTCCCAACTCTTCTGAATCTTCTTCTGTTATCCAACAACCATCGAACATAAGTTTTCTGGCAACTTCTTTTTCACGTTTGAAAGTGATGAGTGGGATTTTAAGTTGATAGAATGAGACAAGAAGGGCGAATGATGTTGAGAGATGAAGAACACTTATCCAATATAAAACTTGTGATAACATCCAACCAGTGATTTCGTATTCCAAAAATGGAAATTCAAGTCCAGTGATAAAAATTGATTCGATATCTTCCTCATCTTCTCCTTCAGTTGCAACTTCGGCTGAAAAAAGGTTGTGTTGAAATAAAAAATGAAACAATGAAAACGTGACCTGAAATTTCACGAGGAAAAAACTCATTTTTATTTTCTAATACTTATAGAAATGCTCGCTCCGAAAAGTAAGTAAGTTAACAGGGAACTTACTTGTTTCAACATGAGTTATATCAACACGATGGAAAAGTAGAATAACATTGATGAAGAAAGCGAGATACAAAGTTGTTTTCTCAATAGTTTTGAAGTTCCTAGCAAGCATGTTCAAAATAGATCCACGAGATTTTGATGAGTTAGATTCAGCAATCTTTGGTTCATATTGCCCATGTTGGAATTCGGCTTCTGATTGAAGTTGAACCATTTGGGGAGCACCGATAGATTCATAAATACTTGGAGCTTTGCTAGCAGCTGTAGGTGGTGATGGAGGTGAAGCGGCTGATGGTTCGGGAGCATTTTTATCATCTAGTAACACAGTTTCCGGAGTATCCGGTCTTGGCGGTGGTTCGAAATCTGGTATAGTATGAATATTCTCCGAGTTCATTCCAACACCAAACACATCTACACCAACATGAGAATGATGGAATTCTGGCATTGGAGGTGGTGAATAATGATGATGTTTTTCTGCTTCTTTTGCAGCAGCTTCTGCTTTTGCCGCAGCTTCTTCATCTTCAGATGATGTTGTAAGGAAATAGGTGAATCGGAATATTGTCATAAGTAATAAATATACTCCCCAACCAAGTGTCATTCCAATTCGGATGAAAAGTAGGAAAATTGAATAGATCAATTGAGTCCATGTCATTTGTTTCACAGCTCCCGCAACGTTTTTGAAAGTTGTTGAAATGTTTTGTGGACTAAGAGCTGATGCAGCTGACAATCCATAATTGTATCCACTTTTGAATGTTTCAGAAAGTTGTTCAGTTGATGTTTGTTGGAGGAAATAATCGCGTTGTTTGATAGCTCTTTCCATTTTTGTATCACTATCACCAGATGAGATTGCAGCTGCATGTTGCATTTCAAAAATAGTATCTTCGCAGAAATTGATGAATGCTTCAAGTTTACCTTGATCACCACCATCATCTTGCAAAACATTAAACAAGAAAGAGTTCTTTGAATCTCTGATTTGTTGTTTTCCCCATTGTTCCAACCAACTTTCTTGAATTTCGAAATAGATTTTTTCAACACGTTTCGATGATCCCATAATTTCAATTCTTCCCAAAAATGGATCGAAATATTCAAGAAGAGTTTGAGCCTTCTCAATGATTTTCTCAAGTCTTGGATCATTTGTGATGTGTTCTTTTAAGTTGACAAGAAGAACAGCAAGATTGAATCCGATGTCTCTAGCTGGATTGTGGAATCTTTCTGTGAACTCCATGTAATCAACTTTTCCGTCATTGTTAACATCAGTACACATCATCAAATATGTGATATCTTCGCTGAAAAATAGTACATAGGGTATAAATTGAAAATAGGCGCCCATCCAACGCATTACAGCCCCCCTCATCACTTGGCAAATTCATTTCGATCTCGCACATTATTATTTAAACCCCTCTCTCCCTTCTTGTTTTCTTGTGAGATTGTAAGAATAAAAACCACGCTAAACGTGACCTAATTTTCAATGCCCTATTTATCTTACAATTTATCTTACTCATCTTACAGATCAGAACCAGTTCATTCTTCCTCTATGGAACAACAAAAAATGGCAGGAATAATTGGTGAGTTTCTTGGGTTCTACCGTAGTTTGGGAGGTTCTGCGTTCTCGGGAAATAAATAGCAAGTGGTCGCAAGAAAAACTGACTTTTAGCAAGCTTGCTACATTTTTTCCATTATAAAAATTGTAGCAAGCAGGCTAAAAGTCGATTTGTGTAGCAAAACTTGTTATGGATCAATTCATTTGACGAAAAAATGAATTTCGCGACATTTTTTGTCGCGAAATTGCAATTCGTGAAACGACACGAAATAAACACAAAAATAAAGGAGAAACATTAAAGGGACACGTAATCGCTGCGAGACCCAACACACGAAAAAAGAATTTCCTCTTTTATTTTATTAATTTCGTGTCGTTTCGCGAATTGCAATTTCGCGACAAAAAATGTCGCGAAATTCATTTTTTCTTCAGATGAATTGATCCATTGCTTTTTTCCCGAGTAATACAACTTACACAGTGTACATCTTTTGACTTTCCATAGCACGTTGGAATTCTTTTGGACTAATCCATCCATCTTGATTTGTATCGAAATCTTGGAATGCTTGAGATGTTGTGAGATCTTTCAATTTTAAGAACATGTCTGAGAATTTGAGAATCTTTTTCAACAGATGGTTGTGATTCTACTAAAGCATCCACCATTTGTTTACCAATTGATCCATTCAAAACATTTCCTTCAAGCATTGATAACATCAAAACAATCATATCTTTTTGTAGATTCAAGAATTCACGAAGAAGTTCGAGTTGTGTCGAGTTCTTATAAAGTTTCTCCATCATATGAGCAAACAAAAAGAAGAAACCATTAATAGCATCCCAAAGACGTGAGTTAGCCAAAGTCATTTGATTTCCAACACACGGACCTTGAATACTTTCAGTGAGAGTGTTGAATACTTGACTGCAAACTTGGATGGCTCGAAGGAAATATTCTTTTCCACCTTCATCAATTACTTCTTTACTCGAATAATGCCAATAGAAATCCATAACTGATTCTTGAAGTCGAAGAAGATAATCGACTGTACAATTGATCAAATTGACACTTGTTGTATGTCCTGGTTGAGTTCGGAGATAATTTTGGAATTCGAGATTGTGACCTTCACAAGTAAGTTGGAGGAATCGGAAAAGTGAACATGTAAAATCAGCATCATTCAAGTTCTGATTGTCGCCAGATGCAAGTTCAGCACCCATTCCAAGACCTTCAGCCTGCAATTTCACAAGTTTTTATATTTTATTGTAAAAGTTTAGAAAAATATCCACAGCATTCTTAGTTTTTTGAAAACGAAAAACTGATAGAAAAAACAAGCGTTAGTTTTTGCAGGCAAAAATAGAGAAATACTGTACGATGATGTTAGAAACCTGGGAAATTCGACGACGAGGTCTACGACATTTCGAGGAAATTGCATGAGTACCTACTGCCTCAATATGCTGAAAAGGTTAGTTTGAAGGGCGGAAAACACGGTTGTTAGGTTTCAACTTGAGATTTAGATTTAAATTTTAAACAAATGAAGGTTATTAGGGTAAGTGAATAACAAAACGGCTCAAGTTACCTTGATCTGTCTTTCGAACATTTCGAGATTCAAAACGGAACATTTATTCATGAGTCCAGCCATTGATGTGAAGAATCGGACATCTTTTTTGAGTTGAAGGTATTCGATGAGCATCTTCTGAATTTCTACATTTCCACCACTCAGAAGATGAATACCAAGTTGGAGGGTTTGTGCAACCATTTCATTTGGTTCACCACCAGAAGCAGAGAGATACATCAAACCCATAATAGCAGCTCCACGACTCGCAAGCACTGCTTGTTCACTTCGCAATGCTTGCGATTCTTCTTCTTTAGCTGCTTGATCGATTTCTCCTTCATCACCATCTCCATCGTCTTCCTCTTCAATATGAATAGATTTCGCCATAACATCAGCAAATCTAATATAGAGCGAATCTTCATGAATAGCAATAACAGCAGTTTCTTCTGATGTTGCTGCTCTTTGAAAGCATCTGATCAGTTGTTTTAATGGATCCGGATTTGTTCTAGAAAATTAAAAATTTTATGAGGATTTTTTCACGATAACCTACTCTTTTTCTTTTCCTTCATCTGATGATGTGGCTACCATTGCAACACCTTCTTCAACTATAATCTCGATTTGTGGACTTTCATCTTCTTCCATTCCGGACTGAAAATCAATAATTCCTAATTAACCCTTTAAAAATGAATACTTACACAAATATCAGCGATGAGTTGATCTTGTCCAACATCTTCTTCTTCGAGCCAGAGTCTCGAGAAAGCTGGTAGGAAGAAATTGATTCCTCGATGTCTGAAATATTCAAATTAGTCAAATTTATCTAATTTTCTATAACCTAGTTTCTGTTAAGAAGTTTATGAGAGTAACTGAATTTCTGCCGAAATTAAAAATTAAAAGAAGTTTTGACATGTTAGAACTGTTTGTTGAGAAGAAGCTTACAACTCAGTTTTGTAGAGATGAGAAGCGGTGATCAATGAAATCGCCATTCGTTTACGTTGAAGTGTCAAAACCTTCTTCCAAATGTCCTCTTTTTCGGTTCGAGAAGTCATCTAAACCGCTCCAGGTAAGATTAGGGAAAATGAAAAGTGGGTGATTAGTTTTCCTTTGCCGTCCGAAATTACACAACACATCACACATAACATAAAAGTTTACTACGGTAATCATCATCTCTAATTCTTACCTAGGTATACCGTAAAGTGGAACCATTCTGAAGCAAGCGACGACTGCTCTTTTTCTTTGAGTTGAAACAACTTTTTTCCAAGCTTGCGATAATTGCATCGGATGTTCTGTCTAAACAACATTTAGATTTAATTTACCACATTTATGATTTATGAAAGTGAAATACTGAGAAGTTGTTAGGAACATTTAACACTTACGTCTTGCATTAATTTTTTGTTGTACTAAAATAATGTTGACACGTTGAGACTATTTAACTATACAAAACGAAATTAATCAACTTACCTTCCAATTTCGACGATTTAATCTTCGTCGATCTTTTGCTCTTGTTGTCTGAAAATGGACGGACATAGACTAACACATAACAAATCACAGAACAAAAACGAAGACGGCTTTGGATCACTAATTTTAAATCTAGAAAAAAAAACTCACGGTATGAAGAATAGCAGTAACTTGTCCCATATTGAAAATCTTTTCAATAATTCCATCTTGAGTCATTTCATTCTTACCGCGCATTTGACTTTTACCAATCTTTCGATACAATGAAAGTTGCCACGCGTTTTTGTCAGTTGGATCTGTTTTCACTGGAATATCAAGAAGACCTTTGATGAATTCTCGAATTTTTTCTTCCAACTCTTTTTGAATGAATTTTTCCTTGGATTGTTGAACAATGTCAAGTTCACGTCCACCGAAAACATTGAGACCAACTGGCAGAAGACGTTTGAGGCAAGCAATAACAATACTTGAAGCGTGTTTGTCTTTTTTGATCTGAAAATTCAGATTTTCACATTATTTCTTCAAAATAATCGTAATTTTAACTTATTTCAACACGACATTTAGAACTTACAGGTTTCCCATTTTTATCAAGGAAATCTTTTTTCCTATCTTTAAACTTCTGAAAAGTCTAAACCTTATCTCTCGTTACTATAATATCAAAATATTGTGTTTACCTGTCCTTCTCTTCGTTTCTTTTTCCTCTCTGCAATTGCAGCCTTTCCAGTCTTCATTTCTCCACCACCGCCTCCAGATTCTTCCTCAAATTGTGCCACATAATTCAACTCTTCACGCTTGAAATGTTGACTCTGACTCCAAATTCGGAATATCACTGCAACATTTTCATAAACACCATCAGTTTCCCAAGTTGGTGCTTTGAGCCATTGAGCACGATGAAGATCGGTGTATTTCATGAGAACCGGGAAGAATGCATAAGTATCTCGAACTAGTCGAGCATTGTCTTCAGCTACAGTACCCTCATCAGCATCATCTGGATGTGTTCTCATATGTTCTTCTTCTTTGTATGCTTTCTCACTCATTCGACGAAGTCTTTCAGCGATTGGAAGAATGAATTCTCGAACTGGATCACATGTGACATTTTGAATGATTTGGACAGCAAAGACTGCAAAATTTGTGAGGATTATGTTTAGATTCAAATAAAAAAAACACTTACAATTAACTCTGCAAAGCCATGGCGCATTTTCGATTCCAACATGATTTCTGATCATTTTCAATAATGCACAGAATATCCGATTTATATGATCGCATCCGACACTTGTTGTTTGAAGTGCACTTGCTCGTTGATCTACATTATCTTTCTTTCCATCGGGACCAACATTGAACCAATAAGCCATATAAGAACAAATCAATGGTAAATCAACATCGTAAACATTCGGAACTTCAGAATACATTGTATTGTTGTTGGCAACAGTTTCAATATCAACTAAAAGTTTATCCAAATGTGGAATATGAGTTGAAAGATTTTGTAACATTTCTTGAACTTGCACTGATTGATCTTGTGATTTTGCAAGAACCGAGAACTTATTGCTTTTGTTGAATTCTGGTTCAAGGAATGCAACTGGGAAACACGATGAAAAGGCCGAGAGACATTGTCCAAGTCCTGGTCTATGTTTTTCTGATTCTCCACTGATACTTTTTCTGTGAGTAATTGTTGCTCCAAGGCTTGTGACCATATATAAAGAATCAAGAATCTTATAACAAGCTGCTTGGATGTCATCCACTAAAAAATTGAATGGTTTTTCCGTAAAACTAACAATAAAAACTTACATAAAAGATCTGTTCCAAAATGATTTCTCGCCAAATGACTGAACATTGTTGTTAATACTGGAACAATCATCTGATTTGCGAATTCGAAAGAGTTCCAAGATTTCAAAGATTGTCCACGAATAAGAGCGTATTGGCCACCATCCTGAAATTAAATGATATCAAGATGTCATACAAATTTCTATGAAATTTTTTTTTGGCAGACTAATCACTTTACAACATTTATAACCTACATATTCGTCATAATCATCGTCATAATAGACAAAACGCTGAGATTTTTAGTTAAAAACTTTATTTTTCTTAAATACCTTACCTTTAATTCATTAACAGCCGCATATAAATCATCAGCACAGTTATTGAAAAATGTCAAAAGTGAAGTTCGAACAATATCCGAATTTACTTTGACCAAAGTGCGAAGATCTAATGCTTGTGTTAATCCTTGCAAACATTTCACAGTAATTTTTGCGACACTTCCAAATGCACGATTTTTGATACGAAGAAGAGCAGCCAATCGACAGAACAGGCTGAAATCCAGGTTTTATTTCATTTCTCATTTTTTTCGTTTCTAAACTTACTTTGCCACCATTTCTTTTTCTTTATTACTCGCGGTTCCAGTTTGAACAATTGAAGAGCCTTCTAAGAAATAGTTTTTATGAGCATTGAAATATGCATGCATCAATGGAAGGACCACTTTTTCGAAGAATTTCACATCTTGTCCTTCTTTTTTGAATGAGTTACGACGAGTTAATTCTTGACTTGGTTTCACTGATTTCATTTTCAAACTGGCTTGTTCGAGATACTGTGAAAATTAATGTAAAAATTAACGAAGTTATTTCAAAGTTTGAAGAATACTTACGCTGATCAATTTTTCGAGAAGATTATAGGCAAAACGTTTTTCGACGCTCGAACGTTCTCCTTCAACTTTAGCACGTTCTGATTGTGATTGTTGATCTTTTGGACAATTCACATGATAACCATGATATTGCAAGAATTTGAGAATTTCTGATGCTCTGAATCGATCTTTTCTTCGTTCAAAATCTGTGAGCAAATCCCAAGGAACCAATGGAATTGGCATAAAACCACCTTTTGTGTTGATATCATTCATTACTTTTTTTGCCCAAATTAAATGTGAGTGTTCAGCCATTTTTTCAGCTGCATTCACCATGTCTTTTTCAAGTGTCATTGTTGAAAGATCAACTGGTTTTGGCGCAAAATTTGTGATTGAAGTTCCTGATAATGTTCTTGTTGACGAGGCTCTCTCATTTGCATCACGATCTAACATTTCGAATGAATAGTTCCATGCCATCAAAGCCTTTAGGCATTCCGAACATCTCTCTTTGTAGAATGATTTTTCCTAAAAAAAATTAAAATATTTTTTTTTGAATCTAAGTTAGATAAACTTACAAAATCTTTAAGCAATGAGAAAGGTTTCAATCTTGGATGAGTAAAATTGGCTCGAGAATACAAATCACCGTGAACCCATCCTTTTTCCAATTTTCGACTTGCCCAAGAATCATGAAAATGTTCAGCGAACAATTCTGTCATTTTATCAAGGTCTCGACTAATTTCGGATCTTGAAACATCAACAGTTTTTGGAATCCATGCTCCTTCATCTTCAACTTTTTTACTTCGAACATCTTCCAAACCACTTGTCAAACTGTAATCTGGTGAAATTGCACTTCCAATAGCTGTCATACACGGAAGAGCTTTTCCGAATAATTCTGGATCATAAGGACGACTTCCCAAAGTATCAAAAATTGCATCGAACAGAAGCATAGATAACCGTTTTTCTTGTTCACTAGCAACTCCATAATGATTACCAGATCCATAATATTTGCCACATCTTTCATAGTGCAAAGTAATAAGACGAAGTGGAACAAGAACATTCATATCGTTCATTGTTAGAATATCATTAATAACTTTTTTCAATAATTTGATCATCATATTTGGTGGAAGTTCTCTTGTAATTGCAACCAAAAAGTCACTAACTGCATCTCTTTGATTTTTAGTCAATGATTTCAATCGATTCATTCGATAAACTGTGTGAAGTGTTGCATCCAACAGTGCTGAATGATGTTCAGCATCCGAGAAAAAGTGCGAATGATTTGTGAGAAGTGGGAGAACTGAATTGCAAAGGTATCTATTGAGAGCCAAAGCTGTGTCAGATTCCAAAGCTTTTGGTGAATCCATCATTGTTGCAGCACGTAAATCTGGCAAAAATGATTGTTCCAAGAAATGGAATAACATGTCTTGTGAATCAATTCCATAAACTCGATCAAGGAATAATAAGACTGATCCTTTGTGATTTGGCAAGAGTCCAGGAAGTGGACCAGTATCTGAAAAATATAAATCAGTTTAGATATTATTGTTATGATAACATAAAAGCATGCAATCAAATCTCACTATCAACTGGGTTATAACGATTAGATTGTCTTCGTTGAACAATTGGATAAGATATAGGCTCGCATTCTTCTTTTTCTTCTTCTTTCTGTTTTTTGACAATAACTTCTTGACCACTCGTAAATGAAGTATGAACACTAGCATAATCAGAACTAGAAGGATCAGAATCAACTTCTTCAACACACGGTAATCTAAAACAAATGTTAGTAAAATCGAAAAACACAAAATGAGAATCTAACCCTCTCATTGTTAAGCTAATACCAGATGGAAAAGTTTGTGATCTTCGGGTTGACATATCTGATGCTAGGGATGCAACCATAGCAAATGTGTGAGCTAACGCTGTTTTAGTTGTGTCAGCGGCTTTTGAGCGGCGGATTGCTAAAAATCAGGGACAAAATGGGACGTGGACAAATGTTATTTCAAGGACGGTACAAATCTAAAACAAAACATTCATAACTTACCTTCAACTGCTGGGGCGGCAAGATTTGGAATTGTGAATCGAAGACTAAGAATTTGACCGAGATCGTCGAGTGAAATGAGAGATCGAAGAATTGCTCTGGCACGAAGGGAATCTCCTTTTCCGGCTTGAATTGCCATTGGATCTGGTGCACATTTTGCGAGCAAATCAACAAGACTTGAATAGAAATCGAGAGTTGCAGCACCGAAATCAATATAATCTTCGCCTTCAATTTCTTTGGATGGGTATGATGGATTTTCACCCAACAAGCCACTTTTCAATTGTGATGGATGAGCATCGTTTTCAAGAAGTCTGATATCTTCTGATAAAATGATTGCATCTTTAAATGCTTCAAAAAGACCTTGTCCTTCTCCTTTAAGAGCAATACCAAGACATTCTGGTCGCCGAATCAAAAGACGAATGACAAGATTTGCATTTTCCTCAACATTTTCTCCATTAATCCAAACACAGAAGCGCAAAAAATCAATATATCTTTCTCCTTCAACTGGATCCCATCCAATATCTGGATATCCTTTTGCAATAAGTTCTGAATTTGGTTGAAGTCCACATCTTGAAAGATAAACTGCAACTTTGTCGAGTTCTTCTTCTTTCAAAGCAAGAGCCAATTCATTATTATCCATAAAAGAGGAATAAGCAACATCAAGTGGAACAGATCCTCTCAAAGATGGTCTTGCTAATAACATCGTTGCATTATCTAATAAGAATGATAAATGTTCGAACATTGCCTTTTGATTTTGTCTCGATGTTCTACAGAAATAACATAAGAATCTTGAACAAGCAACAACCATTTCTGATGCATCTTTGATTGGTGTCTTTTCTTTGACTTCATCTCCTTCATGTTCCACAGTTCCTTGTTGAGCTGTTAAAATATTCATCATAATAGTCATCACATTTTCATGAACTGATAAAAGTCGCATAAGATCTGGATGTTGGAAGAATATTCGATTGTTCATTAGTTTCCATAATCCACGTTTCAAAATAGCTTCTTCTGTATGTTCAAATTGTACAGTAAGAAGTTCTCGAATTTGAATTAAATAAACAATGAAATCTTGAACATCCAAAAAGTTTCTCTCATGGAAAACATAAGTTTGACTCATCGCATCTCGAATTTCACGAACTCCAGAATATTGGCGGAGTAATAGTTTGAACATTGAGCGAATCAAATCATTGCTTTCAATGAAATTGGCTTGTGCCCAATCTCTCAACATCGATACAATCATTTCACGGAAGTTAGCAGTTCCTTTTCTTTGCTTTTCTAATTCTTCTTCTTCCACTGGCGGTGGAACTTTTACAACAATTCGAGCCAAAGAATCAACCCATGATGCTTCTTCGGTGTCAATAAGTGATAATTCTTCCAAATCTTCTTCACGACGATTTCCAATTTTTCCAACAAGTAATTCACAAAAATCTCGAAGTTGTTGTTGAAGTGAATCAGCCATTGGACATTGATCAACATCGGCATCTTCTTCGCTCATTGTTGGATCTCTTTCTTCTTTCACTTTACACATCAACAATCGGAACATTTGTTCTTTTGGTGGACATCTGAATTCCTTTGTTTTCTTTGCTGCTTCAGCTGGTGGCATATCTGTTTGCTTGATTTCCATATATCGTTTACATTGATCTGATTGAAGTTCTCCAACAAAACCTTCAGTAAATGCAACAAGTGATTCAATTCGATATCTCAATTGAATATCGCAAAGATGATCGAGAATATTTACGACTTGAAGTTTTACGGGTTCATCTAATTCGAGTTGAGTGATTCCTTTTTGAGTTGTTCCTATCTCGAAATTCTCATCAAATGCAGCTGGATGAATAAGTTTCAACAAAGTTTCAAGTTCTTCATCATTAATCAATCCAATAACAAGAAGATGATCAAATAGTTTCAAAAGTGGTTCAAAATGATTTGTATTATCACCACCAATCAAATCACGACAATTCATAACTGCGTGATGAGTTTCTGATTTCAAAGCCTCCATAACATGTTTCTTCAATGCTTCAAAATTGACACTCGGTGAATGTAATTTCATTTCATCATCTCGACTAACATGTTTTTTGACAACTTCATGACTCATTTGAGATAACATTGAAACCGATTCACCAGTGATTTGTGGGAATCTTGTTTCATTATCTGGGTCCAGAACATTTTTGATTTGTAATTGTTCAACCAATGGAATCACATATTCTTTTGACATACTTCGACGAGCAGCGGTGTGACTTTCCAAATGTAAACCGATCAAAAGATCGTGGTATCCTTGACGCATTGGTCCAGACAGATCTGAAATTACGTTTTATTTATATGTATAATAAGAAAAAAAAACTAATGAGATCTTACAATGTGATTTGATTGCATACATAATTTGATCTTCATCAACATGTTGACATAATGTATGAGCAACTTTGTGATTTCCATGACTTGCCAATTTACAGTACAAATTTAGAGTTTGTCGATGGAACTCAAGCATAAATGGCATTTCAATCATTTCCAAAATATCAAAACTTTGATCCTTTTCGGGTATATAAACCATCATAACTCTAACTGGATCATTACAAAGAACTGACCATCCACGAACTTCTGATAATTTCAGTGCAGTTGTTCTCAAAGTCTCATTCGGAACGCGAGCCCAATAAACAGGTTCAATTTGTTCAACAGTTAATCTTGGTGGGCAGAATGGCATCAATGATTTTTCACATGATTTGAACATTGCCGCCGAAAGTGGGAATGTGTATTTGATACGGCCGAGTTCAAATTGTAGAATTTCAGTTGCAGTAGGAGTTACAAATGCGGCTGGGAATAACATTGTTCCAGGTTCAATCTGAAAAAAAAACAATAATTTTTCAAGATTTCAACAAAATTCTTACAAACCTTGAATTTAATTCCTGTATCAGATGTTCCAACTTGGAAACTAAGTTCACCAATTGATGTGTCAATGATACAACCAATGAGTGTTCCAGATACTTTTGTATTTGCAACATCTGGTGTAGTTGCAAGAAGTTCTGACACATTTACCATATAACAGTTTTGAGATTGAACACTATCAACCGTTGTTCCGTGATGATCAGATTCAGAGAATCGACATTTTCGAACACCTTGACTTCCGTCAAAATTACTATTATAATAATGATATTGTGTTGTAACCCATCCAACCCAAACTTGTGATGGATCTTGTCCAGGGAAAATTCGAACTCCATAATAGAATTCATCAACTTTTTCTTTCAATGCAATCAATGCTGGACCATCTCCTTCTTGTAAAAGATCAATTTGAGCATCAGCTGGAATTGTTGATCCTCGTTTCTCTTTTTCTTTTTCCATTGCTGCAATTTCAGCTTTCTTCTGTTTTTTATTCTTTTTAATTGATCCTCTTTTGATTGTCAATGTTCTTCCCGGACCAGACAACGGCATCTCACTCGATGCTGAAAACAACACAATTCAAAACATTTTCAGATAATTTTAAAGAATTCTAATTAGTTTTAAGCTTGCTCATGCCAGTTTTTTAAGATAGGGGAAGGAAGAAAGTAGCCAAGGAGAAGGCGGGGTCTTACCAATATCAGAAACAGTTTCTGAATCTTGTGGGTTTTCTTGTTGTCGCAGAACCCAAATAGGTTCTTCTTCTTCTGAATTTTTTTAAAAATACTAATTGTAAGACTTGTAGTTCTAGACTCAAAGTGTTTTCAAACTCACCTAAAACGTCTTTCTGACCGGTTGGAATGTTAGAAGTATCAAGACTTCCAGCATCAAAACTTCTCGAGTTACTTTTCATTTGTCGAAGTGCAGCAGCCTTGTCTTCTTTTCGTCGATCACTATCCCTAAAACTCCTAAACATATTTAAATTATTAATTGTTTTCTATTCTATAGTTGGTTAGTTCTTACTTCTTTCTAGTGTTGCTCGAATCCCTCAATCTACTCAAAAGTCCTCCTTTCTTTGGTTTGTCTTGAATTCTTTCAGTTGAAATATCTCTCAAATGTTCTTCTGCTAATTGTCTCTCCTCGTGTGGCAATTCCAGTAGACTACGTCTGAAAATAAACATTTTTCATTTCCTCAAAATACTAAAATAATCAAGCGGACAAGTGCAGGAAGGGGGGAAAGCGAGAAGCAACAAAGCGTGCAAGTGCCACAATATGTAAATAAATCTATGTTTTTAGTATGAAGAACCTTAAAACATCCTGCCATTTGTTATGATCTTCCTCATTCACATGTAACCATGTGAGAACTGATTCATCGAATGAGTACATTCCAAAATTCATTAGTGTAAGCACACGTCGACGCTGACTGTAACCCGGGGATTGAATTAATTTGCAGAAAAAAAACATGTTAGATTATTTGTTATATGTATGTTATATTAAAAAAATGGGTGAAAGACAGATAAAAACCAAACCGTAAATAAAATAAAACCAATAGCATGTGAAAATAACTTACCTAACTGCTGGTGGTTCGTCGGCTTCTATACTAGGCTGTTTCGAATTAGTTCTAGATCTTCGATCGTCATCTGATTCGTGTGAATCTTTTGAGCCTAACATACTACGAAGAAAAGATTTTTTCTCCTTGTTGTCATCAAATTCTTTGGGAATTCCTGGAGAACGAATTTGGGAAACAACTGATTGAGAACGAGGTTTGTAGTCTTGAAGTTGACGACGGATAGCATCTTTGTCCCTGAAACATAAGTGTTACATCTTATTCCATAACAATATTTCAACTTACTTGTTTTTTATGAAAGTATCATTACATTTAACTGGAAGTGATAACCTGATATATTCCATTTTTGCTTTTTCTGATGGTCCTCCTTCAGACAATGTTGCTTTTTGCAAAATTTTCAAACATGGTGGACTGTTTCCAGTTGCTGGAATTCTTGAAACTTCCAAAATTGAACCTGATTTGAGCTCGGAAATATCCTCGAATCTTGGAAGTTGTTTCGCAAACCACATTGGCATAGTTCTGAAAAATTCTGGGTTTTTGAAAAACCTAACATGTATTTTTTTGAACTCACCGATACATGTTTACGCAAAATGGTTCATAACCTTCTTGTAAACCACATGTTGTGAAGAATTTCAAAGAATTTGATTGTTGCCCGAAATTGAGTCGACCACGTTGACCACTTCCGAGAGTCATTGCTGGCACAAGACCATCTCCACATACAACATTGTCAAATGCCATTTCAGATCCAGATGGATCGAGAAGAAGTTCACCATTTAGTGAGAAACTGATTGTTCTGTCATTTAGATCAAGGAAACAACCAACAACATCTCCAATTTTCCATTCTTTTCCATAACTTTCTGGTCCTTGATGCCATTTTCTCCCGAGAAATCCATCGAATGCATAACTTCGATCATCAGCACCGAGTTGAATTTCAGGTGTTGATCCAATATCCATCCAACCGATTTTCATATATCCAGCTGTCAAAATCTCAAATTCGAAATACCATTTTCCAGCATTTACAGCATAAGTTGCTTCAGCTCGATATGTTCTTGTATTATCTTTTCTTGCTCGCAATTCTTTTTCAGCAATCTCATCATGTTCATGTGCTGGTGGTTCCAAAAATATTCCAAATAATTGAAGTGCTCTAATATTCTCAGCAGCTGATTCGCGATTTGCTTGTTTGATTCTCTCATCGACTTGTTCATACGGTACCAAATGTGGTGTTCTTTTTTGTGTTGAATCAACATGTTCGCTTAATCCAAATGTCCAACCTCGTTTGATTTTTTCTTTTGCCCAAACATTGTGAGTGTTCTGAGCAAGAGATTCAATCAATGGTTGAAGTTCGGAAGGTAGTACAATTTCATGAGTATCAAGAGGTTGAGGTTTGTATCCATTAGTTTGTTGGAATGTTTGTGCTAATCGAACTGGTCGAAGACGACAAGGAGGTTCATCGGTAATTAAATGGTATCCAAGGGCTTCGATTGTTTTCATTGTACTTAATGCCAATGCGATGTTATATTTCTTTTCAGTTTCTGGAAGTCTTTCAAATGTTGTTAAACATGGATGTCTTCTATTTGTTTCTGATCTTGTTTCTCCATAAGACCATCCAAGTTCAATTTTCCGCATCGCCCAAAGTTCGTGAAGATTTTCTGCATATTTAATGTGAGATTCAGTTGCATGATGGGTCAATTGAGTGGTTGAAATATCAACTGGAGTTGGAATGAATGGCTCCAGATTGTTGAAAATTGTTTGTGGGCCGCAATAGATGTTTTTTGCGAGATCTCCAAATGATAAACAATCGGCGATCTGAAGTTCACCATTGATTGCTTCTACGATTGCTGAAAATCCAGAAGGTGGTCCATAACGAAGTCGACCTTGATTTCCACCAAGAATAAATCGACATGAAACTTTGGAGGACAACGACATAACTGGGAAGAAATATCCATCTATGTTGAAGTTTTTGAATGATCCACTCATTGGATTTCCATTCACACTGAATCTGATTTCAGGAATTGTGAGATCAATTGAACATCCAATAACATCTCCTTTCTCTAATAACTTGTGTCCAAGAACTCTTGATTTTCCTCCAAAATACATTGATTTTCCATCAAAACCATACGAATAAAAATCATCTCCAACACCATTACATCCCCATTTATCACCAGATCCAGGGAATGGTTTGAAACCAACACTGTTTGCCCATCCAACTCGAAGATATGGCAATTGTTTTGTCATTGTTTCGATGTGTTCAACTTCAGCTTCAAAATACCATTTTCTAAAAAGCGCTGATCCTTCAACAACTCCTAACATAACATTTGGCATCATACTACTAACATGATCTCTCATTGATGTTTGAAGTAATAGATCTTTTCCAGGCAATAAATATTGAGTGATCAAATTTTGAGAACTTCTCACAGCCATCCCATTTCCTTCACACAATGATGATAAAACATCCAAAACTTTTGGATCTCTTCCAACTTTTTCTAACAACGAAATAACTGATCGAATATGTCCCTCATTAATCATATTCAACGCTTCCGGTGATTCTGTCAATACACAATATAATACATCAAGAATACCTTCAGCGGATTGTGGATTGCTCAATCTTCCGAACAACCAATCTAATCTTTGAGCTGACGCAAATTGTGCACAATTATAATGATTTCCTTTAATCATTGCAGCAACAAGAAGATATAAATATGTTGATATTTGTTCCCATTTTACATGAGTTTCTTCTCCAATCAAACCAGCAAAATCAGGCAGCGCTTCCATTTGCGAAAATTTGTCGATTGTATCAAGAATCATGTTCAAAACTCCTTCTTCTTGGAAAAGATCTTGTCGACTTCTCAAAGCGCGTAAATGATTTTGTTTTTCTTCAAAATCTTGTTCTTCATTTGGTTGCGCAAAATATTCAATCAAATCCTCCATAAGTTTCAGAACTTCATTCAAATCAACTCTTGTCCAATCAGTTGATTGATTTCCTTCATTTTGCAAAGCTTCAATACCTTTCAAAAATCGGTTAAGAACTGATGAACATTTTCGGATAACTCTAGCTGATTTTGATTCTTCTTCAAGAGCCATGAAAAATGTATAACAATCATCCATGTGGCCATCTTTCAAAGCTACCGCTTTTTTCTCTTCAACTTTTCCTAATCCTTTTTTGGTGACTTCTGATGTTTGATAAGATAACCATAATTGTGTTTTAACATGTTGAATGAATGCATTTGTCTCTCCATATCGAATTGTTGCATTTCCCATTCCTTCTTCCTCTTTTTCCTCCAACATTTGTTTTTTCGGATCTTTGTTTTGGCACATAACAAATGCTGTCAAATCAAAATCAGCTTTTTCTTTATGATAAAGTTGAACAGCATTGTCAAGGCAACCAAGATATCTACCAGAAGTGATATGTTTGATTCGAAACACCTGCTCCCATCCAACAAGTGCTCCATGCCATTTCATTCTCACCAATTCGACACGCCATAACGAGCGAGCTTGTGTCACAGCAGCGCCTCCCTCATAAATTACCATGCTGCAAAATCAGAACGTATGATTTGAATATTCTTGTTTAGAAAAAAATAATAATAACATACTTGTGTTGTGGATGCTCGCTCCAATTTTCAGGAATTGTCAAACATTCATCATTTCCGTGAAATAATCGTAACACATCATTACCGAAAAGAAAACCCATGTTACGTGTTCGCATACTTCCCGAACTGACTGATTGAATATTCCAAAGTGTTTGATGGAAAGATGCAATAACCATATACCCTTTGGAATATGCCATATGAAGATATCTTTCGGTGGCGACAGATACCAAAATGACATCATCACCAACGCGAACCTTCTCTCCTTCCGATCTTTGTTTGGATGCTGGATGGATTGTCCACCAACAAGCTTCGCCTAGAATTTTTATGGTGGTGCATTGACAGGTTAGAAAAATATGATCTTACCTTCATTTGTTTCTTGAACTCCGACATCGAAGGCTAATTTATCATTTGATGAACACGAAGACAAACAGGCAAGAAACATTTCACTCTGAACGTGTTTCAATTGCACTGCGTGACCGTATAGAAGTGTTTTATGTCCACCCGCGCCGGATGCAGATTTCTGAAAATATTGTTTTCTTGGAATGTTTCGCAATTTCTCGTGACGTGGAAGTTTTATTAGTTTTTTGTCTCAAAAAATAATTTTTTTCGACTCGCAATTCAGTTAATAACTCAGAAATTGTTCATCAAAATCTTTGCTTTCCTAATTTCAAGTTCTTGTAACTCACATGATCACTATCAGCCGACATCATTTCTTGTAATGCTCTCATTGATAGTGCGTTATCAATGTATAGCATACACATAGCAATATCCGGCGGAATATCCTTATCCGACACATTTTCCAATGTGCACATCCGGTTACCGAAACCCTCTGTACACAAGCATACTCTACAAAAAAATTATATTAGTTTAAAAAAATGTCAATTGAAATGGTTGTTTACCTCTCTGAACCGAGAACACCATCTCGATTATGCGAAGCGACGCATGATAAGCAGACAATGTCTCCCTGAAATATTAATGCTGTGAAATAATTTTTCGTAAATTTTCAACTCCCGATGTACTTTAGTGTTTACCTTTGTCACATAATTGTGATCCTCATCAGAAATATCGGAAAAATCATAATCCATTGTATTTTACAAATAACATATATGATACAAATAAAATCAACAATAACTAATCTATTCTGCAACGAAAAAATCACTTTTTGAAAATTATGAAAAAAATGTGAGAGGGAGTGAGATAAACGAAAGACAAATTGCGTTTATTTGTTTTTTATCGAGCTCTGACATAAAATGAAATTTAATAAAAATGATAAAAGATGGGAAAAGATATCGCGCAACTCAAACAGCTTGTGCTACTATTTATTCGGACATGAAAAAATCTTGACAGGTTGCGACTAGGCAAGATCAGGAAAACAAAAATTATTGGTAAAAGATCAAATTTTGATTGGTTAGTTCTAGGAAGTAGTAGGAACTTCAAAATAGGGATTAGTATTTTTGAACACTTTTTGTCACGTGTTTTCTAATTCTGCAAATGCTCAAGTCTTCCAAAAATAATTCAAAAAATTAGAGAAAATTAAGAGTTTGCGATGAAAGCGGATACTTTTTTTCGTCACAGTGTAGATTTTCATTTAATTTTTTCAAACAAGTTTTTAGTGCACTCAAAACTTGACTAATTACTCTAACTCTTCATTTTCAACGAATAGACAAAAATAGTGAAAGAGAGAGAGAGATGAAAAATAATCAAAATTGCTGACAACAAAACTCGAATAAAATGGCAGTTTTGTTCTTCTTTTTTCTTTTTTCGTCACCGCTTCAACATTTTTTCTTCACTTGTTCAAAAATTGAGCTCAAAAGCAACTCTTTTGTGTTGTTGTTGTTATGCTGTGAGAGGAGAGGACAGCAAAACTAAAAAACGACGAAGAAACAGAAGAAAAAACGAGGGTAAAATAGCAAAAAGTTTTTTTGGAGCACAAACGAATACGAGTGTGGAGATATATATATATACATAGATATATATGAACAAAAAAGCGTGAGGAATGAATGCGCGAGGCAGCGAAAAAAAAAATTTTGAAAAAAAAATGGAGAGAAAGGAATAGATTATTAGGATATTAAAAATTAGTTTTTTCTCACTCTCCTATATTTTTTGGAGCAGTCAAATTTTGATGTTTCGAGAAGAAAAATACCAATTTTTGAGACAAGTGAGAAAATTTGCTCCTGGTATTTGAAGATTTATTTAATAAAAATTTGGAAGATTTGTTTGAGTATTATCAGTTTTAATGATAAATAAGGTTTCGATACAGAAAAAAATCCATAACGAAAAATTTTTTTGAGAAATGAAAAACCAATTTTTTCCTTTTGCGTGACCTTTTTTTCAAAATTAATTTTATTTTTGACAAAACGTCAGTTTTTTTGAGTGATTGAAGTTTGACAATTTTTTCAGAAAATTGAAATTTCTGGAAATTCTTATCGCGTGACTTTTTTTCCAAAATGCTTATCCATTTTTTTTGTAAACCGTGAGTTTTGACGAATTGAAATTGTTTGATTGATTGAAATTTCGAAAATACTTTTGACGTCGAATAATTTTTCTAAAAACTGAAAGTTTGAAAAAAAGATTTGCGTGAACTTTTCTGAATTTTATATTTTCATTTTAAAGAAAATCTTCAAAACACTGGAACATTTTAAAAATATGTACAGTGGAGAAAAATATTATGATTGATCTATATTTCTCAGGGGATATTCAACAAAAAAACTCTTGAGAAAAGGGATAAAAAAGCTAGAATTTATCCAATTGTAATTAGAAACAAACAGAGAGAAATAAAAAATAAATAAAATGTTGTTTTATTTTATGTATGCAACTACTAGGAATTTATCTCTGCGTCTCTTTGAGCATTTTTTTATCTGACATTTCAAAAAATATGTTATTTTTTCTTGCTTACAAACATCATTCATCTTTGAATAAATCTTGTGATAAATAAAAATAAATATGTGCATAAAACTATTTAGATTAAAAGAGTGTCTAGAGAGTAAAAAGAAATTCGGAAAAGGGGGGGGGGTGATTTCGTATTCATTGAGAAAAACATAAAAACACGAAAAAATAGAACGAGAGAAGAGTGAAGGAGTGAATGCAAAAAATGAAACGAAATGAAATAAGAGTGATGGATTTTCCTGGATTTTTTTGGTGCATTTTGATTAGCTACGACTGAAAATCCTGTTTGTTTTTCTCAATTTTTTCTATTTATCCCTGTGAACTTATTTTTTTATCGAAAATCTAAAAATAATTTTGAGCATCAATCTTACGTGATAAATTCATTTGATACCTGGAAAACTCAAAACAAAAAACGGAAATTAGTCATTTTGAAATCATTTCCGGATATGTTGAAATAAATGGGAATTTTTTTGGTTGAAGCACTTAGAAATTGAGGTAAGAGAGATCGTGGGAAAAAGAAAAAGGACAAAAATTGGGTTGCAAGATGTTTTTTTGATTTACTTGAAGTTTGGTGAGATTTAAGAGTCATTAGAACATGTGACAATATTTGAAAAAAAAGTGGATTTAAATATTTTTGCAATTCTACAATAAGTTTGTAATGCTTTCGAAAATGTTTGAAAAAAAATTTAGATTGGTATTTGAAAGTTGCTACATATATTCTCATTGGATAAATAACAATAAATTAGTCATTTTTCAAAGTTCTGCAAACTAGAAGTGAAAATTCTAAATAATCCTTGTGAAAGTAGGCTGCGAAAAATACTTGAAATCAGATTCCGCTAAATTATATTTTTTTAAGCTTGAAATATTATATATATACAATAGCAGAAAACAATTATTTCGTTTGAACTCTCAAAAATTTACAATGGAAAAACAACGATACTCCGTTTGTTTACAGGTTGCTTAGTGTGTGGAGATTTGCATTTGTTTTTCTAATAATTTCGATAGGTTGACACACGCTAAATTGTTCCACTATCAACAAGAACGTTTTTCCTTTAAAAACTACACAATTATGAGCTTGAGAAATACTTGATTTTTCAACGAAAAACATAGGTACTTGAGACTAAAACTTTCTCATTTTTTTCTCGATGAGAATCAAAAATTTTCCGATATTTCTGACGAAGAATACCACCAAACCTTAATTTTTGACAAAAATATTGTTCCCCAAAAAACTCACAGTTCTCAAAAACGAGACATCATCTTGCTCTCCGCCCGCCTGCTCCTCTTTATCCGCCATAATATTATGTATTAGTTATTATAATCGATCGATATTATTGATTTCTTATTATTTCGTTCTTATTTTTTGTCGTCGTCTAATTATTTTGCATCTGAAAAAAAGAGCAAATGGAATTAAAATGCGCGTAAGTCATAAAACATTTTTTCGCTGTGTGGAAGGAGAAGAAGCAAAAATTGAAAAAATAATTGCAATTTAGGTGGATGATTTATTTTTTATGGAATTTATGAGTTTTTTCATTCTGAAAATCGAGAAGCACGAGAAAAAAAAAGAAAAAATGAAGAAATAAAATTCAATTATAAGGGTATACATATAAAAAAAGATTTGGTTATTTTCAAGATGAGTAAGAGATTTTTGAAAAACCTGCTCAGGAGAGACACACAAAAAATGCTACGTCAACACTGCAAAAATTTTTAGGTAGGTCCCTCGGCATATCTTCACGACAGCCGGCAAATTGTCTGCGTATATGATTACTACATACTATCTTCTACTAGAATATGTATTCCCGGATGGGAAGAGCGAGGAAAGAGAGTGTAAAATGTCCGTCCGGCTATACACAATCTTTGGAATAAAAAAGAGAAATGACAGAAGGATGAAGGAAGAGACGAAAAAATGAAAACGGCAAAAATAAGAGAAAATATGATAGTTGGTTCGTTTTTTCAGTGTTGTTCGAGGCTTTAAAATTGCTGTCTTTTGTGTTTTTTTGGGCCGACATCGAAGTTCTTGGAAAATTTAAACGGTATTTTTTCGAAAACTTTTAAAAACGGGGGACGGACACTTCAGAATCAAAAAATAGCAACATTTTCAAAAAAATATATCATTAGTGAGTTTCTCGAGACACAACTATCCAAAGAATTTCCCGCATTTTCCGAGACCTGACACCAAAGAAATAATCCCAAAACTAGGAGATTCAGAGAAACATAGTTTTGATCTACCCTAAAAATATTTTTAATATTTGGAGGTCTAGAGATTTAGGGTAGTATGAAATTAAAAAAGACAGGCGTTTTGAAAAATTCTTTTGGATGTTCTATTTTTTCTAAAAAATATTTGATCGAGAAGTTTCCTCTTGATAAAACCCCTGAAAAATCAAAAAATTGAAAATAATCCAGAGTTTGAATAAGAAACCAGAAAATCGTTTTCCCAAAAATCCATCCTCCAAAAATATCGTTGAAAACTAATAAAAATTATCCCGCAGACAAAAAAAATGAAAAAAATAAACAGAAAATCAATGGATCGAATCGGATTGTGTGAAGTATCATCTCGATTCTTCATCACTCTTCGTTTTTGCGTTTTTCCATCTTCTTTTTTCTTCTCATTCATTTATTAGTCGATCGGTGAAAAAAAGAAAGAAAAGAGTTTTGAGATATGAGAGAGCACCCGATACAAAAAGCAAATATTTTGTTTGATTTGATCTCAGACAATACAAAAATCGCATATGAATCTACTTATTTTCTGGAAAAGACTCTGGTTAAGAAAATATAAAATCTAATATTCAAATACAAAAAATTGTTTTTTCATCAATACTACAAATTCTTGTTTATTTTTTTTTCCTAGAAGCCAGGGAGGATAAGTGTCAAATGTCGTCTTTGCAAGTTCAAAGTTTGTCCGTTTTCCTCATCATAAAAATTTGGGTGTGTTCGTTTTTTTCTTTGAAAATATCATCATAACCTGTGAATCTTTTATCAGCAAAAATAAATAAAATGACTAAATTATACATAAGTGAGTGAGAGATCAAAACCAAAATTACAGACATATTTTCAGAAAGGGGAAATGAAATGATGAAGCTTGCGATAGAAAAGCTCCCATCTTGAAAAAAATACCCCTATTTTTCACACTTCGCTAGTCCAATTCAAATTCCATCGTCTCATTTCTGACCGTTTGCAACAATGTATCGCTCAAATTCGACGGAAAACTCGTAGGGAGACCTAAAAATATGTGTTAAGACGCTTATCATCGCCAAATCGCACTCACTATCAAAATATTTCTGAACCCCATCTTGCAATTTGATTTTTCGCTGATCAAGAGTAATTGTGTCGATAATTTTTTCATATATTTCGGCACGAGCACGCATTCCCCAAAGAAAATCGTTGTGGTTGAAGTCTTTCAGTTTTCTGGAGCAAAAAAACAATGAGGAATTTTTTGACAAATAAGAAAACTCTTACGTCGATTTTTTCAAACTGTTTTTCGGGAGCATTGGAATAAGATAACCTTCAACATCATTCGAATTTGCGAGCCAATCAAGATCCGAATAAAACAAGTAAATTGATGAGTTGATTTTTCGAAGATCATATTCAGGAGGAATTACCTAAAAAAAAACAAAACAGTTATAATAACCCTATCCACAAAGAGCTTACATGTCCATAATATTTCAAATTCAAATCTCGACCTTGATCAAATCTTGCCATTCTGCGAGTTTTCACCATTTGTGCAAAATGAAGCATATTTCTTGAAGAAGTACCAGCCGGGTTATGTGCAAGGTATATTCCAATTCTTGACTGAAAAATAATTTTAGAAATGATTTTTCTTGAAACCCTACGTTATTGAATTGATTGCTGTTGGGTCCCGAAACGGCGAAGATGAAATTTTCGCAAATCGGATTATTATTCGCTTGATCGCACAAAATATCAGTCATAAGCTTGGTGAAGATGTTATTTGTCAAAAATTCGCCATCTCCGAAAACCTGATATACCATCTAGAAAAAATACAATATTTGTTCGATTTTTGTTATTTGTTCTCACATTGTACTGGTCGTAAATCTCTCCCAAATCATGGAATAATCCTTTAACATGAGACATTCTGGCGACTGGTGCCATTGCGAAAAATTTGCGAATTTTACGAGAAAATTGTCCATCTTGACTCATTTTTGCGAACATTGTCAATGCTCCTTGTGAATGTCCAATATAATACAATTGTTCTTGTTTTGTTGACTTCAATACATAATCAACCATACTTTCCAAATCGTATCTTGCCATTTCTTCCCAGCTAAATTTCCAGAATTTCGGATCCATTGAATTCATTCGAAGGTGCGATTTTGAATAAGTGTTTCCGCGCATATTGCCCAACCAGACATCGTAACCTTGATCGGCAAAAATATAACCAGCCGATTGATGAGGAAGATTCAATAACCAGATGGATGATGTGCAAAGAAGACCGTGTTGGAGAAAAACTACTGGTTTTTTTGTTCGAGTTGAAGACGTCTTGTCTGGAAAAAAAAATAAAAAAATTATTCAAAAAAGGGTAGGTGAGAAAGTCTGCTCCAGCGCAAACACCTTACCCGCGTTTTTCTTTTTTCAAAAAAAAATATTTTTAATTTTTTTTCTTTTTTTGCTTGACCCACGCGATTTCATAAATACATTTTTAATTATATATTTCATTTCTGATTTTATTTTCAGCCTATAACTCACTTATTCCGTGTGGTATCCGATGTAATGTTAAAATATAACCATCAGGTGTGACGACTTTATGAGTTTCAACTGGATATCCCCAATGAGCGATTATTTCCGGCTAAAATGCAATTCAATTAGTTATATTTATATGCCAAACAATAACTCACCACATCCATAATTGCTTCTGGATCAATTGTAATATTCACTGGTTTAATGGTTGGCGGTGGAATCGTCGGAAGTGTTGGAAATGTTGGAAATGTGAATGGCGGCGGAGTTGGTAAGGTGGGAAGCATTGAGGGAACATCCCATAATGGTGTTAATGGGGGAAACCCGGGGGCGAATTCGGGTGTTAGTCTTGGCGCAGATAATGTTGTTTGAATTTCTGGTAGGCTGTTTGTGAAAAAATCTGTCCTTAGAACTGGGACTTCTGATGTTTTGTATGTTATTATATTGGGCGGCGGCGTCAAATCATCATCATCATTTGTTGTGAATTGTTGTGACGAAATGCGGAAAATAGATAAAAATATGAATAATAAAAATAACATTAGCTACTACGCCTAATTGTTGTGTTGCGAATATGTGTAACTGAAGAGGCGGATAGTTGCGCGAAATCGAAAATAGGTCGGTCAAGAAATAGAAGAGAGTGGAGGAAGAGAAATATGTGTAGAAAGAGAAAAAAGATTTATTGACCGGTATTATTATTCTTGAAAAATATGAAACAAAAATGGGAGATGTTTAGATCATGGCATATAAAGCGAGAATTGTTGTGAGGAATATTGAAATTGATGAGGAAGATTGGGTTGTTGTGTATACTGTGGTAGTCGAGGCTGAAACATGTTTTTGTTTGTTTTGTGAATGTTAGTGATTGATTAAAACTTACTTTTTGATTTTGTGGACGGTATAGTTGGTGAAACTGTTGTTACTGGGATATTCGTGGAGGATTGACCTGTTGTGGAAGATGTTTGCGATGTTCCGGCTGGTGTAGTTTGGGGAGAAGTTCCTCCTGGAGTAGTTTGGGCAGAAGATCCAGCTGAAGTTGTTTGGGCAGAAGATCCAGCTGGGGTAGTTTGTGCTGGAGTTGTTTGGGCAGATGATCCAGCTGGGGTAGTTTGTGCTGGAGTTGTTTGGGCAGAAGATACAGCTGGGGTAGTTTTGGCTGATGTTGCGGCTGAAGTTGTTTGGGCAGAAGATCCAGCTGGGGTAGTTTTGGCTGATGTTGCGGCTGAAGTTCCTGCTGGAGTTGTTTGGGCAGAAGATCCGACTGAAGTTGTTTGGACTGAAGTTCCTGCTGAAGTAGTTTGGACTGAAGTTCCTCCTGGAGTAGTTTGGGCAGAAGATCCAGCTGGGGTAGTTTTGGCTGATGTTGCGGCTGAAGTTCCTGCTGGAGTTGTTTGGGCAGAAGATCCGACTGAAGTTGTTTGGACTGAAGTTCCTGCTGAAGTAGTTTGGACTGAAGTTCCTCCTGGAGTAGTTTGGGCAGAAGATCCAGCTGGGTTAGTTTTTGCTGAAGTTCCTCCTGAAGTTGTTTGGGCAGAAGATCCAGCTGGGGTAGTTTTGGCTGATGTTGCGGCTGAAGTTCCTGCTGGAGTTGTTTGGGCAGAAGATCCGACTGAAGTTGTTTGGACTGAAGTTCCTGCTGAAGTAGTTTGGACTGAAGTTCCTCCTGGAGTAGTTTGGGCAGAAGATCCAGCTGGGGTAGTTTTGGCTGATGTTGCGGCTGAAGTTCCTGCTGGAGTTGTTTGGGCAGAAGATCCGACTGAAGTTGTTTGGACTGAAGTTCCTGCTGAAGTAGTTTGGACTGAAGTTCCTCCTGGAGTAGTTTGGGCAGAAGATCCAGCTGGGGTAGTTTTGGCTGATGTTGCGGCTGAAGTTCCTGCTGGAGTTGTTTGGGCAGAAGATCCGACTGAAGTTGTTTGGACTGAAGTTCCTGCTGAAGTAGTTTGGACTGAAGTTCCTCCTGGAGTAGTTTGGGCAGAAGATCCAGCTGGGGTAGTTTTGGCTGATGTTGCGGCTGAAGTTCCTGCTGGAGTTGTTTGGGCAGAAGATCCGACTGAAGTTGTTTGGACTGAAGTTCCTGCTGAAGTAGTTTGGACTGAAGTTCCTCCTGGAGTAGTTTGGGCAGAAGATCCAGCTGGGGTAGTTTTGGCTGATGTTGCGGCTGAAGTTGTTTGTGCTGAACTTCCGACTGGAGTTGTTGGGACTGTAGTTCCACCTTGTGTGGTTTGAGAAGAAGTTCCTCCTGAAGTTGTTTGGGCAGAAGATCCAGCTGGGGTAGTTTTGGCTGATGTTGCGGCTGAAGTTGTTTGTGCTGAACTTCCGACTGGAGTTGTTGGGACTGTAGTTCCACCTTGTGTGGTTTGAGAAGAAGTTCCTCCTGAAGTTGTTTGGGCAGAAGATCCAGCTGGGGTAGTTTTTGCTGATGTTGCGGCTGAAGTTCCTGCTGGAGTTGTTTGGGCAGAAGATCCGACTGAAGTTGTTTGGACTGAAGTTCCTGCTGAAGTTGTTTGGACTGAAGTTCCACCTTGTGTGGTTTGAGAAGAAGCTCCTCCTGGAGTTGTTTGTGCTGAAGTTCCACCTGAAGTTGTTTGGGCAGAAGATCCAGCTGGAGTTGTTGAGACTGAAGTTCCTGCTGGAGTTGTTTGTGCTGAAGTTCCTCCTGGAGTAGTTTGATCAGAAGTTGTTGGGAATGCTGATGATGTTTGAACAGTTCCAGCTGTGCTAGAAGAAAGCTGCGCCGGCACACTTGTTGTGTCTACTAAAATACAAATTTTAGAATTTACAATAAAAAGTATATCAAAAGTTTTTTACCATCATTCAAAAAAATCGGACCAGAGATTGAAATAATAACAAGATTTGCCAATAATAATAATAATAAAATTTTGTAATTCATTTTGAAATTCGTAGCCACCCGTCTTATCTCGCTGGCAACACACAAAAAAGTGTGAAATATGCTTTTTTGGAACCCGATTTAAACCAAACTCTTCTTATCTTTCAAATGGGCGGTAACTCCGAAGAATTTTAGGTGTGCAAAAAACAAGCGAGTGACGTTGAAAGATGATTTTGATGATATTTTAATAGTTATTTCCTCGAAAAAAACAGGGTGGGGTTATTATGAAATGCTCATGAAAGTAAACTGGTTAGACAGTTTGTCTAAACTTCGAAGATTAGTGTGAAAAATACTTCAGTATGACATGATCCGAGTTGAAAACATACCATATTCAGAGCCTGGACTTCCAAGTTAGATTTTTTGCTGAAGTCAATTTTCACGATGAAACTTTCAAAAATATAAATGTTGTCGTATTATGAGACGATTCCAAGGCGACATTTTTCTGTTTCAGTTTTGGTCAACCAAAATTGCTATCGCTCAGCTTTTATATTTTTTTTTCAAAGTATTTGTATAAGTATTTTGCTCAAACGCATTTTCTTCATTCTTCGAAATGTACACATTAAAAATTTATGTTCAAGATAAAAAAAAGACATCCTGTTTACATTTTTCTGATATCAATAATTGGAATAGAATTTCTCATTTAAAATAAATATATGAATCAACTGTATAGCATAAGTTAAAACAAATAAAAACAACATGACGTGGCGTGTTTTGGAGGTATGTAGGGAATTTAATTTCGAAACCAATGATTTTAGTCTCTGCGTCAAGGCAAAACATCGAAAGTTTCCGGTCCCACTTTCAAAGTTGTTTCGAGTTGGAGTTTATTAATTTGAAGAAAAACAAATTTGAATTCATTCATAAATATAAAAAAAACATTAAAATGATTCAAATAACATAATTTATCAGCATTTTTCGAATTTACAGTTTTGCCAATAAAACAAGAGCTGTGAGTACTGAAAAAACTGCGGATATTGATGTTGAGGAGTTTTGGACTTTGTCCTCGGTTTCGGTAGAGTTGGAAGTAGGCGCATATGTTACACTTGGATATGGAAATGTTTCAGTCGATTCTTCGACTGTGGTTCCGTCAGTTTCATCTGTGATTTCTCCTTCAGATTCTGTTGTCTCCAATTCCCCAGTGGTGTAAGTGTTTGTAGTCTCAAAGTACACTGTAGTAGATTCCGGGGATTCTGTAGTTTCTGTCAAATTCAAGAATGTCGTAGTGGTTCTATTCTCAGAATCGGTCGCTCTTGTTGTTGTCTCGAATGGTGTAGATTCCTGTGATGCATGGGATTCAGTTGTGACCGCAGTTGTTTCAAAAATAACTTCTGGTGTAGTTTCTTCCGGAGTTAACGTTGAATCATTTGCTTCAATACCTGATCCTTCTGTTTGGTTAGTTCCTTCTGGTTGGTTAGAGATTGATGGTTCTTCTCCAGAACCACTTCCAGCAGTTTGGTCTGAAACAGTGGGATATTTTAACATTACGTGTAGAATTTGAACAAACCTGGAATTTCTTGTCCGAAAACACTTAAAATCAAAATTGTGAAAACAAGGAAGCTAGCTGAATGCATTTCTATTAATATCAATGAGTTTTTTGTATGCTACGATTTGTATTTATATAGAAAAATCTAGGAATTGAATTCAAAAACATTGTGACGGCAAAAAAGAAACAAAATTCATCATCGAAAAAATATTTATTAAAACATTCATTCATTTAAAATTATTTTAAAACAAAACATAGAATGCTGTGAGTGCGGAAAACAAAATCGAGATCGATGATGCTGATTGAGTTGTTGTGATAACTGTTGATGTTGAAACCTGGCTTGGTGAGCTACTAACAGTTGAAGAAGCTGAAGGATTTATGGTAGGAGTAGAACTTGAGTTTGAAGGTGCTGAAGAGGATCCAGTTGGATTGGCAGATGGTACTGGTGTTGATTGAGTTGCTGCAGGACTGCCAGTGATAGCTGAAGTTGCTACGGCTGGAGCTGTATTTGTATTTGCAGTCTGCGTTTGGGCAACTGTAGTTACTGCTGAAACCGTTGTGGTCACCCCTGCTGAAAAAAAAAAATTCAAGTTCTATTGAAAGTTTGTTCAAACTAACCGTCATCTGCCAATGGCAAACTGTAAACCAAAGCGATCGAGGCGGCGATGATGAAAACTGTCTTCATTTTTTGATGTTGAACTATCCGGTTACTTCTATTTATATGGTTTTTTATCAATTTTTATTAAAATGGGCGGGTTCGGTACAAATTGTTTTTTTCCAATTATAATACACTTTTGTTGAGCACCGTCACTGGAACGATTGAAGATCCTATTTTGAATGTCCGATGAGTCAGCAATGCTTTGAACGCTTTTTGAAGCTGCAAAAAATGGATCGTGTCATTATGGATATTTTATAGGAAATCGGTGCACTGAGAATTTTGAAAATTGACGCAGTATTGAGAATTGAATTTCAAATTTTTTTTTAAGTTTAAAAAAACTATTAACGAAGGCGTATTATTAGATTTGAACCTCAAACTTCTGAAAAAAACTATAATTTCAAGCCCTATCAAAGTACCATACACAAAGGAATCCGTTTGAATCAGCTTTATGTTGTTTGATTTGTGAATTTTATTTTTAATGAAAGCTGACTCATTTTCTTCGAATTCATGATTACAAAAATTCATCGAAATTTGTGCTGACAATTTTTCAATGTGACGCAATTTGCCCCGTTTTATTTTTTGTATTACAATTAACTTGTCAGAAATGTGATTCACACTATTGACCTACTCGTTTTCCAGAAACTTATAATTTATAATTTTGTTTTCTGGAAAAATAAAATGAAAATTCCGTCTTCTCTGCTCATAGATTATTATTTTCCTGATAAAGTAAATTTGAAAAATTGTGTATGTCAACATCCTTTTGAAGTTCAACCGATTATGAAAGCGCAAAAAAACTGATAACACAAAGTAATTATGGAATTTGCTAACACATTTTGTTGACAGTGACTCACTCTACTACTGAAAATAACCAGAGTGATTGGTGCCGAGAGTGTAAGTAAGTCATTTGCGAATGGTGATAGAATTAATCCGATGCGTGTTATGAGCTGTGTTTTTTGAGGATCATAAGCCGTTCCGAATTTATTAATCATCTGTAACAATTGGAATGTTGATAGGCATTGGAGAACTGTAACCAACCGTTATACAAAAAACAAACGTCTCAATTATGAATGCGGAAAACGACATGAAAAATAGTCTATAATCATAGGTATTTCCTGCAGCCAAACTAAACTTTGATATTCGAATCCAACAAGAAATATTCATGAACAAGTTTGTTGATATTGTAAAGCCTTCCCAGCATAAAAGAATAGAATAAACAAGTGATATATCTGCTTCGGATTTGACTGTATAAGTTCCCGTTAAATTGTTGAATTGAAAACTTGATGTTTCAAACAATATTGCGGTAAGTGAACAAAACAGCTATACAAAGTGAACAAATTGTTATTGGGACAAACCCTTTGGTCCAAATCTAAAGTTTTTGATATGGATTTGTTTTATTTATGTTTAGCGACAAAAATACCTTGCTATATCTTTTATTAAAATGAATCATTGTGAATCTGTTCAGTGTAATGATAAATGTATTACTATAAAGACCAAATGCGAAAAAGTATTGTAAGAAGAAAAAATACTTCACAGGAAAATTTGGATTTTCCAGAAAATCTTGAAAAATATCAAAGTATGGATCAGATGGTATTCTATATGTTATATAAACATTCCAATAAGTACACATATTAAAGACGAATTGGTAAATATAAATTTTGAAAAAATGAACATCAAACTGTTTCCAATTTTTGACAAGTAGAATAACAGTTAATGCATAAAAAATTGAAATTAAAGATCCATAAAATAACTGGATAAGAAGAATCATTGCCGAAATGGCTAGACAGGAAAATAATGATAATAATGACTAGTTATATATAAATATTAATTTGCATGTCCCAGAGGACGCAAAAAAACTTGATGATCAAAAATTCAGCACGAGGTTTTGCTTTTGAAGTATATGTATGTGGATTGAATTTATTGATTTGAAAGTTAACAACAACAGAAAACAGAATGAAGTACAAGAACGTGTAAGTATGATTAATTGTGAGTTAGTTTGTTACATAATAACATGCCATAACCATAAATTAGTTCTCCACAATAATATTTTCTTCAATGTATTTTTTGCTGTTCTCTGAAATTTTTCTGGAACAAAAAATCGTACTACCTGAAAATCGAAACAACTGCTCAATAATACCTGCCAATCATTATCTCGTTGTGGTTTTTTTTCTCAATGATTTTTCGTTGATCTTTTTTTTTAGAAACATTAATCGAATTGGTTCCTAAATGCGTATTTTAGGGAGGTTGGGGTAAAACTGATAAGAGTTCATGATTTTTTAGTGACTTTGGAATTTTTCGATGGAATTTGAGAAATACCTGGTAATGAGTTTGCAAAATAAACATCACATCAACTTTTCTCCTGAAGACTAGAGGATTTCAAAGAATTTGTTCATGCGCAAAATTCAATTTTTCTTCTTCTCCCTTTTTGCTCCTTACTTATTTTTCATCTATTCTTCTTTGAACACGTCATTTTCAGATGAACACAATTTACATACGGGATTTTCTGGCGTGTTGAGCATTTTTTTTTCCAATGCCTCTGCAGTTGAAAGTTTTTTGTTTCACTGTTTTTTATGAGTTTATGAAATATTTATTAGGAATGGAATTGAATGAAATTCAAGTCATGCGGTTTTTTGTTGTTAGAGCAAAAACCGTTCCGGGTGATAAATTTAAAGGTGGAGGTTTATGAGTACGTGGGGAAATATGTGAAAAAAATGTGGAGAAAATGTTGAAATATGGAAATTTATAACCCTAATGTTCAAGATGAATACCGTAAAATTTGAAACAAAAAATTCTCGAAATGAAAACTGGACATGTAGAACTTTGAATATCAGGAAATATTTCTAACATTTTTAGGAAAAAATCATGATTTTAAATAAAGAAATAGAAAAATGAAATATTTTAAAAACTCTGAAATTTGGAAATAATGAAAAAAAAACAAGTATTTTCCAGATTTCCATATTTTAAATTCAAAAATATTTTTGCATGAACTTTTCGAAAAACATAATCTTTCATTCCTTAATTTTCCAACTTCAAAACAAAAATACAAACAAACATGTTTTGTTTTGTTTTCTACCGATTCATACATAAGTACATTCCTCCAATTCCCATTGGTCCATTTTTTGCCGACTTTTGATCTTGTTCTTTCTGTTCTCAATGTTTTTATCTTTGTCTTGTCGTTTTCTCTTGTCAAACAATTGTCGCCGTCTAACCGATTAATTTCAAAGGACCCATTTCGTTTCGAACCGAAACACAACACAGAAAAAACATAACAAAATGCAATGTTTCATGAAAAGAAATTGTGACATTTTTCATATGACACTTTTCCCCACGGACTAATTCGCCCTCATACATCCATTCTATCTATCTATATATTTTTTCAACAATGTCTGCATTTTTTCTTTTTCAGTTCTTGTTGTTTTTTTCTTCCAATGTTTTTTCCTTTTTCTTTCTGAAAATTTTGATCTTGAAGATAATGATGATTATAGCCAGAGAAGGAAGAGAGAAAAAAGAATAGCAACAAGAAAAAAAGAGGGAATAAATAAAAAATTCCGGATCCAAAACAATGAAAAAATATTGTTCTAAAATCTCCTGGGGGTGAATCGAGAAAGAATACATTTACATTTTGGTCCGCAAAAAATAACAACAAATCTTTTCAACCTGCCTGATTTTTTTCGCCTACAAAACCCCCGAGACATTCATTTTCTATTATTTTTTCGTTGTTTCGCAGAAAGAGAAATTTTATTCGGTAAAGTTTTTCAGGGAACTCGAGGTAAAGTTTTATGTGATTTTTTATCGAAAGTTTTTTTTTTTGCTTTCGGAAAACTGACATCATAAAATTTCATCAAAAAACTTTTCAAAGGGTTCAAAAATCCAACGTCTAGAGAAAAATCCAGAAACATTGCTCAGCTTGTCATAATTTCTCCCAAAATTAAAAAAAATTCGAATCTTATCCAGAAAACATTTTTTCGAATCTTTCCCCATCTTTGAAAATCAACCTTTTGCTCATTTTTTCCAGACTAAAATTAGATTTTCTCCCTTTTTTTGTTGATGTCATTTCCGACCGGAAATTGACTAAAGGTAACAAGATGATCTCCAGCTAACATAACTTTTTGAGTTTGGCATTTCAGATCTCAAACTTCCGTTTCCTTTTTTTTATAATTGTTTGAACTTTTTTTCCAAGCAAAGAAAAAAAGTTTGTTTAAAAGAAAGTTCTCCAAATCAAATTGCTCAAACTTTGTTAGTCACCTTTACTCTTTTTTGTGTCGAAAACGATTTTTGAAGTTTAGCTTTTTTCTCTTCTTCGGTTTTTTCTGGTGGAATAAGTTTGTCCATCTCATCTACATTCATTCGAACACACAAAACATTCTTTTTGACCACGCCCCTTCAAACAAAACAAAGAAAAAGAAGAAGGAGAGGAAAGTCCCACATTCCTCAGTTTTTGTTTTTTTTTTGCTTTTTCTGAAGCGTATATTTTTCTGTTTTATGAATTTTGAATTTTTCAGAATGGGAAACTCGGAATCATCGCATGGAAACATGAATAATCAAAAACGAGCATTATCACAAAGTCCATCAGCTAGATCAACAAGTGTGCGAGGTGTTCCTGTTGAAGGTGGAGGAATACGAAGGTCTCGAACTACCAGGCATAGAGATCGAAGTTTGAGGCGAGCCGTTTGTCCAGTTACTGGGTTGACACTACATCAAAAAGCGTTGCTGGCGAGAAAATTTAATCGAATGGATCGAGGTGAATATTTTTTATATTTTGAGAAGCCTACGATTGTTGGGAGAAATTTCATTAAAAAACTTAGGAACTTGTAGGAAAAAATTATGTATACTCTAAAAAAAAAAGACTTCTGGAATAAAACTTGAATTTTGATTTTCCGAAAATTGAGTTCAGATTACTATAATTATTATGATCTCAAAATTTCAAGAAGTTGCAATTTTTCTGAGAATCTCTTTCTGTCTGACCATGGGTCAATTTTTTCATTTATTGTTAGTGCTAATCTTCACACAAATTTAGCCAATTAACAACTTTCTCTAACTGAGCCAATTTTTTTCTGAAACATCTCAAATGACTCAAAAATGCTTTTCTCTTCTGATAAATCATCACCTGATCACAGTGTATTGTAGCCTCTATGTTTTTCTGTTCCCGGAGAAAAAAAGCAAAGTGTTCTCTGATTTCACTTCAAAAAATCTTCTCTCTTTTTTTCTAGGAACCGTTTACGAAATGGGTCGACGGATGTTTGAACATGTATTCTCAGAAAATCCACAATATTTGGTATACATTGATTTGAAAAACGAGGCTAATTGGTGGAATCATATCAATTTCAAGATCCATGTTCAGGTTAGTTTGTAATGGATATCTTGTTTTGGTTGGAAATAGATAGAAAGGGGAAAAAACATATTTGTTTTTAGCGATTTGTAACAGTGCTCATTGAAACGATGAGAAGACTCAAAGAACCATCAACTTCTATTGATATCTTAAGAGATTTTGGAGCTATTTATGCAAAGTACGTGTGTAAAATGCACATAAATCAATCCCACTAATTTGTTTTTCAGATATCCTAAACGAGTTTCGGCGTTGTATTTTGAGAAATTGGCAAATGCCATGATTGAAGCTGCTGGACAACTTCAGGAAAGTGATCATTTGGAAGTTGAGAAAACACAAAGTCGAATGGAAGATGTTACAGATTCTTCAAGCACTGATAACACGGTACTTTTTTCCACCAATATTGATTTCTCCCACCGTCTTTCCTAATTCTGAAGTGTTCTACTAGATATTTGTCTTCTTTTTTTTCTCCATCTCATTTCCTATTTTCTCGAGGCTAGAAAAAATTGATGAGCTTCCCATTTTTACGGATGAGCTGGAAGATTTTTTAGTCAAAAAATAACCAAACACGAGGAAAAAAATTTGTCAACTTTAGTTGCAAAACAAGCCTCTTGAGATACAAACTTCGAAATCGAAATCAAGATTTCGTTTCTTTTGCAAAAAATCTGAAAGAGCCGAAAAATTAATTGTTTTTTGAAATTGCCCATTAAAATGTTCATGTGTGTTCTTTTATTTTCAGTCGAACAACATTTGCACCTCGTGCACTTCTTCATTATCTCAACCAACTCCAACAAGATATCCAAGACCATTGACCACACGACATTCCGAATCACAAATGCAAACTTTGAGAGAGGAATCATCTTATTGTGAATCTTGTACAAATAGTCGAAGATGTTCACATGATACAAGTTCAAATTCCAAATCTTTATGTCCAATTACTTCAGAAGCTTGGTTGGTATTATCTGCATTTATTGCGAATCAGATTAAATTTGGATATGAACTCGAAAAATTGTTAATCGCTGAAATGTCGAAGCTTGGAATTGAAACAATGCCATGTGAACATCCGGAAGATGATCAAATTTCACGAGAACCACAGAGTCAATTGGTCTAGAATTTATACGTGTACATACCATATTTATTGTGAATAAATGAAAAAAAAATGATGTCTATTTTCGAGAGAAATGAAATTTTTCACCTGTGAAGAGGTTTATGTTGTTTTTTCTGAATATCAGTTTTTGTCTGAAAATCAAACGTTCTAATGATATAGCTTCAAAGTGCATAAACTAGTAATTGTTATTCAAAAAATTCATTTTGTTCTCGGAACTTTAGTTGTCTCACAGGTCTAATTGGATTCCGAAAACTTGGTCCCTTGTCCCTTGTGAAAATCAAACATGTACTTCCTTCAATAAAACATCAAAAATTAAAGCATTTATAATAATTCAAAAAAAAATAAAAAATAAAAAATAACACAGAGTATCTCAAAAATGACCCGCTTTGATGTTCAATTATTATTCCAAAAAATCGTCAATCAATAAAGTCCACAACCTTTAAGTTTACTAGACAAAATTGTATCTAAAACCGAGTCAAGAACAAATTGAACTTGTTCAGTATCAGTGGCACAAGTGTGATGAACATAAATATTTTTGTCAGTGTTTTCATTTACCATATTATATTGTTTCTCGATATATTCAACAGCTGCATCGTAGTTTTCATCAGGCCCTGAAAAAATTCACCTGCTACTTTTTTGTTTAGAATTTATTGAATTCGAATTTGATGTTAGAAGTATAAACATACAATTATAGTAAAGTCAAAAATCAAAAATCAAAAAAAATAAACAAACCTTGGTAATTTGGAAATGCTTTTCGAATCGAACGTTTTTTGTTCATAATTTTCTGCTCAAACAAATCCTTTTTGTTCAAAAACAAAATGACTGACGTGTTTGTGAAATAGCGATTATTAATGACTTGTTTGAAGAGTTGAAGCGACTCTTGCATACGATTCTGAAAAAAAGAAAATTATCAGAATTTCGGAATATTGTTTTGATATGAAAAAGATACCGTAGCGTTGTCCTCAAGAAGAACTTGATCAAATTCGGATAACGATGCGACATAAATTAGAGCTTTTGCATCATCGAAACAATGAATCCATTTTTTACGTTGCGATCTTTGACCGCCAACATCGAAAACTCTCCAGATTTTATTTTTCATGGTAAATTTTACTTCAATAACTCCCATTGTTGGAATTCGGGTGTGCAGAATATCTTGTTCTGATGGAACATAGTTTCGATCATTTATACGATCCAAAGCATCGAAGAAGCTGGAAATTGAACAATATTGTGAAAACTCTTCCAACTTTTGGAAAATTTTTTTTATATTCAGAAGCTTTTTGAGTTTTAAGCTAACTTAAAAAATAAATCAAGAACCGGCTCTCAACTCGATTTTTGCTCACTGTTTTCTTCAAACTCACTATTGTGCCGAATCATGAAGATAAAAATTCTCTCGACTATCAAATGCCGCTCGAACTCCTTTATCTTTCCACAACATTTTCAATGCCTCATACATCTCATTGTTAAAATTTCTGAACTCCTCTCCATTCTCCAAAGTTTTCATAACAAGTTTTTCGTGAGCAACACAATTTTTCGAGGCAAAATCAATGTGCATTGAATGCATTCCTTGCAACAAAGCACCCATTCCTTGAATTGCATTTGCACAAACAACTTTTATTTTGTCAGCGCTTTCATCGTGTGAGAAACCATTGTCGTGGATTATTCTAAATTTTGAATAAAGGGTTGAATCTCAAAAATTTCTAAAAACAAAACTCACTTCATTTGTTTTAGAATAGTCGATTTTCCACTTTCTCCAGCTCCAAGTAACAATAGCTTGATTACATTTTCATCCTGTTTTTTGGAAATCACCAATTCTGCATTGATTTTTCGATTCTTTTTGCTTTGCTCAGCTAATTGACTATCGCAATTTCCCATTTTCGAATTAAACGGCGGAAAAAACAATCTGAAAAAATCAGATTTCGGTTACCATGGAATTATTCACATAGTGCAAAACAAAATTAAATTCTTTAGTTAATGAATATCATTGTGTGAAAGAAAGATATCAACGCGTAAATAATATGAATTGTGAATAGAAAATGTCTAGGGGAAATTTGAAAATGTTTTCTTTTTTTGGTGGCGTGTAAGTTAACCAAAAACAAGAATCAGATCTCATTTCAATATGTTTTTTCTGACAAATATTATTTTTCTACCTTAGACATTGGCTAGCGAAAATAATAATAATAATGAAAGAGACACTGACTACGTTTAAACAATAAGTGTTATAGATATTTCTGAAAGTCTAAAAAAATGAAACTATGAAAAAAACGTGTGGGAAGCAAAAAAGTTTATATATAATTATAGAAGTAATAGCTCAAAATTTAAAGCACGGTGAAATACTAATAGCAAAATGAACTTTTTTGATTATAACACACAGGAAATTATCAGGAAATCTGTGAGAGTATAAAAATATAAGTTTGCGTTGTTCGGATGTGGAATTCGCTATAAAAATTCCGATATTGCATGTTTTAAAACAAAAATAAATTTGAATGTTACTCACAACTCACACGAATGCTGTTCAAAAAAATAGGTTCAAAATTAATTTCAGACCTGAAATTGAAGTAATATACAATTTAATAAAATGTAACAGTTTCCTTACTTCCTTCCTTGAGATTATCGTCACAAAACATAACCTAATGAGCTAGAAATGAGTCAAACATTTCTCTATTTTTTTTTCGAAAAATATAATCAGAGAAAAAATGGGTAAATAATATAATTACATGTTTCCGTAATTGATATTTCACTTCCCTCGAAAGCAGACAAAAAATCATTTTGGCATTCAATTTGTAAATGTTAAGAAATTAGATTAAAAATCACATTATTTTATAATTTTTCACAAGAATTCGGGTTGCTGATTTGATTTTAGATTGTTTGTTTTGTTCTTTTGCGTGGGCTCTATCACTGATCGATCAAAAACAAGCACTTTCTATGAATTTGTATTTTGATGAAAAACTGTAGTTCCCTGTTAAGTACATTAATTCTCTTAGAATTAGAAAATAAGAAGTGAAAAACACAAACTAGACAAAAATGAAACGATTTTCTAGTCAAGCAAACTTACACTTGTTAGTGCATATCAGAAGTTTGTTGGACAGATGTTTTGTGGGAAAACATTTTGGTTATAGATTTTTAGAAAAACAAAATACTAGAAGAGAAAAAATTTATCAGGCATGACGGGGACCTTTTTCAGGGACAAGATATTTTAGAAGCTTTCAATTTGAATAGGTTTCGGGTTTTACAAATCCAAGAAAAGATTTGCAGTTTGATTTTTTGTTAATTTTTGAAAAGAAAATAAAATTCAGTAATTATCAAATAATATTTATATACCCTCCTCAAAACTACAAAAAATTGTATTCTACTCTGAATCATAAGATCAGCCAAGAATTTCTCTCAAAAATGACTAATTTCAAGTCAAAACAGACAGCTACGTAATCAGTGAAAAACTAATAACCCATGCATTTTCATAACATAACCGAAAAAAGCAGCAAGTGAAAAAATAATAGGCTAACTCACAATCAGGCAGCTGATTTTTTGCGCCTTCGATAAACACGCCCAAAAAGGTTCCACTGAAAATCTGTGATAGCAATTTAGGGTTGCTGTGGTTACTCGCGCAACATTCCTCATATTAAGATATAGCATGTGTTTTTTGGGATGTGTGGTTAAGATTACTTTGGTTTTGGAAAAACCGGGGTCCTTTTCTCTTTGATTTCCCCCTTCCAACCCAATCCAACCAGTTTTTCTTCGTATGTGTCTTCTAATCTTTCACAATGACCATTCTCTTCTGATACATTTATTTATAAAAAACAACAAATGAGGCGTGACCTTCATCTTTTCCTCATTCAGTTTTGTATTCAGCGAAGAAACTATTTTCGAGTATTTATTTATATATTTTTTGAGAAAAAAAGTTCTGACAAAATCTTGAATTTGAGAAAAATGAATAAAGCTCTGATATTAATTTTGACTGTATTTTTAATGAGTGGAACTATGGCTCAATGGGGTTATGGTAAGCTTTTTAACTTAGCTAAAATTCGATGAAAAACAAATTTTTATGATCAAATACATTTTTTTAAAAGGAACCTCGATGAGATTGAAAATTCCTAATTAGACCTGAAGAAGTTAAGTCATTGAACTGACGCTAAGGATTTCAAATGTCCGAACACCTGAACCATTATAAACAGGATAGTCCGATAATTTTCAATACTGATAAATTCACCTTTATATAACTAATATAAAACATTTATGTCCATCCTTTGACAACATTTGCCTTGTAAATTCCTCATTCATTTATTGCCACGACATCAATTTCTCCGATAACTAATCATTCCGATAAACCTAATGGAACATAGCAAAATACAAATTCCAAATTTCTCAACCAATTATTTTTTTCTACTCCATATCATGAATTTTTCCAACTTTGTTAAGTGATTCATTCACCTTCCACTTCCTCAAAAACATCTGATTCATTCAAAGTCAGAAACTCAAAAATACAAAATATCAGAAATTGTGGCATGTGTTGGTTGTGTGCCTACATTTTTAACAGGAACAAAAATTGTTATCAGATAGTGATTTGCTTTTTTAATAATCATAAAACAAAATGGTAAACAAGATTTTTGAATGATCATCAGATTTTTACAGGAATGCCATATGGCGGCTACCCTTATGGTTATCCACCTCCACCACCACCACCATATTATGGCGGATATGGTGGATATCCAGGATACGGTTACGGTTATGGCTACCGTAATCCCGTGGGAAGTGCGGTTCGTGGAGCACTGATTGGAGCAGCTTTGGGAGCATTGGCTGGTAAAAAATGATAATAATAAAAATAATTTTTTCACTTTTTTTTCTAAAATAAATATTTTATTACTGTATTTAATAATTATTAGGGGATGAAATTGAATGATAAGAAACCACAAGTTTTCTCATTCCTTATCTTTTCACTCAGGCATCCTCATTCTTCTTAATATTACTCTTTTTCCTATTTTTTTTGTTGAAAAAAGTTGTGTTGTTGATTGGAAAATGACTAAATTGATGTTTGGTGATTTTGATACACCCAGTTTGTTGGACTCACCAGGTCTAATATCTTGTAAAAGTTTGAGAGAATCTAGAAGTTCGACTTCAGGATTTGAAGAAGACGAGCCAAAAGATGGTATTGAGGTTTGTGTCTTCCATAGAAAATGAGAAATAAAAAATATTTAACTTTTTTGAAGATTTCTGAAGAAGAGAAAAAACGAATTCGAAACACTGAAGCTGCTCGAAGATGTCGAGAAAAAGTGAAAAAACGAACTATCGAACTAGAAACTGTAGGTATTTGATTCTCTCGTTTTTCTAATTTTAGTCAACTTTAGGAACTTCGTGATTTGAGTAGAGCTAACAGTATAATGCATCATAAACGCCAAAATCTATTGTCACAGGCAAGTTGTCTACAACTGATAAGAGTAAAACTTGGAATACGGTAATTCTTTTAGATCATACAACAAATTGAGGAATTGAAAGCAATTGTAAATAAAAATCCTTCGGCTTATGCAATTGCAAGTAGAGATTCGATGATTATTGTGAATGAATATGTGCAAGCGGTTAGTCTTTTTTTCAGGGGTTTTTAAAGGAGTTAAGAGAGGACCTTACTGTGAAATTTGAATTATTTCTCAAGAAAGCCAAAAAAAGGACCCAATGAAATTAAGTTCTCAGAAAAATCAAAAATGATCTGCTTTACTTCTTCAGAATTCATCATCCTGGTAAGTAAAATTCAAAAGCCCATTTTCAAAAAAATCTATGTATTATACCCCAAGGAAAAACGAATAATCCTTCAAAAAAAAGCCAAAATGTGTTAGCCCAAAAACCAATTTTTTATTCACCCAAAAATAAGACAAAGAAAAAAAACAAGATTTTGTGTCAACACATCAAGAAGATTTTCATTTCATTTCGTTTTGTTGCCATATTTTTCAAGAGCAACAAAACAATTTTTCGAGGTCACGTGCAAATGTAATTCTCGTTTTTTTAGGTCCGCCAGAAACGACGAAAAATTGATGAAGAATATTTCAAAGAAAGCTTCTGACTAAAGTTCATTTCCTATTTATTTCAAAACTTGGATCAACCGGTAAAAAATAAGCAACTCTGGAACCTTTCGATTAAATAAAAACGTGTATTTTTTTTATAATAAGAATATTTATGAATGATGTCAATGTTTGTACGATTTGTAATCATTTTTGAGTTTCGAAATTAAACATTTCAAACAATGATAACAATTTTCCGGGTCGGAACTTCTTTCGATAAACATTGCAATTGTGGACCTTCTATTTCGGTTACTGTAACACTTATGCTTTTAATTAGTTGACATGTATTTTATTGAAGTTTTCGATAAGAACTCAATGGTTCTACCCACACCTGACGAGACGTGTCCAAAATGGACACTGTACATTTTTTTCAAAAGTCACACTGCATTTTTTTCGAAAAAAAAAACTTTGTTTCCTTTTCATCAACATTTAACTTAGGGAAATAAATGCAAATTTAGTTCAGTGGTAGGCCATTTTGCTAGTGTTCAGAAGGCCCAGGTTCGAATCTTCATTCGAGCTAACTTTTTTTTATTTTTTCCAAACTTCAAAAACAACTTCAGCTTGCGAATTTTTTGAAGTTTCTCGGTGAAAATCAACTCAACAGACTTTGTTTTAGTGTGGTAACATAATATGCAGTGTGGAATTCACGTGACTGCTTAGCAAACCATAGTGTCACTGAAATTTCAAAAAAATTGACTTTCTATGAAAAAACTTCAAATTCCACACTGCACATGGGTAAATTCAAAAACTACGCCTAAAAATACACCAACTTTCTGAATATACCAACCCTTGATATGTGCTCGGAAAAAATGCCGTCCGATTCTTTGTAATGTCCATATTTACCATTGAAATGGACACTCCAAAATAACAGCGAAATAGGGCATTTTCACACTGCACTCATGGTGTTCCACACTGCCTATGACCTTAGCAACCTATTGGAAAAAAATCAACTATATCCGTTAAGCCTAAGCTTAGTTATCCTAACTTCAAATTTTGAGCAACGTTGCAACGGATTCGTTTGAAAACAGTTTCCTTTCCACCAACATTTTCCCCTCGGGAGAAAAGAGAGATGTGGCCGAGAGGTTAGCATTTTAGACTGGCGAGCATGAGACCAGGGTTCGAATCCTCCTGCCCGCGGACATTTTTATCGAAAAACTTGAAAATTTCACGCTGCACATTTTTTTTTTGAAAAAAATGTTCACACTGCACAAAAAATTTGGGACACTCTCTCGTCAGGTGTGGTTCTACCAGATTAATACGTAGATCGTTCTAGAAAAAACAACGAAATTTTAGTTTTATTCAAGAAAAGACGATTAAGAAAAACATACATTTAGAGGTCAGAAACTTTGTGACTCATAACGAAAAGTACACAAAAACACAACACTTCATGGTACATTTAAAAATCTCAATAATTTATTTATTTATTCTGTTTGAAAAAAATACATTTTTGAAAATATATTGAATGAGTAAGGCACCGGTAAGATTAAAGTGCAATTTGAATTTGGGGGAAGTAAAATTAAGGAGGAAAGAAAACAATCACATAACATATACAATTTTCAATTTGAAAAAAAAATTATTAAAGGAAGTATAGGGTAAGAGAAAATCTATGCATTCTCATATTGTCGAATAATTGACATTACAGTAGGTTGGTGACAAGATTTTGGAAAATAATCATCGGCTTGTTGAGCAGTTAAAGGAGCACGATGACGGCGATATGGCTCTTCACCATGAATTAGAATTTCACTGTCAGCCATTGAGAGTCGAGGAGTTCGGAGAACTTCAGCTTCTTGGTGATTTACTTGATATTTACGAGATGCTGCTTTCTTTTTCATTTGATCTAGTTTTGAATAACGACGTTCAATGCTTCTAGAATAAAAAACTGATTCCTTGAAACTGATTCCCAAACAACTGGGCCAATTAGTTTTTTTCTAAGAACTTTTCAATAGTTTTTCTAAAAATAAACTCACGGTTTCAAGCAAATCGGTTCAGTTTCATATTCATCCAATCGCGTCAATGATTTCGATCGAACACGTGGATTTTGACATTCTGGAACATTTAGCATAGCGGTAGCTGGTGCCGCAACAATTTTGATTTGTGATATCGATTCGGCTGGACATTCGGATTTTCCGCGAATTCCTCGAACTTGTGCCGGTGGTGGAAGCGGTGGTTTTGAATTGGTGTTGATGGAATCATCGAAAGAGACGAGGTCAGCGTAAAGTTGATCAAATGTTCGATCGATTTCTTCTTCGCCAAGACGTCGACCGGAGGAAGAACGCGACTGGAAAATTAACAATGAAAATCTAGATTGGGAAAATTATTTTTAAAAAGCGTTTTCTCCCATGTTTCAAATCACAAACCTCTTGGGTATGACGTGGCGGCAATCGTCGATTTCTGGCTTGCTGATATCGACTACGCGATGACAAAACCGCGGCACTTGTTGGAGGCTCGGCCGGTTCAATAGGCTGCAAATAGTCTAGTTTCAATACAAATCGCTTTTGCAAGTTTTGAGATAACAAAGTTATGTCTACGACTGATTAGAATTGGGTGTATGGGATGGTATTAAAATTAGTTTTTTTCCTCGAAAAATACTTATCAATAGGGAAAAGAGGTCATAGACATTAAGGAACCACTTTTGCAAGCAAAAATGTTTTCTGTTTTATGTGATAATAATGATATTCAATTCAAACATCGATCAAATACCTGTGAGATTGGAAAATCGATAGTTAGTGCTGATTGTGTTCGAGCAACAATTCTCGTTGTGTTATGATCGGAATTGTTATTGTTGTTTTGTGAAGAAGCAGAAATCTGTGAGTTAGGTGTTAATGTGATAAATGGAACTCGAAATATATGTATAAATACCATTAAATATTAATATTGAATTAAAAAAAACTCACGATTTTGGAAGTCGAGGGTGATGTTCCACTGAAAGCTCCTCCATTCATATGACAAGTACATTTTTGATTTTGATCTTCATGTCGAACTGGTTCAGATATCGAAGTTTTACTATTGCTCAATAATCGAGATGCACTCAAACTTCTCCGACGAGCTGCTTCGCTATCCTTAGCATCCACCGATTTTCTCCGCTTTTCCAAATATTTTGGAACTTTCTTATGATTTTTCATAGAAACTTCAGCAAATTCAGGGCGGCCGAATGGAATCATTTTGGTGTTATCAATGCTTAACATAAGTTGTTTGGTTTTTTCGGGAATTTCGATGGAATAATGATCGAGCATTGCTCTTTTCAGCTCCTGCATCCAAGTGCGTTTTTGGTCCATTGATGTTGCCTGGAAAAATTGTAGGTGAGAATATTGAAAATGGGAGTATTTACGAAGATGAAATGTTTTCTACGTTATATAAAACATCTCTCAATCTCTTTAAAAAACTCACCATAAAAATATATTGAACCCTTGGATTATCAAACGACAAAACTTGAAAACTCAGTGGCTCTTCGGGACAAATCCATTCATTCAACATCAAATTCGAGCACATTATATAATCCTTACAAACATAATTACTTCCTCTTTGTTTCACAATCAGTAACATTTCTTCAAACAAAAACAGTAATCGTGTAGTTTTGGATCCAGCTTGTCTAAATGGTGCTTCCAATAAAAGATCTCCATAGGCACTCAAATTACTAATTTGTATTTCATCAGCTTTCCATTTTTGCAATGTTGATTGCAGTTGTCCAACTCTTTCAATATGTTCTGCTCGCTTTTTCTCATCATTTATTCGCGCAGCTTGAGATGTCATAACTTCATAAGCTTTTTTCACCTGCGTCATATCTTCCAAATTCGTTGTATTCGGTAAATTTTTCAAAATATTCTCCAAAAATAAATGATATTTCAAGATTCTTTGAACAGGTTTCAATAAATAAGCTGACAATGGAAGTGAATGTCCAAGATGAATTTGTCTTTCTTGAAGTGCTCGAGCAACATTATTCTGTTGTTGAAGTGAACAAAGTGTTGCCATCATTCGATGATAATTCGTGCAATACGCAATATAATCCTCAAATTTTCCCGAATTTTCCACAAAACATCCACTCATTTTGATACAATCTAAATCTGTCGAATCCAGCTGATGAAAAAGTTGTTTGTTAAATGCAAAAATGCGTTCAATACATCCAAAAAGCGAACTGATTGCATCAAGTGTAACCTTCAATTTTTCTCGTTCTTCAACCAAAAAATCCATATAACCTTTGATGACCGCATTTAGATCTTCCACATAAGCGCGTTCCGTATCAAGTAATTCAATCGCAATTCGATCCAGTTGAGTTAGCGCACCTTTTGATAAAAGAGCCGAGCGGCGAGCAGAAGATTGTGATGAAAGTGAAAAAGATGTACTGATTGCACTATCTCGATTATTATTGGTTTCATCGTTTCCACCATCTGAACTTCGAAGCGAACTTCTAGCACTTGAATATCCGGTAGAAGATGAGACAAATGAGAGGCGTGCGGATTCCTGAAAAATTGAATTTTAGTTTATGTTTTCGAAAAAATGATGACAACTTTTTAAGGCGAGTATGAACTTTTTTTCCAGAAATTTAAGGTTATTTTGATTTGTGTAAGTGTGGGAACCTTTTTAAAAGATTCTTTTTTTTACGAATTGTTAAGAGTTTCATTATTTTCCCAAAAACAGAAATTCAAATTTTTGTTCTGAATTCTTTCATCTCTCAAATATCCATACAGAATAGTGCAATGTATTTGAAAACAAACATAAATCGGCTAATCTTTGAACCACTTCAACTTCTTCTTCTTCTTTCCCCACTTTGCATGTTTTTTTTTCAATCTATCTCAAAACATCTCTCAAAACGCCCTTGAATAAAACTAAACGCCTCAAAGCAAAAAAACACATATATAATGGTAACTGACCTCATCAACACCTTGTCCTCCTCCAATTTGTCTTGTCGTTGACGACGCCATGAAATCGGCGGGAAATGATTGTGTTCGATTCGTCACCTCGTGGTTTGGACGAAGATTTCTGGAATATTTTTATAAGAATTCGTGTGTGGCAGAAAAAAAAGAAAGGGAAGGAAGAAAATGTGTTTTTCATTTCAGAAAGTGATGGGAAAAAAACTATAGAGAATCAATAAAAGCCGCATGATTTATACATACAATTTCCATATTTTCAAGAGGAGAACGACTCTAGAGTAGTGGATTTCGGAATTAAAAATTGTACACCAATTTTTTTTTACTTCTGTGTCAAGAAGTCAAGCCTAGTGAAGCCTAGTGAAGCCGACTGTCAAGAAACAGCTAAGAGGAGAAGTTATCACGTGGCAAAATTATTTACGAGCTCTCAAAATTAATCTTTTTTCTTTAAATTGATAAATTCTGCCACGTCATAGAAACTTATGAAATAAACTTTCAAAACATAATTTGTTTTGTTTTCTTTCAGCTGCCAAACGGAATTTTTGAAAAAAAAAACCAACGTTTCCGGAAGACAGAAAAAATTAATTGAATAAAAGAAACTAAACATAGATTAATCATCAGAGGGCGTCAAAAAACCATAAAATATAAGAACAGGAAAGAAAGCAATACCGAAAAAACCGTAGCGTATCTAATTATTGCGGTCGAATGAGTGAGGGAAAATGAGTGGAGATTACATCTGGGTTGGCAGACGAAAAAAAAACGAAGAATATACAAATGTGTCGGAAATTTTATACCTTTGAGGGGGACAGATAGTTTTCTTGAAATTCAATACGTCTCGAGGAGAAGGAAAAAATAGAAAAAAGTATTTATTGAAATGAAAATAAAAATACAAATAGTATGTGTTTTGTACATCGTCGTCAAAATGCAATTCATGCGAAGAAAAGTCGAGAATCAAATAGATGCAAAAACTATTTGCACTTTCACCGTTAAATTATACGGTTTCAATCGGGTCATTCATTCATTCATTTCTTTTATTCTTTTCAAAACTACCGTTTTCATCTTTTTTGAAAAGCTGACACAAAAAATTGAAAATAAAAATAAAAAAGAATGGGGCTGAGCCGGGGATCGATCCCGGGACCTCTCGCACCCTAAGCGAGAATCATACCACTAGACCACTCAGCCACATTTTTTCGCATAACATTTTCCAAACACACTATCACTGACTGATAAAGGCAGGCAGCTAGAACGAATTTGTTTATTCTGTTTTTTCTAGCTTCTTTTTCTTTTAAAAATACATTTTTTTGTTGCTGGGGGGGCAAAAAATAGAAAAATGTAAATAAAAGTTCGAGTAGTAGTAAAAAACCTCTTGAAAGAATTCAAAAATCCAAAAAAAAACTTCGAGTTCGAGGAAGGAATTCAAGAAATGTGCTCATGAGACAAGAAGAGAACAGAAAATGAGCAAATATCGAGAAATTTGAATACGATTATGAAAATATCATGTTTGTTATGTTGTATACAAACATGTGTAAATAAAATCATAAAATCGGGTGGTCGGGGAAAAAAAAGAAAAAAAAACAGATGGACTTTTTCCACTCACTCATTCACATTTTATATTATTCATTATTATTACATATAATTATCTGTACAACTAACTAATACTTGTAAAACAACCACAAAAAAATTTTGGAAGAAGAAAAGGAAAATATGAGAAAACAAACAGTGAGTGTCACTTTTAATTAGGCTTACAAGTGCGCGAAAAAATTGAAGACAGAGAGAGAGAAAAAGTACATTGTTGTAATGCGACAAAAATATCAAGTTGTAGAGTAAAACAAGATCAAAATAAGTGTAACGGGAAAATTGGAAATGGAACAGAACAAGTCATTTAATTAGCTTGTAATTAGCCGAAGGGCTCTTTTTTCAAAGAGAGCACAACAAAGCAAAAATTAAATAAAATTAACCAAATCTCCTCCTCTGATGTATTTTTATTCGCAAAACTAGTTTAGTTTTGTCATCATTGGAAATTGTGTAGGCTTAAATACTTTCGGACACTTGCATAATGTTGATGTGATCATCAACATCATCAAGACATACAATTTGAATTCTTCTAGAAAAATCAGGAAACAGAACAACAATTAAAAGTAATCCCAGGGAGATTTTGAAAAGAGGAAAGAGAACGAATTAATTTTGAACTTTTGAATTAGATGTTTAAAAAATAGAAAAACACTTGAATTGTTCAAGTTTCAGAAAATTCTGTAATTTTTGTCTATACAAAGAAATTCTTGCAAAAAATATTTTGTTCCAATTTTTCAGAAATCTGATACATTATTTTGGAAAATAAAAAATTCTAGAAAACAAAATCTAGGAAAGAACAAGAAAAATTTCAGGAATTTTTTCCACATAAAAAATTCCTGTAGCTTTTCAAAAAACAAACTTTCTAACAAACAAATCAAAAACTCTAATGAAAAAAATAAATTCTAATAAGTCTCAGCAACCATCGAAATTTTTTCACACAAAAAATTCCAGAATTTTTTAGCCAAAAAAAACCAAAAGTCAAACATTTGAAAATATTACTTTTCGCTTCCAAAAATAGTTCAAACGGATCAAATTCCAGGTTGCAGAAAAGTCCAAAAAAAAACATGAATAGGACGTGGCAATTCAAGAAAATTCTAAATTCAATTCCTAATAAAATTCCCAAAGCAACAAATATGCAGTTGTAAAAAATCCAACATCATAAAATTCCAAAGGTGGTAAAAATTCTGCAGAAGAAAAACAACACACAAAAAAATAACTTCATTTTTTCGCACACTCACTTCGCGTAACTATGACAGCAAGAACGATACAAAATAAAAACAAATTTTCATGTCAAACTAAAAATACACAGTGTTTCAAAACTGCCAGTTGCAAAAAAAAGGTGTGGTTTTTTATTTCTTACAAAAAGTGATTTACGATCATCGATAAGAGCTAAACTAACTAACTATCTAACTATATTTTTGTTTTGAATGAGACAAAAAGTGAAAGTGCTGATTTTTTGCTTTTTGAAAAATAGAATTTAGAATAAAAACGGGAGGAATAATGAATCACAAAAAGAGCTGGAAAAAACCAGTTTTCTCTTAAAAAAATGCCGCAAAAAACCGAAAAGGATTGTCTAGTTATTTAATAAACCTTTTGTTGCAGGCGAAAAAGGTAAAACTAGGTCAATTTTAACTAATATAAAATAAAATAAAATCCATTTCACTTCCAAAAACATTGTGAATTATAATTGGAACGGGGGAACGAAAAAAGATAATAAATAAAGGTAACAAACATTTTTATTATCCAGAGGAAATTGGATTGTTGCAAAAAGTAAAGTAGTTGAAAATTGAGGAGACGAAATAGAAGAGGACAGATTAAAAATTGAGATTAACCAAAAATTTTGGTTTGGTCAATGAGGCGACTAATAATGGAACAAAACTGAGATGGATATGTTTGTTTTTCTAGTTTTTATTGTGATTTTTTGTTTGAAACAGGGAAAAATTGAGTTTGGTAGCTAGAAAAATTGAATATTTTTTGATATTCTGACAAAATTTCAATCTTTAAATTTGGATTGCAAAAAGAAAACAATCTGAAAAGTTGCTAGGAGCCGAATTTCTAATGAAAGAAAAATTCCAATAGCACAAATCCCGGATAATTCAACAGGAGGCTGATTTCAATCAAAAATTCAAATGTTGAAAATTCCAATACTAACACTAAATACAACTGCAGAAAATTCAGTAAAGCCAATTTCAAAGGTCGGGGTTCGAAACCCGACCAAAATTGCACATTCAAATTGATTTATGGGTTGCAGTAGTTCAAAAACGTCAGAGAATAATTGAAAAAAAGCTCTGATTCAAATTGAAAACGATCTATGACCGAATCCCGATAGAGCTAGATCAATCTATATCCACAAAAAATCTGGAACAAGAACACATGTATACCCACTTGAAACACATAAATGTGTCAACATTTGATGTTCTTCTTTTCAAAACCCTATCATTATCTGCTCGTTTTTCCGGCGAGAAAAAATGACGTCCAAACAATAGGTGGTCATGAATAACAAAAAAAATTGTCGGACAACAAAAAAATCACAGAGCACAGAGCGATGAGCCGATACGGATACTGTTGGAGGTAGTGCTCGGCGAGCAAAAAAAAGAGCAAACATTCAAGTTTTTTTTTGAATAATCAAAAGAGAGATGTTTTCAAGAGACTTTCAAATATGTAAAACATCGGTAGGTGTAGAAAAAGATGCAAAAAATGAAATTGAAATTGGCGGTAAAGATAAATGAGATAGGTCGGGTCGTCATTAATCTTGGTGAAGTTTATCATTTGAAAACGGGGGATAGATTTGTTCATTTTCGGAGTGTGCGCAGAGGAAAAACGAGAGAAGATTAATTGAAAAATGTTTTGACAAAGAAAAACGCATGTTATTGTTATTGAAAACAAGCACGACCTATTTTTTTCGGAAATTAATATTAAAAGTTCAAGAAACTTCATGATTGTGAGGTGTAGAAAAAAACTCACAATGTAGATTAGTTTGCTGAGAAGATAATTTTCAAAAATGTGATTCATGACTAGAGTCATACCGCTACTTCAGCACTCAGATTTTGAGACAAATTCTTAATTTCACTAGACAACCAGAATTTCTAGGCTTGCCTACTTCGTATAGAAACTCTCAAACATCTTACTCGGATAATTTGACAAAATTTCAAATGTATTCAAAAAAATGAGCAAGTTTTGATGTTTCAATATAGACAGTGTTCTGGAAAGAAAATATTCTGAAAAACCAATATAATTCACCCACAGAATAAGTTGACCAAACCTAATCTGAATAAATTCCCCAGACAAATTGCCTAACATTATTCGACTATAAGAAGGCAAAACGTGTTCCTCTTATGAATATTGTATATAAAATAATTCATACCAAACTTGGCTGCTGCTTCAAAAGTGTCTTGTCCGGTAGAAAAAAAACGATGAGGATGGAAAAAAGAAGAAGAAGAAGAAGAAGAACAAAAACAACAATTATTACGGATTCAATAATGAATTGAACAAAGTCGAAAAACTGGCTTGTTTTAAACAACATCAAAATGGAGGAATGAGAAATGAAAATGAGAAGAGGAATAAAATTAACAGGCATGTATGTTATAAATGAGAATTTAGAATGAATCACTTGATATCTGGAATAAGATGAAAAAGAAAATGAACTAACCTTTTCTGTCTCTGACACACCGTGCAACATTCTTGATCTTGCGAAGTTGATGATCGAGTTGATGTGAAACTACTTCGAGACATCAAAACAGGCGGAGTGATAATCATCGGTGTTTGGGGTCTGAAAAAAAAACAGGAAAGAAATTAGATGAAACTTGTTAGGAATAGATTTTATCTAAAAAGGTTTTTGACACCTTCCGACTATTTAAGCAATTTTTATTGAAATTAATCTGGAATTTATAACCGTGAATGTTTTGAAAGTTCTAGGGGGGGGGGGGTTGAAAGATTCCACGTTACAGAGTTTCAAGTTTCCCTCTACATAAAAACAACGGAAAAATGTTTAACATCCAAAAACTCACCTAACAGTAAATCCATAACTTTTATCAACATAACATTTTGAAAAACAAAACATCCTAACTTTTTCGGATATCATTCTAATTTTGAATTGTCAAATGAAATGCCAAATGCCCTTTTTATCCCGTCTCCTCCCATAAAAACAACTTACACTTCAACAACTTTTTGACTATTCGAACTACTTTTTCTTCTTCTCAATAATGTACTTCTCTTTTCCTCATTATTAGCTGCCAAATTGTTATCATTATGTTGTTGGAAAACGAGACGAGACTCGTTTGGGTCAAGGATTCTGAAAAATAGTATTATGATCATCAAAATGATCGAAGAGAAGATGAAAAGGATGGAATTTGAAGGCTATGTGAAAATTAGCACCTAACCTAAAAATAGTGGAAAAAGGGGAACAAAAGATATGAGTGTTAAAAAAACTTTAAAGGATGTTGGAAAGAAGAGAATTTGGACTGTATATAAAATTTATGTTTAAAAATGTGAATTTTGAAAATCTGACTTGGGGCTCAACTTGAGCTATTTTCGTAAAATTCAAATAAAATTTCATGTGATATTTTTTTCCGTTGTGAACAAGGGTAGAACTTCTACTCGGTCAGAAAACGGCGAGGTCGATACCGATCGGGGCGGAGTCGCTACACGTTTCGGGGAACAAAAAACGTGTAGCGACTCCGCTCCGATCGGTAGCGACCTCGCCGTTTTCTGACCGAGTAAAAACTAATTTCTAAAAGCAGCTATTCGAGAAGTATGCTCTCTAGGCCCCGATCCTTTCTAGGAGTGGCTACTTGATAACCAGGATATCTAGGCTTGGCTACTTGGCATAAAAGCTCTCAAGACGCATCTCTCGCTAAATTTTTAAAAACACAATATCTAAAGACTTCCATGAGTACCCTAAAACCACCCAAAAAACTCACCGATAATTTCTCTGTCTGGCACTCATATGACTTCTTCTTCTTCTCATAACCGGAGTCGCATTTATCGACTTGGCATTTAAAGCGTTCCTATAAAGAATAAAATAAAACAGTTTCCGGAAGCTTCAAATCTTTCAAGAACATCTGACTGATTTTAACCCAAGATATGTATTAACCCAAGAAAATTTTACCCAAGAGATTTCCCCTCAAAAAAGCATACCTGTCATTGAGTTCAGTGATTGTGATCGTCGAATCTTCACTCAATGCCAAACTAACATCAATTGGTGATTGTGATCTTCTCGAAAATCCCGGATCACTTATCATACTTTGTGTCATACGATCACCGCAAATTTCATCCGGCTCACGATGTCGATAACCTATAATGCAAAAATAGATATTTCAGTTGATTCAAAATTGGATTTGGTTTGGACTTGATATTTTTGAACACAGACAAAAACGAGGAGAAAATCCAATTTTAATAGTCAATCGGATTTCCGAACACACAACTGTTCGGTGTCGTATAAAAAATGTGGTCGTTTGAAAAGATTGAAATTTTTGATAAAAAATGAGCAGATCGAGGGAGAATGGCTAGCTGGATGGCTATTTTGAAATATTTTTGTGTGCAAACTACGAAAGCCTATTTTGATAAAATGAACTTCGTAAGATTATTTGATATGTAAGAGGTGAAAGGAATTGAAAATAATCTCAAGAAGGTTTAAGGGAAAACAATAAAAACATTTAGAATGTTTTGAGAATCGATAAAAACGAATTTTCAAAATTTTGATCATAAGTTCAATACGCGAAAAAATGTTCAAAAATTCTGAAACTGGGAAAGTTTTTGGAAATTATTTCTCACAGAATGTCAGAATTTATGGAAAATGTAATCACAAAGGTGAATAGAAATCGCAACTCTTCAGAAATTAATTCATTTCTGAAAATGTGATCATTTCAAAAATTTGAACTCTGTTTTTATTTAAAAATAGCCTTCACAATCAAGAGAAACTATAAAACTCGCAACGCACGCCTAAAACATCAAAGCCCGGAAATAACTCAAACAAACCCCCAGACGTTTTTTAATCCTACAAATAATCGAAAGTTGTAAGTATCAAATCCGAAACACAACAAATAAAAAAATCAAAAGAAATACTAACAAACAATAAGAAAAAAGGATAGAAAGACACTTTTTTTGCTCAAACACAACATAACAAAATTGTCTTTCACCGCAGCAAGCGAAAAAAAAGTATCCCAAAAAATAAACCGTTGTAATTTGTTGTAAGAGGGATGAAAAACTGAGAGAAAAATCGAAGCCACAACTACAAAGAGTGATAAAACATATATCAAACATTTGTCAAAAAGTGTGTTTCTACGAGATATGGCAAAAATGTGTAGAGTTCTTTGAGAAGTTCGATTGAGAAAAAAATATGAGTGAGGAAAACGATAGAGAAAATAATAAATATGAAGTGTCAAAAAAAAACAGTTGTGTTATCAGTTCACATATTTTTTATTAGAAGAGTTCTGGCGCCGATGAGTAAAAATTGAGCCTTTTCAAAAACGTTTGGAAAAAAAAAATTGAGCCTTTTCAAAAAAACCTATAGTAGTCCTACCTGATTTATCTCTTCCAAAAATTCGGAAATGAATCCACAACATGTCAAAATTCTCAAACTAAAAAATCTTGATACATGTTGCCTCATTCATTCTCTACATTCATAAATGATGAATGAAGATTGATATCACTCATATATAACATTTCGTTATTTTTTATTTGTATTTTTTTCAAATCGAAAAAAAATCTTTTGTGTCAATATTTTGGTCAACTTACATTTTTTCAATAAAACTCTACAGAATCTTAAAATAAAATTCATTATGCCGCAATAAGAAATAGCTAGGATTCTAGTAATCCCAAAATCAAACAAATGAAAATGAACATGTGTAATCTAATATGTGAGCCTACTACTTACATGGGTGGGAAACAAGTAAGCCTATGCTTTTTCTTCAGCAACAAAATAATAAATTGTTTATTTTATTCATGTCGTACTATTCATTTTTTGTATATATTTCATATAAAAAATGGACCACCCAATTTGAAAACGAAAAAGATTAAATTTCAAAAACCCCTAACTTTTCAACAAAAAGCATTCCGTCGAGCCGGATTCGAACCAGCGACCTAAGGATACCCACTGACTCTACAGTCCTCCGCTCTACCAACTGAGCTATCGACGGTGACGAGAAACCGCAAGAAAATTGTCATGATAAATTCAAAAGAATAAAATCAAAATGTACGAAAGTGACCGAGAACAAGAGGCCACTTATGAGAAATATTAGACAATGGCATAAAAACCCCTAATTAGTAAATACATTACGCGTACCTGTCAATATCTAAAATGACAACATAAAAAAAGAAAGAAAAGAAAAAAAGAAGGACATTTGACCGACTGACTGACTAATAAAGTAATATTAATGCAATAATAATCAAGGAGAAAAAAGATAACAAGAAGATAATCCAGAAAAAAGTGAAATTTTAGGATCTAGATGTACATATTACTAAATAATACGAAAATTATGTGAAATAATCAGAGATTCCCACAGTCTGAACATGTTGAGCTTATCTATTGAAGAGAAATGGATTTTTGTATTGCGTGTTAGTTAGTTTGTTTACTGTTGGTTGGTGCAGAAACAGAAAGAGTACAAGTGGATTGACACGTGGCAAATAAATTCATCACGCAAAGAAGGATGAGTTACATGAAATATGTCAATAAGACAAAAAAAGTGAATGATCGAGTACAGGAGGGTAAAGTAAGTAAACTTTGATGAATGAAGAGTAAAGATCGAGGAGGAATATTAATGAAAATAGTTAGATTAGACTGTAATTTGATATGACATGTTTTTCAGAGGGGACGAATAATTTGAATTATTTTTGGGGAAGATTGAAAGCGGAGAATTTATGATATTTCAAAATTTGAAAAAGGGCTCCAGAAAGGTCCATTTTTTCGGTCACCCTCAAAAAAAATTCTGACCATTAATATTGGGGATCTATTATATGACACAAAAATTAATCGTAATAACATTCTCATGAAGAACGGCAACATTACTTCACAAGAAATCTGATCTCAAAAACCTCACTCATTTTTCAAAAATTTCTTCAAAAAGTGCACAAAATCTTCTCTTTGACCAACACAACACCCACAGAGAAACAAAAAAAATAAGATATCAATGTGATTTCTTTCTACAACTCTTCATTCCTATTGCCTCATCATCATTATTTTCATTTTTATCATCACAAATATACACACACACACAACTGACTTCTTCTCAAAATCTCTCATCTCAAATATCATCATGGAAAAAAATAGTGAGTGAGTCAAATTGAAAATTGATGATGATCGGGACAGAAAAAAATAGAAATAAAATAATATTTGAATATTATTGACACTTTTTTGTGTGAGAGTGTCTGTGGCAAAATTGAAACGGAGGACAAAGGCGGACACATCAAGAGATTATCAAATATTTGTGCCCGCCATTTTTTTTTTCGCTCATCTTGTTGTTTTTTTTTATTTTAGATCTAGAAATTTCAAACAAACATGGTCAGAAATGGTATTCTTCTTCTTTTTTTATTTGAAAAAATGAAAAGAAAAAAATTGAGTCACATACAGACCAGAAAAAGACAGTATTTTCAATGAATATGATGGGCATGAGTGAATTTGAATGCCGGAAATTATTATTATTTTTATTTTAATGGTAAAAGTATTTCGGAGGTCAGTTGTGTTCGGAATTGGGAAATTCCATTTTTATTGTACATAAAACATAAAATTCAATACGATCATCATAATTTGCATAAGTAAAAGTATATATGGATTGTATGTCGGCGGAAGAAAAAAAATGTTGGTCAGAAAATGGCTGGGCTGGAATTCCGGATACAGAATGAAGGAATACGTGGGTTATTTGAGAAAAAAAGACATTTTTTCACGAAGTTTAGAAGAAGAGAACTCTGAAATTGTCTAGAATCCAGAAATACTCAAACTTTCCTCCAAAAAACTAAAAAAAAAAGAAGAAAGTACAACAATCATTAGAAACAAAAACAGAAAGAAAATCAAATTTTCTTCATAACTAAACATACATCTTCTTTTTTTCTGATTCACACATATCTTCTCAAAATGGAAGGCAAAAAGAAAAGAAGAAACTATTAAACCATGAACACTTGTCTTGCCAAAAGCCAAAATCAGCAGCCAGCAATGTAATAATTTATGTTTATGGAAATGAAATGATTGACACGTGGCGGATTAATGGGCGGTATGTAATTTTAAGATTTTTTTTGGTCTTACTCGAAGAAAAACTTAAAGATAGATAAACAAACACGTTTTTCTGTGTTTTGTTTTGTTTTAGAGGCGAGAAATTGAAAAGAAAACAGTTTTTGGACATAAAAGTGGAACTTTGTTGAAATACGAGAAAGAGACATGGAAATTGAATATAATCCCATCAAAAAAGCAAATTTATGAGAGATGGTTTGAAACTATTTGAACTTGGTTGGGAAAGTTTTCAGAATCGACTAGATAGATATTTTCCCGGAAAAAAAAACCCTTGGAATTAGGTAAGAAAATTACGAAAAGCTCATCTCCAAGCTGATTTATGCAAATTTCTCAATAATTTCTGGATGGCCCGGCAACTCAGAAATAAACATGGTCTAAAATGAAAGATATTCATCTCTAAATTATCTATATAAAAAGTTGCGAAAAGGCTTTCTCGATTTTATATATCCTGACAATAAAGAAAACACCAGAGAAATGGAGGGACTAGAAAAACATGACATTGGGGACTAGAAATTTTCTAGTCCCTCCAATTTCCTAGTCCCCTCCACTCAAAATCTTTTCCTCGAGATATATAAAATCGAGAAAGCCTTTTCGCAACTTTTTATATATATTCGGACAATCTAGAGTTTAATATTTTTCATTTTAGACCATGTGTATTTCTGGGTTACCGGGCCATCAAAGTCAACAATTTGGAAAATGGTTTGAACTTTTTTTTCAAATTTGAACCTTGATTTAAAAAAATTTCAAACGCGCAACTCACAATTGTTCTGGATTTCTTTCTCATGGTTCTTCCTTTTCAAATCATGGCTTTATACATTTTTGAAATATTTGTGGACCAATTAGCAAATAAAATGCATCCAGAAATGATATTTTTATTAATAAAAAACAATTTTAAACTTAAAATTAGTTCACGTATTCCGCGGAAAATATTTTTATTTATTTATTTTTTATTATTTATTTTAAAATTTGTTTCAATTTTTCAAAAAAAAATTCAAAGAAAACCTCCTACCTTGCAACTTGACTCTCGGATCATTATCATTCGCACATTCGCCCAGAAAATTCGTTTCGTCATAATAGGTAACTCTCCTGCGGAACCAGGAGAATCCCAATGACATTTATATATGAATGGATTCGCTGAATTTAATTAATTAATTAATCAAATGATAAGAGAGAAATAAATAAATAAATGAATAAGAAAAAAGTGTCATGAAAAACGAAAATTCTTCGGGAAAAAACAGATTGTTTGCCAAAACGAAAGGAGAACGAAGAATCAAAACGAAAAAAAAACGAAAAGTTTGAAAATGATCCTATGTACAAATAACATTGTGTTCCTATGATGAAGTCGAAAAAAATGATGACTTTTTGACCAAAAAGAAGAAGTTGGTGTATTTCTTGTTAATTTCTAATATATTTGTTTAGTTTGGCGGGTTGTGTGGCGGCTGGCAAGTAGTTAGGTAAACTATTATTTATTTTCGCCCAAGAATAAGTGAATATATTTATTTATTTATTTTATACTATGTATGTATCTCTATGGTGATGAGGCTTCTTTTACTTATGGTGTTTGTGGTCAAAAATGGAAAATTTATATTTTTGAACTTAGTTCATTTCAAATTGAAACTTCACGGTTCAGAAAGCGAAAGTGTTCGACCTCTAAAAAATCAGACTGAAACATAATCGGATTTTTTTTCGTCGCCGAAAAAACTTGCAACAACAATAACAATAGATAGAGAAAAATGATGAGACAATAATTGTTTTTTTGGCGTTGGGTTGGGTTGAAAAATGAACCAGGATCATACTTTTATGGTAAACATAGATAGCTAGAGTATACTTTTCAGATAGAAGGAAAACTTTATTGACAAAATATAAGATGAGTTATGACGTGGCAAAGTTGTGAAAACTCGAAAGCATCGTGACAAAAATATACAATACTGATTGTAAGCAAGTAAATACTGCAACACATCAAAACTCATCGATCAGAGCAGATTTTTTAAAGCAAGACTGAATTTAATATGAGATTAAAAATTGAGAAAGTGATTCAAAAAAATCTAACCTATACTCAATAGTTTCAAAATCCAAACAACAATCCACAGGAGTTCCAAATTCTCAAAAACCACCTTTTTTTGTTAAAAAGTGTGAATGGTTTTTCAAGTGGTTTTTGGTGGAACAGATAGACGAAAAAGCAAGCGAATCTAAGTAAATATCCTGATGTTTTTTGGCTGCATTTGGTCAATGTTTGTTTGGTTGAATATTATCAAATAGTGAGAGATGAGATTAGATTCGAGAGTAAATAGGGAAGGAATTCGATTCGGTAAATCGAGAAGGAAAGAAAATAGAGAAGTTGAAAAATGTATCAGAAAAATAGGAAATCTGAAACTAAGTTTACCTGACAACTGTCTATTTTATCACCTTGGAAAACAAAAAAAATTACTGAATTTTTTTCGAATTGTTTTTTTTTCTCTCAAAAAAACAGGTCAAAGATACAATCTACTTCGAAGTAAGAACCAAAAATGTAATGAAAATAAAAAATGAAGAAAAAATCATAAAAGCTTTTGGCGACGATAATAAAAATTAGTCAAGCATGTGTTCATCTCGTAAATTTGTGCCTCGAAATTTTTTTCTCCGTGCATTTTTACACCAAGAAAATAATATTGGATGAGGAGATTTTTTGAAATTTTCCTATTTTTTGTGACAAAGCAAAACATCGTTTTACAAGAGAAGATATCAAATTTCAAAAAAAAGACGGTGAAAAAACAAGAAAAGTGCAAAGATGAGGAAGCAGAATCTCGAGTAATTCATCATTTCATTATTAACAAACAACATCTGGAGAAACAATGAATAATAAAAAAAACCACAAAATAACGCATATTCAGGCCACAAGAGACAAAATACATAGGAAGAAGAAAAAACGAATAATTGCTTGTTTTATGGCGGATTTTTTGTACCATTTTTTCCTTCTCTTGACTGCAAAAAACACGACAAAAAGCCAGGTGAATTTTACGAGAGAGCATACATTAAATAAGAGACACAGAATAGGAAAAGCAGCCAGCTGTACGGACCACTTAATTAGGTAAGTGGAGAAGAAAAACGAAAGGTGATTTTTATGAGCAGCCAAAAACACAAGTGAAGTGTTGTTTTGCATTTTATGGTCAAGTGTAAACATTGGGCTAGGTTTGAACATAAATTTTAGGATTAGCGATTCAGAATTGTGGAAAAAACTAAAAATATGGGTGAATAGAACAAAAGTTTGAATTTATTATTTACGTGAGAAAAAATGACGGAAGCAGAGTGAATCAAAAAACCATCGAGAAAAAACACGCTAAATCAGTAAATCTCGAATAATTTTCGAAAAAAAATGCTTTTCTCGAAAGAAAAAAAAACAAATCAACCGAAAAATTACCAAAATCAAACCCGAAAAAATTCAGAATTCAACGTGTATCAAAACTAAAACTATCTGAATCCACAATTCAGGCTTTGAAATGACATGAAAAAAACAGAAAAAAAAACATAAAAATAATATTACAGTACACCTGTCTAAGGCGCACGACATTTGTTTGTGTGTCTCGCAACGAAGCAAAAAATTGTCTGTCTACTCGTTTTATTTTTTTTTAATTTTTTTTAAATTTGATTTGATTTGTATTTTTTGTTGGTTGTCCCTGTTTTCTGTAGAGCGGAGCTATATATTATTCTCGAAAATCACACTTTCTTAAAGTACATCGAAAGATGTCGAAAGTCTACCTTGACACCTGATCCACGTCACTCAAATTCTTGTAGTTGTTTTTTGCAATCACATTCTTATCCCAAAAAAATAACTCACCTACAAGAAAAATGAATCGTTTTGCCCTCGAGGAAATAGACATAGTTAAAAATAAATAAAAAATGCTCCAAGTTTCTCCGGGAAAAAACGTAATGTAGATTGATATATTAGTAGTAGTGGAAGCAACACATTGAAAGATAAAAAAATAAATTAGATGAAGAAGGACTCGGCGTGGAGTTTGAAAAGAACGCCTGTTCTTTTAAAAATATTGAAACATTCTCATGTCTCGCACTTTTTCCTCCTTTTCCCCCTTTTTCTGTTTTTCTGTGTTACTCTCGTCTATCTATTTCTCCAATCATTTCTCAGCAAAAACTAGCAGGCAAAATGTCTGCTTCCGTGGCGCAATAGGCAGCGCGTTCGGCTGTTAACCGAAAGGTTGGTGGTTCGAGCCCACCCGGGAGCGAAATTTTTTCATTTTTAAAAAAATTTCAAATTTATTAATTCATAAATCTTCATTGTTCGCATAAAAATAAACATTCAAGTGAGAAGTATCAAATATCGTCATCCGTTACAAGATCAATGAATGAAAGTGGTTCGCCGATATCCTCTTTCAATTTCACTTGTGCCAACTCGCTCAAAACATCAAGAAAGTTTTCGGAACGAATTATGTGTCGACCTCGAAGATCGCCAACTTCAAAAGCGGGGATAAATGGAACTTTTCGATTATCTGGATAAATTGGAGCAAGATTAATTATTGGTGTTTTTGTGGTAGTTGGTTCTGGCGTTGTTGTGGTTGTAGATGTTGTAGATGTTGTTGTTGAAGTTGTAGATGTCGTAGATGTAGAGCTTGGAGGCTGTATCGTTGTTTTCACTGGATCCCTTTTGAACTTTGTAAACTTAGGAACTCTCTGTGGTCTCAAAAAAATATCTTCATCTTCTTCCTCGGAACCGTCTTCTTCTTCTTCCTTTTCAACAGGTTTCGGAAAAATAACTTCTTCCGATTTTTGCAGCGCATTATTTTTCATTCTAGCTACCATGCTCTATGAACATTTCTATTAGTTTTTATTCAAAAATTTTCTAAAACTTACTGGATATCTCATACAACATGTAAAAGCAGCACAAGGAATATAACCAGATCCACATTGACAATGGAAACTTTGACATCTGACACGTTCGGGTGGAATTATAAGACAATCCACGTGGCAAGATGGCATGCTGAAAATATTTTCATTTTATGCTTCGTAAAAATATAAATCTCACCAATCTTGGCGACACATTGGTGCTTGGATAGTGTTGTAAAACTGGGAATGTTCGATGTATTGAAGACGAGTTACGCATTGAGGATTACATTGGGGTTGACAAGCTGGAGAGCATTGAGGTTGCTGGATTTGTGGTGGAGGGTGCAAAATCAACACTAATGGATGTGGTGGAGTTGGTGAACCAGGTAAAGCTTGTGCCTGGATTGTTGTTTGCATTTCTTGTCTCATTGGACAACATCCATCTCCACACCATCCGCTAACACATTCATTGAAAATATGAGGTCTCATCATTCCGAATTTCTGTTTTTTCGATGCGATTCTCATGACTTCTTCTTTGCTTGGCAGACTTGGAGGACTAAGATTTGGATTTGGCAAAAGCATGTGATCAGGAAAAACTGATGCGTTTGCAGGGAAGAGAAGAGAAGTTTCGGGAAGTTGGACAAGTCTTGGGAACTCGGGAAGTTTCTTTGGAAAGTGGTAGATCTGTTGTGTTGGTTGGTAAAGAGTTGGACGGGGTTGGTTTGTCTGGGCTGGTTGGGGAGGAAAGTGATAAGCTGGCTGCTGAAGAGGAGGTCGATGCATCTGGATTTGTGAAGGTGGAAGAAGAGAAGGGCGTGGAGGAGCATGGAATGGTTGAGGCTCTAGTTTATGAATTGATTTTTGTAGGGGAGGAGGTTCAATGCGCACGTGATGAATAAATTGTTTGATTGGAGCTGAAATATTTTTCTGATTCGTGTGTCTAAACTAATGGGAATTGTTCCATAAAATTGGATATATTCAGAAATCACGATTTTCACAAACCAAAAATTCTGATTCCCAAAGTTCCTTTTAACTTTTCTAGCACTATCCCTAAATTTATATCACATGTCTCCGTGCAAAAATAAAGCTAATATTGTTTTTTTCGTTTTGGAAGAGGAAGAAGAATAAGAATAAAGTGCTTACCATTATTAATCAACCTGCCTCCTGCTTGTTGTACTTTTGTTTTTTTACCTAATGCCCAATTGCTATATCTTTCGGCAATTCTTCCCATTCTCTCAGCCATCTGAAAACAAAATATTTGATTAAAAAATTAATTGTATTTTAGTTCAATTTCCGTTTTGATTACTGTATCCTGGACTATATTGTTTTTTTGAAAGCGATCAAAATAACAAGTAAATAATTCTGTGGAATCTTTTATTAAATACTTTTCAAAGAAAATATTTATTCTTTATACTTTTTGTTTTCAATAAGTTATCATTTTTGTTCTTTTTGCTTCAAAAAACAAGGCGAATAATTAATGATCTTTTATTATTTTCATTTTCTCACCTCTTGAACATTTTCCGAATTTCCAAAAAATATTAGAAAATTTATGAAAATATTTAGAAATATCAGAGTTTTCATAATTTTTGAGATGAATATTTATTTTCACAAAAGAAAAGAAAAATCTATACAATAATTTTTGACACATTTGGAATTATTATACAATATCTATTTGCGCATATGTCATAGTTTTTCGCGAGTTTCGTGAATATTATAATAAAAATCAAACATAGATTATTTTTCGAATGTTGCCAAAACAGCTGAAATTTGTGGATAACGATTTGGTAGATTTTTACGGCGAACTAGAGATTCTTCGAAAAAATATTCAGAGCGATATTGTTTGGCAGCACCTTCTGGAGTATTTGTCCAAAGAATTGTGAGACGATCAGGTTCCTGAAAAAATAAATCGAGCTTTTTGAAAGGAAAAAGAACGTTTCCGTTTCCGAAGGGATCGAGAGCTTTTATTTTTCGAAACGGATGAATTACTCAAAAAAATAGTTTTATTCAAAATTCCGGTTAATTTTGAGAAAAAAAGTAGATAAAAGTGCGTCGAACTTTCGAGAACTCAAAACAATATTATTTTTTCTGATTGACCTTTTTAAAAGTACTATGTTTTGAAAACTGAACTTCTTAACGTCATTCAACTCTCATGTGAAATATTCTAATTATTCGACTTCAGAACCATTTCACAAAAAAATAAATCTTGATCAGATTCTCTAGTTCTAAGTTCGTAGTACACCAAAAAACCACAATTTTTCCCACACTCTCACTAACCTCATTCTCCTTCAAAGTTTGATCACTTTTAACTTGTAAAATGACGGATTCATTTGGCGCCAAACATCCAGTCGGAGTTGTTGTTGCTCTTTTTTTATAAGTTTTACAAGAAAACGCGATCATATTTGTCGAACTATTCACCAATTTGATATGTTCAGTTCCATTTGACAAAACAATATTTTGAACTGATAGATTTGATTGTTTGCTAAGAGTTTGAGTTTCCGCCATTATTTTTTCCAGAAATAAGGTTTATTCAAAAAATTTCACGTATTTTTTCCAGATGTTATTTTTCACGTTCTTCAACATTTATCATTATTTTATGGGAGTTCTTGGTGTTTTTTTGAATTTGTTACTTTTACTGGTATCAATTTTCTTTTCACCATTGCAAATTAAAAAATATCGGATATTAATTGTGAACTTTGCAATTGCTGACATGGGGGCGGCATTTTTCACTCTTTTTGTTGAGCAAAGAATAATTCCAATCGGAAAATCAATGATTCATGTGTCATACGGATTTTGTCATTTGATATCAAAACTTGCTTGTTATGCCGGATATTCAATATTTCTTCATTTTTTCATGCATTCAATGTGGTCCCTTCTAATCTCTTTCACATATCGATATTATATTTTGGAATATGGAACACCTTCAAAATATCAAATAATTGCTGCGATCTTCTTTTTCTATATTCCATCTTTTTGCCAAGCTGTTAGTTTTATTTTCTCAGAAGGTGATGAGAATGAAATGATGACACTACTTCAACAGAATTTTCCAAATTATACATTTGATAAAACAATGGTAACTGGCAATCCAGATATGCTTGCTCCAGCTTCTCTATTCACAATTTTGCATATGACTGTTCCTATTTTTCCGATTTATCATATAATTCTCACTATGCGTTCAAAAATAATAAAGAAGTTAGAAACCACTACACAACATCTCCGTAAAGAAACTCGAAACCTTCATAAACAACTTCTGAAAGCCTTGACATATCAAGCATTTCTCCCTCTATTTTTTGTGATCAGCGTTATTATATTCTTTGTTCAACTTCTCGGTTTTTATTCCAATCCAGTTTTAGAATGTTTGATTTTCTCAATCCCTGCATTTATCCCAGTTTGTTCTGCATTGATCTCAATTACTCATATCAAACCATATCGGGATATTATTATCAGGTGGATTTTGATTATTTTCCGAAGAAAAGTTGCAACAAAGCAAGAAATGTTTACAGTATCATTTTCGTTGGGCAAAAAATCAACAGTAAATAGACAATCAGTTATTGCAGATTTTTGAATTAATAAATTGTTCTGCTTTTTTGCTGTGTTTTTCGGCAAGATGTTGCAAATTACACCCAAACACCCACCTGTACCAATTCGCACCATTCTATTGTTCTCACTGATGTGATTACGCACCTCAAAGAAGTTTGCCGCTGAATACAGTAACCCATAAGCCACGCCTTCACCGTCAAAGGGCAAGAAATACAAAATCGTCATTTTTGTTTTGTTTTGAGATTTTTGAATTTGTTGCACTTTCACGGGATGTTCTTAGATTGTGAGTGGGTGGGTGAGAGGAAATTAGGAAATGAGTGAGTTGAGTGAACGATGAGGGCTTTATATAGATCTGAAGAAGAAGCCATAGAAAATGAACAGGTGAGATGGGTTACTGTAGGTGATTTAAATATTTCAAAGTATGGTATGCCCTATATTGTTAATAAAATAAAATTTGAAATGACAAGATAACTTCAAAAGTTGGATTTAGACAATTCGCTCTAAAATACGATTTCAAAAGTTTAGCCTTTGAAAATAGTGATTCTGAATTTTTTACAAAATCGCGTTAGTTAACTTCTGGTTTCTGTTCATTGTCAGAATTTTCAAGTTGATAGGTATCTAACGTTTGGTTTTATACAAATTATTTGAATAGAAGTTCTATTTCATTAATTTTTTCTATCAATCAAAAAAATTGAATTCATTCTAACTTCACTAGACATTTCAACGTTAGATGTTGTCAGGCAGTGTTTTCGAAAAATTTTAATTTTTATCAAAAACGTGTGTTCCATTTTCACGCATGTCGTTCATTCATTTCTTATTCTGACAAATGTTGAAATATTGGTTTCTTCTAGCACTTTATTATTTGAAATTCGTAACTATATCAATATTAGCTGTGAATCCTTGTGACGCAATTGGAAAATCTAGTAAAAACTTGACCAATCAAACTTTTATATTTGTCGAAAACCAAGAAAAAGGTTCAATTGAAGATGAGCTACTTATAAGAACATTTTTCAAATGTTATGCAACTGGAGCAAATATTCATTATATTGTTATGCAAGGTTATCGAGTTGATAATCACAATGAATTTGGAGTTGTCAAAACTTCATTGAAAAATAATCAATTGAGTGAAAAAGAGCTTGGTGGGTATTTGGGTATTTTTGAAAGAATACTGTATGCATGTAGTCACCTTTTTTGATTGGCTAGAGAATTCCTAGAAACACCTGTCCCAAGCTACCGTATACCTTATTGTTTTCAGCTTCTAATGTGCAATTCATTGTCTCTCCAGCTCTTGATTCAATGTTTATGTTGAAATTAGTGAAATATGAATTATCTAAGTATCTTTCAATCGATCTCAAAAAATACGAATTTGTATCACTAGGAATTTGTGGAAAAGCAAATCATTGCTCAGTTTATCAAAGTAATTCAACACTTATTATTGATAGAACAGATTCACTACTTTATGGTTGGTTGAAAACTCAACGTTTCATTTGAAAAAATTACTCACTTTCAGAAAAGATAGCAGCTGCTATTGATAAAAAGAAAATAGTGGGAAACCAAGAGTTTCGGTATTTTCGAAGTAACATGTATGTTGAAAATAGCCATAAATTCAAAATTTATGGTTTTTTTTTCAGAAAACATTTAGAAAACGATTTGTCAGCGGTTGTAATGTTCAGTATGATTGAAACGTATTTCATGATTTTGGCCATTCTTTTATTGGGAACTCGGACTAAATTTTATATTTTAGAAGGTGAGTTGTGAAAATGGAGAATTCACAACAAGTTTTCAAATGTTGTTGTTAAAAAGTAGAACGATTCCGTGAATTTTAAAATATGCGATCGTTTCTTTTACTAAATTTTTGAAATTTTCTCGATTTCTGATCATTTTGATCCTTATTGTGCCATCTATTTTTTTCAGATTTCCATTTGAGACACCACCAAGAAGATTTCAATATCCCCGAAGATGATGATTCTGAAAATGAGGAGAATCAATTACCGTAATGACCCCTTATAATGTTTTTGTTAAAAATTTTTGAAACTGTTTTCTTTAAATAAACGTCTGACGTGTACTATTTCTCATTATTCATTTTTGCCAAAACCAAAATATCAATCATTTCTAATCTCAAATTCTAAAATAAAATGCAGCTATATGATTGGTTTGTCCTAATACTATTGTTCTTTATAATTCAAAAAACCAATACTTCATCAAAATTTTGCGATGCAATCGATAAATCACCTAACAATTTGACAAATCAAAATGTACTTTTTGTGCAACTTCAAGATGAATCACTATTAAAAATCGAAAGTGTTTTGAGAAATTTTTTCGAGTGTTATGCAATTGGAATGAATATTCAGAATATCACAATTGAGCAGAATCCAAATACAACAACATGTGAAATCGTGGAACCTTTGGGTGAAAAAATACGTGAGTTTTGGGATACATACAGTAACCCTCAAATATAGAGGGATTAGGAGAAGCAGCTGTTTGGATACCGTATCCTTTTTTGCAGAATCTAGCAATTTGGAATGGAAAATTATATTATCCCCATTTTTATTGATTTTGGATTGCTCACTCGAAAATATGATTGAGCAGATTGAAAAGGTTCTTCCAAACTCAAAAATTGGAACTAGTTTCGAATTTCTTGGAATTTGTGAATCAACAGAGGCATGCGATTTCATGAGCAATTATACGAAATATTACAAAAACAGAGTTATCAAGAAAAATAAACTTGCTTATGAAAACTTGGAACTTTTTATTGATGAGAAAAATGTATCTAGTAAATATATCCAACAGAAATATCACTATTTCAATCATTTTCCAAGAGTTGTGTGAGTTTTTTTGACAATATTTTTTGACCTTCTCACATAACATTTTTTAGACACCTCAGTCGATTTTGGGTGACAATTTTCACACTTTTCGCCTTGTTCTTTTTCACACTTTTGGGATTTTTCATTTGTATTTATTCGCTTTTGTCGTATGCTTTGATTGAAGAAGGTGAGCTGAGTTATGGGAAATCAGAAAGGCGGCTTATTTTGTTTTGTTTTAAAATTAGTTGAAACCACCTGACTTTTAGGAAGTCTAAGTGGAAGTTAGAAAAAAAACTATTGAATTTTTGTTCAGATTTTCAAACACGAAACGATGAACGCGAGAATCTTGCTCGAATAATCAATCAACAACCACAACCCGAGCCATTTATTTTCCCTGAAATTACTGATGTTACATCACAATCAGAAGTTATTCGAACTGACCAAACTCAAAGCACAACACGTAGTCCATTGAATGTTGAAACTACACAAATATCTGAACTAGTGAGTTAAAAATGAAGCGATGAGAACATTTTAGTTTTCAGATTTCAGGAACCACTATTGTCGAGGAGCAGTGATCAAGCATAAATTCACAAAAAAAGAAGATAATAAATTATTTTATTTTAACCCGTGTAAACTCCCGATTCCTGTATGCAAATCATACAAATCAATAATTGACTGCAACTGAATTTGCTCTCCGAATTTTCCTTCTTGTTGGAAACCTTCTCAATAATGCATTATTAACAACTGCCGACATTTGTGCTTGTTGCATTTGAGCGTCTTCAATTGCTCTTTGTTGAGCAGTTGCGAATTTTTCAACAATCATTGATATTGGGAATGCGAGTACAATAATTCCACAAATTGACGTTGAAGTTGCGACAAGTTTTCCGAGAGTTGTTACGGGTTTTGCGTCACCGTAGCCGACTGTTGCCATTGTAACACTGAAAACAATACGTTTAGAGAGATTTTTAAAGGTTTCTGAATTAAAATAGCTCGGAAAATTGAAGAATCAGTTTTCACAAGAAAAATACCAAAACTTACACACACCACCAGCAACCAGCTGGAATACTATAAAAATCAGTATGGGGTTCATCTTTCTCCAAATAATACATAATCGTACTGAAAAATACGATTCCAGTAATCAAGAACATACTCAACATGCTCAATTCTGTGATACTCGATTGCAAAGTGTGCCCAAATGTTTGAAGACTTGTTGAATATCTGGCAAGTTTGAAAACTCTTGCCATTCGAAGAACTCTCAAAACTCGAATCACAAGCATGGCTCCTGAAAAAATGAAAATATAGAAAGAGTGTCACTTTTGAAGTCGTTTTAGTTATTTTAAATCTATATTATTTTTCACATTCATAATGTTAGTTTACATTCCTAGAATTTATCATAACTTACCGTGGAGTATCAACCCAGTTTGAATATATCCTAAAGTTTTCTTTAACAGCAAAATCCTTTAATTTTTCTAAACAATATCTTACCTGTAAACTCTTTGAGGCGTGATTCGACACCAAATATTGGTAAACAAAGTTCCAGGTAAAATGGCAAAATAGTGGATAAATCAATAATATTTAAAGTTTTCTTTCAAAAATTGAAGTTTCCTTGGATATATCAAAAACCGTATTCCATATTCAAAAGTGAACCATCCGATGCAAATATATTCAAGGATTACAAGAGCCAAATTTGGATTATCTGTCGGCTTATAAACAAATCCATTTTGCGCATTGTTTTCCTCAGTTTGGAATTTGTTATTGTAAAAATCGTTTGCATGATGTTTTACATGCATTAAATGATATCCTGAAGCATTTGAAGGATCATCTTGGAATTCAGGCATTGATCCTAAAATAAGACCAACAACTGAAGCAAATACAAAAAATACAGAGATAATCGCGAAAATCGCAGCGATTATTGAAGATTGTGGGTCTTCCAAGAATCTCCAAAGAGTTAGACGAAGTGATGCGAAACAAGCACCATCAAAATCTGCCACGTAATCATCTTCATTGAATGATGAACCTGTTGGAAGTTGTTTGCATATTTCATTTGGAATTGAACAGCAAGCGGATAATTGATCGGTTCGAATTTTCCAGAATTCGAGTTCTTCTTTAAAACGTTCAACACATACATTTTGAGGTTTGTGGAGACTTCCGGTCACAAAAAAATCCATCACATGATCTGTTAGTTTTGTATTGCGTTCTAGATAATATTCACCACTGATTTCGTCGTAACCATCCAACATTTCTAGTCTAAAATGAGAAAATAAAAGAAAAATAAAATGAGCTGATAAAATAATTACATTTCTGAAAGTAAAATTTGAAAATTCCATTTTTTTTTAATAAAAAATTATTTTATGAAAAGTAAACTTTTGAATTTAGTCAATAAAAACGAACCTCTTCTCGTGTGTAGAATCCAATAATTCGTGCATTTTTGTCCATTCCGAAGTATAAAGTTCAGATCGAACAAAATACGATTTTCCGCCAACATTCAATCTCATGTAGGAATCTGCGTTCGTGCCTAAAATAAACTTTTTTTCAAATTGCGAAAAATCATTTTACTTTTAAAGAAGCGCGTGGCAGGCACATATCTTATTACATTTTTCTTTAAATTTATGAGATTGGATTACAGAAGCTCAATAGTTTGGAGCAAGAAAACATAGGTTTTTGAACCTTTTCTTGTTTCCGGAACGGATCAGAGTTCTTTTTTTTTTTATAACATAGCATATAACTTTTTAAAGTTCATAACACAAACCCTGATCAGTTTGTGTCATTGTTCGATGTCCTGAAATTGGAGGTGGTCGAAATGCGATGCGTCTTTCCATATTTGCCGATTTTTCAGCAGCTGCCGCGTTTTCCTCGGCTTGAAGACGCTGAAACGAAAAATGAAGAGTGAACAAGTAGATAGAAAAAAATATGATTAGGGTCCGACACAAATTCAATTCGATTTTTTCTATTTCATTTTTCTCGAGCGCAAAGCTTTCTTGTTTTTCCCAGGCTCATACATATTTTTGCGCTGCTCAAAAAAAAGCAACAAAAAATGGGGAAAAATCCTAAACTGAAAAATTTTGTGGCTGAACTAACTAACTGATACTGGAAATCTTATATTAGATAAAAAAGAAAAATGAAGATTAGTCGAGGATTTGCTTCTTTTTTTCGTAGACGAACACAAAAAAAATGAAAAATTGATCGTCCAAAAATTTATAGCAAACCGGAAATTCATGTGTCACTTGGTTTTTGAACCTATATTAGTAGAAAAAACATGGGGGAATTTTGAGTTTTATGGTGTTTTTAAAACGAAAGAAAAATTATGTATTTTTGCCTTTTATATCCAAAATTTTGAAAAAACTTTATTTTCAATTTGTGAATTATCAAGTTGATGAAATTTTTTCCAAACTTTCATGTAGTACAATAAAAATATTTTCAAAATTGCGATCTGCCACGTGGATCTTTTGAAAAGGTTTCATAGAAACAAAATCTTATTTTTTTAAAATAATCAAACGTTCTCTCTCTCTCTCAAGCTTTTAAAAATCATATCTCAAAATTCCCAAAGATTTCTCACATCAAAAATAGAGAACTCTTCGAATATTTTTTCAAGCCAGATACATTTTTACAAAGTAATATAGAATTACTACGTGGCAGTTTTCTTTTTTCTTTGCCTCCCCTTCAAAATTCCACATCATAGTCATGTTCTATGATGTACCAATTAAAAATCATCTCAAGGGATAAACCTCGAGTGTTTTTTCTTTCTAACAAAACGCCAGCCTTGTGAAAATTTTTACTAATTTTTTATCGAATAAAAAATTTTGTTCAAACTCTGAAGAATTCTCTACGTGAACTATGACGTGGCAATTTGGAATACACTCAAAAAAGCCACCTGGAAAAAATTCAACAAAAAAACTAGACATTTGCTCTTTTCAAACCTATAATTTTTCATTTTTTTTGAAAGAGAACAAAAATTTTCTAGCTTGAAAAAAGTAATAAAATTGAGGAATATGAGCATTTTCAATGCGAGGATATTTTTATGGAAAAAATCTTCGTTTTTTTGTCGTGTGATACAAAATTTGGAATTTGAAATTTTCAAAAAAAAAAAGAATATCCCGAGTTTACCTTCCAATAATGGGGTTCGCCATTACGACTTGCCGTCCTTGGTGAACATTTTGTATTAGAATAAAAATCAGTGAATCTAGATCTTACCTGTGAAGCGCAAGTTCGCTTCAATCTATATGATAACATATTTTGGTAGTGAGTGAGTTTGTTTTCACACAAAAACACACACAATTATGATTTTGGAAGCCAGCCGAAAAGACAGCGCGAAAAGAAAAGCCGATGAGTAGAATGGAAATAGTATACGAAATTGGAGAGACCGACCAAGATAAGATATGATTATTTTTGTGTTGTGTTGTTGAGCTCGCTGAATTGACTGACTGAATGACTAAAAATTTTAATAAAATCAGATGATATATACTATATTTAAGTGAAACATAGAAAATCAGACAAAAAAAGACAGGTGAAAAAAAATGTATTAGCTTCAGGGTATGTTTTTTATGACATAAAAAATGAAAAAAAATGAGATATGATGTTAATTGAAATCGAAATGAGAAGGTTCAAAATTTTTCTTTAGAGAAAAAATGACGTACTATTTTTCAGCTTTGACATTATTATAAAATTTTCGACTACTTCACCTAGGGGCGGTGCCCCTAGCTGAAACAGTCAGAAAATCCTCAAAAATCTGATCATATACCATCAAGTGTAATTCAAAGCTTCATCTTATGATTTAAACATAGTAATTTATAAACAACTTTCCTTTAACATCAATAGTAATTATGAATTAAAAACTTTACCCAATAATTTTCAATAAAGCTCAAATCTCACCTGTTAGTTTTGCCCCCCCCCCAAACCTCAAAATAAACTAACTTGACTGGTCCTTTCCGTGAAAAGTTGTTTATTTCTTCGAATGTCCTGTCCAAGCGGAACATCTTCTTTTTCGGAAGCCTGAAACTTCTACATTCTTTTTCTCAAAATCTTCGCCTATTCTTAAACTTACATCAGAAAATGGCAATTGTGGATTTTATGGGATCCCTGCATTCTGTGACTGTTGTCTCTAAAAAAATAAGAAAATTGAAAAAATGTACCAAATCACCCCATTAATAACACTTTCTGCGCTTTAAAAAAACCACTCAAAAACAGAAAAAAAAGCAAAAAATAAAAGTCGTGAAAAAAAAGAAAAAGAAAAACAACGATACTCCCCGTGCGCGTTGTTTAGCGTGTTTATTTTGTTGTTTTTTTGCAGGGTAGATGAGAGAGTGTGGGAAATGGAGAGAGGGTTAGAGAGAGAGATATATATATATGTTATTTATGTCAAAAGAAACAATATATTGATTGAACGTTTTTTTTTCGAACTGAATCATTTTTCTGGTTTTTTTTCAGCGCAGAAAGTGTTATTTATGGGGTGATTTGGTACATTTTTCAATTTTCTTATTTTTTCAGAGACAACCGTCACAGAATGTAGGGATCCCATAAAATCCACAATTGTCATTTTCTGATGTAAGTTGTGGTTTTTTTCAGCCGAAGATTTTGAGAAAAAGAATGTAGAAGTTTCAGGCTTTCTCGAAAAAGAAGATGTTCCGCTTGGACAGAACATTCGAAGAAATCAACAACTTTTCACGGAAAGGACCAGTCAAGTTAGTTTATTTTGAGGTTTGGGGGGGGGGGAGGAACAAAACTAACAGGTGAGATTTGAGCTTCATTGAAAAATATTGGGTAAAGTTTTTTGTTCATAATTACTGTTGATGTTAAAAGGAAAGTAGTTTATAAATAACTATGTTTAAATCATAAGATGAAGCTTTGAATTACACTTGATGGTATATGATCAGCTTCCAGATTTTATTGAAAAACAAACTATGAAATATTTCATAGGTAGATTAGTTTTTTCATAGTTTTATGCACGCGCGATTTCCAGTTTGTTTTGAATTTATTTATTTTTCTTTTATTATCCATGTCCTTTTTTAAAAGACAAGAGTGGGCGAGCGGACAGACAGATCACCATTTAATATATAAGAAAGATAGGAGCTGTTAGCTCCCAGGCGTAACAGTCTTCTTTTTCAAAAGACATAGTTTTTCTCTCACGTGAAAATTTTTCATCGAGCATTTCTAAGCAAATGGATGGTCATTTCTTGTGTCAGAAATGGTCAAGTGGGTAAATCACGTGTTTTTTGTTCAGAAGGTCCAGGATCGGATCCTTTTGGACGTTCGCGATGGTATGATTTTCGGAAAAAATGGGAAATGTCCAAAATTGCTACATTTCAAAAATGAGAACAGGGGGGACCCCATTGAAAAATGCTTCTTCCATCGAGACACCACCCAATCGGGATTTTATTAAAAAGGTAGATAGAAAAATCGCCAGACATGTTAGTAATTAATTTTCTGTTTCTTGAAAGATTCTAGGTAAAAAATTAATGAACTCATTTCAAAGTTCACCATTTTCTAAGAAAAAAACTCAAAAAAATAAGAAATTTGGAAGAGATTTTTAGTTTTTGTTGTGGGGAAAAAATACGAAGATTATCTGGAGTTTTCGTGATCGGCGAAAATATTATTTGGAGGATACAAAATTTCAGACGGTTTTTGAACACTTTTTATGGAGAAAGATTTTTGACTAATTATTCGTCAAGAAGTTGTGTTTTAAAAGTTGAATTCCAATAAGAAAATTTAAAATTCAAACTGAAAAAAAACGCATTCATAGAATAAAGTATAAAGAATCTTTGGTTTTCCGGTCTTTTTTCAAAATTCGTCATTTTTCATTAGAATTTCGAGGAATTCTCACATTTTTTTATTCTTAGAATGTTTTCAACAATAAATGAATCATCCAAGATTTTCATAAGAGTTCAAAGTTTCAAAAATTTGCTTCGGAAATTTTTGGAAATGTAGTCTTGAAATACTCGAAGGTCTCGATAATTAATAAGCAAATTTCCACAGTGCTATCTCACGTATTTTTGATTAAAGAAAGATCTGGAGCAAAATTGCATTTTTTCAAATATTTTATAATTTTTCAGTTTATTTTTTTCAGAAGGAATTCTAGGAATTAGAAAAATATATCATTCAGACTGCACTTTTCATTTTTGTATTTTTGAATACTAATCTTTGAGACGATTGAAATTATAGAGTTAATTTTCATTTCAACGTCAAAGCATAAAACTTTTTTTTCAAAACTTAAAACTACTTTTTTTTAAACATCTAAGTTTATGTCTCATTAACTTTCATCAAAAAATTCTTGACCAGAAACCACCTTATTAATAAAAAAAAAGAAAATGAAAACCTAATCTAATTTTCAAAAATCCTTGTGTTTTTCACGCAAGATAAAATTCCGGAAAGTGCTTCAGCAAAGTGCGCTGAGAGAACATAAATATATTTGAATTGAATGAAAAATAACAAGTGAAAAATATGAAATATTGTAGTCACATTGAAAATTTATAGCAAGAAAAAGCAGGAGTTCTAGCTAGCTAGCTAGAAAAAAGGGGTAGTATAAGATGATGAAGAAAAAGAAGCCACATTTATCTTTATATATGTTTTTTTCTTTTTTATTCAAAAGATTAGCACTTGTTGGTGAAAAAACTTTGACACCGGAAGGAAGTGTAGATCTTTGCAAATATTCACATTTTCAAAACAATACTCACCCCAAATTGCACAATTTTTCGAATTTGTCGAAACGAGTTTGTTCGCCGCTGTGATCGCTGATTTCTTGCCAACATTTTCTTTCCGAGCAATATGTATGCAGAAAAGTAAAATGAAGAAAACTGACTGGAAAACCTTTTTCTTCTTGTTGTAGTTAATCCTTTTTCACAAGAACCCTTGACGCAAATTGAAAAAAAAACTACTACATTTTTGAACATCAGGCACACTTTTTTATATAATACAATAAATTATTTTTTTGTTTTTTCAAATGTAGGATTTTGAAATTAAATACATCACAAAAATACATTAAAGATAAGTCATAATGAAGATTGTGGCGAAGTTGCAAGCATTTCAGCCGAATGAAAAATGCTTTTGTGTTTTTTGATAGAATCGATGGAATTTTCGATAAAGGGACGTTTTAGGGATTGTGGAATATCTTCTCGACGAAGAATCTATGAGAAAAAATGAAGATGTTTCGATAGTGAAAAAAATAATTACCTTAAGTTCCTTTCGTGTCATAGTAGCAGGAAGTTGGATAGTAAACGCACCGTTGTTCAAAGTATAGCTGAAAATATCAAAGCTTGGGTAAAATTACATTTCGAAGCTTAAAAATACCCTGGATTAGGTCCTTTTTTAAAAAAACATCAAATTCAGAAGAGTGTTAATTTTGACCAAAAAATACCTTGATCTCTGAAATCCGCCATCATTTATTCCGTTTCCATTTCCATTTTGTGTGGGCGACGATAAACTCGGTGACTGATTTTTGGGCGATGTTTGACATTCTGAAACATAACTCCATCATAATTCATTTCATTTTGCAATTCATTCTCTTCGTGTTCTTTTATCTGTTTTTCAAAACCACCGCCGCCTCATATTTTTCAATCACCGACCGACGAAAAAAAAGAAGGCTAATAAAAAGTGTAAGGTGACAAGACAACGATACGGACCATAAATTTGTCGAGTGTTTATTGCTTCGAGAAAAATGAGGTGTACCTACGAGATTTTTTCGAATCGAAAATCAAAAACATGGCTAATCTAGAAATCGATCTGCCTTTTTTTTTCGTGTACCGTGAAACAGTTGGGATGAAAAATGTATTCTAGATAAGCATGGGAAAATGGTAGAAGATTTTTAGTTCAAAATCTTTAAAGCTTACCTTGACTATGATGTGGTTGTTGACTGGCATGTTCATTTGTGTGTTTAAGTTGTCTTTCAATTTGATCCAAGGCTCTTCTTTTGGTATTAAGAGCACATAACGAGCAACTGAAAATGAAAAAAATGTACCGTAGAACTTATTCAGCAGGAAGGAGGAATTTCAAAAAGTTCAGAAATTACAGGGTTCGAAATGAAGCAAAAACACGATTTTTTAAGTTTTTACGAAATAATAAACCTTCTATAGAAGGTCTATAGACTTCTAGAAGCTTCGGGGCTTGGTGGAAATAAGACTAAATCAGTGATAAGAACCAAATTCTGAAAAATATAAAAATGTATTATACTAAAAACTTGAGAGTAGAAATAATGGAACGGAGTTGAGGGCTGGGAAAGTGAACTCAGTTGAGAGTAATGGAAAAGTTTGAGTTTCAAAATTTGATCTGAAGGTTTCACAAAGCCGCCGAGTTTTAGAAGCACCAGAAATCCTAAATTATGCAGTTTCAAAAACAAAATTCAAGCTTGACCCAGAGTCTCCAAGCCTCAAAAACTTTAAACTTACGGACAAGTTCGATAAGGACACTTTTGTTTATGTCCCTTTTTCGGTTGATTGAAAATTCCATGATTGGCACATAATTGACACATATATTGCTCCTTAGGCATTTTATTCTTAGTTTAAACAAGACTATGAGTACCAAGTCTTAGTTCAAGTTCAAGTTCGACCAAAATGTGGGCGTGGTTCTTATGACCAATCGCGTTTTGGAAACCGAACTTGTCATTATTCGAAGGCGTGGTTTGACAGCCACAGTAAGTTTTTTCGACAAAATATTCGGATCCGAAAATTTCTTCATGACATGAAAAGATTTTGATCCGCTGATCATCAAACAATGCACCATAAATATTCGAAGCCCACCAAAAAAGAGGAGGAAAAAGTGACACCTTGTCACAGGTTCATAAATCTGCCAACAAATGTTCATATTTTTTCCTCGTTGAGAAAAAAGAGACGCAGACATCGTTTTGCTAATTAATATTGGGCAATTTGCCAACTGCTTTTTTCACAAATCAAATTGAATTGCAAAGAGAGTTTGTGGTGTGGTATCGTAATAAATCTTCTGTTTTTTGTGGTTGTCGAGTCGAGCTTTATGAGATTTCGAGTTGGATTAAATTTGTTTTCTCGAGGGAGACAAAATGAATTGGTTAGGACAGGGGAATTGAATACGGTAGTTTGATGGAACGTTTTTAACATGAAGTGTAGTAGTGTGGGAAACTGCGAAAAAGTTGGAATGACATATTTTCAAAATGTAATCTGAAGAAAGTTGATTTTGGAAAAGTTCGAAACTTATGAAAAATTAATCAAAATTGATACAAAATATAGAAAAAACAATAAAGTTAAAATTAAATTGTATGCAAAAGTTCATTGCAGTGGTCGGAGACAATAAAAACTATATCTAGGAAATTTTCTGCTGGTTTGTTCATATTAAACTAGTATATTGAATTCAAGCTACGAAAAAATACCCTAATAATTTGAAGAATTATCATCTAGGTCCAACTTGAAATATTCAAAATAATTATTATCAAATATTCAGCCATATTTCTTGATACCAAAATAAAATGGCAATTTCAGATCTCTGAAGCGTTGTAAATCTTTCTAGATTATACAAAAACCAATTCTATGTACTTTAATCCCTTTCCGACTTCTTTTCAGTCCAAAATTCATTGAAAAATTCTGAAACTACAGTATTCATTTTTCACCGATTTTATATGACCTTGTTATATCGTTTTCCACTTGTCACCTTTTCTCGTTTCTTTCTCCACCTTTCCCAAATGTTTTTTCCCAATTGAAAATGGTCAATTTCCGACACGTTCCTTTTTCCTGCCTTTTTCTTGTGAGATATTTATATTCAAATTGACGACCAAACAAAACATTACGAATTTATTTCATTTCATTTCATTTTATTTGTTTGATGATTGATGGAAGCAAAAAACGATGAAGAAGAAGTTGGGAAAAAGTTCAAGGAAAAAGTTCCCCAAAAGATTTTGAAACAAAAAGTTTAGCACTTTTATGAAGTGAAAAATATGATAGAGATCTATAAATTATTGGTTTGAAAATGAGAAATGTTACAAATAATTGTAGATGTGAATAATTGTTGATCAAACTTTGAAAAGTTGTATTTCTTTGAGCAAAACACAATGAGTTAGGTGATCTTTCTGGTCAGACTTTGAAATTTCATGTAATGAGACAAAAAAAAAAGTTGTTATTATATCTCACAAGAAATCAAAAATTGAGTCTAGCGGAAGTGAAAAAATTTAGAATTTGAAATTTCATCCTGCAATAATTTGAAATTGGCTTCAATTGTAAGGTAAAAAGTAGAACACAAACATTTCAAAACACTATCAAAAATGAATTCAGTTTCTCAAATCTTATTCGAAACTTTTCTTAAAAATTAAAATAACCCCAATTCCAACATTCTGAAATCTGGAAGACTCGCATGTTTCAGAAAACATGTTTTTTTTCACGTTTTAATTTTTTTGATGAACGTGGCCTTTCGAAAAATATGTTGAATTTTTTTTATTTCTCGATTTGAAACCAGTTTTAATAAGTGAGTCTGTAGGAATGCTATCTACACAGGGTGTAAAAGACTACCATTAAAAAATTACGTACTTACTTCGCGAGCTACTGTGATCGAAATGGAAGCGGGAAACGAAAAATTCAAATGTTGCAAGCGCCGCACATGGTTTTGCAAGTGCGGCACACATTTGTGTTTTATCATTTTTTTTTCTGTTTCTCCCCTTTTCAAAGATTTTCAGCATTTCCAGCGAAATTAATCATTTTGATTCAGAAAAAAAACAATTGGAGGAGTTGCGGCGCCCTTGTGAAAGTCAACGAGAAATGGTTGGTGCTGGAATTGAATCGTTCTGGTCAATTAATCAACGATTGAACAAGGTCCTGTTTTTATCTGTAGTTTTCTGCAAAAAAAATGCCGTAGTTGTTATTTGATTTTTCAGAGAATTGTTTCGGAAGTTAGTGCGCAACATTTTGCAACAACCGGATGCATTTATAAACGCAGGAGATGGATGCGGGAAGATCGGAATGATCATATCATCAGGTCCTATTAATATATATATACGATGTGATTTGAATTCAAATGTGAAGAATCTGAAATTTGAGGACAACTTCTGTACGTTCTGGGTCAAATTTTAGAATATCATCGAGGTATGTTATATTTGCTCGACCACTTTTGGGATTTTTCATCAAATTTGTATAGTTGGTTTCAAATGATTCCGATTTATAATAAGAGTATGGGTGTTATTATTTAAAAAATTTTAGTATTGGAGATAATCTCGTGCTTTCCTAATATTTCGATTTCTATATCATTAGACCTAATCGGCTTTACTTTACTTTAAACTTTGCTTATATCTAAATTTTGTCTGAAAATAAATTTGATGCACTTTCAATTTTGTACTATGGAATTTCAAGATACGTAAATTTTTCTCTGAATTCAAAAAAATGTAGATTGAACTCTTTAGTTGCTCAATAATATTTTGCTTATGTCATCAAAATGAAATCATGAGTAATTAATTCAGAACTTTGAGATGCAAAAAAATTAATTTAAGTTGTAGCTACATATTATTCCAGACATCAAAGTCGAAATACCTAATTATAAATTTTTTATAGCAAAGAAAAACTCAATGATCATTTTTTTTTCTCCGGACTATGACTAATTCTAATTGTTTCGAAAATATTTATAATCTGAAATAATCTCTGTTTGTTATTCCCTTCATATGAAAATATCTCGAAAATAATAATAATTGAGATAGAAAGAGTTAATTAATTTTCAACAGGCAAAAAAAAAGTTGAAAATATATAATGATAAATCTTGTCTTCGCCTTTTTCCCAACAAAAAAAACTATACGTCATCATTTATTTTCAGTGGCCCCAACCAATTTTTTTGGGACAATTGTCAAAAGATTTTTCAGACTCGAAAAAAATATAAATTGTTTTTCACTCAACACAAAACCACACACATACTTACTCTCACATATTTTTTCTCGCATCGCAAAAAATCTGTTTCACATATGTATGTGTTGGGAAAAAGTCGTAAAATTTTGGAGCGAGATTTATGAGCAAAAAATCTGATAATTTTTCAACCCCAGCTTCTTCTTACAGTACCCCTTTTACATGTGTTTTTCAGCACATAAATTTGATTTTTGATGGGTTTTTTCTAGCCAATCTTCTTGCTGGCAATTGCTTTCTCTAGAAATTTTGAATTTTTTTTTTTGAAAAAAGCAGCGGTGTAAATCGAATTTAGACACAAAAGAGTATTTTTATGAAAAATCGCATACTTTGTTGTGAATTTTAAAAATAAATAAACAAACTATATGTACAAAATAAGTATAATAAAAAACAGCGATTAAGTGAAATTGAGAAAGTTCAGAGAGCTACTATGGAGAGTTTTTTTCACTACTTATCTATCAAAATTTCATTTTGAACTTCTTCAGAGATTGAAGCTGTTTACTAATTTTAATTATTTTTCTAACTTTTTTGTCACTTACAGCAGTCATAGTTTTTCTAACTTCTAGTACATGTTTTCCAGAAAAACCTAAATTATATCAAAGATCTTCTTCTTTTTGAGAAAATCTTTTAATTTCCTCTGCATATTTTTCTTTGTTGAGAGAATTTCGGGCGATTTGCGACGGGCTGTGACGTTTTTTTTTCTGAAATCTCCAAAGTTTAAAACGATGAGCTCAAAAATCTTCTTAAACTGAATTCAACCTTTTTTTTCGAAAATTACATAAAATTCTTATCCTCCTCATTATACTTTTAGTATTGAATATTCAATGAGTTCCAATTTTTAGTCTCGGAAAAAATCCCGGAAAAAATCAAATTTTGATTGACGTGTTTTTCTTACATTTTCATTTTTCGGGTTGATTTGACACATGTGTCCTTTTCTTATTAAAAAACTGAAAATGTCCCTTTTAGAAGAAGAAAATTGAGACTCAGAATAACCCAAATAAGAAATTGGATTTGCTCAGAATTTGCTCTGGTGTTGTGTTTTGCTCCAGATTATAATTTTTCTGAAACTCAGCTTTCGAATTTAATGGAATTTAAAATTTAAATGTTGTTTTGTTTTTTATCCGAAAATGATCGTTGAGCCTATTTTTCGCCCGACCAAAAAAATAATTAAAATTCGAGTCACATTTGAGAAGAAAACTTGTTATTTATTTGTTTATTTTTCTTCCGTCTCACTGTTTTTTGGTTATTCATTAGAAAATATGCTAATTTTATTCTAACAGAAGTGTAATTTTTCACATGATTTTTTGTGATGAGGCTGATTTTAAGCGTCATTTTTTGTCAGAGTCAGCGTCAACTTTTATAAATAAACAAAGTTTTGTTATTTTTCTTTTTTCGAGCTCCGTCAAAAACAATTAGAGAATAACAAAGAAAATAATAACATTTTGGGTCTTCTTTGTTCAAAAAGTTCCACTGAACTTTCTTATTTTCAATTTTTGTCTAGGCTGAAAATTAGAGATAAAAATCTGCTGAAAAATAAATAATTCGATTACTTTCCTGTTTTTTATTATAGTATCAGATATCAATGAAATATGATCTACAATGAAATATTTTTTTAGAAAATTTACAGGGTGGTCGCAAATTACGGACA